GTGACCTTGACGCTTGCAGCATCGTCAAGTCACCAACTCAACCATCATGGAGGAGGACAAGGAGAAAGTCTCGTACTCCTTGGGAGTACCCGAAAGCAGGGATGATTCCGACAGCACCGCCACCGTTTTGGAGGAAGATCCCACCATCACCTCGCGCAATCCCGGAGTCAGTCTGGCCGATGGATGGGCCTTGATGCCTCAGGTCAAACAACAGAATGAGCGCGACATGCAGTCGGGTTTCAAACGCAAGGAACTCGGAGTCACCTGGCAAAACCTGTCTGTCGAAGTCGTCAGCGCCGAAGCCGCCGTCAACGAAAATTTCCTTTCCCAATTCAACATTCCTCAGCACGTCAAAGAGTCCCGAAACAAACCGCCTCTTCGATCCATCCTTCAGAACAGCCATGGCTGCGTTAAGCCTGGGGAGATGCTTTTGGTTCTGGGTCGGCCCGGCTCCGGCTGTACCACCTTGTTGAAAATGCTGTCCAATCGGCGCCTGGGTTACAAATCGATCGAAGGTGAGGTTCGCTATGGATCGTTAACATCGGATGAGGCTGCCCAGTACCGTGGCCAGATCGTCATGAACACCGAGGAAGAAGTCTTTTTTCCTACCCTGACAGTTGGTCAAACGATGGATTTTGCGACGCGCCTGAAGGTCCCTTTCAACCTCCCGAATGGCGTCGAGTCCCCCGAGGCCTATCGACAGGAGGCAAAGGACTTCCTCCTCCAATCCATGGGTATCTCGCATACGAACGACACCAAGGTTGGCAATGAATATGTTCGCGGTGTCTCGGGTGGTGAGCGCAAACGTGTTTCAATCATCGAATGTTTGGCCACCCGTGGCTCCGTTTTCTGCTGGGACAACAGCACTCGTGGTCTGGACGCCAGCACGGCTCTGGAATGGACCAAGGCCATTCGCGCCATGACGGACGTCTTGGGCCTGTCCTCCATCGTCACCCTCTACCAAGCCGGCAATGGTATCTATGACCTATTCGACAAAGTGCTCGTGCTGGATGAAGGCAAAGAGATCTACTATGGCCCCATGACCGAGGCGCGGCCTTTCATGGAGGAGCTTGGCTTCGTCTGCCGGGAGGGCTCCAACGTGGCCGACTATCTCACCGGTATCACCGTCCCCACCGAGCGCAAGATCCGGGCTGGCTATGAGAACCGCTTCCCTCGCAACGCGGACATGATCTTGGCCGAATATGTCAAGTCGCCCATTTACACGCGGATGACCTCGGAATACGACTACCCCAACACCGATCTGGCACGCGAACGCACCTCCGAGTTTAAGGAATCCGTTGCTCAAGAAAAGAACAAGCAACTCCCCAACTCCAGTCCCTTGACCGTGGACTTCATCAGCCAGGTCAAGACCTGCATCATCCGGCAATATCAAATCATCTGGGGTGACAAAGCCACTTTCTTCATCAAGCAGGTGGCCACATTGGTCCAGGCATTGATCGCTGGTTCACTCTTCTACGCCGCTCCTAATAACTCGGGTGGTTTATTCGTCAAGTCTGGTGCTCTATTTTTCTCACTGCTCTACAATAGTTTGCTGGCCATGTCCGAAGTCACCGACTCTTTCAGCGGTCGGCCGGTGTTGATCAAGCACAAGAGCTTCGCATACTTCCACCCCGCTGCCTTCTGTATCGCTCAGATTACTGCCGATATCCCCGTTCTTTTGTTCCAAGTCAGCGTGTTCTCCCTCGTCGTGTATTTCATGGTGGGCCTCACCATGAACGCGGCCACTTTCTTCACGTATTGGATCATCGTCTTCACTGCAACCATGGTGAGTCACTGACCATCTTCCCATCCTCATGAGAAGTACTGACTGACATGTCCCCTCAGACCATGACGGCGCTGTTCCGCGCGGTCGGTGCCCTTTTCAGCACGTTCGACGGCGCGTCCAAGGTCTCCGGTTTCCTCATCTCCGCGCTAATCATGTACACGGGTTATATGATCAAGAAGCCTCAGATGCACCCCTGGTTCGGCTGGATCTACTGGATCAACCCCATGGCGTATGGTTTCGATGCACTCCTGTCTAATGAATTTCACGGCAAGATCATTCCCTGCGTGGGAACCAATCTGATTCCCAGCGGCGAGGGTTATAACGGAAACGGACATCAGTCGTGCGCTGGTGTTGGTGGTGCCATCCCCGGAAGCACCTATGTCACTGGAGACCAATACCTGGCTTCTCTGTCCTACAGCCATACCCATGTGTGGCGCAATTTCGGTATCCTCTGGGCTTGGTGGGTTCTCTTTGCTGGCGCGACTATCTTTGCCACGTCCCGGTGGAAGTCTCCCGGCGAGACCGGTTCTTCTCTCCTCATTCCCCGCGAGAGGGTTGACGCGCATCGCCAGATTGCCCGCCCCGACGAGGAATCCCAGGTCAACGAGAAGGCCAACAAGAAGCCCCACGACGAGAGCACGCAGGATGCAAGTGACCTTGACAAGCAGCTCGTTCGGAACACGTCCGTTTTCACTTGGAAGGGTCTCACCTACACGGTCAAGACCCCCACGGGCGACCGTGTGCTGCTCGATAATGTGTATGGATGGGTGAAGCCCGGCATGCTGGGTGCCCTCATGGGCTCCTCTGGTGCTGGTAAAACCACTCTCCTTGACGTGTTGGCTCAGCGTAAAACTGAAGGAACCATCCAGGGCTCTGTCCTTGTCGATGGACGCCCTCTGCCGGTCTCGTTCCAGCGCTCTGCCGGTTACTGTGAACAACTTGATGTCCACGAAGCATTCGCGACCGTCCGTGAGGCATTGGAGTTTTCCGCCATGCTCCGCCAGCCGCGCCATGTGCCACCTGAGGAGAAGCTGAAATACGTGGACACCATCATTGAACTCCTGGAACTGCACGACATTGCTGATACTCTCATTGGCCGTGTTGGAAGTGGATTGAGTGTGGAACAACGCAAGCGTGTCACGATCGGTGTCGAGTTGGTCTCGAAGCCTAGCATTCTTATCTTCCTTGATGAACCCACCTCAGGTCTCGATGGTCAATCCGCGTATAACACGGTTCGTTTCCTGCGCAAGCTCGCCGACGTGGGCCAGGCTGTTCTGGTGACCATCCACCAGCCCTCCGCTCAACTGTTTGCTGAATTCGATACGCTTCTGCTCCTTGCCAAGGGTGGCAAGATGGTCTACTTTGGTGACATTGGCGACAACGGTCAAACTGTCAAGGACTACTTCGCTCGCTACGGAGCCCCTTGTCCCGCAGGCACCAACCCTGCTGAGCATATGATTGATGTCGTTTCTGGCGCTCTTTCCCAGGGTCGGGACTGGAATGATGTCTGGAAGAACTCTCCCGAACACACCAATGCCCTCAAGAACCTCGATGACATCGTCAGCGATGCAGCCTCCAAGCCTCCTGGAACTGTCGATGATGGCAACGAATTCGCCATGCCTCTCTGGAAGCAGATTCTCATCGTGACCAAACGTTCCTGCGTCGCCGTCTACCGCAACACTGACTACGTCAACAACAAGCTGGCCCTCCACGTCGGCTCCGCCATCTTCAACGGCTTCTCTTTCTGGATGATCGGTGACAGCGTCGGCGCGCTACAGCTCCGCCTCTTCACCATTTTCAACTTCATCTTCGTCGCCCCCGGTGTCATCAACCAACTGCAGCCCCTCTTCCTGGAACGTCGTGACATCTACGACGCCCGCGAAAAGAAGTCCAAGATGTACTCCTGGATCGCCTTCGTGACCGGTCTCATCGTCTCTGAAATCCCCTACCTCTGCATGTGCGCTGTCCTCTACTTCGTCTGTTGGTACTACACCGTTGGCTTCCCATCGGACTCGAACAAATCCGGTGCCGTTTTCTTCGTGATGTTGATGTACGAGTTCGTCTACACTGGTATCGGTCAATTCGTGTCCGCCTACGCCCCCAATGCCATCTTCGCCTCCCTCATCAACCCTGTCATCATTGGAACTCTCGCCTCCTTCTGTGGTGTTCTAGTGCCCTACGCCCAAATCCAAGAATTCTGGCGTTACTGGATCTACTACTTGGATCCCTTCAACTACCTGATCGGCAGTCTCTTGGTCTTCACCACCTTCGACGCCCCCGTCAAGTGCAAGAAATCTGAATTTGCCGTTTTCAGCCCTCCCAACGGATCCACATGCCAACAATACCTGGCCGATTACATGAGCGGGATGGGCGCGCGCATGAACCTCATCAACCCCGACGCGACGAGCGACTGCCATGTCTGCGAATATTCCCAAGGAAGTGACTACCTTTACAGTATCAACCTGAAGGACTACTACTACGGCTGGCGCGACGCAGCCATCGTGGCCCTCTTCGCCATCAGCTCGTACGCCTTGGTCTATGGTCTCATGAAGTTGCGTACCAAGGCTTCCAAGCAGGCCGAGTAATCCACCGCACCCCCCACTACCCATTATTGTATCCCATGTTTTGCATATAGACAAGATACACCCTTTTGTTCTTCTTTTTTTGTTTCCTTCCCCTTATCTCATTTCCTGGATCATACTCGCTGTCATCCTGTTAATCCATTGGGTCCGTCGGGACGATTGTCATCATCCTTCGAACCCACCCCCTTCTCATTTCTCTTCTACCCATCTACCTCCGAAGATTAATCAAGACAGATACATACTTGTGTCTTGCATTCCGGGAGTTTGCCTATTTTACTCTATAAATACATACATTTGATTGATAGAGATGTATTGATGGTCATGTGTAACGTGCTGGATGTTTCAGATATGGCGCTTCATTAGATTACCCAAATACAAATACCCTCCTCATTTTAATCAGGCTATACTTTCCTTTCCTGTGTAGATGCCTTCCCCGTAATTCCACGCATGAAGGAAGAGTCAGAGAACCTGCGAACTCGTCGCGCCGCCAAACCATCGTTTCCGGGGTTGGGTCTACGAACCCCCCCCCAAGCTCAATGGACCACTGCCGTATTTCTAGAACATATAGATAGATCAACACTGCAACCCCAGCGACTACAGACAATTCAGTACTAGGGTAGAATCCGTTCCATCACGACTTGAGTAAATTTGATTCAACCGAGGTAAATAGCAAAAAGAAGATAAAAAATGATCACAATCTCCCATACCTCCACTCGTGATAATCCAAGTAGGAAAGACAAATAAGTAAATTCACAACACACAAACTAACAAACATGACGCAAATCAATCTTTCAAGACCAAAAAGCTAGAATAATTATGAAACGCATGACGAGTCATTCCTCCTTCACCTTCACCAAAGCCGATTTCTCCGCAATCCTCCCAGCTAAGTCCATTAACGACCCACTGGACAAGATCTCCAGGATGGAGACCGCGCTTTCGATGTTCTTCAGGATCCAGGTGCGCAAATCAACCGCGACGTGTGAGTCAATCCCATATTCGGTTATGGGGTTGTTGGGGTCGATTCGGTCGATGGGGATGGAGAGATGAGAGGCGATTCGCGTGCTGAGAGCAGAGTAAATGATGGATGATGCTTCGTCGAGGGATTTGGTACACTGTAGGCTGTCTCGGATGGTATCGGGGGAGGAGTCCGTGGTGGTGGTATCTTCGGTTGGGTCGATGAATAACCGACGATAATGGGCGAAGAGGGGTGAGTCGAAGTTGGGGAGCGAGTGGGTTGGGTTCCAGGTTCCTAGGCCGGTGATGATCTGGGAGGAAAAGGGTTCGAGTCCGGCTGGGTGGTCCAGTGCTGATGTGATGGCGGCTTCGATGAGAGACATTAGGGTAGGTGTGCCTGTGCCTTGGAATCCTTGCTTTGCCATCTTCGATGCGAGCTCGGTGTTTTCGGCTAGGTAGCCGACGTCGGTTATGACGCCGAGGTCGAGGGAGACGGTCGGAAGACCAAGGGAGTTGCGGTACGCGGCGAATAAGTCCATGAAGGTTGAGCCGGCGGCGTAGGCAGCTTGTGTTGCGTTTCCTATGATGCCGCTGATGGAAGAAAGCATGATGAACCAGTCGAGGTCTTTTGGGAGGTGGTGGTGGAGGTTCCAGGTGCCGGTGTGTTTGGGGCCAAGGACGGCATTGTAGTCCTCGACTGTCATTTTTTCAATGTGGATGTCCTTTGTCTACATCAGCAGGGTTTAGGTATAAGGTAAAAGAGACATACACGGAGGACCATGGCTGCTTGAATGACGCCGCGAATTGGAGGCGCTGTATGTGCTAGCTCACAGATCATTTGTTCGACCTGGGTGCTGTTGGAGATGTCGACAGCATGTACAAAAACACGAACGCCTTTCTCTGCTAGCTCACGAACTGTGGCCTGGGACTGCACGTGGGACAGACCGCTCCTATTGACGAAGATCAGGGTTCTGGCGCCGTGGTCAGCCATCCATAGCGCGGTCGCTCTCCCTATGCCGCCCAGTCCTCCAACGAGCATGTAGGAGGCGTCGGACTGGAGGAATGTGTCTGATTGCTTCGGTTGCATGACCTAAAGGGTCAGTATGGCTAAGCGGTTTCTGAAATCTTGAAGGGGGTTTTTATGTCGACTTACCTGAACAAGATCCTCCGGCCCGGCTGAAAGAACTATCAGGTCCGCCGGCTGATCCGACACAAGTGCATCCAAGGCTTCATCAATCTCGGATATAGCGTATGTTGTAGGGCTTACAGGACCCCGAAGTTTTCCACCGCGTAAAAGGCCACCGACTTGTTTCCAAATTTGATCCACGAAGTCTGAACCCATATTTCGAACGCTATCGAGGCTGAATGATGCAAACATCACATCGCCCGGGGAACGGGGCAGTGCCCAGTTAGAACCATTCATGGACTGTGTGTCGGAGAGTTGTAGAAACCGCCCTGATCGATTGATATACTTCCACAGAGACTGATAGGTTCGGTTATCGGAGGAGTCGCAGTTCACAATGACATCGAATCCCGCCACCCCAGACAGTTGGGCGTTGTCATTGGCGACAATTGTCTCCCCATGAAACAGTATCTGGTCCTTAGGAATATCGTATGAAGTTGACAAGAGGCCCCTGTCAGCTGCCGTGTCGACAAGGAGGACAACGTGGGCATTTTGTAGACAAATTAACTCCAACAGAGCCTCTCCAATGGTGCTGTCTGCCAAGCATATCAGGACTTTGTCTGACGCACGAATGCGAGCCAAATGATGGATGGCATAAAATGCCGAGCAATAGGTCTCCGGTAGAGCTGCACCTGACTCAAACGACATGTCTGGTGGCATCTTGTAGAACGCCGTCTTCCGATCTTCATACACATTTGCCACTGTTCCGTCCCCAAGACCAGCCGCCCTGTCTCCGGGGACAAAGTCATGGACCTCTTTCCCCACGGCCTCGACAATACCACTGCAACTGGATCCCAGCATGTGACCAGTAGCAGTGCTGAATACAGCCTGTGCATCTCGTTGCTTCAGATCAGCGGCGTGCACCCTGATGCGCACACGATCTGTCGCAAGGTCGGGACGTATGGTTTCGACGAAGCGGACCTTTTGTGGGCGAGAAGCACTATCGTATATTGCTTGAAGAGGCCTTTCATGCTGGAAATATTCATCTTTAAGAATGTATTGGTCGTTTGAGGTGGCAAGATATCGGTTCAATGCAGCGTCCTCTATGATTCGAGGAAGAAGTAACAAGCCATCCCGGGCTGCATACTCATCATCGATTGGAGTTGGCTCATCCATCAAGAAGTGGCGCTCAATGACACGATAAATGACACCAGCAACGTCGTTCGTGTTCGAAGAATCCCGTCTATCCAACTCCAAAGTCACTATACGTCGAACTGCAGATTCCGAGCGAGCTGTCCGCGCAAATCCAGTGACCAGGCTTACATCCGGATTGCTATACAACATTGTCCCCCCTTGTGTGACCCACAGCACACCCGATGCTTCCAAAAAGATTCGCTTAATGGCTGCAAATATCTCTTTGTGGACATGTGCTAGTGTCGATGTGTTGAGGTCACATAACACGATACAAATCTTTCCCACCGGGTTGGCATGTTGGAGACTGGTAACTTCCACAGCCAGAGAGGTGGAGAGAAGCATGTCCTGTAGATGGGCAGATAATTCATTGTCGTCTTCTGTAATCAAGAGAATATCCGCGGGAGAAGGAACATGCTCATGTCCAGGCCGTGAGATAATCATGGAACGCCGCCCCCCAGACTCAACTAAAGTGGTTATGCCTGAGAATCGAGCTGCTTTCAGAGACATGTCCCAGTCATCGTTGGAGTAAGTTGCTCGATTATCGATCCATGTCTCTCCCCGGTCGGCAAACAGAATAACGTCCACTGGGCTTTGTAATGAGTTGACCAAAATCAGATGACCATCGGGTTTGAGCAGCGAGTGGATGTTTTCAAGAGCATCTTGAATAGATCTGACCCGGTGTAGGCCATAAGGAACAATCACAACATCATACGCCAGATCACCAAGCCCCTGGAATTTTAGGTCCTCGGTAATATCCAGTTTCTTGAAAGTGATCCAGCGTTTCCATATGGATAATGTTTGAGCTGCCGTCTCAAACACCGTTTCGTCTGGACTGGTAACAATGTACCGGCTGCATCGAGGGCTATTGCTTGAGTGCGCAAGTTGCCGTAGGAACCTCCACGAGGATAGGCCTGTCCCTGCATCTATCTCAAGTATCGATACCATGGGATCCTTATGGCTGACTAGATCTAGGTACTTGGAAATACTTTCGTAGACTGGATCCCGGAGCGAGCTTTCCCAGTAGGCGTCCCACAGAGATTGGTCATTGGAAACAGTCGGGCCACCAAACTGCCCTTGGAGTATTGCCGGAAGGTTATGGCCCATCGTGCACAGTGCCTTTCCCTCAGGCCCTGGTAGTTCTGCGGACTCAGTATGAAGCTCTGAGATAGGTCTTGTCAATACCCGTTTCCCATCACATTCCAAACTCTCAAGGTAAAGTTTTATAAATGGAGAGATGCCTTCGAAGTGAATGTCTCCCAAATCAATCATTGCTTTTCGCAGATAGAATAGAGCATAATCCTCGTACAGCCTCTCTCTTTCCAGATCTTCATCGTTCAACATAGTAAAAACCTTCACGAGATTTGAGAGGGACTCCACCGACGTCATGTCTGGGTCGGCTTTCCATTCGATCCTGTATGCGAGTCTCGCTATTTGAAGGTTCGTTGAACCTTGATCGATCCGTCGACAGTGAAGCCCGGTGATTGAAGCTGCGATCGTTTTGTCCTTCTCCGCAACAGCGATAGAAGCCACAATTTCGCCTTTTGTTTCCTTGGTGATCCAAGTACGCACGCCGAGCTTGTTTCCAGCCGCATTTTCCATACTGGCCCGAATATTTATCTCCTCGATGCGAACAGGAATCGCTGGACTTCCTGTCATATCAGTGTTAATAAAACATGAATGTATAATACCGTCTAATGTACATGGATGAATGAGATGAGGGTATTGAAAGTTCATGGGCATCACTGCGGCAGTGTCAGGGATGGTGATTTCCGCCAAGGAAGCCGCGTCGGTATAGGAGGCTTGGGTTATGTTGGCAAAGCACGGCCCGTAATCAAGTCCAGCACTGGCCAAATTCTCGTAAAATGCTTGAACATCAAGGACGCACGTGTCGGATGCAATACCCATCTGGGACTCGCTTGTTGTGGCACTAGGGCGTGTGCAAAGGCTTCTAACGCCAACAACCCCGGTGCAATGTTCCGTCCATCGATCGTCCTCAGTCGCGGAATATACATGGAACTCATATAACGGGCCCTGAAAGGAACCGTCATCCCCAGATAACCGCAACGAGATTATAACCTCGACCGCAGAAGTTTCTTGAAGAACAAGGGCCGACCGTATCAAAATGTCTCGCAGATAGAACCCAGTGATAGTGCCACCGGGATTGACAGATGCAACTTGGGAGGCTGCCTCAATTGCCATGATGATGTATCCAGCGGCAGGGTATACAATATTGGATTGAATCCTATGGTCCATAAGCCAAGGTATTTCGGATACACGTATAATGTTCCTCCACCGGGGCTCAAAGGGGCTCGACATGATGTCTTGCACACCAAGAATGTCTGTACGGGGGTATTTGCGGTTCCGAAACACCTTGCTCAACCGTGGCTCTGCCCAATAAGACCGAGAATGGTTCCAGGGATAAGAGGGAAGGTCCACTATGAGATGAGGCTCATATGACGGGTCAGGCTCGTTGATCGTGCGGAAGTCGACGGGAAGCCCAGAGCATGCCAGTGTTGCAACCATGGTCAATATAGTTACGACCGCCTGATGTTTCCGCACCAGAGCACTGGCATACGTAATATCTGCTGTATCTAATCTGCTATCTCCTTTCATAATTTGCTTTATCGGACCTGATAATGCTGCATGCGGGCCGATCTCCACCAAAAAGTCAACGTTGACTTTGCGCGCAGTACCAGCTCGCTTGGATCGCCTCTTACCCAGCGGGTTGGGGTTGTTCCTGTTACCACGGGTTTCAAAACAAAGAGTCCGTAGAGACTGGGAAAATTTCACCTGGCCAAGGAGATTTTGGATCCAATATTGCGGTCCTAGCTCTGTAGGCCTGAATTCCGTGCCAGTGACAGAGGAAAAAAATGCCACTGATCGATTGGGCAGGCACTGAGCTATCTCACTTTCACTCCGTGGTTTGATATGCGAAATGTATTTCAAGTACTCGTGGCTCACTGGCTCCATATGATGGGAATGATAGGCAACTTCGACAGCTAGGCGACGACTGAAGACTTCCTTGTCGCGGATTAGCTCCTCCAGCTCCTGGATCGCTGCCTCATCACCGGAAATTGTAACACTATTTGGGCTATTAATGCAAGCCACAGTGGCCTTGCCTGACTGCAACTGGTCTATATAAGGCTGGGCATCATCCGCAGACATCCCGAAGGCGAGCATGGTACCTTTGGCCCGGTTGTTATTTGTGGGCAAATTTCCAGCCGTGACACCGCGATAATAGGCAACGGCCATGGCATCCTCCATATTTAGAGCGCCAACAGTATAAGCCGCAGCTATCTCGCCACTTGAATGCCCGGTTACGGAGTCGGGATGGATTCCCCACGAGGCCAGAAGATCAACCAGGGCTATTTGCAAAGCGGAACAAATTGGCTGGCTGTAAACAGGATGACTGAGCTGGGCATGTTCCCGTGCCTCGAGTATATCTGATGTTTTGGAAGAATGTTAGCGGTGGCAACCATAACATCTGAGGCGTAGCATACCCACCAGCAATACGAAAGGGTGCGTGAATTCTCGCCATATAGGAGTCGATCCTGCGGATGGACTGGCGAAAGACTGGGTATGCAGCCATAAGGCCTTTTCCCATTCCGCACCATTGCGCTCCCTGACCAGTGAAGACAAATCCAACGTTTGGCCTGCGAGGAGCTTTGTACACTTTTGCCGCTCCCGCCAGGGCTTCTGCCACGTCGGCAGCGGAGCTACCCAGAACCCCGACTCTGTACAAGTGCGCAGTACGACGCTCATTCAATGTATATGCAAGATTACTCATGAACACATCGTCTGCTCCTGGGCCTTTTTCTAAAATATATGCACGTAGGCGACGAGTGTGTGCCGTAATCGAGTCTTCATTGAAGGCGGACAGCAAGAAGACGCGAGTTCGATGAGCCTCCAAGGGCTTGATGTGATTCCCGACGGCGCACGATACTGGTGGCCGGGCTATCTCTATCAGTCCACGGTCGGACATATATCCCCAAGCGTCTTCCAGGATTACATGAGCGTTGCTGCCACCGTACCCAAAACTGTTAACAGAGACACGATGTGGACCTAATGTGCCCCAAGTCTCGCATTCGAGTTGAACCTTTCGGCGGTTGAGAAAACGTTACATATGGCCGTCATGGAACACGCACCTTCAACTTCCACTCGTCGAGCAGGATCCGGGGATTCAAGGTGTTGAAGTTCCGATTTGGTAGAAACATGCGATTCTCCAACATCAACACTGCTTTGATGACACCAGCCACCCCACTGGTGCCTTCTAGGTGACCGACATTTGATTTTATGGAGCCAATACGCAGCGGTCGCTCTGCGGTCCTTCCTGGCCCGAAAACACGGGCCAAAGCCTCTGTCTCAATTGGATCACCGGCCTGAGTCCCAGTGCCATGTGCTTCGACGAAGTCGGTATCTACTGGGTCGAGACATGCCATCTGATATACGCGACGTATCAGAGCCTCTTGTGCTACACCACTAGGAAGCGTGATTCCGGGTGTTCTTCCATCCTGGTTAGACCCTGATCCTCGGATGATAGCGTGAATATGATCACCATCTTGAACAGCCTCCTTCAATGGCTTGAGTATCAAACAGCCAATGGCTTCACCCCGCGCATACCCATCAGCGTTCTCATCAAAAGTGCGGCAGCGTCCATTAGGCGAGAGAAATCTGAGGCTGGGTTAGCCATGGGCAAAAGGTGACTGGACAGGAACATACTTCATCATGGTCATGGTTGACATGAATTCGTGGCTCAGTATCACATTGACACCCGCTGCGATGGCCATAGAGGCATCCCCAGTCCGAAGGCTCTGACACGCGAGATGAAGAGCCACCAGACTCCCTGAGCAAGCCGTGTCGATGGTCACACTGGGCCCTTTCAGGTCGAAGAAGTATGATATGCGATTGGCAGTCATAGCCCTGGACTGGCCGGCATTGGTACATTGATACATGGGAATGGAGTCAGGGTCTCGAAGGAGAAGGTCCGTATAGTCCGCATTGAAGCAGCCGACAAAGCAGGCTGTTTGGCTGCCCATGATTCTGGACAGGGGGATGCCAGCTGTCGATTGTGAACATCTAACATTTGCCAGTTATAGAATCTCATACCATTCTCTAATCCTTCATATGTAACCTCGAGAAGTAATCGCTGCTGCGGGTCCATGGCCTAGTACGCAGAGTGTAAGCAGATCTCTATATGATCGACGGCTATGGTTCCAGATGTACCCACCGCTACCTCGTCTCCTGTCATGTTGAAGAACGGCGCGTCAAACAGCGATATGTCTTCGGTTAGAAAATGACCACCTTCGACATGTATCTGGTGTGCGGTCAGGACAACATGCCGGATGGGGCAGTGGTGACCTACATACTGTGCCGTGCCTGGCATGGTCGGGGTGGAAGAAGGCGGAAGGATTCCATCTGGATGTCGGGATCGGACTCCAGGCTTCCCGTCCCTCGACGATCATCGTCCATAATCTCCCCACGCTGGTTGCATCTCCGGGACCACGAAAACCCATGCCAACAATGGCAATGGGCATGGAGGCATCCTGCTCGAGTATGGATAGGTCCGCATGGCTCTTCGGAGGGGGAGGGGAAGGAGAGGAGGGAGGAGAGGGAGAAAGCGACCGGTCGGGAATGAGGGGACGATCGGCGGCGGGGGCAGTCATGGCGGGCCGATTGGAGGGGAGACCACGGGACTCCACGGGACTCGCTGCAGCGGCTGCCCGCCGTCACTATCTATACGTGCCATTGCAATAAGACCCGACACCCGTCGCGATTGCATGGCTGTGTGCTACGTGGAAAATTCCCGGACTGTTACAGGGGATGTTTGATGTGTTGCATTAACTTAAAGGGTACTTCCATCGGAGCTTCATTTCTGGCGCCACCCCACACTGGTGGCGGTCGACAAGCAGAGCAAGGTAAGAATCACCAGATTGCCAATGCTTGGATTGCTAATTTTCTGATGGCTGTTGTTATAGAAGAGACGTTTTTCTTGTCCCCCGGGACATCATGGCCTTTACTATGCACCACCCACGTGGCCTTGTTTGGATCGCACAACTGATACAACGCAATCGAGTATTCCAATAACGGATCCTGCACCCCCGCAATCGTCACTGTCGGTATGTTGATATACCCTCCCAGGTCCGAATCGACCACGGGATCGCCACCGGGATCCATACGGAACGGTGGTAAGGAGTTGATAAAGATGGCACAACGGAACAGTGGCGCCTCGCGCGGATAGGTTTTGGCATGGTGGATGAGGAAGCCGGCAGCCAGGGTACCACCATGGGAGAAGCCCAGGATGCCGTCAAATGGGCCGTCCTCGTTGACGACATCGTACAACCAGTCATACGCATCCATCAAGGACGCATTCCCGGACTCCGGATCGGAGAGGGGAAGAGGAAAGTGGTAATAGCTATAGTAAGGGCCATCATAGAAGCCTGCGATGCCGGGTCCCGGGGCAGAATCCACATCGCCTTCGACGAAATGGAATGTCGCCGTGTTATCGCGACGCAGGTCCGCCATCAGCCCACCTAGAGAGTCAGCCAGGGGAGTGGGATCAATCAGGATGTTACATACCTAGTTGAGATTGAAAGATCTACCAGCATCAACGTAAGTGAGACATATCAACCTCAAACGGAAAAGAAAGCCTCACCTTGACATTGGTGCCCCAGCCATGGAGGCAGAGCAGTTTCAGCGGCATGTTGCTCGAGGGGTTAGGGAAGGAGGCCTACGTTGACGGAGACAGCAGCTCGAAGCCATGGTGAGACCGATTACACCCAAGCGGAGGAGGATACTTTATCAGAGATGCTTTCTGAAGCTTTGATGATGGCACGACCGGTGCGGAAGATTCTCTCCAGCGTCCTCGACCCTTGGTGTCACCACGGATCATTTGAGCAGGGGCAGGGAGGGGGCAATGTCCCGATCGAACGGGCGCATGGAAGTGGCCGTGCAAGCTGCGGGTGGATACGATATACGACTGGGTCCCATCTATCTATATCTATTATTGTTCTGCGCAGGTTGGGATTGTACTGACTACTGAGTCTGGCGATCAAGACCGAAGCCGAGCAGTACGTATACCTATTACCTACTGCAGTGCAGCCGAGAAGCAGGTATGCCTGAGGAATGACAAGAAAGGAAAACGGGAAAACGCCCCCTGACCCGACTCCGCCGAGGGTCTGGAAACACCGGCAGGACAAGCCACCGCTGATTGGCGAGTTGCCACCACCGCGACGCCATGGCCCCACTTGGTTGCGTGGTGGGCGGTCGTTGATTGGTCGCTGAGTGGTCCGCCGCCGAAAGGGCCCAACCCAATGGTCGGCCGTCCAAAGGGAATGGTTTGCAAATAGTGAAAACTTTCCTGGTCTCATTCAAAGACATTGGGCCACCGCGTGTCTCTCAGGTACACGCCCCTTCTAGACCTCTCGCTCGACGCTCCTTCCGATAAGGATGTGCATTAGTCCCGTGTGAAGGGTTCAAGCACGATTTCCAGCGCGGCAGAGAGGGGTGACAGAAAAGAACGCGATGAGGAAGCATTATTATTTTGCTTCGGCAGGTGTGGCCGATGAGCTGTCAGTTGGTTTCATCGTGCAGCGCTGATCCTTCATCAATTTCTCCGTTATCTGGAAACTGGGAAGGTGTGGTCTTATTGATTCATCCGACCTGCTCCACCGGCTGTTCCCAGCTAGGATCACTGCCAATCATTCTCTCCTCCGAGCGACCCATGAAGTCATGACCGTCTCTGCCCGGCTCTGACCTTAAAAAACTGCTCCGACGGTGCTGGTCACCTCCTTCTCCTCTTTCCGACGCTTTTCTCTCTTCTGCGACTCTCTTATCCGCCAATCTGTCGCAGCTTGACGGGTGCTGGTCTAGACTCGACTTATTTTTGGTTCGGCCCCCGTGGACGCGCCGTTGGTTATCCCACGCCTCCACCGAGCCGCGGTTTCAACCGAATCAACCACCATTTTTCCCTTTTTTTTTTCTCTCCCGCCTCGTTCCCCCATATTATTATCCGTCTTTGACACCCCATTATTCATAGTTTGCTGGTTCTTCCTTTCTCATTCGTTGCTGCTCTTTATATTTGCCGGACGCCTCCGGATTGCTCGGTACTGAATCGAATCTCTTTGCTCTTCCTGTCGCACCTCATCTTCCTTTCCTTCCACCCACCATTTTGGTTTGACAGACCCTGATTGTCCGCGCAGCTGGCTGCCCGGACTTTACCAATGTCGGAGTCACCCCGCGACGATCCCTCCTATGAGCTCCTGGGGCGCCAGAACAGCTGGGAGGGAAACGACGACACCTTGGTCCCGCGCGAGAATGGCGAGCCATCTGCGCCCCCCCATCACGAGGAGCACCATGATGGGCCCTCAGAAGCTCCTGCTCCCGCTACTGCTCCTACTGAGGACGCCTCAAATGAAACAGCTAGACCTGCCCGGGTTCGATTTCGCTCGATCAGCAACCACAATGAGGGAGTGCCTCAACGCCCCTCGATGATGCCGCGTGCAGACTCTGATTTTTCCGTTCGTACATTTCATTCGGTCGTACCAACGGACCAATCTGCCGATCTGGCTGATTACTTCGAGCGCGAGACGGGCCCGGAGGATGGAGAAGAGGAGAACACGAACAAACGCTCGTCCCCCGCAGTCGAAGAGACTCGAGACTCTTCTCTCGAGAAGGATACACCAGAGCAACCCATGTCGGCCAGGGACCGCTGGAAGAACGCCAGTAAATTGATCCGTCAGAAGACGGTGCTCCTAGGCGAGCGTCTTGGTCGACCCCTCGATGACGTTGGTGACTTGGGAGCAGCCATGTTACCGGACGACCTCGAAGGAGGCTACCCACCACGCCGCAGGCCCGAAGAGACGGAGGCTTTCGATCCGCATGCCCGCGACGGAGAGGAACCGCCTCCCCCTCCCAGCGCAGAAGCCCATCGACTCGTTCGCAGCATGACCCAGCATAACATGCACCAACGCCGCAAGCCCAGGTCTGCCTATGCCAAGTCTGGGCAGGAAACCCCCGATGGACTGGGTCGCCCAGACTCGTGGTATGGAGCTGGAACCCCCGGGAACCGCGGCGGTGGCGGCATTCTCTCCCAACTACTCAAGTTGCATGCCAGCCAGGCCAACCGGGACAACATGTCCGTTACCACCGACTCTTCGGATAACGAATCCGTGGTCTCCTCGGGTACTGCGACCCCCAGACGGGACTTCCACTCGGGCACGTTTTCGTCAGGCACTGCTACGCCTAAGAAGGAGAAGTTGAAATGGTATAAGAAATCCAGTCACCAGTCCACTGCTTCCCTGGTAGAGGCGTCGATGAATCTGAGCCGGGCGAGTCTGCCAGCCTCGGCGGACACCCTCGTGAATATTGCACCCAAGAAGGGAAAGAAGAAGCGCAAGACCCGCCTCGAGGATGAAATTCGCGTCACGGTACATATCGCCGAGATTCTTGCCCGTCAACGATACATCATGCAACTTTGCCGTGCGCTCATGCGATACGGCGCTCCCACTCACCGTTTGGAGGAGTACATGCAGATGACGGCGCGCGTTTTGGAAGTTGAAGGACAGTTTTTGTATCTACCTGGGTGTATGATCATGTCCTTCGATGATTCCACCACGCGCACGGCGGAGGTGAAGCTGGTCCGCGTGGTGCAGGGAGTGGATTTGGGTCGCTTGGCAGAAACGCATAACGTCTACAAGAATGTCGTCCACGACATGATCGGTGTGGAGGAGGCCATCCAGGAACTCGACTTTATTATGAAACGCCCCCCACGGTTCAACAAGTGGATCCTCGTTGCTACGTATGGTTTGGCCAGTGTTGCCGTCGGTCCTTTCGCTTTCGATGCTCGACCCATTGATATGCCCATCATCTTCTTCCTCGGATGCCTAGTTGGTTTCATGCAGCACGTACTGGCTCCTCGATCAGTGCTCTATTCCAACGTGTTTGAGGTCACGGCCGCCATCTTGACGTCGTTCCTCGCGCGCGCGTTTGGATCCATCAATGCCAATGTCGACGGAGGGGAGGAGCGCCTGTTTTGCTTTTCTGCGTTGGCTCAGTCCTCGATCGCCCTGATCCTGCCTGGTTTCATGGTGCTGTGCAGCAGTCTGGAACTGCAGTCGCATCAAATGATTGCCGGTTCAATCCGTATGGTGTACTCCATCATTTACTCCTTATTCCTAGGGTATGGCATCACGGTCGGCACGACCATCTATGGACTGATCGACGGCAATGCTGCCACCTCGACGACCTGTTCGAATGAGGGCGTGTGGTACAGCAAGTATATCCAGCATTTCATTTTCGTCCCAATTTACGTGGTATTTTTGGCGATCATCAACCAGGGCAAATGGAAGCAGGTGCCGGTGATGATCGTCATCGCGGTCTGCGGCTACGTGACCAACTACTTCAGTACTCTGAAACTGGGATCCAACTCGGAGGTCGCGAACACGGTCGGTGCCTTCACCATCGGTCTCTTGGGCAACCTATACAGTCGACTTTGGCACGGTCACGCCGCCACCGCCATTCTCCCGGGTATCTTCGTGCTTGTGCCGTCCGGGCTGGCATCCAGTGGATCTCTCCTCGCCGGTATCCAGTACGCCGAGGAGGTGCGCAACAACCTGAAGTCAGGCAACACTACATCGACAGACAGCACCTCGAGCACGTCGATCGCGAGTCTGGGTTTCGGTATGATCCAGGTCGCGATCGGCATTACCGTGGGTCTATTCATTTCCGCATTGATTGTATATCCCTACGGCAAGCGCCGCAGTGGTCTCTTCAGCTTCTAGATATATCCCCCAGCGTTTTATGCGTTTCTACGTTCCGTTACGTTCTTCCTTGGACTGATGTATTTCGGGTATATTGTGTGATTTGCATTTGAGCCGGCTTAGCATAGATATGATTTATTGACTTTCGGTTGGGTCATTGCAGCGCAATGTGCCTTGTTTCTAGTGGGTTAGAGTTGACATAACCTTGGTGAAGTATAGTACTGCAGAACTCAATTGATTCCCTACCAGAGTAGGAATTCCAAGGGAACAACATACCCAATTATGATTTCATCCATGATTCATCCGGGTTATCAGATCTACACAAGATCCCATCACTCTTACATTATTAACTCCTCCATACTATACACATAACACACGTTCTATCATCCCCTACATTCTCTCTCCACCCAGCCTCCCTCTCCTCTCACCCCCCAAAGCCGAAACCAATACCAATACCAAACCCAAAAAAGAATGTCCCCCAAAACATGGCTCATAACCGGCTGCAGCAGCGGCTTCGGCCACCACCTTACCAAAACCGCCCTGGCACATAACGACACCGTGATCGCTACATCCCGCGACCCGTCGAACCTCCGCGCTCTCACACCCACTTCCAATCCCAACTGCGAAAGTAAAGCCTCGGAGGGTAGAGGGAAACTCATCCCAAAGAAACTCGATCTCAGCGGTCCTGACCACGAAATCGAATCCTTCGTCAAGGATATTCTATCCTCGGTCGGGAAGGTGGATGTATTGGTGAATAACGCGGGATTTGTTTTTGAGGGCGGGATTGAGGAAGCCACGTACGTTTTTACTTCTCTCTTGATTTTCCTTGGATGTTTCAGAAACGCAGGGGAAATAAATCAAGAGTCTATGGATATACGGAATGATAAATCATACGAAATCTAAAACTAACGCTAACGATGATAATAATGATGATGTATAGTACAAACGAAATCACCACCTACTTCCGAACGAACCTAACCTCCCACCTCACACTCACCCGCGCCCTAATCCCCAGCATGAGGACCAACCACTCTGGTCTCATCGCCACAATGGGCTCTATCGCCGGATGGGGAGGTGTTCCAGGGACGGGGATCTACTGTGCGAGTAAAGCGGCGATGGCGATGTGTACGGAGGCGTTGAGGGAGGAGCTGGCGGGGACAGGAATCGAAGTGACGTGTTTGGAGCCGGGGCATTTCCGGACGGAGCTGTTGTCGGAAGAAAGGGTTGTGAGGGCGGAGAGGAAAGGTGAGGGGTTGGAGTGGTTGAGGGAGTTGGATGGACAGCAGCCTGGGGATGTGAGGAAGGGGGCGCAGGTGGTTTATGAGGTGTTGATGGGGAGGGGGAGGTATGGGGGGCGAGGACAGCTGCCGGGACGGTTGCCGGTGGGAGGGAATGCGGTGGAGATTATTGGGGGGGTGTTGGAGAGGCAGAGGGGAGTGTTGAGGGAGTGGGGGATGGGAGGGGAGTGTGATGTCGAGTGAGTGGATATTTTGTTTGAGGGTTGGAGTATATTGTGGAATATGTTAATTGTATTTATGCTTGAGAGATGGGTGATATCGTTGAGGTAAGGATAGATATTGTATGAGATGAAGCATGATAGGCACGATATACGATCCCTTGTGCTTTGTCTCCGGCTCGCACTGGGCAGTGAGCTTGATATTGTGCGCAATGCGAGGTCGAATATCATGTTCCCTTCTGCCCATGTTCCACTACATGTGGCGAATAGACAATGAAAGACCGCCCAATTGACAGGACATCCCTGCTGTTTGTCCGTCATGTTGCGGACCAGGTGCTCGGTCACATTCTATCGAAGAATCCTCAAGTATCCGAGAATACCTCGAGCGTTGTTGAATGGGGGTTTGTGTCAAAGCCAAACTGCCTCGATACAGTACGCAGATCGCCTTGGCCGCATGACCATCATCACAGATACTCATTCGGTATCTATGGGCAAGCTGGATACACACTTCGCATGAGGGAGCTTTGAGCCGGTCATGCGACACCGCGTCGTCGGTAGCTCCTGCAGCTCTCCCAGCTCTATTGATTTCGCATTGGTTGTTCGCTGAGTTGCATTTCTAACTTGCGACTGTCCGGGAAGACCATGTGCCATAAGAGGCGAGTTCTGTTGTCTACGATATCAATCGTTTGTCTTCTGCAAGGCGTGCATATGTGCGATCAGCTCGATCTAGTGTCTATAGTCGTTTCCTCCAGTCGAGTTTCCCATTGTGGACAAGGACATGGGGATAGGATAGGTGCGAGCCGTGGGCCAAAGGATTGTCCTACTTGTCAGATTTTGGTCTTTCTCAGCAACCTGGACCCAGTGCCAGCTTTTGACGGTGGAGTCTTCTTTCGCTCGCTCTCTTTCCCACATGACCGTACACAAAGTTGCGATTATTTCACCAGATGTTAGTTATCGGTGAGAATCTCCTTGGACCGGCGACCATTTTCGTCAAGCAGCCGCTGTACCGTGTTTATGTCCAGAACCCGAATGCTTTCTCTAGAGCTTCGTTGTATAACTTGAATCTAGAGAATGAAGCTCCAAGAAGCACATAAAGGATGCTAGCTCAAGTATCGTGTCCTTTTCCGTCTTTAGCTTGGAAGACGGTACCATATGATCCTGGGTCATCTAGGTGACCTCTGATGTACTGGTAGAACCAGACGCATCCTACATAAACAGATCCAACCTCATCTTGATGGCGTCTCCTGTTGCCAGTGAGCCATCAGACACGAAGGCCTAGAAAGCAGTTTCGACGATGGCAGTATAGAGAATACTGGTTCAAGTCTGGCTCCAGTTTGTCATAAGAACATTGGCTACCCCGTCTTCAATTTCATAAGCAGTGTTTTCAGCATCGTGTAGCCCCCGTATGTCGTCGGTACATCGGTGATGATATGGATCAGACTCAAGGACAACACCAGACAGGATGCTTCAAATCCTGCACTCGTCTTTGTGTGGTTCCGTGCAGACGTCTAAGTGTTTCTGCAGATATTAGACAGAGGTAGAGATGGATTTATCCGACACCAGATAAGATGCATGTCGCGCTTAGAGATTACAATGATCAATTCACCCCCAGCAATCCCAGACCAGCGGATTATATGATATCCACATGCTGTAGCTCCAGGATTTGGGATATTTCAGAATATGTTGCACTCAGCATGATACACATACTGAGACCCATGTCAGATCCAAACTGGATATTCATGCAGTAGATTAGACTGCCGCTGACTGGTCTCTAATATCAGAGCCGTCGCGTCTGGATGCGTCACCATTCGTAGGATGTGCATGATGATTATTCGCTGTGGAACCCAACCCTTTAATAACCGATCGCAGGCCATCGTCGTCTGCTCGAATTATCATCGTGAAAAACGAGTGTCGTGGTCGACAAACGTGTCTTTTAGCTTTATTGGAGGATATGAATGTGACACCGTCAGCTGTCTCTATGCTTCGTTCCCAGTTCCGGTTACTCGGACATTTGAAACGGCTTTATAGACATGCGAGGGACGTGCAAAGATTTCGGCGTGTCCAGACTCGCATGAAGTATCTTCAGCCTGTTAGTATAACGATAGTGTTATTTATTAGGCCGTTTAGTTGTGGATGCGGTCAGCAAGACTGTCCAGGATTTTGATTGCCATCGTTGGATGCAGAAGCATGTCCCAGAAATTGCTTCGGGGATCTAATAGTCGGAAGCTTGAAACGAGCATGTACTCCAATGGTACCAGATTGTCGAGGGCTGCCTTCCTATCATCCATTGAATCATGAGCCGTTTGTCCTCGTCAATATACCATGACGAGATCGCCTGTGATCTGGTCGATCCATGTTGCAAAGCTTTCGGGATCTCCCCCATGGCGTCACCCGTCGCGTACCGTCGATTTAACTCCTTCAGAGTCAAGACATCCAGCTAGACCGCCAGTCAGTCTGCAAATCTTCGTCATGCCGTTGACTCCATTGGGTTATAGCGACTGCTGGGCAATTCCCTCCTTCTAGGTCATAGTCTCTCCGAAACCTTCCCATGAAGCAGATGTAGTCATACTGACTGCATCCAGGGAGCTCACACCTTTTCTGTATGCAGGGAAATGAATACATTCTGGTCTTGTTGGATTTTAACCTCTGTAGAAAGACTCTCAAATGGTTCGTTTCCATCCTTTTCTTCATAATTTGTTTGGTTATGTTTTCGGGACTGAATAGGAAACCCATTTTTTCCATTCCTTAAACGGTAGTGTAGCTTTTAGACGGTCTGCAACACATCTTCACGACTGGTAAAAGACCATTAAAGTACGAAGAATAGATAGTGCTGCGTCCGTTGCGCATCATTAGTCTTCAGGTTGTGTTGGACCATAGATTGTATGAAGACATCTTCCGGGGTCATCGACATGGCCCTAATATAAAGAGTGACGTCGAAAGATGTCGTGTCACGAATAGGCTGTGTGTGGACACACCGTCGCCAATGAATTGGTGTGTTCATCTTTTCGAGGACGAATGTTTCGTCTATGAGACTAATTTCCACATGGCTGACGATGATGATTGCATTTTCCGTATGTCGCACGTCTTGGTCGGTGCTCATGTCGGTATTATGATGTATTTGTTCCAATTGTCGCCCTTCTTGGCCGTTTCTTCTTGTTGGCGCTTTGAAAGACGAAGGTGGCTTATCCTCTCGTTGGTAGCACCGTTATCATCAGTACATACCTCGCGCGGTATTGACTGATTGCATCGCAACCATAAAATGGGTTATTTGCTAGATGTGCTAGCTGATAGGACTGTATCAGGGATCGACTGTGTCCGGGAACCATGGCCTGGATCATGGATTAGGATGCCGCGTTGCCGTGTCGATAATCGCGTTGGCCAGTATAGAGCCCATTCGTGAAGTGCTTCAGACCCATATGCTGAGAGAGATCCCAGATCATGGCCATTGTTGCAAGTGGCTGACAGCAGAGGTCGCAATGCGAGCTTTGAGTGTCTCCAGTCGAATGCTCGTGGAGGTGATGAAGCAACAGCAACAGCAAGCAAATACGCTATTCGTATAGCCATTATACTTCGATGTCATGCAATGAAAAGGATATGTTTGTCATGAATGTCAAGATGATACTGACAAGATGGTATACAAGAACTACTTCATCGCTGACTGCGAGGTCTGTATATGGGTCAGCTAGGTGGGTTCTGAAAAAGCCTTACAGACCCAGGGGTCTCACCTGACCAGGCGTCCTCTTCTTGTTCGCTCAATTTCTGTCACAATACAGCTAACAGGTTCGTTTGAAAGCAGTATTAGCGGCAACGAGATAATGCTAACCGTGTATACGACGACGTGGCGCTGGTGATAGAAGGAGTCGAAGCAAAAGCTGGGGAGAGTTGTACTGGATATGAAAGACGAGGAGGAAGAAGGCGAAGACGACGCAAGTTAGGAGATGTAAGGAAGAAGGAAGAAGTAAGAAGGAAGAAACACAAAGACATAAAGAAAAAAAAAGATTAGTGGAGCCTTGGATGATGTAACAGAAGAGTGAAGTGAATTTGAAGAGTATATTGAAATGGAGTACATGATCTTTAGTACTATATCAGTACTATTAGTCATCGTTCAGCTGAGGCCTTTTGGTGCAGGAATGAGTATAGCTTGAGATGAGGAGGGAAAGAGAGAAAGCTGAGAGAGAGACTTTAGGGGGTATTTATACCCGCGAAAGAGATTTTCATCCTTTCACCCATCACAGTGAGGTTGTTCACGCTCTATTGAGGACATGAAGTTATAGTCATTAACGTAACAGGAGTGACGGAAGCCAGTGACGAGCTGGACGTGACTGCGATGAGAAGTTCAGCTGAGTGGATCGGCCGGGCGACACTAGACGAGTCAGCTTCCAATAGTTACGCCTTGGCACCACTTACAATGAATCCTCCGTCCACTTTAATCTATGGGATCAGCATGTTCCCCATTCACGTTGCCGGATCTTGAATAGATCAGATTTGCATCCCCTGGGCACCATGGCAGGCCCACTTCCGCATTCACGATAAATTTCCGGTGACGGCCCGCCTGAATGTCATTCTCTATCCTGTCAAACTATCGGCTGACCTGTCCCTACCGCGGTCAATTCTTCACTGCAGCCAGTATGCATTTCTCTTCTCTTTTGCTGGCATCTGCAGCCATCCTGCCTGCCTTTGGCTACAGTATCAACGACTTCTCCTGTACCAGCACCGAGCACCCGAACCCCGTGGTGCTCCTACACGGTCTGGGTGCCACATTCTACGAAGACCTGAACTATCTGCAATACTGGCTTCAGGCCCAGGGCTACTGCACCTACGCCAAGACCTACGGTGCATACGATGGATTTCCCTTCCTCGGTGGGCTCAAGTCTATCGCCGACTCCGCCCAGGAAATCGCGGCGTATATCCGCGAGGTGAAGGAGGGGACCGGGGCCGAGAAAATCGATCTGGTCGGTCACTCTGAAGGTGCTTTCCAGACCCTCTACGTCCCCAAGTTCGAGGATGGCATCTCGGAGATGCTCGACAAGCTGGTGGCCATCGCGCCCCCCACAAGGGGCACCAACTTTGCCGGAATCTATGACCTTGCGTACGCTTTTGGGAACATGTCGCGCGCCGCAGTTGGCGACATCTTGGATACCGTGGGGTGCGCTGCCTGTGACGATCTGGGCCCCGATGGAGCGGCAGTTGACCGCTTGAACGACGGAGAACCCATTGTGCAGTCTGGGAACAACCTGACGGTTATTGCGTCGCGGTTCGACGAACTGGTGACACCAACCACGACCTCCTTTGTCCACGAGGACGGCGTGACCAATGAATGGGTGCAGAGCACCTGCCCCCTGGATCCCGTCGGCCATATCGGCGAGGCCTATGATCTAAACGTTTGGAACCTGGTCAAGAATGCCCTGGACTCCACCCCGAAGCGTGAGTTCATCTGCTTGCTGGGATCTCCCGGAAAGTAGAAGTGGATGGCGTCTGTCTGCATTTTGTATAGAAAAGTCTGTATTTAGATACCCAAATAGACTATGGTGTGTAGAAGTGATAATGTATAATCATGTCGATGCCATTTTCCTTCAAGCCTTGGCTGCAGGGCCCGAGGCCCCTCCACGCCCATTCCTCTCATCCACCAGCGTGGAGTCAGAGCGAACAGGAGCCTGTTGGCCTTGCACACGATTATGCCCGTCTCTAAAGTTGATCAGTAGCGGACAATGTATCGGGAACCTGGGGCCATACCCAAGTTTCTTGTTGGGTAAGAACAAGGATAAAATCACTACCGGGGCAGAGAATGCCAGGGCGGCAATAGTAATAGACCTGTACCTGTCAGCTCATTGTCTATAACACTGTGGGCGACAAACACACCCCATTACATCCGAGTACTGAATGCAAGTTAGCGAATTGACATGTAGAATGAGCAGACCACTTACCGCTCTGTCAATCGCTGTTCGCTCCGCTGATCCCCAGGCTGGCAGCGTGCCGGTGATCGAATTGTACAGCCTATCCACTGTGGCCTCATTTACACCGGACCCCAAATGCGACCGTAGCTGCTGACGTAGCTGCCCGGAATAGATTCCCCCTGCAATCGCAGAACCTATGCCGTTGCCCAGATACGCGGCTAGCATCACCAATGACGTGACCTGGGCCAGCTCAGCATGCGACACTGAGATCTGGGCTGCCACAATGCCCACCGTCTCGATGATACCGCTTCCAACTCCCTGGACTAACTGCACAATGAATAGCTCGGTCACAGAGCTCTGGTTGGTGCGGAGGCGAACCATAACCCCATATCCAACCATCCGAATAATCGCTCCAGCGACTCCAATCCATTTATAGGATCGTAGACGGTACATCAGCAGCCCAGTACCCATGCCGACCAAAGCTTGCATGATGCCGTTGGTATAGTAGAGGAACTGGGCGTTGCGCGCCGAGAAGTTGTGTGATACCTCAGACCAGACATACAAATACGTATGTGTGGCGCCAAAGCTAATGTTGTCGATGCAAACCAAAACTACCGGGATCATAACCGAAAGGCTACGGAAGTAGCGCACAGGAACCACAGGATGTCGGGCCACATATTTCTCATATGGGTAAAGACAGGCCAGAATCACCACGCCCACTGCAATTAGAGCATCGACCCATGGAGTCTTCCATCGGCTGGCAGAAGTAGCAGCCAGCGTGATGGGAAGTAGAATCAAAGCGAAACTGCCGCTTAGAATAAGAAGCCCACCCAGATCGATACGGGAACAGAAATCATATAGATTGAGCTGTTCGTTTAGTACAAGACCCGACCGCTTGGCCCGTTGTTGGAATACAAGGAGGGTGGTGATGATGAAGCTGGCACCAAAGGGCATCAAAATGGCGAACATACCGATTCCCCAGCGCCAGCCAATACCATCAACGACGCTCTGAACAATAAAGGCAGACACCCAAGGGATGATGAGAAACGGGACGTAGAGGATATTGTAGGCGAAACCTCTCCAACGCATTGAGGATAGATCCGAGACGATGGTGGCATTGAGAAAGGATGTGCCGGCTTGTCCGATGGAATAGAGGATATAACCACCTGCGTAGGTGCTGAACGTTTTGGAGGATGCGCAGAGGATGTAAGAAACCACGTAGCAGGTAACGGCGAAAACATAGGCTTCGCCGCGTCCAATGACATCGGAAACCTTAGCAATTGGGGGTTTGGTGATGGCGGATATGATGCTTGCTGCGGTGTTCAACGTAGCCAATTCAGCAAGCGCATCGAATTCAGACGTTGCGAAGTTGCGGTAAGTTCCCACGGTCGAGTTGTCCAACTCACTATAATACACGCTTCGGTTAAATACTGCTACAACTGTAGAAGAACAGGTGCCTTACTATATGACCATCATCATCGCCAGTCTGAAGAAGATGAGCACGTATACTGGAATCGGGACATGTTATACGTACCCCACATACAGTAAGTACCTGCCTTTGCGGCCACTCACTGCCTCAGCGGCTTGGATCTTTGCCGCCCCGGTTCCATCTGGGGCCGTGGCACTCGATTCCTGAACGGTGACATCGATTGTGTTGTTCTTCTCATTATCAGTGGTCATAGGTCCAGGGACCTTTTCCCGTCTTTGCGACGGACGGAAAAATCTGCTCCAGCCAGCCATTGTGTAGATGCGATTACTAGGGGACGGATGTCTGTTGGGCGGATCACATCAGGTATGTATGCTTTTCGTTGCGCAAGCGACGGATCAAGATAACCGGGATCAAACCGAGTGTCGAGTGACCAAGCTCACTAGTGCGAACGACTCGGCTCACTTATCTCCATCCCTGGTCATCAAATGCGGGGCGTTAGCAAAGTGGATTCACCCCGGTATTACGGCCGAATGGCGTTATCAACCGCCATACACGACCATTGACGCACCTCAGACTGGTTATGGGCCGATAGGTGGAGGATGGATGGATAAATGAGTGAAGCAGGAGATGGTGGACAGTCGAAAAGATCGACATGACGAAGGCATCAGCTAACGTGACTATCGCCCGGTGGGGGGATGCCAATCCATAACCCCGAGAGCGACTCGAAACGCCTTGGCCAGCAAGGGCGAGGAGCCTGGAGCAGCCACTGAGTCTGCCGATCCGTCTGAAGATCGACCACTATAGGCCGGACCAAGTCACCAGAATGACAAACATTCTCGGGTGCAGCAGGACTAAAATGATGGAAGAATGTGACAATTCCTGGTGGCCACTTCTGATAAGAGCTGCACTAGTCGACATGATCCTGCGGGGGATGGCAGCACCTCCCAACAAACATCACCTCCGCAAATCGGCGAAGAGACAGCTGTCGACCAAGTCGCTTCTACCATCGGAATATAATGTGACGTTGTGCTTCTGCCAATAATCCTACTGATCAGACCAAGGAGAAGATGAAAAGATACCCCGTACTCTGTACTCATTACCTAGATGGAAGAGTAAAGATGGGCTGCGGAGTGGAGAGGCTGGCACTTTCCCCCACTAGGAAACTGTTAAGGGGAACTAATTGACTCGTCGCAGCACGTGACCCACGCGACGCGTTTTATCCAAGCGGGACTTTACAGCTCAAATTCGGCTCAAATTTTTCCTTTTGGGGTCCTGACAACATGCTGCTATCATCTTACACTGGCTTATTGTCTAAGAAACAGTCTGCAACTTTTCCACCCACAATATTGCCTCTCTACTGATAGGTTTTACGTCATGGCGGATCTATTGGTCCTGGTCTCCGACACGGACGACGCGATCAATAGGGAGTTCGATCAATTGAAGGACGAACTGAAAAAAGGTCCGACGACAACGCGCTCTACTGCGACTACGAAACCAGCTTGCCCGTGAGCAACGATTGCTAGCCCGAGATCAACAGCATCAGCGTGCGCTCCGCCCCCGATCCCCGAACGAAGTCGCTAGCGCTCCCAACCCACCGTTGGCGACCATCATCACCAGACCTTCCTTCGCCGATTACAGTGCCGACGATGTACTAGCGCGGGGAATTAAACGATCCTACTCCGAGGAAGCGGAAGATTTCCCTCAGGGCGAGCCTCCTTCCCTTGCGCTTGGTCCAATATTTCACGAATCTCCCCAGGCGGACTTGCAGGAGGCTATTTCGCGTCTGGAAGAACATTTCGCGCAATGGGGGCACTATTACTACTCAGATGAGCGCAAGATAATGGAGGGGCGTCGCCATATGTCGATCCTTCTGTTGGACAAGTGGACTGAGCATGTCATGTCAAATCCGGGGTTACATACATGGCATGGCTTCCGCAGCTTCGTCCTGCATCGTGAAGTTAAGAGTCTTGGTTCAGAGGAGGCTGCGCGACGATACGATCGCGCGTTTCAGAAACCGACGCAGTCTGTGAGAGATCACGCCAGCCATCTGACCCAGCTGGAGCACGAGATGGGGGTCGTCTTCGACGATGATGAACGCATTCTTAAGCTCTATGATACCATTCTTCCGGAGGTGCGGGCAATAGCGGATCATCCTCGATGGCACCAAAGTGACTTTCGCGCATGGGTCAAAAGGTTAAGCGCAGTGGAGCTCCAAATCCCCTGTCGGTATCAAGTGATTGGCAGGAAGTTGGAGATGCAGAGAAAGCGGCGTCGGATCTGATGATGAGGCGATTGCCAAGTGCATTGTATATATCGTTATTTATCTATGCTATGGTTGAGTGGACAGGATACCACTGGCTACCTATCTGCATTTGGGAGATAACGGCGTCCACCAATGATCTCTTGGTTGGTGCCGACTAGTTCCCGAAAAAGTTGCTGCTAAGCGATAAACGGAAGGCCCAAAGACCGGCCAGCAATGCAAGGGATCACGGGCCACCAGCGCTGATCGCCTGCTGGCTTTCTTTTTCCACTCTTCCTCTCGCCGTACGCAGCTGATCCTGGCCAGCTGAATCCATCCCCCACTTCGTGATTATTGCCAATCCCTCCGTCTTAATTCGTCGTCGATCATCACTCTGCAGATGCTGCCCCTCGACTATCACTTCCAGCTGGGTTACATGTCAGCCTGCCCAATATCTTGGGCGGGGCATGATCCAGCCTGCACTTAACTTGCGGGTACTCCTTGACAGCCTCCTCCAGACGCCTGCGTGCTATGGTATGGAAGTGGATATCGTGGGTTGTTCCAGAACAAAGGACACATGGAATCCTTCAAATCTTCTAGCTTCACCACACACCCAAACCCCCATGTAGCATCTGCAAACCGACGACCATGGTGGGAGGTGACCCATGGCATGGTAATCGCTTTGATAACTCTGGCAGGACTCGCATGGTGGGCATTGCCTTTCCATGTTGGGGCGACCAGTGAGGGTATCGTTCTCTCGAAGGGGGAATTTAGTTGGGATCAGGTGCGTTACTTGTATTCGTCACGACAGCATCTAACACTGCACCAGATTACCCCTTCCCAGTCACTCGCGTACCACGACTGCTTCGATGGGTTCCAATGCGCCCGTCTCGAAGTCCCAATGGACTACAACCGATCCGATGGTCAAGGACGACGCTTTGCGATCGCCATCACTCGGCTTCCAGCGAAGGTTCCGGTGACAGATCCACGGTACGGTGGCGCAATCTTGATCAATCCAGGTATATCCGCTCCTGTCTGTGCCATAGATGCCGATTAATTGTGGATGCCAGGTGGCCCCGGTGGCTCGGGTGTAGCCCAGGTTATAAATGGTGGCAGAACTCTGCAAATTACTGTGGATGCGGAAACCGACCCGAATGTCGAGGATGCAGAAAAGCTTTCGCGGGACAAGTACTTCGATATCATCGGATTCGATCCCCGTGGCGTCAATAACACGACTCCAGGGTTCAGCTGTTTCCCGAATCTGTTTTCCCAGCGAAACTGGGAGCTGCAGGTGGCGGCAGAAGGCATGTTGGGAAGCTCGGAAGTTGCGTTTTGGCGGACCTGGGATCGTGCGATCGCCCTCAATACAGGATGCTCCGCCAGCTTGACCACGCCGCCGAGGGATGGAGACGAAGCCTTGGGCGAGCATCTCAATACGCCCCCTGTCGCTAGAGATATGCTGGAGATTGTCGAGCGACATGGCGAATGGCGTGAGAGACAAGGTCTAGCGAGACAGCATCAACACGACCGTCTTCATGGCTACGATCGGGGACAGAGTTTAGTGGCGCGGACGAGATGGAACCGGGGACAGGAAAAGCTTCTGTATTGGGGCCGGTCGTACGGGACCATCCTAGGTTCCACGTTTGCAACTCTGTTCCCCGATCGCATTCATCGGGTTATCCTGGATGCTGTGGTTGATGCTGACAAGTACTATTTGGGCGACGGGCCCAACCCTGTCGAGGATGCTGATGCCATTTTCGATCGGTTTACGCAATACTGTAGCACGGTCGGGCCGGACGACTGTCCCTTCTGGGTCCAGGGTGGCCCAGCCGCCATTAAGGAGGCCTACCTGGCCCTGGAAGACACTCTTTACAACCGATCCCTGCCAGTTCGCTCATCGGCCACACGGGGCCCGGAAGTCGTGACCTGGAGTGATTTGAAGATCATCCTGCGGATTGCCATGTACCAGCCGCTTCAAGGATTTCCTCTGCTAGCAAAGTTTGCGAGCGAGCTGGCCAAGGGTAATGGCTCTGCCCTGGCCGACCTGAAACATGGCGGTCGCTCACCGTCGTGCCCTTCGAGCCGGTGTCTTCAAGCCGGACCATGGTCCGCTGAATGTCAGGTTACGGGGCACAACGAAGCATATTCGAGCGCGGCTATCCTCTGTGCAGATGCGGAGTATTTGCAAAGTACCGGGGAAGAGGAGTTCCGAAGTAACTGGGAGACTTTGCGAGAGGATAGTTCCATGGTCGGTGACTACTGGGCTGGGCTTCTGATGAGCTGCGTGGGGTGGGATCTGAAGCCTAAGTGGAAGCTCACAGGTATGATCCATCATCAATTTGTCTTTCTTGTCGCTGAGCTCTTAGGAACCTTTGCGGCCAACACGTCTCATCCACTGCTATTCGTAAGCAATACGCTCGATCCGGTGACTCCGCTGCGGAGGTAATTCTCCCTCCCTGCTTTGCGACCCTTGCTAATTGCGCAGTGCCCGCAAAATGACCCGAAAGTTTCCTGGTTCGGTGCTCTTGCAGCAGGACTCTGAAGGCGTAAGTTCTGTGACACCTCGGATAGTATTCGGCTCGTCTAACTGGCTAGCATTCGACCCTTGCCGCGCCGTCGGTGTGTGTACATATAGAGATCCGCAAATACTTTCAGACGGGCGAGTTGCCGCCTCCAGAGACGGTCTGCAAGGCCGACCTCAAGCCTTTGTTGGGCGCATCGCCGATGATTCAGGAGAGAAGCGCAGGAGAGCAGAAACTGTATGACGCGCTGATGGAGGAAGCGCAACGAATGCCGATAGCGCGATTACCGCTGTAGAATCTCGATGTTGTTTGTCTCCTGTGTTGGGAATGGCTCAATGAGAACAGACTTGACTAGACTTAGAACCACCTACGCGCGGTCAATCAATGGTTTGATCAAAGAACATTGGACATCTGCACCTGCTGAAGTGGGGTTGAAGCCAACCACTGATTGTCGGCCACAAATCCGAGGGCGATAAGCCGCGATAGCCAGTGGCCTTGCAGCCTCGGTCTTAAGCCCGTCGGTTACCACAGCCTGCCTTTGGTTGGTCCGACCCCGCCATGCCGATCAGATAAGGTCAGCCAGGCCCTCTCCTCATCCCTGAGCTGGCCTCCCTTCATCCCTCAACTATCCATTTCGTCCCAGTCATCCAATACACCTGCATTACACCATGGCCCCTCCCATTGAAACAGAAACCACCATATCCTCGCCACTCACCCTCCAAACCCGCCAATCCACGCAGGAGACGGCCGCCGAAACTGCCAAAGTGAAGAACGCCCCCGGCAAGTTCCCGCGGCCTCCCGTCTTCGAGGACAAATACAAAGAGCGCGAATACCTCAAGGGGCGTCTGGCTGCGGCATTCCGCATTTTCGGGAAGAATGGCTACGACGAAGGTACAGCCTCCTCCCATGTATCTCGCGGTATAGGAACTAACACATTGCAGGCGTGGCAGGACACATCACCCTCCGCGACCCGGTCGATCCCACCACCTTCTGGGTGAACCCATTCGGCGTAGCGTTCTCACAAATCAAAGCATCCGACTTGATCCAAGTGAGCCACAGTGGGGAGATCATCGACGGAGGACCGGTTCGGCTACTCAATGCAGCAGCCTTTATGATTCACTCTGCTATCCACGCTGCTCGACCGGATGTGCTCTGCGCCGCGCATAGTCACAGTATCCATGGACGGACGTTTTGTACGCTAGGACGACCGCTGGATATCACTACGCAGGATGCGTGCATGTTCTACAATGTATTCCCCCCTCCCGTACCTAGAGGCAGTCCAATCACTAACAGACCAGGACCACGTTGTCTACAAACAATTCAACGGGATTGTCCTCGCCGAGGAAGAAGGAAAGAACATCGCCCAGGCACTAGGCTCCAAAAAGGCTGCGTTGCTGCAGAACCATGGGCTCCTGACAGTCGGGAAGACCATCGAGGAGACGGTGTTCTGGTTCGTCAGTCTGGAAAAGTGCTGCTATACGCAGTTGATGGCGGATGCGGCGGCGGCCGGACGGGGTGGGCAGACAGTCAAGGTGGATGAGGCTGATGCAGCGTTTACATACAAGTCGATTGGTGGGTCGATGGCAGGGTATTTCAGCGCGAAGCCAATGTTTGATGTGATCCACGAGGAGACGGGGGGGAAGTATTTGAACTGATGCTGCTATATCATCATCACCCACCCTACCATACCATAATCAATTCATATCCATCTAATTCCTTATTTACTTACTCCCTCTTCTCTCTCCCCTCCAACACCCCCCTCACGTCCCCCCATTAATCGCCGTCAACGGCTCCCCACTCACCTCTCCATCCTCCCCCACCACAGCCAAAATATTCTCCATCGCCAACCTTTCAAACTCCATCCTCGTCTCCACCACCCCACCCCCAACATGCGTCGTCAACGTGACATTCTCCATCCCCACCAGTCTCTCATCAACCACCGGTTCAGACTCATGCACGTCCAACCCCGCCGCACTCACCTTTCCCCTCTGCAACGCCTCCACCAAATCCCCCTCAACCACCACTCCCCCCCTCGCCACATTCACCACCCTCACCCCATCCTTCATCCACCCTATCTTCTCCCTATCAATCAGCCCCTTTGTCCCGGGATTTAAATCACAATGCACAGAAACCACATCCGCTACCTCGAGTACCCCCCGTAACCCCCCGCCCCATCTCACACCCATCTCCTGCTCCCGTTCCTCACCACCGTCTAACCGCACCTTGTCGAAATAAACGACCTCCATACCTAATCCCTTCCGAGCCTTCTTTGCCACTAACGCCCCAATCCTACCTAATCCAATCAACCCGAGTACTTTCCCCCTAGGGTTATTTGAAATACCCGCTAAATTCCTATGACAGTCTAAAAATCTAGCTGGATCGCCCGAGCGCGCAGCTATCTGCGACGCCGTGAAATGTCGAAATACAGACAATATCATGTAGAGGGTTGTATCTGCGACGGCTTCATCGGATGCACCTGCGCCGTTGGTGTAGTAGATTCCGCGCTCTGTGAGGGACGGGATTGAGACGGTGTCGTAGCCGGCGCCGGCGGAGGAGAAGATTCTCATGCTGGGGGGTAGGAGGGAGATGAGGTGGGGGTCCCAAGGGGACATTTCGTTGCCGGAGGCGAAGTGGGGACGTAGGAGGGCGGTGATGGAGCCGTATCTAGTTCATTTCCTTATTGTTATTATCTTTGGTTTGGGGGGGTTGGGGGTAGGGGTTGAGAGGGGATTGGGGAAAGGTACTTGTTGGATTTCAGTGCCTCGATAAAGGATTCCCGGGTGAGGTCTTCGTTTCGGATGATGGTGAAGCGTTCGGAGAAGGGCCCGTTGTAGAGATCGTGGTTGTAGGCGATGGGGTCGCCGAGGTGGAGGACGATGGGTTTGGGCATTTTGGGTGTTGGTGTTGGTTTTGGTGTTGTGGTGATGTGGTGATGATTGATGGGTTGAGTAGTTGATGGGGGTGGATGAGTGAGGTTTTAGGATAGTTTCCCCGCATTTCACGCATGCGTGAATAGTTGCAGGCGGATAATTCTCCGATACGGACTTGTTTCCCCTCTTGGCTGTCGTCAGCTATGGCTAGGTTGGCTTGCTTGTTGGTAAGTCTGGAAATGTACTCGTATGATCGCATGAATATTTTTTTGACTGGTATAGTTCTACTGTCTCCCGGCCTATAGCTGGGCCGAGCAATGGAACAAATGTTGCGATAGAGAATGAGTGACCGCGCTGTTCTAGTCGCCGACAATCTGTGAGCACTAGATTTGTTACCTATGCTTCGTTAGCTTGGCAGAGAACCAGAAATTCATCCACGGGGATTTCTGACCTGGAGGGAGTCGCTCTGGTGGGCTCGATATCGCTATCCATGGCATCTGGACGCTTGACTGCTATTCTACCGCGCTCGGTGTTTTGTGATCCTGCCATTGGGACTGTAGCAGGCAGTGAATCAGGAGGGGGTGAAGACACGGGGATAAAAGCAAAAGACTGATTAACCAGATTCTCCCCGGTTCTTGTCTTCCAAAGTCCCACAAACCACAATCAACCATTTTATCGTCCCTGAATCCCGGAGGTCAGTTGAAATTTTCGGATCTATCCTGATGGGCCTTCATTGTAGGTATATGGTGCAAATGCGTCGGTTGATGGTATGGAGTTCATGAGACAGCAGGAATGTATAGACCGGACTATCGCTCATCAGGCTTCGAACAAGGAGTTCGGACATGGTTGCCTTGGACGTTAAATTGATCGCGGAGGCCCACTCCCCATGTGTAGAAACTAGAAAGGCTGTGGCATTGGTGATAGCTAGGCAGGGAAGTCCGTGGCGATCGGAGTAGATATCCGGTGGTTGCAAGATTGGTGAAAGGAACAGGGTCTTCCGGCACCTTAGACAAGATTATAGGAAGAGGCAATGTTAGGCAACTTTTCAAGGTACATAAAGGAACAGTGGTGAGGTATGAAACTCATCATACCTGTGATTCTTGTTCAAGGTCTGGTGTTGTTGTAGCTTGGTTGTTTGTATGTTGGAGGGACAAAAGTGGAGAAGATCCGCGAAGATCTGGTGAAAGGCAAAAAGCAAAAAGAATGACCTACGCAGGATTCGAACCTGCAATCTCTTGATCCGTAGTCAAGCGCCTTACCATTGGGCCAGCAGGCCTGCTTGTTAAAAAAGGCATCAATTATTGATAATATAACCCAAAGTCTATGACTAAAAAAGGCTGTGGTTGTCGCCGCGGTCGTGCCTGTGAAATTGGTCGACGATGCCCGACCGGCAGAACACCCTATCGGGTGTTTTTTTCTATTAGAAGCATCTGTCACTTAATCTTATTTACAGGAGCTGTAATTACTTGTGCTTAGGGAAGTTTGGAAATTCTCCCATCTAATGATCTGCATCGAGCAGGTATATATTCCGGGGCTGGCCCGCACAGCATATCCTCATGTCCATCCATAACACGTTTCGAGTGGCAAAGCAATTTAGGTAGACTCCGACCTTCTAGCGGACTCCACATCAAGTACCATCGAAGTACCGTATAGCCAAGGTAGAAGACAAGTAGGCAACAGCTCAGTCCACTTCAGCACAAGCACATTCCTACGATTAGCGTTGCGGGGTCGCCAAGGATCCGGGGTGATCATGCAACGACCCCTTCGCAGCCATCTGACTGGTCATACCGGGCGGGGTAGTCGAAGTTTACTGCGAGGCCAGCCAGACACCGCAGCTTTACAACCCAATGGCCATCGTGCACAATCGATAGTCCCCCTCCATGACAGTGCCGTCCTCACGGAAGTCATCCTTAGTACCGGATGGGTCGGAGGAGTGCTGAAAGAACTTTATTGCGCTGGGAAATCTGGGGTATGGTCCACTTGCTACCACAGGATGATGGGAGCTCAACTAAGCTCTCGTCTAGAATGCCATCTAGATCTAGGTAGCGGCCATGAAATGGACGGCATCGCAAAAGGGACTTGACTAAGTAGAAAGAGGTGATGTGATCAGCCCATGCCGACAGTGACTGACTCTGGCTGGACCAGCCGCTGACGCAGTGTGGTGTGATCCAATGGGTTTGAGGTAGATTGACTGAGCTGGCTGTACGACGAATCCCTGTCGCGTGTACTGCAGCGTATGGATGCTGGCCAAAAACCAAACAAATACACGGCAGACTCCCCGGTGCAGATGAGATCACGAGTGCCGCCCCTGGCTAGGCAAGATAGTAGGGTGCCCCTCACTAGTAGTATCTAATGATGTATTGTGGTCATTTCACTGTGCTAGATACATGATCATATTGGCCCATGCCAGCCGAAACACGTAAACTCCGTCATGTCATCCTGCTGAAATCCCGTCCGTCCAAAGTACCAGACCCTAGAAGGTAACAAAAGAAATTATGCGAAAGGAATGGTGGATGAAGATCGCTGTCACGGACAGTCCCCCTCTATTATTTGATGGCCCCTCAAGCTCCAATAGCGGTAGTTGGACACGCTCCCTCGGCCGAATTCACTTCAAGTGACGCATATACCGCAGTGTCAAATAAACCGCGCTCGCTGTGGTGTAGGCAGCGCCTCCTGCGGCAATCCAGACCGGTCTGTGAACGCTAAAGGAGGTCGACAGAACCTGTGCCCTTCTTCTGCGCTTCTCTGAACGGGCTGTTAGGATGGCCTTTTGCCCGAAAGCCGATGAAGCCTACCTGTGGTCAAGAATCTATTTCTCAAAGTAGCAAGCTGCTGTCTAGAATAGGCACCGAAGGATGAGCCCACGGACGAGAGGCCTTGCATAGCAGGGGTCGACATCTTGAAGGAGTTTATTGAGAACTTTGCGAAGAGAACGAGTAGATGGTGAGATCTTGACACTGACGAGAGCCACGGACGAGTTGAGGGTGTTTCTCTCTGTGCAATGCTGGGTGACACAAGGTTTATATGTCTCTTCGTGACCTGGATGCGGGGTAGTCACAGGATAAGGGCTGCCCCCAGCAACAGCTGGCTCGACCTCTCGTCATCCCTGTCTTTGTTGATCCGTGTCGTAGGTTACATCCTGGAGGGTGGTGATTGGAGGTCATTGTTGGGCCTGCCTGGTGTTGGCGCACCTCGCCCCTGGAACGGGCGTGAGCTATCATCGAGCCCAAAGTGCAATACCGACTAAGCGACCAAGTACACCCCAGGTACAACCGCCGACACCGCGATTCACTCTGATAGGACATCCCCATATTGAATGGTATGTGAGTGGCGTTGTTAATGATTAGGACCTCGCAGCCCAAGCAAGAAGTACCGTGAAGAGCCTTATGCTTTCCGCAGCACGGCTGGACGAAGAGACGGATGCTATTACCTGCCGACATACAAGGAAGACCCTAATGGTCTGATTGAGTTCAGAGCATGACACCGACAAGAAATTCTCCCACAGTAGATTCACTTGCCTGTTTTATGAGGGCCTAGACAGAGCTACCATACCCAGACTAGGCCTTGACTTTGACCATGCCATGGCAGCAATGCTTGCATCCTGCTACTGTAGGTTGAGCTGATCACCGGCTCATTTTCCTGCCAGCGGATTCAGGTGGCGAAGCAGCCAGCATCGTATCCATTTTGCTAGTATGTACAAGCAGACAACCATTCACTTTCAAAGTACTGAGATGAGACCCGTCCCAGCCCTCTTTTATGACTAAGGGCAGAATGGCAAGGGCTTAGTTTGTACCAACTTCTTTTGGGTCTCTTTTTCTGGAATTCTCATTTGAACCCGCCAATACAGATTCCTTGTGCATAGCTACCTGAATAGGTTCTGGAGAAGAAAGCCTTCTCACAACCATTTAAATCATTCGCCGTTCTAGCAGTGTTTGATTCCAATAATATACCACAGAATATGTCATGTTCAACAAGTCCCTGTCCAAATCTTCGACTTCTTAGATGATATGTATGGGGTCAACTTCTTCCACTATACGAGTGGATTTGTTCCCAGAATGCAAGTTGCACATTCTGTGCACCGCGCACATCCAGAAATCTGCCAATTTGGGTACTATTCCCAATAACATGAAATGCTTTCTGATGGAATGTGGTGTCGCACATATTTCCTTTGTTCCCGCGAGTTGGCGACTTACCGCAAGCGTCGTGGTACCTCCGCTTTATGCACGATGTCCCATTCAGAGATCATTATCACGGACTGGAAGCTATAGATACATCGCTGGGTGAATCGGATTTGGAATCCCTTTTTGCTCCCTCAGATTGTTATCGGTCGTGAGCTCCTTCAGGTCGATCGTTTCCAGTATACCTGACGTTACATGTGAGCGATGACAGAATTATGCGTGATCAGATGACACCGTCTCCGCAAAGAATATGGAACCGGATGAATTGGGCTTAGAAGTTTCTTTCTGATACCTCAATGCACCAGGCAAGGCTGGATCGAGGTTCAATACGCAGCTACGGCACTGTCAGGGAACAATGAAACCGAAAAGAGGGGATATCCAGAAGCTGACATCAGCATTACATGCGGTTCTCGCATCTCCATGACATTAGAGACGGCAAGATCTAGGTCAGCATAGATCAAATCCTAAAACAAACTTTCCATTCTTTGCTGACAATATTGACGCCGTTCAGCTGTCACTCCTGGCTAGCAATGAGGGGTTCCACGCTGATTGTTGCAGTCAGTCCGCCTCATTCGCGAGCATCCATCAACGAACTCTGATCTGCAATGGCACCACACACCCGATGCAATTTAAGCACAAGGCACTTTGAACTTGATAACAGACTGAATATCAGAGAAATGCCTCTGGAATGGGGGGACGAAAGTGGAAAGCAGACGGATAATAATGTGGGCCGATAAGATAATCCGCACGTGACCGCAATCTTATCCGCCCGTCGAAAGAAAGTTTTGGTCGAGTTTCCTGTCTGCTGTCGCGCAAACCATGGCTGCCCCGCCAAATGTGAGAACCTACACTAAACTTGCAGGTACCCCCGATTATGATGACCCGACCTTCTGGGATACCAAGTTTGCCACTGGTCGGGATGTCGGGGAGTGGCTGAATTCCGGTGAAATGCTCATCGACGCGGTCGTGTCCCACCTGGAGAGTCGCTCGGCAACAGACACAAACGCAAGAGTCTTGCATCTGGGGCCCGGCATTTCAAAGCTGGGGGCCAAACTTTGCGATGAATTCATGAATCGCAATTGGGCGGGAAATGGTATCGTGGTATGTACTTAGTGGGTTGAGCATTGGAGCAATTACTGACCCATTTTCTCCTCACAGAACGTTGACTTCTCCGCCGAAGCCGTTCGCATCGGGCAAGAAATCGAGGATGGAAAGGATCACTTACATGCGATGCACTGGCTGCAAGCTGACTTGCGGTCTTGGGCTGATGTGTCTAGATTAGCTCCCCTCTCGCCATTTGACGTGATTCTCGACAAAAGCACAAGCGACGCGATCGCGACATCCACGCCCGTTACATTCCCTCCATCCTCCGACGCATCGAGCACATGCCCGACGGTACAGCAAATTGTGGAGAAAAATGGAGAGACAGTGTTGTCGCCAGTAGAGTTATTGGCGTTACATCTCGTTCCCTTGACGCAGAAAGGAGCCGTCTGGGTCACTCTTTCCTATTCGACCATGCGCTTCGATGATCTACATTATATGGCACAATACTGGACTGTCGTATCCCGGAAACCTTTCAAAGCACCGCAGGGAAAGACCTCGTCGTTTGCTTATGCGCCCGAAGTTTTCCACTGGATGTATATTCTGCAACGCAAGTGAGACACTCCTGCAGTATCTGCAGTATCGTGATATACGACTAGGATTAGCCCAGATCACCGGACGAAGGCACAAGAAACGGCAGCAGCAGGTATTTGGACTGGAATATATCCCACAGGGTTCTCGCCAATAGCGCCAATGCGCGATCGAGATGAAAATCGTACGCCGGAGGGAGTGGTAGCATGGTAAGTCACCTGTGTTCCATGCGCCGCCTACTGTGCTGCACTCCTTTCATGCCATCAGTAAGGAAATCGATAGTATATAGCCATATGAGGCTTGAGTAGAACTCCAGCACTGGCAAAGTGAAGGGGTTGAGCCGTTGTGGGTCAATCTAGGAAAACAGTAAGTTCCTTTTCAACAGTAGTTCACCGTATGCGCCGCGAGAAGATTCCCCATCAATCAATAATGACTACTGTCTTAAACGTTCCTCAATGTTGATCGCATCTAGTGTATCGCGAGCGCATGCAGCGGTATCCAAGAGGCTTGCGCTGAAAGCTAGAAACCGGAGCCAAAGCTTACAGCAAGCTCGCACAATCAATGCGATGAAACATTATTGTTTTAGCAAATGCTACGGGAGATGTGAGATGCTCTGGTGCGATTAAAGACTAGCTCATTCTGGAAGATACAGATCGCAAAGTAAGACCTGTCGCGTCTTTGAAGCTCGCCACCAGTGTGTAATCTGCCTCTCATCAAGACAATTGGGAAAGCTGCTACGCATCACTCAGTTTTTAGCCCGGGCCAGTTCTTCCTTTTCAGCACTGTCCAACAATCCCAAACTCTCCCTCCGAGTCGGGGCATTTGGATCGAAGAAGGGCTTCTCCGCAAGCGATGTGACTCGTGTGCCATGTCTAGGCTCGGTGCCCTCGTAGTCCCAGCTGGCATTGTGAATGGTAATTCTGTTGTAAGTCAGTGATATAGGCCGCGTTAGCATGGTGACGAGTTACTGACCGGTTATCCCACAGGGCGCTTGTTTTCGGGCTCCACTTGAAGCGAACCTGTATGTCGATGTTTTTCTCATAAACGTCACACAGATATCCCAAGATGACATCACTCTCCGCCTTATCAAGACCGACAATACGGTCCGTCATTGCTCGGTTCACCCAGAGTGCTTTCCATCCCGTAGCGGGATGGACGCGGACAAGCGGATGCTCACGCTCAACGTACTTTGGACCTTCCTCAGGGTGGTCGCGATCTAGATAAGGATGGGCGGATCGGTAGATGGCGGTCTTACCGTCGATGATCTTACGAAACTCGGGGGACAGCTTCTCATAAGCCGCATAGCCGCTGGCCCAGAGCGTGTCTCCGCCGATGCTCGGGATGGTGTCGTTATGCAGATGCGTCACACCGGCAGGCTGACGCTCGTGGACAAGGTCAGTATGCCAACGAGAGGCCCCTCCAGGGCGACGGAAGTCAGCGGGACGTTCCTTTGCCTGGAGAGCGGGCCAAATGACCGTCACACCGGGGACGCCAGGCACCTGAGGGACTTGTGGCTGAACAAGGACGAGACCTTAGTATACAATGCCTCTTCAGCTGTCAAGGAGAGGCTTGGTGGGCTTACATGAACCTCAATCTCACCAAACCATTCGCCCAGCGCCTTTTGCTGCTGGGGAGAGATATCTTGGTCCCTGAAGAAGACAACACTCCGTTCAGCAATCAACAAACCCAACTCATCCTTCTGCTGGTCGGTCAGGTCTTTCAATTGCAGCCCCACGATCTCTGTTCCAATGTGTCTGGTCAGATGGATGACCTCTTTCGCTGCCGATAAGAGTGCCTTCTTTTCTGGGTCCGCACGGGTGCCTGGGTCCACATGTGGCCGGTCATAGTCGCGGATCTTGTAGACGTCGTCTCTATACAACGGACGGGATGGACGGTAGGGATAACCTCCCGACAGGTCTATTCCGGCCTTCTCAAGGCGCTCCCGAGACGCTGGTGGAAGCGGAAGGGTTTGCTTCAGAGGTTCGGCGACATCAACAATTCTGGGGTCAATGGGAGCTGGAGCCATAGTGCTCGATATGAACTATAAGTTTGACTAGAGCGATAAAGTTTCCGATTCGGCTCTCAGGGCTCAAGTGCCATATTTCTATGACGAGATTCGCGAGTTTGGGGTTCAATTCCCCTCACCCATTCGTATCGTGATGCGGGTTCCGATCACATCATCACCAGCCATCATTGCGCCTTTCGCATCCCACCTCCAAGAATATAATGTTGAACGGATGTCGCGGCATTCGCTCGTGTTGACCCCTCTTTTCTTTGGTTCCCCTCATTTTGATAACTCCTTATCTCCGTTCACTCCAGCGATCCAAACCCCACCGTCCATTAACGGCCAAGCCAGAGGACATCATCCAGGGATGCGATGGTCTCATCGTTTATTCTTAAGCCATTGATAATCATCGAACATATTATACGTCCGGAGGACCCTCTTAGCCAGACGTTGCAGCTCTAGTGGCTCGTCTCGAGATACTGTCTGACATGACAGGCTGCGGCTCGCTCCTCGCCTAGTAGCGTCGCTATTACACCACACTTGACTAACATAACGTTACCTTATGGCCCCATAGCTATCCCCATCTTCAGCAGCATATGAGACGGCTCGATCTCACACAATGACACCTCTTACGTTACGCCGATATCGTTGTAATTGGCACGGGCAGAGTCAACAAACATCACCATGACCCGTCGGATCCAGCGAGTGGCCGTGATCGGTGCCGGAATTAGTGGCGTCGTGTCTGCAGCCCACCTTATGGCGCATGGGATCGATGTGACTGTTTTCGAGCGGAATCATGCAGCAGGCGGCGTTTGGTAATCCCTGATCGTGCCCAGTGTCAAGCTAATGAGTTCTAACGACTGATCCAGGCTCCACGATGAAAGAAAGCCACTTGAACCAAATTACCCCTCGATAAACCCCTCTGTGTCAGAGAAGCATCGGGAGGATGCCCAACAAGAGGACTCATTGTTGTTGGAGCACGCTCCACCTGGGTGTGTGGTCTCCATATTATGGTTCTTTAGAGGATAGCTTACAATTCCAGGCCGTGCTATGATGGACTTAAGAACAACGTGGCCACGTCGCTGATGAGGGTCAAGCTCAACGCCTGGCCAGAAGGAACCCCGGAGTTTGTCAGTCACACCGTGATGAAAGAGTACATCCAGGATACTTCGAAGAAAGCTGGGGCCGACAGTGTTACATTGTATGGAGCTCGTGTGAACAGGCTACGCAAGGATGAGCAAAAATGGCATGTTACCTGGTCAACGTTGACAGAAAACGATCAACCAGGAAGACTCGAGGGCCGGGAGGAGAGCGCCGTAAGTTGATATCCTTGGTGGTGAATGAATTAATAACCTGAACGTGGCTAGATATTCGATGCGGTCATAGTTGCTTCTGGTCACTATCATGCGCCCCGTGTCCCAGATGTACCTGGCCTGTCAAAAGCGAAAACACAATGGCCGTCGCGTATAATCCACTCAAAGGGATACAGAAAACCGGATACCTATGCGGGAAAGGTAAGTAGTTTCTCTTCTTGTCTACCCTGGATCAGCGAATCAATGAGTCTCATATAATTCTTAGAATGTCCTACTCATCGGGGGTGGAGTCTCGTCAACAGACCTTGCACGAGAAATTGGACCTCTGGCCAAGAACGTTTACCAAAGCACACGTAACGGTGAATTCGATATTTCTTCCAGCATTCTTCCCGACAATGGTGTCAGAGTCAGCGAAATTGAACGCTTTGAGATCGAGTCACCGACAGTTGCTGATAACGAGCCTCTGCCCATGGTCATCCACTTGAGATCAGGACAGAAACTATGCGGAATCGATGCAGTCATAATCTGCACTGGATATCATATTACGCTGCCTTTTCTCTCGGAGTACCACGATGATACGACACCGGCAGAAAAAGCCAACGAGACGATCCTAGTGACGGATGGAACGCAGGTGCACAACCTGCACAAAGACATCTTCTATATTCCGGACCCGACGCTTGCATTCGTGGGAGTCCCATACTACACGGCCACTTTTACACTCTTCGAATTCCAGGCTATAGTTGTAGCGAATGTGTTTGCTGAGATCGCGGAGTTGCCCTCGAAAAGCGATATGAGAGATGAATACAATAGGAAGATCAAGGAGAAGGGCAGCGGGAAGCGGTTTCACTCACTCAAGGATGTAGAGGAGTTCTATGTCCTGGATTTGCTGGAGTGGATCAACGCCTTCAGGGAAAAGCACGGACTCCCTGTGATCGAAGGGCATTCGGATCACTGGCATGTGGTCAAAGCGGCGCAGAGGGAGCGAGTCCAGCTGCTGCTGGGGGCTGGTCGGAGGCGCGACAGCGGCATCGGGGAACTGCCAGCCTTGGAGGTATGCAGCTAAGCAGGCCATAGATCAGTTCGCATTTTAGTGTAGATGACACAATCCGAGACCACACATATCGCTCATGCCCGTCGGGACCCTAATCCAAGCTTATCAGGCGGGATCGGCATGACCCTAGCTCGCCGGCATCGCATGTCCAGGGCACATCATCCCAGATCTCGATGACGAGCTTCGGAGGTGGGATGAGCCACCACTCATTCTTCGCGCACCCACCATGCTGGCCCATCCCCGCACATCGGTCAACAGGATCATTATCTTTCGGTCATCATTCAATCCAACAGGTTTGATGTCCCCGCAGATATTGCGCGAACGCGGTAGATGATGATGCCTTGGTCTGGGCACACCTCTGTTCACGAGATGTCGCGTCAAAGCTAGTTCCAACAGAGACTTCCATCAAGCCAAAATCAGGGATAAATATGTCTGGCCTTCATGTGAAACTATACAGTGAGATGGCAAGTCATTGATCGTATTCTCTTCTCTCTACTACTCTGCCACCCCTCCTTTCCGACGGTACTTTCGACACCTTAGTCTAGACCGCGGTCATGGCCCCATCACCAGCCACCGTTGATGACAGAGCAGTCGACTCCTCAAGTGTCGTTCAGAAAAACCCGAAGCGAAAATGGGTTAGCTACCTCTGGGATACGTTTGACAAATCGCCCGAGGAGCGCAGACTGCTGTTCAAGCTGGATACGGCAATTCTGACGTTTGCATCGCTCGGTAGGTCAATGATTAGTTCAGCTAATGCTATACACACTAACCCTGCAATAAAGGTTACTTCATCAAGTATCTTGACCAAGTCAATATTAACAATGCCTTTGTTTCCGGAATGTTCGTATCTCGCAACCGTACATCTAGTCCATACTGACAATAACACAGGAAAGAGGACTTGGGCTTATATGGCAACCAGCTCAACTACATGCAAGCTTGCTGGACAGTCGGCTATGTCATCGGTGAAATCCCAAGTAATATGCTTCTGACGCGCATACGGCCCAGATACTGGATTCCAGCCATGGAGGTAGGCTTATCCTTTAAAGTGAGAAGGATACATCTGACCGTTTCAGTTACTATGGACGGTACTCACTTTCATCCTGTCGCGATCAACCAATGCTACTCATTTCTATGTCCTTCGCTTTTTCATTGGTACGTCAAGCTTTGCCGTAGTAATTCATCAACGCTAATGTGACCAGGACTGGCCGAGAGTAGTTTCTATCCCGGAATGCAATACATCATTGGATCGTGGTACCGGAAGGACGAACTTGCAAAGCGCTCATGTATATTCCACACCAGTAGTGGCATTGCGAGTATGTTCTCTGGGTATCTGATGGCTGGTGTGTATAATCTTGGAGGACGTGGAGGGCTCAAGGGTTGGCAATGGTATGTTGAGTCCTGTTCCCTTAATCCTATCATGTCTAACAGGATAGGCTCTTCATGATCGATGGAATCATTTCGATCCCTGTGGCAATCAGCGGGTTCTTCATTTTGCCTGATGTTCCCGAAATCTCGAATCCGTTTTATCTTAGCGAGGAGGTATGTGAACCTCAGCCATCTATATGATGACTGCTAAACTATCAACAGGAAGTGAAACTGGCGCAGAAACGGATGCAATTCGAAGGACGCAAGAATAGAGAGCCTTATACTAAAGCCAAACTGAAGAAGATCTTCTCATCGTGGCGTATCTACTTGCTTACGATTGTGTATATGTGAGTTTCACCATGTCTCAGAGATGCTAGCGATTGAGTCTGATTTCCTCAGTGCATTCAACAACGGAGCAGCTGGCAGTCAGCCTGTGTTCCAGCAGTAAGTATTCCTCTTACCCGGCGCCTCAGCAACGATGTCTAAAGTTGTGCAGGTACCTGAAAGACTCGACGAATCCGAAATATACCGTTGACCAGATCAACGCTTATCCAACAACTACAAATGCAGTCCAGGTCGTCACGACGCTCGTCTACGCATGTACGTATCTCGATTTTCAGCATCACACGACAAAGACTCACATTCAACAGGGACTTCCGACACAATCCTCAAAGGAAGACGATGGCCTTGCATCATTATCGGCGCCGTAAGCCCTCATCCCCACAAAACCATCCTCGAAAATACTAACGAGTGAAAGTGCATAAACATCATCTGCTACGTCTCTCTCGCCATATGGGACATTCCAACAGGATGGAAATGGACCTGCTATATCCTCTCCGGTGCCGGGTTCGGCCTGAGCGGTCTCTGCATGGCGTACGACCCCCTCTCTATTACCTTCTCTAAAGAAGACAACCTAACCCGAACAGATGGGCCCATGAGATCTGTACCGAAGACAACGAAGAACGCGCCCTTGTTGTTGGTAGCATGAACGAAATGGCCTACGTTTTCCAAGCCTGGCTCCCGCTGGTTGTCTGGCAGCAAGTCGACGGACCCCAGTACCGAAAGGGTTTCATCACCGTGACAATCATGTCCGTGATCTTGATTATCTCGACGATGGCTACGAGGAGCATGCAACACAGAGATGATGGGAGGAAGTAAGTCTCGTCCTTCCGAAGAGAAGCTTTGGGCCGGTTAGCTAATTGTGTCATTTAGGGCGAAATTGCTCCAGGGAGAAGGAGAGGGAAGTAGTGAAAGTGACCTGGGATCATCTAGAGAAGGTGAAGGGCCAGTGGAGGAGGAACAACATGTGCCGAAGCTCTAAAGGGACTATGAATGCAGGATATGAAGGGTTTGGTAGGATAACTTGTTATCAGCGATGATACAAAAGTGGATTGATTTTTATTTATACCCACAAATAGCTACGCGAGAAAAAAAGCCACGGATAGAAAGACCCATCGTGGACACCGACTGGAGCTACCCCGCATCGGGCAAGACCAATCACGGATTTACCCCCCCTGTCCTTCAGCTGATGATCTTTTCAATTCCCCGCCATCTCTCATCAGTTCCTCATGACACTACGGCGCAAGAGAAAAAGCCTAGCCCAATCACCTACTATCTACCTACTCACACTTTCCCATGGCCGACCCCCTTTCAATAATCGGATTCGTCATCCAGGCGATCGACGTTGCAAGTGAGGTATACCGATATGGGAAGGAGGTGAAGGACGCCCACAACGAGGTCCGAGAGCTGTTCGGAGAGCTCTTCGCCCTGAAAGCTATCCTCGAGCAAATAGACAAGAATCAGCAAGATGCGCTCGTCTGCGATTCTCATAACCCACAATCGATGTCTTCGAAATCGTTCCAGAACGCTTTGACGGAGGCCTCGACCGTCCTGAAAGAGATCCTCGATGATTTGGAGAGTAGGCGTGGGAAGGGGACATCTTTCTGGCGACACCTGGGATGGCCGGAAAGGAAGGCAAAGCTGATGGAAAATATTGCTAAGCTGGAAAGGCTGAAGACATATTTTATTTTGGCTATGATGAACGATAGATCGTAGGTCATAAGATCTTGGCTTAGAACTGGAGCTGACAGCAGGTATAGGATGGTGGAAAAGGAAATGGCATCATCAATTGATATACTGACGGACATGGGAAAAGAGATGCAATTGAACAATCAGCGTGTGTGTGAAGACCAAATTCTTTCCAACATCAGCTGATACCACTCTCTCTACGAGCTTAGGGGAACTACAGCAGAAAATCATCGACTGGATTTGTCCTGTCGACGTGGAATCAAACCACCGGAGAGCGCTGTCACTGCGCCAATCTGGTACCGGGCATTGGTTTATCAACGGGCCTTTTCGACAATGGTTTTCTGGGGCGGACGGGTTGAGATTCCTCTATCTCCAAGGTAGATGTGAGTTCTCATCCTAGCTACAACTGCAAGATTCTGTAGTAAGACGCAAGCTTTACAGCTGGATCGGGGAAAACTGTCCTCTGGTAAGTCTCGCTGCTTTCATATTGTGTCGCGTGGTCATGATACTGAGCATAGGCAGTGCGACAGCTATTGAAGAGGCGCAGAAGGTTGCCAGAACCATGAAACAAACTCAAGTTCACCTCATATACTTCTATTGCTCATTCCAGCTTGGTGCATCCCAAAGCCTACAAAATTTGCTAGGAGCCCTTTTGGCTCAACTTTCTTACGCCCTTCCCGAGATTTCTGCGGACTTGAAGACTTGTTTCGAAAGAAGATCCCCTCCTACCCCCGATAGCCTTATTCAACTACTTCTAAAATACGGCTCTCGGGTACAGAAGCTGTACATCATCGTTGACGCTATCAATGAGAGTGACGAGGCTGATGACATCCTTAAATCACTGATGGCCATCCTGGAAGCCTCAGAGAATGTGTACGTTATGACTACTTGCACGAGTCCTCCAAGCACACAGTGCAAAGTTCGATACCTGAAGGAGACAATGAAGCCGTCATCAAACAAATACGACATTCAAGCATTTGTGAACTTGCAGTTGGAGCTGCAGCCAGCTCTCCGTCGCCTGCCATCGCAGACAAAGGTCCACATAAGCAACTTGCTCTCCTCCAAAGCAGATGGAATGTAAGCATGACACTTCAGTGCTTTGATGGAAATGGACTGACGAATGTTGCTTCTGGAATTAAGGTTTCGGTATGTGCGATGCCAAATAGACCTCCTTAGCGCCCAGAAAACGGGTCGAGGCGTTCTCCGAGCGCTCGAGGTAATGCCAGAAGACTTGAATGGCACCTATGAAGTTATTCTGGGTAGGGTCTCGACCCATGATCGAGACCTTGCCAGAGAAGCGCTCCTCTGGCTTACATTTAGTCGACAGGCGCTTACTTTACCAGCGTTGAATGAGGCACTGGTTTTGGAAAAAGGCGATAAGTATATCGACGACGAATACAGACTCATCAATCCCGATATCGTTCTTGAGATTTGCCAGGGCCTGGTGGTTTTGACGAGACTAACTCAGTTGTGACTCTGGCCCATTCTTCTGTCAAGGCATTTCTAACCTCCGATGCCATTAAACACGGACCCGCGGCGTTTTTCGCATTGGAGGAGACCGAAGCCACAAGACACATTATCCAGAAATGCCTCACATACTTGAGGTTCGATGCCTTTCAGACACCATGTCCAAACTTCCGGAAAATGAAAGAACGAATCGCCCAGTTCCCACTTTCAAAATGTGTTGCCGAGACCTGGGCACTACTTTGTGGTGCCCAGGCACCCATCGATTTCGAATACACAAGCCGCGAGCTAGATGAGATTATTGCATTTATGTCTAGCGGCAACTTCAGATCCTGGATCCAGATTTTACTATGCGAGGCGAATGATGAAGCAGGTTGGGAAACCGAGCCACTTTACTACGCTGCGTCTTTCGGTATGCTGGCCGTGGTAGACAGACTTATCAAAGCCGGTGCCAACATCGACGCCCCCGGTGGACGAAATGGAGCTACCCCCCTTACAGTTGCAGCCTATAGAGGCCAACTTCCAGTCGTAAAAAGACTACTGGAAGCAGGGGCGGACCCAAACGTGCAAGATGAATGTGGGATGACGAGTATCGAATGGGCAACGCATGGAGAGTGGGACGAAGTTAAATCCCTTCTTTTGCAGCATGGGGCCAAAACCCGTCCTCAATTTGGGCCTTCTTCCGATGAGATAGAGCTTTCAGAGATGCACTGGAGTTGCTGTGCTTGCAGTTCCACGAACAATCTGGGGCTGTCGGCTGGAACATGCATGAACTGCGAACATGTAATCTGCCAGGCATGCATAATGGGGCAATTATGAGAAGGTATGATGTGCGGATGCTATGATTTAGTGTAATACATTCAATCTGTTAGCGACTCTGTCGCCATAACGAAAAGCCTGGTGAGATCTTACAGTCTCTACTATAACAAAGCGATAGAACATAGGATACGCAGCCAGAGTCTTACTTCGGTCTACTAGATATGATCAAGCGAATGACAGGATAATAGCTCGAGAAAATCAAGAATTAATATACACACAAGTCCAACCCGTCACCTTCACGCCATAAGGATCAATGCCAGAGAGCTGTTTTGTCCGACGTGATCCGCCTCCACGTCGCTGGAATGAGAGTTGGTGGCTTTCAGTTTGATGTTATTGAATCAGCGCGATGAATGGATGAAGGAGGGAATTGTTGAGCAGAGCTCGCCATGTCCTCAGGAGGTGCTTAGAAAGAGGCACCCGAGGGAGCAGCGGCGGGAGCACCCGAGGCAGCAGGGGCACCACCAGCGGCAGCGCCGGAAGGAGAGGGGCCGTTACCACCAGCGACACCAGAGGGAGCAGCACCGTTTCCACCGAAAGAGCCGGAAGGAGAGGGGCCGTTGCCGCCAGCAACACCGGAAGGAGCAGCACCATTGCCGCCGAAGGAGCCAGAGGCAGCAGCACCCGGACCCTGCCGAGTGGGAGAGCCCTTGGATCCCCGAGAGTGGGAGGATCCCTTGGACTGGGAGCCCTCGGTCTGGTGTCTGTGGGAGCCCTTGTGAGCATCACCGGAAGCAGCACCAGAGGGGGAAGGGCCGTTGCCGCCAGCAACACCGGAGGGAGCGGCACCGTTACCACCAAAGGAGCCAGAGGGGGAGGGACCGTTGCCGCCGAACGAGCCAGAAGGAGAGGGGCCATTGCCACCAGCAACACCGGAAGGAGCAGCGCCGTTACCGCCAAACGAGCCAGAAGGAGAAGGGCCATCACCACCGGCAGCACCGGAAGGACGAGCACCAGAAGGAGCACCTCCAAAATCACCAGCGGCAGCGGAGCCAGTAGGGGCAGCGCCGTTGGCAGCGGAAGCTGGGATTTCGAGCTGACGTCTCCTGTGGCCCTGGGGAGCACCGGAAGGAGCGGGGGCAGCGGTGCCCTGAGGAGCACCAGAGAAGCTCACAGTAGGAGCCTGGCCGTCACTGGGGGAGTTTCCGGAGCCTTGTTCGCCAAAGCCCTGACCCTGACCCTGGCCCTTACCCTGAGGAGCACCAGAAGGAAGGGGAAGAGGCGAACCAGAAGGAGCAGCACCCTGGAAAGAGGGGGCTCCGCTGGGCTGAACAGCATTTGGTTCAGAGCCTTTCTGGGCGCCCATGGCCGGCAGGGCGGCAGCGTAACCGATAATACCGGTGAAAACGATTCCGAATCTCATCTTGAGTGGACAGAGAGTGACAAATGTGGAAAGATAAATAAAAGTTTAAAGGAAAGTAGGAAGCACAGCTTCTGAAGAAACGATAATTGAGATCAAAGGAAAGGAATTTTGAGCTGGATGAAGCATGGCAGAGCTGGGAGAGGGTGGGCTTTTATAAAACATTCTCTAAGCGCTGAGGACCGGTGTGCTCAACGACGATCAGCTGGCATTAGCTATGAGCTGGATGAGGACCCTAAGCTTTCGTCATGCCCCCATGTCACCGTTCTCGGCCCGTCTGCATCTGAGACGTCGACTGTCAGCAATAGATCAGGTTATGGTGGACAAGAACACACCGAAGGGACCGACCACGACTGGAACTTGTGAAGGAGGAAGGGGAGCAAGTGCCAAAACCGGGTGGCTCAGGGGGATGGGGGGGGGGGGGGCAGGGCTGAGGGACAATAGGGTTTGGGAGTTTGGACGCACCCTGTGGCTTGTGGTGGGTCAGCGCGGGATACAGTCGGTACACAGTACCTAGTTGGCGATTATTGTTGGTCATGTTGATGGGAAGAGAGGGAGAAGTGAGAAGTGAGGAGCAAGACGGCGTGTAGCAGTCGACGGCGGTTGGTGGCGGCGGCCCCACGTGCGCGGCTTGTCGGTCGACGCTTGAGTGTTTCACCCCTTCGCCGCTGACTCGACATTTCCTGGCCAGTTGCACTACGGAGTACTATCCTAAAGCTCAGTGCTGTCTTGCGCCATTGACTTATTGCAGTCGCCAAAGTACTACTGCCTTGGTTCGTGAATGCATGGCCCCCGCTACTTGATAATATCTGCTCCATGACCTCCATGACAATCAAGGGCCAAGGGAGCTCATGTCTCCAATAACAGTTCCCTGTGGCTGTGGCTGTTCCAAGTCGGTGGGTCGGTCCATTCTCGATATTGACAGTCGACAGGTCGCCCGGCTAACTAAGCGGAATTCAGTTAGTTCCCTGGTCCTCATCGGGGCCCAAGGATTGAACGATGGCTGTCCCTGACTCCCTGCGCTTGCACTTTACCTTGTGGGCCAATTGTGGTCCGTGTTTCCCGGCGCAGCAAGATTTCCATTTCCTGACAGTCAACGGCGAATGCTACTGCAAGGATGGTACAGCAATCGTGACAGCCGGCAGCAGAAGGGCAGAATATTTGTTTCTACACCCGCGCCCCGGAACTTGACAATCTAATGATACTGGATGATGGCTGGCTCGGGGTGCTGTATTCGATTAGAGCTTTCCCGTCAAAGTGGGACTTCCGTGGTGGCGGCTTAGTTGGGGACAGGGGAAAGGAACAACAATGGAACCCTGAGGAGACCCTATAGAAGGCTGGAAGAGCTTTTGCGCGTCAGTCCGTATCCAAAGACTGCTAAGCTGTCCCTGGATTGTAGCTCTGGATGTGATGGAGCGTTCCAGGTGACGACGAATGGGGCCTGGACCACCCACCACCTGGTTAGGCTGTTAGCGAGGCACTATGATTGAAACCTCTGTTCGTTTCATCCTCTTGATTCGATGGCGCGTCGGAGAAGCTGGCGTGGCCATATGCAGATCCCATTGGGCTACGTAAGCTTATTGGCCCCCGTCTGCACGGTCCATCTCTCCGATCGGGATGTTTCACTTTATTTTCGCTCCCTCCAAGTCTCCTGCAGTGTGGTCCTGCTCGCTATCGGTTCTGGTGCGATCGGCAGAAATAACACAATCAGATAACTACCCTCGATGTTCAAATCTTGGGTCTGAGGGCATGGCTTCCACGGTCGCGGCGAGCTGCCAAAAGGTCCCCCGAGATCCCGAGCTAGGGAATTCCGGAGTGCTTAGAATTCTATGATTGCGAATACAAAGGGGCCAAAACGGTAGAAGGATGCGATAGGATCCGAACAACAGTATATCATAGGTTGCATCGTTTTGACTAGATTTACAGCATCCTATGTCAATACCGGTGTCTATTCCTGTCTCTATCTAGGCCCAACAGTGCGCTTTCCCGCCCCTTTCTTGTTTTATGTTCCGCGGTCTCCGAGCCCCTCCTGTCTAGTCCGTTGGCCCTTGCGTCTGCCAACGGGAAGAGCCAGTGCGGCAAGAAAGTTGGAAGCCCATTCCATAATCCCTTGACCGATCACATCTTTTGCAACTCTGCTTCTTGGCCACGTACGCGTCCGCAAATGAGACCTGGGGCTGATTTTTGGCATGCTGGAGACAACTTCTCTCATACTAGACTACTATGTTGCCGCCTGGATATACACTGATGTTGATTCTGCTCCTATCATAGGTGGGAGTCGCTATCATACAGGGTCCCTTTTGATCAAAACTGCGCTGGATATCCTGCTATTTTCATGGGTTGTTTAATCTGCAGGGCGGGGATTGACGATGCAAAAGCCCTGCCTATGCGTCATATATGAGCATATGTCGGTTCATACACTCTATAGGCTACTCTCCAGCCGCGGGGAGTCCTTTGATGTTGAAGTACGGGATATACGGTAGGTCGAATGTTCGCTGCTGTAGCTATGATTGGCAGGCAAGTACAGGTTCCACACGGTCTTATGTATCCCAGGTCACTAAAAGGGCCAGTGTGCATTGCGAGCGCATAACTCAACTTGAATTTTCTTGCCATGGCTCGTTGATATTACACCCTGTGATCTCATTGACACACGTTCATCCCGCACCCTTCTCCACGCGGGTACCACTTTACCCGGATTTTTCTGCCACATTCCGGTCCCTGCGAGTATTGTTGCAAGACTATAGCACATGCACATATTCTCTGGCACTTAGGCCTATCAGATATAGGGTTTGGTGTCCTTTACCCCTGACGGTCTCATCACCGTCGAAGCAAATCCATCATCGCTCGTTATACCTATAGCGATCTGACCGTATCGTCATGCTTCCGTTGCTCAATCACCCTGGGACATCTGACCTCTATATTTCCAGCGATGTCAATGAACACTTGGAAAGTCCAACCCTAATCCAATGGCACTAGAATAGTCTCTCGGGAAGTGTGCACACCACCACAGAATTCAAGGGACAACATGGAGCAGTTGATCCACCTGTCACAAGCATTCAAAATTGACGTACCAGTGCTGTGATGCGGCCTGCTGACTCATACTGAACCAAAAGACGCTTTTCTTGATATGTTTCAAAACATCATCCCCAGGTAAAGACACGAATTGGATCGTTGAAGTTATTTCAGACAGTACCACTCTCAGACTGGCAATCACGACGATAGGATAGGAGGAATGGCATTCTTTAGATGCTAACATACGAACCACGGTCAAAGCAAAACTCTCGTTGCACAACACAGAGGAGCGGCGAGTAAGGATATATTTTCTTCGTTTTGGGTGTATACATCAGCGGCTATGCGAGGGTCTCTTGGATAAGAGGGGTTAGTCGGACTCACGATCTAGACCCATTTGACTCTGTTGCGGGGAGAGACATGGCGCAGAATGATATAGATATGCGCAATGAAGAGAGGGGAGACTGGATGATGGGTAACCAACTACCAATGGCGACGGAGGATCCCGGAGAGGAGAAGGAAGCATCGCAGTGACAATGTGCTACATCATGGGTAGATATGTACCACAAGCGATGCAGCGGTTATGGAGGCGTTCGTGTATCCGAGGGTAGGGGTAAGGGTTTTCCTTGATCTTTGATACGATACCAACCATGGGAGAGCCGCCCCTGGTGGAGGCCGAGATATGACATAAGGATTGTGCACCGGCTGCGGGAAGTCATGTGCTGCCAGTCCCAGCACAATTGGCGGGCCAATTTTCCAGCACTCTCTTTAGACGCAGCCATTGCAGATTCCAAGTCTCGGATGGACATCCGAGAGCTTGATAAGAACCCTATTTGCACGTTTTTACCATGTGATGGATATCTTACAGCCAGGATATGATGCTATCTCATCACTTCTTTGCCTGGTCATGGACATCTGAACCCATTGCAGCTAGGAATTGCCAACGTAGAATATTGACCCGGGATATTCTTTAGACTTTGAAAAAGTAGGTTCGGAAAGTCCCCCCCGCTTCAGCATATAGTTCGATGGTGGAGCAATGTGTGGCGATTATCACATACAGAGGTCACGATGCGTAATTTGACTTGACCCAAGTAACTCAGTGAGCAAAAGAAGGTAGGAACAGTGCAACAACATGACGACATGAACAAATACATGTAGTCTCTGCCCTTTCTGTAGTAGCGGTAGGTCCGTGCAGAAAGTTACCGGGTTCGAGGGCAGTGTTTCATTCACTATATCAACATCTACGTGACTCGCTTAACATACCCTTTGTGATCCTCCCCCTCTCCGTGTTTAAAGTGACATCTTCTCTCACTTGATCCTTCTCTTCTCTTCCTCTACAACGGTTCTTCATCTACAAGCATCTCGTTGAGCTCAAGCCTTGTTCCATTACATTGCTCTCCTATCAACTGTGCTAGTAACAACGAACCAATTGATGAGACAACATCGTCTGGTCAGTATGGCAGATGCTTCACATCATCTGGCCCCTGGCCACATGTTCACAAACCATCGCGAGACCATGCTGTCAACACTGATCAAGGTCGAGCAAGCAATCGACAAAGGCCTTGCTAGTAAAGATAAGAGTTACGGCGATATGGCCTTCACGGAGTCTGTTCTGGAGTCGGTTTCCAAGCTGAAGCTTATCCTCAGCGCTGAAAACCACGTCACAATTAACGGGCACCAACTTGACCTCGCTGGTGTAGTAGCGGTCGCTAAGTAAGTTGTTAGCTTCCTCACAGAACGTGCACGACATCCAAGCTGACCCTTTGTCTTACCTTAGATACGGAATGATGCCAGCCTTCATCGAAGACGATGAGATCCTCCAAAAGATGAATGCCAGCATCTCATTCTTGAACAAGTATCTCAGTGCCGGTAATACGGTCTATGGGGTCAACACCGGGTTCGGAGGAAGTGCAGATGCGCGATCGGACGATCACGATACACTGCAAAAGGCCTTGATCCAGCACCATAATGCAGGTGTGCTGCTTCCTGCTGAGCAGGGCCTTCAGAGTTCCGTGATCCAAGACTGCATGAAAAAGCACAGCATGCCCACTTCCTTCGTAAAAGCTGCCATGCTGACTCGGTGCAACAATCTAATCCGTGGCCACTCTGCCGTCCGTCCTGAGGTCGTTCGTCACATTCTAACTCTGGTTGCCAACGACTGCACACCTGTTGTTCCACTGCGAGGCTCCGTCTCGGCTTCCGGTGATCTGACTCCTCTTGCATACATTGCAGGGGCCATCGAGGGCAACCCAGACATCTTTGTAGATTGCGGGTCGAAAAACCGTAATGCCACTCTCCGCGCGGACGAAGCTCTCACCATGCTAGGACTGAAGCCCCTCTCCTTCCTGCCAAAGGAGGGACTCGGACTTCTCAACGGAACTGCCTTTAGTGCCGGGGCAGCAAGCCTTGTGTTGTTCGAAGCCAATCAGCTGGCCATCTTCGCTCAGATCACCACCATCATGTGCACGGAGGCATTGATGGGTACACGGCGCAACTTCCATCCGTTTATCGGAAATGTTCGCCCTCACCCTGGACAAAGGGAAGCAGCACGCAACATGTACAGCCTTCTGGCAGACTCCAGGCTGGCCACCAATGCACACCCCGAGAACGCTGGCCTTGCCCAAGACCGCTATGCAATTCGCACCACGTCCCAGTGGATTGGTCCTCAAATCGAGACGTTGGCTCTCGCAACACGCCAAGTAGAGTGTGAGTTGAACTCGACGACCGACAACCCATTGCTAGACCCGTTCCACGGTGAGGTGCACCATGGAGGTAACTTCCAGGCAGTTTCGATCACGTCTGCAATGGAAAAAATTATGACCTGTATGCAGATGATCGGGAAGATGGTATTTGCGCAGTGCTCTGAGCTCCTGAATCCGATGTTCAGCAAGGGTCTCCCACCCAGCCTCTGTGCCGACGATCCTAGCCTGTCTTTTGCTTTCAAGGGTGTCGACATCAACATGGCATCCTACATGAGTGAGCTTGCATACCTCGCTCATCCAGTCAGCAACTCTGTCCAATCGGCTGAAATGCACAATCAGTCGATTAACTCGCTGGCTCTGGTCACGGCTCGCTACGCATCTGACACCGTTGAGGTGATGTCTCTTATGATGGCCACACATATCTATGTGCTCTGCCAGGCGCTGGACCTTCGAGTACTTCAGCTCGAGTTTGAAGACACCGCCAAGGACCGCGTAGACGATATCACAGCGAGCCTGTGCGAAGAGGTAGTTCCTGCCGATTGTGTCCCACGTATTCAGGAGTTGGTCTGGAAACAGCTGATTCAACACTGGACCCGAAACACCAACCTCGATCTTGCTGATCGTGCAGAGACCTCCGTAAGCAACACGCTGGGAACGCTTCTCAATTTGCTCAACTCCCATTGTGATAACGAAGACTCCGATATTTCTTTGACTGTGCTGAACTGGCAGGATGGGGTCAAGTATATGCTCGTTGAACAGTATGATGTGACTCGCGATGAGTTTTTCTGCAATCCAACCACGACAGACTATCTTTGCACCGCGTCGACTAAGATGTACAACTATGTGCGTAAGACTCTCGGCGTTCCGATGCACAAGGGGATTGTGGACCATCCGACTTACCTGCCACACTTGCTTCCGAATGACAAACAGTCGATTGGATCGCTTATCAGCACGATTTATATCGCTCTCCGCGAGGGGGACCTCATGCAGACCCTAGTGGGCTGCTTTGAGATCCCCGTGCTTGATGGTATCTCAGTGGACGAGAAGGAGTAAGTGGTGTTTGGATTAGATTCTGAACGATGGGTAAGGTGTGTTAAGAAGATGAGAGGATGAACAACCAGGGAGGTCGCTGCTTTGTTGTGCCAGGAAAACACGGAGGACGGCAGGCTTCTTTATTCACTTACTGTGTGGCGAGGTCCCGGGTTTTTCCTTATCTTTTTTTCTTTGCCGACTGCAGTGAAACGGTCTACTGAAAAGCTATCCATCCTGGTCGAGCCTTTGATTTACTGCCTTCTACTGTTTTTTCTTGCTTCTTCACTTTCAATGGAAATGCGGCTATGACTAATGATTTGATGTTTTACGATTGTATCTGCTGACTTTATGATGCGATGAATTTCCCGCGGAGATGGAATACCTCCGGTGATAGTTAATACGATCATTACTGAATATCCTCCCTTCTAAGAAACGGTCTTCTCCTCGAAAAACTAATAGGCACACTTCACGAATCTCAGCAACTCGTCATCTGATCCAGAATATGTGAATCTAGCTCATTAACCACCTCCGAACGCAGTCTACATGACTTTCCAACGGACCAGCAGCTAGCCTCCATGCACATCGACGGTGACTTTAAGAGTCATCGAATAGCTCTATTCCTTAATGAAAACTTTCCTCTACCAACTATAGCAGCTGTGATAAACGAACCTCAACAGGGAACCTGCAGACCTGAAGATATGGAATGCAAAGTACATCTTCTTCCACTCCTGGGATCGACCTGTCATATATCGAGTACGGTGAGATTCTTTTCATATTGTCTGAAAGCCTACTGGATAATGGAAGTAACGCTAATATTACCATGGAGTGCAATTAGATATCCTCGTCTGTTCGCCGCTTCATTCCTTCGATATAAAAATGACCAGCGCGACGGCCATATCCTGTTTGTATCGGATAACCTTTATCGCCGTCGAACAAAAACCCGAGGACATTCAATCACAGAAGGTATCTTGTCTTTAAATCAAAGCGGTGTTGGATAGCTTTCGAGTGCCTATTTCCATGGAGGAAATATCAAGTAGAATCTCGACCAGAATTGGGGGTTTATTGTTCTAGAGCATACTGGAAAACATAATATGAGTGCAGCGCTAACTAATGAAATGGATTTATAAGCCTTTCCTGAGGGGTGTACCAAGAAACCAATACACCAACATTAGATTACTCAATAGTCATGGCACTAGATAAATCATAAGTCAGATAAGATACGGATAAAGCAATCAATGGAAACCCCCCCAGGCCGCAAATTCTCCCAAGGAACCTCGCATAGCTGTCCGAGATCGCACGGGCGTGCCCACCTAGTACGCATTTTCTGGGCCCATGAAACCTTAATGGAGACACCCATGGATTCGTCATTAGGGAAAGTATTGCGCCAGAGGCCGAAGCGATGCGGGGTGATCCACACTGTCAGTGATAGGCGATAAAGTGAGACAGGATGTTGTTGGTGAGGTGTTGCATAACCGGGGACGGCGATTGCGTGATGCCGGGAACCGTGGCTTATCACCGCCGTATATAGTCCCCCTCACCATCCATGCCATCCTTACATCTCTCAGTCCCAATTTCTCCAAATTATCCACTATCTTGCTCATTCAACACAATCATGGCGCCAGGACTGGCAACAGACCTCCCTATCCACTCGCATCCATCCTCCGGAGATGCCAAACTCAACCAACCACAGTATCCCACTCCCTTGAAACCCAGCGGCGCCTTGGACAAGTTCACCTTTGAAGAAACCACCCCCGTCATCGGCCGCGAATATCCCACCGTCAACATTGTCGATGATCTCCTCAACGCGCCCAACTCCGATGAGCTCGTACGCGACCTAGCCATCACAAGTACCACCCCCCCGCCCCTCCCTCATCCAACCCCATCACTAACCAACCCCCTCCCCAGTCTCCCAACGCGGCGTCGTCTTCTTCCGTGCCCAAAGCAACCTCACCGACGACCTCCAAAAGACCCTCGTCCAACGTCTCGGCCAACTAACCGGCAAACCCTCCACCTCGACCCTCCACATCCACCCGGTCCTCAACAACATCAGCGAATTCGGCGTCTCCGATGCCCAAATCAGCACCATCAGCTCTCTCGCCCGCAAGAAGATGTTCGTCCACGACCGTCAACCCGACCAACGTCGCTACGACTCCGCCCAATGGCACTCGGACATCCAATTCGAGCCCGCCCCCGCAGACTACACCTCCCTGCGACTGACCCAGCTCCCCAGCAGCGGCGGCGACACGCTCTGGGCCTCCGGATATGAGATCTATGACCGGTTTTCCCGCAAGTACCAAGAATTCTTTGAAGGGTTAACCGCGACCTTCGTGGGTGATGGATTCATCCGAGCCGCGGAAAGGAATCCCACCCAAGTCAAGATTTACACGGAGCCGCGGGGGAGTCCGTTGAATGTGGGGAGGGAGTTGTCGGCCGTGCATCCGATTGTGCGGACTAATCCGGTGACAGGCTGGAAGAGTATTTTTGCTCTGGGGCCGTTTCCGAAATATATTAATGAGTTGAGTGCGAGTGAGTCGGAGGAGTTGTTGAGGAGGTTTAGGGCGGTGATTACCGAGAATCATGATTTGCAGGTTAGGTTTAAGTGGAGGAATGAGCATGATATTGGTGAGTTGTTGGCTTTGAAGACCCTTATTTCGTTGTTTTCGGGGATGATATCTGGGAGATGCGTTTCTGGTATCTGGCTAACTGGTTGATAGCTATTTGGGATAACAGAAGTGTGTTCCACAGCGCCACGTTCGACTACGAAGGTCTTGGCGAGAGATTTGGACATCGGGCTGTCGGAATTGGGGAAAGACCTTACTTGGACCCGAATAGTCAGTCAAGGACGGAAGCGTTGGCTGCTAAGGGATTTTCGGATTGATTGATTGATTGATTGATTGAGAACATCGAGATATAATGACATTTCAGCTACGTTTCTCGCAAATTCTCTTTGCACAGTTGTGTGCAAGTACAATGCAATGAAATACTTAAATTCATTCCACGCCCGAAAACAATAGCACCACAATAGTACAGGATCCTCAAACGACGCACTATACACAACTGCCAAACAGAGAGAATAAAATACAAATAGACCTATATCGCAGAAGTTACTCCACGGGCTGACTGTTCCTAGCAATAGCCATGTTCGAACTCATACCATTCCTCTGACTAACTCATGGTACCAAGATTACTTGATATCAACCTGAACCACTGGGGTATCCTTCACTCTCTGAGCAAATGCGGTAGGCTGAGACTTCTGCCGCTCTGCGATACCCTCAACAAAGGTCCGTCCGACAATCTTGCAACATGGAATCCTGTTCTCAATCAAAGCCACACCGTCTTCTAGTGGTCGGAGTACCAAAACCTGGGAGATACCACTGGCGATGAAAAGAATATCACCCCCCTTGATGTGACAGTCTATGAACCCGAAGGCTACAGGCGCAGAATCTCCGATAGATGATATTGAGAACAAACATTTCCCCTTAAGCTTGGAGAAGCTGTCAAGAAATATACTTATCCGTGCATCTGCAATATCTATGAGTCGGAGATTACCTTCTCGATTGAGCTTGCTCAATGTTTCAGAGAAGTAGGCGTAAGACATCCAACTCCATGACTCGGTATAGTTGTAGCATGCGCTGATAAGGGTATCTGCCATGCTGAAAGGGCTAATCCACTCATCCTCCCTGATGCGTTGAAGGTAACTTGGGATTTCCCTGAGAGGTGCGTGTTTCTCGGTATTCAATCTGAATGACTCCTGGACGACACCTATCACTCGACCACGAAGCTGTAACGTCCGTAGATTGTCAGTTATTTTAGGCAAATAACCATCGGGCTTCTTCCAGAGACTTCTTTCAGGAGTTGTCTGCTCACTTCGACCCGCAAAAATAAGATCACGGCGCCGTTGGTCTGTTATTGTAACGTCTACTACCCACGATGGAAGTGCCTCGTCATCAGAGAAACAGAAATAGTCCAGAATTCTGGTGTTTCCCTCGTACTGTAAAACATATGCCGTTGTCTCATGAATCAGTTGGCTGACAGTTTTCTGGTAGTCTGGGGGATATTTCTCTTGAGCCAAAGGGGCCATTGCATATAATGCATATACCCTGTCAAGTGGGTTGCTGCAATTGCGATGAGTCGTAACTGATAGTAGCTCGCCGAGGGGACGACTGGGTGGCGAATTTGGATCCTTGTGAAGGTCCTTCTGTACCAGGAGATCTCCTGGTAGAATGGGGAGAAAGTTTCGGAACGTTCTTGTGTGTATGGCTTTCTCGCGTTCCAGCATCTTCTCAGAGAATTCCTTTGCTTCACCGTCTAGGTTTTGACCGACTGTCTTGCGATACTTGGCCATCATATCGTCAATGGAGTTGAAACTTGATCCCAATCGACTGAAGACATCCCTAAATGTGAAACAGAGCTTTCCGAACATACAGATCGGCCTCGTCTTTGGTAGATGCCACTCCTGGAAGGTCCACAGTCGCTGCCAATAAGGAGCAGATAATATTTCGAGCGTCCCATCCAAGACGTCCATCATTGCCAGGTCTCTCTTCCGACTTTCCTCGATTGAAAGGTCCTTCTTATCATGGATTTCAAACCACCACTTGCTTTTCGGGGTACTTAGGCCTTCGCAATAATTTTGGTAAGCAATTGCATCTTCAATATTCGGGGTTGATAGTCCAAGCCAAGCAATCACAGAAGTTGCATTGATGTAGATCTGGCTCATCAAGAGGACCTGAGAGTTTCTCTCCAATATATCATGTTGGTTGATACAGAGATAATCAACCCAAACCACTCGATCTTGTTTTGGCTCGCGGAGTGCGCGCAAGAATTGTTCCAAATTGGTTGGGGCGCTAACAATACAGCAATCTACCCAGATGTCTGTTCTGATGGCGACATTCCCCCAGACATATGATAGCGCTTCGAATTCATAAGGGTCCTTGAGTGATACAGGATGGAGTGAACCCCGCACCGGATTTGCCACGTTCTCGTCAGGCCAAATGGTTAGAAGCCGGATCTCGTTGGCATCGGGATTCAGTTTCGTATAAGACAACGACATTGTAGGATCCAAACTATAAGATGTATTCAGTGGCATGTGTGGAGCAACTGCGTTCAGATATCAGTGAAGCGGGGCGCTGTTTCCTGTGCTGACGTGGATCGCGGGGTCTAGCGGACAGACCTCGCGTCGTCTGACGGTCTGGGATGTCAACCACGAACCCTTGCTCCTGAAATCCGGTGCTTTGCAGTTCCATTGTGTCTGAATGTTTCTGTAATTCCTGGGTTCCAGCATAAACTCTCAGTCAATCCTGGTGATCGTGACATTACATGTCTACGGCTTCATCCAGGCCTCACAATCTGCTTCTGTCACGTGTCTTGGCACGAGACAATCTCGAGAAAGCAGAGGCCGAATAGATGGCCTATATTCCCTCAAGGTATGAAACTTGAAGCACCCTGGCGCGCTTAAACCCATAATGGGGTCAACGTAAACACGAAATGATGCCTCAGGCTGCAGACAGTGAGAAAGCGGAGATGAGTGGCAGAAAAAAGCCCACGTTCCACCCTTCGAGCAAGCCGATAAGTCTCAACGCTTTGGTGATCAGATATCGGAGTAACTCTGTGTAGTAGCGGAAATCAGCATGCGAATGCTAGAATAACTCACATCTATGTATCCACAGGTTTCATCATCTTTGCCTGGGAGCTACGTAGTACCTGGACGACTGCATGGACTGGGCGAAAGAAATGAACCTTGAAACCACAGGCCAACAGCAGTACCTGATGACGAAGAGGATCGACGCGTGTTCCGCCAGAACATTGGGCTACATCCCAACTGGGCTACATCCCAACATGGCTACCGGCGCATCATGATGGGCATTCCTACGGCATGCAAACCCGCTCCACTTTCAGCCCTACACAGCATCAAGCATGACGTCACCAGTTTCTCATCCCCTCGACCTTTTAAATCCCCTGATTCAACCATCATCTGTTCCTCAACCGTTCACAAATTGAAGCTCTACCATTCCTCCACCTCTCCTGGGTCAGACTTAGTACATTGCAACCTAACAAAACCCCTTTAACGAAACCACAGAAACCGCCACCATGCCCGGAAAAGTGTATGTTCTCAATCCTGTCAGACCCATCCTTTAAAAGGAAGAGACTAATCAAATCCTCGCATTAGCGGCTGCTGCGAAATCATCATCGCTTTCTTCCTCCCCTTCGTCGGCGTTTTCATGCGCACCGGGTGCAGCTGCGATCTCCTCATCAACATCTGTCTGTGTATTCTGGGTTGGGTGCCAGGTGTCATCCACGCATAGTACGTGCTGCTCTTTTCCAGCTCGTGTCACACACACGCTAACCATGTCATAGCTACATCCTGGCCAACAAATAAACCAATTGTGCTTTGTTCCTGATGTGCCGGTCGCGGACGATTTCAGATCGGGTACGGGCGCATTCGGTGTATCAATTGGGCTTTGAGATTTGCGAATAATAATGTCTACTCTACGATTGTATATATCCCGCTGCAATAATGACTTTTGACTTGTGTGCGAAATCTTTTGTAGCTCAGCGCTCGAGCACCCGCTTCGCTACGTAGGCAGCAATTTTCCGCTACTCACAAAGGCGGTGACGCGCGATAAACAGAGCGACGTCATCATGGCTCCCCGATTACTGCGATCAGGTAGAATTCGCTTGATGGCTGCGTGGAAGTGCGAATTGACTTATTTTCTCGCATTTCTGCAATAATCAATACATTATGAGCCGATTCCGGGATTTTCCGATCGCCTATAAGGACCTCTTGATCGCACGACGAAAAATTGTGCGCATAAATTTGATTGTGCGCGAGTTTCTTTGTCAGCAACTGCATCAGAGTTATGCCCCATTCTCCCTCCCGCGGGTCATCTTTATCTCGTCAACACCTGCCTTTCGAACTCTTCGGCATACCAGTGCGCTCATTACGAGAAGTGTCCTTGATTCTGCCATCTAAGCAAGCTGCGATGACCACAATACCCATACATGGATCGAGGGCCCCGAATCAAAGCAACTATCTACCCACATCACACCAGTCGCTGTCGGATGCCATCACGCGTCAGGTATTACTATTAGACTAACATTCATACAGGTATGCAGTCCAGTCAACACCCTGTACGCATCATCATTTCTCACCCTACCAGCGCGCAACCGGATTACCTCCGTCGATCCCTTTCATTTTATACTCCGCAATCGTCATGGCAAACTGCTTATCCACCAGATCCTCCAAGAACAGGATAAACGCTCCATCAAGCTCCCTCGTGATATCCTTGAGTGCCTTGGCCTCAGAACGACTTTTTATTCTCAGACTGGTCAGAGTTTGCAGCATGTCGTCACCATAATGCGCCCTAAAGAAGTCCCTTTTCTGTGATACAATGAGCATGAATATCCTACTATATGCCTCCCCAACAGATAGTCCAAAAGGCCGGGGGAATACTGACCTTATTACTGATAGCTTTCAACATATCTGCAAAGATAGGTTTCAGAGGCACACATATTCCAGCAATAATGTGACTGCTGGGGGTGTCGAGGTTCCCGGTCGATTTGGTTGTTGATATTGCTTGATTGATGCTGTGCTCGAGATTCGCGGAGAGGGTTTTGATTTCGTCCACATTGTCTGTAAAGGATCGAACGGCTCTATCTAGCTTGATGGCGTTCAAGCCGACGTTGGCGAGAGAGGTGATGAGAGTGATGGTTTCGGTGGTTTGGGGGCGGACCTCGCTGACGCTTGTAGGGTTGGGGAGGGCGAGTGTCAAGGATAGGGTCAGAAGGGTGGAGAGGAGAGTGAGTATGGCTAGTGGGAAGCGCATTTTGGTCGATATGAGCCGGGTATAGACCTTCGAGCAAGATGCTGCGCAAAGTGGTAAGCATTCCCGGGACTATATAAGTCGCCATATCTCATTGCCCTGAGATTGCGATTCTCACCTGTGTAATAGGAGGATGTACAAGACGGCGAGATTAGTGTCGCACACGATAATGCACTCCGCGCTGCAGAAGCGCTTTGAATGCAGGTACTACCTACATATTCTAGCTGCATATTCCCCGGTCAGACGTTGTGTGACGAGCTCTGTGCAGATTATCCAAGGTAATGCCATTTACTGATTGATATAGTGAGTTATAACGGCTATTGGCGCGAAAACAATGGCTAGATTGGTATGAACTCAGGGAAATTATCACCATCCATCGGAGTAACATCATCTTGTCGGGCTTCCAAACGGCCCGCTCGGACTTTTATGTCAGACACTGAGTAACACCCAGCAACATCACAAGAGACCAATCTTGAAGACAGACCCTGCTTCTTGATCATGAGGTGAAATCATACGCAATTATATTGTTCACATGCTTATACCACAGGTTATTCAAAGATCTCCCGGTTATGAGTCTCAACAGGGCAGCTCCTATGAGTTTGCTTCAGATGAATAATATTTTCGGATGATTACCATGCTTAACTGGTACAATCATCACCTGTTTGAGTGTCTTATTCAATAGTACTATCACAGCGCATGACATCTCAATGGAGACGCCACGGCCACACCACCCCAGCCACAGTTACACCCGAGTTCGTTTAGGGTCCGCGAAATCCTCCTACTTTGCATCTTAGGACAGAATTTAAACGTCTGGCTAGCGGACTCCCCACTGCCTCCAACCCGATGCCGTTTAAGGCCTCCATCGAAGGCCAGCGGTCATACTTACTAGATGTAGAAAACAGCTCGGCCAAATGGCATTGCCCCGCCGTATGGCTCGGACTAGATGCCCGATGGTCATGCACGCAGTTCTCTACTAGGCCATATGCGGGGCTACTTTGCGAAACCCCGCGGATGAATTAGCAGTCTCACCGGTCGTTCTGCACGTGGATATCCAATCAATCAAGCGGGGGAGGGGTACGGAGCTGGTGCCATCATGTTATGCTTGCTGTAGCGCGTCCCGCACAGTAGTCCATAGCGAACCGTCGTCGACTCATTTGATTACGACCTCCCCTTACGCATCTATTCCCAAACCGACCGGATGAATGAATAACCATTACGCTATCGGGAAAGACGTGCATGGCAACCAACGCGACACGGCAGGAAATTGGGTGCTCGTGCTTCAAAGGTCGCAAAGTCGAAGAAACCAAAGGCCCAAGTGAAAAACTTTAGGGGAAATAATGCACGTTCCCCTCGTTCGAAAAAGTGCGCCAACCCGGAAGAACAATCCCCGGGAGCGAAGTTACCGGTATGGACTAGTCCGGGTATATAGGAACGGTACTGGTATTTGTAACCACTTGAAGCTGGTTGAATGGCCTCAGACTTGGCTTCAGCCCTACAGCCCTACAAGAGGCTTGGCAGGCTTGGCAACACGTAAATGTGGATTCTATAGTCGATTCTATATCGAAGGAAGGTCCTAGAATGCTCCTTATACTGAACTGAGGTGTATTTGTTTAGATGGTATTGTGTTCCAAATGAATCGAGCTAGATGCTGCATGACAAGGCAGCCATGCAGGACGCAGTACAATACAGTACCGGAAGCTTCGGACAAGAGATAAGAATCGGATCGGATTAGGGATCCCGGCAACGAGAAGAGACGAGACTGGGATCGAACAAAGGGTGAGTTATGAAGGATTCTAACCGTTGAGATATCTCTCATCTACAAGATATCGTTCTAAGAAACTAAATCCTCATCTTATCCCCCTGATGGCCTGATCCCATCCCATCATCCTTCGGCAACACCGCCCGAAAATCCCGAATAGCACCACATCCCACCCCCCAACCCCCGCTAAAACCAACGATGATAACCGATGTAACTTACTTACTTACATCCAGCTAGCCCCGTTCACCGGTCGGAGCAGAATGATTCTCCGGCAGCTGGCCCGCGCCGCCCAAACCTGTTTGTTATAAACCCAGCCGCCCGTTCCCCTATTATCTGATGATCTGATTACTCCATTATCTGATTATCTCGGCCACTTGATTATCTGATCAGGCCGACTCGGTGCTGAACTGTCCAAATGGCCTCTCGGAGGAGCCAATGGAGCCGAATGCTGGTTTTCACCACCTGTCTGCTGGCAGTTTCGGCTTTTAATTATGGATTCAGCGATCAGGCGTTTGCGTCGTGTCAGGCGATGGATTCGTTTGAGCGTCAGTTTGGGGTTTATCATCCTACTACGGGGAAATATAAGGTCAGGCCGATGTTTACGTCGCTGTATAACAGTTTGAAGGCCGCTACGCAGATTATTGGTTAGTGGGGGGTGGTGTGGCGTTGTGTGATGATGGCTGACTCGTTTGGATAGGCGTTTTTATTGGTGGGTATATTAGCAATACGTATGGGAGGAAAATCTGCATTTTTAGTATGAATCTTTATGCCCTGGCGAGTGCGGCGGTGGTGGTGAGCTCGACCACGGATGGGCAGATTCTGGCAGGGAGGGCGTTGCATTGTTAGTATTCCCACCACCATCACCACCGCCACAAAAACCGGGGAAATTCCAATGCAAAGCACTAACAAGAACAAAACAAGACATCTACCTAGGCATGCAAATGGCCGTCATCCCAACCACCCTCGCCGAACTCGCCCCCCGAAACGTCCGCGGCGCCATGGGCGTTCTCTACTGGCTTAGCATCAAAATCGGCGGTCTAGTAGTCACCGGCATCGCACGCGGAACATCCAGCATTTCCACCAACACGGCATGGCGCATCCCCTTCGGCCTGATTCTCGTGATCCCATTCATATGTATTTTCCTCGTATGGATTATGCCCGAATCACCACGATGGCTTCTCCTCCGCGACCGACAAGAAGATGCCTTCCAGGCGCTGAAACGCTACCGATCCCAAAACACGCCCGAGAGTGAAATCCAAGAGGATTTCGATGAATTGGCGCAGAAGGTTGCGGCACAAATGCAGAAGAAAAAGTTCAAGGATTTGTTTACTCCGAAGAACAGAGAACGGACGTTTGTGGTTGTTGCTGCGAACTTCTTCCAGCAGGCGTCGGGGCAGGCGTTTGCGTCGCAGTATGGGACGCTTTTTGTGAAGCAGCTGAAGTCGGTGAATCCGTTTAGTGTTACGTTGGGTACTAATGCGGTGGATATTGGGGCGTTGATTATTTCGACGGGGTTGAGTGATCAGGTTGGGAGGAGGTGAGAACCCCGTATTTTTCGTCGCTGGCGATCGGCATTGGCTGATGAGGGTTTACTTGCAGGATGCTTTTCCATACGAGCGGAATTCTGGAAACGGCTGCGCTAATGACGATGGGTGGTCTTGGGACTGCGGATTCCAAGAACGTGGCTGCCAAAGAGGGTATTGTGGCTATGTTGCTGCTTTACAGCTTTGGGTGGTCGCTTGCCTGGGCGCCGCTGGTGTATGTGCTGGGTGCGGAACTGCCGTCGGCGCCGTTGCGGGAAATGACGCTTCAAATTGCGTATACGATGAAATTGGTCACTGAGTATGTTCCCTCCATTGAGACACCTTTCCCTCATAGTTTCACAGCTACAATGATACTAACTAATATCCCAGATTCGCCGTCACTTTCTCCTACCCATACCTCGAAACCGCCAACGACCCAGGTCACGTCGACATTGGAGGTAAACTGGGATTTATTTACGGTTCGCTATCCGCGGTTTCGGTGATATTTGGATACTTCTTTATCCCCGAGACGAGACGAATGGAATTGGAGGATATTGATAAAAAGTATGATTCGTCGACGGATAGTGAAATGGTGGAGAAGGTGGAGTATCAGCTTGATTCTCAGAAGGAAAGTCATCGAGGAGCGTCGAGACCTGTGGATGCTTGATGGGAATGCCAACTGTGGTTGTGGGTTTACTGCATCTTTTGGTATATAGAAGTCTTTTCATGATAAGTATTGATGCCGCGAAAACTGGTTGTAGATAGCATGATGCCATGAACATAAAAATTTGATTAGCATTTGTGTAAGTCATGTGGTCAGTTCTCCTGGGTCCCGAAGATATATTTAGATCCTGCTGTGCTCGTCAACCATCCATAGCGAGATAAACCGCACTATGAGTTCCTGGACAATAATATCCAAATAATATCAAATTATGACATAGAAAAGAAATCAGAGATCTAATTGGTATTTTTATTTGCATCCGCATCCACAGCTGCAAAGCTGCCCATCCGGTTCTGGCCCGTCTGCCATGAACTCAATGGTTGGAGCGGCTAAACCCTTCTTGGTCCCCGACCACCTCCCATACATTTGACTTTCGGTCGCAACTTTCTGAATAAAAAGAAGACCACCCGCGCATTCTAAACGTGATATAGACATATCTGCACCAAAAAATTTGTCAATTTCAAAAATGACGGACAGTCCCAATCACGCGATCGTATACGGCGCATCGGGGTTGAATGGCTGGGCGTTGATAAACCAGCTCTTGGCTCCGTACCCTTCGGTTCACTCGTTCAGAAAAGTCACAGCTTTCACGAACCGGCCTTTGGATCTCTCGGAGACATATTTGCCAGAGCCGGAGTCGCATCGGCCGCATCTACAGCTGGTCTCGGGTGTTGATCTTTGTGGGTGGGATGGGCCTACCTTGGTGAGACATTTGAAGGAGGAGGTTGAAGATATCGAGGGCGTGACTCATGTTTATTATCTGGGTATGTTTCTATAGTAGTACCAGGCTATTTGGAATAGACTGACCATCAACAAAACAGTGTTCACCGCCATGGATGACGATCTAGAAGAGGTCGCGACCAATCGACGTATGCTGCAGAATGTCATCGATGCTCATAATCAGATCAGTCCGAGGCTGCAATTCGTGGCTTTTGTTGGCGGAACACGGGTACGTGCATTACAGCATTTCAAGAGAAAATAAAACCCCCATGTTTTAACTAATGACATCGATCAGGGATACGGCATCTATTCCCCCGGGGGAACATTCACTCCACCCTTGCACGAAGACATGGTTAATGATCTCCCATCTGACTACGCGAAGACGGTCGTTTATCCAGAGTACCGTGAGATTCTGAAAACATCCAGCAAGGACAAGAAATGGACGTGGTGCGAAGTGTGTCCGGATGCAATAGTCAGTTCTTCTTTCTTATTTATTCTCGGGGAAAAACTAACAATAAACAAGGTCGGATTCACACCCAACGGTTCCCAATTCAGCCTAGCCCTGCATTGGGCACAGTATTTATCACTTTATGCCTACAACAATGGTATTGGACCACATACCCAGGCAAAAGGAGAAAACAACCCCGTCGACATCCCATTTCCCGGCTCCACAGCCGGCGCTACATCGTTATTCAGCCCCGTATCAAGTAATCGACTAGCACGGTTCATGATCTATGCTTCGCTACATCCGGAGACATGTGGAGGTGGTCGACTGTTTAATGTCGCCGATCAAGAAACACCATGCACCTATGGGTCACTGTGGCCTCGGCTGGCGAGCTGGTTTGGTCTGATCGGCGTGGGACCTGCCGAGACTGCTCAGGAAACCGAGCACAACACATTGAAAGTTGGGGAAGTTCCTGAGCGAACTTCTTCGCTAGCGCCAGGGGAGTATATAGCTAAGTATCGGGACATTTTTGCAAAGTATGGGTGTCCGAAGGCTATCACTGGAGGGGTGGGAGCCGGGAACCGCCAGTTGGATAGCGTGGGGTATTGGTTGACTTTCGATCGGCAGATGAGTTTGAAGAGGCTGAAGGAAACGGGTTTTGAGGCGGATAGGGATCCAGTGGGGGGCTGGTTGGAGAGTTTTGCGATGTTTAGGAAGGCGGGATTGATTCTTTAACTGCTAACCGTTGTGTGGGGGCTCTGTGTTTATCTGGTGATGCGCTGGGAGATTGTATAGTGCTATTAACAGTGAATAAATTGAGTAAATCGAACACCAAAAAGAAATAAGTATAACTCTCCCAGGAAATCCTCTTTCTTATAGAAAAGTACTTTTAGGCTCACCAGATTGAGCGCAAAGACAGATTAATACTATCCAACAAGGCAAGTGAAAAACAAATTCCATAAAAATTAACCAAAAACCCCAAACAACCCAACCATTAATAGCAGCAGCGAACACCGCTTCCCTTATTCTTTTTTTATCTTCCCTCCCTTTTTGTCCCTCTCATCACCAACAAACTATTACCACTTCTCACAAACGGCCCAAAAATCATCCACATACCCCGGCAACACACTCTCCCAAAACCCTCCCTCCGCGTTTCCCAAATACTCCACCTCCTTCTTACACACCTCCTCACTAACCAACACCGCCACATCAAGCGCATGACTCGTAATCACCGTGAATATCTGCCCCTTGGCACAAGCAGCATACTCCGCGAACGCTTCGGTGTCTTCGCAGTAGTCTGCTGTTGCACTGCAGTGTTGTTCAACGGCTTTCATGGATTCATCTGTGATGCTGAGGAAGGTTGCGATGCGGGATGCATCAATGCCTAGGTTTGTGGCGATGGTTTGCACAGAGGGCTTGAGGATGGTTTCGCTGATTAGTGTGGTGTATTGCCCGCCGACGACGGGTTTGCATCCGTGGCTGCAGATGGTTTTGTAGTAGTTGTCGTAGGCGGTGTCGAGGTTGGGGCCGATGACGGTGGGGAGGGTTTGGCAGGTGGGGCCGATGAGGGGGTTGGTTATACTAGTAGTAGAGGTGGAGGTGGAGGTGGAGGTGGTTGTGTGGAGGGTTAGGAGGAGGAGGGTGAGGGTTGGGAGGTGGTGGTGCATTTTGCTGTGGGGGTTGGAGATGGATGTGGGTGTGGTTGTTGCAATAATCGTGAATTTAGTATGTTTTGTTTCTCAATTGACTCTGAACAAACCATACAAACTATACAGCAAGGGTCTCTCTCTTTTGTACCCAAATACCTCGCTGCAAAGTAATACTCTTATTTCGGTGGCGTTGACATCTTGAAGATCTTACCGTCATATTGAGATCACCCCTTCGTTCAATCTCATTATTTTCCTAAGTAACATCCTCGTATTCCCTATGGCTTCTGTATTTAGGTTTCAATTTGTGAGGTATATCTGGGGAGAAAAAGAACTCTAGATTGACCGAAAATCCAGCTCAAAGCTCACTGGATCTTGGCGGGGAAATAACCTCCGCATCTCCCGTATCGGATTCTGGGTCGGGTGAAGATTCCGCCCGTGGGTCAGTACGATCGTACTCTATTTGCCTACTGATCCAGGGATTGGATTAATGTAAATCAGGTTCGATGCGGGGTTTTACACAACGTAAAACAGCGCATTCTTGGCGGGTATTTCAGATGTCCGGTACTGCGGGAATCGATGTTGGGCGTTTATGTTATCCAAGGACAGTTGGACAACCTCGTAGATGCGACCACAATTCTTGCAGCAAACGGGGAATGCTCTTTACGTTGACCATGGTTCTTGTGGGTGGATCCGCTGGGAGAGAGTCCCTGTTCGTGATCCGTAATCCCACAGGAGCGGATTTTTTTGCTTTGATTCGCCAAGAGGTCTGTATTTGATTCTCGAGCGATTTGACATGTTCGGCCCAATACCCTGTGCGTAATAGAGGCAGCAAACCGGTCTCGGGGCTGGCGAGGGGGTAGGATGCGGCCCATTTCTCTTTTTCTGCTCGATGATATAGATGCAGGACTTGGCTTGACATTTGCCATCATTACGCATCGAGCATTCAGGCTTCACTTCGGCTATCTAGAAGTGCATCCGATGGCGACTGACACAGCATTTTCAAGTTTGACGACGCTGGCACCCAAAGCATATGGATTTGGAAATTTTGTGTGATTAGTACAATATTTGAAGCCGGAAGAAGGGGATCGTAGAAGAGGATCCGTGGAAGGGGGCTGGAATCTCGGGTATGTGATTGGTCCGCTGGTCATCAAGTTTGATCTTTTGCAGTCTGCTTATCTGACCTTTTCATCAGTTAACCTCTTGATATTTTTACTGTATTCAATTCACTGTTGAATCACATCCTTATCGTCTTGGACGTTCAGTCAATCCTAGTGAAAAAAACCATCCTTTTCCATGATATCTCCAAGCTAGCGCAGCATCATGACTCCCGAGCAGCTTAACCGGGCATACTCACGCTTCGGCAGGCTGCCTCCCCTAAACTTATTATGCAAATACAGGTCACATAAAATCGCGGAGATAATCAATATTCCAGGATTCTATAACCCTGTGCTCAAAGATTTTCCTGCCTGAGGCACAAAGAAATTTAAAGCGGTGAATATTATGCTTGTTTAAAGCTAGGGCCTTCCTAAGGAAGTAGGCGGTAAGCTCCGGAGTAGCAAATGCCGGTGAGGTACCGGCTCCTTCCCAAGACAAAGACAACATTGAAACCACTTTGTTGATGAAGATTTTGATTTTTCTCATACTCCTGTTTGAAAGTATTAGATCTGTCGACTCTACCACGCAATTCCTCCGAAGAACTCATTTTCGTTTCCATTGTCAATGATTCTATGGAAAGGGTGGCATGGAGAGGAGTCCCGGATGCAACGTGCAAACGCCAAGATCATCCCTAGAACTCCATGTACACTTCTAATAATCTGCCGGAACTTTAGCCTTTTCTGCTCGGACTCCGGTTGAGTCCGGTTATGCCCCCGCTTCGCATTCAAGGCGGTATGAAATACTTGTGTCTACATTGAAGTTACACAACCTTATCTACGGAGTACTCCGTACACAATTGATTGCCCAGAAATGTGGTGTTAAGCTGTCTACGTTCAATTGTCCGAGCTTATCGATTCAATGTAGGCAAGATGCGAGCACTTATCGGCGCGGATTGAGGCCGTACGAAGCATTGGCCCAATCATTTTATTCCGGTGGCAGGCTTGAATCTCTTGCACTAACAAAAACCCCCCGGGGTCAGCCGAAGTCCGAGTGAGCTGTATATGAGCGGTCTGGCACGTAGGATAAGCCAAGCAACATCAGTGGAAAACACCCAAAGGTACCTGATCTTCTCCATTGGCTGGCCTTACAGCCGAAGGCTGCCACAGAAGGGCTTGGTAAGTGAATGTGAAGCTTAGAGAGGCTTGTCCACTGCATTGTGGGCTGAGAGGATGGCTTTTTCCAAACTTCCATCATGCCATGACATCCAGGTTGAAGTTTTGCGCAAGTCAATCGATGCCTCGAAAGCACGCCCAGGAGGGATTGATGCTGATTGGGTAGGGCGGTGTTCCTGGCTACCCCACCGCGACCCAATGGGAGCGGATCGATTTACAACGCCCCGCTTTGTTATCACTCGTTCGGGCGCTCCGACTCAGCGGGGTAGAAACGTGTAGTCGATCGGCCATCTTGACTGGTCCGTTATCAGTCTATCCTACTGTGCGGTCACATCGGGCAAGATGTCTGCTGCACGAGACACTCCAGGATAAAAAGCTGCTGTGCCCTGCAGCTGGTTCGAAAATCACGCGCCTTCTCTGCTCCTTTCGCTTCAAGAGCATTGTCCAATGGCTTCTGTGGCTACTCTTTTCGCCCTGGCCGGCCTGGCCGGCCTGGCCGCTGGTGCTACCATCACCACCACGGAGCCCCCGCTCGCTGCCATCCAGAGAGCTCAGGCGACCACCCTGCCTCAGACTTGGTCTTCCAATGTCACGGGTAAGGCCTTTGACCGTTTCTATCAGGTCTGGTTGGAGAACGTTGTAAGTATTCTACGCTACACACAATTGCACGTCCCAATCACTGATGGGTAATGATAGGATTACGTCAATGCTGCCAACGACTCCAACCAACAGTGGCTGGCTAGCAAGGGTATTACCCTGGTCAACTACTACGGTGTTGGACATACCTCACAGCCAAATTACTGCGCTTCTGTCAGCGGTGACAACTACGGAATGGACAATGGTAAAGTGCATGGAGTCTTAATCTATATAATGGCTAATGTTGTTTTCAGACAACTTCCATGATATTCCTTCCAATGTCTCTACCGTGGCCGATCTGCTTAACACGAAGGGCATCTCCTGGGCGCATTACCAGGAGCACCTGCCCTACCCCGGTTTCCAAGGATTCAACTACTCCAACCAGGAGACATACGCAAATGACTACATGCGCAAGCACGACCCATTGGTTATGTTCGATCAGATCTCGAGCAACGATACCGCCTTGCGCCTTATTAAGAACTTCACTAGCTTCTATGATGATATCGAGAACAGAGAGCTCCCACAGTGGGCCTTCATCACCCCCAGTACGTTTTTCGCTAGATACCAACTGCTTATATACTAATCGCCATCAGACATGACCAACGACGCTCACGACACCAACATCACATTCGGCTCCAAGTGGCTGCGCAGCTTCGTTGAGCCTCTCATGAACGACAGCTACCTTTGGGACAACACTCTGCTCCTGTTGACCTTCGATGAAACCGAGACTTACGGTGTTCCCGAGTCCGAGATCTACAACGACCGCAACCGCGTCTTCAGCATTCTCCTTGGAGGTGCTGTCCCCGAGCACCTCATTGGCACCAAGGATGAGACTGTCTACACCCACTACTCCACCCTTGCCACCGTCGAGGCGAACTGGGGTCTTCCGTCTCTTGGTCGCTGGGACTGTGGTGCTAACCTGTTCAGTTTTGTTGCTGACAAGGTGGGCTACACCAACTGGGAGGTGGATCCCACCCACCTTTACATCAACCAATCTCTGCCCGGTCCCCTCGAGCAGTGGGGCTACTCCAAGTACCGTGCCAACTGGCCCATCCCCACCACCAACGACACCTGCTCTGCCGGAAACGGTATTCTGCAGTCCGTCATCGATGCCTACAAGGGCCAGAACCCTACTTACAACTACACTGCTCCTTTCCCCTACGATGCTCCTTACGGTCTGGATGTGAACATCCCCTACACCCGTAACGGTACCACCTACGTCTCCGGTGTCAACACCACCGGTACCGTTGGCTATGACACCAACACTACCACCACCTCATCCAGCTCCTCATCCTCTTCCGTCGCTGTCAGCGCCGGTGCAGCCTCGGCCATGCCCGTTGCTGGCTCCATGGTTGCTGCCTTTGCTGCCCTTGTGGCCTTTTTGTAAATGCATATGTATAGAGGCTGTATGGTAGACGATCTGCCTGGATTTGTTGGCGAAAATGTCTAGTAGTTTGATGATTTTGTTCTATACGAGCCATGAGTGATGTTAGGTGTCTATTAACAGGATAATGATATGACATGACTCAATTTCACCCCGGTTTAATAAGCCCCCGTGTACTTTCGGCTTGAAATAGTACCCGCTCATAACATGCCAGCCAGATTCACTGGTATGATCCAGTGCATAAGTACAATATACCTCTTCCCTACCGCACTAAATATCTTCAATCCCAATACTAGCCCAATGGACCCCAAATGAGAACTGGCACTCTCTAATCAACTACATCACCAACCAACCCACCAAAAAAATATCACATACACCCCAACCGAAACCAAATCGGCATTTCCAACGGCCCGGGACTCTCCACCTCCGCAGCCGTACAATCCTCTGTAACAGGCTGTCGAAACAACAAATCACTTTCATCCCCACAATTCGTGCCCGAACTATTATACACTTCGAATGATAGCGTGAGACCCGCGTCGCAGGAATATGAGTCGTCTATGTTGAACATTTGGAATGAGCCGGCGTAATCCCAGTACCCATAGTTGCAGGCGCCTAGGGTCGGGTAGACCAGTGACCAGGAGATTTGGCTGCAGTTGTAGTCTTTGTAGATGAAGAGGGCGGGGTAGGTGTAGAAGTAGGCGGTTGTTGGGGGGAGGATGGTGGTGAGAATCGTGAGGAGGGAGAGGGAGAGCTGGGGTGGGGATGGATGTGTTAGACTTGGAGGGGGGGAAGAGAGGGGAAGGGGGGTTGTACCTTGGGGATGGAGAGCATGATGGGTTGGTGGGTTGGTTGGTTAAGTTTATTTGGGAAGGGTGTAACTGGAGTTCGGGATACTAGGTTGAGTTCGAGATGTGATGATCATATTTATATACTATTAGTGCCCCGCAACTCGAAACATCAAGTGATGATGTTTAGGGAAAAGGAAACCAATTGTCCGGTCTATCCAGCAGAATGTCAATACGTTATCTAAACTACCATTCATGTGTCTGGTCCATCTGTGAGCGTGGCTTGATGTGGCTGGCAACTAACTAAGCATGTCTTAGGAAAACTGAAACAGGTGCAATCAGAAGGAGTGAGATGGGTGGTGGTGAGGAAAATAAGCTGCATAAATCCCTCATTGACGAATGGCAGCACAGACTGTCGATCTTACTGTGATCCTTCCAAGTGTTCCGATTGGTATAGACTAGAAACAAGAACACTGCCATCTCTAAACAGCAAAGATAAGGCGCCCCATACTACGATATTTTCCGGCTACTTTGGATCTCACTGGCGTCGTGTTTGCTTCTTTTCGTTCTATATAGATGTCACAATGACTCCTGGCTCTGTAAAATAGATCAGAATTCGACAGCGACATCCCGATAATTTCGGATATTCAATCGGCTTCTCCATGGAGGATTGATATTTTAATGACGCTGCATGGAAATGAAGCACTCGGGGTCCTACACCGCATAGAATTTATATATTCATTGCATGGTCATATTCAGACTTGGCGATAAGGTAGTAAGCTAAACTCATGAGTTAGGGGGTCGTCTTCCCTTTATATCTCTCTGACACATCTAAGGGGTCCACAATATGTGTTACTCGAGTCCACACTGTCTATTCTCAGTGAAGCGCAATCCTCAAGTGTCCTAATCTGGCCCCTGTGTTCGGTCCAATTTTCATCCGCCCAGCCATGTGACTCCTCCGGTCTCGCACGGTCGCACCTCGCGATAAACCCCGCAAATGCCGGCGGTGAAAGAACTCGCGGGGTTGGAACCCGGCTGTCATGTGAACCAGAGCGCGGCTGCACTTTCATCCGTCGGGCAGATGTTACGCCGTCAGTCTCCATAAAGGTCCATCAGCTCCACCGCTGCGCCGCGCCAAGATGGACGAGCAAGGATGAGCCGCATTCCAACTGGCATCATCCGACCGCTGTGCCTATCCCTATTTATAGCGATTTCGACATGGGCGATAATGAATCCCTCAGTCTGGGTCGGAACCATGAGCGATAACATCAATGCTCCAGGCGATGCGGTTCTCGAAGTAGCACCATGGCAAAGACGGGACGATGTCCCGGGGACAGAAGCATACAATGAGGCTTTCCGGGACTCCCTGACTCACTAACGCCCGTGTGTAAGCACTAAAACTGATTGTACTTGACTTACCAAGTTGCCAAGCAGCCATGCTTCAATACACAAATAACTTGGTCCTACCATTCTGGTCAGTCGCTGTCAGGAAATGCAGCTGGTCGCTCCGGAAGGAGAGCATGCGGGGCTATAGAGTGGCCTCGTCATAACCAAGAGTGTAGTTCTCGTGCTCCATATCACATTGTTGGTTTCAACTGCATGGATCTACAGCCCCATCGGGAGGATCGATCCTTCGACGGTCGATCCGCAATATTCTCTCATTTAAACATTGTGTCATCCTCCCTCGCATCTCTCTTCCTCTTTCTCCTCATACGTATGATAAGATGGTCTCACTCAAGGCAGTACAAGCATCCAACGCAGGCCTCCGGGCACTCCCCAACATCACCGCCCTGTTTGTCGGGGGAACCAGCGGCATCGGCCAAAGTACATTGCGACAGCTAGCCCGTCATGCCGACAGCCCGACGGCCTATATCGTCGGTCGCAACCAGGCCCGCGCCTCCCCATTTCTGTCGGAACTGCACGAATTGAGTCCTAAAGGTCGCTTTCACTTCATCGAGGCGGATGTCTCACTGGCGCGCAATGTCGATGTCGCATGCCAACAAATACTCAATAAGGAGAAGCATCTCAACTTTCTCTTCATGACCCCCGGAGGTATCTCCCTGGGAGGCCGAAACGGTGGGTAAATCAACATTCCATTCCCATCGGCCGCACATGACTAACACATAAGGAGCAGAAACTATCGAAGGCATCGACTACCTATTCGCCCTCCGCTATTATTCCCGGATACGCTTCATACAAAACCTCCTTCCACTCCTCGAGTCCTCATCGGGTCCCAGTCGCGTCGTCAGTATTTACGGCGGCGGCTTCGAGTTCTCCATCAACACCTCCGACCTCGACCTCAAGCATAACTTCTCCCTACTCAATGCCTATAAGCACTCCATTACCATGACCTCCACAAGCATGGAACACCTCTCCAACACCCACCCGAAGGTCAGCTTCGTCCACGCGTACCCGGGCCTTGTGGGCACCAATATCTACAATAACAGTTTCCCGTGGCCGATCTCGTCTTTCTATAACTACGCCATGTGGCCGTTCTTTCAAGTGAATCTCCAGGAAAGCGGCGAGCGGCATTTGTTCCATCTCAGCTCCGCCCGGTATCCGGCAAAGGAGGGAACCACGAACCAGGGCGTTCCCGTGGACTCTGAGGCGGGTGGTGTGGCGACTGGAATCACTGGACATGTGGGTAGCGGTGCGTATCTGCTGAATTGGAAGGGGGATGTGAGCTCGAGCAATAAGATCCTGGCACAGTATCGGGAACAGGGAGTACCGGAACAGGTGTGGAAGCATACCGAGGAGCTTTTGGCGGAGGCGGTTCGGAGATGAGACGCTATTGATGAGGTGCAATCGTAGGATGAGAAGAGATATGGACGGACGAATAGTATATACATTGTACAGCAGAGAAATGTGAGCCTACTTTAACATATCTCTCACCAGCACCAGATAGCTATATGCTCTGCACACAGGCGACAACAATGTTGGATCAGGTGATGCCTAGATAGAGTCTAGCGCCTTGCCTCTCGTTACTCTCCTTCCGTCACTCCCGGGAAAGTCATCGTTCCGATTCCTTAGATACGGCGGATCTGGTTCCCCCCACAATCGCAACATCTAGTTCGATGTGCGACATGTTGCTTGTGACCTTGAAACTTCTTTCATCGTCCTCTGTGAGTTACAGACCCGCATCCATCTCGCTAGCTGCCTGAGCCATCAAGGCGGCTCCCACCCCGGAGCCGTCTTTGGCCATACTGATCTGAACTCGTTGCTCCCCAGCTGGTCCAACCTCCGGTACATCTCTCAACGCACCGCGCATGTCAGTCTCGAAAGAAGGGTAATATTCGATCAGCGACCCATCGGCCCCGATGTCAATGATTTTATCCAACTTGGACCCGCGTGATGGTATAGGAGCGGACGGCTTCTCAACGGACGAACCCATTCCTGTTAGACGCAACAACCGGCGCCAGAGCAGAGTCGCTCCGGACTTGAAGCGTTCAGAATGGTGCATGGAATACTCAGCGCCGGAAGCTTGGACTGCTGGCATCTCGAGTCGGCCGCTTTGGATGACGATGGCAGCCAATGACGCACCCGCTAACCGGGCTGCTCGTCGGCCGATAGCTGTGGCCAAAAGTTGAATGGCTCGTGCATCAACTTCGCTGACATTCTCCGCAGACAATGTGTTTTGTATGAGTTGGATAATGTTTTCGGTGTTGTCTGAACTTGCCTTTGCAAGTTCCGAGAGAAACGAACTGTCGATACCGTCGCGTTGGAATACCCCCGATGCGTGGTTGCACGTCATGGCAAAGGCATTCTCGCGTATCAACTTGAAAATCACCAACCGAAGCAGCTCCCCTAGGTATAGACCTGAGACTCGTTTCTCTAGCATCTGAATGCCTGGATCGGCCGATGCCTCATCCAGCTCGTCGTCGAACGAGGTTCGCGGTAAGACTTCCATCTGGTCATCGAAGCAGCCCCATTCCGTATTGACCACCATGATCTCGTCAGGCTTTGATTCACCGCTGAATCTGCTCACGTTGGACAGCTTCTCGACATAGGCAGCATTGGTTCCCGTTCCGAAGATAACCGCAGCCAGGGTGGAGGCCGTTGGTCCCGAGGTGTAGGATCGAGTCAGAAGCGTACCAACGCCATCATTTGCAAGGACCGTCACGACAACTGGAAGTCCCAGGCGGTCGATCGCTTCTTGTAGCATCTGACAGGGATCTCGACCTATAGCATCCGGAATATCCCAGCCTTTGTCCCAGTGGATAAGACGACCGCTTGCGAGCGATGTTTGCTCACAAGTGAAACTGAATGTGAAGCCTAACTGGTACGGCTGTTGATAGTTGTTGCTGATGCCCTGGGAGAAACACAAATCTGGTTGCGCAGCTAAGAAGTCCGCAATCCGGTGCGCTATGAAATCGAAAAGAGGTCGATAACTGGGGCTCACCATGACCCCTGGCGGCACACCATGCTTACTTTGGACTACAGTGAAGATTGAGTCACCGTGCAGGCTGACTAGGCATATCCTGCAATTGCTGCCACCGAGATCGACAGCTAAGAACTTGCCTTTCTCCCTGCCTGTGGGCACGCGTCGCACATAGGAAGGTAACTGCCAGACGCGCTGGTGGGCGAGTCCATCCCCTGAAGATACAATGTTAGCACAACTGGCTACCAGAGACAATTACTGTTGTGACCTCACTCATCTGGTGGACAAAATGGTTCGTCACTCGCCTCACATCATCCGGACAGAGGTCGAATTCGCGAGCTATCTGTTCTGCTTGAGCCAACAAGCTCAGTGACTGCGTTGACATTGCAGACGACTGGAAGTGGGACTTTGATGCACCACAGCGATCTTGATATTATCCATAAGCGATCCATTTTTCGGGGGTTCAAGTATTAGAGGTCGTCGATCGTGGCCTCAGCTGGTCAGCCTTAGGTGTCGCGCTCGCCTCACGATGGCACAAAGGCCGGGATTACCGGGCGGGCCCGGATCACTCCGTAGCGTCGGACCGATATTTCTGCGGCCGATAAAGGCAACACCGGCAGGGATCCGGACTTTGCCGGCTCACGTCCCACATTCCATGTCGCCTAACAGACGAGAGAAAACATGCCAGACAGCCACAGAGTCCCTTCTGATGACCGGGTGCAGAAGACCCCAAAGGCTTGCAGTCAGTTCCCTTACCCGCTCTTTTGCCTCAGGCATAAGGTCTGAATGGGAAGCTCATCATGGCACGTTAAATCATAGTAAATTGCCGACGACAGAAGATGAAATGTGTGATAGAATCCAACGATACGTGTCGTCGCTGTCGTCGCTCTGGTCTTCCTTGTATCTTTGTCCCCCGAGCTAACGCCGCCACCCTACCAGACGGGATCATGGCTACACGAGACGGTGATTTTAAGGATGATGTCCTTCGTAGGCTCCGCATCATTGAGGATAGGCTGGGTCTTTCCGGTGCATCGAGACCCGCAGTGGAGTCACCACCTTCCCACAATGAAGACATTTCGCCGGACTTTAGTGGTTTGGGTGCGCTATGGGATGCAGTTGTGATCCTTGAGAGGACGGCCCCCAGTTGGATTCCGGGTTCCGTCTGGCGCAAGAGTACCGTCAAGGGCCTTTGGTTATCGTAAGTAGACGCTGCCGGGAATGTTAAGGCAACCTAATAATTATAGATTTCATGATCGCATGCCTGGTCTCCATTTTATGCCTCGCAAGCAGACCTTCTCAGCACCCCAGCCTTTACTCGTGGCGTCGATTCTGTTCTGCTCTAGCGTGCGTGGCCCACCGGATGTCGCCGAGCAGGCGTCACACTATTTATCGGTGGTCTGCCACGCGATCGCGCAGTTGAGTATTCCAGGTAGTGAGGTGGGAAAGGTGCCCGGAGACCCCGAAGAGTGGGCATTTCAGACCGTGCTCGGCTTGGTCCTAGCAGGACTCCTCACAGAGGCGGTTCATCGAGAAACTGGAATTTGGATCTCGATTGCTTACCGCCTCATCTTGGAAAATTGCCCCGCCCACATCGATGAGACCTCCCGGGAATGGCGCAAGCTGTTCAGTGGGTTGCAGATCATTGATTTGGAACATGCCTCGCTTCATCTATCCTGTCCCATCATTCCGATCGAGTGTCCGCTGCTCGGGTTACAGACGTCCAACCGGGATCAGCTGTACCGACTCTCTCGGATGATGCATACGGGACTGACACATTTCACCGGGAGGGGTCTACCTACCATTTGGTCGTGCTTTACAGGTCAAATGCCGGGTCCGGGAAGTTCGACGAGCAACTTCACCGCCGTTGACGCGGCGGTAATCCGGGACTGGGCCCGGCAGTTGGATGAATGGTTGGTCGAGTTCAGCCATAGTGCGGAGGGCTCGGAGCAGGATCTTAAGCTAGTCTTTCGCCAATACGTGCTACACAGATTGGTCGTTCTGTCGATCTATCATCCGGCTAGGGGCTGTGATCTCTGGTCCAACAGTACCACGCCACAAGAGCAACAGGAGCTACTTCTATCGGCGAGAGCCACACTCAAATTGCACTCACACGATGACTCAATTTGGTCCAATTGGGACCAAGTCATGATCACCTGGGCGGCGCTGATTGTGATACAAGGTATCGAAGGAGGTGCTGGCGAGCCAGACGGTAAGTCATTTTTATTGGGAATAAAGATACCAAAGCGGTTATACCTCTCCATAATGGCTGACTAACTAGATCTTCTCGGCATACGAATCCACCTGGAAAAGCTCAAGCAGGTGATGGGACTCGGCGACAAACTCGTTGCCCGCTTGGAAGCAAGTCTCACTAATGTCCACACGCCAGTCGGGCCACAGGACGGCGCCGCGGATACCGGGATAATGGGCCCTGCGGACCAATCCTGGCAAATCTTTGACCAAGCTAGCTTGCAGTCGATGATGTATTCGAACTGGATGGCCTAAAATTACCTCGACGGGCGAATCGGCGTTTACGCTCGCACGCATGGATTATGGCGGAGAGCTCAGATGAATTTGGGATTCAATACAAGAGGAGATGCTAAGAAGCTCGCTTCCATTGGCCATTCCATCTATGTTGGGACACAGTATTCGTTCCATCTGTTCTCCAGAGGGCTAGCGGTATATCGTTTTGGCGTACTGGTAAGAACGCGACAGGTTACTAGGTCCTGGCCCCAGCCCAACGCATTGCGAAGCGCCTTAGTAAGTACCATACAACGCATTTCTAAAAGCAGCCAGCTAAGGACAATCTAGAAGATTAAAAAGAGCCTGTGAAACGCTTTGTGAAGGATTCTATCAAGCGCTTCTAAAAAGCTTTCTTAAGAGCTTCTAAAAGGGCTTTCTCAAGCACTCCTAAAAAGCTCTCTCAAGCATTTCTAAAGGGCTCCATTGAGCGCTCCTGAAAGGCTCTGTTGAGCACTTCTAAAGAGCATCTCCAAGCACCTAAAAACGCAGTGCTTCATTCCGACCTACAGTCTGCATCTATATAAAGACCTGATTCAGACCTCCAGTTTGAATATAGGCTGGGAACCCTCCCCCCTCTCAGACCCCCCTACCACTGTAGGGATTGAAGCGGTGAGTACTGGCATAAAACAAGTCACATTAAGAGTGTTTAAATAGGTCACTAGAAGGTCAGAATTTGGGTAAGTTATTGGATCAATGAGAAGCCTTGGAGCTGGCAACTTCCCTAGCAGGACCAGAACCTAGTATTGCTCAGCGCTAGCGCGCTTCGCAAATGAGCCTGGTCCTGGTTTAGGAGTATCACATGTGGGTACTAAGTGGAGCAAAACTAGCTCCCACGAAGGTTGCAAGTTGGAGTCCGGGTCTAGTCAACCTGAGACCGTGGCAGACCGCATAGAGTCATAAGCCCACACATCTTCCTAACAGCCGGTTCGAGGGGGCAGTGTTGGGACACAGTTTTCGTTCCATCTGTTCTCCAGATGACTAGCGGTATATCATTTTGGCGTACTGTACAGAACGCGACAATCTATATCGACATCCAATCCGCCAGACTATTCCATCGCTCGCGTAATCTTCTCCCTATACTTCGCACTGCCAACGAACCACCACGCCAGAATGAGGATGATCAGCCCACCCACCACAACACACGTATAGTTCATATTTTCCACCGTCACGGGCATATTGTACGGGAAGCTAAAGAAGACAATGGCAAATATTAACCAGGCGAGCGTGACGCCATTCACGAACCACCCCCATTTGGCCATATAGAACACGCCCCGGTGCATATTCGCTCTCCCGGTCAGCATGTTTGTGGAAATGGGAATCAGGTACGCGACGTTGTTGATGGTCACGGCCGCCCCGAGCATACTGTTGAATGCGGTACTACTGCCCAGGTACAGACAGCCTAGGGCGGCATTGGCGGCTGCGACCAATAGCTGGGCGTTGAAGGGGATGCCGAAACGCTTGCTGACGTGCGCCCAGGTACGTGAGAATGGCATGGCATCGTCGCGCGCAAACGCCCAGAGGACGCGGGATGTGGACAGTTGCGACGACACGACGCAAGGACCGAGCGCGACAAAGAGAATAAAGGTCAGACCAAAGGCACCGCCTGCGGACTGGGTGACTTGGTGGAAGAGTTCGGCCAGAGGTAGGCCCGTGTTGGTGGTCGATAGAGCGGCGTAGTCTTGCACGCTGAACATGAGGGCGATGAGGTAGGTGAGGCCGGTCATGAAGGCGATCGTTATGGTGATGCCAATTGCAAGGGGAGCATTTCGGGAGGGCTGGGAGATGTCAGGTATGAAGGGAGGTTGGGATTGGGGCAACATACGTTCGGCATCTCTTCGGTGATATGGGTGACGCCATCGAGGCCACCGAGACTGTAGAGCGGGTTGACGAGGCCTGTGATAAAGCAGATGCCGTTGCTGCTCCACCCAGTGTTGTTGATCCAAGTTCTGAAGACAAAATCACTGCTTTGATACGTTGGGGCACATGCGACCACTGTGACAAGGACGACGAGCCACCCGATTTGAAGATAGAAAAGGGAGAACTTGTTGAGTGCCGGGATGATCTTGTTCCCAAAAAGAACCACGGCCGCCGTGAGGAGGTTCAGGATCTGGTAGATCACAAACGTCTGCCACGTTTTGATCACCAGGTTGGGGTGGTAGAGCGCATATAGCGCCTGGACTAGGTCACTGTCAGTGTGGGTATGCAACTGGGACTTGCGATACTAACCAACTTCAGCGAAGATCAGATTCGTTGAGGCAGTGGTGAAGATCCCTACAGGAAGGTTAGCTGCAATCTGGCTTTAGAAGATAGTCAGTATGGAACATACAACCACAGACGGTCAACCATCCGGTGATGAAACTCAAAAACGCGCTCCATTTCCTCGGCGCCACGGCAGCAATCCAGTGATACATGCCGCCCTCAGTGGGATAGCTGGAGACAAACTCTGCCAGGGAGGCTCCGAGAAAGGACTGCAGCAATGTAACAAGAATGAAGCCATATATGATGGCACTCGGTCCACCGGCGTTGATCTCGGTGACGATGCTCAGCCCCAGCCCGGTCCAGGAGATGGTCGTCGTGGAGGCCAGACCGATGAGGGATAGGATGCTAAAGTGTCGCGTGAGCTCCTGCGTGTGGCCTTCTGATGGTTAGTACAGATTTCGGGAGAGGTGGCCGGCACATACCCATCTGGGCCAGTCGTTGCTCGTCTGCATCCAGTACGGAGCCATCTTTGGCGTGGATGACAGCCTCTTTGGTAGCAATGTCGCTCATGATGCTGTTCGTTTGTGCGACCGAGGACAGATGGTGTCGAAATTTCCTCGTGGCACCACCACTGTTTTATCGAACATCATCCTGAATGCCGATAACTCGTGGTGGCATGAGTTCCTGCCGGGCCCACCAGAGATACGAGGTCCCTTGATAAGTGCGGGGGAGGTTGGGATAACCACGCGATAACCGGAGAGATAATCAATGCCGGGATCGGCCGGGTTTCGCCGGTCCATGGCTGCATCAAGTCCCACTTCGGGTTATCTTTCCCCGCATCCTCATCAATTCAAATTAATCCAAGCAACTGTGCCGATAGCCGGCAAGAGGGGTCCAGGGTATAAGACCCAATGGAACGATGCGGCCTGTCGGAAGAATTGCCCGACACATACCAATATGCGGTTGGTTCGGATCTTCAGCTTGGCCCTGCTGGGGGCCAGCGCCGTACAGGCGGTCCATTTGAGCCAAGATGCACAGGATCTCTTTAGCGAATCGATGACGCTCCAGGATGCCATTTATGATCCGGCAGCCTCTTACCTACACTATTTCTACTATCCCCTCGCCGCAGGCCCGCACGAGACCCGATCGACCGTCTGGTATTCGGCGGGGCTGCTCCAACGCAACCGTGGCAGCGATGTCCAGGAGGCCGTCAAGATCCTCGAGAAGGTTATCGGAGATCAAGAGAAGAACACGTCGGTGCAGTGGTATGGGGACTACACCGTCTACCCCGAACAGCCCACCGTTGACACTCCGGCGTACCCCCCGGTGATCTATAATTCCTGGGATCCCAACTGGAGAGGATTCATCGGAACCGCATTGATTGTCATCTATGAGGAGTATGGAGATCTCTTGCCGGATCATGTGCAAGATCTGATCCTCGAGAGCTTGTACAACAACACTGTCGGCGATACCTACCGGGTAGGCGGCGTTGACGGCGACAACTTGTATCCCGCCTATTCCAACGCGTGGTTGATGCGGACAGTGGTCAGTTCTTGGACCGGGCGCAAATTCAACAACGCCAACATGACGGCGGCAGGAGACAATGACGCTCGCGAATTTCTCGCCCTCTTCGATCGCAATGGCACCTTGTCCGAGTTCAATGGCCCGACCTACGCCGGAGTCTCCCTCTACGCTCTCACCATCGGCGCCAAGTACCTCGGCTCGACCAATTCGACCATCGGGCAGAACGCCGCCCGCGTGATCCGGGAGATCTGGAACTACGAATCCCTGCTGTGGAATGCCAACCTGCGCAACTTTGCTGGGCCCTGGGATCGCTCGTATGGCTACGACATGAACAAGTATGTGGCCATTATGTCGACTTGGGTGTGGTCCTTGGTCGGAAAGGGGACCGTGTTCCACGAGACGTCTCCCATCTGGACGATGACACACGCCGACGATTTTGAGATTTCGCCACTCATCGCCATTCTGTCTGAATTCCACAAGACTCTCATTCCAGAGTCTACCCTCTCGCGACTGACCTCCTTCCGCGGCGAGCACACCTACAGCGGACACGCCTATGCGCCTCCGGCCGATCTCGAGCCGCGAAATATCACCACGTGGCTATCAGCGAATTTAACCATCGGCACGGACTCGTTCAACCAGAGCGTCGTGGGCGGCTATTCCGAGGACTCCACGTCGTTCAGCCCATCAGTCATCCAGTGGCTCCGCCCCGACGGCTCGGTCGGCTACTTCAACCTGTATCCCACCGAAACGGCCCTGCAGGCCGAAGTCGCACCGTACGCGCTGAACCTCACCTATCCCCTCGGTAACGCGTCAAGTACGTTTACATTTGTACTGGCGTCAAACCCGCTTGGAGGAAAGCGTGATATCAGCGGATTCGACGATGTGGATGGTCTTCAAATCGAGGTGGTGGGCGGATCTGTCGATCCGGTTCCGGCGATCTCGTTCTGTGGACTTGTCGGTGGTGCTTGCGATATTATCCAGTAAGTTTCCCTTATGCAACAATTTGTGAAATGATGTGTGCTAACTGTAGCAGTGACTTTGAGTTCTGGAATGTGACCTTTTCTATGCCGGTGAATAGTTCGGATGTGCCGAGTGTCCAGTTCAAGTTTGCGTTGTAGAGTATTTTTGGCCTTGTACATAGGAGGATAAGCTACGAGTTTAACGATTATTTATAGTGGCGTTGATCGTCTGCTACAAAGACCAAGAACGCACAATTTAACAAGAGGTGAAGTAGTCCATAACACTGATGAGTTATTTCCTTCTAGCAAATGCTATGAAACAAAAGGCCCATCACTCAAAAGTAGCCTTGGGTGAAGTGTGACAAAGTTGTCAACAGGTAAGATCGAAGGACCAGGATGATATTCTTTCTTTTTATCTTACAGATTGGTGAGGGATTTGTTCTTCTACGAATCAAAATTGGTTACTCGTAGTGGAGGTCAGAATAATACCAAAAATAAGTAGATTGTGGACTTCGCTGCATGCGGCGGATCGATCTGTCCATCTTGTCCTGAAGCGGTTCGATGGGAAGTCCCAGATTTCTTGTTTTCCCCCAGTAGTTAGAGAAAAGGAGAATATAATCTCTCCAGACAATATGCAGCCAATAATAGTGCTTGCCAGCAAGTTACTGCGCAAAGTTTCCCAAAGCACTCTCCACCACCGAAACCCCCGACCGCATCGTCAAATCCAACCTTTCCCTCTCAACTGAAGGATTCACTTCAACCAGATCCATCGCCACTAGGGAGCCCGTTTCCCGGACCCGACGAGCAATTTCCATGCCCTCTTCCAGCGACAGCTTCCCGTCAACCGGGAAAACAGTGCTAGGTGCAACGGTCGGATCCAGCGAATCGATGTCGAACGATACATGGATGGGGGTATCGTCCCCAATATAATCCAAGGTCATGTCCATAATCTTCTGAATACCATTCCTCTTGATTATCAGTACTGCTGCAATATAAGTTCAACGTCGAAGAGGTAGATACTCACTCTCTAGCAGCCCGCATATCAAACGCCTTGATCCCTCTCTCCCGGATGATCCTCCACTCCTCATCATCCACATCTCTTAACCCAATATACACCAATCGATCAACATTCACCAAATGCTCTCGTTGAATCCAGTCAAATAGACCCGTGGAACATCTCTTTGCCACACCGGTCGCGAAAGTAACAGGCATGCCGTGCACATTCCCACTCCCACTAGTCTCAGGGGTATTAATGTCCGCGTGGGCATCAACATAAATGACAGCCATTTCAAGACCATTCAGCCGTTCACGAGTGGCTTTAGCTGCTCCCGTGATGCTCCCAATGGCGATGGAGCGGTCTCCGCCAAGAGTGAGGACCATGCTACCCTGTCGTGCGTGGTTGTATACCTGTTCGCTGAGGGAGTGGGTGAAGGAGCTGATCGCGTGTGCATTGTTTAGTCCTAGAGGGTATGTTTGTGGCACAGCATGGGCGGACGTGTCTTTTGGGAGACATTCGTTGTAATCAACATCGTAGTGCAGGTCACGGAGATTGTTGAGAAGGCCGAATCTCACGAGGGAGTCGGGTGCAGCTTCGGGGCCTGGTCGAGGCTAGAGGAATCAAAAGGCCAGGATAAGTTTCGGTGGATTTTTGTGTGGGATGTTCGTACCCCTCCTGCAGAGCTCTTTGCACCGATGATGCGTAGAGATCTGGGGTTTGTGAGGAACTTGGGGAGGGTGGAGAGTCGCTGCGCCATCTTGTTCGGTTGGGGAGTATTGAAGTATGTTTAATTCGAAAAGTATGAGCGTGGGGTGAGTTTCACAGTTCCTAAGTCTCTGTTACTGGATATACGTTAGAGAGAGGTAGACAAATGGAAGACCTGATGGGATAATAAAGCTTACCAGCTGCGAGAGTCATCAGACCCACTCGCGAAGACTTAACTTTAACGGACGACCCACCCTTCTTCAACCGGGGCCATCTCCGCTTCGCTCTTAAAGTTAAGTGCAGCCGGGGATGCCTTCAAATTTTCTTTTCTTGGTGTTTCTACTGGAGCAAAAGTTTTCAAGATCCACCGATAGGATTGTTTTGCTACGACTTTGCAGACGGCTTGAATGGGCAAATGCTGGCTAAAATACACGGCATTTCGAGAATGCTAACTGTTGCATAGCAACTCCAATCATTGATGCTTGAATAATCTGCAGAAGGCTTCTAGAAGGCCGGTGGAAACAAACCCCGCATCTCCTGGCCTTCTCTATCAGGCACCGATTCACGTGTCATCCCCGGCCTCTTCTCTTTCTCTCTCTCCCCGCTCAATATTATCCTTCACTCTTCACACACCGACAGCAACACAATCAAGGCAGTAAGCCGCCTCGCTGACTACATGATCCCTCCTCTCGCCTGAACCTCGGTACGATGCATCCATCTTGCTACTGCTACTGCGATCGGAAGCTCAGGACTGGAATGACAGACAATCAGCCTTCACGTTTTTAGAAGTCCAGCCAGTTTTGTTGCATTGCTCCGCTCGTCTCTTTTCTTTATCTGTCTGACTTGGTGTCTTTCGATCGATATGGCAGGAGCCAAGAAACAAGGACATCCCGTCCTAACTCTCTGAATGCGTTTGACAAAGGTATGGATTGATCCTTGCAGGCTAGTTCTTACTGACTGAGAGTCGGAAGAAACTTCAGGTCCATTATTATCCACGGAGTCGATCTCAATAATAGCAGCAAGAATTAGGCAAGGAAACAAGATGGCGCCCCAACATCCATGTAGCCAGCTCAACTAGTGTTGAGACAAAGAGCGCCATGCAAAATCCGCATCATCCCTGAGCAACGTGTCTATAAGAACCATAACTCGAATCCATCTCGAGATCAGTGTCCTGGCAGTTGCCCTGCAACCCCAATATCAACTCCCTCGCTTCCTGCTGACTCAGGCCATACCAAAGCATAGCCCAGCCACCATAATGAAACCTCCCCGTTGCGCGAGCCGAAAACCAGTCAAGCCTGCCATCATTCTCCGGGACATTCCACACCAACTTGGGAAAGTCCTTCGTGATCCGGAGGAACATGTCATCCGCAACCGCATCAGAGTCCACACTCCGGTTCGGAAACGTGACCAAGCGCGGCGCACTCCCATACCCAAACGACACAATAGCCAACGGGCTCATGTTCGCCGGATCCTGGAAATACATCTTGAACGGCCGATTGCTCCTCATCTCCTGCACACAGAACCTCACCTCGTCGTCCCCAGCGCCCTGCTTTCTCAATACCCTCACCAACCTTCCCTCATCCCTGAACTCCGCAGAAGTTGTACTCAAAATCCTCGTACCCCTTTCGATCCGCGTCCCCGCCCCAGACGCCACAAAAGCTTCCCTCTGCAGATCCACGGGATGCACAATCGACACACTCTCCATCCCAGGAAAATCCCTCAACAGCTCCGACACAGCTTTGATCTTCAGCCGAGTCCCATACTTCACCCACTCTTGCGCCATGAGATCTTCATATTCCTCGGCCAAATTGATCCTCTCAATCATCTTCCCGGTAACCCCATGCATCAACCCCCCTTTCTCCGCCAAATAAACCACCTTCTTCGGCCTCAACACCCTCGCCAACTCCACGGCCGCAACATCCGCATTGACATTCAACACCTGCCCATCCCCAGTCTCAGCCATCGAAGTAAGCACGGGCAGACAAGCCGCTCTCACGGCCGACATAATCCCCGCCTTCTCAACTTCCCTTACCCTCCCCACAAACCCATACCTCTTCCGATCCAAATACTCCGCCCGAAGCACTCCCGCCGTAATCGGCCTCGCTGCGACCCCAGCCGCTTCCAACGCCTGCACCAGCCTCAAATTCTCCTCCAGAAATAGCCGGCGCGCAATCGCCAACGTCTGCCCATCCGTAACTCGGATCCCGTCCTCGAAGCGCGGCTCCACGCCAGCGTCCTCTAGGATCTGGTTCAGCTGAGGCCCAGCGCCGTGCACGATGACGGGGTATAGGCCGACACAGCTGAACAAAGCGAGGGTAGATGTGAGAGTTTGCAAGTGCGAGGTGAGAATCGCGCCGCCGACTTTTATTACCGCGAAGGGATGCGCTGGGGAGTGTGTGGAGGCGAAATGAGTCAGGTATTGATTTGCTGTGTGGTGGGAGTCAATATGATTAAGGAGTTGGGCGATCGTAGACCGGGTAGCAGTTATTTGGTGGTCATGAGAAGGTGAGTAGTTTCGTATTTGTTTGTGGCCATGGCCATGTTGAAACGGGATGAACAACGGATGTTGGGACAAAATATTACGAGTTGTAGGTTGTCCTGGAATGGACAGAGCCGGACGAAGAAGCGACATGATGTCGTTTCGTTTCTCAGTGAAAAGAATCTTTAGAATTAAACCGACAAAAACTGCGCAGAGTGCAATGGTCATGAGAAGAGGGGAGAGGGCTACCTGAGGGATTTATATCCCCCAGACCTCAACTACAAAGTAACACCGAAAAATACCTCAACCGCAATTCGCGTCATTTAATCAAAGCCACCCTTATTAGTAGCCGGATATACTCAGACCCGACGCGATCTTATCCTAGATACAGCAGACAACAAGCAACCCTCGGGCTGGCGCGAACAATCTATACACAACGAACGATCGTGTTTGGGCTGGTGTGGCCCGCACGGACCAACACCCTAAGGTCTGTTCTTCAGGCACTAAACCCGCATCGACATGTCACATCCGCCCTTCCTCATGCATCACATGCAGTTACCCCTCCGGGAAGCTATTTCTGGAGCTGTGCTTCCTCATCCAAGCACCTCGGACAAGTACACGTAAAAGTGAACAGGTCCTGCGTCTTTTGGCGACGAGCCTGCAAGTCAACATATTCGGACAGGTCAGAGTAGGATGTACAGCACTCTTCGCCGGGAGCGATGTCACGGAGGGCAGTGACCATCATTCGGCCACGGTCGTCGGCTTGATGTGTCACCTGAGCACGTGGGGGTTAGTGAGTGGTCAGCCTGTAGACACGGGTGATGGGCAGTCACGTATATTAGGGGCGCAGGAGTGGTTGGCTAGAGTGATGCGGAGGAATAAGGCGGGACCGTATTGCGTGCCGCGGGTGATTCTGTTGTGACTGTCAGGGATAATTTCCGTAGGGCTGGGACAGGGTTCGAAGACGTTGATTTCTTTAGCGCAGATGAGGTCGACGAGGGCGTTGGTGGGGAGGGGTTCGGGGAGGGGGAAGAGGATTGGAGGTAGGTTTTGGCGAGGTCGGTCCAGTGTTGGATTTGGGAGGCGGGCCAGGAGTCTCGGTTGGTGCGGAGGAGTTGGACGCCGTCCCAGCCGCTGGTGAAGCGGTCTTGGAAGGTGTATTGGTGGTAGATGTTGGTTGGGGTGGTGCCTTGGATTTTGAGGTAGCGGGCTGCGAGGATCCGAACGATGATCCAGAGAAGGTAGTAGTCGTGATCGCCCACAACAGCAATGACTGAGACAAGAACAATGTGCTGCACATGCCTGACTCTCCACAACCCTTGGGTCTGTCCAGCGTTTTTTTGGCGGGGGGGGCATACAATGCAGACCCGTCGTGGAGGTCATTCATGATGGGTCCAGCTGCGTCGACGGGGTCCAGGAGCGGTCCGGCCCCGGAGGGTATTTTTGCCCCAGAGGGGTTGGGTCCAGTCCGGGGACCAGGAAATGATCTCCTCCGACGCTAAGGCTGCAGCGATTCGGGCCTCCGAATCGATGAGGTAACGTGAATACTTAATAGAAAGTGGGTTTGCAACGCCCAAGTGGATCTGATCGACGATCGTCGCGGAGGATCGCAGATGGCGAATCTTCGTTGGCAGCCATTACTTGCTGCACAAACAACACCGCGGACGGCATTTCCGAGCCGAGATATTTTGTGGGCAGTGCAACCCAGCACTTCTTCCAGTCACGTCTTTTATTCTTCGTCTTCCTCCAATTGATTACTCCACGGCTCAAACATGGCAACCATGACACGTTCTAGCGCCCCAGTACGGGATGCCCTCTCAAGCTCGAGTTTGCCACGATCGATGATGTGCCGGAGCTGACCCAGCTGTGGTACAATGCCTTCAGTCCTTCCATGCTGAAGGTATGGCCCGACACCCCCGGAGTGCGACAGTGGTGGGAGTCGGCCAACCGGCACGATATGCTCAACAAACCATGCGAGAAGTATCTCAAGGTCGTTGACCCCAACAATGAGGGGCGCATTGCGGCATATGCCAAGTGGTCTTTGGAAACAGCCGAAGAGCGTGGTCCCCGGTACCCCTCCTGGCACCCAGACATGGACGCTCATCACAATGATGCCTTTTTCCAACCTCTGAAAGGTTCCCGTGCCCGCTTAGTCGGTGGTGGCAGGAGAAACTTTTGTATGAAACCTAGATTGTTGTATGCTCGTGACATGGGATCTGACTTTCTGTATAGACCTTGACATGCTCGCGACACATACCGACTACCGGCGGAGGGGGGCGGCGCGCTTACTCCTTGAATGGGGATGCGAGGTGGCGGACCAAGAAAACTTTCCCATCTACATTGACTCCAGTGAAGAGGGCAGACCGATCTACGAGCGCTTCGGCTTCGTGGCTCAGAGCACAACAGGGGGGCTGGCGTCGATGGTGAGAGAGCCCCGGGCGACGGAGGCGTGAAGTGTGTTGTTTCATCTCCACAATCTAATGAAGCGCTTGCCCTTCTTTTATTCTGAAATCTCGAAGTCTGATGCAGACGACGGGGTCAAGCGTAGTTCCAGAACGGAGGATAATCGTATGTTGAATCCAATGCATCATAAGCCAGTTTTGGAGATAAATTCTTCCTTTGGGCATATGTGAGGGATCCGATCACCATCCTATATTGACTTTCGGCGTTACCAAGATGATGGTAAATTGGTAAGAATCCTTGGCGGTTGCCTCGCTGGATAGATAATTGCCAGCGACAACGTTGCAGGTGTGTTGCAATACTCGGCCATGCACTAGTCATGTGGACTACTGCAGTCCTGTAGACAAAGAAAAGTGACACGGGCCGCACACCCCGCGGAGGCAAAGAAATTGGACATCGAACCTCCGAGTCCACGAAAGTATTAAAGCATAGCTGGGATGAGCTCTTAACATCACCCTCCACTGCACTTTTTTAGCTCATGATTCCAAGGCCTTCACACAATGCGTCCCGTTATTGAAACACCGAGGATTTTGTTTCTCACCACCCAACAACCTCACACCATCAGGGCGGAATGGCCGTATTATCAGAATTATGATTTACCCCTCCTTCTCAAAGACAAAGGCGCTCTAGTCGCCGTCAAGTCCTGGATGGACGAGGACATCCTGACGGCACTCAACCAATATGACACCGTCACTTTCCTCTGGTGCAACGAATATTACAAGCACCCAAAGGCCTTCTTTGCCTTCTTGGACAAAGTCGACAAGCTGGTCAAAACTTCTCCATACACTCCTCATGTTGCTCCTCCACGGATAATCAACGACACCAAGTTGGTCCGGTGGAACGCGGACAAGCGATACCTGCTGGACATGTAACAGGAGGGTTTCGTAATTCCCAAGACGCGATTGGTTGATCCCCAGAGATACACTGTGGCCGAATTGCAACAACTGGTTCAAAACTTCCATCCATCAGGTTCCGTAGTCCTGAAGCCATCCATGTCAGCTTCATCAACACTGACCCGGCGGATCGCTGACACATCGGCCCTCTCTGCGGATGATATGACCTTCCTGGGGCTCTGCACGGGTGGGGGACTTCAGAGCTCATTACTCATTCAAGAATTCGAGTCTGCGATTTCAACGGGAGAATATTCCTTTGTGTTTGTGGGTCCCCACCTTACCCATGTCATGGTCAAATCTCCTCAACGAGGGGACTTCCGGGTTCAGGACGAGTACGGTGGGTCCGCCAAATTGACGGATCTTCTTGGAATAAAGCTGGAGACTATTCAGGTCGTCCAGGCTGTGTTCGAGTCGCTGCAACGGCGCTTCACGTCCAAAGACGCGGAAGAGATAGGCTGCGGGGAAATCGGCTATGTGCGGATTGACGGCCTCATCACGGATGATCGACCATTTGTCCTGATGGAGATCGAAGCCATCGAACCACATCTGTGGCTTGAGACGGGAAAAGGAGTCTCCCGGATGCTATCTCTCCTCATGGATTGATCCTAGACGGGGAGTAACCGATTGTCTGGATTGCTGGTATCTTACTCTCACTTGCGGGGACCGGGCGGCAGTGGTTGGAGGCACCGAGTCATCAAGGGCCTATGATTAGGGCAGGAAATAGTTAGTAACTGGAACGGCTAGCACAATCTAGCCAGTGATAAATGTCAGAGCCAGTTCTTACCAAGGATGCCAAGTGTAAGCGTAAACAGTAGACAGTAGAGAAAGGTGCATGAATCATGAGATGGAGCCAAGGTGAGGCAGGAAGAGACTACGATCGACGGCGCGGGCGACGGCGCCGCCGCCTTGGGGGACGCTAGCCCCGGAATCGACAATCCTCCACAGGCTCGGGATTTGGACTGACTTGGATTCTCCTCTCCTCAGTAGTATTTATCCCACATATTCCTACGCAGGTCTCTGGAGTATGGGGTGCAAGTAAATTTACCATTCTGCTCTCGATAATCAAGTAACGGCACTATGGGATTAAGCGAGTGACAGGCAAAGATCAAAGAAAGAGTGATAGGCGAATGAAATAGAAAGGAAAACACTAGAAAGCAAAACTGAGAAAGTACTAGTTGAAACGACCATGATTCCATTCCTTACTCCCGCAGCGCCACTCCTCTGATGTAAACATCATCGTTTGCATTAAAGCCCACCTGACCGGTAATCGCGGATTCATCCGCACGCTGCCCCTTGATCATGATGCGTTTCGAAAACATCACCGACGCATGGTACTCCGGAACATGGATCTGTGTGGTAACCCCTTCCTCTTGATACTCGCTGTATGTGGAAGAAGTGGTCCGAGTGAACTAGTAATTCAGAGCGACTTCCAATTTCACGGCAACGCCACCACCAGCCGACAGCGTGATACCAGAGCTGTGGACCAGCTCAGTTGACTGCGCACTGCTGGCGCCGGTTTTCAATGTCTTGGATCTTTCAATCCAGCCGGCCATGTCATTGACCCAAGACTCTTCGACGTACCATGCAATGGATCTGCTCGCCGTGCAAAACGGGTTGCTGATAAGTTGGAGGCTCCGTGGGTCGGTATCATCATGAAAGGAGGTAAAGGGCAGGATGACCGCACACTGGTCGGTCCATGTATAGGTCGTGCCGACGCTTGGAATCTTGTCGACAGTAATTATTGGTGCTGACTGCGTAAAGTCGACGAAGTCCTTGGGAACTTTAAGGGTCGGAACCACTGCATACCCCAAGTCGGGGGCAATGTCATGTTGTGCATTGGCCCGGAACGTGCCAGCCACCACCGGGAGAAATTCAGACCCGTTGACCCCTTTGGTATAAGGGAACACTTTCCAGATGGAAACGTCGGAATCGGCTTTGGACTTCTTGTCGTCCCAGATGCTTTCCTCGGCGTACTGGCCATCGACTGCAAGATCAGACCGCAGGCACGCACCACACCGTACTGGTTGAAGGTTTAGACCAACCCGACTGGACAACATCCCCCATTGATGTATAGCCAACCGGTGCTATAAGCCGCCAGAAAGAACCATCTGCGTCGGCCCCGTTGCCCTTGTCGGTCCAAACCAGGGTATAGCCAGTGGGCGCTTTCACGGGGGGGTTTGTGGAGCTGGTGGATTTGGCTCCGACTAAGAACGCCGCACGCTTGCCATTAAGAGCAGAATGGTTTCCGACAGCCATACTGCCCAGAGGGCGCAAGGTGCCTTGCGGGATGGGGTTCCAAAATCCCCCGTCCCTACTGGCACTACTACCCTTGTCGTTCCAAATGGCATCCAAAGCTAAAGTCACGGTGACGACTAATTCGCCATACTCATAAGTTTTGTTCGGCATCCTGAATTGAAACGGCGTGAAGAGTACAAGTGCAGGGGATTAATGAAACTAGGACTGAGATAGGAAACGCGGAGCTTGGATGATGTAAACATGGGGGATGTTATCTGGATTTTTGAGTCTGACCGACTACTAGGATACATTCTGATGGGGTTATTCCGCCACTCGACTCTAACCAATAAATTATCATAATTATCATGTGAATGCAGCGCCTGGACCTAATGGGGGCGCTACCAGGAATCCCCGCAACATCGGGATTTGCTTTCAGCGGACTTACTCAGTGCTAGACAGAGTGACAGGCACCAGTCAGTCTAGTGGGGCCGTGGATAGCTGATGATCGGACCCGGATATATATTCCCTACCGATAACGGAATCATCTTCCACAAGTTATAGTACGACTCAATTATATGTTGCCACCGAATGCTTGGCTTATAGACCCCAGACCAATGAATCTGTGTCAGAATACCTAGCGGGACACCGTCGGACAGAACTAACTTGATTCTGCTGAGCAAAAATCTACGAGCACCCTCACCTACCCTACTGGTTCTAGTAGTCCGAGAAGCAACATAGTGCCGTCGGAGAGAGATAGGTGCGAGAAGACGTGGAATGGCCAATGCCACCCAACCCATTTTTACCTCCTTAATCGCTGCCATAAATTCCTATCTCTAGCGACTTCAGCTGAGATAGATTGCCACCCTCACGATCCAGGCCGACGCGACCGACCCAAACACATTGTCCCATGGATTAATCTTCCCCAAATCCGAGACCAGAGCAAGGTAACTTAGTGAAATGGCTTTTCTGTCATTCATCGTGTTTATTTAGTAATCACTTAATCGTTGAGACTGTGCCTATACCATTTTAAAGTGAATCCAATCTCCTCAGGCTCACCTGAAGAAAGCACACGAAGCAGCCCCCGTCTCTCCAGGTTCTGGCAAAACTCCCTTTTAGAAAGAAATTCCTCCCCAAAGTAGTCTCGATCCATGCTATCATGATTGTCACCATTGGTTCGCTCAGTTATCTCGCCGCGAAACCTCGATAATAATCTCCACCACACTCTGAAGCCATAACATACCCCGTCAATTATGCGACCCATCACCATTCGCCATCCATTGATTATTGTTTTGGAAAAGATTGCCATTCTGCCGCTTTCCCTTCTGCTTTCGTTACGTTCCATCACATCGGTTCGTTCGCTTAACAGTGTCTTCGTATGCGCAGCTAATTCCGAAACTTCAACATATTGATTATGCCAACATCTGTCAATGATATCGTCAATCAATGGATCACCATTCAATTTTGGGAACTCCATGTTCTGTAGTAACTCTACCACCCTGGGACCATGCTCGTGCGGATCTTCGTCAAGACACCGATCTCCATAAACCTCGAACCCGTAGTTTATCAGATAGTACAAGGAACCGAGGGCGAATTGTTCTGTTCGAGGGCCAAGGAATCCAAATGTCCCACATTCTCCTTGATCAGACTCATTGTTATTGAGTAGTCGGCCATACGGAGCCAGGCATGCTTCGTAATGTGTTCCAATTTGTGCTGTACAGTCAAAATCAGATAGCTTTAGTCGATCGCGGTCGAGCAGAATGTTCTCAGGTCGTAAGTCGCCATGAGCGACATTGAGAGATTCCAGGAATGCAACAGCTTGAGCAAGATCATTCATCCATTCTTTTCGTAGAGATAGAGGTTCTAATTTGTTCACGGTGGTAACTGCCATAGTTTGTTGGTCCCGGGTATGATTGTTTTGTATTCTAGAGGAAAGGGACATATCTAAGAGGCAATTCAGTATGTACTCTGTACTCATTAACTTTAAACAAGGGTTGTACCTCTCATGTACTCAAGAAAGATACCACTAGGAGAAAAGCAAAAACATTGCACAATAGAGGAACAAGGCGGATTCTGCGAGAATATTTGATATATCTCAAGTTCTTTATTGAATTGTTGTCTCTCAAATTCTCCAGGCTTCGGCACTTTCACCACGATACGAGAATGGACCTCATAAACGAAAGAGATTCCTCCGCCCCAAATCCAGTGCACACCAGGGAACTGGTGTTGGATGTCCATGGCTGAAAAGTATGACGGGGGGAGAGACACGGTAATTGAAGAAGGAGAAAAAAAAAGGTGGAAGAGGGTTTTCAGAGAAAAGTATGTACTGATTGGGCGTAAGCGACATAATCAATTATGGTTGGTTCGATAGGCTACTCAATCATTACTGCCTCTTGTGTCACCACAGGCTGGGGAATTACCCGCATGGAGCGACCAAGTTTGCTAGGAGACTGCCTACTGGTATCTTTCCACTAGTGGAGATTGAATCTTGGTACGAACGGAGGAACTATGTAGGTGAAGTATTTTTTATTTGGAGATTCACTTGTAAGATTTTGGAAGATACTTTAATAGTACATGCAACGAGGTGTAGATACGATTCACCAGATTATGTGGAGACTATTCAACATCACCGATCCCAAACAACACTAAGCCCTTTTCCAAACCCCATTCACCTTCACATAAGTACCATTGGCAATACAGTCCGGGCATGGCGTCCTTTTGGTTGTCTTGCCAAGGTACTCTGTCTTCTGGATGATGCCGCAATTCTTACATCCATTTAGTTCCATGAGCTTCCCGGGGGAACCAACTCGATGTTTGCATAGGTGCTCGGTTGTTTCAATAAGCTTCCGACACATGATGTATCTAAGTTTTATTCCTATCAGCTGGGGGCTTTTTCAGCAATGATTATTGATACTCACTCGGTGTTAGGATAGTAATGTTGAGTTGAGATAAATTCCCCGTCGCGAATTGTCGACGGGGTCAAAGGAACGTAGTTGTCATTCAGAACTGACTTCGAAGCTCAATTGAGATGGCAAAAAATCATGAAGGAACTTGCACCTACTTATAGACTTGTCAGGAGGCTTGATTTCTCACGAGATGTCCCGGTTAGATATTCGCGTTCGTCAGGAATTGAGCAAGACAGCTCGCATGTTGGCAACTTCCTTCAATCAAGCAGCGCACGGTCAATTCAGTACGTGCCGTCATATCTAATATCTCAGATGGTAAATCCTAGAGATGCTCTAGTACACATTAGATTGGTGGGCCGAGTTGATGTGCGGCAGCATCCGGAATTTCAATGGCTAAACTAGGGTCTTTACGATGAAGAAATTTGATATGATTAACCGCTGAACTGAACCGGTTGCTAATATAGCTAGGGCATGAAGAGGGAGGGCTCTACGAGGCTAGCTCAGAAAGAGACAGACAAAGTGATTGGCAAGAGGTCACACCTAATGCGTTAGTAGGTCTAATCATATTGCAGCCTGATATGCCCACCAGCATGCGAGGTTGGTTGATACCTGATAAGCAAGACATACTTGGAGTCGTAGCTAGCCTTGAATCAGCTTGGTCACACTATGAAACACTTGTTCACTCAGCCATGTATTTGACCGATGAGAAAAATGTCCGGGCAACATCCATCCAAGCATACTCGTCATAACTACAGCTACAAGTTGTACGATGCAAAATATGTAGGCAAATGATATAATCATGGCAAGATGGCCGAGTTGGTCTAAGGCGTCAGGTTAAGGTCCACCTTAATATCCAGCTTTCAAGCTTCCTGATCATCGTTTGATGGCGTGGGTTCGAATCCCACTCTTGTCATTTCCTTTTCTTTTTTACCAACACATCCGTGCTTGTGATATGCTTAGCTGTGTTCATGGTTTGTTTGATGGTTTTTTTTTATTTTCTTCTCAATAATTCGAGGGTGCTTCATAGTTTCAGCGTCATCCCCTTATCTACCCCTATCCTCTTCGGTTGGGCTCGAGGCTTGTCTTTGTATCTTGTTGCACACCACCAATCATTTCGATATATCTTTCTTGCGCCGCGTTATTAAAGCCGCCAATATATATATATACCCATGGATCACTGAAAAGTGGAACCAGGTTATTCCTATCGTTCAGCAGAAGCTACATCGTCGGGTCTATCAGGAGCGAATAAGTTCACCTACCAGCAGCCTAAAACACCCTGCTAGGAAGAAAGGAAAATCAGGATACCGCTAGAAGCTATAGTTGATCTCTATTAGATATCCCGCCGACAAGATGCTATTTTAGGAATTGCTTCGTCATCAAAATATACTTTGGTAAGCAATCTTTCACCTAACGCAATCGAGCTGACCCCTCAGCCTACTCACTGCGACATGTTCGTAATTCCCACCCAGAGATTTCGGACTGTCATGCAGTGTAATTTCTACATGTTTGTTCTCCCCATCTACGATCTCTGCGTGCCTCTTGTCTTCACCTTCCTGACAGTATCCGACGTATTCCAGCTGACTCAATTTACTCCCTCTGACAAGACCCGATGTTAGCTAGTATCCGATCATAATCTAGAAATTTCAGAAACATAGTACCACGTCGGGAAAAGGCCGTGATTTAGCCCGGTGCATGCGGCTGTCACCGGATGCAAACAAGCCCAACCCACCAGTTCACGTGGTACAAAAACTCACAGTCACCTCTTCCAGGAACCGTACCTCAAATAAACCTCAATCTTAATTCAATCTTATCCATAATCCAATAATGAATCATCGAGTTTACCAGGAGAGCATTGCCCACTGGGGTGGCTATCAGGACGAATTCCCCAGAAACAGAGACGAGGTCCTTGCCAATCTAACCAAGTGGTACAGTGAAGGACGACCGCTGCTCACCAAAGACGCGCTTCGAAATGTGCAAGAGCAGCTCAACAAACCGCTCCAGGAAGGGGATAAGGTCTGGACCATTGGATATGATGGGGTGAAAGTGGGATGGGAAGGGTCGGTAAAGTTGAGCCAGCTGTCAGATGAGGAGGAATATATGGATGGTCTGGAATATTATGTTGTGTGAGTTCTCACCCACCCTGTGACTTGTTTAGTATTGACTGGTAGCCTTTTCCCGAGTGGTAGATCCGCACACATGTTCTATCATCCCTTTTGCTCCCTCAAACGCAATGTGAAATATTATGGAGATACAGACTCCGCCTACTCCAGCCTATCCGTGATGCATTTGTTGGGACAACGGGACATTGTCACAAAACTTCCGCCTGTTTGTCCTTCATATACCACGGAGGAGAGTCGTGATGTGTTGCAACGCTCGATCCGGGCCTGGGAGGTGAGCGAGACTTGTTCTCATTTAAAGAACACGTTGAGTTCCGTTCTGTCCAGACACCCGATCGACAAGATCGTTGGATTTTCATGTTCCTCAATCTCCCGGTCAGGATGCGAGGACAGAGATCTCAGATACGGCATTCAGCATGCGCTGTTGTTGACAGTGAGAAGCCTCCTCGAGAGAACAACCGGATGCACTACCGAGCATGAGGTGTCGTGTTATATCCAGGATCCGGCATACAACGACGTCGACAAGACAGTCTTTCAAGAGCAAGGAATGCAAGTCGTGGACGATCCTCAGGGATTCCTAGAAGTCGACGAGTCATCAATAATTTTCAGCTGCGCATCAAACGTGGCTGTAAAGGAGATGATCACCGAGCTTGCCAGACCAGCAATCATCATCTGGGATAAGGTGGAGGAGAGTCAGATCGCGACTGGTGATGAAGATCAGGATGCTTTCGATAGTTCCACAGACCCAATCAGTCCCAGGGTGTTTGATATGATCAGCAACTGCTACGACAGTTACACGTTTCTACCTGATTTGAACTTTACCGAGATGGCAGTTTATGTTCGCAAATAGCGCAATTTGTATCTCCTAACAACCAAGCCAGACAGAATCTGAACCAGAAGAAGTAATGCATCCATCTTACCCTAAATCGCCCAGATAAAGAGAATCACTTCCTCACTAACAAACATCCCCTCACCCCCCACCCCAATACCACCATGAAACCAGCTCCATCATCCCCCTCACCAATCCTACCTTCTCCCCCCACCAACCCCCAACCCCCCATCCCACTCAACCTCTCCAACACCCTAACCACCCACCCCTGACATTTCTTCCTCACCTCCCTTCGACTCCTCGCCCTGGGCGGCTTTTCCTCCCTCGCAACCCTCCCCACCACCTCCCCCATTCCCTCCCACTCTAACTCCCCCAAGACAAAAACATCCACTTCGCCCTCAAACACCTCCAACCCGACCTTCCCCTCCGACGGCTCATACACCATAAACTCCGCATCCTCTTTAACTTGGAACACATACCCCGGCGCATTCTCCGCGGCGAGGAAAAGTGCCCAGTGGTGGGGTTCGCCTGGTCCTTGGGCTTGTTTTATTAGGGGGAGGTAGATGGGGGGTTTGGATGCAGGAGGAGGAGGAGGAGGGGGAGGGGTCTCGGGGTGGTAGGGGAGCCATTCTTTGGTGCCTTTTAGACGGTGGTAGTGGGTGTAGTTGATTGTGGTTAGTTCGCGGTTTAGGAGGGTGGTTATTTTTGGTCCTGGTGATGATGGTGGTGATGGGGAGAGGGACATTCTTGTTCTTTTTCTTTGGGGGATTGGATAGTATTGTATTGATGGTGACTGATGCTTGGAAGATAAAATTGGCAATGTTGGAGATACTGTGTAAGAGTATGTATGCATATAAGTAAGCGCGGGGTTGTCGCTTGTGGCTGTGAGGCTGAGGCTGAGGCTGTCAGCACCTTCACGTGCAATCTATATCAGAGTCCAGTTAATTTGTATACTTCGGGAAAGGATGATACCCGATTCATAAAGTAAATAATTCGCCACATTCCAACAACAGCATTAGTGGTGTAACGGTAACATTCAACCCTTCCATGATCCGAGCCGTGAGGTAAAGGTTGAGAGCAAGGTTGGGCCCTGGGTTCGACTCCCAGCTAATGCATTTTGTCTTTTTGACGTCATTCCTTTTCAACTTGACTTGGATTGTATTTTTGTCATGTTACGTTGTGTTTTTTTGTTGTCTTTGGTGATTGAGAGATCTTCTTCTGTTTGGCATGGTTCAAATATACCTAACGTAACAAGTCTTAATTGTCATTCTCCATCCCGGTCCGAAGTGTTCAGAACATCCTGTTTCTCTAAGAATTTGTCCAGCTCTACCTCGTCATCTGGTAATGATCCAGCCAACACTGCAAAATTGGGATACAGGCTACTGATTCCCTTACCACCCTTTGGCTCCCAGATTTCCTTTTCGAAGTCTATGAAAAGCGCAGCAGTCTCCGCGGGCAAATCGACCCCCATCTTTCTTGCTGTGACCTGAATGGCTCGTAATGTGCCTTTTGCAATAGGCCAGCGCCGTGAAGCCACTTTCGCCGCTACAGCGAGAGTAGTAAACGCCTCCTGATTTACAGGCACATCGAGTCCCCCAAGAAGAGTGAACATGGACACCGTAATCCACTGTATATGGCTAGCAGGAAAAATATCAATCCCCCATAAGGTTCGGTGCACCTCCATCAAGCCGGCAATCTGTCGTGCAGACGATAGAGCCACCTCTTCTGGATGCCGATCCGGGCTCGACCATTGGCTTTCACATCCGTATGCTGCTGCCCCGGCAAGTTCCGATATGGTGATACAAATATCATGGTAATACATACTGTGCAACCGCGTTAGATCAAACTACCGACATTAGCAATTTCCGGGCGCGACCTACTGAAGACATAACACGTGAGGAAGCATCACACGCCCAGATTCAATCCTTAAACACGGTTGGAGTGTCCTCTCCCACTCCACTAGGAGCGTACGGACCTTTCCCTCCATGTTATGAACCTCGTCGCGTGAAGGTTTCGTAAAGCCATCGAAGAGTAATGTGCACCACACGTCGACGATGGTTGTCAGTTCAGACAGGCTGTTGAAATAGCACATGAAATGCCCTTGAAGGCCATCGCCTCCATGGGGATAATGGTGCCATAGCGGATCATTATCGTTGTGGGTGCTCGGCGGGCACGGACAGCTGGGCTTCTCAATCAATGGCGGCCGTTGGTAAGCGAACGCCTGTGCACTAGTCACGGTTAACTTTGTCTCACGGCTTCACTGGCCCGTCATACATTGTCGTGGTATACAGTCCCCACAGTGTAACCCCCATGGCCCGTTCTATTTCAGACTTCTCCGTGAGGGAGCTATATGATATCGAGGGAAGTGTGCGCTCGAGCTCCTTTGCGGCAAATGCGAGCTGGCCCTGGTATATCCAGCCCCGTCGATCTTTGCCCATGAAGCATGCACTACCGCCATCATCAGCACCTGTAAACCATCATGAGTCAAAGAGCGATGGCAATTACCAGGTTGATAACACCGCTAACCCTTGTACCGTGGCTATTGTGGTATGCCCGTCTTCTTGTTCGAAACATCTCTTTGCCTCGTAGTAAAAATGTGTGCCTCTCGTGGACAGATCACTCGGGACTTCGTATGCTTCTGCGTAATCGGAGTATGCCTGTGCCGTTGCATCAAGATCGAGTCAACAGACGGATTCAAGACGGTGGACGTGAATTAAGATCAGGGATCGATAACTTACACAGGCATCCGCCAGAATGGCGTTGACTAAAAAAGGAGAACAAAACTGGGATTTGAGCTTTGCTGCCTTCATATCGCGTATGAATAGGTCGCGATCGATGCAAGGAAAGCAGGCATGACGCCACGTGAAGTATAATGAGATGAGATGCGACACAAAGTCATCATCGTCCGTCACTCTGGTCCAAGGTTTTGCGGGTACACGAAAGACGGGCTGATCGGCCAGTCGCTTGGGGTTGAGGACTCTGCGAGGGATCTTAAAGATGGACTCGTCTGACATTTGAACCTCATCGTCCTCTACCGTAGAGCCGAGGGTATTGGCAATTTGCAGCTGGTCATCAACGAACAGTTGCAGCTCCTCCAAGGAGGCATTACTCCGGATTAACTGTAGCAGGGAGCGCGTCCGCGTAAGGCCACTACTCCGCAAGCTGTCCAGGATCCGCGTCAAGACATCGCGGTCTCCCTCCAAACTGTCGATCTTTCGCTTGATGTTAATCTTTCGGCGAGAGTCCGTGGCTTCGTCGATGCTACAGGGAAGATCGCGACTGGCACACCAATCGCATGGTGCGGTTCCGCTGCACTGGAAGATAGATCAAGTCAACCTGTGCACGGTGATAAAATGACTGTTAAGCAAATGCGAGAACAAACCCTTGCCTTTCGGGCTCGGCAATTTGAACATGCAGTGGAAACCTTCCTCTGCGGGGGAAGGGAGGACAAAGGTGGCGGCACAGGGTCCTTGGAGGCTGCAGGGGCCAGGAGACGTTGCTTCCGTTCCGAGGTCATGGATGGGGTCTGTCCCTCTCCTACTTCAGAAGACACGAACAACGTTGCAGGCTCCCGACAGTCCAGGCTGGATAAAACATGATGGAGGGAATGGCGCTTATGAGAGAAAGCAGAGGGGGGAGAGCAGGGAGGAGGGATCCAAATCTGATACTCACCTCACCCGACCCGGCCAAGCGTGGTACCGGTGGGGACGCTAAAATGGAAATCACTCCCAGCGAATCATCGCCGGTGCAGCGGCCAGCGGAAAGCACACCCTGGCCAATGATCTGCCGATCCCACCCGCCCATGACATCTCGTGGCTTCCTCACCATTTCCTCTTGCAGCAACGCCCCGTCCATCCGGGCTGGGAATGATCCAATGCCTCTTGCATCACCGTAATAATCAGCGGGCGCGGGAAGCAAGGAGCTGCCCGCCACCACCCACCCCCGCCCCAACAATTAATTCCAAATCCAGAAACTTTCTAGAAACTCACCCGTTTCGGATCTTCACGATGACCCGATGGTGTGTCACCATCAGCGTGCTATCATACGTCCCTGAAGAAGGTGACGTCAAACTGTGTAAGGATCTGTTGTTTAGGGAGTACTAGGTGATTGATTGATAAGGCTGAAAGACCGGCCAATCAAGGTCAGCGAGAGCACGTGCCGAGTCACCTGACAGCCAACCGGTTTCTTGTTATGGTGCATGAGAATAAACCATGTGATGCAAGGATACATTCCAGCATACAGCCACCCGTTTTCGAGTCCTGTATCATTATTACTTCCTGGGGCTAATCCATGAACGGTCGATGTCAAGCCCAGTCAATATGGTCATCGCATCCTTCTGGAGGGGCAAGATGGTAAGATGAAAATTGGACGGGTCTATAGGTGTTACACTGCTTTATAACGAGCTCGCAAGTCTGTCTAGCAGTAACATGGGGTTGCATTCAGAAACCAAGCACCTGCAGCTGTAGGAATTCATGCAAGGGACGTCCTTGACTCATGGCTTATTTACGACCCTAGCGGGGTGTTCTCCAGAATCGGTGGTGTTCCGCCAAGCACCAAGGGTAAATATTCACTCTGACGAGAGACAGTGAAGGGTTATTACGTGAATAGTAAGCGAGACGCCGTCTGCAGTAGAATATGTTCCTACACTTCGCCGTGTAGAATCCAGAAGGGGGCAGAAAATCGGGTTTAAGCTGCTGATGATGATGGGAGCACCTGTCTCTGTGGTGGTCTCTGTTGCATCTGATATTACGGGGTAAGAGAGCAATGCAAGGCACCGCCCAAAACATGGCATTGTTTCAGGTATCCACTATTTTTTTGGTCTTTCCCCCAATGTTAACTGTAATCAGTTCCTCCCTGGCACCAAGTGGAGCAGATGCTGAGCGCACAATAATCAAATATAAGGTACTGCGATATATCTCCATTGGTCGCAGTGCCTCTGGTACGCTATCAGCACACCAGAGAAAACATTTCGAGAATGGAGTTCGGGTGACTTATCCTGTTTCCAACACATTTGACGAGACCGCCGATAGCTGTACACCACCATTCTTGGAGCATCAGATACCTAGCTGGATAGTGAGCCACGTGGTAAGCCTCAGCCCGCAGATAACGGTATCCTCTTCTTAACAAGTCTTAGTACCCGTGGGGCTTGGGTTTCTGCACGCCTGCAACCCTGTCGGCCGCAGCCAATGGGCCCGGGACAGCGCCTGGGATGCACCCGCCTAGCGGTTTGGTCTGCCCCGGAAGCCACGCGTCGATACAACCCTACTGGGGCCAAACATCAAGAGCCGACGTGACATCACGGCGCAGGCAGATAAGATGGAGGAGCAAAAAGATTGTCCATGAGGCTACATGCCTTTGCAATCTCGCCCCCTACAGCTTTGGGGGCCTATCCTTGGCAATATCCCGGCTTCACCTTCAATCTATCCTATTTTGCAGAATTATTGTCGAAAACCACAGCATCTGTGACGAAATTACAAGAACACTCTCATCGATCAGACGGTATATAAAAGGGCGTATCCTTCTCCGGTCTTGTACTCTCATCAACAGCAACAAGCAACCATCCGACCATCCAATCCAGAATTCACTTTTGCACCGCATCGTGTGGTCATGGATATCTAGTTAGTTTGATTCAGTGGGTGGTTGGTTTGAAACTTGGTTATGTACAGGACATCTTAGTTATTTCGTAATTATGCGGAAATACCTGATTAGGAAAGCGGGTTTACCCAGAGTAGTAAGTCTACGGGTATTGCACTGTGCCGATCGACGGCAATCAAAGGTGTCTAGGGATGCATTCCTATCATTTACAGTAGTATTGTTCCACTACTGACATGGTGACTGGGCCGAACATAAAGCATGACTTATCTTTGTTCTGCAGCTCATCATGAAGTCAAGACGTATTTGAAGACCCAGACCCCAATAAGAACAATGATTCATTCATATAATTTGATACTCTGCGCATCATCAATGTCCAGGCTCTTGTAGTCAATGGTCACCTCGGGGGTGCGGACCGCGCAAATGGTGTAATTTCCCAAGATACGATTACGGAACCCAGCCTCGCAATACTCAAAGTAGTACTGTGGAAGTTAGAGGATGGCGCGGTTGTTAAATTGGAAGTGGAAGCACTTACTAGCCAGCGCCGCCGGTAGGTCTCGATTTCCTTTTCCGACGCATCGGGATATCGGGGGGAAAAATCAGATCGGATATGTTCCCAGTTGGAAATGAAGTTGTTCCTCCAAGCTAGTAAGGTTTTGCCGTAGTGAGGACCGGTGTTGAGAACAGAGGACACTTCCAATGTCCCTTTGCTGCCCCGATGGAGTGCCTCGAAGAGTATACTTGGTGTGGGCAAGTATCCGCCTGGGAAGACGTAGCGATTGATGTAATCACCCACGCGAGGATTGGTCTCGTGAAACTACTAATCTTAGATGGTTAGTTTATATAAACATGGTGGAAGAGCATACTGGGTGTATTTTAGTTATGCCGTCAATGACCATCACGCCGTTTTGAGACTTTAGTAATTGAGATATCACTTCGAAATATTGATCCATATACTCAGGTCCGACGTGTTCAAACATGCCGATTGAGATAATGCAATCATATCCGTTGCCTGGCCGCGGGGCGTTGCGATAGTCGCACAACAGTACACGAACGCGGTCCTGCAGGCCCGCGTCACGGATGCGCTCATCCGTCAAATTCTTTTGCTCTTCTGAGAGTGTCAAACCTGTCGCTCGACAGCCGGTTAGTTGCGCCGCTTCGATAATCAAATCTCCCCATCCGCAACCGACGTCTAATAAGTGGTGGTCGTGTTGCACGCGGGCCTTTCTGATCATATAGTGAACCTTGCGTCGCTGTGCTGTCTGTAGGGATTCCGCAGTATCGTTGGACCAGTGCGCACAGGAATAGTTCATATCTGCAGAGAGAAAGTTGGTAAATAATCCATTTGAGGTGTCATAATGGGATGCGATGTTGATGCGCGCATTGTCGATGTTGTTCGCTGGTCTCCACCACTGGGCTAATCGCTGAGCGAGATGAAACAGTGAGTCACCGGAGTCGAGGGTCGCGCGGTTTTTGATATATAACTGAATGGGTTATACGTTAGCCTGGACCGTTTTCTTCTTTGATGCTGTTTGACAGAGCACCCACGTCGAAGACTTTACTTAGTTGGTCGCATTCCACTTCCTGAAGCATGAAGGCTTCTGCAAATCCCTTTCAGATATTAGTTATGTTGATTAGTTCGGTGTGATGTATTCAAGGTATATACCAGATCGAAGTCTAGGAGGACTTTTCTCCAGAAATTCACATGGGTGACATAGATCACCGCTTTATCGGCATCCTGTATCGCTGGGTCGTTGTACAAGACACTCTTCACTCCATCAACAACATAGATCAGTTTCACAGGGGCTGCAATCTGCCGCAGAGTGTCTTGTACCAAGCGAAGGGCGTAAGATTGGATGGTCTGAGCGATAGTGGTCGGCATTTTGCTCTGTAAAATTACGTTGATGGCGACATCACCTCTCGTACAGCTGGGGCGTCTTCGCCTTTTATATGCGCTTGAAATGCCTCGTATATCAGGGCGATGCATGGCTGTCACATTTCTAGACTTCACTAAGGAACAGGAAATTCGGTGTGCAATGCGCATAGTTCGTATTGCCTGCAAGCCCGGTGGAGCTGACTCGCTCAAGGTCATAGCCGAGGAGGCAAGTCCAATAGAGATGCAGCTGGCCAGTTGATGGCCGTCATCAGCTGACTTGGCGCAGCGGGTGCGCTTAATCGGGACTAGCGCTTATCGGGTCCAAGCGGCCCGAGGGACGGATCCCAAACTTGCTGCGCTCTCTGTTCCACTTCCCCATCTTCATTCTTCACACTGGCTGCTGTCTATTTGGGAGATCTGTCAAAAAAAAAAAAAAAAAAACGGGTGCAATGGTTGACTTGCTCGTGTCACGGACCCGGTGCTTTATCAGTGACTTGGCATTGCAAGTCGCTTAGCTGCACGCTTAGTCCCGTCACTGCTCAGACACGACAACGTTCGATCACTGCTCACAACAAGTCGGAGAAGCTACGGCCTCCTTTGTTCTACCCGAGCTTTGCAGTTGACTGGCCGACTTTAAATAATAAATATGGCATACAAGGTGTCTACCAATGGTAGCTGCAGTCACTGTTTTCTACCCGCCTAGTTGACCAGACCATATCCCCCAATGGCAAGGTTCACGTTTGACGGATTGTGTGACTGAGTTCTATGCAATGGACTCTCTTGGAAATAGTGGAGAAGAGGCTGCATATATCATATCTAAGTTACAGGGAAGAACGCCCCTACCTCGCTCCTGAAACACCAAACACGGACCGATCAATGATCAACCACCACCAACCCGACTACACCTCCCAATCTCCCAGAAATCTCCATCGACTCTTCTCTCCCCATCCAGCCTCTTTCCATCCGTTTGCCTTGGCCGGAAAAGTTTGAATCACGCCATTCAGACCCGTATCATGCGCAAACGCCACAAAGACGTCCTCCAACGCATCGAACTCTTGAAGATGATGAATACTCTGCTCTGCCTCCGTGAGATCATGCGCAAGGCTGCTCCCATCCTCATTTACTTTTATACGATAGAATGGACTGGTCTCATATTTCTCTGGTGTGGGATGGATCGACTCAAATATCTCCCCAGGGCATGGCGTAGACCCCCCGCGTGGATTGGGAGAAATCTGCTTGGGTAGTGGTACGGCTTCCGACGGTCGGAGCTCGCCAGCATGATGAACAGTGTCTGCTCCCATGAGAATGAAGGTGTCGGTGTCAGCGCCATCGGCGCTGGCTGAGGTTGTCCTGGCTAGACCACAGATGTGGCCTACCGCGTGACCGGGGACATCAAGGAGGTAGAATGAACCATCCTTGAAGAAGTCGTGGGCTTTATACCCGCCAATTTGGGCATCGAATTGAGAAGGCTCAAGCTCTATGAGAGACCGTCCGTGGAAGTCAGATTCCAGGAGCAGACCCACGGGATTAGCAGGGTAGGCGGGAAGATGAGCAGCGAGGACCCCCGGGCCAACGATAAGGGATGTCGATCCCGGAAATGTCGAGGGATCGCCGACGTGGTCGAAATGGGTGTGACTGGTACGCTCATCAGCTTCTATCCTTTTGCATAGCAGGGCCACGGAATTTTATTACCTCCAAATGATCGCCTCTATGGTATCCAGCGCGACACCATTCTCTACCAAAATCTCCGCCACATCTTTTCGAACATCGAGGGTGAACGCCCCCGATTTGATGAGTTGATCATACACGGGCTTTGCATAGTTTTGCCAGTCCTTTCGAACCCCCAAGTCAAAGACCACGCGTCGTCCGGTAGGTTTGTGTTCAACGAGAAATGAGTAGGAATTGGCATCCAGGTCCGTTAGCCCCTTTATCTCAGGGGAGATAAAGATGCTTGGTGAGCAATGGATTGCCGATGTTGTGTCGATGATACTGACCTCCACAGTAGTGGAAGAAGGGGGTATGGCTATCGTAGGCGACATTTGATCGTAAAAATATAACATATTCCGAGTCTGAACTACTCCAATCCGGTGGGATATCGCCCGTATTTATTTACCACGACGTACAACCAAGCACAAGTTCATGATGTCGCGTCATCGGATAGTTTCGGCAGTCTCCGAGGTCGGTCTGATTGATAATCATGGATGGAGACTAAATGAGTCATTCGAGCTTGTCTGACACTAACTAGCTGGCCGAGTCTTCCCTAGCCTCCGAGATGTGCCTAGTGCTTAGCGTGATGACGCCTATGTTGACCTAAATGAGGAAGGCTTGCAATCTAGATACTCTTCTGACCACCAACGTCATCGCCAAGCAATGGATACCTGCAGTGTAAGTGATCTCGTTGATGTGCTACCTTTTTGCAATTGAGAGGCTGCCGGACTGCCAACATTTGACTACATGCAATGGAGTAATATGGATGACGCGACGATTTATTTCTGCTATCCGCTACAGCAGGAATCCAGTCCAAATAATCATGCATCCAGGGACTAGGCCGTGAAGTTGAGCGTCCCTATTCTACCATCAAATAATCAGTCAATCTTACGCCCGTCTGCCTGCAGAACAGAAGACAAGCTTTCTTACCTTTGCAAGAATCGAAGCTTGCCCGACACCCATATTTATCCCTATCCACTCCAAGCATTTGGCCAGGTACTCCTGCATCTCCAAGGGGACGATGGAAAGCTGACGCAGCAGGAATATGGGATACATCAATAGCAGCCCCCCGACAGCTCTTCCAGGGGTTTGAATCCTAGACGCGCTCTGCGTATCTCGGAGAAAGTCTGGAAGGCACTCGGTGAGGTGATATGGGATGGAAGAGAGCAGCTCCTTACAGAGGTGATCAGCACCTGTCCTTTCACGAGTATAGTCTTTGTTGTTTTGGAGAATGTCACCGATCTTCATGATGATTTCAATGAGGACACAACGAGCTACACGTGAGATATTCCAGACTCCCGCAACATACTGGTCGAAGTACACGTCGATCGCACCAGGCCAGTGTCCGGGTTCTGGGGACGTTGGAGTCGGACTTGGAGGTATTTGGCCGACTGTGGTGGGCATGAAACCCGCAGGAAGGCGATCTTGCCACTGCGAGAGACGGTGATTGAGGCGAAGGGCCTCTTGCTGAAGGAATCGAAGGGCTTCTGAGTCATCAGCAGGAAGTGGATTCATTTTGTCCCATATGTCACCCATCTCAAGAAGAATGTTGTCCAGCTCGTTGTCAACATGTGGTGCGAAGAAAGATCTCTGGTCGCAGACTGTTAAGATTTTCATGTGGTTTGTTGTTTTGGGGATCTTACCCGACTCATGCCACTGGTGAGCAGTGGGTGACCTAATTTTACAGCCTTCAACAAACCCAGCGGAGAGCTTCCAATCCGCAACATTGCAGCCATTCCACCTGCATGCACGTGGTGGTATCCCCGGTGGGCTTCATCTGCAACAATGATCTGTATATGGTGAGCAAGGTATAAAGCCAGTCAAGCTGGCCCAGAAGCTACAACGAACCTCATACAACCCAAGTAGCATCACCACGGTCAGCATCTCGGAAGATAGCAACGATATGTCAACCCCACCCATCACACGTGCCAGGGAGCTGACCAGTTCATCATAGAGCGTCTCAGCTTTGCGCAACAGACTGGGTCTATGCAGCTTGATGCCATGGCTGGCAAAGGCGACCGCCTTGCAGGCTTTGGCACATTCCGACCAGGGCCCACAACGTACTACCATTGCCTCCAGATCATTGAGAAACCCCCGCGAGATGGTACAATTTGTTGAAGGCACACAGTAATCATGGAAGAATGCGCGCAAAGCTAGCTCTTCAATACCATCGTGCGTCTCTTCCTTGGGGCTCGTATCATCCGGGAGGACATCAGTGCCGGGGGCTGGGACTCGGGCAGGTAAGCTACATTTACGCGCCATTGATTTGGGTGGCTGTGGATATTGGCTCATATCCGGTACCACATGTCGGAAGGTGAGCTTGGTGGTGGCCTGGTCCACGTAGCCTTTGCACGTTCGGTTGGATCTGAGACAACGCATGCACGACTAAAGCATGTTAGTCCGATTCGTACGCGGAGACATGCAGTATGGTTCTTCAGTCAAGGCATTCAGTTTGACTCCCCAACGTACCGGACGACCTTCGTCACACTGTGTTAGGAATTAGTGCAGGTTTCCAGAGATGAGTGAGATGGGTCAGACAAACCTTCTTTTTTCGCCACCGACAGGTTTCACACCCTCGAGATGGACCACTATACACCATGACTGATATAAGAGTACTACCTGGTAAGATGTGAAAGTGGTTAGGATACTTGAAGAGGGGTTTGCGATAACCAGTCGCTTACTACGCAAGTGGGCTATGCGCAGGTAAGCACTAAGGCCCAGCCGACTGAACTAATCAGCCTATCGCTAGAGGCCATGCGGAGACAGAACCATAAACACAGCTGGATGATCACAAGTAAACTTCAACCATTCTCTATGTATTCTAGATGTACAAAAAGCAGACGTATCGTCTTCACCTTCAATCACCCAAGTCCATGACACAGCTTTAGGACAACCGCTCGGGCAGTGGAGACTCTCACAGGTTCAAAGCAAAACGACAAGTTTCTGCGCAGATATGCCACCTTGGCCATAACGGTCCACTGCCGTCTGAATACTCTCCAGGCCGTTCCCTACAACCAGGGGCGCAGGAGCAGGGATGAACGTACTGGCCCTCAGTGCATGGGGCAAGAAGTCCTCATATACAGCTTTCCCCACAAAGTTGTCCTTGATAGTTGTTCCAAACACTTGCTTCACACTGACTCCCTCTGGTGGTGCAGGGAAGCGACCCTGAACTGTTGCCACAAATTTGGTTCCTTCGGTCTTGCTCACAACTTCCGCACAGAGTGGAGTGGCTGAGAAACCGATGCAGTCCATAACACCGACAAGTGTCTTGCCCTGCAGAGCTTGGATAAGATCCTCGGTAACTGTGGGACTGCTGTAATTGAACACCTGGATAGCTCCAAGCTTCTTCACATAGTCAAAGTTCTTAGGCGATGCCGTGGTGATCACTTCGTACCCAGCCGCCACGGCAAGTTGAATTGCATTGCTGCCCACACAGCTTGCGCCTCCCCAGACAAGGAGCGTCTTTCCTGTGAGCGAGGCACGGGGCTCAGTGGGCAACTGCATCTTCAGGAACTCGTCCTGGAAGAGACCGCAGCAAGCAGTTGAGAATGCCAGAGGAAGGACTGCAGCGTTTTCGTACGGGATGTTGTCAGGAAGTTCACTGGCCATGTTGATCTGCAAGATGGTGTGAGCCTGGAAGGCGTTGTCCTGGTTGCGCTTGGTGGCCATGCCAACTGCGTGGCCAAACACACGATCACCAGGCTTGAAGCGAGTGACGTTTGGACCCACAGCGATGACTTCCCCGGCCACATCCTGACCCAGCATCGTGGGGTAATTCATGGGCCACCAGGCTCTGGTCTGGAGACTGTTGTCGACGGGGTTGATGGCGACAGCATGGTTCCGCACAAGGACTTCGTTTTCTTCGGGCTTCCAGAGAGGTGCCTCCTTGACCTCGAAGGGGTGGGCTTTAGCGGCTGTGAGCCAAGCTGCGGCGTTGCTGGTGGAAATGGACATAGCTGTTGGGTATGAGATAGGTGATCTGGGATTCAAGAATGGGTACTTTTAATTGAAATAAAGCAGGATGAGATTTGGAGCTTGGAGAGTATGGGAAATTGCTGGTTCTGATCCCTCCATTCACCAGGAGATGTGATGGTTTTATATACCTGCTGTTGAGAGCGCGGTCGGACATTCTTCTGGTCGGAGATACTGCTCGGTCTCCGAGTACGAGCGTTTGCTTGATGGCGGTCTTGCGAATTTGACAATTGCGTGTCCATGCGAGCGCAATCTTGCAGGGTAAGGTCCTTGTCGTGGAGGTGATCCCCCAAACATCTCGTTGCTTATTATGGGGGAAGGCCCACTTCTGCGCAAGACTAGCCTAACTGGGGCTAGCGTCAACAGGAACCCACTATCCCCTTTCGAGCTTTTTGAGGCATCCGGCTCGGCCTCGGTAATAAGCCGGAACTCGGAAGTGGGAAAAAAAAGATTTTTGAAAAAAGGGATTCTACACAGTGGAGCCTAGTACGCAGCATAGCAGCCATGGCGGCTTATGCCGTCGAATTTGTGCAGATTTTCCCAACGCCGAATCCACACTGATAGCAGTCACTCCGCGGAGTGATCTTGGCACCTAGAGATGCCCAGTTAACCCGTTACTTGTGGCAGGCAGCGCGCCAAGCCGAAACGAGAGATAGGACTGTCCGATGATGTACCGGTCCTGATTCCACACCTTATACTCGGGCCAATCCCGTCCCACGCCCAGTGTCACATATAAGGGCAAAACATGCTCCTCGGTGGGATGCGCGTCAACCCAATCCTCACGTTTCTGCAAATCTAGAAAACGAGTGTCTCTCTCCCGCGGAGTCGGCGCAGCGAGGGACTTCAAGGCCGCCTGTTCTACCGATCTAGCCACTGTGGTGCCAGCGGTTCCTTCACGAGTTGCGCGGAGATTGTGGACTATCATTCCTGATCCAATGATTAGGATTCGGCCGGGTCTGCAGCAGGTCAGCTTTTGCGCGGCCCTTCTTCGTGGCCCATTCAGGGTATATGTAGCCGTGGACTTGATTGGGGAACCTACAGTGATGAAAGAGCTTCACCGAGTCGAACATGCGCATCCAGATCGTTACCATCATATGTGGAAACTTCCAGGATGGGGATATCCAATTCATCCTCTCCATCAGGGAACATGAGTTTAAAGGGTACCCATCTGCTCGAAATCAGAATCGGTTTGATACCCCTCGAAAACAACGTCTTGGACTCACACCCCATGATCGAGGTCGCGCTCAACGCCCTCTGCCTTAATCCCTTGGTCGACCAAATGTCGCAATACTTTCTCGCCCAATGCCCTGGAAGATTTGTGCGGGTATTGATATTCGAAAACATGTGGGAATGTAGTGTGCCAGGATGGGCCCAGGTCATGCCAGACCTTCGTCGGTTCTTTTAGGTTAACTATCGCACACCCGTCTCAGATGACACCAGCAAAAAGCGACTCTCCTGAATACTGACCCTGGATGGTATCATTCTCACTCTGAAAGTGACCACAAGTGATCACAATAGCCTCTGGCTTCAGAGCTTTGATTTCCTTGCCGATCTCGCGCAGATCTTGCTGGACGGGCCCATAGCCGGGTTTGAAGAGGATACTTACGCCCCCTGGCACATTCTGGTCAGTGAAATGTTTTCGCAATTTTTTTGCTATTCTCTCACCATGGCCGATAAAATACGTGGGCAGCTTGTCGCTTGCTGCCGTGGACATGGTTGCTGGTTCGGCGTTTTCTGTGGAGTGCATACTTCCGACTCGGGGACTAGGGGGACAGGCACGTCGAGACTCCAAATAAAAGGCGGGGCTTCGGACCGTTTTTATAAGTCGTGGCTTTATCTCGCCGTTTGGTGGGATGTTCTTTTAGCGTCCTGGGATGGAAGAAGATTGGCTACATGGGGACAGAAAGTGGAGAGAATTAATCATTTAGCCGCTGGCTGGATGGCGAGTGATAAGTCGGGATTGCATCATCACCATTTATGCAAGTCATACTTGCTTCGTCTATGAGCTTCTGATAAAAGTCTTTTCAGAACGGAGGGTGACTTTCGATCAACAAGAATGGGATTGTCAGGACGCATCCTCGCTTACCCAACAGGGACGCAGGTGAGATACAAGAGACAATTTGAATTTCCTGCAGAGATTAAACAAACATCTCTAATGATTTTGATAGGTTCGTTCCCCTGAGAAGCATGTAGATCATGGAGAAACCATTTCTGCAATTGCACCTATCAGATCCAAGCTTCGCGCAGGTCGGGGTAAACCTACCCCGGGAGGTGAGGGGTTCGATCTGTACACATGCCCCATTTAAACACCAAACTGGAGGATTGGTACACGCACAGCATACTACATTTCTCTCTATCTCCCAGCATAATGGCTCAATTGTTATTTTCAATTGTTCTCTTTTTGTCTCTCATTGCCCCCTCCCTCTCACTATCCGCTATAGCTCGAAACGGCCACACCCGATCTCAATGCATAGTCAACCCCGGTAACTCCTCTGATATCGACGATGTGCCCGCCATTCTCGATGCCCTGACCACCTGTGGCTCCGGTGGCCGGGTCACCTTCACCAACAGTACCTACCACATCAACTCGGTCATGAACACAACCTGGCTCGACGATGTGGAGATCGACCTGCAGGGTACACTACTTGTAAGCAAACAAGTCATCCAGTACAACCCTTTTTATCCTCTGACATGCAATAGTGGAGCACCAACATCTCCTACTGGCTAGACCATTCCCTCCCCGTGGGGTATCAGAATCAATCCACGGCATGGATCCTAGGCGGTACCGATATCGTCTTGGATGGACACGGATACGGAACATTCAATGGCAGTGGGACAACCTGGTATGAATTTGTTGGATCGACGTCGAACTACCCAGGGCGACCGAACCAGTTGACGGTTTCGGGGGCGAAAGGAGCGGTCTTTAAGGGATTGCGGTTTGTGCAGAGTCAGATGTGGTGAGTATGCCTTTCCATTTTTTATGAGGCTTAAGCTAATTGCACAGGACCATGTCAATTATCCACACATCAGACTCATGGTTCGATTCCATCTACGTGAATAATCTCTACGATAATGGTCGTTCGGCGCGTATGTACCGAGTCAACATCAATCACCATTCTTATCTAACCTAATCGCAATAGACAACACCGACGGTGCCAACACCATCTACAGCCAAAACATCACCTTCACCAACTGGGAGGTCATCAACGGCGACGACAGTATCAGCACGAAAGCCAACTCCACCGATATCACGATCGCAGACTCGACCTTCTCCACCGGTCTGGGAATAGCAATCGGTAGTATCGGACAATACAATGGGGCCTTTGAAACTGTCGAGCGTCTTCGAATCTCCAACATCACATACGAGAAGACGACTCATGCCGTGTATTTCAAAACATGGACGGGCGATCAGGTCGGATATCCACCGAATGGAGGTGGTGGGGGATTGGGATGTATTTTCATTCACTCCATCCTCCGTGGGCTTACTCCCTCTAACAACTGTATAACTTGCAACAGATGCGTCTGACATCTCCGCCACGGACCTCAAAACGAATAATCTAAAAGGCACCCCGTTTACCATATCCCAGTGCACGACGTTCTCTGGGGCCTCGGGAAACTGCACCAACTCCAAGTTTCAGATCCGGGATCTCGTCTTCACTGATATTTCGGGTACGAGTAAGTCGGAGGATGTGGCGAGCTTTCAGTGTAGTGCTGTCGCGCCGTGTGAGGATATCACTACCGAGAAGGTGGATTTGCGGATTACAGGAAATACAACATATGCTGGGGAGTATCTCTGTGGAAACGTGGAGGGGACGGTGGGGTTTAATTGTACGGGGGAGGTGTGTGTTGGGTCTAGTGCGACGGGAGGTTGTTAGCTGGGTACCCCAATGTTGCGCGTCGGTATAAGCCAGGGAAGAAATCATGTTTCATTGGACTTTGGGTCAATTCTCGTGGTTCTGTCCGAAGAGTCTGCGGGAAGCCGATCACTCCTGAGATGGATGCCGCACGGGGCACAATCTCCATACTGCGGCGACTAAACTAGGAAGGGACAAGGGTGGTCCAATCCGATGGGGGAAAATTTTTGGATGTGTCCAAGCAGGTTGGCAATCCGCCATCTTGTTCTTGCCTCGTACACTCAACTCTATCTTCCATTGGCCACATGTGAGATTGCTAGTCAACTCCCCTGGATTCCCCTTGCAGGGTAAATACGAGACCCTCGATCTTGCATGTGGATAAGCCCCCTATCGTTCCTGCTTGGCATTCTTGACCCACTGGCTCAGATTCTCCAATTCCCAACAAGCTTTTTAGGTCGGCCGCTTCTTTTCCCCATAATTACGTATGGTGAGTCAGCCGAGCAGCTCAACCAGGATACGCAGCCAGTGTTATTGCCTAATATATGCAACAATAATGGCAATCAGACCTCGGATTTGACCGGAATTCGACCCTGGCTGACGTCTAAAGAAGGTAATTACGTCCGAGGTCTTCGGCCGAGCTTTGAGACACTGCGGTGCAGCTCATGCCACGGCTCCACCCGAACAAGAGGTCTGTAGATCCAGGCCCACTCACGACGAAACGTATAAAAACCCTCCAGGAACAACACGCATACACCCTTAGAGTCAGTCCCGACCAACGATGAGCAATTGAGCACCCTTCTGCATGACAACCACGATGTCGGAAAGTTCCGTATGTTAATGCCCTTTCAACCCCCGAACATGGTCTCTAACCTGCCATGTTGAACATCAGTGGACAGAATGGTCCCAGAACGTCATCTCTACTCTCCAAGATTCCGTTACCTCCTTCCTCGTGTCCACCGAAAACCGCGCCGATGCCCTCCGCGCCTACATCGCTGAGCACCCCAGTGCCTCGTTCCGAGATAACCCCTGGGCCCTAATGGCCGCAATCGAGGACTTTGCCACTACCAAATCCCATATGATGATCTTCCGGGAGTCGAAGATGAGGATCGCGCGTGCCGCACTAGAAGCCATGCCGGTGAAACCGAAGGTGATACTGGAGTTTGGAACATACGTGGGCAACTCGGCCCTGGCATGGGGTGCCATCCTGCAAAGTCTGCACGGGGCGGATGCGGCCGCGCAGGGGTGCAGAGTATATACTTTCGAGATAGATCCGGGGATGGTGCGTGTCGCGAGAGAGTTCATTCAGCTGGCTGGATTGGACGATGTGGTGCACGTTTTGGAAGGGCCTGCGGCGGAGTCGGTAAAGAGGTTGTATGAGGAGGGGAAAATTGCTCGGGGTGGAGTGGACATGGTCTTTTTCGATCATTGGGAGAAGTACTATTTGCCGGATCTGTTGCTGTGTGAAGACTTGCGGGTCTTGAGGGAGGGATCGTTAGTGATTGCGGATAATACGGATATGCCTGGTGCACCGCAGTATCTGAAACATGTGAGGTCGGGGGGTGGTGGGGTACTAGGCATGGTGAGGTATGAGAGCAAAGCGTTTGAGAGTACCACGCAAATAGGAGTACCGGTTTGTTTTTTCGTCCCATTACGCGTACACTGTGAGGTTGGACTGACATGAGTCTAGAATATTGTGGAGATTAGCACCGTTGTTGAGACATAGGGTGGAAAACCATCCCACACAGAGTGAGTTCCTGCTGGAAGGCTGGTACCATTTCGGCAGGAATATCTTCATTGTCAATCTCGATCCTCGATAACGATGAAATGTATATTTATAAGGTCAAGACCATTTTATCAGCAATAGATGGAACTAAATGGAATGTTGTTCACGGCCTTCATTCCGAGAATCTAAAATCCGGTGGGGCGCGGAGAGTGTCATCATAATTGCCTTATATAGACTAGCGCAGTGTCGCGTCTATGCTAACCCGAAATGGGAATCGCCTCGGAAAGTGTGCAGACTGCAGCAAGTGACTGCTCTCTCTCGCCCTCTCCCTCTCAGTCTACCAGATATTCACTTTGAGCCATGTTGCCAACCGTTTTGTTGCTGTCACGCAGTACAATCAGGTATTCGCCACAGCTGACGAAGACAGCGACCTCCTTTGCTTTCCCGCCGGGCGGCGCCAACCACTTGGTACATCAACGTGCACACAGTCTAAAATGCCGCATGGAAACCCCTGTCTACAAAGTCTACAGGAAGATTTTAACGCAATGACAAGTTTCTAGCTCCTATATGTCTTGGAGGCGGGAGATTTGCTAAGAAGCACTGTCTGTCACACCATACCAAGGTACTTGGCTTCATCTCGGCAGGAGAACTCCTTGGTCGCACTGGCTGGGAAGAAGTCGGAGTTGCAGGATCATGGCAGCTAACATGAGTGTGACACAATAGGAGCTTCGAGCCCAGTATCATACCATGGAACCAGTTGATTCCCCTGGCAGCATCGAGATAACCTGGGATAACCAGCGAGCTTCTGTTGGCTTGGCCGAATCAACCACGGTTCACCCGCTTCTGCCTTGATCTTATTTGCGACATAAACCAGTTTATTGATGCGGCTTGCTTCAACCCTACGACCGGTAGCCGAGATATCTGCGGCCCTTGGAATACGCCAAGCTATATTTCGGACCCGTTGTATATAGATAGAGATCCTACAGCGACAATGCGACCGAAGCGATCTCGCAAATTATGAGTTGCTGGCCTAGCCTCCGATCGTGTGACCAATATGGATCACCAGCATGATCATGGGCTTCAGAACGAGCCCATTGCAGTTGTTGGCATGGGTAAGAAATGATATATGTTCCTGGTATTCCCAAGGGTTATACTCACGACTATCTCAGGCTGCCGTTTGCCAGGAAACGTCTCTTCACCCTCGGAGCTATGGGACTTTCTCATCCAAAACAAATCAGGCCATTGCCACGTACCGAAAGACCGCTACAATACAGATGCATTTTATCACCCCGACGTTGAAAGACCAGGCAGCATCAACTCTACGGGGGGCTACTTTATCCAAGAAGATATTAGAGCCTTTGACAACGCATTTTTCGGGATAAACAACCCTGAAGCCAGAGACATGGATCCTCAGCAGCGGAAGTTGCTTGAGGTGGTCTACGAGGCTTTTGAGAATGCCGGTGTTCCTCAAGAGCATCTCCAGGGATCGCAGACTGGTGTCTTCGTTGGTAATTTTACCAATGATCATCTAATCATGCAGCTTAAAGACCCAGAATATGTCTCGCGGTACAGTGCAACTGGTTTGAACACGACTATACTGGCAAATCGCATCACACATTCTTTCGACTTGCATGGACCGTCTCTTACGGTCGATACAGCGTGTTCTGCATCGCTTTATGCATTTCACCTGGCTTGTTTGTCTCTAGACGCGCATGACTGTACTGCAGCCATTGTTGCCTCAGCTAATTTGATCCAGTCACCAGAACAGCAGATCAGTATTACCAAAGCAGGCACCTTGTCTCCTGATTCAGTTAGCCATACGTTCGATGAATCAGCCAATGGATATGGGAGGGCGGAGGCTGTATCTGCCGTGTACTTGAAGCGCCTTGGCGACGCAGTTAGGGACAAAGACCCTATAAGATCAATAATCAGGGGAACTGCCACGAACGGGTAAGTGTACTGCAGCATGAGCTTCAATCAGCACTAACCATGTCGGAAAGAAACGGGAGAACCTCTGGAATCTTTCAACCGAGTATCAAGAGCCAGAAAGCTGTAATAAGGGCAGCGTACCGGCGCGCTGGCTTGGTCCCAGATGAGACTGATTATATTGAGGTGAGCAATACCTGCTAGTCATCAAACCCAGAAGCTTACCATAACAGGCACATGGAACTGGCACAAAAGTGGGCGATCCCATGGAGATTGAGGCGATAACCGGGGTCTTTTGTCATAAAACGGGGAGACCTACACTGGTGGGCGGTGTCAAACCAGCTCTTGGGCACAGCGAAGCTGCGACTGGTTTGACTAGTGTGATGAAAGTTAGCCTAGCCCTCGAGCATGGACTCTTGCCTGCTACCATTGGTGTCAATAAGATTAATCCGGCGATAAAAACGGATGAATGGAACGTCGATATTGTAACAAGCAATAAGACATGGCCTACATCGGCTGTGCCACGGGCTGGGATTAATGCCTCTGGATTCGGCGGTTCCAACAGCCACGCCATTCTCGAAGCCGCACAGGTCTGTTGTCGTTCCTCTCCAACTATCGACGAGACCACTGGAGCTTCATGCGTGGGCACTCGTCATTCTTCATGTGATAGCGGCTCAAGCGAAAGTGGTATGGCCGAGCACGATCGGCTCAACTTGATTCTCTTGTCGGCAAAATCTCAAGCATCTCTTGCTCAAATGGCTCACAATCTAGCTACATATACAGCGCACCCTCACCGGCCCGTTTCTCTTAATGATTTAGCTTTTACCCTCGGTTGCCGTCGCTCCAGGTTCGATTTTCGGGGCTTTTTCCTGGAATCTCAGTCACGCTTAGATAACGGCTTAGATACAAATGCACTAAAGACAGGCCACTCTGACTCCTTGGGGGCCCTTCCATTTGCATTCATATATACGGGACAAGGCTCTCAATGGGCTGGCATGGGTAAAGAGCTCCTCAAGTGCAATTACGTGTTTCGGCACACGATCGAATACCTTGACTTTTGCTTACATGCTCTCGATTCGGAGCACGCGCCGCCTTGGTCAATTGAGGCAACCTTCCTTGCGCCCGCCGCAGAAAGCGATATCAATAGTGCAGAAAAGTCACAGTCAATATGCACAGCAGTCCAGATCGCCCTCACAGACTTATTGCGCGACTGGGGCGTCCTTCCGGAGATAGTTGTGGGGCACTCGTCAGGCGAAATAGGAGCCGCATATGCAGCTGGCTTTCTCAGTGCGCGGGAAGCCATTCTAACTTCCTACTTTCGAGGAAGGATTGTCTCAGAATGCCCTTGCGCTGGTGCCATGGTCACCGCCGGACTTCAAAAGTCTGAAGCCGAGACTATCATTGAAGAGCTTGTGTTGCAAGGGAAACTCCAAGTGGCGTGCATTAACTCGCCTGAAAGCACCACCATAAGCGGGGATGAAGAAGCGATAGATCATTTTGCATCCCTTCTTCAAGAGCGCGGCATCATGTCGAAAAAGCTGAGGACAGGTGGCAACGCATATCATTCACATCATATGAAGGAAATAGGCTCTCGGTATCAATCATTATTAAAGCAACACTGGAATAGACCATATACCATTATGAAGGGTGTTACCGCCTCTACCGCAAATGTGACACGGTCAGTGACGATGATATCTACAGTGACAGGTGAGGAGGCAAAGGAAAGCGAGGTGGCGATGTCGACTTATTGGCGATTTAATCTTGAGTCACCAGTTCGATTCTCAGATGCTCTCTGGACAATACTGCAGAGGCAAAGTTATCACTTCATCGAGATCGGTCCCCACTCAACACTAAAACTTCCTCTCCAACAGACTGCCGTGTCAATAGGAAAATCAGACTATCTTTACGATAGTGCGTTTTCCCGCGGAAAAGACTCGTGGATGACCATGCTCCAACTAATTGGGTCCCTGTTCTTGCAAGGGCATGATGAACTCAACTACCGGGATGTTATAGTTGGAGAAGCCTGGAAACAACCCTGTGTCTGTATCGACCTTCCTCCGTATCCGTGGGATTATGACTGCTCTGCGATGTGGTCTGTTCCTCGAATGGTGACTGAGTTCTGTCATCGCAAATATCCCCGACATGATCTGCTCGGCTCACGCGTGCCGGGAGTCAGCCCAGCTACCGCCATGTGGCGTAATCTACTAGATCTCAACGAAGTGGAATGGCTATCCCATCACTGTCTTGGCCCATACCCTATATTTCCTGCGGCTGGCTATATCGCAATGGCTGTTGAAGCGATTCGTCAAGTTTCTGGGTTGGAACTCGACGAATGTCCTGGAATTGAGCTCCGTAACCTGAATTTTCTCAAAACGCTCGACTTGGATCCGAATCAAAAGCCACGGGTTGAAGTTCTCGCTGAGATGAGTGCTTCGAAAATTTCCAGCCTAGCTACCTCGAATAAATGGTGGGACTTCAGTGTTTTGTCTGTGACTGATGATGACTTCCAGGCTACTAAGCACATGAGCGGCATCGTCAGCCTTGCTGGAGAATCTCCACGCACAGCCCGTCAGATCAACCTGGACAAGTCAAAGTTGCAGAAAGACGCATCACGAGTCTGGTACGAGAGGTTTATCCAAGAAGGTCTCAACTGGGGTCCATCATTCTCTATCATGAAGGAAATCTTTAGAGATCGAGCGCGGATGAAATGCGCAGCAGCGGCTACTACCCCTCTTCTCCGTGGCAGTGATCCAAGCCGGAGTGGGAGACCAGAATACATCGTTCATCCGATTTCAATGGACGGCATGTTCCAAACTGCCTTCGTTGCCACCTCTGGCGGATGGATAAACCAGCTTCGTGCCAAATTGCCTGTCGCTATGGACTCGCTGTATATTGCTCCTACTTCTGCAATCGATATGAGCACGGAAAATATTTGGTCGACAGATGGGGTGTCGGAAAGCGTCGGGTTCGGTGCTGTCAGGATTAACGCCGAGCTCTACAATTCATCAGGCCAAGTTCTGGCCCGCATGAACAACGCCCGTTGTATCACCTTTCAGGGAAAGAGTCAGACAGACACGCCTGAGGAACGTAACCCACTTGTTAGGGTCGCTTGGAAGCCTGATATCACTTTGACGACCAGTCCGGATATCTCAACATACCTTGACTGGTTTGCAGATATCTGCAGGTCTCAGAGGAGAGTTGCTGAAGAGCACCTACTCCGCCTGGCTGGTGCCCTTGACTTGATCTGCCATAAGCGACCTGATAGTAAGGTTCTCGACCTCACCAACCAAACCACGACGGCGGAACTTATGCGCACGCTACTACGTGCACACTCGCCATTACGCAGGTTTGACACTTATTTTGAAGGCTCTTTCTCAGAATCGGGAGAACTCCTGGGCAAGGAAGCTTTCACGGAAGAGCAGACGGAATCAAAACCAAGTCAGGGAACTATGTTTGACGTATTAATCATTGACCTGGTAAATCCATCTCCCTCTTGCGTGATAGGATACTAAATGTCTGAAGGAATCGGATGCTCTGATATCAAAAATTTCCCCTTTTGTTTCTCCAGGAGCAATGGTTATCACAACAAGGGACGTGCCAAAACCTGATGTTCACTTCGAAACAGTGATAACAGACAAAGCTGGTTCTCAGTCAATGACAATATCCAAGACTCCAAGCGCGGCGACAACAGCGAACAAGGCCCAGACACGCCATGTAGTTATGGTATGTTAAGACAAAACCTCTCATCCTTCTTCCTCGGCTGATAAGACTTGTACAGATTACACGCGACGACCGTGTATCTGACATGGAAGTACAGATCCAACAAGCTCTAGAACATTTCTTTGGTTTCACCGTAAATATGATCAGTTTGTTTCAAGTATCAGAAGAAACAGTTCCAAAACGAGCGATTGTCGTATCAAGCCTGGAACTCCGACGACCTCTTTTGATCGCCATGGATGAACATGAAATAGCCTACTTAAAAGACATTACAGACAGAGCAGCCATAGTACTGTGGCTCTCAAATGGAGACATGTTAGGTGGTCAACGCCCTGACTTCGCTCCAGTGCTAGGTCTCTCTCGTTGTTCGATGCTAGGGCAGCCTTCTCTCAGATTTGCAGTGCTCAACATAGATGATGTGTCCATCCCTTCATCTCAGAGAACACCAAGGAACACTGTTAAGATTATGCATCAGTTGATTCACACTGGCAACCCGGATTTGGAGTTTGCCCAGAAGAAGGGGACAATCCACATAGCTCGCTGGGAGCCGGACGAATATCTTAACACGAAATTCCGATTGAAGCAGAATGAAGACACAATCGACAAAGATCTTGGTAGCGTGGGACGTTGCGAACTTGGCATCAAGAGCCCTGGGCAGATGGATACAATCCATTTCGTGCGAAAAGAACACCCAGACAAACTCCCGCCAGATGAGGTTGAGGTTGAGGTGAAATGTGTGGGTCTGAATGCCAAGGTAAGCCCGGCATTGATTTTGAAGAACACTACTCATGTGAGATAGGATTTGTATGTTCTTACTGCCAGAGTCGATACCAAGAACGCAACCTGCTCGTGTGAGTGCGCAGGAGTTATCACAGCAGTTGGAGACAACGTGTTCGGTTTCAATACCGGTGACCGTGTGGTTGCCATGGGCCCAGCTCATTTTGCGAACATTGAGCGCTTCCCACAATGGGCTCTCTGTAAGCTTAGCAATGATGAGAATTTCACAGTATGTATAGATGTCTCAATGTCTTTTGGCAACAACACACTCACCTCGCTTCAGACAGCATCAACAATCCCAATTGTGTTCTCAACTGTACTATATGCTTTGAAGTACATGGCTAGCATTCAACCTGGTGAAGTAAGCATACCGATTACAGTTTTCCCACAGAGCTAACGGTGGTAGTCTATACTTATTCACTCGGCCGCAGGCGGGGTTGGAATGGCTGCAATCCAATACGCAAAACATGTCGGCGCAAAGGTAGATTCCTATAGATACAACAAAGAGCCGCGGTTCGTTAACATTCCATAGATCTTTGCGACTGTTGGAAACGAGAAGAAGAGGACATTTTTGGTCAAGAACTTTGGCCTTGATGCAAGCCGGATTTTCAGCTCCCGGGATACATCGTTTCTACCTGCAGTTCTTGACGCAACATCTGGTCAAGGTGTCGATGTTGTGTTGAACTCTCTCAGTGGCGAGCTATTGCACAGCAGCTTCAGCGCATGTGCTGGATTTGGCCGTTTCATTGAGATTGGAAAGCGCGACATTCTGGACCATGGAGCCTTGGACATGAGCGTGTTTGCCCGCAGTGTCTCGTTCATGGCATTTGATTTGGCAGATCTCTATTTGTCAAAGAAGCAGGCACACCATGAGCTATGGCGAAGTCTGCTCATGGAGAGTATGCGTCTCATCCGTTCAGGCATCTGCCGACCTTGCTTTCCAATCGATGTGTTTGATGTCTCCGAGATAACCGACGCATTTCGTCATCTCTCACTTGGGAGCCGGATAGGCAAAGTTGCGGTATCCTTCCAGAATGCACACAGTAGGATCAGGGTTATCCCAGACAAACATGAGGCCGCCTTTGATCCTCACAAGAGCTACCTTATGGTTGGGTGTCTTGGGGGTTTGGGCAGAAGCCTGTCGAAATGGATGGTGTCTCGGGGCGCCCGCAGCTTTGTCTTCCTCGGTCGATCTGGCGATGATAAGCCCGAGGCAAGAACTATGGTTGACGATCTTCGGGAACAGGGTAGTCACGTCGTTGTCACTCGTGGTGATGTCTGCAAATATGATGATGTCGAAAAGGCTGTTTGCGAGGCAATCTCCCCAATTGGAGGCGTTATGCAAGCTGCCATGGCTCTCAGCGAAGCCCTCTGGGTCGACATGTCACGTGAACAGTGGCATACAACTCTCAGCCCGAAGGTGCAAGGTACTTGGAACCTTCACAACGCGTTACGAAAGGAAAATCGAGACTCCCATCTGGACTTCTTCGTGATGACTTCTTCCACGTCTGGGACTGTCGGAACACCAACAGAGGCCAACTACAGCGCAGCTAACGCCTTCCTCGATGCTTTCGCTCGCTACCGCAATAGTCTCGGCCTACCAGCCGTTGCTATTGGCTACGGTATGCTTTCGGGGGTAGGGTACCTTCACGAGCATCCGGAAATCGAATCATATTTGAAACGAGCGGGCGCACATGCCATCACTGAAGACGAACTTATCCAGATCATGGACCTCGCCATCACTCATCAGGACCCAGCTACCTGGGAGTCACGCTATGACCAACTCGTAGGTAGTCACCTCCTCACAGGAGTTGAATTCATAGACCTCCAAAAACAACACGATCAAGGCTTCGAAGGCGATAACCCGATTCTCTCGGATCCGCGGGCATCTCTATTCTCTGCATCTTTTGCTCGTAAAACCGGCAAAGACATCAACGCGAATACCACCCCCGCTGGGAATAATCGTCTGCCTGAAGAGGTTATCACTGCGCTTCGTGGAAATCAGAGCAGCAACAGCACATCAGTTCTAGACGCCTTGCGCGGTATATTGTCAACGAAGATATCGCACTTGATCCTTCTTCCAGAGGGAAAGCTGCAGCCAGATCAACCGCTTGGTGAATTTGGACTAGACTCGATGCTCGCGGCTGAGCTTCGGACATTTATTTTCCGTCGACTGGATGTCGATGTGCCGTTTGTGGTGCTGATGAATAGTAGTACGACGGTAGATGTGCTAGCTCGTCGGATTTCGGAGGGTTTGGAAGTGGATGTTGATGGTTGATGGGTTGGATGGCAGTAGTATTGCTGTCGATCGTCAAGTTCATCGAAGTACTTTATCTCACTGATACGTGGTTACTTGGTGTGCTCATTGTTCTGTTCTTTTTATTCAAGTCGCTCGTAAGTCCCACAGCATGTTTGTCAGCGATAAAACATTGATGGAAAACGCGAGAAGAAATGAAAGCAAGATCAATTGAAGGATTCAAACTCCATCGGAATGAATTAAGTTTCCCTTTGTCGAAGTGGCGGTTGTAATTTAGGTACAAAAAGGAGACGAGGAATCAATTGAAATGCAAGATGTACAGGATTCCGTTGTTTATCACTTTCACGACAGGGATATAGTCCTATTCGTACATTTCTGAAAGAGACTAGGCAGCCGCTTTTCAGCTCTGAGGATATTGAGTTGGTATTAGTGAGTCTTACTTAGTACAACCGAGCGCGCTAATCTCAATCCAGTAGCCCGCTCGGAGCTTGAGGTCTACGGTTTGTGCTTGGGATTATCCTTACTCTAACTGACACAAGCATCCGATCGGCATTCTGGGCTCATAATGAAGAAATAGTTCCTGATCTTGATAAGAACAATCATATGATCCTGTTCTACTCGTTCATATCCATCTAATGTCTTCTTCTGTGTCTGGTTTCCCGCTTTATCTTGAATGTGGATCTACCTAAAACAGGCTAGTGTTGGGGCTCTTTTTCAGCTCTCCATTGCAGATGGATGAATTACGGCTCCTTGTCCACTCACCGCTCGCTTCAAACAGTTCAGCTTGCCGTCCATGACTTTTGGCCCCCACGCGGGACCACTAAGCACTTACAAAGTCACCTATCAAGCTAGCTCCCTTGGATTATAACAGCAACAGTCCACCCCCCGCAATGTATTCGAAAAGCCTCTTCTGCGAACTGGTTTCCCTTTTAGGAAAGACAGCGTTATGGCCGGGGTCTACAGAGGAAAAATCAGTATGGGGTGTGCGTTGTGCCGCAAACGACGGCTGCGAGTAAGTGGGCACGTTCAGACCTTAAACATTGGCCAACAGTATGCAGTGCGACCGACGTCAGCCATCTTGCTCACAGTGTCTGCGAGTGAAACAAGAGTGTTTCGGATATCGAGATCCGGATACCCTGAGGGTCTATGATCAGAGCGCAGAAGTTGTCTCCAAGGCTCGAGCCCGATATAGTGGTGGTCCCACCCAACGGTCGCCTGCGCCCCCCCTCATCTACTCCCCCATCTCCGATGACCAGCGAGCCCTGTCTTATATCATCCCATACTATATTGGCACGGACCAACACCGGGGCTTACTTTTGTTTCTGCCAAGCCTGTTGGAGAATGACCCCTCTCCTGCGTTAACAGCCTCCGCCAAGGCTATAGGTCTGTTAGGCATGACGAGGATGCCGCACGTGGAACATCGAGCCAGAAAAGAATATAGTATTGCCTTGTGTGCTACAAATAGTGCTTTAAGAGATCCGACAACAGCAACTTCCGATTCCACTCTGGGCGCCGTGTTATTGCTGAGCTTGTATGAGGTGATACCCCCTTAGAAGCGGCAATCTTCGCGTCCAAGCAACATACACTAATCGATCCTTTCCAGCTGATCACATCACGACCCACGGAAATGGGCAGTGGCTGGAAGGATCATGCTCAAGGAGCAGCCAAGCTCCTGGAACTGCGAGGGGAAGAGCAGTTGAACTCGCCTGTTGGGCTAGAGTTATTCACCATTGTGCGCTTTCAAAACGTGAGTCATCCCGTCGATGGGAGATTTCTACTACTTGCCTCATACAATATTGGCAGGTAATCAGCAGTGTCTTCTTCCGACTTGGGTCACGGATTCACAATTCCCCCACGATTGCAGCACTGTCTCAAGTCGCAACATCTAAAAGAAATGAACATACCCGGCCAATCGAAACCCTCTACAACATGCTCATTGAGCTAAACGATATAGCAATCGAAGTTGACGAGGCACACCTCCAAAGTGACCTCGAGAAGCAACAGGTGCTAATTGAGAGATCCCTTCTCCTTGATGCGCGTCTACAGGCGTGGACGACATCGCTGAGTCCAGCGTGGTCTTATCAAGTCATCGATGACCCGCGTTCTCATTTACCCAAAGCCACCTATCCTCCGATCTATGATAACAGATATCATATGTACCACGGGGTCTCCCTCGCCACCATGTGGAATAACTATCGCCAGACGCGCATCGTTCTCAATGAGATGATTAAGATGATGGCCCTGCGTCGGTGGAAGTTACAAAATCTTCCCCAGTATCAGCACATCATATATCAATCTACTGGCATTATTGAGCACATGGCAGATGATATTTGTGACAGTATCCCCTATTACTTCATCTCCGGCGAAGTAGGCTTTGGAAGCATATACCGGGCGCTGTGGCCGCTATTCATTGCAGGCCGATGCGCAGCCACAGAATCTCCGGCGAAAAAATGGGCTGTGCAAATCCTCGACCTCATTGGAAACATTACGGGGATTCAGCAGGCGATCGGCATGTCGCAGCTCCTCAAGCAGGGGAAACCAGCCAGCGTGATTCCTGGAGGGGATCTGGTGACTGAGTCGATCTTTAACCAGGCAGCCAGGTTGTCTCCTGGTGGTGACTAAAGAATAATTATGGAATATATACGCTCAAGAAGAATATTTAATACTACGAAGAACAGTCATAGTCACCTCTAGCTACATGACGTAGCGCGAGTAAAACAGAGAACAAGTAGCTCCGTCACATAGGACCCGAGCTTACGTGATGTGGATCCGGGTCCCTCCCTCATTATGAGGCTTAACCGGGTGTAGTTACCTATCAGCATTTTAGCTCAGCGATGTGGATCTGATGTTGCCAAGTTACTGGCTTAATCTAGTCTAGTGCGCCAAGGTGGATCCAGAATACCGAGTTGCTTGCCTAATTCAGTCTAGTGCGTTAATGTCAATGCCGCCTTGGGCCCCAACGAAGATGACGATCCCGAGTCATATACCAAATACAGAGATGAAGCCCGACTCCCACTGGAGACCTCGTTGGATACCGCAATGCGGCTGTGCCTGATGATGTACTCAGCTTTGACCCGGTCTTCAAGCTGGGTTGGGAGCTTAAATAGCTCACCTTTTCCCATGAATCAGATAGAATTCTCAGCACTTCAAGGACTACTGTAGTCTCATTGATCAAAGCAGCGGCGCACCATGAAGACCTCGGTACTCTTGGGCTTGATGTCCCTGAACATCATCGACTGTAAGTCACTTCTATCACTGGCTGCATCAACAAGCTCACGATGTTTAATCTCAGTTACCAACGCTGGAGCCATCTCCATCCAAAAGGACCTCGCTTCACGAACGGTGAAAAATGTCAAGTCTCGTGCTCTCCCAGATGCACCAGATGGCTATGCCCCGGTGCATGTCACCTGCCCCTCGAGCCGGCCTACCATTCGGCCTGCTTCCGCACTGTCCTCCAATGAGACCGCATGGCTCGAAACTCGCCGTCAGAAGACCGAATCCGCCCTGAAGGACTTCTTCGGGCATATCGAGATTGAGAACTTTGATGCTGTGAGCTACATCTCAAACCACTCTGGCAGCGACTTGCCAAATGTCGCCATTGGCATCTCGGGTGGTGGTCTTGTTGCGTGTCTGAATGGAGGAGGTGCTATTAAGGCCTTTGATGAACGCACCGAAGGATCCACAGCCAAAGGTCAGCTCGGTGGTCTGCTACAGTCAGCTACCTATTTCGCCGCCCTCAGCGGTGGCTCGTGGGCTCTCGGCTCTATCTATGTCAACAACTTCACCACAGTGTCCAGTCTACAGCAGAATCTGTGGGATTTCAACTCCGAGGAGATTATCTACGGTCCCGCTAAGATTCCGCACATTGAACTCTGGGGAAACATCTCGGCCGAAATCAAGAGCAAGCGGGATGCTGGATTCAAGACGGGTGACGCCGACTTCTGGTAAGCTGACCTTGTTCTTTGAACCGAGAAATCTTATTGACATGTGATTCCAGGGGTCGTATCCAGGGATACAACTTCTTCAATGCTAGCCATGGTGGTGTTGACTACACCTGGTCCTCGATTGCAAAGACCCAATCCTTCCAGAGTGCTGATATGCCGATGCCTCTGGTCGTCATGACTGGCAACCAGCAAAGCACCGAGACCCTATCAAGCTCCCCGGCCACATACCCCATCTACGAGACTACCCCATGGGAGTGGGGTACCTACGACGATGACATCTACGGCTTCGCCCCCTTGGAATATCTCGGCACTCGCTTCGTCGACGGCGTCGTGCCTGACAACGAAACCTGCGTCCGGGGCTTCGACAATGCGGGTTTCATCACCGGCTCGTCCAGCGATATCTGGAACGAGAACGGACACGATATCAAGTACTATCTCGGGCTAGCTCTCGAAGAATACGAAGCCGCCGCGCCCAACTCCTCCACCGTGACGTTCCTGAAAACCGCCATCGCGGACTTTGATAACGCCGCCAGCTCCACCAACTCCAACATCAGCGGGCCCGCCGCCTACGACCCGAACCCCTTCTACCACTACAACACCGCCACCTCGCCCTACGCGCAAACCACCAACCTGATTGTCCAGGACGGCGGCGAAACCAGCCAGAACATCCCCCTGTACCCACTCATCCAGCAAAAGCGCAACGTCGACGTGATCTTCGCCGTCGACTCCCTCGGCTCCGCCTCCTACGACTACTGGCCCACCGGCTCCTCCCTGATCGCCACCTACAACCGCACCCTCCTCGACATCGCCAACGACACCTCGTTCCCCGAAGTCCCTGACCTCGACACCTTCCTCAACCTCGGCCTGAATGCCCGCCCGACCTTCTTCGGCTGCAACGCCTCCCATCAGACCCCCTTGGTCGTGTACCTCCCCAACCACCCCATCACCTACAGCTCCAACTACTCGCTCATCCAGGGTCAATTCACCGACGCCGAGCGGGACGCAATCATCACCAATGGGTACAACGTCGCGACCCAAGCCAACGGCACGCTGGATGCCGACTGGTCAACGTGTGTGGGGTGTGCGGTGCTCAGTCGCTCGTTGAATCGCACCGGAACGACCACCCCGGAGGCGTGCACGAAGTGTTTCCAGCGGTATTGCTGGAATGGGACTGTGGATGACGAGACGCCAAAGGCGTATGAGCCGACCGCATCTCTGAGCGCCGTCGCGGCGGCGGCTAATGCGACGGCATCAGCAACGGCTTCGAGCTTGGGTACTTCGCTGCGGGCAGCTCTTTCTGCTGCGCTGATGGTACCAGTACTGGCGGTACTGTACACAGTTTGAGAGAATCGCTCGGAGAGGATTGGGCTGTGCTTTTTGTTGTTTCTTCAGGGTTCAAGCTCTTCTTCTTTTGCACTGTTCTTTTATGTTGTATGTTTTATTTTGGAACTATCGTCATTTGTCTTTAAAGCTAATTTAACCTGTATTATCATCTTCGAAATAAGCCCTCTTTCCCAGTTCTGAAAATAGTCAACCGTTTGAACCCATCAGAGGATGGGATATAATATTGTCATGCCATACAGATAGTGTCATAAGTAAACTGAGCACCCACCCGCTTCATCTTAGCATTTATTCCTCCACTATAGAGCGGTTCGTATAGCGTTTCTTTCTTCCACAAACCCACAAACACCCAAGGCTCGTATGTCTAAATTGAGGGAAACATTATCCATTTTGTATTATGGGGTTCAGATAACGTGTTTAGTGTCGTGTAGGTTAACAGTCTCCATGGACAATAGCTTAGGATAAATCTTGTTTTGATTTATTTATTTCTGGCCCTCTGGGTTCGGTTGGTGTCTTATTGAATTGGATTGAATGAAACAAATTATGGGATAACATGGGTGCCAGTAATAGTAAATGTAAATAATCATCACTCGGGGCGGGGTGAGGGGGGAATAAACTCATAAGACAGTCACTCGTAAATCATACATACATACATATTAGTGTTTTGTCGTTGTACAGGAAGTGTACAGCGTAAGATTTTTCTGAAGGAAGGGCGGTTATGAGAAGGGAAACAAATTAGACAACGAATGTAGATAGTACAATGAACGTTCAATGTGTCAGAGATAGATAGTAAACCACATATTCCATGGTCTTCAGCTCACTCACTCTCCGTGAGGCTGAAATCTACACATCCATCCTTTGAGAGCTTGTTGCCGTCTCATTCCCCGCACTTAGTCGGGCAATATGAGATGCCTCGGCTTTCGAGGACGCCGAGCCCCTGCGATCGTATGGAGCCAGGTCCGGAAACTCGAATTTGGAGCTCTTCCAGGGCTTCACTTTCATCACGTACATGGTGTCGATCTCCTCCAGTGTGCGACCGCGACCTTCGATGACAGCGACGTAGACTAGGCCTGCGGCGAGGAACAGGCAGCCTGCGAAGACGTAGCCGAGACGGAAGTCGATGGCGCTGGTGATGAAGGGGGTGAAAAATGCCAGAAGGAAGTTCCACAGCCAGTTGGATGCGGTGGCGAGGGACATGGCGCGGGCGCGAAATTCGGAGGGATAGAGCTCGGCGATGATGGTCCAGACCATTGGACCCCAGGTTGAGGCGAAGCCTGTGATGGTTAGTATTTATGTTGAGCTTAGAGGGAAAGGGGGAGGGGGGGGTACCAAGGATGAAGAGACAAGCGAAAACGACCATGACTACACCAGCTGTGTGTGTCCGTTCGGGGTTTTGGTGGTCCAAGGAGAAGTGGCCGACTGAGGCAAAGACCATGAAGCAGACGAACATCCACAAAGCTCCGGCTATTAGAGATCGACGACGACCGTAGTTTTCAATCAGGTAGAGACCCAAGAATGTCGTTCCGAAATTCACTCCGCCCAGGATCATCTGGGTTACGTAGCTGTTTTGGATCCCGGCGCCTTGGAAGATGGTCGTGCCGTAGTAGAAGAAGTAATTGGCGCCGGTGAGTTGCTGCAATGCTTGGAGGGCAACGCCAACCGCCACACGATATCCCATGCGGGGGGCGCGGAATAAATGGCCCCAGGTTATTTGTCCGCGCGCTTTTTCTTCCTCGAACTTTTGCCTGATCTCGTCGATTTCGAGCTTGAGCATGCGATGGTTTCTCGGGATCCCGTACATCTTTGCCAGGGTATTGGCCGCTTTGTCCTCTTTGCCGTGTCTGTAGTCAAATCGGGCACTTTCGGGGAACATTGAAATTCCAACCCCCAGGATGATGGCCCAGATGTAGGTGACTCCCATGGGAATCCGCCAGGATCCTGTGTCGGTTCTTGCCTCGGTGCCGTAGTTGATGCAGTTGGCGACGAAGATTCCGAGGGTGATGAATAGTTGGTAGGTACTGTTGATGTTAGCTTTACAACTTGATTGGGAGTTAAGTGGGTAGATACCTGACGAGCGAACCACGAATATGTCGCGGTCCAGTTTCTGCTTGGTACATGGGGACAAGCAAGGACAAGGCCCCAACACCGAGACCTGCCACCCATCGGCCCATGGCGACCTGGTACCACTTCCCGAAGGGTGAGGATATTTGGATGGTGATGCCCACGCATACCATAATGCTCCAGCAGCTGATGGACCATTTTCGGCCAATGCGATCTGCGATAGGTGCAGCGATCAACGCGCCGATCAGAGTACCGATCGATAACTGTGGTTATCAGATTAGATCATGCGACTAGTGTGGGTACCATGCGTGGTCTTACCAGGCCGACAATTAAACCCGAACGGGCGTTGGTGAAATAGTATGTGCCATCAGAGCGCTGTTCACCATATCGTTGGAGGAAATTTTTCATCTCCAGGAAGCCGGAGATTTGGCCAGTGTCGTACCCGAAAAGAAAGCCGCCCATTGACACGAAAATACCCATCAAGAATGAGCGCCACGTAAGTAGGGGAATCGGCGTATCCACAATCACTTCTCCGGACTTTTCATGATTTGGATTGGTGGGTGGCACCTCTTGCGGCAGGGTATCGCCATTGAAATGGTTCTCTGGCCTCGCACGAGGTACTTTAAAGTTGGGTAGTCTCATTTTGCAATGTCCGTATTAATGCGCCAGACGTGATTTCTGAGGCTGAGTGGTGATAAGAGAAGGTCAGAATGAAAATATATAGACTCGGGGGGAACGTGGACATGATGGTTCCATGATGTCATGATAAGAACTGGACTTCCAGTTCCTTTTGTTCCTTTGTCTGGTAGCAAGAAGGGACTCGTCTCCGATCCTTTGTTCGGACAAGGGTAACCCAGTCTAGATGTCCAGCTGCTCACGTGGTGGTCCTGAATTCTCGTCCATGGGATATCTCACATCAGCCACCTATGTCTGACTCCGGCCGAAATTGTAACTTCGCAGCTCGGGGATCCCGGTCGAATCCCGAACTTTGATACGTTCCAGCCACTTTGATGGGGGAAGCCATCTATGGTAGCGATCCGGGGAAAGTCAATTATTATGTCATCACTCAGAGGGGCAATTACCCCGGGGTATATGACAGGATGACTTTGAAGGTGCCGGGGTGGCTGCTGGAATACCACCGTGGTTCCACGGCTCGTGCTCGTTGCCCAATGTCGGGATCCGGGGTCTTGGCTTACGTCTGGGGTTTTCTCCGCACTTCGGTACTCCTTACGTATGTTCTTTGGTGATAACCATCAGAATCACGATAGAGCATCATTGAACCTTTGTCAAGTCCAGGATACGGTATGACCGGGTGTGGATGTGGCGTTCCAACGTTGCACTCAGCCACTGCAGGGGCAAGTAGGAGTTCACAACCGAGGTCTGCGTTGGCTCTGAAAAAGACCCGTGTCGAGAGGGTGTAGACAAGGGCCTATCTGCTCGATATCAGCTCCTGGCATCTATGGTTCCAATCAGTCGTCAGCATGTCCGTAGCCTGTGGGGTTGTTTTGGGGATTGTTTGTGGTCAGGTCAGTCATGTTGAGCGCTGGGTGCTGGTAATGCCATGATAGCTGAGCGGTATGGTGTGGAATAGCATGCCTCGTATCCTTCGCTTAATGTAGTCTGCCGGGTCTTCCGATCTGCCGGGGAGATGTGAAGTTGGTGAAGTCAACGGCGACGCCGCGTCGGTCCCATCCGACATCACCTGATGCCCGAAACAAAGAAAACAAACTTTTATAGGACAAGCATTTCTTGTTCTGGTGCCACTCACCCTACTGGGTGTCTGAGGAGACTTAGTCTCTTCTATTGGAGGGTTTTCGCAGATGAAGGTATATTTGTTTGTAGAGATCCAATCCCGCTATATATTTTTGAAGACATCCAATAGACTGGTAGAAACCGAGTGCCAACCACGACAAGCACAGTCATTTTTAGGCACCGAGTTCTGCACAATGACGGCCTCAGGATAGTTGAAAATAAATGGAAAAGTGTTCTAGACTGCACCTAATCGGTTTATCTGTTAGTCATGAGGGAAACAAGAGGGCAACACCTTACTGAATGCTTGGGGGGAACAGGGTATTTAGTTTGCTTTATGTAACCAAACAAGCAGTCTGTATTTCAACAAATGGGGCTGTGGTTTAGTGGTATAATATTCCCTTAGCATGGGAGAGGTCCGGGGTTCGATTCCCCGCAGCTCCATTTTTTATGTTTTTGTTTTTGTTTTTGTTTGTGGTGCGCCCGCTGCGGGCCAACCTCGATCAAATGCGACACGATGACTGCTTTCCAGAGAAGCTTTACTTCCTATCTTGTACTCCCGTACTCCAGGAAAACCATTGCCTCTCATTTAGAATCCTATCTACAAGTTGTGATCCCTGAGCCCAATCCTATCCTTGTCTTGGTCACTCAAGATTTATCCATCTCTCAGTAAATGGCCTCCCGAAATCCAACTCGACCCTCCAAGTCTACATGAACCACCAGAACCCTTTCACTCTTGACATGTGACCCATTGTTAGTTCACGAACGCAACTGAAGATTGATCCCATGGTGTGTCCAAACCATGTGTTTTTGATGTTCTCTCTTCGCACAATGACAAATCTCGTCAGCGCGGTCAGAGCTCGCGTTGACACAGTTTTTGACCAAGCTGGACAACACTCGAGCTTATCTCCAATGAGTCCCACGAAGCTCCCAAATACTTGTGTGGCATCTCAAGCAATAGTTTACAATAGCTGCATAAAGTGATGCTGCTACTTCAGCTGTGTCCGATTGGGTTCTTCGTTCAAGGAGCACCACGAGAACCCATGAGTAAGTTTACTACAGTGCTCACAAGAGATTATGAACTTGGTGGAATCCGAGAATGGAGTCGTGTCAGATCCTCGGATTTATGATCGTTAAACCTGATTCCGTGTAGGCTGGATGATCTTGGCTAGTGGCTTAAGGCTTCCAGACCACCTGTTCATGGTCTATATCTGGAATCCCCTGCCCAGATTGCAGAACGCACCACAAAGAGGGTGTCGCAAAGGCGTGTGACTGACAGGTGAAGACCGTGCTGACTGGTCCACGGTTGTACCTGATCAACACAAGCTAGGAAGTTTGATGAAGCTTCTGACACAATAACTCTGACCAACCCGCTTCCAGGGGACAGCCTATCCGAGCTTTATCAGCATTATTAATGCACGTCAATCGTTGGCGATGATCTAAAAGTCAATTGTTTTGAAGTACTGTGGTATAGCGAACGGTCCTTAGGCTTTGACTCAAGCCAGCAGAGACTCTTCCACGTAATGATAGTCCCTGAGCTGATGCTTCGGTTTCCCGCCCCGAATCCTATTATTGGCTCCATACAGAAATGCGACTGCCTAGTTACCCGACCTTCCAAGTGTCAGCAATGCGACCCGAAAGTTGTACGATTCATCGTCTCATCCTGATGTTCCCCGTGTTGCCTCAAAGACTCGCACTGCGTCTCCCGTCGAGTCAGCCTGAGAAACAATGCAGATCTATTTAGGACACACCTCACATTGGCAGCATTTCATCGAACATAAATAGAGACCTCTTCCCTGCCATTGAACAAGTATTAGCATCATCACCGGGCATTCCAAAAGCAAGACTCAATTCCAAACAACTCCACACAAGCACCTAAGATTCATAATCACCATGAGGTCCCAAATCCTGATCGTTCTGAGCATCCTCTTCTCTTTGGCACCTGCCACACCCACCACGCCCAACGTAAGTAAACTAGTGCCCAAAAGACCAAACTACAATTTCTAACACACACAAGAACACACAGGGTATTTCCGACATCGTCTCCAACCTCCCCCAGGACAACGATGGAGTCCTCTACCTCGGAGGCGACGGCGTTCTTCGATCCGTCGACGCCAACGGCAGGGTCGTAACTTATCAACAGTTGAACCCGCAGCAAATCAGCGAGTACAACAGCAACTTCCCAGCGGCGGAACAAGATCGTCTGTCCCAAGAATTTCAGGGCGTTGACGGTCGCGACGTCACGAATGTTGACCAGCTTCTCAACCCCAGCCGTGACTTGCTGCCGCCATTGGCCACCACCACCGCGTCTCAGCAACAGCCAACAAGCACCAGTATGCCGGGCGGAAACACCTGCGGAAATGTTGGATGCACTTCGCAGCGCGTCTGTCGCGAGAACGGATGCAGCAGCTGTCTCCAGGTGGAGAGCATGGCGACGGGCTATTGCCACTAAGTATTGAGGCGATTATGTGGGATAGCATTACCCCTGAAATTGAGTTTGATCCTGTTTTGCAGTCTTATCTTTCTATGTGCCGAGAAAGAGGACCTGTTGTGCTTATTGCTCTACTTCTGGGTATGATCGGTGCCTGGAGAATGGCAACAGGTCCTTTGTTTTTCTCTGTGTTTCCTTTCTCATTGCTTGAATTAATCCAGATTGTCATTCCTTAGCTTAGCAAACAGGGGTATATCTACCTAAACCCGAGGTTGACCAGGAACAAGCCATCAAGTCCTCATATGAGTATAGTAAACATGGCGTTAGACGAGACGACGATCAATCAATGACGCATGAACAATGTAGGCGGAAATTCCACCCCAAGCTAAAAATAGAACCCGTGAATACATCTGCAGACTGCGGATAATTGAGGAAGGGAAAGCCGACCAGTCGGGCCACTGCCGAGGTAATGCCGAGAGTCTCGGCATCGCGGGGCCAGCGGGGTCATCGGCTATATCTTCACCCGGATCAACATCGCCATCCCCAACCTCATTTACGCTGCTGCCTGTCCCCTCATCTGATTAGGTTTCTTGAGGACGCTCACCGAGACAATTCTTGCGTCGAACAACCCACTCAATTATCATATATATTGGTACCTCTCCGATAAACGTTCCTCTTGCGTCCCAGCTAATCACAGCAGCAGACATCCCGACCCCGCATCCATCAGGCAACCCCCCTCGCAACAACAATGCAGCCTCATCTCCCCGAAGGAGGCAAGACCCTGGTCTACTTCACCATCGACAATCACGATGTCAAGCTAGACTACTACCTCCCCCCCGCCACCAGCGGAAACCTTCCCGCCATCATCTACTACCACGGCGGCGGAATGACAGCCGGTTCACGACGAGGCCGAGGATTCCCCCACTGGCTATACAGTAACCCCCCCACCCCCCTTCATCCCCTTCACCATCATCAAACCCCACCACTAACCCATTCCTACAGACCACTGCCAACAAAACAACTACATCTTCATCTCCGCCGACTACCGCCTCTGCCACCCAACCACAGCACTCGACCAAATCACCGACGCAAAAGCCCTCTTCACCTACCTCTCCGGACCCTTCCAATCCGCCCTCCCCCCCAACCTCACCCTGGACACCACCCGCATCGCCGTAACCGGCTTCTCAGCAGGCGGCTTCTCCGCCCGCGCAGCCTGCGTCTACGCCTCCCCCAAACCCGCCGCTTTGCTCACCGGCTACGGAAGCTGCGGTGACTGGCTCCTCGATCACTGGACGACAGCCCGGCCGCCTACTTCCATCGCTAAGATGGTCGACTTGGATGCCGTTCCACAGTTACTGGCGGATAAGACTGTCGTGAGCGACGATATGCCTGCGGAAGGCGGGATGATGTCGAATAGGTTTGCGTTGACCGTGAGGTGGGAGCTCGATGGGACGTTTCTGGATGGGTGTTTGGGCAGACCGGGGCTGGGGGCGGAGTTGAATAAGGTGGGGTATGAGGAAAGGGAGGCGAAGATTCCCGAGGACTTGAAACCTGCGTTTCTGCAGTTGTTTGTGGATGAGACGTATCCGCCTTCGGTGTTTGTGCATGGGACGGCGGATGAGGTGGTTCCTGATCAGGAGAGTAGGACGCATTATGAACGGTTGAGGGAGTTGGGAGTTAAGACGGAGTTGTTGTTGGTGGAGGGGGGTGGGCATGGACTGGTGGACTTTAGTGGGGGGTTTCCGCCGAAGCCGGCCAAGGGGTCGGTCGAGGCGTATAATCGGGGGTTGGAGTTTATTGATGAGGTTTTTGGGTCGGTTTAGGGGGTGTCTAGATGTAGTAGACATACTATAGGGAGGATGTGAATCACATGATTTGTCTGGACCCCTGGGGATCCATGGATAATGAATCCGAACACACACCTCTGAGCGTAATCTTGCAGACAGCATATGGAGCCAAGGCTGACAAGACCATTAAATGATTGCTTCTCTGCAGGGTCAAGGTGGGGACGATACGAGTAAGAGGTGGGGATACAGCTACCAACCAATGAGATTCATACCGAAGAGCTCTGTGATTAATACATGGCCATAGGCCAATAGATCAACGCACCCACAAGACTCTAATACCATTAGAGTCTTCCATCGCTCGCCCTATAGTTATACTCTACTCTTATGTACTCTACTACTATACCAAGTCATACCTCCTCCGGGATACCCGAATCACCCGGTTCCCTCATTCCCTCGCCTGACCGTCACCAAGCAGCCACTATATACAGAACGAGCTCATTCCTCATCTACCAATTCCAACCTCTCCCTCAGGTAATCATTCTCCTCCCTCAACCTCTCAATCTCCCGCTCATACTCTTCCATAGAATCTGCACTCGCAGATTCCAACTCCTCAATTATCTTAAACACACGCCACAACCGTAAGACCACAACCAAGGATCCCAATTCCTCAACCAACCCTCTCATCGCGACATCAATACCAAAAGCAACGACAATAACAAGCGAATCAAAGACATGAAACTTGGACGAAAAGTAACTACGGATTTCATTAGCGCCGGCCAGACATGGCATCACTGACCGCTACACAGCGCAACACTCATGCAGAAACTCCAAAAGGGAAGGAAAAAAAGAAAACCCACCTTGTTCCGAAACTAAACACCGCGACTATCAATTCAACCATGAAGAGACAGGAAAACACCAGTCCGACGATCTCGAGCCCTTCCTGGGATTCTGCCCATATGGCAGGTACATGCGAGTAACGTTTCTCCAGCTCGCAGACATGCAACTCGATGAGGAAATCCGCAAACACGCAGGCGACATCGACCGAGACGAGGAAGAGGATGAGGTAGTGGCCGAAGCGCGACGAGAGGAAGTTACGGGCGGAGCGCCGGTAGCGCGCGACGAGGGGCTCTCGGGGTGAGTCTTCGTCATCGAGGTAGATTTGGCCCGGAGGAAGCTGGGCTTCGGTGGTGAGGAGGGGGTCGGAGGAGGATCGCATGGCTTGGGTGGTGGTGTTGACCGGGTGCTGTTTGGAGGATGGAGGGGTTGTTTTGGAAAGGCTTGGGAAGGCTTGGTTGCGGCAGGTGGAGGAAGACGTGGATGGCCTGGCGACCGGGTGGACCGGCTGATAAGCATGGCCAACTCGTGGTTGGATGGCGGGTCCGAGCCTCAGTGGCTGTCGATGGTCGAAGCTTATCGATCGCCGCCATCAGTCCGGATGATGGCTTGGCATCAGCTCTAACTATTAGATCTATGCCGAAGGTCTGTGAAGGAGTCGGAGCAGTTGGTCGGACTGCAGAATGGTATATTGCTCATTTCATCGTCGAAGGGTTTATAAGGGCTCAAATTCATTGTTCTGGTTGTTATTCCCATGCAAGGGTGGTCTGGTAAGCCGCAGTGCCCTGCAGAAGATGCTTGAGGAATGCACCCCGCCGAGCCCTGCAGTGCTGACTTCGGAACATCGCAAGTTTCTATTTCAACGACATGGCACGTTGGACTTGGAGCCGGTGCCCGACCCGAGTGAGGCAGATCCATACAATTGGCCAAGATGGAAGGTACTGGTCATGGCCTGCCCCAATCACCCACAGTATTGACGCTCCCAGAAAACCCTCAACCTCTCTCTAGTCGCTTTTCACGCCATGATGGCTACGTTCACTGCTGCCTCCATTCAGTGCTCATTTGACGTCATCGCAGAGGACCTTGGAGTTAGCATACAACGGAGCAGTTACTTAGCGTCCCTGTTCATCGCAATCATCGGATGTGCTCCCGTATTTTGGTGTCCATTATCAAATCGCTACGGCCGACGACCTATTTTTCTTCTTTCTCTCGTCTGCAGTCTCGTGGGTAATGTTGGATGTGCAAAAAGTCCGACCTACGCAACCATGGCCCTCTGTAGGGCCATTACAGCGTTCTTTATCAGTCCAGCAATAGCACTAGGCAGTGCTGTTGTTGCCGAAACGTTCTTCAGAAAAGACCGTGCACGATGCATGGGGGTGTGGACATTGATGGTCACCATGGGAGTACCTATTGCTCCATTTATTTTCGGGTTTGTTGCATTGCGCGTCGGCTGTCGATGGATCTATTGGATTTTGGCCATGGTGAGCGGACCTCCAGGTCTAGTGAGTCCAATACTGACTGACTTTCCTCACGCAGACAAACGCTGTCCAGTTAATCCTCTACCTCTGTTTTGGATCCGAAACGCTCTACATGAGAAACAATACCCACATCTCACAAGACCCACCTCACAAAAATCAATTCTTCACACTCCAACCCATCAACCCCACACCATTAACTATCCACGACTTCATCAAACCCTTCACCCTCGCCACTCGCCCATGCATCATGATCCCCACAGCAGCATACAGCATGATATTCCTCTTCGGCAGCGTCTTCCCCACCATCGAGATCCCCCAAACCTTCCCTCAGAAATACGGCTTCAACACCCAACAAGTCGGGCTCCAATTCATCGCCCTCATCATCGGCTCCGTAATCGGGGAACAAGTCGGAGGCTACGCATCCGATCAGTGGATGTGGTTACGAGAAAGCAAAACCCACAAGCCTCTACCCCCTGAGCACCGCCTCTGGCTAGCGTATCTCGGCCATGCATTGACATGCTGCGGAGTGGTGGTTTTTCTCGTACGGTTGGGACATTCCCCTACTTGGAATGTAACACCATTGGTAGGTGCGGCGGTTGCAGCTGCGGGGAATCAGATTGTCACCACAGTGAATGTCACGTATGCGGTGGATTGCTATCGTATGGATGCGGCTGGTATTGGGGTGTTTGTGACTTTTGTGAGGCAGTTATGGGGGTTCATTGGGCCGTTTTGGTAAGGAGTCGTTTTGTTGGGGCAAGAGTTGTGCTGATAAAGATTATGAATAGGTTCCCACAGATGTTGTCGAGTGTTGGGTATTATGGGAGTGTTGGGATTGCGGTGGGGTTGATTGTGGGGGTTTCGGTGATTCCTACCATTTTATTGCAGTGGAGGGGACATACATGGAGGGAGGTGCTTGACTAGCATAGATGCATGTATCGATATTTTGGGTTATCAGTGACTCTGGGTAAAGTGTTCTCACTTGGATTGACTGATCAAACTTAGATAGTTATTGGCGTTGTAGATAGAGGTTATGAATGATTCATGATGCCGGAAGTTGGCCTGCTAATGGGTTGTATGCGTTATTACGAGGAAGGAAATCTGGTCTTGAGAGATTAATTTGCCTTAAATGATTGAAAAGTTCCAATAAATGTGGTATCCCTCAAATTGCACTCTCAAATTGGCTCATCCGGGTTATCCTGGATGGGAAGCCCTAACGATAAGTGTTGTGTAGAGATGTACTCTTCACTTTTTTAGATCTTACACTTGTTTTCCCGGACAAGGATGCATCGTTTATATGAAAAATATTATCAAAGAATGAGAGAAAGTGAAAGAGATATAGAAGAAAAGGAAAACAATTATGATAGAAAAAGTTAAACTCTTGCTTGTGTCTTCATCAGCAGGCGCGGTGGTATGACAACATGGGAAGCCGAAGCTTATATATTAATCCCAAACATAGCATTACAACTTAATCGACTGGATCTATGCATAATGCATGTAGCCGATTGCATCAAATTATGATGTGGAATGTATTTATCAGCAATGCCTCGAGTCGAGCGATCTAAGAAGAGGGGTTGGTACCAATTAGTAAGAAACACAATACAGCCCCAGATACGCGACATCTGATAAGACAATTCGATATGTATTAGTCAAAAAATCATAGCAATATCGACTAATACTCAATTCTAGACTTAGCGCTAGTCGTGGTTGCGTCGATGGCCTGACCCCTTGCGTGCGCATGCAGTGGCAGACTGACAGCAACCGGATCGATCGGCCACCGGGCAGTGCTGTCAACCTGTCTATCACGAGTTGCATAATGTTGCCCAGAAATGACGACTTCAGGGACCTCATCTGTCCACTCGGATGTCTGAAACGTGAAACCGTTATCGGCCATGTAAGGCGTGATCGCCTAGTGTCTCGCGTCATCCACCTCTCTCATGCGGGGTACAATCCAGGTACATCCATTCTATAAATGGCGCATTATTCCTATCACTTACACCCAGCCAACTTCTCAAAATAAACACACTTCATCATGCCCACCGAATTCATCAGTCTCACCTTCCCCAACGCCTCCACGGAGGTCGCCCCCATCCCCAACGCGGGCATCGACCCCGACTACCTGGTTCGCTACGCCCGATCCCTCGACGACTACGGCTACAACTACACCCTCGTGCCCTATGACTCGTCCTCCTTCGACCCCTTCACGATCGGCGCCACCATCGCCTCCTTGACCAAGAACCTCAAGGTCATCATCGCCCTCCGCCCCAACACCCTCTACCCCACCGTCGCCGCCAAAGCCCTCGCCACCCTCGACCAACTCAGTCGAGGCCGCGTCGTCGTCCACTTCATCGCCGGTGGCAGCGATGCCGAACAAGCCAAGGAAGGCGACTTCCTGAACAAACAACAACGCTACGGCCGTTTGGAGGACTACATCCGGATTTTGCGTCGTGCATGGGAATCCGACCAGCCCTTTGACTGGGAAAGCGAATACTACACCTTCAAGCAGTTCAGTAACCGTGTTCGTCCTACGAACGGAACCATCCCCGTCTCTGTCGGTGGGTCATCCGATGAAGCGTATCGCGTGGGTGGCTCACTGGCCGACATCTTCGGTCTCTGGGGAGAGCCCCTTAAGGAGACTAAGGAGCAGATCGATCGGATCTATGCTGAGGCAGAGCGCGCGGGTCGCGCACCTAACGACCGCCCGCGTATCTGGGTCACCTTCCGGCCGATTATTGCTGAGACCGATGAGCTTGCTTGGGCGAAGGCGCATGAGACACTGGATAAGTTGAAGCAGTTCCGGGCTAATGGGCAGGGTAAGGCGCCGCCGAATGCTCCCCCGCCGCAGAATGTTGGGTCTCAGCGATTGTTGGATATTGCGGCCAGGGGAGAGGTTCAGGACCGCGCGCTGTGGTATCCTACTGTGACGGCTACGAATGCCAGGGGTGCGTCGACGGCCTTGGTGGGGTCGCCGAAGACGATCAGTGACTCGATCCTTGATTATGTGGATCTTGGGGCCGAGTTGATCTCCATCCGTGGGTATGATAATCTTAATGATGCGATTGATTATGGGCGGTATATTCTGCCTAGAGTGCGTGAGGAGTTGAAGGTGCGGGAGAATGGGAATTGAGGGTGGTGGGGCATGTATATAGATTGTGAGTAGAATACCAATGATTACCACATTTTTACTCAAAGGTATCTTTATGTAAGGTCGAGGAATGCCGAGATTTGAGTTTGGAGAGAGTTGTTAGTCCTATGATTCTCATAGACCGGTGGTGGAGGCACTCTGTAAACCCCGACTTGCCTTAGGCCAACTCCCGAATATACTTTCTCCCAAGGCAATCCATGGTATGTCTGGCTTTTTCCGACAAATAGATCGGATCTTACCGTACTTTCAGGCAAATATAAAGGTAACATTCGACGAATAAACACACTCAATTGCAATTCGAGATTCCTAATCACTGAGCAAAGGAACAACACCGAGGACGAGAAATTGTCGTGAAAGTCCGGTGACAGGGACCCCAGCTTAGTCATCTCCATCGGGCTTCTGCCTCGATTCACCTCATGTCATCAACACATTCCTCATCCATCAACCAGAGGACCAGTACATGCGGTTTCATCATCGCACCATCCCAATACTCGTCTACCTCAAAGACCATCACAATCATACAACACATAATGCCCGACGAACCCCGGATCTGGCAGCATTCCCGCCTGGTAGACGAGGCTGAAGTCAAGAAATCAGGATGTTTCACCACCCTGCCTGTCAGAGTCAGTCTCTACGACGATGTTGCCGATAACACGGCAAAACATGGCAATCGCGTCTGGCATTGGTTCGTTGGCGATGGACTGGACACGGCGACGAGTGAGACGTCCAGTCCTGTTGGTAATCTGTGTAGCTTTTTTTATCCTGAGTGCGCTCCGGGGAGAGTTGAGGTTATGGCTCATATTCATGAGTTACTGTTTATTCAGAGAGGTACGTCTGCTACTGGCCTGTGTTTTATATCTATTGGTGACTTAGGGTGTGATGTTAATGATATCTAGATATACTCGATGACGGTGGCTGCAAAGACGAAGACTCCACAGCAGCCAAGGACAAGAAAAGCCCCAGTGGGGCTACTGGAGCGACTCGGATTGAACAGCGACTGTCGATATATTTTTTACGGGCTGTCCAGATTGATCACAGCGCAGGAACTGATATTTTGGAAACGTATAAGCGCAGCTGGCGACCAGATGCAGACGCACAATGTCCGAGCGGTATCGACGATTTTAACAACTTGTTCTTGATGCGCCGATCGAAGGCCAGATTCAAGTGAGTAATTCTGCGATAATCCTCGGATTATTTGCTGACGCAATCTTCAGCTTATATTACTTCCTACTGGCATTTAGCCAGGAATTCAGGCTCAGTGCACTAGATTGGGCAACAATGAATGATCTCTTGCATCTGTTTGAGTTGATAATGCTGCATACGGGTGATCTACATGCCTGGGAAAAAGACAAGCAGTCTGGGAGTGGCTGGGCTCGGGCTCTCAACTTCATCCCTTTCTATATGCGGACGGAGAAGTTGACAGAGGACCAAGCGATGGAAAAAATGAGACGCACGATCCTTGACTACGAGAAACGGTTTATCACAGCCAGAGAGCAGCTCTACAACCGAGGCTCTCTTTCCTTCCATCTGCGCCGGTGGGCTGAAGTATGCGGTGCAGCCATAGCAGGGTATCACTATTGGTGCGCCAACTGTCCCCGGTTCAACCGGATAGATGGCCGGTTCGACGCATCTGACAGCCAATCGGCTGTGGTTGAGACACCGTCTTCAAATGAAACAGAATCCCTTGTGCAGGGCGAGACCGTGCTCCCCTACTTACATGCACGGCCTAATGCAGACAGCGAACCAGCCGACAACCCACCGCGCAATGGCAACCTACTAGACGATTCCGCTCTCCAGGGCCCAGTCAACTACATACAGTCCCTCTCCTCAAAGAAAACCCTGACGAAACTAATGGAAGCATTCAATATCTGGCTTCACATTCCGGAGGAGCAACTCTCCATACTGAGCCAAGTAGTCGAAGATCTTCACAACGCATCCCTCATTCTCGACGACATCCAAGATGAATCAGAACTAAGACGAGGCAACGCCGCCACACACCTAATCTACGGCGCCCCACAATCCATCAACAGCGCCACCTACATGATCACCCGTGTCTCCCAACTCCTTCACACCTCACAAAACGCCTCCCTACCCATCTACTTCGAAGAACTCGAAAACCTCTTCATCGGCCAAAGCTGGGACCTCCACTGGAAATTCCACAAGAAATGCCCGTCCGAGAACGAATACTTCGAAATGGTCGACAGGAAAACCGGCGCGCTCTTCCTAATGCTACTCCGCCTAATGCAAGCCTCATCCCCAATCTCCACCTCTTTCGACATCACTCATTTCTGCCAACTCATGGGCCGATGGTACCAAGTCCGAGATGACTATATGAATCTTCAGAGTGCCGATTACTCCAATCTGAAAGGGTTCTGCGAAGATCTGGATGAAGGCAAATTCTCCTATCCTGTTATTCGATGCTGCAATACCAATGACTCAGCTCGGGATATTATCCTTGGTGCCTTTCAGACCCATCGCGGGACGTCGGAGAAGTTAGCGCGCGCGACGAAGCTCCAAATCCTTCGGTTGATTGATAGCACAGGGGCGCTGGATCATACGTGGAAGATGGTTCGGGATTTGCACAGGGAGATTGATGCGGAAATTGATGTTTTGGAGAAGAAACTGGGTGAGAATCAGATGTTGCGGGCGATGATTAAAGCTCTTGGGAAGGTGCCTGCGCCGGATGTTTCGTGAGGTTGAAGTATATGTTGGAGGGTCACATGCCATTTTGCCTTGCCGGACGCACCTTTTGATAGTTGGTAGAGCCATCGTTGATGTAACCTTTTTTTTTTTTTTTTCGAAATTAGTGGCACTTGAGCGACATTCTTGAGAAGACTGATACATACGACCACAGGGTGTGGAGAACAGGGCTTCCCGTCCGCTCAGCCGTACTTAAGCCACACGCCGGGAGGTTAGTAGTTGGGTGGGTGACCACCAGCGAATCCCTTCTGTTGTATGTTCTTCCTTTTTGGTTTTATTCTTTTTTTACCCTCTGGCCATGAATGAATAGTGATGGTTGGTTGACTGAATCCCAAAACAGGCATGGCATTATCCTTCAAGCCCAGATACATTTATATGCCACTCAATAACTAACACCCCACACAAAACCACCTAAATCTTAACATCCCTACCACGTAAAGCCACCTTCTTCTTCCCCCTCGCCTCCTCCGCCTCCTTCTCCCAACACCTATTTCGATACCTCACAAACTCCCAGAAAACCTTCCCCCATTCCGGCCGATACGGAGGCAAAATCCTCCCCGTTGTCCCCGGTGCCGGGTCGCCCGCGAGTACACGGAGCTCTTCAAAATGTTTCTCGAAATCAGGAATCAGAGTCCAGAATGCAGCTTGATCGCCGTATTGCGCCACCCGGTCGAGTTCCCATTTCTTCATTTCCTCTCGCGGAGGTAATGCTGCGTGTCCGGCGAGGATACGTGCTGTGGCTACGGCTTGCCATTCGAAGATGCGGATGCCGAAGCCACCGGTTACCTTGATACTAGGGTTAGGTTCAGTTTAATAGGAGGGGTTAGAGTGACATCTTACCATGCCGATGAATGCTAATGTTGGATCATCGATGTAGAAAATATGCTGATATAAGCCGGGGATTCTCTTATGTACTGATTTCAACTGCGGGAGGAAGGGAAAGCTAAAGTCATAGCCGGTTGCGAATAGGATATGGTCTACTTTATCGATCGATGATCCATCGGTGAAGTGGACCTGGCCTGTATTGGCGTCCAAGGAGGAAATTTGGCTCCGATTGTCGATGTCGGGATGAGTGAAGGGCGCAGGACCGAAGATACGCGATGGACTGCGTAGCGAGGAGATGATAGGCTTGTGGCAGACTTGGCGGATGTCGTGGAGGGTGTCGAATGCTGAGACTGAGCCGCCTACTATGATGACTCGCTGTGGGTAGATATAGGTCAGCATTGAGTGAGTCAGAGGTGCTCTTCTTTTCTGATTAGGGGTAGGATTACCTTTCCACGAAACTCCTCTGCACCCCGATAGTGTTTACTATGTCGAACAGTCCTGGGGAACCGCTCTTCATAGTCCACCAACCCCGGGATATTGGGAAAATAAGGGAGATAGTAGTGGCCGGTAGACACTACAACAGCATCGAACCTCTCCTGCCACCAATAATTCTTCTCTCCTCCGGGGGTTGTTTTTCGCAACGTGAGAACCCATTCTTCGGCTTCATGCTCGGCCAGTTCAACAGTTGTCCCCAGCTCAAGGAGGTGACTGTGTCCCCCTCGGGTAAAGATAGAACCTACCCAGTCTTGAATCACCTCTCGGGAACGAAAAGGTGAGTCTGGACCGTACTGTGCCAGTGTCTGCTTTGATAACACCGGGGGAATGGGCTCTTGTGTGAAACACATGATATCGGGCGGCAAGTTACTGTGTAGCTGTGGGTGTGTGCCTGTATCGGAGAATCGTAGTTGAGGTGAATTGACCTCTTTCGTTACGGGTGTTTCGCATGGAAAATTGGACGGTATGGGGATACTTTGGTCGGCGTTGTGGTGAAGGAGATCTTGGAGGGAGTTGATGCCGGTGTTTTGGTGTGCGGAAAGAACCCTACTCAATTGTTAGTGAAGATGTCTTTCTCTTGTAGTTATTGGAGTTGTAGCGGACCATGTTCCTCCTGGAACTGTTTGCCTGTCGAAAACCCGGATGATTTCAAAGGCTTGTTCTTTGACTAGGGCATCCGTTGCAATTGCCCCTGCTGGCCCGGCGCCAATTACGGCAACTCGTCGGATTGGTTTCATCATGAGAATTGATGTTTTATGTTGGAGAAGAGCGTACAGTATTTCTCAGTAAGAACAGAAATCAGAACCAAGGATTTGATCGCAGAACTGAGTCGTGCCACGGCCCTTGCCTGCCGACACCGGACATATTCACGGGTTGATAAGAGCGCCAAGCTGTGGCTATTGGCAATGGGCTGATTTTACTCATTCGCAATTATTCCCCTCTCTCGATGCACACCATCCTTATCCTCGGAACATCACCGAGGTCGCTGATTGGCGACTTGGCGATGGCGTCATATTCACCATTATAGTCTCGATCACGGCAGAAACAATCCCCTCTAGATCGAGATCGGGATTTGGATTGCACAATTGATAGCCTCAATGTCTTTATCTACAAGCTAAGCCTGTATCCTGATATCCCCTTCGCTATTCTACATTCCATCCCAACATGTCCCCCCGCCCAATCATCGAATTCTACTTCTCCTTCATCTCACTATGGTCCTACATCGGCAGTCGACGTTTCCAAAGCCTGATCCAAGAAACCAACGCCCGGGTTATCTACAAACCAATTGATCTGATGTACATTTTCTCTATCTCCGGCGGCCACCCCGTCAAAGAACGCTCTACTCAACGACGAGCCTACCGTCTCGTGGAAATGGAGCGATGGTGCAGAATCCGCGACATTCCAATTATACCACACCCTAGATTCTATCCTGCTGATCCGTCACTGGGTCATCGTGTTCTTCTCGCGGCGATTGATGAGGTCGGCCATGATAGCCCATCTGTACAACAGTTTGTGCATAAGTCATTCGAGGCAGTGTGGGCGAGGGAGATGGATATTGCTGATTCGGCTACGGTTGTTCGGTTGGCGGATGAGGCTGGATTGGATGGGGCTCGGCTTTTGGAGAGGGCGCGGGGAGAACCTGCCTTGGGGGGGAAAGAGGTGGCGCTGACTGAGGAAGCTAAGGCTAGGCAGGTGTTTGGTGCGCCGTTTTATGTTTATCAGGGTGAGCCGTTCTGGGGACAGGATAGGCTGGAGATGTTGGAGGAGGTGGTTAGGTCTGGGAGGGAGGCAATTGTTACTCGGGGGATTTAAAAGATGTATCTTAGATCATGAGTGTGTTAATTTGATATAGCTAGTTGTACTTGCTGGTCAAAGCCCGAATTTTGAGGAAGGACATATTTTCTACAGAGTTATGGTGTTTCCTATTGAGGAAGCCGAACTATCGAACACTCATGCACCAGGGTACTAAATATAGCAGTTCATAGCGTTCGTTGCTTTGATTCCGGCAGCTCCTATACACATGTGCTGCTCAGTTATAGTACTTGACAGAGACCCCTTTAACGATTTCCACATTCTCCACGTCATTATCACCCTCCGTGCCAGTGGAGTTCCCCAAATTCTTGATGACTCTTTGTTTAACCCATTCTCCTGCCTTGACATGCTTGCCATCGCTTCCAAAGACTTTCTCGCCCGTGAGACCTCTCGCCTGAAGCACGGGCGATTCCTCAATGGGAATGAGATCGGTGTCGTCTTCAATTCTCACCATGTATAGAACGCCCAGTCGATCGATATGAGCTTGATCTTTTGGCGGTGCTACCACACGATGAATACTCGACTTGAGGTAGCCGTCTGAATATTACTCGCTGATTAGCATTGAAGTTTTGAGAGGAGTGTTCTACTTACTGGTGAGGAAATCCAGCGCATCTGCTATATTCACCGTCAAAGCATTCATCTGCGGCTGAACATATTTCCAAGTTCCTTCTTTGGTCAGAACCTGAAGTGCTGCCACAGGCTGGCGGAACAGTAACGTCAAGCTGCCCATGTCCGAGTGTCTACAAAATTCTTCGTTAGAGCTATTCACCAAAGCAAGAGGGGATAAACTCACCCTTTCAGCCACACACCACCCAATTTCCGATTCTCCTCCTCAGTCCGAGCATAATACTTCATATATCGAAGATGATCACCACTAGTCTTCTCATACCGATGCCTCTTTACCAACCACTCTTCTTCAAGTCCAAGTGCAATGGCAAATATAACGAGAAGTTTCGTGACAATTTGATCATGGATCTGCTTCGAAAACCGTTCAATAATGGCCAGATTTCGTCGCACAACTTCCGGATGCTTTGGATCAGCATGCTCCGGAATAAATTTCGGGATGTTGTAGATCTCAAAATTATCCTTGACTCCGGGAATGAGGTTCCTGGTGCCCGCTGGCTTCCAGCCATTGTAGTCCCCTTCTTCCAAAGCAGCTCGATATTGGGATTTCTCCTCGTTCGATAGCAATAGACAGGATTTTGCAATGGCAAATTGAGTGTCGATGGCTTCTTCTGTGATGTCGTGGTTTATGACGTAGAAGAATCCTATTTCATCATGTGTTAGTTTTATGGGTTCTATGTATAAGGACTTGGTAGATTGCACATACCCACATCTTCAATCGCCTTGGTCAACTCCGCAGCGAGCTCTTGTTTGCCTCCGGGTTTGTCGAATTTTGAGAGATCCAGTGTTCTCAAATCGGCCCAGTCGAGGTCCTCTGATGTTTCTGGGACTTGTACATATGATAGCTCGGTTGTGTCTGTGGTGGCCATGTTGCAGCGATGATTTAAATCCAGTTTGGTGTTCGTTATAACTCGACGGAAGAATCCTTTATGTATGGGTTGATATAGTTGTTGGTAGTAATGGTGGAGATGACCTCCCGTCATACTAGCCCTTATCACACCATCGTGTCCCTTGATTGCCTCTTAGCCCCCAATCACGCGTGATCACAACAATCAATTTGCTCCAGTCTATCTCTCGCGCCTTTCCCCTCAATTCCCACGTGGATGTACTAAGTGGGTTTGGGATCCTTCCATCGTTTTTCCAAATCCCGGTGTTGAATCCCTGCCCTTGGCCCATGGACGCACGTCATTTCGCATTGCTTTGCGCGATAGATAAGTCACAGAAAACTTTGAGCCATTTCTCCATGTGCGATTAGGCAGGGATTCTACTCTGTGCCTGCTTCCGAAGTCGGATGTAATTTGTTTTCATTTTCTCTAAAAGCTTCCTTCCAGAGAATCGCGAATCCTTACAAAATTCTGATGAATCCCAAGTACATTGACGTCGGAAAAACACCTCTCTTCAGCCGCTAAAATGGAGAGTCCAGTCTCTAACCATCCAGACGAGGCAATGAAGCAGTACAGCGTAACTGAAGGGGACGCCATGTCAAAAGGTGGTCTTGACTCCACTGAAGAGGGACCGAGGCAGTTTGATCCCCAACTGCATAAACGAGTGTTGAGGAAACTTGATTACTTTTTGATGCCAACGATGGTAGTTGGTAAGTACCGGTGGCACTTCACAGCTGCTTATCACTAACATATGCATCAGGCTATGGACTGGTGTACTACGACAAAGTGAGCATAAATCTGCCCAGAAAGGCACTCTTGACAGGTGGCCACCTGATGAACTAACATTTAAAGGCAATCCTTGGAAGTGCTGCCATACTTGGTATGACTACAGACCTTCAGCTCTCTGTGACTGATTACTCGGTCACCCCAGTTACAACCGACACCTCAAGACTGAGCTGGGCAACATCGATCTTCTATTTTGGCCAGTTATTTGGCTCCTACCCGATGACATTCATCTTGCATCGTTTCCAGACCCGATATGTCCTAGGTCCTATGATGATCCTCTGGGCGATAGTATGCGCTTCCACTGCAGGAGTAACTACCTGGCAAGGCCTTTTTGTGCAACGCTTCTTCTTGGGTAGTCCCCCTATCTTTCTTCTCTTATTCATTTGCTTTTTCGTGTGTGACAACGATGCTAACAGCATCAGGTTTCACGGAGTCGATAATTCCCACATGCTTCATGGTCACTGTTAGTGGGTTCTATACTCAATCCGAGCAAACCCTACGCCAAAGCTGGTGGTTCTCCGGCACTGGATGGCTGACAATCATCGGCGGCGCCTTCAACTACGGGTTTGCCCAGATTGAGAACAGCGCGCTGAGGCCGTGGCAGTATATATACATATTTGCTGGAGCACTAACATTTCCAGTCGGCATTGCTTGTTTCTTCCTCCCGTCCTCACCTTCTGAAGCATGGTTTCTTACCCCGGAAGAGCGAACTATAGCGCTGGAGCGACTGCGAGAGGGCCAAACCGGGGTGAAAAATCCGACTTTGAAAATGTCTCAAGTAAAAGAGGCAGCTCTGGATGTGAAGGTGTGGCTGGTTGCTGTGATCATGGCCTCGGCGTAGGTCTTCCATTTCCTCCCCACTTATCGTCCATGCTAACCCCCCCTCAACAGATATACTGTAAACGGCGCAGTCTCTGGCTTCGGTCCTCTCATCGTGGCAACCTTCGGTTACACCTCCCTCGAGGCCATTCTCTTCCAGTTCCCTCTTGGTGGCATCTCCAGCATAGGCATCATCCTCATCGGCTGGCTATGCAGTCGGTATCGCAACATACGCATCCTAAGCTTATTACTTTGCTGCCTTCCAGTAATAGCTGGATTCGCCATGATGTGGAAATCGACCTGGGGAGTGAGACCCATCACACCAGTGGTAGGATACCAATTGATTGGTTTCTTTGGCCCGGTTGTCAGCCTTGCTATCTCGCTAGGGGCTAGTAACGTTGCAGGCCATACGAAAAAAAGCTTCATGGCATCAGCCATCTTTGTTGCCTACTGTGTGGGCAATATCATTGGTCCGCAGTTGATTAAAAGCCAAATGAAGAGTCAGCATTATCCGGAGTTGTGGACGGGGTTGATTATTTGGTATCTTTCGATCCTGTTCTCGTTGATTTCTTTCTTAGGATATTCTTTGGAAAGGTAAACTGACGTGTGCATGTTTTATAGCTACTGCATTACCATCCTCTGCTGTCTTGTACTTTATATACTCTTCTCTCGAGAGACGAGCCGACGAGCCGCGCTGGACTTGGATGAATCCGAGCAGGACAGAATCGCGTTTGATGATTTGACTGATAAGGAGAATTTGCATTTTCGGTACGTGTATTGAGTGGGTTGGCTGCACATGCTACTCTATTTATCATGTCATCGAGATGCTACGACATATTGTACCTTTCCTTGTGTCTGTACTTCTGCGTGGTACAAATAATTGAAACTTTTATCACACCGATCCAGAAGAGCAGAATTCCAAGAGCTGCACTGTTAACAGTGACATCGATGTAATTCCACACCACCGTTAAAGTATATTTCCTACTCTCCAAAATCATGCTAATGTCTTTCAACACACATAACCCATTTGTATCTTGTATCTAGTACATACGACCACAGGGTGTGGAGAACAGGGCTTCCCGTCCGCTCAGCCGTACTTAAGCCACACGCCGGGAGGTTAGTAGTTGGGTGGGTGACCACCAGCGAATCCCTTCTGTTGTATGTTTTTGTTTTTTTGTTTGGGGTTGTTAATTCTTCCCCCATGCTTTTGGTGCTGGGTGGGATTTGGTTGGTGGTTGGGTTTATTAATAGTAATTTAATTCTGACTCGTTGTTTTATAGATACTTTATAACCTTTCAACCACGCCTTGATGGAGTCACGATGGCATGCAAGCATAACAAACAACGATACAATAAATAGGTTAGAATCAGAAATGAGGACCGGAGAACGACAGATAAAGATTAGCTGACCAGTCGCATATCAGTTCTGCCATGTTATTAAGACGTTTCCTATACACGTGGGCTTTTGCGTTGTTCCACTGTCAGGATTTGACAAGCATTTTGGCTCCATATTCTTCCTTCAACAGGAAATGCCTACATAGCTAACATGACATAAAACTGACTTTCATTAAGCTAATAGATATGAGTTGATTATTTTAACGCTCAATCAACAAATCGAATGAATTCAAACGCTTGCTCGCTAAGCGCAATCGCTACACCCTGACCAACTTCAGGGTGTCTACTGTGAAATGACATAAGAATCCAGTTTGACTGTTGACTTTGAGATGAACTCTATTCTTAACAGAACCCGTCGTTGTCGCAAGATCTAGTACATCCCATAGAGTAGAAACCCAGTTGTATCAATCTGGGATGCGCTGTTTGCTGATTATAATAGCAGTACTTGCTATTGAATACTGACAGGAAGTAAGCTTGGAATGAGGGTTCATCCAGTCTTTGAAACTGTTTTGTTTATTGGAGAAACGAATACCGCATAGTCCAGCCTGAAGGGTACTATTAGTTAGCGGAAAGACAACATTGGATGGTGTGCTAGAGAGAGAATCCATACTTCACCGGCTTGACTAGCGTAGTGCTGACCGTCGGCAAAGGACAGTCTGTAGAACATGGAATGAATGTATTGTCTGCAGAATACTGCAGAAGAAATGCCCGGAGCATTGTTGAAAGTGTAGTCATTAACACCACCGCCACATGCAGTGTCTGGTCAGTATAAAGCGCATGTACCGCCTGGAATCCCCAGTTGTAGATTGGGATGGAGAACAACACTTTGCTGTCATTAGCAACGTTCCCTGCCGCTATTAGAGCTTGGGGAGGGTACCTTTGACACTCGACAGAGGAATTCGCATGTCTCCGCGCAAGATAAGATGTTAATGGTACATCGCTAGTTTTAGTCATTCCTCCCGGATGGTGAGTGGGTTGCGTTGAGCTCGTAATTTGGCATCCCACCCCCTGGATTATAGATACCCTAGCGAAGGGTCACAACCTCCACGGGGTAGGTATAATCCCGGAGGTGGGGTACCACCACCTCCCACCAAACGGAGGACCAGCATGACGATCCTCTGGAAGACCTGGAAGAGAACGACCACCACCAGGAAAAGGACCGCCAGCGCCTCCGCGCGCAGAGGGCCCGCCATCACGACTCAGAGACACAGGAAGGGATCGCCCGTGAGAGCGCCCGGTACTTTGCTTCGTGGTGGAGGGCCCCCGCCAGAAGGAGGCCCTTCTCCTCCCCTAGACGGCGGTGCTGGTGAGCCTTCAAGTGGAGGTGGTGGTCTTCAACTGCTGGTGGGGTGGTAGGCTTAATTTATAGGTGGTTTCTGTGAGTAGGAAGGAGGTATGTGGGAATAATAAAGACGTAATTTGGGTCAAGGTTATTTGTATGCTACGCTGGTAATAACCATGTCATGGCCTAGACCGATGCGTGGAGTGTGGAAGTCTGACGATGGGGTGGAAAGGTTAATTGCTTGGAGGGGATCGGAATGTAGTTCCGGGTGATGTTTTGGCTTAGGCTGGTAATGACAGCTAAGGGTAGGGATCAGTGTAATCCTTTCGTCACACAGCATGTCATGGGGTGAGGCTAGATTTCTGTGGCCTGTAGCACTGGAATATTTGACACATGATTCCTCTTACACAACATCTCCTCTTGATAATAAGATTTGGTAGAAAGCTTACATAGCAGGCAAACAAGTCCGGTTAGACAGGCACTGTACGTACGAACGCCTTTCCATGGGATAATTCGACTGAAAGGAGGACTAGAGCAGTCCATCATTATCACATCCGTGAAGTCAAATTATGATGTCTTTGGGTGTAAAGGTTTACTTCATACTGTCCAGTAGGAAGAAACTCATGTTATAGAGATTCCGATAATGTTCATCCAGTATCATCTCAAGTGATACAAACTCTGTTCAACTACCATACATCTCTTACATCCAGATTAATTGAAACGTTTGCTGCAAAAGCGTATCGTATCAATCTGATATTATCAACGTGTATCGTGCTTCCTCCGACACCGGACGACGGTGAGCCAAGTAATGGAAATATGTATAGCCAGCCCGTGTTGCATAACTGAACCGCAGAAAGTCGTATAATTGGAGTGGAAACATAGTACAGCTACAAACAGCCAAGCTGATATCATACACATACTAGTGGCTTGAACTTCAGACATACAATGACCGTATGCCGAGGCTTTCTCCTCGTGTTGGGCAGATCGAAAACTTCTGATCCATGGTGGAGGTTTACTCGGAACCGAAACTCAAGTCTCATTACTCCAAACAAATTACCTATTACTGATTTAATCAATGTCGGAGATAAATCACGCAGTTGAGGTCATCCGTAGTCATAAACGGCACATTTCCGTAAGTCGATGTTCAACACAAGTCATGTACATAGTCTCTATGATTACCGAAACTGTGTAGTGGTATCCTGCAAAGCACCACTGTGTATATCAAAGGTCTCCGTGTATGACTTGCAAGCCCGCACACAGGCCTCAGACTCAAGAAAGATGATCGTCCATAAACCCGATTATTGTACCAGTAGAGCGAGCAACTAGGGCCGTTAGGGAAGGAAAAGACACAGAGATCGCATTAAACACGAGCAGTAAAAGTCCGGACCGCTCATTCAATATTGAAACTTGAATATGTTTACAACCTGCACCCCCAAGACTCAAACAGACAGCCGATCCGATACTCCCACTTCTCGTCCGCTGCCTCGCTTCCATACCACTCCCTCAATAGCATATCATAAACGTACAATATCGCAAAACAAGTCTTGAGATACTGTTGCAACCCACTTCTTATATCCTCAGTCTCCCCCTTCAACGGATCAGTTCCACCCACGGTAGGCAACCCCTCACGACCCCGCTGCTGATACACCCATTCCTCCGTAACCCCCAGCCCAGTCCAAAACCTCCGGTGCGGAATATTCTGTGCCGGGTAATCATAGTTCGCGAGGGCATTACCCGCCCAATATTGGAATGTCCTCGTTTCCAGGACCGAGGCCTCATTGTCATCTCGCTTGTTAGAAACCACCCGATCCATCAAATTAATGAGAATATAAACCGTCAACGCAGTATCCGCCACCAACTCCACCCCAAACGCATGACCCCAGTGAATACTCGCCAATGTATGCAAAGGAACCTGTGGATGACGAGACAGCGTCAACAGAACAGATATCGCCTCTCTTGACATTTCCTTCGATTTCTCGTCACCCTTCTTAGCACTACCAGCAATGATAATGAGCATTTTCACTGCATCGGCTAGATCGCCATCCCCGCTGACATAGCTGGTAGGTGGTGTACCGGCACGGTCAATCCAGTATTGGATATTTCGATGTTGAGAAGAAAGAGGGTTATTCAGGGCCGAGTTTGTGGTATGAGAACCCAGGTTGAAGTGTTGTTCCGGATAAGAGAGAAGATCATCGGAGAGAAGATTGTCCAGGGGAATACACTTCAGGGGCTTGGATTCTTCCGTGGTTGAGAATTCCCGGATTGTGCGGATCAGCGTGCGGCGGAAATGGTTGAGGTCTGTGGATTCGGAGGGTTTGCTGCGAGTGAAAAGGTCGGTGCGACGGGGGGTGAATTGAGGGTTGTTTTTTATGTAAGTAACATGTGTGGCTGCTGTGTTCCAGGGGATTTTGTGATCGAGATGCATGTTGGAGGGTGGTGGTGGTGATAGTGGGATTTTGATTTTGGAGGTAAGGGCCAGAGCGAGATAAATATCACTACGTGGAGAGGCTTAGCACAGGGTCCAATGACGTAATAGAGCGGGTCTTCTTGGCTGGGGTTCTATTTTTATCGTAGATTGGGCATTGGCACAGCATAACTAGCTAGCTGGTTAGAAGATGTGAATGGAATGATGGGTTGGTTATGAAATGCAAGGTTCAATTTGACTAGAACATAACTATCTCAATGCACATCAGGATGATAGACTAGGGTGTTTCATCGTTAGATTGGACGTATCCCGACTGTCGCCCCGGGCTTAACCACTGTGGTCCACTTATCGGGTTGAACCCGGCCACCACGCCAATCTGTGAAACGATACCTTCCAGAGCTGATCCATGGTTCCAGAAAGGTATCAAATTTAAACAGTTCTTTCACGGTCTCCTCCAGTGCCTGCACATGTCAGCAGCATGTCAATCCCTGAGATTTCGACGTTCACTCACCTCCTTCGAGCGACCCCAACGAAAAGGAAATATAAACGTGCGGTTCTGCGGGACAACGAGTAAGAGATATTGGTGATGCATCCGACGTTTCTCCTTGTCTAGTTCGAATTTCTCCAGTCTCTCTCGGGTTGTCCTTGGATGCGCCCTGCTCCTGGCAATTGCGTCCTTGCTACTGTCTGCACGCAATCCTCCATCATACGGGTAAGGGTCAGGCTTCCAGATGGGCTCTGGGAAGCAAGACTGCAGCTGGGAATGAAGTTCAGACGGGAGAAACCTTCCCACGAATGCTACTTCTCTGCCCTTCTGCCTTGCCTCCCAATTGGCATTTACTTGTACCAGATGAACGTATTCGGCCCTCTTTGCCTTCCAAGCCAGTGAAGGAATGCCAAAGAGGATGAGGCTTCGTCGTGCATCAAGTCTGGTTAAGCGGTTTTCGAAGCGATAGGGAAACCGTGCAAGGAAATTCTCAATCTTACCCACAAGGTCTTGACCTAAAGGCGGATAAAATATGGTACCGGTGGGATTTGCCAGAATAGGTTCATATGTCTGCGGGAACGGAGTAAAGCCAAATTGTCTCTTACAGTTAGCGTTTAGATATTGTTGGGATCCCCGATGGGCTCCCACGCCGGTAGGCAACGTAGGGTCACGTGACACTCCTCCCTACACCGCTAGTTAGTCCATATAGATGGCCTACGAGGCCCCTAGCTAGATCATCATCCATCTTATTCTACACGGTTGAATCGCCTTAGTAGCCACTCCAACAGATATCCGTCCGCCAGGCCTTGCAAGTACGCCGGGAGGTCTTGCATGATTTCAGATTGCAGCTTGTGCAGCTCGTCAATTGCTTGCTGCCGTTCAGGGCTATCCCAAATTTCGATGTCTTCGTATTGCAACACACATTGCAATAGTTCATAGTCCCCGAGCTCCTTGGCCTTTATTCTGATGGACTCCAGACTTTCCTGCGACCGATATCTCCGCTTTCCGTGGGATGAGCTACATGCTGGCATCCCCTCGCTGTCGGCCCATTGGACGAGTTGAACCGGTTCGCGCGGTAGAGTACATCGCGACAATTGCCAATTCCAATATACTCGAGTGTTAGTCAAACGGGGGTAGGTGGATTCTATCATTGTTGCCAGGGACTGCGTGATCCCCTGGAACTGCACATGGGCTTTACGGACGTCCTGCTGAGTTGATTTGCCCCCCAGGAAGGTGGCGAGCAGAGATGCATTAGCAAAGTTGGCAAGAAGACGCTGCTCATCACCTTCCACAACTTCCATCGGCCCAAGAAAGACATTGGCAGCATCAGAAAGGGCCGGAATCTGGAAGAATGCTTCAAATGAACCATTAAGAACGTAAAAACCACCGGTATCCCCAAGTACAGGCAATATGAAGCGTAAGAGACGGTGTGATGGCCAATGGTAGTTGTGTTCGACCAGATTACGGTGCCAGGTATTGATCTGAAGGTGATTCTGGCAATCATCGTTGCTTTCCATTGCAGCCTGTGGTCTCGCAGGCTGGCTGTTGTCCCGAATCACCCAGTGCAACAGGGGTCGATATAAAGGGGTGTCTAGAAAGTTGGACTGTCGGGCCGCATATGAGATGATACGCATACATGCCTCGGCCAACTGGATCTAGGAAAAGGTAAGCCATGCTCGTGGTGACCGTCAATGACATACCTGGACATCGGTGGGACGTTCGTTCAAGACAACCTCCTTGCTCAGCAAGTGCAATCCATCTAATGCCGCCCGCAGGGCCGGAACCAACGCGCATCGCGTGTGATACTGCGCAAGGCATTGGAGGACCTTCAGTAGAAGGACCTCTTCGGGGGCGAACTCCCCCGGAGGATTGAACAGGGCACGGTCGGCAAAGGCCTTGAGATCTTTAAAGGCCCCTTGTTCTAGGAGAAGGTCCGCATACCCCGCCACGACTGCGAAAGAATCTTGATGCTGAGCGAGGCGGTCGTCATACAGGGAAATTGCCTCCTTGAATTGCCCAAGTCTAACCAGACCCCTCAGGGATGCGAGATCGTCTCCCACATCCACTGCAACTTCCAAATTATCCTCCATAGTCACGTCCATGCTGATCAGCCAGCTGTGGATACGGGAATTGACTTCTTTATCGGAGATGGCGTCTCGCAAATGCGGAACACCATACAAAGAACTGAGTGCGAACAGAGATGATTGTGCCTCTCCCAGCTGAGGGAGACAATGGTACAAGAATGCCCAAGTCAATTTGCCAGCCTCGCCAGCCTCGCCAGCATTGCCAAGTGATCTGCCGCCAGATTCCCCGAAACGGCCCATTGCACACATCGTTCATCGGACGGGGACGAATCGCACCCGTTGATGAAGCGCCAAGGACGAAGTAGATCGTACAGAGGAACTTCCGGAGTAACCAGAAGTGACTCACTCTTCCCTGTCGACCTCCAGGTGTGAGTGTGCGAGTTGACTGTTGCCTGCTCATGTTCCACACCATGACTTTCCACAACCTCATACGTTGGAAGGAAACCAATGAGGTGTCTGGATTCTTCGGTTCTCAATTGCGGAGCAGGGAGCAGTAGGTCGCTACTGCCCCGAGTTATGGAATGGGCTAAACAGCCTTGATCTGCCAAACTTAGAGTAAGGCAACATGCAGTCCCTGGCCCCCAATTTGCAAATTTCCGAAATCATGCAGGAACATTCTTGTTCCTAAGCAGAGTAGAAGTAACGAAAACTCTATATAAAAGTGCACCTTTCAGCCCCATGCATCAAACATGGGGTATAGGGCAATGGGCTAGAAGACCGGACACGATAGTACTTTCAAACAGGCCGTTTGTACTCAATAGCGTAGTTCATAATTGTTTGCTTGTCGGAAACTTTGCAAATCGGGGGCCAGGGACTAAGATTTGTTTGCTGAAGAGAAACGATCTAACGCTAGGGACGTCGTGCCTACTTATGCCCTTGTCCGAGTTTCCTACTTCAAGAGAGCTCTCCGGGACTCTCCTCTTCTTCGCTCTCTTTGCATACTCTCACAGAGAGCCTCTCGGATTTCTCCTCTTTATCGACATTTTTCATCGTAGCATCGGAACCAGACGGGCATAGCCCTTTTTAAAGCTATTCTTGACTCGGGATTAAACGCGGTGCAGTCGGCGCTTGCACGGTATGTTGCTGTCATTAGAGTAGCTAGTTCCGTAACATTCTTCGCTAAATTGGCAATCAGCTTAATACTCCACTTATGTATGGGGTCTTTTGGACTGATCTCCCGCAAGTGACCCAACTCATAAGTTCACTTTATGACGACACCGCCAGATGAATATTTCCTGGTTTGAGTTATGTATTCATCCATTTATGTTGGAGTGGCTACTAAGGCGATTCAACCGTGTAGAATGAGATGGATGATGATGTAGCTAGGGGCCTCGTAGGCCATCTATATGGACTAACTAGCGGTGTAGGGAGGAGTGTCACGTGACCCTACGTTGCCTACCGGCATGGGAGCCCATCGGGGATCCCAACAATTTATAACCTTTGTTCGAACATTTATGTATCTAGTCACTCAACTCTCTGTCTAGCGTGTGCTCATTCTCTTTGATATTAATATCTAAAAGACAATAACTAGTACCACATGTTTGTCTAGACTACTTCCACTCTAATCCCTTTTACTGGTAGGGTCATAGTATTCCTCTTCAAGGTTTTGTTCAAGTGCTGGTTACGCACGGTATTCATCAACCCATTCTCAGCATTCACACCCCCAATCTATCTATAGCGCAGAAACTGTTCGAGTGGTTCTATTCCTGATTCAATATGCAGCGACATATTGCTATGGAAACCCCAGTCATGTCCGCTCATGATTTTCTGATTGAATAGCTCGAACCATCCTACTTAGTCCCTCCTCCAGGACATGTGGAGGATGTCCAAACACCAACCGGAACCAGCCTGGTTCTTCTCCAGCATAAACCGTTCCTGGTGCAATATATACCCTATCTTCCCTTAGCTTAGCAAGAATTTCCTGGTCGGTGGCTGTGGCGTCCATCACAGCTCCTAAGTTCATCCATATGAAGAAGGCAGCATTGCACTCCAGATAAGGAATGTTGTGGGATCGAAGAAACTCGGTTGCATATTGATAGCTTTCTGCTAAACGATGTTGATTTATAGAGATGTATTGCTCTGTGAATATGTCATCTAGTAAAAGACGTGAAGCAAGCTGATCTCCGACGCTAGATGGGAAGTTGTAAAGACTAGATGAGAAAGAATGGTTAGCACGGCTTCCGATGGCAGACAGGTATGAAATCATACGATATGCCTTCCACGGCCTCCAAGAACACTCTGTTGGATGGGCTAACCAGACAACCGATTCGTAAGCCTGTAGAACCAAAGTCCTGCCCAAGGTCAGCATCCTATGGTGAAGTAGTTCGGGCTTCGTACTTTGCTTAACCCCCAAACAACATGCACCATGCTTGGATCCATAAATTCCCTGACATCCATGGATAATATAGACTTGAAGCCAGGGGCATCAGACATCCGTGGATTCTTCCATACTGACATTGCATAGATCTCATCACTAATTAAATGCAGTCCGTTTCTGGAACAGAACCTCATATATCCCTTCAAAACCTTTTCGGAGTAGCAGCGTCCTGGGAAGTTCAGTGAGCATACTGCTCCCCATGGGCAAGACATTGAACTCACCGAGAGGATTATGTGGTGAACATAGCAGAACGGCTCTAATCCGGAGTCCCTTGCTTTTTGCTGCAGCATACGCCCGCTCATACTCGTCAATAGCGGCCATGCTGAACGGGTCTGTGGTCCCGAAGGAAACCTCAACTAATTCAATCCTGCAACCATAAGTCTATCTCCGTAGCTAAATTAAGGATTACGCACCCCGGCCGCGATCCATATATCGTTTTGAACGCATTGGAGTAGGGGCGTCCGACAAGAATATGATCTCCAGCATCAGCCAACGCCCAAGCACAGCACTCGAGTGCATTGCTAACACCTGATGTGATGGCGAGGTCGGAAGGGTGAAGAGCTGTCCAAGGGCTGAAATAGCGGTTTAAAAATTGGCTCATGGCCTTTTTGAGCCGATGGGAGCCACTGAATCCATCCCCGTATGTCAATGCGTGTGCATCGATTTGGACCTGAACCCATCAGTACGGACCCTAGATCGGATAGAACAAAGAGTAATCATTACATTGGCATTGCAAAATTCCTTCATCTCGGCGTGCATGAGAGTCTAAACAGTTATTGACGATATTAACAAACGTGAAGGGTATTTATCGTACATTTTCGGCCAGCCCAAGATTCACGATTCCATTAGGGTTGGAATGCGGATCCCACAGATCCCCCAGCACATCCAGGAAAGTTGGCTTCTGGGCTGCGAGTGCCCTGCCTCTTGCAGATGTGGTCTCCATGCTGGATTTTCAATTTTAAGCGCTAAAGGATGGTGCAGAGCCCCGACTCGATTCAGGGTTTTTATCTGCATGACTTCAAGTGGGGCATGTCCCGGGAAGGCGCACCGGCGGATAATGCGGTTGCTGCGGCACGACAGAAGAGTAATTGACATTTTCTTCCTATGGACTAGTTCAGATATTCACTTGTTGCGCTCCGGTAAACCTGCAAATATACAACGTGATGAGTTATGTCCATCCACCCCCCATTGACTTCATTGAACGAAATGGGGTCATCCCGGACTCAGAACGCAATGCCCTGATTGACATCCACCCAAAGGGCTTCTTCATACGCCACCCCCCTGCACCCCACGAATTGGACGAGGCTCTGACACCTGAAGCCAGTCTTTTTCAGACAATCCACATGGGAGCCGCGGTTGTGGATGCCAGTAGCTGGAAACTCGTGGTCGATGGGCTTGTCGAACGGCCTTTCCCTATGAATCTCGAACAATTACGACAGATGCCGTCCAAGTCAGTTACGTCTTTCCATGAATGCTACGGCAGTCCCATCACCCCACCAACAAAGAATGTCTGGCGCATCGGCAATGTTCGATGGACGGGGGTCCCGCTGCAGTATCTGCTATCAATTGCTCGGCCAGACCGTGAGCGAGGGTTATTTGTGTGGTCCGATGGGTTAGACTCGGGGACCTTTGCTGGTGTCTCGGCGGACAGATACCAGAAGGATCTACCTATTGAAAAGGCCTTATCGCCGGAAGTTTTGATCGCTTACGAGATGAATGGTCAGCCATTGACCAAAGAGCGCGGCGGGCCCGTGAGACTAGTCGTGCCAGGATGGTTTGGAACGAATTCCACCAAATGGTTGTGTCGACTGTCTGTGCAGGCAACGAGATCAGCAGGCCCATTCACGACTGTCTTTTATAATGAGCTCGATCCAACGGATTCGAAGGGCATAAGGAAACGGCCTGTCTGGAAGGTTGAGCCTAATTCGATTATTGTCCGGCCTCGACCGGAGGAAGTGGTGATTGGTTCTCAGTATGTTGAGGGTTGGGGACGCGCATGGGGTGCAGATGAGATTGTGCGTGTTGAGGTCAGTCTTGATCATGGAGATACTTGGAATAAGGCAAGCGTGGTCCCGCGAAAGCAGTTTGAGTGGCAATTGTTCTCCTTTCGAGTGTATATTCACCGACCAGGCAGATATGATATTCAAGCAAGAGCCACGGATGAATCAGGTGCGCAGCAGCCGCTACTTGGGAGACGAAATCATGTGCCAACGGTGCGAATTTACATGCGGTCCAGGGACACCTAGGGTAGGTATACCATGCGGGAGTAGATCAAGCAATCCTCGCGGGGATATGAGGTGATTGTTCATCAACGATGAATCCTGGTGTCAATATTGATCCTCAATTTTGACAAGCGTGGCCGTCCAAATTCCACAATATAACTTTCTCTCGTAATAGCAGTAATCATGATACTAGCCCCGCAAGATAATATCACAAAAATAAATATTCATTTTAGGATAGTATGGACAATTATCAAATGTCCAATATGACCCAATACTGATAAATAATTATTTAAAAGGAAATTTCAGAACCGTCTTATCACATCAGTTTAAGAATATGTCAACAGATGTAAGCATCATCCCTGCAGCCCAGTTACTCTTAGGTCACGTGATGGTTACTGGTGAAACGGTGTCAGCCTTGTCTAGGCCCCTTTTGATCGACACACGGTGACGTGTCTCAGCCTACCGACTTCCAGCCTTACCTCTCAATGAGCCCAGAGTACATCTACTGCCGTCAAACGCATTGCCCCCTCGTATTGTAGCCCCGCTGCTTACTACTCTACCATGTCTGACTCTGGAGCACCATCCTCGAACCGGAGAACGAGGGCCGGGACGCGAAAGTCCAAAAAAGGATGCGTAACGTGCAAGTACGTGGCGCCTATTAGCCCACACTAATATACCCACCCCCTGACACGCTGACAGGATCCGCCGCGTGAAATGCGGAGAAGAGAAGCCCGAGTGCAGTCGATGCACTCTCACAGGACGAAAATGCGACGGATACACAGATATATCACAAACACAACTTCGCCAAGCGATCTTCAAGTCTGCCCCGCGACATGTTTGGAGCCCGAGCCCAGATCGGAATATTGTTCTCGTCCCAGGTACGCGGGAAGAGCGACAATACGTGCAGTTCTTCTGTACGCAGACTGCCCATGCTCTGTCGGGCTTCTTTCCGTCGGAGTTTTGGACCAAGTTCCTGCCACAATTAAGTCATTGTAATCCTGCGGTTCGACATGCCGTTATCGCCGTGGGGGCTCTGCATCAACGTCAGCTTCAAGGCAGGTTAATGGCTGCGAATGCCGACTCAAGACAGACCGATGAATTCACAATTCAACAGTACAACAAAGCCATCCGGAAATTCCTGCAGCAAATGGAAAGTCCCACTGATAGAGAGTTCGACTCGATGTTGATCCAATGCGTTCTTTTTATTTCTCTGGAGATGCTTAGTGGCAATACCAAACAAGCAATGGATCATGTTGAGGGTGGGTTGCGAATGCTGTCGAGGCACCTCCAAGACAAAGCTGCAGACCAGAGTACCTTTGGTAGAGATCTATCCCAGTTCTTTTATCGACAGAATATTCAGCTTTCGTATTTCGGTCGCCAGCTGATGCCATTTACGGCCACGGTATCGAACGACTTTGCCGTTTTGGCATCGAACAAAGATCTCGTTTTCGAGAATATCAACCAAGCACGAGATTGCTTGACCAATGTCATGACGCGGGCCTTGTGCCTTATTCGCACGGTACAGAGTCACACTTGGACAACTCCACAAGAGCCGATACATCCATCACAACTCCAACAGCAACTAGATCTTTTAGCGGAGTTTGATGCATGGTTCAAAGCCTTCCAAATACTGAGGAAACGGTCAGCAAGGGCCACCGGGGTACTAGATCCCCGTGCCCCTTTATCAATTTTGTGCCAGTATTACGCCGCGGTAACCTGGCTCAGCACCTGCACCTCACTGGACGAGATGAACTTCGACCACTTCTACCCACACTTCGAAGAGATCGTGTCCGCAGGAGAAAAGCTAGTCGAGCTCTGCGCGAAAGACGCGCCCAGCTCGGCTACGGAACAATTCTTCCTCGATGCTGATGTGATGCCCGTGCTGTACTGGACTGTCATGCGCTGTCGACACCCGATCTTGCGACGCAGAACTATGCATACGTTAACGAGATACCAAGCGAGAGAAGGCATGTGGGAAAAGCGACTTCATATTGCTGTAGCCAGGAGATACGTGGAACTTGAAGAAGCAGCTCTTGTACATCTTCCAGTGAATCAGAGACTGCCTGCAGCACATCATCGAGTATATGATGCGATGATTTATCGTGAAATGGAGTCGCCGTCTAATCCATGTCCTGTTCTGTTCCGGACCAAGCCGCATGGGGTAGATGGACATTGGGAGGACCGGTGGGAGCACGTGAGCTGGTAAAACGATATACTTCCAATAAGAACCTTGACCGATCATTTGAGTACTGACGGTGAATGAGACCAACTTTCGGCACTGACGAAGGTATTGTCAAATCCAATAAACACAGAATAACGAGGATTCTCTAAATAATTACTGCCTGTTGCATCCTTTAAGAACTACCTAAGCCACACATCCGGGGTCTAAGCATCACAGGCACAAGCTGATCGGAGGTGGATCCATTCTGTCAAAATACGATGGCCCCAATCAGACACCACCCAACGGATGGGGCTGAGTCTGGGGCCAATGGATATAAAAAGATGACGGGGCGCGCTAATTGTTATCAGTTACGAACGGGTCAATCAGAGGTCGAGTGGCTGCGGCAGTGGGGGCGGCAGTGGGGCCGAGATCATATCAATCCGAGGCATACACATCTCCGCGATCTTCACTATATTCTCGCTGCCTGATCTTATCAGCCTCTGCATTGTGGTTCGATTCTGTGATTGGATCGTTCGTGTTTCTTATTTTTATACTTTGGCCGGTTGGTCAATGCCTCATGTACCTTAGCTGAGCCTCGAAGGGTCCTATCCACGCCGTCTAGGGTATATAAGCGGTTTGCGACGAGGCCTTCGAGATGTATTCTTCATCATTTTACGATTAAGCATCAGCGACTCTTATACTCTATTCTTTGGCGCTATAACCTCAGTTCTAGTCATGTCTTCTAACGACAACGATCTCTATGTTGGCTGCAAAGCCTACAACCCGGGTTTCAGCACTTCTTACGGATACATCCCGTTTCAAGCCGCTGGGATTGCCTTCTGCGTTCTCTTTGGGTTATCCATGGTGGTCCATATCATTCAATTTTGTTGGAAGCGGACATGGTGGTGCAGTGTGTTTAGCATCGGATGCATGGGTATGCTATCAGTCTAACTTCCGGATACCTCCTGGATAGCCAGCTAACATCAACAAGTGGAAGTATTAGGATGGGCTGGTCGTCTATGGGCCGCCGAATGCCCCTATAACTCGACTGCATTCATGATACAGATCTCAACATTGATCATCGGTGAGCAACATTCCAGTCCTCATCTTCCAATCGAGACTAATCTGATTTATCGGAAAATAGCACCGACCTTTTTCACCGCCGGGATTTACGTCCTCCTCGGTCGCTTCATCCAGCTCTTCGGCCGCCAATCCTCAATTCTCTCTCCGAAACGCTACCTCTGGATCTTCTGTACCTGCGACATTGTGTCCCTGGTCATTCAAGCCGCAGGTGGTGGCCTAGCTTCCTCCGAGTCCAACGAAGTAAACGGTGACACCTCACTCGGCACAAACATCATGGTGGCTGGTATTGTGTTCCAGCTGGTCTCGCTCACAATCTTTGTGATCTGCGCTGTCGACTTCTTCCGTCGCTCGCTACGCCTCGGATACCTTGGGTCGCTCATCCAAGGATCTCTATCATATCTTCTCTTCGCCATGGTGTTTTCCGTCGTCTGCATCTATATTCGGAGTATCTACCGTACCATCGAGCTGGCACAAGGCTGGACTGGATACCTGATTACCCACCAGATTTACTTCATTGTACTTGATGGGATTATGATGGTTATGGCAGTTGGGATCTTCAATATCTTCCACCCCGGGTGGTTGCTTCCATCGGATATGACCTTTGTGCTGCCCAAAGATCGCGCTATTATTGATTTGGGTGACCCTGAGGCTCAACAGCTACATTCTAGCACTGAGTATACGGGGTATGGGCATCGCTGAGGATTAACGGATTCTTTATTACTAGACCTTTGATGTGTTTGTTCTGTTTACCGGATTCTTTGTTACCTTCCGCCCTCCCTTCAAATGCTACCGTGGGCGAGGTTGAATGGCTTGTACTTTCTTTGTCAACGGCATTGTTTGTTTTTCCATATTTAGCATGTTGCATAGTTTTACATATCCCTCCAATAACGAAGCTCCCATGTCTGTGTCGGCTCCTTCCACATAGTACTTAGATATTGCGCTGAACGCCGAAAATCTCCGCAAAGTGGCCGATGCCAAGCACACAGATTATTGGCATTTTATTCTCATCTCCAACAAAGCAGCTGGTGGCACTGTGCTATTTGAGAAAAAGCCCGTCCACGTCAAACTCATCCAACCTCAATCTCAACCTCAACCTACATCCTTACATCCAACGACACAATGTCCACCTCGCCCAGGGAATCCCAGTACGAGGAACCTCATAGCGAGGAATCCCATAGCGAGGAATCCCAAACCGAGGAATCCCAATCTAGGGATTCCGAGTCCATGATTGAACTCATAGACTGTTTAACTGGACCCAAACGCAGACCAGAAGATCTATACACTCTTCAACCCGGCCGCATAATCCGCGGCTCCCGTTGGAGCCGTTGGAGCTTCCGCATTCTCGAACACATCGGAGGAGGCAAATTGGAGCATCAGCGTTCCATCCAATTCAAGGCCGAGGTCATTCCAAACGACGACCGCGATGCCAGCGATAAGGCCCCTCCCCCTCCCCAGTGGTAAGTTCCGCCCATATTTCCCACCCGCAATCTAACATTCCACCAGGGCTGTTATCAAAATCGGTAGGCGGAACCAGTGGTATAATTCTAAGATGACACCAATGAAATCAGAACGTCTGTTTTATGGCCTCAAAAGTATCTGCGAGGCGCAGTGTTTCCGCAAGTCATACGAGTTGATCAGTTACGGGACTTTGGCTCTCGAATGGATGGATACGACTCTTGATCGGATCCCGTACAAGGGATATAAGAAGCAATTCCCTCTCCTCCTCGCAGTTCTGAAAACATTGCTACAGAGCTGTGTTGTTCTGGACGGGTTGCAACATGTCCATACAGGTATGTATGCCCCATTCCCCATCCTCGTTCCCATCTTCATCCTCATCTACTGAATCACTCCAAAACCAGACATCAACCCCACCCATATCTACGTCTCCAACTACAACTCCAACAACCCCATCGTCAAACTCGGCAGCCTGGGTAACGGTTCGTCCCTTCCCCAACCCCAGCTCAATCCCCCCACCCACTAACAAACACAACCAACAACCACAGTACACCCAACCGGCTCTAATCCCCCCGGCGAAGTCACCACCCGCGCTCCCGAAACCCACTTCTACGAGTTCTGCACCTCCGCCTCCCAGCTGTGGTCCGTCGGCGCAACCCTCCTCTCCTGGATCAATCCCTTTCTCTTGAATTATGCCAGATGTCCTACACCTGAAATGATACCCGCGCTCTGCATGTCGAAACTCAAGCGACTTTTTCCGGAATGGTATATCCCGGATCCAGGACAGCTTGGTAATCCGGAGTGGGTGTACTGGCTGGACTTTCGGTTTAGGATATATCATATGGGGATGTTAGAGTTAAATAATGTTGTAAAGGTGGACTTGGATTGTATTGCCCCGTTTGAGACGCAGTTGACGAGTCTCGGAGTGCCGAGGGAGATTACGGATGTGTTGGCGTTGATGATGATTATTGACCCCAAGAAGAGGCCCTCGGCGAAGGAAGTGTTGGAGTCCAGGGAGATGAGGAAGTTGGAGAGGTTTGTGGAGGAGCAGAGGGAGGTGGGGTCTGATGCTTTGCATCCACTTGTTCTTGATTAAATTTGGATAGTTGAGTTGGAATTTATCGCTTATTTTGTTCTTGGGCTGGTTTGGATGGGTTGTTTTGAGGGTTATTTGCGTTTGGTTGATGGTTTAGTACTGGAGAATAGCATTTGGTATTTTGCTATCTATTTCATTGACATCGTTAAGCTGAAATTACACTTCCCCCCTTTTCCGCTTATCTTCCAACTCTTCCATCCTCTGATCCAAGCTATACAGCAGATTATATTCCCTCCCTCTCCCATAGCGTAGCGGGATAGCCAGTGCAGCGATCCACTAAATCCCAATTCACAATTCCAATCTTCATTATCTTTTTACATTTTTTTTCAGGCAACATATACTCATTAGTTACTCATACTCATCCTCTTATCTACTATCTACCCATCAACAATGCATACTGTCACTGTGACGTAACCATTCTCACCTCTTTATCTTCCCATTTTTCTTACTAATATGGGTGGGGGGTCTCGGGCTGTTTCCGAGATATATCCGAACTATAGCCCCCTCCTATTATAGCCCCGAGGAGATCTTAACCAAGAGACGATGTTAAATGACCATCCTGAGAACTAAAGAAAAAATGAGTGGTATGGCTGGATGGCGGAAGCAAGATAAAGGGAAACCCGAGATCCGAGCACCGACACGGACCAGGGTATAACTCCCAACCAATAAGCGGGGTAGGTAGGGGTAGTATCGAAGCTTGATTACGATGGGTGCACAGGAATTACTAGATCTCACCAGGTAAAGATTGGAATGTTATTCGCGAACCATCTCAGTCAGTGACGTGAATATTAAACCAATCTATCATTATCTATCCTTGTACATGCTTTTCATAAAACACTCCCGCATGACGCATATAAACACACATATAACCATCGCCCCGTACATGAATAGTCCCTTTTTTGATGAAGTCGTTCCAAGTCGTAAATTAGTCAATGTACTTGGGAAGAGTCTTCAGGATGCCGTCCCGGGCAATGTCCTCCATCGCGGAAGTGATCTCCTTGAGGAACCGCGGGTCGTTGCGCAAGTCGTCACCGAACAGACTCTTGATGCTGAGCAGTTCGGCGGGGTTGGTGCCGCCGGCGCGAGCCTTGGCCTGGAGCTCCTCGACCATTGGGTCGTCGACCTTGAAGGGCTTGCCGTGGTCGTCAATGCCGTTGACGTAGCGGAACCAAGCGGCAGCGACGAAGCACAGGCGGCGAAGAGGGCCATTCACCCAGATGGCCTCGGCAATGGACGGCATGATGAACTGGGGGATCTTGCCGGATGCGTTGAGACAGATACGGGGCAGCTGGTCCATGATGGTGGGGTTGGAGAAACGTTCCATGAGGGTCTTGCAGTACTCATCGATGTCGACACCCGGGATTTCCGGCAAGGATGGCTTGACTTCCTCTTGCATCATCTGCCAGACGAACTTGTTGAAGAGAGGGTTCTCCATCACCTCGTGAACGTAGTTGAAGCCTGCCAGCTGACCGGGGTAGCCCAGAGCCGAGTGACTGCCGTTGAGAAGACGCAGCTTGTGCTTCTCGAACTGCTCGACGGCGTGGACATCCTTGACGACCTGGACGCCGACCTTCTCGAAAGGCGGGCGGCCATCGGAGAACTGGTCCTCGATCACCCACTGCATGAAGGGCTCTGTGACCACTGGCCACGAGTCCTCGATACCCTGGTTGTCTGCGAGAGCTTGTTTGTCGGCGGGAGATGTCTGGGGGGTAATACGGTCAACCATGGCGTTGGGGAAGGCACCCTTTTCGGTGATCCACTCGGCCACCTCGGGGTTACGCAGACGGGCAAACGATTCGAGCATGTGGCGGGTGATGGAACCGTTCTTCTGCATGTTATCGCAGGACATAACGGTGAAGGGCATGAGACCCTGCTGGTGGCGACGAGCGAGGGCGGCGTAGAGGAAACCGAAGGTGGTGCGTGGGGAGGTCTCGTTGACGGGGTCAAGGTCGAATTGGATGTCAGGGTGGCCGCTCTGCAGCTCGTGAGTGTTCTCGTTGTAGTAGTAACCGCTCTCGGTGATGGTGAGGGAGACGATGCGGGTATCGGGATGGGCCATCTTGGCGATGACGGCCTCGCGGTTATCGGGGGCGAAAAGGTAGGAGTTGATACATCCGACGACGTGAGCAAAGCTGCCCTTGGCAGAACGCTCAATGACAGTGTAGAGGTGATCCTGGGATGCCAGGGCGTCGCGCATGGTCGCGTCGAAGGGCTGGAGGCCGACACCGCAGATAGCGTAGTCGGTCACGCCATGCTTCTGCATCAACTGGTCGACGTAGACAGCCAGATGCGCCCGATGGAAACCGCCCACTCCGATGTGAACGATGCCCTCCTTGACGGCAGGACCGCGCCGGTAGGTTGGGACGCGGACGCGAGCGGCGCCTGCCGCAGCGATTTGCGACAGGTTCTTGCTGTTGAGCTTGAGGGGAGGCATTGTGATGAGGGAGAGGAATTGGGATGGAGGAGAGAGGCGAGCTTAGGGGGTAGAAGAAGGATTTTCAGCAGAGCTTATCAGGGACACCGCCGGTTTTGACCGCTGGTCGCTGATCGCCGCCCAGTCTTCCGCGAACAGCATTACATCATGCGGTGGCGTTAAATAGCCCGGGCAGTCAGTCACGCCCCAGCCTTGCTTTTTTTTGTTTTCTACGCGACCCGCGCTGGAAAAGCATTTGACTCAATTCCTCATCTTCATCTGGGCCGCTCCTGGACAAGCCGGTGTACCGGTGAAGGATGGAAGGAATGAAGCAGGGACCCGGGAGAATTGAACATCATGCAAGGACAACCAGGCACAGGCTGTGCGGCATAGCTGCCAGCTCGGCGCGGGCGCCCGCGGCCATCGGAGCCCGGATTAGCTTCTCTCCGGCCCGATTCTCCGCCAAGACGGAGCCAGGATTCTAGACCCATGGTCACGGGACCCTCCATTGCATCACGAGGACATCAGCGGGCTATAAATGGATGTCATAATATGATACAACAGATTCATGAATAAGATTAAGGGGAGAAAAACAAAAACATACAACAGAAGGGATTCGCTGGTGGTCACCCACCCAACTACTAACCTCCCGGCGTGTGGCTTAAGTACGGCTGAGCGGACGGGAAGCCCTGTTTTCCACACCCTGTGGTCGTATGTATTTTGTTATTAAGGGAGACAACTGATATTGACCAGAGCTTCAAAATCTCCTACATACTAAGAACTAAGAAAATCAATGCTACCCTGGAGTGGGGGTACCCCAGTTACCAAGAAATTAGTGTGGGGGTCCGACCCCCAAGCTCCCTCCGTTAAGGTTAAACTCAATGGCACCAGGTAGGTAATTTACGCAGTAGCGAGCTTCAACTCCGTCTGATTTTTTTTCTGGTCAGGTGAAACTGAAAGGGGCAAATTTGCCGGGGCTTGATTGCCAAGCCCGGATGCCCGCGGGTAGTCTAGACCCCTTCTGGCCAGAGTCCGGGGCATCTCTCGGGCCAGTTTGGTTGTTTTCTCTCCTGGAGGCCGCGTCAACCGCTTCACCGGTCATACCAGCTGGCCATTTCTTATCGCATTCTTGATCATGCACTGAGACAGTGTCTTGTCATGTTGCTGTCTAGTGAGAGACCGGCCGGGGAGATGCTGCGCTCTGGCCTCGGAAAATTGGTAATCAAATTCCAATGGAGTGGGGGCTTTGTTCGACTCATCTCCTATCCTGGAACCCACATGCCCCAGATTCCAATCCGACCGAACAGTTTCTATAATAGGAATGGGCTGCGTGGCTTGTGTAACGTTTCATGAAACTTCCAGACTTCCCTGGCTGAAACATCTGCTGACAAAGAACATGAAACTGTCCCTTTGTCTGCCTTACGGATCTGGTGGTCAGTAGAGCTACAGGTCAAAACTCTCTATATATATCACGCCTCCTTTGAGGGATTGCTGTAGCCAATCACTCACGGTCGCCAAGATATGGACTTCAATAAGCGGAGTAAAAAGATAGGTGAAGCGGTCTGTTGCCAGCTTGACCGCGACGTGTTCTGACTATAAACTCCGAGACGGTGAGATGGTCGGCACAAGGTCGGCATCACATAACTTCTGTGGCTTGTTGGCGGCTTGCTGTAGGGCTACCCAATGGACTGGAACATCACGTAAGCGGCTGTCGTAGACGTTGAAGAACGAGTCATAAATCAGTGTCAGCTGTAGCCTCATCTACATTGGTTGGGTAGATATGAGGCTCGAGCTAGACGCAAGGAAGAAGATGTGCCTCACGAGACATGATCGTGACTTCACGCAGCTGCATGCTTTGCCGTTCGGGCCGTGGAGCTTGTCCGAACATCTACCGATGCCGAACGCAAGGGCTTCATTTACTTGACAGCGTGCATCTTATTATGTGGACTCTGCAATGACACTGGAAATGAGCTGCCACATCCACACCGGTCTCGGTACTCACACACCGTATTTGCCAGCTCTACACCATGTTCTACATGTTTTATGCATTTTACTCCCTCCCAAGGGAAATGTTCCCTATTAGCTTTAATCGGTTCGTGGAAATTACCTACATTATGGCGTGTTGTCAGCAGACTTAATTTGGAATAGCGAGGGTGGTATGGTTCTCGTTCCTATTAGAAACGAGCGGACACTGGTCCTTATTTCGAATATGTTGATATACCTTTCTGTAACAGACTATCTAGATGGTTTCTAATCAGTATAAAGACGTACTGAGAGGGACTTTTGTCAGTTGGGCTGATAACCGGAACCCTGGGACTACTCCTCCAAGCCTCGCATAGTTCGAGGTCTTATTTGATATGTGCTACAGTGTATATTGTGTTATAATGGGAAATGGAATGTCATCGGTATACCATTTGGTGGAATATATGATAGCCACTGGAAGAAAAAAAAAATATGTTTATCAGCATAAGGTGTCGATTCCTGTTTGTGCCTTCTGTGATAAGAGGGAATGACTTGGGATGTAAGGGGTCAAGCGACTGGAATGCGCCCCACAAGGATTCCACGGGATATTGAGCTTCTCGAAAAATTATGGATGGGGGGGAGACGCTATCTTTTCCGACGACTAAAATATAGAGCAGAAGCGGGGGGGGGGAACTAGAATATAAACAAGGCAGGGGAAATTTGGAGTTACTGACAGTCACCTGTGATGACGCCGCTTCCTTATCATGACTGTTAGGAAACGATGACACATACATAGATCCGACCTACGCGTAAGCCATCTTTTAGAGCGGTATCGAAAGGCGTGACTGATTGATTGATTGATTCCTGTCTTATCCTTGAATATAATGCCCCTTCAGGGCTCATCCCGAGTCACTGACGGCCATTTATATACAGCTCACGTCAGCATTTAAAATGTATCATAATAATGGTAGTTATACAAGAAGGGTTGAAACAGGAGAAAAGAGATTGAATATAGAAAGAAGCGGCAAGAGTTTGTACTAATCCCAGAATACCTCATCACACACATATTCTGCCCGTGTGTATGTATGTTATCTATCTTGCTCCTAAGTCTTCTAAGATAGAGAGATACGGGTGGTTAGGCTAGATGTAGATAAATATCAAGTATCTAGAAAGGATGATGTCTAAAAGAGGTGTTTCTGTTATAAACCCTGTGATTTTCGTATACTATTATATTAGTCAGCAAGAATCAATAACACCGCTAATTAGGTGGATAATATGCGGGTTGAACATCTTCAGAATATTGTGAGCCATTTGCTTTGAATCCGCCTGGATCTTGTAAGTTGAGGATGAAAGATGCTAGATCAAGCTGACCTACCAACTTCCATTCACCGTCTTCACTGGTTGGCGACATTAGAGAGTGGGGGATTATATGTGCTACTTCGAAAAATGCCATCCTGTCGCGTTCTAGAAGTAATGATTTGCCATCATCATCTTTCAGGTTCTGTTTATCACGCTTATACCGACGTTGGCCCTCTTCGGCATCGAATTTTCGACTAATGATACAGCGGTGACGATCACGGGTGAGACAATCTCTTCGAAGATTTGAAACACGTTGTGGGGTGGAAATAGCATTTTCTGGTGTTCTGGAATCTGAGAGCGCCGGTGTGGGTTGGGGAGTCTTAACTGCCAGTGCTTTTACTAGAGAGTATAAGTGTCTGGTGTCGCGCGATACGCCCCGAGACTTACATGGTAGGAAGAAATTGTCCACTAAGAATTTAGCAAATGTAATAAGGCTGTTGCTTAACGTGTTTTTCTTTTCAGCTGACCAGTCGAATTGACCCGATAGGTGCGACAAGATTTTGTCAATGCCGACATGTTTTTCCTGTAGCAGGTCCTGCTGGATAAAAGAGAAAAACAGGTTCAAAAACTCGTCTTTTTCAGAAACCTCGCACTTCATGAGATTAATAAGGGTGACTGGTTTATAGCCGCTGTCAGCTGCTTGCAAAGGTTCAAAGTGCACGATAATGTCCTCGAAGACCCGAATCGCAAGGTCGCGCTCGTCTGGTTTCAGTGATGATGGGATAATCACGCCCTCTACAGATGAACAGTGTCGGCGACGTCGTTGTGGATGTGACATTTTGTTCAACTAGCATCTAGATCTCGAACATGATAAGGATTATCACCGTCATGTCGTGTTGATTGATCGTTTACCAATAAGACCAGCGGTTGAAGGGATGGATGATCGGAATCGGATTAATGTAACCCCGTGACCGGGTCAACAATGAATAGCGCCACATGGGGGCCCCTCATTACCACTTCATAGTGGCTGTGCAGGCCCTCATGCCCGAATTAACCTTTGGCGCTTTTTCTTGCGCATCCACAGCCTCAATATTCATAATGTTGTAAGACGTTAGTGAAGCCTTGACTAGGTTCTTCCTCATTGTTATCATCTGCAGACAATGTTGAGAATAGAGAGATATCTTCAAAGGGGCTCTGTGGACATAGCGATAAGGTCGAATGCGGCCGAGGGCAATAAGTTCAGTTGTCTGACTGATTCCAAGACTTCAGGGAATCGAAAACTAAGTAGCTCCGCAGAATGTCTCTGCGAAGGCTGATGAGATATTTATTGCATATATCGCCCTCTTAAACCAAAATATGAGGGCAAGAGACTGCGCCCAGTTCGATCCACCAAGAATTTTCTTAACCGCAAAACACATGATATCAGACACAAACTCCGACCATTCTATCTCAGTCTTAATTGATTGTCTCCACCACGTCACCCAGCATTGCAATGCTCAACTTGGACCGATCTAAAAAGGTTTCCTCATCGGCAGCAATCTGGGCCGCCGCGTCGGGAGCCGTCACCCTGGCCATGAAAGCCTGGAAGGCGGCCTGATCGGCAAAGGTCAGCTCGGCGTAAGCGTCGAAATCGAAATCGGATTGCTGGCCAACGAGGACAGTAGCCGGGGTGGTGGCGTTGCGAGAAGTGGCATCGGCAGCGGGTGTATCAAGGGTGGTGCGCGCGATGTAGGTGCGCTTGTGGGAGATGGGGAAGAGATCGGTGGAAATACGCTTGACTAGTTCGATGTGGGCATCGTAGCGTTCGCGGAAGGTGGCCAGGGAAAGTCCGGGCTTGCGATATGCGTGAATGAAGACGCGGACGGGCATGATGGAGGTAAATGGAGCGAGAGATAAATTGTGTACTTGGTTGGGTTTGTGGAAGAGGGGTGAAGTGAGGGGCAGATGGATTCGATATACGTTGATCTGACCCCGCTGCGCCTCTCGGAACGATTAAAATACCCGGATGAGTAATGTTCCGATACTAGTAGCAAGTGCTGAACAAAGAGGCTTAGTTGGTTAAAATTTAGTACATTGTTAGTACTTACAGTTGATGGGGCGGAAGGGAATGAATATATTTACATATCTGACAAAGATACTGGCACCATCAAGGTGGGGAGCCTTGTTGTCATGCTCGTTAAATCGAAAATAACCCCATATATGATCCCAGGTTTGATCTATCAAGCCCTTTCCGAAAAGACAGAATTCATTTGTTATGTAGCGAAGTTAGGTCAAGCTTTCAAGGATTTGATGTCTGGTTGGTTGGGCTAAGGCTATTTTGAAATAATGATATGGCGATGACGAGGACTGCATACCGACAATAATAAAGACATTTTGTAGATGGATTCATGCGCTCAGATCCTTTCAGCTTATAGGGTTGTGGCCTGTTCAAATAGATTTTTCCTTAATGTTTGGCTAACCATGGTCAACCCTCCATCGAGAATTGCCGTGACTGTATGAATAGTATATAACCGCGGTGAGGAGAATCACAGAACACACCTGATCATTTGCCACAACAGCTAAGATGTGTTCAACTCTCTCATCATGAATTTTATTGTGCTTCTTCTTCTGTGTTGTAACTAGCCCAATTGTTGTTCTCAGATGCTCGGCACATCGGACAAAGCACCATGTCCAAACCCAGAGACATCTAGATTCTGTTCCGACAGCAGAACCCCAATCCATCTATGTACACAATTCAAAGTGAGATGCAAAGAACTGCTCCACTTCGACAGGCAACCCACGGTACGATCCCAACTGACCATCCACAATCAGGCCACGAAGCGATGCCTTGGGATACTGTTCGAGATCCCACATATCGGTGCCAACCATGGCAGCCTGCTGCCCCGAGCCCCATATCTTGCGACAATAATATGCCAGTGCAAACGGATTACCAGTTGACAGAGCAGTCTCAACTTTGTCATTGATGGACTCTATGGTCTCTGCGGTGGTGAGCGTCCGCGATCCAAACTTCTCTGTCAATGCGGCCACGATATCATCTCCGGTCGGGGACAGTTCGCAGAGAGCCAGGGTCCGGTTTTTAATTTTCTCAATCGGGGTGGAGGCGAAAATGGACGCATAGGCGGCTGCAACGTATGCCTTTGTGCTATGGAGCAGAGAAGCTGTGAGTGGATCTGATCATCAAGCATGCTCGGGGTGGGGGCAACTCACCAAAGGTTGAGGGGCTTAATAGCACTTTCACCAGTGTAAATAAATCTGTTCTGCTTGTAATCTACACCCATTGCTCTTGGAGTGGTGTCAGCTTGACCAATCTCTCTACCGCTTGCGGATGGGTAATCGAAGGAGGATTTTCATACCCCGTGGATAATGCAAACTCAGCGAAGTTGCCCGGCAAGACTACAGTAGTTGCAATGCCTGCTTCCTTTGCAGCTGTTTCCACTGTTCCCTTGGCATGATTGACGGGAATGCGCATGCCCTGCTCATCATATCGTGCAGCCAGATCCGACGGAACAAACAGCTGTACGTCGCTTTTGGTAATGGCAGTCACGAGATGGTGTTGTCTCGATACCCCCTCATGACCAACTAGGGAGCTGATGTAACATGTCAGTACGGGTTTGGAGTTGTAGCCTGGAACCAGGGACGGAGGCGCTCGACTCTCGGTGGTGAATGGGATCGGTTTGGGAGCTTACATGACAATATCAATGCCCTTAAGAGCCCCAACCAGAGCATACTGGTCCTCTACATCCACCTCAACAGTGGTGACGTTGTTGGGAAGGGTGGAAATATCGGATCCTGGGCGGTAGAGAACCTTGATGAAAGCCCCCGACGAGGCGAGAGCTCGAACAATGGCCGAGCTCGCCCAGCCGCGATGACCGTAGACAGCAATGCGATTGAAAACCATTGTAGCGATTCAAGTCTCTGATGAATGATTGAGTGAAAACATGAAGCAAGACTTGCGAATATATATCATACCTCCCCAGCAAGCGGGGGTCCATTTTGACTAGTTTACACTGTTTGGAGCCGAGGTGAGTATGATTGGACAGCCAAGCTATACACCCATCTAGAGCTGTTTGCTATGTTTGTAATGTTTGCCATTGCAGCCCGAAATCTCCCCACTTCGACGTGCTCGACTTATCGTGTTGCGGGGGAGAAAAAGATTCCCTTCCGATCGGATCGGATCGGATTGCGCCCTACAGCGCTCCTTATGATGATATTGTGCCCCCACCTTGATAGTCATTGTGTAGTAGGTAATTCATGACCTCTACATCTCAATGCGTCCCCCGTGTAATCCTCCAGTAATAATATCAGTCCTCGTGGTATATGAACCTCCCTTGCTCAGCAAATACCCCGCAGCAAGTGCCAGGTCGTCTGGTTGCCCGATTCGTCCCAATGACTGTACCGTTCGAATCACGTCCTGAATACCTTCCAAAGTTATCAACAATCTTGCTAGCGGTTCCACGAGATCGTTGTAAGCTGTACTGATCGGATTGTTAGATAATGCTTTCTAGCTGCCTGCATCCTTTCTTGCGACATTTGAGCTGCTTTGAGAATAACCACAGTCATCGGAAGACGAAGCTATGACACGTGATTTGCGTGAGCTAACAAACAGAGTACTGGTTAGTGGTTAGCAATCATCTAAAATTAGAAAAGAGGGGAAAGAATGATAGTGGGTTCCGCCATATATAGGTCACGTGAGAGCCATTCACACACCGCTACTTCTACGTGGTTTGTAGCTAGTTTGCCATCCATCTCATTTTGTTGACATTAAATCACCTCCGTAGCCATAATAATTGCCAAGAGACAGTGTATTTTCTATAGTTCCGGTGAGTAGAAGGCTCTATCCGCTAGCCCGAGGCATATCTAACAAGTAGTTGTGGGTGTTCCTGCAAGTTGCGTGACCCTGCAGGCATACAACTGCACAGACATACATCAAACCCCACATATCAACCTTGCTCCTAACATATATAAACGACAAATCTAGCCTGCAGACACCACAGCTCAGTTACTCAACCAGCCTTCATCCAACATGAATCCTCTACCCAAAGAATACCACTTCACTCATCCCGAGCTCAGCTATGACTCAGAGCCGAACTTCCAACCCGCAATCAAAGTTTCGCTCTTTTTCAGTAAAAAGGATGAAATCACACACGAGGAGTTCTTCAGACATTGGCGAACAGTTCATGCCGATTTGGCTGTCGCTACACAGGCCTTCCAGCACAAGGTTCTTCGATATGTCCAGGTATGTGTCCATTCTCCCAAAGATACTATCAAGATCGGTTTATCATTAGCACTCATATTGACGAAAGAATAGCATCATCAAACCCCCGAGATGAAAGCACGCATGACAAGCATAGGCGCCAGTGTTCTCGATTACGATGCCTGTGCTCAGCTATGGGTACGCGATTGGGATAGTTGGCTAGAATTCTGTCAAAGCCCTGAGTATTTGGCTGCACTACGGGATGATTGTGATCGATTCATGGGTTCACCCATTAAGTTTATGGTTGGTTATGAGACCTTGATTGTTGGTGATGCTTCTCGAGTTATTGGTGGTAAGAGTGGGTTGTCGACGAAGGCTACTCAGTGATATCATGATGTATATATTCATTATTTAGGCCTTATGCTTTTGATTCTATTTGAAACCTTGGCCATTAGACTCTGGAGCTTGGGGGACTTGTATTGGACTGTGACTTGGGAAGAAAATCAATGGAGATGATGTGGAACATGGGCTATATTGGTTGATAACTGTCGCGTTCTTACCAGTACGCCAGAACGGTAAACCGCTGGCCATCTGGAGAACAGACGGAACGAAAACTGTATCCCAACGTAATATTTTCTTGCTTTTCTTGCTCGTTTAGCATGGGTTACGGATTGAGAATGATACAACAGGTCACTCCCTCCGCGGCAGAAAAGTTGCGTAGTGGAAGTTTTTCTTTGTTCATGATACTAGGATACGGCATTATGGCTTCATATTCTTGCTTCAACGAGAAGTGCCTGCATAGCTAGCATCACACGTAGCGGGCTGGCTTAATTAGGCTAATAGAGTATGACTTGACATGACATGACTTGACTACACTCCCTCCGCTCCTTCCCTTTCATACGCACCTTCCATTATAGATTAAGAGCCCATTGCATAGAATATCATCGATTGTAACAGGAAACCTTCTTCTTCTCCTCTATTTCCCTCACCATGGTACCCATACCTTCCATTCACTCAATTTGTCCCTTCTATCACTATGTTAAATATCGGTGAGGCCATGACGGTGGTTGTCGGCATCTCGTCCGCCATGGGCATAGTTGTCACCGTCTACCATTGCCAGTTCCCCTCGCGCTTGTGGCGGTGGCGAGAGAGTAAGATGAGGGACCCCGAACGGGGAGAGGGTGAATTGTTCCAAGAGGCAGGGATGGTGCTGGGTGAGAAGCCTTTGGCGCGTTGGCATTTGTCTCGTTGGGAAGCTTCAATACCAAAGTTGGGCCCCTACAGCACGCTGCTGGTGACTACCAAGGTCAGGACAAACTCAACTTCTAACCTCATTTTCTAACTCATTCTTCTCTTCCAGGCACAACCTCAAGCTATCGCCATCACATCCCTTTACCAATTGTTCTTATTTATCTATGGACATACCGAGCACATGTTCGAACCCTTCCAAGATACCACACCAGGATCAGCCTGCAAGAGAGGACATTACTGGCGGACGGCTCTATGAGACCTTCGATACAATTCGTGCTACGTCCTTGACCCAGCATCTCGCTGTCAAGCACACGAGAAGCATTCCTAGGTTTTTAATTCAATCGTCAAACACCTCGACGAAACGGAAGATACTCGCAGTCGAAACACGCAGATCACTGCCACTGTTTCGAAAGAAAGCGATATGTCAGGGGCTGAGGACTGATGTAGAATGGATTCGATAGAACGGGCCGAGGATTAAGGCGTTTGTACAAGTAATGAATCTACAAGGGACAGTAAGGAACGGTATGAGGGTTTGTATAAGCAGAGGTGTGGATCTGTATGTAATTCCCGCAGTCATGGTCCAGTTGACCTCGGGAAATGCCCCACGGAGGTTCATCTGGAGACAAGGCAATGACCATCACCATCCTTCACAAGCTGAACACTCTTCTCCAAATGGCCCATCGCCCGGCCCTGTACGCCGACTGTAATATAGCACATCAACTTTTCAGATGATCAATATATATCGGATTATCCCCGAACCCTGTCTTGAGAGCCAAACACCGGTATGGGGCAGTTCGGTTCTCTAATGATGTTCCATCGGCTTATAAAGGAGAGACATATAATAGGCGTGTATTATACTTGATTGGCATCTAAGAAAAGACTATATGTAGAGATATCAAAGACAATTATAGTTGAAAGTATGACTCAGGGTCAAGGCTCCACAGATTCCATTAAAATTATCACTCTAAGCAGTGAATCACAACACATATCCCACTTGCTAACCTCATTGCCACCTCATAGAAACAGGTCCCGAAATCTCAAAATTCAGTTTAATGTGGGTCTAGTCTAGCTTTAGCGTGAGATATTATCTTAGTTTAGGCTGAGAGATATAGTAGTTAGGTAGATGGAGATGGAGATACTACACTCCGTAGGGTATTTGTCATGCCACTTCAAAAATAAGCAATTAGATCTGTTTTCTTGGAACAATTGCTTTGTGTGATGTCAACAACCCCGCTTTTTGTGTCTCGGGATTTGAGATTCGGACTGGCTGACGGGTGGCTTGAAGCTAGTTATTTTAGACGGCATAGTTTATGCAGTGTGATTGAGTTCGTGGCGATCGGGATGCTGATGTTGAGATGGATCGGGGTTTGGTTGATTGTGGGTTTAGTTGGTAGTTGGGTATGTAATGATGTCGAAACTGTTTCTCCAATGTCTTTGTTTATTATGGAGAATTAGTACTACATTGTCGAGATAGCCTGATAAACCAGAGTGTAGTACGTAGTAATGGTTCAGATATTTGAATCACATACCCACCCACTTTGAAGCAATCTCCCGGATAGATCCGGATGATCCGGATGATCTTCAATAGCCCTGCAGTAGGAATGCACCATTCACTCCCCGTCACGTCACACAATCATTCTGAGATACGCTCCCGGAGTCACAGTTTGTTGGGATCCGACAATCAACAGAATACAGGTTAATCCATCTACCCGTCAAGGGTATAAAACATCAATCCTCCCTCCCTTTCTCTCCTCTCCTCCCCAATCATTCATCCCATCCCATCCAATTCCCCTCACCATCCTGCCCTCCACCATGCATTCCATCCAACTCCCCCTCCTAGCCGCAGGCTTCTCCCTCATCACCACCGCCATGGCCGACTACTACTCCTTCAAAGGCTACGGCGGCTTCGGTCTCTACACCGGGCCCGGAGAGGACGACTACGTGGGGTGTCTCACCGTCGACGGCGAATGGACCAATGGCGGTGAATGCGGCGTCACCTATGCCTCTGGAGAGGGTGAAGTGAATAGTGTCAATGGCCACTTTACCCTTACTGAAGACCTGACCATCACTGCTGTTCCGGATGATGAGAACCCTGCCGTTTGGTATATCACGGAGCTTAAGATCCCGGTAGGATATATGAATGTGGTGTAAGGGGTCTGTGGATGCTAATGTGTGTGCGTGTTGTATCTAGCCCGGAATGATCGTCGCCAATTATGGGGATCAGGCGGCGGGAGGCGGTGGGCCGTATTGGTATGCTCCTCTCGCGCCGGAGGGGACGGGGTCGGTCAAGTTGAGTGCGGTGCCTGTTGAGGGGGGAAGGAATGTGACTCTGTCTTGGTATGATCTTGCGGGGATTGTGAAGGATGAGGGGGGGTCGGCGAGTATGACTGAGGTGGAGGCCGCGAGGATGAGGGAGATGGTGGGTTGAGCGGGTTTGAAAAGGGGTGGGAGGGATATGTTGGGTTTTGTTGTTGTTGTTGTTGTTTATGTCTTTAGAGGAGCATGGTTTGAGTTGGTGGGGGAGATCCGGTGGATATGAGATACTGGGCTGTATTGTTCTCCCAAGGCTATATATCTCCTGTCAGTGCCTGATGAGTATCGTATGAATTGAGCCCTGCTTCTGAGTTTTGCTGTAATGCTGTCCTAGCCCGTTGTAGGCCCCGTATGTTTACCCTTGGAGTTGGAAGTTGGCCATGCCAATCAAAATGATACGTGCCCCGGGCCACGTGTGGCTTGCCTACTGACCACCTGCCTTTCTGATAGCAGTTAATCTGATCGGTGTCCGCGATATGACATCTAAGGAAGTATACTGAGAAGGGACCTCGATATAGGCAAGGCGATGTGAGACTGGCGTCTTGCAATGGATAATGGAGGTTGTATTGGCAGTAGGAACTATATACATCCCTCGAATTCTGAATGCCATATGCACTATGCTCAGTACCATCACCATCAAAGTCTCTTGACAGTTGATTAGTACAGCTACCAACAGCCGAGCATAACATCACGCAACCAAGCCCAACTCCGCCAACATCTCCCCATTCAACCGTCTCTCCTCCTCCTGATACACCCCAAATTTACCCGCACCCATTCCATCCACCAGACCCTTAAGTTCCGCCACCAATGCCTCAGCTTCCTCCCTTCTCCCCGGACCCTGGAACCACACAGCCTTGGCGATAAACCGACGAGCGTTGAGTGCCTGTGGCGAGTCCTTGCCCAGACGCGGCAGAGCATCCATCCCCGCACACACCGGTTTTGCCGTCTCCTCTGCCTCTTCATACTTTCCCACCTTGACGAGGTACTCGGCTAGCATGTGTGACGGGTCGACGTTATTCGGGTCCGGTCGCTTCTCGACGAGCATGCGAACTGTCTGTTCCGCCTCGGGGAGGTTCAGGTTGTTCTGGATGGTAAAGATGCCTGACCAGAGGGAATACCAGCGCTTGTAGTCAGCCTCGTAGAGGGACTGGGGTGGGGAGGTGGCGGCTTCTTCCTGGGTGAGCTTGTCGTTTAGAAGTTGGAGGAGCAGACCGAGCTTGGTTTGGTGGTCTGCGGTGCTGTAAGCGTCGATGGGTAGTTTTGCTAGTTCGTCATCGGTGAAGTTACTCAGGAAGCTTCGTGCGGTGCAGTATTCGAAACTGTCCCAGAAGGGGTCAACTGGGATGGGGGCTTCCCAGGGGAATGCCTTGGCGGATTCGGAGGTGGCTACTTTGCCGGTTGAGTAACGGACGGAAGTAGTGGTGGTGGTTGCCATGGTGAGGTGGTGGTCAGTTGAGATTGGAAAGAGGAGCAGCTATGAGAGTGTGGGTAGTGGATGGATGGTGGGGGGTGATGGTGGATTTAAGCACGGACACGGCTCTTGTGCACGGGGTCAGGGCAAGGAGGGGCTTCACTGGTGCTTATCATCGTAGGTATGGTTAATATCAGGAACAGGGGGTTGATTGGGTGCAACCGGTGAAGGGCTGGAATCGCGCGATAAGATGTCCGAAAGCCCAATCATCGGAAGGCTGGCGCCTAGTCTAGGTTCCAGTAGTGATGAATTGGAGCCTTGCGATTCACACTGGCCTCCCGACGAGCAGTGAATGGTAGACAGCCCTATGTCAGGCAGCAAAGACAGCTTTCATGGGAGATAGTGCTAAGTTAGCTTTGGGGTTCCTCCATTCATTGCAACCAGCCTATTAATCTTGAGCCTAGCTCTTTCGTCTTCCTGTGGTACATTAAGCCTTTCAACCTGTAGTATGATGGTAGGGCATCGTAGGGCCAAATGCGATAGACCTGGCTAGTGGAGTGATGGCGTCCTGGATGTAATAAATGATGCCATCCCCACCCAATCAAGCCTTCCAGGGTGGCACGAGATAGTACACCAGTCCATGCCCGATGGCAGCCGCAATGGGCGCAACCTGAATCATTAACCTCGATCTAACCAGACACCGGTGAATTGACTCACCCAGTGAATCCAATGATATCCCGGAAAGGAAGACCCGACATACACTCCAAAACATCTCGCCGGGTTTAGCGCTGCGGCAATTTAGCATCACCCCGTATGGCACAAAAGTTGCCATGGAAGGGAACATGACACGTACAAGCCCCTCCATATCCCTCGCGCGTATACGCCGACCCTAAACTGACCACCCCCAAAACCATCCCAACCAGCCAGGGCGACAAGGCGGCCCCGTACACCCGCACCTGGCGCGGGTCCAGTCCCACTCCAAAGGAAAGAAAGATTAGAGCCAGAGAGCAGATGAACTCTAACACGAATGCCTCTCGCACTGGGACGAGTGCAGTGTTAATTGAGCAGCCTCCCACGGAATACTTGCCCGACCCAAAAGCCGATCGTAGCATCCACCCGGCTAGGGCACCCCCGAGAATCTGCCCGGCCAGGTAGAGCACCATACGCGGGAAGGAAATCAGGCGAGCGAAGAAGGTCGCAAGAGTAATGGTTGGGTTAAGATGACTGCCGCTGACGGCGGAAAAGGAGAAGATGAAAAGGGTGAGGATCAGCCAGTTGGTGATGCCACCGACAAGAGGGCCCAGAAAGGTGGTCGTGGCGAAGACGCCAGCAGAGGTCGAGGGGGTTGGAGGCGTGATTAGCGAGGTAGCTGCGGCCCAGGCAGTGATGAAGACTAGCATCATCGTTCCTATCCTAATCAGCGAATGTGGACTTGGGTTGGGAGGGTGCCGTACCAACACATTCGACCACGGCGAAGCGCCACAGATCGAGGTCACTGAATCCGTGCAGGTTGAAGGCATCCCGAAAGCTCATCAACGGGGCCGCATCGGGCACTCTCCGCAGAAAGTCGGCATTGTCGGGATCGCTGCGGTCGAGGACGATGCCCTGGTTGCCACCAATGCGCCCTACAAACGGTTGGACGTGGGGTTTGCATGACAAATGTTGAATGGGTTGGGGATCGACGTTGTCGTCGGGATACAGTGGGCCAGCCATGGTGGAGGGCCTTACGTCTGCTGATAAGGCAGTCCCTCGTATAAATAATATGCAATTGAGTTCGTGGTGGTCCTCGTATGTCGATTACATCACTGCTACGGACACCCATGGTTGAGATCCGGATGACGTGAGGGTCTGCGGAGATGCGAGATCACATAACCATGAATAAGCTCGCGTAGAGTTCTAGAATGTTGAGCATTATGTGATTGGGTACATGGAACCCCAAAACTGATTGATCCCAAGATACTACAAAATCCGTAGTCAGCTGTCCCCTTGTTTCCTGGAGATACGACTAGATGTTAACAGATGCTCTAAAATCGGCGTCACAATACCGTCCTGAGGTATGCTAGGTTGGAGCGATGTTAACAAAACTCCCTGGTAACCTCTTCACACCACCTATCCAATGCCTCTGCCTCGCCCGTCCCTCCCTCCCTCATAGCCTCTAACAAATCCTGCCTTGGACCTGGATGCCACCTCCCAAACGGAATCCCATACCGTCCCCCATCCTCCACCGTAATCCCCTCGTCAAAGCCCGCCCACAATAACGTATTCACACCCTCCTGGGGAGTATAAAAGATTGGCTTACTCAACCACACCGACAACCTAGGCGCCAGATCATAGATCGGGGTGTAGATATTCCCCGGGTTCTGCGTGATGCTGATCACGCCCTTTTCTCCCAGGGTCTTGGCCATCCGAGCCGCCAGGAACCAATTACCCACTTTACTAACGGCGTAGTTGTGGTTAGGGTCTTGGTTAGGGGTGGTCAGTTCGGACGGGGGCACACCGCCGGTGGGGGCGAGAAAGTCGACGACCATGCTGGAGGACCAGATGACGCGGACGGAATTGGGCCGGGTGGAAGGGTCTTGGGCAGTGGTGGTCAGGATTGGGGTGAGGAGTCGGGTGAGCAGGTAGGGACCCGCGCAGTTGGTGCCCAGGTGAGGTTCCAGGCCTTGCGCGGTGGGTTGGCTGAGGGGAATACAGGCCACCCCGGCGTTGTTAAAGAGGAGGTCCAATCGGGTGGCGGAAGCCAGGAAGGCGGAGACAAAGGGTTGGATGGTGCGGAGGTCGGCGAGGTCTAGTGGGAGGTAGATAAGTGTGCCGGGAGAGGGAATGGTGGAGATGGTGGTGGAGATGATGTCGTGGATGACTTGTTTGGCTTTGGCTTCATTGCGGGCGCCCAGGTACACCGTGGCCCCCGCGGCGTACAGAAGCCCGGCCAGCTCCCGGCCCAGCCCCGAGGTGGCCCCCGTGATGATCACCACCCGACCGGGCTGGGTAAACATGGTGGCCCCCGTGAGGGTGGGTTTGGCGGGGAAGATTTGAGGCCAGATGCGTTTGAGGGTCTCCATAGTGATGCTTGGGGGAATGAATATGAACAGCAAAAGATAATGCTAATTGGAGATGGGAGATGGGAGATGGCCGTCTTTTAACGGGGTTCCTGGCGGGCTAAGACGAGGCTGCGCCGCTGGTGGCGCGGGTGGGGACCGGAGGGCCCCAGGACAGCAGGCTAATACACCATCGTTTCCCCCAACGTGAATTCGCAAGTGTAACCCGACTCAAGAATCCTGTGGGGAAAGCAAATACCAGCATGGACTTGGTACCCGTTGCGTACAAAAAGCAATGTGTTGATGCAGAAACAGGACAGCAGACGAGATACTGCAGCCTGAGGGGTCAGGCAACATCGACATGGCCCCAACCCTTAAAGTGGCTCCACCGACTCCGCAGAAAAGCTAAGAAGGGTACGGCGTATCATTTTCGATTATATGGCCAGCTGGCTGGTCAGAATCAGATCGATCCGCCACGGCACGCACGAGCCCCAACAGCCCCGCTGCCGAGGTTGGTTGCCCGGGGCTGAGCGCGAATGAGCTGGACCGCATGGTAAAGAAGTCCGAAGAGAGCTGGAGCTCTGCGATACTCTTGTGCAGGTTCCACTTGCTAGTTGTTTGCAGTGGAAAAGGCCCTCATCTGCAATCCTGCACCGTCGCAGTCAGCTCACTCTGCCTGGTGCTTACGGGTCCTGCGGAACGACCAATACCAACTTCCTGACAAAGCCTGACAAATCCGGCAGCCTATCCATTCATTTATTGACAACCCCAGTGACCTTCATCGTCATCATATTTCACCTGTTTGGAAAGGCTTGCTCAAGCACTCTTCCATTCTCTCCCCATGACTCAACCCCACGGCCACTGCGACCCGGCCTTCAGCCGCATCCATGATCTTTTCCAACAATTCCTCACCTCCGAGGAAGAGCTCGGGGCATCCATATGTGTCAACATTGACGGCCAGAATGTCATCGACCTCTGGGGCGGCTACGCAGACACAGCCCGTACCAAGCTCTGGGAGAAGGACACCATCACCGTCGTCTGGTCCGTCTCCAAAGTAATCACCGCCATCGCCACCCAACTCCTCATCAGCCGGGGTCTCCTCAACCCGAACGAGAAAGTCTCCAAATACTGGCCTGAATTCGCCGCCAACTGCAAAGAAAACATCCTCGTATCCCACCTTCTCAGTCGCACCTCCGGCGTCTCCTCCTGGGAGCTCCCCAATACCCTGGAGGACATTTATGACGTAAGAAAATCGACCGACAAACTGGCGCAGCAGCCCCCCTGGTGGACTCCCGGGGAACATTCTGGCTACCATGTCACCAACTACGGTCACTTGCTGGGCGAGCTGGTGCTCCGCGTCAGTGGCAAGCCGCTGGATGAATTCATTCGCGACGAGCTGGCCTGTCCCTTGGCTGCAGACTACCGACTAGGATTGCCAGAGGAGAACTGGTCGCGGACGGCCGAGATGGAGCCCCCACCACCGCAGGATTTCAAAGGCCTAGACCCACAGAGCGTGGCCTACAAGAGCTTCATCAGCATTCCGATGCCAGCCGAAGCACCCATGACCCCTGCCTACCGGAAAGCCAAATTTGGCGGGGGAAATGGTTTTACCAACGCCCGGGCGCTAGCTCGCATTGGCTCAGTTGTGGCTCGAGGGGGTACCGTGGATGGGAAGCAATACCTTACCCCTGAGACCGTTGATCGCATGTTCGAGGAGCAAATCCGGGGTCAGGATTTGGTATTACTGCAGTACTTGCGCTTTGGGCTTGGGGTCGGGTTGCCGGTCCCGCAGACGCTTCCTTGGTTGCCCGACGGTCGCATTGGATTCTAGTGCGGCTGGGGTGGCTCGACTCTGATTATGGATGTGGAGCGGCGGATGACGATTGCGTATGCCATGAACAAGATGGCCCCGGGGACGCTGGGCTCGGACAGAACGGCGGCTTATGTGCGGGCGATTTATGAGGCAGTTGATCAAGTGCGGCCGTCTGCTCAGTGGAGTTGAGAGCTTCGTCACTCTGGGTGCAAGTGTATTATAACAGCCATGGCGCAATGTGCAAGGATCAATGAAATTCACCACCGTACACTTCGAAAGCAAAGCCATCAGGTGCTTTTATGTATTGTTGGAGTGAACTCTACTCCACCTCGTCAGTATCCTCCACGTCACAATGTCGAGCATGAGTTAAAACTTGTCTCATCATGCATGCAATGGGTTTATCAGTAGAGAAATAAATAAGAGAAGAAACCCACCCACGAAACAAATGTCATGAAATTGGGGAGTGAAACTTTCCCGATAAGGGAATCACGATAACACATTTCCCGATTGGGTGCGGACCGGAATAGCAGGAAATCCGGCAGGGTTGGTTAAACAATCCTCTATTAGGAATGAGCCCTTTACCATTCCCCGCTGAAACCTCTCTATATGAGCCTTTTCAAAGAGAAGGATAATACATACGACCACAGGGTGTGGAGAACAGGGCTTCCCGTCCGCTCAGCCGTACTTAAGCCACACGCCGGGAGGTTAGTAGTTGGGTGGGTGACCACCAGCGAATCCCTTCTGTTGTATGTTTTTATGCCTTTTTTTGGATACATGGGTCGTGAATCAGCGGAATTGGGATGGCGATATACAGCAATAATCATATAAATAGCAGGTACCAAAGAATACCATTTATCTTATAGAGTGTAAATTAAAAAAGGGATGTGCTACAGCCTACAGGCACACCAGACAGGCACACCGGCCAGGCTAACCACACACCTTCATGATTCTCCGCCTACCACTTTGGGAAGTTACAGGCAGAATATGTTAAGTTCATACCAATACGCCAAAACGGAAATCTGCTGGCTATCTGGAGAACAGACAGAATGAAAGACTCTGTGTTCCAACACAATATAATACTCTGTATGTCTTTACTACGTGAAGTCCTTACCCAAGGCCCTACGCGCGGTCCTACGTGAGATCTATCCGTACTTGGCAGCCTGAGGCGTGGTTTACAGCCTGAGGCACAAATATATTGAAGGCGGTAGGCTTTGGCTTGTTTCAAGATGAAGCCAGTCCCAACCCAGTAGGCGGAGAGTCAAAAAGGTGTGGTTAGCCTGGCCGGTGTGCCTGTAGCGCCTCCCCTTGAAAAAGACAAAGACTACCAGATCATGAAATGTGATTTTTTCTAGCAAATGTTCTTTGAAAATAATAGATTCTCCCGTACAAGAAACTGTTAATATCTATCCTTCTTTCATAACATCAAACTTTGACGTGATTAAAATCTGGGATAACTCCGGAGATACTCCACCGCCTTCCTCAAACCCTCTACCCCGGATGGAGCCCCACCATCTCACCTCCACGCTTCCATCCTTCTCAAACCAACTCGGACAATGTAACAATTGGCACATCTTTCACAAAACATGACCCAACTATGCCGGCCATCGACGCACACAAAGGCAAAGGTCGCAGCACGCCCCGCTCCCAAAGTGGATGCTCCAACTGCCGGCGCAGCAAAGTAAAATGCGACGAGAAACAGCCAGTCTGCACGCGTTGCTTACGGAAAGACCTGCACTGTAGTCGAAACCCCCTCACTTTGAAGTGGGAAGCCGAGTACCATGCTCGAGGTCTCGCATTTGGCCGTACGGGCGTTTGGAGAAAACATTCCTCGACCAAGGAGGCTAGAAGATGTACTGCTGGTCAGACTAGCCTTGCAACTCCTAGCATCAGTCAGTGGAGCTTCCTTAACACAGATAGCTCAACTCTACAGCATCTGCTGGATCAGGGTGCTGCTGGCTCGGAAGTTGTGCTCATGCCTGCCAGGAATGTCAAGGTATTTAGAAGCACCCCGAGTATCAGACCCGCGCCATCGGTCTCACCCATCGTGAGCAATCTGGAGCAAGGCTTCTTTTTCGACTACTACATCAACCAGATCTGCCCACGTACCAACCCCAGCCAGGTCTCTCAGTCACCATTTTCATCTGTGATTCTCCCCTACTGCATCTCCGGGCCCCCGGCCGTGATCAAGGCTCTAATGGCTTTAGCTGCCTGTCACTGGGCCCAACAAGATTCCCGCTACGCCGTCCACGCCCTGAGGCTCAAAGCCCAAGTAGTGGCTGACTTTCGACGTCGCATCGCGAGCGACAACCAAGCCTTTCTCCTATCCCCCGACCCCGAAGTTCTCGTCCTGATCATGCTCCTCTGTCTCTACGAGATCGTAGACCACTGCGACCGACGATGGATCGTCCACCTCCAAGGCGCAAAGGACATCATTCTTCTGCGGCGCCAGCAGCTACCCCAAACCACAGACCCGAACCCAGTCTCCGAGTTTGTCGAGTTGTTTTTTGCCTTTCAGGACGTGATGGGCCGCACGGCCTGTGCCAAGGCGGACCTTTTTGGATCCAGCTACTGGCCCGAAGACGACTCCACCATCAACGACTGGATGGGCTGCAGTCCGAGCCTGGTGTCCATTCTATTCGCAACCATGGACCTGAGTCGCAACCGACGAAATGTGGTGTCCACATCCGAGGAACTGACCTTTTGCGCCCGGGCCTCGAACCTCCAGCGTCGACTGGACAACCTGATCCAGAGGCCTGCGGTCGGCCGAGAAGATGAGATTCTTTGCATAGTGGCCGAATGCAAGAAGCTCAGTTGCCAAATATACATCCAGTGCGCGTTACATGGGGCAGATCCCTCCACACCGTCGATCAAAGCCACAGTGAAGAAGATCCTCAAAGGACTGTCGAGCCTCGTTGCGAAAGGAGGTGCCAGCCACGCAATGTGGCCGCTATTTGTCGCAGCCGTGGAGTTGGACCCGCTCGACGATGTTATTCTTCCTGACTTGTACACTGGCATTGATACACATGGCCGTAGAGTCGTTTTACAGCTACTCACGGAGATGGCCAAGACCAGTGTCTCCAGCATTTCTCGCACGCGGGCGGTGATTGAAGGGGTCTGGGAACGTCGGGATTTTTATTTGCACGGTACGAACGGGGGGAGGAAGAGTGGCTTGAATGACTGGGAGCAGTATGTTGTCCCGGGGAGTGATGCGTTGAGCTTAGTGTGAGGGTCATACTTCTATACTTTATGCAAGCGAACATGCTTAGAATTGGTCGCAATAGGATAGAGCATTATACATAATTCCAGGTCATAAAAATAGCATCATTGACTCAAACCCCTCGTCAACACAGGCATTTGATGACCCCAATGGGATAGACCTTCTTGTCCTGTATGTTCTTAGCCGAAAACTAAAATTCCCCGAAGCGGCAAGTCTCGGGCCATGCCGCCACGACGCCCGTCGGATCGACCTTCCCGGAGTATAAACTGTTGGAGTGGCTACTAAGGCGATTCAACCGTGTAGAATGAGATGGATAATGATCTAGCTAGGGGCCTCGTAGGCCATCTATATGGACTAACTAGCGGTGTAGGGAGGAGTGTCACGTGACCCTACGTTGCCTACCGGCGTGGGAGCCCATCGGGGATCCCAACATAAACCATCAGATAATCAACCCATGCATCAATCGAATCAGATAATCAACCCATGCATCAATCGAACAAACACGACATCGTAGCATCCTCCCATTACAAATACTACTCATGATTCCCGTATATAACCTTCTGAAATTCATCCCATTTACCATCATCCACTCAAATCTCATCCCCCCACCATGTCATCCCCCCACCATGTCATCCCCCACAACCTGGCAAGTCGGCATCATCGGCTACGGCTTCAGCGCCAAGATCTTCCATATCCCATTCATCCAACACTCCCCACACTTCCACCTCCATGCCGTTGTCCAACGCAACCCCACGTTCAACAACGACGTGACCGCCGACTTTCCCGGTGTGGTTTTATATCGCACTCCAGATGAAATAGTTCAAGACCCCACTCTCGACATCATCATCGTGACCACCCCCCCGGACACGCATTTCCGCCTCACAAAACTCGTCCTCGAAGCTGGGAAGCACGGTACCCCATCCCCCCTTCCCCATACTTCACACCCTTCATCATGATACAGTATTAAGAAAGAACCAGTGGTCTGCGAAAAACCATTCACGCCCACCTCCGCCGAAGCATCAGAGCTAGCAACCCTAGCCACTAAGCAGGGGAAACTCCTCGCCGTATTCCAGAGTACACCTCCCCCCCCCCCCACACAAACCCCCTACCAATCCACATCCACCCCATCAATCCATCTAATCTACCAATCCATAGACCGCCGCTGGGACTCCGACTTCATCACCGTCTCGAACCTCATCAAGACCGGCACGTTGGGCCGCATAGTCGAGTTCGAAACCCACTACGACCGCTACCAACCCAAACCCACCAGCACCAAGAGCTGGAAGAACCAAGCTATGGCCGGCCACGGGGCCATCTACGATCTGGGCGCCCATGTCCTCGACCAGGCGGTGCAGCTCTTTGGTGTTCCAGCCCGCGTAACGGGCGTGGTGGGTAGTCAGCGTGAGGAGAATCCGAGTGGGCTGGAAGATGCATTTACTGTGTTATTGCACTATGCCAAAGGACCGCTGGTGACGGTGAAGTCGAGCGTGCTGAGTGCGGAGGAGGAGCAATTGCGGTTCTGGGTGCGTGGCGAGAAGGGGAGTTTCAAGAAGGTGGGTAGCGTGGGTTGAAGAGATTTGGGTGGTTTTGTGCTGATCGCAGCCTGTGTCTAGTTCCATGTGGATGTTCAAGAGGATCAGCTGTTGGCTGGAATGAGACCCGGAGATGCAGGGTTCGGAGAGGAGTCGTCGGAGCGATTTGGTAGGTGGATTGGGGTTTGATTCTGGGGTTAGTGTGTATGCTGATTGATTGTTTGTTTGATAGGAACGCTCGTGACGGTTGCCGATGGGAAATTTTCCAAGGCAGAGTACCCCACCGACAAACCACCGACGTATGCGGCGTTCTATCAAACGTTGGCGGATGCCCTGGCTGGCAAGGGGAAGCCGGCTGCCTCGGGCGAGGAAGCGCGCGATGTCATCCGGATTATTGAACTGGCGAGAGAGAGCTCGATGCTGGGAACGTCTCTTGATTTCTGAGATAAGATTGCATCTCGGAAGAAAGCTGCGACCGGGGGCGTGCACCTTTCATTGATTTTATGACTCGGTTTGCGATCGTTATACAGAAGTAATAATTCCACACTTGAACCTAACCCAAAATCCTCCTGTAAGAAAGCATAACTCACAGCTCGGCTGAACCCCATCATTCAAAATTATCGGCTCCGGATCCAGGTCCTTCGACACCATTGTATACGGAGTAATACAAGCGGGATACTATTATACCCTTATTAGCCACTGCCACTACCCCCGCTTTCCACCCATCGATATATAAGATAAAGGTAAGGTCAACTCACATCCAGTAAGTTCCAAACCACCGTATAAGGCGGCCATCCAAAGGTATCAAGCGGAACGGCTGTATTCTGTGAATAATGCTGCATGGAGGCACGGGTTAATACAATCGACAGGTGTAAACACGACGGAATAGGATAATGCACGGGACAGTTCCATCAGACAGTACTACTAGATATCTCTAATGTAGACAAAAGACATGCTGCCACTATAAAGCTCATGATGTACCACCATGCGATGATTCAAGGCCTATAATACGGACTTGCGATGCGGCGGACGAAGACGGGGAAGGAGGCTTTGATGAGCCACAGGCGGGTGTAGAAAGAGGACTAGAATCGCCAGTTGGGCGTGCAACAGGTGCGCTAGACGGTCGGTAATCTCTGATCTCTGCTGGAGGTCAGTCATGCAAACCCGGAAGCTCACGTACAAGGATTTGAGCAGGGTCCGCCGGAGAATTGTCTGCGTGAGAAGCATCAGCCAATCAGCGTGGACGAAGGCATCGTCAATCCAGAGACGGTGGAAGCCTAGACAGCGTGAAAGGAAGTTGTCGTCCGCTGCCGCGGTACGATGAAGAAGTCTCGGCAGATGTTGGCACCGTTTCGCAATCGTGTAGTTGGTAATGGGGGAATTCGGACTCGTCGGTTTGAAGGTGCCATTTGACCCTGTTTGGGGTCACCGCCCGTGGCGTGGTAAATATACGAGGATCGCAGATCCGGCCCATCCCATGTCCACATCGACCCCATGAAATGCATTCCCCCAATGCTGAGATTGGTTTGGGATTTTCCAGTCCGCAGTCGCGGCATCGAGGATTGCCTGAGCCTCCTTAGAGCCGAGTTAGGGTGCGTCGAACAACAAAGAGGAAGAATGCCCTCAGTTCCGTGGGTTAATCAGAAAGATACAGCAGCAGGCTGGGATGAGGGGCGTGTCTAAAGAGAGTTATGGAAGAAGAAGAGTCACGGTGTTGAAATTGAGGCAGTCATGACTCGTATTGATCAGGAAGGTGGGGGGGGCACGTGAACACGGAACGGGGCTAGCCCTACGAGGTCCTCTCTACAGCCCTCTACTTTCTACGTTCTCTTTTTCGTTCGTCCTTCATTTGATGGACCCGATAGAATAGAGCCGCGCCACGCTTGAAGCCGCCACTTTCGATCAACATCACACTGATGTTGGATGGAGGTCATTGGTCCGTCACAAGCTCCTGACAATGAAAACAGACTAACGAATTACCCTCCAGGAGGCGGTATTCTCGCACAAGCCGAAGATCCAAGCAAAGTCAAGCTGGGCGAGCGAATGATTATTATCGGTCTTTTCGTTCATATGAAATGAAGCATCCAACACCTCCTGTGGCAGTTGGCGCGGTAGCTTCCGAGGCACGGGACACGGGACATTCAGGTGCCTGGTTGGCTAGTAGGCGAGGATCGTGTCGTTATTGTTTCCGCATCTATAGCCTCAATATCATCACTTTACTTCGTTTCCCTAAAATAGCGCTCCCGCAAAAGATAGGTTGATAGGTTCTCCAAATCAAATGGCTTCCACGCATCAAGTTGAGCCTTATCAGTCAAACCATCAGAGTTGCGCATAACCTCCGTCACCATGACATTGATATACGCTAATCGACTGACTCACACCAGCTTTTTTTCTATCCTTTTTTCTATTCCCATACTATGATCATCCTTGATTTCTCTACACCACCAATCTCTCTACCTTGATATATCCATCTCTTACAATGATGTATCAACGTATTCAAGACCTGGTAACCGCTCTTTGCCATCCCAGGAATTTACGGAAGTCCTCCGGGACAAAAACCCTCATTCGTCTTCCTCCTGATATCTTTGAGATGATCTTGAAGCTTCTGCCTCTTCCATCCCAGGCTTGTCTGGTTTTAACATGCAGTAAACTCTACCGAAAATATAAGCCTATTACTCAAGATCATCGACTTCGATTTCCGCGGTTATTATCTAACCTCGATCCTACTATCAGTCCTGGCCAAGCTGAGGTTCCTCGCAACATCTTTCTCCGCCAACTCCAAAACAAAAATTGGACTTTCTGTGAGGCATGCCTTAAGCTCCACCCGTGGGATAAGATGTGGAATTCTCATCTATGCGATGCAAACGCCGGGATCGTCGACCTCTGTCCCTGCATCAACCTCACTCCTGGGGACAAGTCCAACTTGATCTGGTTTCTCATTGTGGACTTAATCCCTCCTGAACTCAGTTGCCTCTATTCCGTTGAGCAGGGTCAACGATTTGAGCTGGTGACCAACCGGGATCGACGCATCCCGCCGAGGATAGTCAACAGATTCACCAAGGCATTGGTACACCGCTGTACGGTACACCACCATCCAAATGCCTCGATGGATCTGCAACTCACGGTGTACCTGGCTAACAAAGATAACCGTCTGGTTCTCATGGCGGATACGGGCTATCATCTTACCTTGTACTCCCGGCCTCTCCTGATTTTGATGACGCCCTATTTTGCATGTCCCCATCGGAGTTTATTTTCTTGGGCGTATCATCAATACCAGCATGACAACAATTGCTTGGTCTGTGATGCGTGGTTTCGGGTGGATCGTATACCTCATTATGATGATAAGGAAAGGGATGTGCATGTTGTCAGGAGCTTGGGAGGAGTGAGTTACCCACTAGATATTGCGTGGCAGGAGCAATGTCGGCTTCGCGATCCTGTTTCTTATACAAGACTCTGGGTCAATGGTATTTGATTATGAGATTGGCTTGGGGGGTGTGTTTATTTTCCTTTCTTGCTTTCTTTCCTTGCTCCTTTATTGAAATTCGGTTACGGCTCGAGAATTATACAGCGGATATACTTCCTCCGCTCCTTCTCATTCATACGCACCTTCCATTGTAGATCGAGAGCCCATTGCATAGCATATCGTAGATTGTAACGGAACCCTTTCTTCTTCCCCCTTTTTTCCCCACCATAGTTAGCATTTTCTTTTTCATTTTAGATCTATAATTCCGGCCTTATATCCATATTGATCATGCTGTCGGTAAGCGACTCAATCATGCTCGCCGCCCTCGTCACCACTGGTCTCTACAACCTCGTGCAGACTGCCAGAACGCTGAACTTTCCGGCCCCGTTCTGGAGATGGAGAGACTGGGTAGTGAGGGTCCCCGGACAACCCCGGGGAGAGGGTAGGCAGCCCCTGCCGAAGCCCCAGGACTTGATAGAGAGGGTGGCCAGGGAAGAAGAGGGGCGCCTCCCTCTCCCCGGCCGGGGACCTCTCACGGGTGATGAGGGCGGCGAGCACTAAAAAAACAAAAAAAAAACGAAGAAACATTATTGAAAAAAAAAAAGGGCGGGCGGGTGGGATATTCAGCTAGAGGGTGGGTGGGTGGGCAACAAAAACGCAAAAAAAAAAAAAAAGAAAGAAAACACACCAAGGTGTATGTGTCGCTGCTGGGGAGGTCTGTCGGGAATGGAGTGCGGAAGGGGAGCGACGTTGGATGGGATTCTGTTTGTGCTGCGGAAGGGGTCTGAAATTGGATGGATTTCTGTGGTACTGCATGGGGAGAAGCCTTTGGGGCGCTGCCAATTGTCTCGTTGAGAAGCTTCAACAACGTGCTTGGACTTCTACGCACTGATGGTGGTGACTACCAAAGGTCAGGACAAACTGCACTTCTAACCTCACTCATTCTTCTCATACAGGTCGAACTTCAAGCTATCACCATCACCATGGCTGTTTTAATCCTCCCTCTTTGTCTCCGGACAGACCGAGCACATCCTCGAACCCCTCCAAACGGCCACAAGAGCATTGGATACTTCGGCATCGGGCCTGCTAGAGAGAACATTGCTGGCGGACGGCTCTACGAGACCTTACAATACAATCCTTGCTACATACTTGACACAGCAACTCGCAGTCCAAACGCCCGAGAAGCATCCTTAGGTCTCCAAGACAATCGTCAAGGACCAACGAGCCGGAGCATACTGGCAGTCAAAGCACACCAGAAGCATCCCTAGCTCTTCAAGACAATCGTTGGGAACCAACAAACCGGAGCACACTCGCAGCCAAAGCACACGAGAAGGCTACTGCTACTGGTTAAGAGAGGAGACATGGGCCAGGAACTGAGGACTAATGTATGAAGAACTGGATGGAGGAGATCAGGAATAGAGATGTTTGTATAGATAGTGAATCAACAAGGGACTGTAAAGAATTATATGAGTGTTTCATTAGGAAAGGGTCTGGATCTGTATATAGTTTTCTCAGCCAGTTCGAATAAAGGCCCCAAGGGCGTGCATTTAAATATATGGCAAGCATCATCATCATGTTTTTCTTCTTCATGATTGACGAGCTGAACGCTGCGCGGATCAGTCCCGTCGACCGACAGGCGGTGGGTTAGAATTATAATATCTTAAGCGATGTGAGTATCAAGGCGTGGTCTATGTGCATGGAGTGCAGAAGATCCCTACAATTGGAGTACCGGTATCTCTAGTCCCGGGTAAGTCCATGGGGACTTGAGTTGGTGTGAAGAGGTTACAACGGACGAAGCTTTGTTCTTGGAGCTGGACCACCGTTTTACAAGCCAGTGTTGTTTGTGCTTTTGATGAAAAGGACGACAATACTCAATAGTGATTGAAGGCCGGCTGCGCATAACAATAAGAGAGGGAAATACGGATGTTTCCCCAACGTTATAAACCACCCCCCCTGTCTGTCCCAAGCGATTCCCATATGCATTTAGCTCTACACCTGAGCTTCGCTGCGATGCTGTTCCAATTTGTTGTAGACCCGCTATCTTCATCTTTGGAGTGGGAAGCTTGCCATGCGAACTAGAACGGTAGGTTGGGTATGACAGGGCGCGTTTCCGATCTTGCTGGATGAACAACTGTCGGGAGGAGGCGATGGAAGCAACGGTACTATGTGCTAGAACAAAATTGTTCTGTTAGTATATGGTTAATGATAAGAGTATGTACCACCTCATGGCGGAATTCCAACACTGAACGTCTCAATCTTCAACAGGTGGAAGCTGCTCCATTCAAGCTTCTTAGTACCAACAAGCAGGGAATCATTGTAGAGCGATGGTGAGCAAGCTAAGCCAAGCCATGTGCCAGATCGTCGCTTTGGAGCAAGGGGGTATGACTGAGGGAGGACCCTGGGTGATCAATGGACAAGGTTCTCATTCAAACTGAACCCTGCGGAGTAGTTGCCAAGCGCCCCCAAGTCAAGTCAACCGTCTGGCTATCTGTGTAATGGCAATGATCCCATAGCTATCCATATCCATATGACTCGGGGATTAGGCAGGTGGAAATCAAGGTTCATTTGATTGTGGCTGAAAGATCAATTCAAAGATATCATCGTGACCTGTCAAGAATAGTGGACAAAGAAAGTAATACAAGATGTCTATTGAACAAAGTTGAACCTGGAAGACTCTAGGACCTCTCATAAAAAACTGTAACAGTGACACCGTGAACAAAATTGCTCCATGGACATTGATAAGCCTTAGGATAAACATGGAGGGTTTCCCCTCCGATCGTCACCGGACGGTTTGCTAAGACTAACTTCGAACTATGTCCTGGAGCCACAATAGCTTCCCTTATTTCGTAAATCCATGGCATTATAATCAATCGGTCCTGGGAATGTTAGTTCATGTTTATAATTCTTATATATGAGACTTACCTTGGTCGTGGGAAATCATCGTGAAAACAAGGCGCCGAACAGGAGAAGGCTTATCCCCTGGGATTTGAACCGAAATGTATGACTGCACCCACTCTGAGGTCATCTACAACACCTCCATTGGATCTTCTCTGCATGCGGTCAGAGGCAGTGCACCGCATTCATTAATTAAAAGGTGCTTCTCGGCGTCAAGAGTTCATCTTCCGGCCTCAATAATCCGGAGTAGGTCCGGGTACCAAGACTTCCCGGACTATCTCCGGATCCAGGCCGAGTCAGTATCCCATTCAAGCCCGACTTTGGAATTCCATTTGGGTTGCACAAGTATTTTAATGCTTCCTGCTCTTCCTCTTTCGAGTGCAAAGTCCAAGGCGGTCTTGCCACTATTATTGGCGATACTGGCCAAGGTGAGCTCGCGATCACTACTGAGTAGGAGTCGGATCATTCCTTCAGTTCGTTTTTCATTCGCATTCTGTACAGCAGTATGCAAAGCGGTGTCTCCAAATTTATTTCTGCCGTGGAGTAATCCGATATCAGAAGACTTGATAAGATCGACGACCCCCCAATTGAAATTCCCCGAACTGCTCTATGGAGAATAGTGTTTCCCTGACTATCGCTTGAGACAAGGCCCTGGCTTATCACAAGATCAAGGAATTCTGGCTCACACGTTTCTTCGGTAACCCAGCAAAGGGGGTCTTGGCCAAACTTATCAGCAATGCAGGCGTCGGCTTGTTGATTCAACAAATACTCGCAATTGTCCAGTTGATATGCCCGGACAGCCTCTAGTAAGGGTGTTCGTCCCTCGCCATTCACTGCATTTAGTATAGCCGGGTCCAATCTCAAAAGGCTGGACAATTCCATTGGCGTGCATGTCCGGGCAGCCACATGGAGTGCTGTTTCCCCCAAGTCGTTCTGGCAGCTCACATCAATATCGGGTGTACTCAGGAGACTCTCGACGACTTTCTTGTTGTTGCAGCTTAAAGCCATCATGAGAGGAGTATCGCCGTCATCATCTGATCGATTTACAACAGAGTGGCCTCCGTGTTCCAGTCGCCACATTATCAGCCTGGAGTCTGGGATTTTGGCTGCAATGTGCAATGAGGTGAACCCCGTAAAATTTGCGGGGAATCGGATTGCAGCTTGGTCTTGGGAGAGAAGTCGGACTTTCTCAAAAAGTTCATCACTCCCAGCCACGTTGTAGAGGACTACATTATGCAAGGCCCTTCTTAATAGACTTTCCCACTCGGTGTCCAGAGTACAAGCTGGAACCCCCTCAGCAAGCATACGCCTGACGAAACTGACATTGCAGCCCGCTCCGCAGACTTCATGCAACGGCATGGCCTTGAAAACCTTGTCAAGAGTGGTTAATAAATATTGACGATCATGCGCTAAGCACCAATCTAACAGAACAGAAAGCGCCCCCTCGTTGCGATGCAAGGCTGCGAGATGCAGCGCGGTTCTGCCGTCATTCATCATGGCCCCAACTCTGGCTCCATTCTCCAATAATCTTTTCACCAGCATATTTTGGCCATGCTCCGCGGCGAGACACAAGGGAGTCTTTGCCTCCCTGTCTGTTGCATCAATATCAGCACCCCTCTCTAGTAGCATATCTACTATGTCAGCATGGCCATGAACAATAGCACACGCCGAAGGGGTCATGGACGAATTCGTGCCCTTCCGTTCCATGTCAGCTCCTTTATCCAGCAACATTCTGACCACGCGTGTGTGACCGTTAGTTGCTGCAGCCCCGAGGGGTGTTTCGCCAGTGGGCACAACCGCATTGACATCTTCGATATCGTTGATTAATAATTGCACCAGTGGTTCGATACACATTGATGCTGCCCATCTCAGTGCGCATCCGGAGAACGTGGAAGGCAGATATCTCAGGTAAGATACCAAATTTTCGTAGTCCGATCTCAGCCTACTGGGAAAACATGCTAGTTCTTTCAGGGCTTTAAGGCCCTGCCATCTTAAGATCACTGCAGCGATATCTCCGTTGTACTTTTGGAGTTGTTTCACCAAAGCCTCCATAGCGTCGGTGGTGCAACACCCAGTGGTATCAACATTTTGCTTCTGCTTGTCAGCCAGCTAGTTCGTGATGTTTGGGAAAATTGCGTATAAATGCGAGACTTACCAGCATTGCCTCTAAGATGAAAGCACAATGTACCGGCACATTGATGATGTTCCGGAAGCGCCGAAAACATCTTCTCAGACGAGCGACATCGTCAAAGTCGTCCAAGGCTAGACATATCGAGAGAAATATCTCTGTGGGGAGATATGTTAGATTCGCCATCTCGGAATTATGTCTAAGATGAATGTGGGGGGAAAGAGGAAGGGCCACGACCAAAGCTTGTCAATCATCGTCGTTTAAATAGACCTCGTCGTGGGCATTATTTACATTGATATCTCCTACCCCCCAGTCATCTTCCGAAGAAGCTTTGTCAGATGTGCAAGTAATGAGTTGCACCATGGGTGTATACCAGTTGCATAGTTGGTGTATACCTAACTGCGATGACATCGTGGACAACTGGTCGTGAACTTGCCCACGGACTCTCTGCCACAGTTCACCAAAATCCCTATCTCATGGATAATGCAAGATCAGGTCCGCGTGCTATCGTGGTTTCGCGAAAGTGCATTGGTGACATCCGTGATTGCATGCATGTCACCCGCGAGGCTACGGTGGATTTCCGGCAACTGCCACAAAGTTTAATTTGGGGAGGGACGGCCAAGACAAAGCCATCAGCGAATTCTAGGGGGCTTTCAATGTTCGGCTGTGGTTTTCCTCTGATGGTTGTTGCTGACGTCATCTATCAAATGCCACCCTTTGTGCTTTCCACTATCACGTGACCCTTACTGGTTGAATGTTTTGACGGTCGACTGGAACTAGGCAACCTCAAATGGCAGATGGAACTTGTCCCTGACAAATACCACCCTTGCTGGATCTTTCCGAGACTAATGGGGACTACACTCCGACGTTGAATATTTTTTTCTGGGCCAATATGTCTTTCTGGCCGATGCGGGAAGGCCTGGCCATGGCTATACGCAGGGCTTTGCCGTGCCACGCGATCCATTCCAGAGACATTGCTTCGGTTTGTTGAGGATTCTAGTCTGCCAGAAAGTTTCAATGGTTGTTAGTAAATTCGACAATCATGGACGCGTTAATAATATGTGATTCGGTGGAAATAGACATATTTCAGTCGTCTATTCGTCGCTGAGTCCGCTCCCCTTGAACACCCAACAAAATAAGTCCTCCCTCCCGTCCTACACACGGATCAAGAATATATACAGAGTTAAGAAATTTCGGATAAAAAAGAAAAACATACAACAGAAGGGATTCGCTGGTGGTCACCCACCCAACTACTAACCTCCCGGCGTGTGGCTTAAGTACGGCTGAGCGGACGGGAAGCCCTGTTCTCCACACCCTATGGTCGTATGTGGTATTTTTATTCTTGGTTTGACTCATATAGTGTTCATGAGGGACAAGACTTTATATCGGCTGAAGAGGTATTCATTATCTGGAATCCTCATCATTCGCAGTGGCCACTCAATTAATAGTAGAGGACTTCACTGTATGCAGCCTTTCCATTATACATGTTAATCCTTCCTTGACGAAGAAATAGAAACATCCATGAAGCTCAAGCAATACAACTAACTCTCTCGCCGTGGAGATCCTCCAATGAATCCTGACCACCACTTAATACAGCACCTCCATAACAAATACACCAATACATCTGTCTCCACCCCCAAATACCTCCAAAATACCATCCAACCAATCAAGAACCCACAAAGCTCACATCAGGATACGCCACCGAAGGCCCACTCAACAAATCCGACATGCGCCCAGAAACCAAGTACCGCAGGGTAGCAGTAACATACGAAACAACCACATTCTTCGCCCGCAACGCGCCTATCGTCCCAATCCAATCAGCCTGAATAACCTCTTTCACAGCCTCTGAGATAGCCAGCGCATCAACCAGCACCGGAAAATCAGAAAAGGTATAATGTTTCGACTGCGCGAGTTGCAAGTGAAGTTTCCATCCCTGCGAATTAGCCAAAAATGTCCCCCAGCTTGGATCCGTGGTCTCGTTGTGGTCTGCATTAGCGAAAAGTAGGAACGGACTTGATAGTCCTTTATCCACGACAGATCCCCACAGTGAGCCGTCGAGGTTGATACCCCCGACAAAGCGATTGTCTAGTAGGATTGTCTGCGCGGCTGTTGCTCCGCCGAGGGAGTGGCCCATGATGGTTACTCGGTCTAGAGAGAGGAGATTTGGCGCTTTTCGTGACAAGGGGAATATGTCTCTGAGGACTGTTGCGTTGTGGGTTTGATTGAGCAGGAAGATCATGTCTTGGACACGGACGTTCATTGCGAAAGTGTATTGGGCGTTTGTGGTGGTGTTTTCGAGGATTCCGAGGACTGTGCGGCCATTGGGAAATTCCACGATGTTGGCGTCGTAGGGGTGGTCGACGGAGATGACGGCGAATCCGTTACTAGCGATGTCTTGAAGAAGTGAGGTGTACATCAATCTGGAGGTACCCAGAGCTGGGGAGAAAAGTACAACTGGGTGATTTGCTTGAAGGCTGGAGGGCTGCTGGGTCTGGGTCTGGATCCGAAAAGACTCGAATGTTCCTGGGGCTATTCCAAAGGACTGGAAGAAATTGTCTTCATACTGGGCGGTGGCATTCGGGATGTAGGATGTAGGGAGGACACTTCCGCAGTTGACGGGGGTGAAGGTGGTGATCATAATTGAACGTTTTCCTCCTTTTGGGTCGAACGGGTCGATTCGAGACTGGTCGACTAGTTCACTTGCCTGAAGCGTGACGTCGCATGGTCCGGTGCCCGAAGGAAGAGGCACAAATGCCGTCTGTCCAAGGCTGATGAGGAAAGGAATAACGGAGCAGAGAATGGCCCGGATCATTTTGGCGGCTTTCTGATGACTGGGTTCTATGAGATGGAAGTATCAGTGGGATCCAGGGCAAGCATCTTGTATTTATATTCGAGTAGTCCGAGGCAGTGGCTGATGACCCAGTTCGTCTATATTGAACATTTGAATGCCTGATCGGTGCTGTGGTTGATGGGCTGGTAATTTGATGATTCTTTGCCCGACAACAGGATCTTGACCTTGACGGGGGGCCTTACAGGAGACTAATCCTCACCATGATGTTTCACATTATCACTCGTGTCTTGCTATGTACTTGGAAGCCACATAGTAACAATGAAATACGAAAAAGAAGAAGTTTAGGGTGTGAAATATGTGTCTGGTAGTTACCGCTGGGTAAGTGACCGAAAGGAACGGTAATATAAACTTCCTGTTGATTCCGTAGGAAGCGGGAAGGCATTGAGGCATTTAAATGACCACTGAGATCTCCTACCTACAGCTTAGGGCCACGAAAGGATTGAGGAACGAAAAAACTAACAAACGCTGACACTTCCAATATGCGTTATTATTCAACAAGAAAGCACAAGGAATGCCGCGCTCAGATAAGATGCGCAAATTATTTGTTCTGCAGATGACCTCATTGCAAGTGGCCCGCCCCAAGCTGATCCGATTTATCCGCGCGCTACTCTTAATAGGCGGAGTAGCAGCACTATACCAACCAATGAGATTTAACATTTTTCTCCTCGGCCGTGACACAGCATGGAGATATCGGTCCCTGGCATCTAGCTTATTCTAAGATGAGAGTTGCCCAACTAGGATGATCCTATGGAAGCGGATAATCTGATAAGCGGCCCTACCTGGTAGGAGTCTTTCGCCCCAAAGAAGCACGTCATGTACATAGAATGTCGCTTGTCATTAAAGGCAAATATACAAAAAGGTCTTGTAGAATGAAGTCCTCACTCTTTTTTCCTAATTATAATGCGACTCTGTTTGTTTCTCCGAGCCAGACCAAACCTTTTACAACCGTGTCCTTTCAACCAATCCCCCTCAATCCGTGCCTTTGCGTCACTCTCACTAGGCACATCGGCTAGACCGTGACATTCACCGCCCCCAGCGTCTTATTCAGCCAGGCAAACATTGCTGTCGTCATTTCCTGTGTCGCCCCGGTTTGACAATGATATCCTGCAGTCCCATTAAACCGGTGCCGAGTTGCGTTATCACCTATTGCCTCGGCGACCTGTTGCGCCTGTCCGGGGAAGATATTTTCGAATTCAGCGTCACCGACAAATACTGGCATATTGATTCTGTCAGCAACATCTGCTAGTCGGTACTGCTTGGCCTGATTGAAAAATTCCGAAGGCGAGTGCGTGCGAAACACCCACAAGCCCTGGTCGAGACCCCAAGCCGTATTGGTGTCGAGCTTGCCGGCTTGGCGCAGCGAGAGAAGCTCTTCGTCGAACTCGCTATAGTTTCCTGCCTCGTACATACTCAAGAGGTCGGATGGTAACTCTGCCGAGTACCCGGCATAAACATCCCAAACACCATCGATTAGGACGGCAGCGGACAGTCGAGGCTCGAATGCTGCCGCGCGGGCAGCCAAATAACCACCGAAGGAATTTCCGACAAGCACCAGGCGGCGCTGGTCCACAACCTGGGACTTTTCAGAGAGCACGTAGTCCACAACGGGAATCACAACGTTTTCCCAATCCGGGATAAAGCCTAGGTTCTCCTCACGAAGCACGGTCGGTTGGCCTGGTCCTTCATAAGTAATGCAGTTCCACCCTCGCGCCAGGCCGGCAGCAACGAAGTAATGGTATGAGTCTTCTTGGGCTGCATCGAATCCGTTTCCGATAATCAAGGTAGGCCGTTGCTCGCTGTTGCTGCCCGTTACACTGTACCAGATGGCTTCGATCGTGAAGTTGCCTTTCTTGGCGGGAATGCGAACCCGCTGGCCAGGTACAGGTAGAGCAGCCATGGCCTTATCGAAGGCTGCAGTCTGTTCCGCCCACAGGGTGTTTATCAGTGGGTTGCTCCAGTTGCCATGTAAGAACATATCCGCACGACGGAAATACTGGGCAGCAGAGAACCACATATCTCTGACGTTGATTGGGTCGTATGCGTTTTCTGGGTCTTGCGCCATTGCCTTGGTATAATTGGCGAGTTGGTAAAACTGCTGACTGAACGAGTTCATGTCCCCGGCTTTGATGTTTTTGGCCGCACCGAGGACAGGGGCGATATCCGATCCTCCAGTTGGGGCATCACCGAGAGCAATGAGATATTGAAAGTTGAAGGCGGAGTCTGTGCCCAGCTCCAGGGTAGGGATGTCGCTGGTTGTGTTTGCGTCAGCTGCTGAAGAGCAGGATGAAAATGTTGCCAACAAGGCGTAGATACTAAGGGAGAGCCTCATATTGGAGGGTAAGAACGAAACAGATGATTTCTTTCGTGTCCGATGAGTGTATTCGCTGTTCTGGTTGAGTATGTATATGCCACGATCTGAAGCAACTTCCCGGGTTTATATATCTTGACTTACAACTCATTATGAATCAGTCTCCGGGTTAGGCATCCCATGTATGAATTTCACATCATCAAAATCAGTGCCAAGTAGACCGAAGAGAGGGTTCTTTTGCGACGGTGCCAAACCGTCCGGAGATCGATGATCTGGTGCCTTCCACGATGGTGATAATAATAACAAGCATATTAGGCACCATGGTAATCCCCGGATTGGCCGACAGCCACACTAAGCCTAATCAGATGCATCTTTTGCGATTCCTGGTGTCTATTGGTGTAGAGTGGATCCAAGGTGGGGTAGTCAGGATGCCCCGGATACCGGACACGCCGACTGCCGAAGCTCCGGCCATCACTAAGCGGTGGAGCTGACAACGCTGCCTGGACAAGATGACGCTTACAGTCCACCCATCGCAAATGCCAAAGACCTCTCTCTTTCCGCATTTTTGCCGCCAGTATGGTGAACCATGGGCGTTCAACAGGGTGTGTCACTTGCAGAGAACGACGTGTCAAGTGTGATGAGGCAAGACCGAAATGCCAGGCGTGTCAGCGTCTCCGGCTTGATTGTGGAGGCTACAAGACAAATCTCAAATTTAAAGACCAGAACCATAAGTTTCGCACCCAAAGCGTTATGGTCCGAGGCGCCACACAACAGGACCGGGCCTATAGCCTGCACCCGCTGAGTGAACCCGACACAGCCGTACCGTTCTATCTTCACCATTATGCCAGAATGGGGCGTGACATGAGCTCCGCGCGCGGGTTTTACGAGGTGCTCATTCCAATCTACTGCTCGCAGCGGCAGGATTCCGCACTTTCTCTGGCCGTGTCGGCTGTTGCGTCCCAAGTACTGTCGATTTGGCGACATGACAACTCTCCTCTGCCGCAGAAGGCTTACGCCCAGGCTGTCCAGTGTCTTCGGCGTACAATACAGGACCGCCGGGAATGGGGTAACGCAGCAACCATACTAGCGGTTTTATCACTGCAGCTATTTGAGAGTATCATTGCAATCTACGGCCTTCGCCCATCTACGCAGGTACACCATAACGGGGCAGTGTCTTTCCTTCCATTCATCGGTACAGGCGATAAGAACGAAAGCCCCAGTGCCTATGTTCGCCAATTTATTCTTCATATAGAAATATGCTCAGCAATACGTCAAGGAAGACGGTTGTCGAGTATCGGAGATGACAGCCTGTTTACCATACTAGATAACCCAAGTGCTGCACTTGATGCCATCGGAGTGTATGTTGCTAGGCTACAGGCCAGGTATTTGAATCTTGGACTACAGAGTGGTCGTGCTACGTTGGCATCGGAATCTTTGAGCGAATACATTGCCGAGACAAGAGACGTCGATCAACAGCTGCTTACTTGGGCACAATGCGTGCCCGACCACTGGCGTGCAGTGAGACTTGCAGATGGATGGAACATCGACTCATCAATTCCGGCTTATCAATCAACGTGTGAGATCTACCCTTCCTCCCAAATCGCAACCATCTGGAACTTGTGGCGCCTTCATCGACTTTTGATTGTCAAGATTAAACTCGGCTTGCTCGAGTGCGATGGTATGTCGAAGCCTGAGGAATTGGCCGAGCTTCAAGACATTCTGCAAGTGCTAGTCGATGGTGTGTGTTATAGTGTGCCCTTCTATCTTGGCAATCTAAGCAAGCCATTAAGCATTGCCGACTTTGCCGATCCCACAGTTGTGCTCCCAAGCTCATACTTACCGAGTCGCAACGGAAACTGGAACAAAGACCACCACCCTTTGGTGGTGGACGAGCACAGGCGCCACATCATCGCCCAAGGGCCATGGCACATTATGAGTCCACTCAGCCGGCTATTGACATTGTGTTTCGAAGAGCATGGTCCGAGAACCTTTTTAAGAGCGGGGCAGTACGAGTGGATCCGCGATCAGTTCCTGCGGGTTACAACACTGCTTCACATCCCTCCAGTGGAGGCTGGGGCTCATCACGGGCGCGGTTCCCGATCGAATTTTCCTGTCCCGAGATCCTCAGATACGATGGCCGAGAACTTGGCAACCGGAGTTCGGAAGGGTGCAATTTTTATGAGTGGACCATAGCATCTCTTTTCTAACTCAACTATGTTCTACGTGTTTCTAAGATTAGAATACTCACCTTTCCAGTTTACGAATGTGTTGTCATATACTACCTTTAAACTATCACCCAACCAGTGGCAAAGAGGCCGAAGAAAGTGCTGTTTTTGCGACGGTACCAAATGTCACCATTCGGATGATCAAGCGCTGGCATCATCGTATCCCCACACTAAACCGAATCGGGTGTAGATTTTGCGACTGGGGTTGTCTATTGGTGGAAGGCAAAAATAAGGTGGGGCGGCTGGTTAAAGGTATGCACCCATAGAACCTTATCTGCTTAACAGCATCAGATGAGATGCCGAGAAAGGGCCTTCTTTTTGCAGATGCCTAATCCATCTGCTGATATGTCATCACCAATCATGCTTAATATCCACTTGTTTGTGCTACTTTCTCTTCTTTGGTCTGTCACTTTTCCCTCAAGGCCTTTGACCATCTTCTTCTTTCCATATTTTGTCGTTGCTTACAAGCCATCTTTTAGGAGACAGGTCTATAAAATATCAAGTCTTCAGTATTGAGGTCAATTTCCATAATCATCTTCTCTCATGAGACACACATCATATTTGGCTGTCCTGGCAACGATCCTGGCACCTGCATCACTGTCAAGTGCCCTCCCACATGGCGACGATGATATGCACATGGGTGATGGAATGTCTCACGGTTATCAGTCCAGCGGTGATGATTCGCCAATGAGCTATTTTGCCTATGGGAAACACACAGGCACAATCGTCGCCCACATCGCCCTGATGATTCTAGGATGGTGCTTCATTCTTCCTATAGGTAAGCCCTTTACTGGCCTATTTTACCAGCAGCCAGGCTGATCTGGTCATGAATAGGTATTATGCTCAGTGTTGCCCGGTCGCGCTTTGCGCTGCCATCGCAATTTCTCTTCCTTATCATCAACTCGTTCGGAATGTTGCTTGGAATCATCTATAATAACCAAACTCCCGATCTTTACCCAAACAACGCTCATCATAAGATCGGTTGGATCGCATCGAGTGTAGCCTGTGCTCAGGTGGTCATGTTATTGATTTTTACCTACGCCGGAAGAGGCAATGCTGATGTCGCTGCATCTGAACGTGCGGCTTTCATTCCTGTGGCCACGGAGGAAACGGCCCACCAGCCGCATTCCTACCCGTTTCACAATTATTCAAGACATAGTATCCAGGGCGCAGAACGTGACTCCTCCATTCATAGTGGCCCTTCCTCGTCCACTTGCGTTTGGTCGACAGATTACGTCGACTTTGAAAAGCCAGAGGATGACTTGCATGATGAGAAGACTGCTGGTTCTTGCAGCTGGCTTCGCAACACGTTCGTTGACCGCTTCTTGGCGAGTCGGGTACCGGGAATGGTGTCCAGTCGTGTCTTGCGTGTTATCCACGTGGGGTACATGGTCATTGACAGAATCATCTTGCCTTTTGGCTTCATTGCCATTGCAACGGGTGGTGTGACGTATGGTGGGATCATGGTAGGTCCATATTATTCTTGGCCTGTCCCTTATGTACCCCACACAAAACATCGCGTACTGATACATATACTATTCTACAGAGAGGCATTGAAATATTCAACGGCCTTGCGCATTTCATCAAGGGTGGGATCTTCTTCTGGTACGGTCTGCTGACGCTAGGACGATGGATGGGCTGCTGGTCGGACCTGGGGTGGTCATGGAACGTGAAGCCCCCTGCGAAGATTGTTGGCAAGGCCAAAGCCAGAGTCCCTTCGGCTGAATTTGTCGAGTCGCTTGTGATCTTTCTGTATGGAGTCACGAATGTGTTCTTGGAACATCTGTCTGGCTGGGGTGGTGCATGGACGGCCCGGGATTTGGAGCATGTGTCTATCTCTATTTTATTCTTCGGTGGTGGATTGGTAAGACCAGTCTTCCTGCAGCTCCTTTGTACTTTCGATGCATTGCTAATCAGGTTTCTCCGATTAGTGCGGTATGCTCTTCGAGTCCAACCGAGTCAGAAACTGGATAAATACCACCGTCTTGCAGTATCCTGCCCGCGGACACGTCAATCCAGCCTGGAACATTCCCACGTCTCAAACCGTGTCCCTCAACCCAATGCCCGCCCTGGTAATTCTTCTACTAGGCACCATGATGGCATCTCATCATCAAGACTCGATGATTTCATCCATGGTCCATCAGCAATGGGGGAATCTCTTGAGTGGGTTTGCCATCGCTAGAATCTTGACCTATGTCATTCTTTTCTTGAAGCCCCCGACTTCATACCTACCGTCTCGTCCACCGACTGAGGTTCTCGCTTCTTTTTGTTTGGTGGGTGGTGGGCTTATTTTTATGATGAGCGTAAGATTATTGATGTGAATTTGGTATTGAATTGAATAGACCTTGCTGATTGTTGGATACAGACCCGGGATATTGTCGAAACTATGATCTACTACAAGACAGAAGCTATGTTTGTAATGACTGTGGGGATGGGGTTAACGGCATTTGTAATGGCTTGGGAGGTCCTTGTTATTGCCATTAAAGCGTGGGCCACGAGAAGGGAGATGGCGATGGGTCTGTAACTGGCTCAGTTTTAGTTTTTCATGTAGATCTACAGTGAGAACATTCTTACTTGACTAAACGCTGAAAAAGTACCAGCCTACGGAAAAAACTGCTGGATGATTTTCTGCGAGCCAATAAGTTTCTTTCAAAAGAGTTATATAGGCCTTAATCATTTGCTTGTGTGATTTCATATCCCTTTCTATTTGAGAGACTACCCTGTCGTTTGCTTTCTTCAAGAACTGTCAGTTCGAAATGATATATATCAACAGCATAAGATCCAGAAAAGGACATAAGAGCAGGCGATGGAGGGTAGTGTAACCATACCATACCAGACCATACCGCGATATATTACCGGCTCATGCGGTCCCGCCTCTCATCCGCTTTCTCCCTCATCTCTCATTTCCCTTCTCCATCACCATCACCATTTCCATTGGTATCAGCATCAACATCAGCATCCAGTTGCTCGGATGTAGATACCTGCCATTGCAAACTCAGGTCACGTGGATCCTACCATGCCACCTCGTCGCCGCAGCGCAGCCGCCTGTTTGTTTTGTCGAGAGAAAAAGGTGCCCCATCCCTCCCCGCGACCCGAACCCGGCCACTAACAAGTACAGCTACGATGTGACTCGGTTCAGCCCACGTGCGGGAATTGTTCCGCCAAGGGCCTGGCGTGCCAGAAAGGCATCCTCCAGCCCAAACAAAGGTCAAGCAAGATAGATCGTTCCGGACGACATAGCTGACTTTTCCGAGTCAAGGCCAACCAACTATCGCATTGCGCAGCTTGAACATGAAAACCAGGCACTCCGCGAGCAATGTGCCTCTTTGCGAAAGGACAGTCCGCAATCCCCGAACATCTCCCAAGTAACCCCTTCGACGCCCCTCGACGCCACGCATCCAGAGGGCCGCGATAGTGACCCTACCAACAAACCCCCACTATACCACGGCCCTACCAGTACGGCATATGATGACTCCATCGCGCTCTTGCCGCCGGAGGGTCCTGTGGCAGACGCGCATCTCGGGGAAGAGTGCGCCCGCCAGTCTCTCTTTGCCGCCGCTGCCAGACAGCGTGAGTCTATCGACAAGAACCCCATGCGCCGAGACTCGAGTTAATGTTCGCAGGGCAGCTCGAACGACTCAATCTGGCCGCCGGCCGATTAGACTTTGACGGAGTGAACCCCACACTTGGGATGCATCTACTATCCATCTACTGGAGTCGACAACTGTACACGGCCCAGATCATCTATCGCCCTGCATTCATGCGCGACATGGCCTGTGGGGGACCCTACTTCTCCCGGTTGCTCCTTAATGCTATTCTGTTCGTCGTCTCCAAGCACTATCCCCGGCCTGAACTTTGCTCCGACCCGGGCGACATCACGACGGCCGGCTGGCGGTTTCGGCAGCGGTTCACCGAGCTTTTGCGACTGAAATTTGATCAGAGCGAAATTACAACCCTACAGGCCCTGCTTATCATGTCAAATGCGCTCTTCTCACGTTGCGACGAACGGAGTCGATCATGGCTCTACGCGGGAAATTCCCTGAACATGCTCATCGACCTTGGCCTGCATGTCCTGCCATCCGACCTAACCCGCATGACCGCTGAGGAGCTCGAGATCCGAAAACGCGTCCTCTGGGGTGCCTATCGTGAGTGTGATCCACCCCAGTCGTCCATGCGAGAGGGCAGTGCAAGAACTAAGCTTGGCGAAAGTGATTGATAAAATCCAATGCCTGTTTCAAGGGCGTCATCCACTGCTTCGTCAGGTCGACTTCAACACCCCGCTGTGCTTCTGGGATGAATATGACGAGCTGGAAGAATTCCAATGTATCACCTACGCCCCAGCCGGGTCTCGTCCCGGGCTTCCCTCGCGCAACGTCACGCTCCTCACCAAACTGTGCAAGTTGGCCTTGATAATTGAGCGGATTGTGGGCGAATTGTATTCCGTGTCGATGCGCGACCGGGCGGGTAGCCCCAACCCCTTGGTGACCGAGAAGATCAACGCGGACCTCGCACAATGGCGCAGGGGTCTGCCCCTGACTGTCGACTATCTCTCCGCTCCAAGCCCTCTTCAAACCCCCTTGCCTCAGTCATGCTGCCTGTTGTATGCTATGGCCTGTCTGTTTAAAACCCACCCGAACACAGCTAACGAAACGTGTCTTACCCAGGGCTCTCTACAATGTGTTGATCATTCTCTCCAATCCACCACTTGTATCCGACAGGAATGGCGGACTAAGTCGTTCCCGGCCGGCCCATGAGGGCGTGGCCGCTTGCACGGGCGCCGCAAACCAAATTGCGCAGATCCTGCGAGACTATTGCCAATACTACTCCATAGCTAGTGCTCCATATATGCTATCGTATGCGACCTATATCAGCGCCACCATCCATGCTCACATCGCTGCCCAGAAAGGGCCGGATTCCAGTGCCTTCCAGTCTTTGACATTTTGTCGACGAATCCTGATCGAGCATAACCGGCTGTACGCAGCCGCTGGGAAAGCGCAAACAAACTTGGATAAACTGCTTGAGCGGCTCCAAGTTGTGATTGCCGACGAGGATCTGCCTAATGTAGCCACTAACAGCAACCCTCTCGTACCTGAGGGTGTGTTCCGGAGAGACGGCGATACAAGGACCGCCATGGAGGTAGTGGATTCCATGGAGCCAACTTTGGGACTGGCGGAGTTGCCAGGCCTGGACCTCTCGGACCTCGACCTTGAGGCAATAGCAGAGGGGTTGTTTGTGGACGGGGATCTACACGGCTGGATGCAGTCGTTGTCCGGGGTCTGTCAGTAGATGCTCTGTTGTGGTAGGGAATTCCCTCAATCGGGCCCGTACCGTCGATGTGTCATGTTCACAGCGATTAGGAGCGAGTCGTAACCTCTCTAGCCGAGAGGCGTGCCAGGCTGTTGCCGGGGAGTAACCACCAGCCCCCGAGTGAACCCATTTCCTGTGTGAGGACCGCCTTCACCCGGTTAATTTGTGCGTGTTGATGCAGAAGGATGATTGCGGTTGGCATAGAGTTACAAGTGATCCTAGGGAAGAGGTGATAGTTAAAAGAGGACCAGGGAAATGAATGGAGTATCGATGCAAGGCATGGTTGTCCGGGCCATTTCCTTCCGACCGGATTCTCATGTTCCGAGAGCCATCTCAACCGATTGGCGCATCCACAGCCATTCCCCATTGCCTTTGGCTTCCGTATTGACGGTCATCATCTGCTCGAGATAACCTTTCTTCGATATCCCAATCGGATGATTTCAATCCAACGGCCTTTGCCGGGGATGGCGGTTGCCGGCTCGAGTGCGGTTCCCATGGTTGTTTCGACGCCATATAAAAGGACCAACACCCTCTGGACCGGTTTCTGTCTTCTAGTCCTCACAACCACTAGCGCAATTCAAAATCATCGCTATACAAAATATGCCGTGTGGCTCTTCCGAAGCGTGCCAGGGCTGCTCCTGTGCGCCAACCGAGGGCCAATCATCATCGATCAACATTGAAGATTGCCTAAAAGAGCTCGAGCTGCTGCGCAAGCGCAACTGTGAGTTAGAAGAAACGCTTAAGGTCCAAACCGAATCCAAGCCCAAGGTCTCTATTAGTGCCCCCGGCCGACCGCTACGCTCATCCAAATGGTTCAACTGCCGCGATGATCCCGGCATGACGGCCATCTACATGGAGCGCTATTTCAACTTCGGCATCACCCGCGAGGAGCTCATGGCTGGCAAACCCATCATCGGTATCGCCCAATCAGGGTCGGATCTGGCACCTTGTAATCGACACCATCTGGAACTGGCTAAGCGGGTTCGAGAAGGCATTCGGACAGCCGGGGGAATTGCTATCGAGTTTCCGACTCATCCCATTCAAGAGACGTCCCGCCGTCCGACTGCGACGCTAGATCGGAACCTGGCGTACCTATCGCTGGTGGAGATCCTGACAGGATATTTTCTGGACGGAGTGGTACTGCTCACGGGATGTGATAAGACGACGCCTGCCTGTCTGATGGCCGCGGCGACAGTAGTAGGCAGCATCCATGGTTTCATTCTAACGGACATTTCTGACAGGCCACAGAACATTCCAGCCATATGCATGAACGTGGGGCCCATGTTAAATGGATATTCTCGGAACAAGCTCACGGGATCAGGGTCCGTATTGTGGAAGGGACGGGAGATGTATGCATCGGGCGAGATCGACGACAAGGAGTTCATGGATTACATCGCGCGAGGGTATGTATCTAGATCCCAGGAAAGTCTAGCACTGAGGCTAAGGTTGCAGGACCCCATCGGTCGGGCACTGTAACACCATGGGCACCGCGTCGACGATGAATGCCCTGGCAGAGGCGTTGGGGATGGCACTCCCCGGGTCGGCAGCGATCCCTGCAGCATACCGGGAGAGGGCGCAGTGTGCCTACGAGACGGGCTGTCGGATTGTAGAAATGGTGCAGGCTGATCGAAAGCCCAGCGACCTGATGACCCGCGAGGCGTTTGAGAATGCCATTGTCGTCAATGCCGCGATTGGTGGCAGCACGAATGCCCCAATTCATATCAATGCCATCGCCCAACACATTGGCGTCGGAGTGAATATGGATGACTGGGACCAGATCGGGTCCGAAGTTCCGCTGCTCTTGAACATGCAGCCGTCTGGTGAGTATTTAGGAGAGGAATATCATCGGGCTGGAGGTCTCCCCGCAATCCTAGCCGAACTGCTCGACGCAGGAAAGCTCCATCCGAATGCCATGACGTGCAACGGTCAGACCTTGGCTGAGAACATCCGGGGGAAGCACTCATGGGACCGACGAGTCATCCGCCCCTACCGAGATCCTCTGATGGACCACGCCGGCTTTATTCATCTCTCTGGTACGCTCTTTGACTCGGCTATCATGAAGGTCTGCGCGATCTCGCCGGCCTTCCGTCAGCGATACCTCTCCGACCCCCAAGACCCCGAGGCTTTTGAGGGCCCAGTTGCCGTATTTGACGGACCGGAAGATTACCACCGGCGACTGGAGCACATGGACCAGATTCATGAGCGGACCATCCTGGTCATGCGCGGCGTCGGGCCACGCGGGTACCCGGGAGCTGCGGAAGTTGTAAACATGCACCCCCCCAGTCGGCTGCTGAAGCAGGGAATCGACGCGTTGTTCTGCATTGGAGATGGACGACAATCCGGGACATCGGGCTGTCCCTCGATTCTCAACGCGAGTCCGGAGGCCGCCGTGGGAGGGAATTTGGCTATTCTGCAGGACGGAGATCACCTTCGCATCGACCTCCGCAAACGCCGAGTCGACATGCTACTAAGCCCGGAGGAGATTCTCCGTCGTCGACAGGACCTGGATGACAAAGGAGGCTTCCAGATCGTGCCCAGCGGAACCCCGTGGCAAGAGATTTACCGACAGGAGACGGACCAGCTGGGGAACGGTATGGTGCTGCGTAAGGCTGTCAAGTACCAGCGATTGGCACAGCAGGCAGAGGGACCTCGACATAATCATTAACCGTATTCATGGACCTATCTTCTCCATACTACACCTATCCTAATTTACCCCCCGATCCACGTAGGCCGATAAACACGTACTCGGGTGGGCCCCGGAAAGTCATTACCCGGCTGTCTCCGCCGTCTCCTCGGTCCGAGCGCAGCAACGCGGGGATGTTTATCTGCCGTGCCCTGCCTCCCTCTTCTCCACACCCCCAACAACCACCACCATCACCATCACCATCATCACAATGACCAAGCGCATCATCGTAACCGGCGGCTCCGGCACCGCCGGCCAACACATAATCACCTACCTCCTCTCCCAAGGCCACGACATCCTAAACATCGACCTAGCACCCCTCCCAAACCCCGCTCTAGCCTCCCAAGTCCACACCCTCCGCGCGGACCTCACCTCCAGTGGCCAAACCTACAACGCGCTCACCTCACACTTCCACCTCACCGAACCCTTCCGCGAACCCCTCCACCAACTCCCCGACGCGGTGATCCACCTCGCCGGCCACGCCCGCAACATGATCGTCCCAGACAACGAAACCTTCCGCGTCAACGCCCTATCCATGTACAACATCATCGAAGCCAGCTGCCGACTAGGAATCAAAAAGCTCATTCTCGCCAGCTCCATCACCGTCTACGGGGTCAGTTTCGCTGAAGGCGATATCGATTTCCCTTCCTTTCCCGTCACCGAAGAAGTAGATGCGAACCCCATGGATACGTACGCTATTTCTAAGCTATGCGGGGAGCGTATAGCGAGGGGCTTTGCTCGACGGTTTGGTGCGGATATCTATGTTCTTCGTCTGGGGAGGGTCATTGAACCGCATGAGTACATGGGTCCCATGTTTCGGTCTTATGTTCGGGAGCCGGAGAAGTGGCGCGTGCATGGCTGGTCGTATATTGATGTTAGGGATCTAGGGCAGATTTGTCATTTGGCGGTGGGGAAGGATGGGTTGGGGTTTCAGATCTTTAATGTCGTTAATGATACTATTACGAATGAGGAGGAGACGGGGGTGTTTTTGAGGAGGGTTTGTCCCGATACTCCTGTGACGAGGGAGATGGGGGTTAGGGAGGCCCCGATTTGTAATTTGAAGGTTAGGAGGTTGTTGGGGTTTAGGGAGGGGTTTGATTGGAGGATGTTTTATGAGGAGTAGGGGATGCCTTTTTCTTGCGTTACCTATAGCTCCCCTTGCGAGAATACGTTCTTCTCGGACCATGATGGAGGATATAGATAGCCGCTGAACATCTCGGGGGTTGGCGGGGGGGGGGGGGGATATTGACTAACACCTCATTCTGATAGATTGTCCTTTCTTCAGGCATAGCCACACATGTAATGAAAGTATGACGCTTGAACCTGTTGCCGAATTCATTTGTATATAGTTGTACTATGATGGACTATAAATTGAGTCAGTTTAATGGATATATGTTATTTACTGGGACTGGTACGGGCTTTTGGGCGCCTTATCCTATTGAGTACTAGTACGTTGAATGATTAGGTCAAACGAATCATATTTTATTTATGACTGTAGTATGTCAGTTATAAAGGACCTCGGCTGATAAAAGTAGCCAATTTCTAGAATACTATATTCCGGAAGAGTGAAAACCATGCTAAACCTTCTGGGTCTACAATTAATTCCCATGTGGGAAACAGCATATACGAGTTCCAACCATTCATTAACTATCTATCCAAGATTAATTATTAACATAATTTCCCAACTAGACCAAAAGAGATACCTCTTAGGTTAGTGGAACAATTCCAAGGTGAATAGTTCCAACAATAATTACATAGACCACAGTTATTATATATACCTCTCACACGAGCCCCCCACCCCCTTCCCCATGATGATAAGATCTATCTCCAAATCATCTAAACGGCATCCCCGGCCCCAAACACCCATCAGCGCGTTCAAAATACCAATGATGTGCATCGACATCCAATAAATTCGGCAGACCCAAAACCCCGTATTCCCCTTCGGATCATCCCCATCCCGATAAACCACCACCTCACTCGTCGAAACCGACGCATTCCCCTTGGCCGTGATATGAATCTCCGGACTAACATGCGCATACCCCATCAATTGCAGCGGAAGATTCGGCACGGGATCATCCGTATGTGTAAACCGATAATTGCCCCCCAGGTTCTGATCCGTGATATACTTGGCTAATGTCGGGTTTGCTACGCGCGGCGAGGCATACGCGTAGAGATTCGCCTTGTGACCATCGTGTCGGAGGTCCGCGGCTGCGAGAGTGGCGATTGCGGCGCCGAGACTGTGCCCGACGACTACGAGCTCGTATTCGGGGTATTTGGCGAGTGTGGGGACGAGGATTGAGGTGATGTTGTCGCGGACGTTGGTCCAGGAACTCCAGAAGCCGAGCTCGGCTTGGCAGCCGGTGCAGAGTTTGGGGTCCGTGTAGAGGAAGGTTGCGTCTGCGATCCAGTTGCGGATGGAGTAGGAGCCCCGGAAGGAGAGGATGATGGCTTGGTTGGTGGTGTCGAGGGCGAGGAAGCCGGATGTGTCGGTGGAGGTGGTGCTAGATGCAGTTATTAGGGGACTGGGGTGGGATGATTGGGGAAGGGGGGCGGGGGGGAGTACTTGGAGAAGTCGAAGAGGATGGTTGCGTCGGCGGCTTCGACTTGCGGGCAGTTCCCGGCCCAGCAGGTTAGCTTGTGCCCGGATTTGGAGACATAGTTGGGTTCGCAGTAGGCAGCGGCGGCGTATTGGACCCAGAAGCTGTAGCTGTCTAGTTGTTGGGTGGTGATGTCTGGGGTGGGTTAGTAGGGGGGAAGTGGTATGGGGATGGGCGGGGTACCTCGTGTCTGGAGGGATGGGAGGGCATTGCAGGATGCAATGGCAGATATGGCCACCAGCATGGACTTGAGAAGATACATTCTGGTGGAGGGCAGATGCTCAATTGAATCATGATGGGGGGAGCTGGGATACTTATTAGAGATCTGGTGGGCATTGGACAGAGCTAAGATGGGCCTAATCATACCAAGAAATACTCTAGTGATCTTCTCAATTTCCAATTGGCCAACTCAAGAATGGACTCGAATACTGCCGAGGCTCGGTGAGATCGCCTCCCCCTTGGTGGGGATCAGATGAAACCATGCCGCGTCGGAGTGTTGACCAAGTGTTCACTAGTTCTTCGATTTAGATCGGTCGATCCCCCGTAAACCATGGATTGGGAAAGTCAGGGGTAGCGGGTCTGTTGAAGACCCCTAAGATTAGGACTCGGTTCATGCACAAAGTTTAAAATGTGGAGATGGTTCATGCGGTTCCTGAATCCACAACCCCAGCAATGGCATCATACAATCCAAATTCAGGCACCGGCCACGTGTATTTCGCTCTGACAACCCGTCACAGGAACTTACGGTTGGTAGAGTTCCAACGTCCGTTGATGTAAGCGGACATTGAACGATGTGCGGATTGGACTCATTGAACAGCTGGACAGCGGTCCCACTCGTTGCTAGGGTGAAACGGTAGGCCGAAAATGTGGCCATCAAGGTTGGCCAGCAGGATAATGCACTTCGGATTTCCACGATATGCATGAAACTGTGCATGCCCTCGTCGTTTTGTCGGTAGTGACTCGAATATATATGCAGTGGTGAGGAGTCCGATTGCCCGTATGTTTCCGCTTTGCCCTAAGTCGATGTGATCAGCCGGCAGTCAGCAGAGCGACAGACCTCGGCACGATTTATGCCACCCTTCGCTCGGAGGATTAAACAACTGTTTTTGTGCAGAGATCTGATATGCACTAGACAGCGATGGATGTATGTATTGATCTGTGTCTTCAGATATGTCAGTGACGCTGCAGGTCACCGACCTTGCGCACCACTCTGGAGGAACATGTAGTCAGCCAGGTAAATGTAAGGAAGGCCCTATATTTCTATCATGGTGTCTTTTCTGGGAACATTTAACTGACACATGCTAGTCCAATGAAAATTCAGGGCCTCGGAGCCAGATCATCAAATCTTCAAACAATAGGTTGCTAGCTACTCTTACTAACAGTCTTCTGAAGACGCGTCTCTAGGGAAAGTGAGAGGTGTAATAATCCGTTAGATATTCTCAGGTGGAAGGTTCAGTTTGGCAGATGACATCGAGGAAACTGCATGCCGTGCCCCTTCTAAGTAAGAGAGCTCACTAACAGAAATAATCGATTACTGCCCACGATGCAACGCAGGGTCTCAAGAGCATAGTTAAGCCAGCCTGATATCACTCCCTTATACTATCATCTCCCATATCCCCGAGAAGAGCGCACAATCCCGAATCAAACCACCATCTCACCCCTCACTATTTCCCACCACTCGAAGCAGTCACATCCCCACCACCGCCCCAACCCCCTCCTCTTCTTCCTCCTCCTCCTCCTCCTCATCACAAAGACACTGATCCCCCTTAAGCTCATATTCCAAAACCTCAGCCGGAATCTGCTCATATGTCCCACCCTCATCAAAGACCTCCTCCAGCTTATCGGTAATATCCTTGGGAACTCCATCTCGATTAATCGGGAACCGATGCCCATCAATCGAAATCAAGTCCGGTAGTACAGTAGGCATCGGCGGAGCCGGTTTTCCAACTAAAGTCTTCGCTATTTCGTCCATCTTTTGTAGAGTAAGCTGAGCGCGCGCGGGCTGTTTATCTCGGCCGGAAGAGGACATGTTCGGGATGAAGGAGTGGAGGATGCGAGCTAAAATCTCATCGGTGATGCTTGTTTTCAGTGGGTAGGTGCAGAGGCACTAGTCGCCTTTTATAAGGCTGAGTGGCGGGGAGTCCGCGTCATCTGCGTGCGTGGTCGAGATAAGCACGGGGGGTGGTGCCAATGGGAGAACGCATGATGCTGACCGATTATATTGGGCGTTGCAGTTGGATTCTGGTAGGGTAGGATGGTCGAAACCGGTGATTTGTTAGTTGAGCACTAAAGTGATGTGTAAGCGGAAGGCTTGAGGCCCGGGCTATTAGGGTCGGTAGGGATGGGAATAGGCAACAGTTATCTCTGCCATGCGGCTGTGATCATGTATTAGCTCCTCTCACGGAGTCCGACGGATTGGTAAATAGGAATAGGAGATAGACGTGTAAGGAGTCATTTTGAACTGGAAAATGCTAGCCAGGAACAAGTCTATAAGAGTCGCCGTTCGGCGCCCCTTTCATGATCATAACCATCAATCAAAGCCATCAATCAAAGCCATCAATCAAAGCCATCAATCAAAGCCATCATTCAAAGCCATCAATCAAACCATTCTCTGATAATCACTCACTCACCTCTTATCCAAAATGCATATTTTTGACTCCATCCCCTGGTCAACCCTCCTACCCTCCATCCTGATGCTTTCGACCACCGTCGAAGGAGTCGCTATCCGACACCACAAGAAACATAGTTGCAGCGGCAACATCTTCGTGCAATGCTCTAGCATTGCATCCTACACTTGCTGCGGCTCCTCAAGAGCCCTGGAGTCCACCCGTTTCCTTGGGCTCGGAGATACCTACTTGGGGTCCGTCTGCACCAAGAAGAAATCCGCCGACTGTGGCACTGTTGTGAAGTCTTCGACAGGAAGCAGACTGTGCTTGAGTCATAAGAATATCAAGGGAGCGTTCTGGCTGGATTGTACTCGGTGTTCGAAACGTGGGGTTGTCATTGATGGTGATGACGACTCGGATTCTACGAGTGACTATGCCGACTTTAATGTCACGGATGTGGTGGAGCCTGATCTTATTGGGTTCAATGGATATACTTTCCATATTAACTACAATGTTCCTCAGAATGTTACTGATGCATTTGAGGCGCTCGCTGAGGAAGATGCTTCTGTGGAGGAGTTTCCAGATTATTTGTGGGATTATTATGCTGGTATGGTGGATGATGAGGAGTAATCTGTTGTAGCACTGGGGATAGGAATAGGGGGGAGGCAATGTTGGAATCATGTGTTGCTACATCGTGTATATTGATTGTACCCAGTAATTCTATTAGTTGGATGGTCATAGAATACTCGCCTGCGCGAGGATAAAGAAATGTTGAGCGTCTGATGAGTGAGAGCCATCGAATCACTTTATTGTGTATTTTAAAACATACTTCACAGATCTTTTCTTACTACTAAAGCAAATATACGAAGAAAAGCGATTATTTATCAAGAGTATTCTTTGAGGTTTCCTACGCCCTGGAACGATGGTCGTCTTTAAACGCCTTCACAACTTCGGCACCTCCTCGCTGCCCGGACCGAACAGCCCCTTCCATATATCCAGGCCACACCAAGGAAGTTTCGGTTCCGACGAAGTGGACTCTCCCGAATGGCTCAGCTAGGCTGTTCCCAGCTGAGACCATTCCACCAGGCCTCATGACTGGACAAGGGGCCCCCAGGAAGAAAGGCTGTTTGCTCCACTCCATCTCCAGAACATTTGCCGGCTCGGGGATACTCTCCACAAATTCAGCAAAGCACTGACAAAATGCCTTCCAGACCTGGGCTTGCCGATCTGGTTTAGACAGCTTCGACCATGTCTGCCCGCGGCTTCCGACAATAAAGCAAGTGATAGACCACTGGTCATCCGCGGGAATACTAGTGTCCCGAGTGAAGGTAATTGGGCCATTCGCACAGTTTAGGATACCAGTAAATCCAGCATTACGCCACCATGGCTCTGAGAAGACGAAAATCATCTTGCTGTAGTATCCCATCACGGTGTCGCGACTAAGAGTGTGCTTTGCCTCTGGTAGTGGTGGACTGAAAGAGATGCTCCGGTACAAGGTAGTGGGCACAGACACGATGACTCGTCGGCAGTGGAAAGTAGGACGACCGAGAGTCTGAACCACACAGATACCATCAGAGCGAGATTGGTCGATTGAAGTGACCGGTGTGTCTAAGAAGAGAGCCTCTGGGTCAAGCTCCTTCGCCATGTTCAGAGAAATAGTTTGAGTGCCTATATGATTAGCCAAGCGCATCGTGATAAATGTATCCGACAATTGTCATCTTACCTTGCCTTGTCCGCAAGTATTGTCCACCATCTTTCCCGTCCGAAAGCATATTGTCAACCCCACAACCGCACTTGAAGTAATACAGCATATACAAAGCACTGAGTTCGTTGCTGTCCACTCCAAGAAGCGCCGCAGAGATTGCGTCTGCAAAATCCGCCGCATGCTGAGATCCTGTCCGACTAATGCAGAAGTCCCGGAATGTCTGTCTGTCAATCCTTTCGGCTTCAGCGGAGCTGGCAGGACTATGTAGATCGATGTGCGAGGATTCCTCTCGAAAAATCTCGATAAGTTGCTGTGGAAGACCTGTCTAATAAAAGAACCGAGTTATTAGTCCCGGCTACTAGTGAAGGTTGAAGGGAGGGTCACCTACTGGGGTCTGGCCATAAGGTATCTTGCGAGCCACGCCGTCTGTCAATAGGAGGATGTCATCTCCACGAGTATACTGGATCTCGCCCTCCAGGTTATATCGCTGGTGGAGTTTGAAGATCTCGTTCTGATTGGTGTCGTTGATCCAGGCCCCTCCCAGATCATTCACTCCATTCTCACAGGACTGTACCGACAATGTCTTTCCGCCCACTCGATTGGTAGCTTCTAAGACACATACACTGAACCCTGCGGCCCGAATTGAATGAGCAGCTTGGAGACCACTGAGCCCGGCACCCACCACCACCACATCGTAGACCTTTGTAGCTTCGAAGGCGGTCATTTTAATATGTCGAGGATGGAAAGGTGGCAGATGAAGTATCTTGAGTCCTGACATCAGATCACTGGCAGCCAAGCTATTTATAACCGGTTTGTGGAGGTGCGGTGGGGCCATTCAAAACAACCGGAGTGGCTGGGTGCTTATCGCCCCTTATCAACCCCGCAGCCATACTTACCATCTCGACCACCAGGTGAGAAAAACCTCAACTTCAGAATAGTTCATATAGTGACTTTAACATATACAAAAGATCGACTTCTATATCGATAATTATGGCAAAATATATTGATGCCAACAAGAGTTTATCCAGGGGAAAAAAGGGGGGGGGGGGAGAAAGGAAAAGAAGCACGCGGTACTGTCCAGAGAGCGGAACAGATGGTAAACCAAGAGCAGCAAGTCTATATATGAGTACAATAAGAGATTGAACTGTTGGGGAATTGTAGCCCAACCATGCCATCTTAGGTCTTGGAAAGACCCAAGGCAATTTATCGCAGCCAGCGATAGATACCTACCGACAATCTTCATTGCTTTGTCGAGCCCCGGGAAGTCAATTTGGACAACCGGCGGAAAACAGAAGCTGTGGAGCCGCTTCGGACTCGCACAAACCAATACAAGAACAATGCAGCAAACACGTTAAAAGCAATGTAGGCCCACATAAGACCGAAGTTGCGCCAACGTTCGCTATATGAGGCAGACAGCTCCTCGAGATACACGTTCGAGTTGGTCATCTCGCAGTATTCACAGTTAGCAGTAGCCTGGGGGTTATAGACTGCACCTCCAGCGATTTGCATGTATGAGGCAAGATAACTGGCGCAAGTCTCGTTGCTCGGAGGTTGAATGACAATGAGCTCCAAATCCGAGCACTCAACCTCGGCATTCCCTAATCCAGTAGAAAGCATGCCGCTGACGAGATACGTCATAGGCGACACTCGGTACATGAAGATCCAGAACCCCGGGAGGCTTGCCGGACTGGCCATAACACTGTGCAGAAGTTAGAAGGCGACTCATGATTCATGGAATATATGACCTAACTTACCCGCAGAAGATGAGACTCATCGAGAAGAGCAACAGAGCGAGGGTGGCCCCAACTTCAGCTGTTGCCACACCCGCGACAACCATTATGGTGAATGTGCCACAATGCATCATGAAAGACCAAATAAGTAGAAACATGAGACCGCTTCTTTCGGTCACTGCATGAGTCTCCTCGGCATTGCGGTACATCCCGATGATGTAGTAGAAAGGAAGGTATATCAACACAGCCGCAAGAGAATTCCAGGGAATGTCGACTATGATGTTGGCCATCATGAACGCAGACCAGGCATATGTTTTAGCTGGCCGCTCGCGAACCTCATATAGATCACGCTGTTTGATAAAATTGGGCATGGTCTGATAGGCGAGAAATGCGAAAATGACGAGCAACATGAAAATGGCAAATGTTTGGTGCTGGAGCCCAAGGACGGTTACCTTTGTATTCAAGAATGAAAGACCAATAAATAGGGCCTGTATGGCTAGTTAGAAGAGAATTTTGGAGTCAGTGGTTGAGGCTCTTTGCATGAACTTACCGCTCCAAAGCACAGTATCAGCTTAGCATAGATGTATGAAGGAGAGCGCCAATACTGTTCAAAGACACGCTTCGTACACAGCCACAGTTGGATGTGAAACGGAGCCGCGTATTGCTGCGATGAGCCAGTGCCTTGGTCGGGTCCCGGAGATCCAGGCCTCTCCAGCCGTTCCAGCTCCTTCCGAGTTGCTCGAAATTCAGGACTGTCTTTCCACGTTGCAGGCCAGTCACATACTGGTGCACTCCCCGGGGCAGCACCGATGACCTCCAACATCCATTCAGCAGGATTCTCCTCTTTTGCGCAAGGCCGAGCGCCGTGCCTTTCGAAATAGCCGGTCAGGGTCTCCGAGTTCTCCCCGATGGGTCCAAAATAGACTGTACGACCGCCTTTAGCCAGCAGGAGTAGCCGATCGAATTGCTGGAAGAGGATTGCCGACGGCTGATGGATTGTACACAGAATGGCCTGTCCATGGTCGGACAGCTTGCGCAGAAGCAAGGAGATAGACCACGCTGTCTGACTGTCCAAACCCGATGTTGGTTCGTCGAGAAATAGTAGCAAATCTGGCTTCGCAGCAAGTTCAACACCAATAGTCAACCGCTTCCGTTGTTCCACATTGAGACCCTCTCCAGGAATGCCAACCACGGCCTCAGCATACGGTCGCATTTCCAATAGATCAATGACCTCCTCGACGTATTGTAGCTTTTCCGCCTTGCTTACCGAGGCCGGCTGTCTTAGGAGAGCGCTGAACCTAAGTGCTTCTCGGATTGTGCTTGTCTCCAAATGCACGTCTTGCTGCTGGACATAACCCACCCTCCGCTGAAAAGAAGGGTCCCGTGGACTGCCATTAACACAGACAGTACCTGAGACAACGCCGACTTTGACCCTGCTTGCTAAAAGGTCCAAGAGTGTGGTTTTCCCAGCGCCTGAAGACCCCTATTAAAATGATGTAGTTAGAATCGACGCCATTAATTTGAAAGTGGGCATACTTACCATCAATGCGGTAAGAGTGCCAGGGGTCACCCATCCATCGATATTATCGGCAATCCGTCGCATTTGTCCCTTAATAGGCACATCGTAGCATACATCTCTCCAATGTAACGTGTTAGATTCGAACTGAAAGTTGATGGTCTTTTCTGAGCCCCCTTTCAGATCCATGGAATGTTGATTCATCTTTTCAGCGCTGCATTCCTCATCAGCCGTATGATTTCTGCTGTCGAGAGCCACCTTGTGCCTGCGCTGGAATACCAATACTTCGCCCTTGGAATAGTTGAACACGAGAAACTCGGCAATTATAAGGTACGTCGTCATGAAAAAGATAACGAAGGCGATAAGGATACCCAGATTCCTGTCATCATGCATCAGCAAACCACCACTCCTCCGAGACTGCATTTAGACAAACCTCCAGGTATGGGAGTAGTAATAGCCATAGTTCGCCTCAACGTACGCATCTCCACTCACCAGGCTCGAGACGGCGGAAGCGCCTGCCACAGAGCAAGTTCTTTCTGTACTGGAGATATTCTCATACCCTGGACCGGATGGGACGAAGCTAGCACACTCGAATTCGCGATGATGAAACTCGTTTGCAACCAACGTTTCGTACGAGTATGCGATCGGGTTTATGTAGTTGAGCCAACGCAACCACACCTGCATATTGCGAGTAGGCAACACGAACCCCGTATAGACCACCAGGCCAATAACACCCAGTGCGATAGGGGTGAGAGCCTGTGCGATTGTACGCGTCAATTGCGCAATGGTGCGGAAAATCATCGACATGGTCAAGGTCGACAGGAATGCGAACAGCAGGTATATTACCACATGGCCGGATTCACGTCGCAGATTAGACATGTAGTACAGCGGCAGATTGAATGACAGCGTAGAAAGAACCTTGCATGGGAGGTCACATATCATGGACGCCACTGCTTCCGACATCGGATGGTAGAAGGCGTAAGATGCGTGCTTTTCGACTATGGGTCGTTGGGCGTACAACGCTAATATCTAATTCAGTGTCAGCATAGTCATAGAAATCCAATGGGGAACGCCTACTTCTAAAGCACTGTTCAGTGCGTTGAAGAGCAAGGCAAAAAATAGAAGAGTACATCGATCGGTAAAGCTGGCACTTGAGTCCGAGAGATGGTAGAAAACGCTGCCCAGAATGAGGGAGAGAATAAAATTGCCAAGAACAGTAACAATCAAAAAGGACGTATCCCCAAGGATCCTGCGATAGCCCCGTTGGATACACAAGGCAATTTGTTGCGGGACGGAGATCGTGTAGGGTGAGTTGGCGGTCCTGCAATTTATCAGTATTATCACTCTGCATCGCCAAGTAAAACGGCTTACATCAATGAAGATTGTTCGGCGTCTCTAGAGAGTTCGAACTTCTCCAACATAGACCCTCCCAGCGGATGCTCGTTTTCGAAGAGAGATATTTCCTTTAAAAGTTCACTCCTCAATCGGCTCTCCTTCCAGCACTTTGCAAACTCGTCCGGGGTACGAGGTACACGAGACTCAAAACCCGGTCGGATCACCCTCTCGACGGGGTTGGTGAGGGATGTGAGAAAGTCTGCTGTAGTTTGTCGTTCGGGACATTGGTAGCCCAGTTCAGTAAAGAATGATTTCGCTTGATCGACAGGGCCAAAGTAAATTTGTCGGCCCTCGTATAGCAATGCTACCTTATCAAAGACCTGTAGATGGCATATTGGTCAGCAACAGCGAAAAGGAAGGAGAGTGGATAACGAACATCATACGCCTGTTGTGACGCCTGGTATAGAGCTAGAGCCGCCGCAGTCCCAGCCATGTTGACGGAGAGTCTCACTGTGCGCACAAACTCCAATGCTGTAGCGCTATCGAGACCACGAGTGCTATTATCCCAGCACTGTATACAGCTTTGGGTGAGAGCTAATTCAGCAATGCTGACTCGCTTTCTCTCGCCGCCACTCACCCCGCGAATAAAGTCATCCCCCACCTTTGTGTTAACCGTATGGGAGATTCCAAACACGGCCATGACCACGTCACGCAGATGAGTTGCGTAGGTTTCACGAGAGACTCCCGGCAGTCGGTTGCGGGGAGTTTTAGCTAGGGCCGCATATAAAAGGGTCTGCCCGACTGTCAGATGAGGGAAGTGTACGTCCGTTTCCGCTTGGTAGGTTGCATCGCCGCGAAATTTCCGGTGCATTATGTCCCAAGGGATACCTAGTTGAATGGAGAAGAAATGGGGCGGATCATCAGTTTGGGTTGCTGCGCCGGTTCATCTGGTAGTTCCCACCTTGATAATTGAATTCTGTCGAATCATCCAAGGACAACCCTTTGGTTTGGCCAGCAATTGTCTTCAACAATGTGGACACTCCACTAATCAGATTTCGCACCAGTTAGTAAGAATGGTGAAATCGAGAAATCCGTCTCTTACCTGCCAGGCCTTCCCAGGACAAGGAGCATTTCTCCGCTGCGCAAGAGCCCGTCATGATCCTTCAAGATCTGAAGCTTGCGGTCACCTCGGTTGATCAAACCACCCACCAGATCGGTCACTTGCAGGACTGCATTCAAAAAATCTTTTTGATAGGCGGTTGAACGGCCATACCCGTGCACGCTGAGATTCCGGAATGAGACGCCTGCCGTACGCTGTGGAAACCTGTGAGGGTCTTGCGCAGTCAATTGGAGAACCGCTTTTGCCCAATGTCTAGCGTTGAATTTTGAGGAATTGGGATCTAGACTCGGATCGTCGCAGTTGAGGAAAGGATTTGGTGGATCGTGCCATCTCGTTGAGTCTGCCGTGAGACGTCTTGCTAGATTCATGATCTCACGCTGATCTTCAACTGATATGTCTGGCGAATCTACTTTCCCCCTAATGCTGCCTGGCTTACCGCCAGAACTGACCGACTCAGCAATAGTGGCGTCTTCCATCGTATCAAACATTGAAATGATTCCACCCAAGTAAAGATACCAAAGTATGAAAACTATTTCATTGTATGGCAGATTAACGGTCGAGCCCTGGCGTGACGAGCAACCTCTTTTTCACTGATGGCAAGGAGAGCGATGATGTAGTCTGATAGAAATTCCATCTTGGTTTTTTGGGGGTCCTACCACCCCTCTGCATTGTGATGATTTCCGACACCATTGGTGTAGCTTGTTCGGCGCCGAAGGCAGTGGGGAAGAGAGCTGCCTCGGCGCCGGAAGCACGGTCGCGTCGGAACCATCGGCGACGAAGGAATCCTGTCCTGCCCCACGGACCTTTCTTCTTTCCCTTTCTCTCTTTTCATAGCTTGTCAGCACCGTTGAAGGAGAAATTATGTCGGCAGAGACCCAGGGCTCCGAGCCGCTCCACAAAGCATGCGACGCGTGCAGGGCCAGGAAAACACGATGCAGTGAGTCGATCGAGTCGATTCGATCATCGGAAGGAAGCCAGGCGGGCGTGACTAATCTCTGACTAACTTTCCTCTGCGTGCGCCAGAATTATCAGGCAGTACGGATGCCTGCGACTTCTGCCTGGTATGTCAGGCCTCCACGTCTGCACTCGAAATGATGTTGATGATATTCATGATAATGGCGCCAGTCCCAGTCTCGTCCCTGTTCCTTCACTCCCGTCAAGCGACCCAGAAAACGCAAATACGACTCATCAGGCATAACCAATTCTAACTCCCACCGGATGTGCCGGGACTAATCTCTCCCCCTAGTCTTGACCCCCCTGACCCCGGTATACCAGACCATCCGTGAGCTTCCGGGACCGCAACCAGGCTCCGAACATGCTGCCTATCATCCCACTCAGCCGTCAACCCTGTATATCGACTCTTTGCTTGCCAATCGCCAAGCCTCTCGTCGACACGGAGGTGCCAGCCATCCAGACCAGGTATTGTCTTCTCCAGCTGCCCGCCGCACCCTTGAAACTAACAATGGACATGCAGCTGACCACGATCTTTGGTCCTAATCCAAACATCTCATTCTTCCCTGCGAAAAGAGTTCGAGCTATCAGCGATAGATTAGGTCATAGCCGGCTCGATCAGCTGCTGGACGAAATCCGCGCGGTGGTTGCAACCAAGGTCAAGAACACTTGTGCCATCCCCCAAACATATTCCCAGCGGCATCGGGATGCAGGACGAAATAATGACCTCCCTAGTACAGACATCATTGCGGGACACATTGCCGGTATTCACAAGTTCTCCATGTCCCATCTCCCACATGCTAATGATCCGGTGCTCTGTTATGCAGCGTACTTTGATACTGTGCATCCGATTTATCCATTCCTTTGTCCAGACACGTTCCGTGAGAGGACCTTAGGGCACAACCTCACTCAGTCGCTCATTGCGGATAAAAGCTGGGCAGCGCTGTTTTACGCCATCGTGGCCATTGGCTGTCAGAATAACGATGGGGGAAGCTTTGAGGCTGGCGTAGGAGAAGCCTGGTCGTATTTCGAGCGGTCATTGTCATACTTTCAAGAGCTTCTCTTTGGCAGAGGCTCGTTAACTGCAGTCCAAGTGTGTTATTTGCCTTCCACCATTTAGTAATGCAAGCTAATCTAATATCAGGCACTGATGGCTATGGTACGTACACGTTGTCAATCAGAAGGAACACAACTAAATCTTTGTGCAGGCAATCTTCTCATCAACTGTCTCGGCCTTCCAGTTCGAACCCTTGATGTTATCGGAGGCGGCTATTATGGCGCAGGGATTAGGGTATCATCGCTCAAACAGTCCGCAGGAGGGTCCCTGCCGTCGCACGTTCTGGGTCCTCTATTTCATGGAGAAGACTTCCTGCTTTGCGACTGGCAAGACTTCGGTGTGATAATCCATTCTCGCACCTCCTTTACCTTTATACTAACATCCCATGTGCCAGGTTCTGGAAGATGCCAATATAAGCTGTGCCATTCCTGATGTGCCAGAGTCCACCTTTCACGACTATGACTGGTTCTTCAACTTTGTCAAATACGCCCGTCTTGTCTCCAAGATTCGCCAGTCGCTCTTCACAATCAGCTCCGTGAGTCAACCACTATCCAGCTATAACTCCGTGGTAGAGAGCCTACGCATGGAACTAGAAACCTGGCGCTTGACCGCTCCGCCCCGATTCCGACCAGGTGAAACACTAAAGACTCGCCTGCTACGAGAGACTCTCGCGGTCCAAGTTGCATTGATTACCCATTTTCTCTATCTCAACGCCCTGCTTACACTATCATGGACTGTTCTACATCACGGTGCTGTCCGCCTGGGTACCACACAACAGGAGGTTATGAAGCGAGAATTGATGCGAACTGCCAGAAGCGTACTAGAACTGACGGTTTTCATTGAGGTCGCGCCCTCTACTCCGGTCTGGTAAGTCTCTACGCCATGCTCCTACTTCCATTTGCCATCGTATTAATTACGTCTAACGCTGGCCAAACAAATGACCATTCCAGGATCCTCGCCGTCCTCCCCCTTTCATCACTAATGATCCTCTTCGACCTCGTTGTCCACAACGCCAACCACCCCGAGACCGGTCTCAGCTTGGCCCTTCTCGACATAGCCGGTGGCCACTTCAGCAGACTAGAGTACGCCAGCAATGGGGCTCTACCGGGGTCTTTAGTCGCCGAATTCGCACATCTCGCCCGACAGTACGTATCCGAAACTCGCAAATCCAAGTCCAGGGACTGTAGCGAGGCCGGTCCGCCTCAAGCTCCTGTTGAAGCATCCCCGTCTGTGCCCCAAGCAATGCGACCTACAACGACGACAGCAGCAACCACCACTAGCCAACTGCAAAACGCCGTGTCGGCATTGCCCCAGGGACCCGTTAATGATCTTCCCATTGACATGCAGCCGTGGAGTCCGGCATCGCTGGATCGGAATGAATCCCTGTTCCTTCCTTATATTGATGATCCGAGTTATTATTTTGGGGACTTACAGTTGCTGGGAATAGATGTGAGGGATCTTTTTGATCATCCGTATCAACTTCCGGGGAGTGATCAGTAGATGAATACCTCGTTGGACAACGAATACATCTAACTGAGTATATATTTGAATCCCCGCTTCTGCTGTCACCGTGTTTCTCTCTCTCGGTATCTAGTTGCCGGCGCAAACCCCGATCTTTGGTAGAAAGGACTCTCTGTCAAAGATTGCGGTGATAAATGACATTGTCTTTTGGTGAAAAGGTTATATTACATAGTCTAGATTATGAAAACGGGCTATCGCATTCTCCATTCTTCCCAGAGGTAACCGCCAAATCTATTCCACGATCACTTCAGCCAGCCCTGCGACCCGCCCCATGTCCCCTTAACCATCGAATTGTAATATACCCACGGGAAAAAGTATTTCTTCATATAATAAAACGCCCTCCGCGGAACCGCCTGATCAATACCCAGCATTGCAAAGGTCTCTTTAGGTACTCCACCATACTTAAACTCCGCCAAAAGAACCTTACCATACTGTGTGACGAGCGGACACGAGGTATACCCATCATACCTGCGGCTGGGATCACGACCATCCATCACTCGCAAGAGATTCTGCACCAGCACCGGCGCCTGTGCAGCAACCGCAGCCATGGTCTTCGATGTCGGGAGACTGGACGCATCACCCGCCGACCAAACATTCGCATACCTCGTATGACGCATTGTAGACTCATCCACGTCCACAAATCCCGCTCCATTCGCAAGCGCACTGTCCTTGACAAAAGAATACGGACCCATCTTCGGAACCACGTGCAACAGATCATAGTGCTTTCTCACTAATTGTTGTCCGTTGGGTTGAGCGAAGACTGCTGTATTTCCGTCGATTTCCACCAGATCGTGCTGGAATAATCCCTCCACGTTGTTCTTCTGTCGTAGCTTTTCCAGTGTGACGCTGTATTTGGGTATACCGAACATGGCAGGCAAGGCTGTAGCAAAGCTGATCTGGATGTCTGACTGAGACTGGTCGACATTATACAGCCCCTTTCTCTTCCAGTGATCCAACGCAAGCCACATAGCTTTCTGCGGGGCCCCGGCACATTTAACCACGCCCGTTGGCTGCGTGAACAACGCAGTCCCCTTACGGAGTTGTTGGATTGTGCGAAACACCTTGTCGCATGTATCGTAGCCGTATATAGACGAGACTAATGAATCTGACGCGGCCAACGCCTCAGGTAGGCCTTTGATCTTGTCATACTGGATTTGGATCCCGGGTACCACGACCAGCTGCTCGTAGGTTACTCGATCTCCGTTGCTCAGAGTGACGGTGTTGTCCTCCGGGGAGAAGGTGCGGACTCCATCGTTATAGAATTTCAGATCGGGGTGGACCAGATCGTGCATCGGTCGTCGTAGCTCCTCTTTGGTCTTTAGACCCCCGCCGACTAATGTCCATCCGGGCTGGTAGTGGTGCCAGGTTGCTGGGTCGACCACGGCGATGTCTTGAGGTGTGAATCGGCCTGAGCGAAGAAGCTGGTGGCTGATGGAGAGTCCGGCTGTGCCGCCGCCTATTACTACCACTTTGTGGTTTTGTCCGGAGGTTACTGGGGCGATGGTGGCGAAGGTTTGGGGTTTCGGGACTGGGTGCGGGTGCGGGTGCGGGCGCAGGGCAGCTGAGGCTGCTTTTTGTATACTGGTGCGGAACATGGGCGGAATGAAGGAAGAGGAAGTAGTTGGTGTCGGGGATGTAGGAATTGTTGGGTTGTAGGGTAGGTATATGGAGGAGTAGGGTTGGCTTTATAAGCGGTGGTGGTGGGATCCGAATCGCCGACTCACGGGATGCCCTAGCTAGATCAATCTCCACAGCTGTGATGCCAGGGATTCTCGAACAAGGACTTGATTTGTTTACTTTACACTAAAATACACTAATGTATACTATTATTAGAATTAGAGATTGGCATCCCGCTATCTGTTCCGTCCAGAGGGTAGGGATTAACTCGCGGCTAGATCCAAATCACACCACTTTAGCCTATCACCACAGCTAGTAAGGGTACCTTATTCGCTCCTTAACATACAACTCGATCTCTATCCTGCCTAACCTGAACACACAATATTTCCATATGACTCATACCCTCCATCTTACGACCATTTCCAGCCGAATATTCCTCGGTGGGTCAGACGCCGACTCACGACCTTCTTCGGCCGAGAGAATATGAAGTAATCGCCGAACCAACATCATCCCCAATACACAAATCCTCACCACTCTACACTTATCAAACCGCTACCAACCAATCCTTTCCATCATGCCATACCCTCCAACCTCTCACCCCCGATGCCTCTCCCTCCTCCCGCCCTCCAAACCCCTTCACCAAAGAAACCCCCCGCCAATGCATCCGCATCCCCCACTCCCTCCACGACAACATCCGCGAAGACATCCTCCTCGAATCCCAACTCCTCCTCCTCTCCTTCGCAATCGGTATCCAAGATGCCGCCGCCTGGCCTACCTACGGCTGCTTCGCCTCCAACCAAACCGGCAACATGCTATTCCTGGCCCTCGGTGGCGCCGGCCTCGCAACCACAGCTGACTACAACTTTCGAAACCTAGGCATGAGTCTGGGTGCCTTCATAGCGGGTGCTCTCGTCATGGGCCAGATCGGCAATTACGTCGGAGTCCGTCAGCGATGGTGGCTGCTCCTTTCCAGCTTCGTTCAGTCAGGGTTGGTATTTTCGGCTGCGGGGGTGAGTGAGCGGGCGAATGCCCTGGTCACGTTGTTCATGTTGGCGTTTGCGTCTGGGGCGCAGGTGGCGATGGGTCGTGCATTAAAGATCACGGATATTACGACTGCTATGGCAACGGCGGCGTATGTGGATGTTGTTATTGATCCGGGGTTACTGAAGGGGAGGAATCGGGGGAGGAATCGGAGGGTGTTGTTTCTTGGGCTGTTGATGGCGGGGTGTTTTGTAGGTGCGGTTTTGGTGAAGGTGGTGGGGGAGAGGGGGACGTTGGTTGTTAGTGGGGGGTGTAAGATTGTGGTGATGGTGGGGTTTTTGTTTAGTAGGAGGGTGGATATGGATTGTTAGATTGGGGGGGTTTGTAGGTGACTAGGGCTCGGTTTGTTGTATGTTGATATCGGGTGTGATTGATCTTTCCCCGGGCGGGTTGTAACTTGATATAAGATAGAGGGATTGAGAGGAGACTGGCTGTATTATAATTCTTTTTTCTGTCATATTATTAATTCTATTGGGTGTTTAGTCTATGTATTGTACTGTGCTCATTCTAATTCATCAGTTGATTTTCGAGTGGGGACGCCATCCTCTCATCAATTGATTAATCGGCGAGGTAGCTGGAAACTCGGTGACCCGTACGTATCCCCCCCCCGTCTGAGGCCCTGTCTATTTTTATCTCTTTTGGTGCAACACCTTATCATAATAAACTAGCATTTAATTATTAATAATACATTCCAACCATACCACAAAGGGGACTGACAGAATATATTTATCAAGTGGAAAGAGGCTAAAGGGGGAAAACAGGAACTCGAGCGGGTCAACGCGCCAGAGAGTCATTGCAAGGTGCTCGCAGGCATTCAAGAAGAGCCTTATCCGGGCCAAGAAGATCTGTAATTTCCAACACAACCCTCATTGGAACTAGTATGGTCGCTTTCAAATCGCGTGGGTTCAGGGGATCTGGTGTTCCAACACCGTGTTGGATGGACTATTTAATTAAGGAACTTCAACACAGGCAACATATGATGAAGAGCTTTACCGCACCTATTCATTTCCTTTGATAACAATCATACGGAGTAATAATGCGACATGGTCACTTCATTCTTCCTCCTACGATATCTGTGAGCAATAATCCAATCGACGACGGGAATTCGGCAACCGCAACTGCTACAGATGGAGCCTCATTCGACATTTGCTCAAGGGAAATTATGAGGCTATGGCACCAAATCGATAGCTTCATGCATCCAGGGCCACTACTAATACCATTAGTCTCGCCGATATAGTGGGGCCCCGGCCATCCTCCGCTGCCATCCATCCGATCATCCGGTTCACAGACGGGGTGGAGTTATAAATGGCCATTTTCCAGATTTACTCTGTTATATCTGTATCGCAGGAATTCAAAATGGACTCCACCGGGCATAGTAACGGATTAAAAAGGGTCCCGGAGTGGGAAGATGATCCCGCCAACGCGCAGAACTGGAGTGTGCGGAAGAAGATCTACAACACGGCGGTGCCGTCCATCCTGTGTCTTCTCATGTAAGTGTGCAATCATCACGAGAAGTGGAACATCCAGCTAAACCCAGCTATTTTGTATTCTCACAGATCATTCGCACTTGCTATCTACTCCCCCTCTCACAGCCATGTTCAAACCGCCTTCCACACCTCCACCACCAAGTCTCTTCTCCCGTTCACAATGTACGTCTACGGACTGGCGTTCGGGCCCATGATCGCCGCTCCCATCAGCGAGACCTATGGTAGGCGCCTTATCTACCTCGTGATGACCCCCCTGGCCATGTTGTTCATTCTCGGAGCCGGGTTCAGCCAAAACCTGGCCAGTCTCGCAGTATGCCGCCTGCTGGCGGGCATGTTCATCTCCGCTCCCCTGGCCGTCGGGGCAGGCACAATCATGGACATGTGGAGTGGACCAGCAACCGGTGGCGGCGTGACCATCCTCATGACCATTGCCTTTATGGGGCCAGCTTTCGGATCGTTGGTCGGTGGCTGGGTGGCCGAGTACAAGGGCTGGCGCTGGTCGCAGTGGACGACGCTGTTCCTGGGAGCCGCCTGTTGGGTCTTCAGCCTGGGTGCACAGGAGACATATTCTCGCCCGATCCTCCGCCGTCGTGCTGCTAAATTAGGGCTGCCTGTCCCTCCCAGTCCAATCCCGCGTGGCCTGGCCGGCATCCGGATGATGCTCACAGTCACTTTAGCACGGCCGGTCTATATGCTTCTGACCGAGCCCATTGTGGCTTTGTGCTCACTTTACTCATCGCTCAACTTTTCCGTTCTCTTCTGTTTCCTCGCTTGTGTACCCCTCGTCTATACAGACATCTACGACTTCACCCCGGGTCAATGTGGCCTGGTCTTTATCTCGCTGGCCCTTGGGTGCGTCCTCGGCTGCCTCGGACTCCTCATGACAGACCAGTATACCATGTCTTTGCACCGACGACGCCACCCTGAAGGGAACACCCCTCCGCCACCCGAGCAAGTCTTGTGGGCAGCCATGCTGGCCAGCCCGGTCATGCCAGCCGCATTATTCTGGTTTGCGTGGACATCGACTTGCCATGTCCACTGGATGAGCAGCATAGTCGCCATCGGGTTTTTTGGCTGTTCTAATATAATGATTTTTGTGTGTGACCTGCCCTGAATGTTCTTCTGTCACATTCGGCTAATCGTGAATTGACACAGGTGTCGACCGTACTTTACTTGACGCGAGTTTACGGAGCCACATCTGGCGCTTCTGCATTGGCCGCCAATGGTCTGCTGCGATATAGTATCGGTGGCTCGTTCCCTCTTTTTACTTTGGCTAGTATGTTCCCTCCTTTTTCCCAAGATCCTTCATCGAGCTTAACTGTCTTTAGTGTACCACAATCTGGGTTATAGCTGGGCTTCCAGCTTACTGGGGTTCTTGGCCGTGGCCTTTGCGCCCCTGCCATGGCTCTTCTTTCGTTGGGGAAGTCGTGTTCGAGAGAATAGTGCGTATACCTCGTGAGTGATGCTCAGTACTAAATTCATATCTTTGGGGGGAAAGAATGGGCTTGTGCAGTATATAGTACCATGTTCGTATGTGATGTGATGTGAAATATAAATATCGTTCTCTGAGTTGTCCTTGGGGCTGAATTAATCCCCGCTTATTGCATAACGCACCGTTCAAGGTCCCTTCTATCATATCATGTCGGCCATTACACAACAAACCACCGCGTAGAAGATCCATGACGCAAAAAGCCCTCGAGTACCTCTCGAAGGTTTTCTTAGGGCGGCCCCACTGAGACGGCGAAGTGCCCCACTATATCGCCGACTTGCGGGTCAATCCGGAGTACGGAGGGGACAATCGGAAAAGCATCAAAGTGGTACCATCGACAGGTAGGTCACTGCTGACTGGATGTGGGCAAGAAAGGCCGTAATGATCTGCAGGATGACCATAAGTTGGAAGTTGAGGTGTAAGAGACGAAATATGAGACATAAAACAATAAAGTGTAATGAGTAGGGTAAATGGGTAGTACCGGGAAATCAATGTTCCGAACCACAAGTATTCCCCGTGGCTTCTACTCTTCCCTCTTCCACCCACTACATCCTCCCATCATGGAACTCACTACCACCGTCGCCTGCCTCAATTGCCGAGAAAGACATCTCAAGTGCGACGGCAATTCTGCAGGATGTGCTCGCTGCCAGTCTCTGGGTCTTTCCTGCCGCTTTGTCGCCTCTCGTAGAGGGCGCAAGACACGCCCAGCCATACTGGCTCGATCCATTCTGCCAGTTGGCTCATCTTCACCCCAATTTAGTCTCTCCGCAGCAGGAGCTTCAGCCCCAAGACCAGGATCCTCAACAGTCTGGGTTCTTTACGGACCGGGATCGTGGCCGCCAGTGGATCTCGCTTTACTACCTACACTTTCACCCGGCACACCCCTTTCTCCCCCCAATGGAAGTCCTGCTGGAGTCTGGCCCTCCCTCGTACCTGCTGGACATCATGGAATTTATCAGTCTACATTATCTGTCCCCTCAGATTATTCACGACACCAGCGAGATCCTCCAGAAGGTACAGGCAGCGGACCTCACTGTCGAAAAAGCGCAGGCTTTTCTCCTCCTGGCGATCACGCAGCATGGGCGACAGCAAGCCCACGAAGCCCGATCTTGTTTAGGCCAGGCCCTGCAAAGTGCGTTGGAGCTGGGCCTTGACTGTCGCGAGGCCTCTGACATGGTCAGTGTGGATGCCTCAGTTCGGGCCGAGAGTCTTCGACGCACCTGGTGGGAGATCGTGGTGGTCGATGTGCTACTCGCAGCAGTACAGGTGGACGGGTATTTAGAGTATGAAATGACCGCGACCCCCAATGTACCTCTTCCCTGCGGACTAGAAGAGTATGAACTAGGCTGTACCATGATTCCCCTCCCTACCCTTGCCGACATGGAGCAAAACAGTCTCTTCTGCGGTGATGTCGAGTTCTCCCCTTGCGCTTATAGAATTGAGGCTGCTATGCTACTGCGGAAATGTATGCGCGCGGGCCAGACGCATGCCACCCAGGAAACACTCGACGTGCTCAGCGCCGCCATCACTGCCTGGTTTCATCGACTACCCTCCAGTCGACGCTCCATTCTCCAGCCGAGCGGCATGCTGGACGAGATGATGATGCAGGCCGTGATGCTGATGCACTGCGCCACCATCTACCTGCACTTTTCTCGCTCGTGTCTTCTACTGTATCTTCCCGTCACCAGTCGCATCCTTTGTTCATCGCCGCCCTGCTTCATCGCCACCTCGGTCGACCCTCAACTGCACACGGCAAAGGTGGCGGAGGGCGCCGCACAACTGTCCCGGCTGGCGTCTTTGTCGACCTCAGTCGTCAACCGTAGTCCTTTCTTTGCCTGCACGCTTGTCCTGAGCTCCATTATCCAGGTCGCAGTCATGCTCAGCGATGGTCCGTCCCTCTCCGGGGCCAGGCAACAGTATCTAGGGCTAAACCTGGCGGTCCTCAAGTCGATGGGGAAGACATGGCCAATTGCTGCCAGCGCCATGCAACGAATTCGTCAAGCGGTAATCGAAGTACACACGGCGGTTTCGTGCGACACTCGTCCGTTGCTTGACGTATTTTATCCTGCTTGCTGACTCTGCTGTGACATCTCAATCACTTTGCCACCTCCGAGCATCCCACCGGGATGACAAATAACCGCCCCACCTGGTTGGATCCTCTTCAAGCCCCGATTTTCACCAGTTTTCGGGGGATGTGAAGCAACAAGAGAAGATGACTCCCTCACGAGCCCCCCAACATGAATTCTCCTGTCACTTTGCCGGCTGCACCTCCAGCTTCCAACGCAAAGAACATCTCAACCGTCACGAAGCCCAACATACCCGCGCATTGGCCCGGGCATGTCCGCGCTGCGGCCGCACATTTTCTCGGAGGTATGCACCCCCCCCCCCCCCCCCCCTCTCCCTTCTGCACATCTCCATGGATGACATTCTGACAGAGATTCCAGTGATTCACTCGGTCGTCATATCCGTCGCGACCACAGCTTGCAGGCACCTCCTGGTTTCCTAACAGTAACAGGACGAGCATCCCGAGCCTGTCAACGGTGTCGCGTCACCAAAACCCGCTGCAGCGGAGGGTCGCCTTGCAATCGATGTCGCACCCAGGAACATCCCTGTGTTTACGACTCTCAGAGACAACGACACGAAGAAACACAAGAAGATCAAACGCAGGCGCACACGCCCTCTTTATTTCCTACCACTCAAGAAGACTCCATCGCTCGTATCACCCCGTACATCGACCTATACTTCACCCACTTTCATCCTCACTGGCCTCTCCTGCATCGAGCAACCTTCAGTCCTCCCCATGAGCCACTCTTGGTCCTGCAAGTCGTCGCCATGATCGGATTATGGTTCAGCGACAAGCCCTCAGCTAAAGGTGTGGCAATCGATATTCATCGAAAGCTGGGGCCTTCGATTCTAGCACAGCAGGTGACTAGGCTCTCCCCTGTTCCTTACCCTCTCACAACCAACAAAGGACAGAAAAATAGAGCAATAAATGGGGAACATTAGATGGAATCCGCTAACACCCCGTCCAGGATAAATGGACATGTACTCTCCCTTTCAAAAGCGAAGAAACAACCGACAACAACGAGGGGAATCAGGTCTTTTCACAATGTCCCGTAGCCACATACCAGGCAATCCTCTTATATCTGATCTTCTCCCTGATGCAAAGCAGCAGCTCCCGCCCTCTCCCACCGCGTGATCGCCACATCCTCTCCGCCCTCATAGATACCTGTCTTCGTAACCGCGTCTTCTATTACCCGCGGATGGTATCGCGATACCAGGCCATCGACTCCGTCGCTTGTATATGGGTAGGGGTAGAAGAGCTCAAACGCCTCGGGCTGGCCATGTACAAGGTCTCGCGACTCTGTGGGAGGAACCTGGTGGTTGAAGAGAGTGAGGGAGCGGTCTTGCGGCTTACCGATCTGCAGTTCCCAATGCCGGATAGTCGGCATCTCTGGGAAGCGCAGTCGAATCTCGAGTTGGCTTGTCTGTTGCAGATGGAGGCGAGCTACCGAGGTGTACGGCCGGACAGCCGCGACGAGGGAAGTTGGATCTCGACGAGCGGGGAGCTCTTAGATGATGGGGTGGAGAGCTGGTGGATGTGTGATTAAATGACATGAATTGTCTGTCGGGGTTATTTACTTTAGGGGATGCGGGAATGACTATCGATGACTATGCAGCGTCTGAACATGCACCCACAACGCCTGAACGAACTTCTTCTTCACCCCGGCATCAACTAGCACCCGCATCCATTGCGCTGCCTTACGTCCAGAGTGGTTTATACATTGCCGTGGGGGGCTCAGATAGCAAGCAGTACCACACCCGGCACGTGCCCTTCTTGCGGATCTCGACGAGTTGATCTCAGGTCCCTGTCCCGCCAACATTCGACAGGTCCTCGTCACTAGCGTCGGATGAGACACTCCACAGATGTGAAGTCGGTGGCCTCGCTGCTGCCCTGATGAATGCCTCGACGATCTTCCAGACTTGGATCATCCCCCACTTCAACCACCACCAGTCAAGACAGCCCCGCATTGAACCTATCTTAACACCCTCCCCCACGTCGACACTATACTTTTAGCCCGGTGGTTGAGAGGTGGGTTAGATGATGGTGATGGTGCTATGGGGATTCTCTATTCTAAGTCAGGGGTATGAATGCAGAATGCATTGGACTTTTTGGATTGATGTTGTTGTTATTCTATGTCAGGTAGATCTGTTAATGCTTTGGATATTTCCGGTTCTATTATGTCGAAGCTATACCCCCCTGACTACTGCAGAAGGTGGAAGATGTCCCAAGGTAATATCTTTTGACGACGACAGTATTTCACAGCACATCCCGTGGAAGGAGACTGTTGACGTAGTACAGTAAACACGCGTCACAGTCGGGGCTGTCCTAGTTTGCCTGTCCAGACGGACCTGGTTGCATTGTATTCTCTCATCCTCCGCCTCACTTCGGTAAATGGCAAGGGGGAGAGGTTTCTAGGATCGCCTAGATCTTCCTTTCCGCAGTCCGGCATCAACCATCTCACCGCACTAGACCTAACAGGTTTGCTCTCTGCGAAATCCTTGCAAGTACGTGCCCACAGTTCAAAGGCATGCTTCGCCTGCGGAAGGCTGCTCATGATGAGAGGGAACTCATGTGGCATTCCCTCATACTCATTCCAGAGTACCGATACCCCCGACTTGGCAGCCTGGCTGGCCACAACTCGGTTGCCATCTACCCCGGCTTCCTCGCATCCGCACAAGAGTAACATCGGTGGCGCTCCTGTCCAGTCACCCACTGCGGCAGGAGTAACGAGCTCATGGTCCAGAGTGGCTGCAACGCAGTAGGGGTGTTCTCGGGGTGGATTGGCCGGCCAAACACTATCAGTAGGAAAGCCGGGCATGCAAGGAGGTTGCAACACCCCGAGACAATCATACTCGCCGTTTCTGTGCCACGATGGAAGAGCATCACATTGGTCGCACCAACCACCCACTGTAGCTATCCCAGCTGGAAGTGGAAGGGTGACACGGCGTCGATGGAAGTCGATGCTTGCATCAGAGCGCGGGAGCTTCTGTAGCTCCAGAAGAACCTTTGTCAAACCGAAGCACAGGTTGGTTCCGGAACTGTTTCCTGCAAGAATGATCTTGTTCGCTGGAACGGGACGATAAGGTGCCCCGGCCGGTGGGTAGAGTAAGCTGACATATGCAACTAGGGCGTCAAGGATCGGGGCAGGAAATGTATGCGACGGGGCTAGGCGATGTTTGATGGAAGCTACGGGGGCTTTGGTCATCTTTGACAAACGAGCAGACGCGGCTCGGTATTGGGCTGGGCTGCCGAAGCTGGAGACGATATTAATGGCTAATATATTGCTGGAGAGGTCTTGGACACGTACTAAAGACCGCCACCGTGGATATAGAGGATTGTCATATCGCTATCGCATTCTTTTAAGAGAACGCGAAGCTTCTCCTCCTCGATATCCGGTTCCGATGCATTCTTATTATTTTCAGGCAAGCTTCCAATAAATTCCACGCCCACATCTTGGATTGGGGTCTCCTCTGGGGGAGTTATTCGATGGTAGTCTTTTCGGAGATGGTCGATAACCCTGTACAGTGCGTCTCTGATGCTTGGATTGGCTGGGGCCGGGAAGACGGTTCTGCTGATCCAGACACCTCCGCGAGCCGGAGGGTCACGAGAGGTTTCACGTTGTAACTGTGTGATGGGAGTCCATGGCGATGCACGGTACTTTTGGCAGGCGCGTTTGACCAACTTTCTTTGTTCTGCCGGTGTGCTCATGACAGTGATTGGATTAAGATATGTGCTTGTCTTGTCACGATTCTTTGCTGTCGTTATCCAGATTAAATATCTTTAGCCACTGATTCTACTCGCATGAAGAATCGATTATATGACGCAACCGAAGCGGAAATGACGGCGCCCATCCGTGGCACCCCCCAGTCATGTGACATGTCAGCTTTTGCCATCCATTGATCATGGCAAGTGATTTTCATTCCTCGTCATCTCAATTAAGTCATCTTACACCTGCCTTTTCTGAACGGGTAGATCGGGTCCCACCGGTGGGTGAGGGCATTGAAGACAGCAGACCGTTCCATGGATTTAGACCAGATGGGAAACCTCTCATACGAGATCATCGAGGTAAATGGCGTCTACTCTGGTAATTCTGACAACCTGGTTGTGCCTTGACTTTGCTGCACAACATGGGAAGAGACGAGGCAACTCTTCTAGTGTATTTGATCTCATGGTTCCACCACAGGACAATTTACCATTCGTCATGGTCCTATTCCACTATCCGAGCTTTGGATTTGGACGAAACATGGAGGTCCACATGGCAATGAAAACGTCAGACAGTCTACACCCTTCGCAGATTGACGTATCGTCTGATGAGACCATGTGAATGCTAGAATCCGAGAATAGGTCTTATTCTCCGACCCCATGTCACTAAAAGGGTTCCAAAAGCACATCAATGCCTACACCCTCGTCACCGGTGCATGGATTCTCTTACAGGTTGTGCCGTCGAGCATTGCCAGATGATACCCCCTGCTCCTACACCACTGAAACAATAACAATCTGACTTCAGGTGTATGAGATGATGCCTTGGGCTCCAAAGACCGTTCGCGGAGTGTTTTCGACGTGTGGAGAGAGGGTCAAGAGGCAACACTACGGTTGGTATTCTGCTGTTTGTGGGAAGAAATTATCACGGCACTGCTCAACCATGCTGACTATTAGCAACAGTGATAATACTCTCAGTCTTGTACTTGAGCTAACCTCCCGTGCAAGGATCTCTGGCATTCATCACAGCAGGGTACCTCAAGTGATGCCACATGTCATGGTGGCAAGTGCATGTGGTGTTGCTGTTGAACCGTCGGCATGTTGGCAGGTGCACGGTTGATCATGCGATGATGGACGTGGCAGGTGTCGATAAATGTTGAGTAGGATCGAAGACCTGGTCTGTCCCACCAGGCATAAGGGATAAAAGCCTGAGGGGCCTGAGGGCCTGAGGTTGGACCCTGCGTGGAATCGAGAATCCCCGCAATTGCCCGCCGGCTTGCCGAGAATCGCGTGGGCCAATGACGGCGCCCTAGACGGCCGCTATCCAACCACGGCTAGCGTGGTGGAGCAATGCCGAGAAACACACGGTCTTAGCCAATGGCAGACGCGGATGTCGGCATGAGATCGAGAGATTGGCCGCCAATCGGCCCAGCCAGCCCCGCGTCAATATCCGCCGACCTCCACCGGACCTGCACAAGGTACCATCCTCATCCCCTCCCACGTCGTACAATCGTAGAATCGTACAACCTCATCCCCGTCCACAGACAACATGCAGTCCAAATCATCACAAACTGCACGTGGAACGCCGCGCCCGGAGGAGCGCCGTCCCCTCCTGGGGCCTGATGGTGAAGTTGTACCTTATGAACTCATCGACGACCTAAGTAAGCCACAACGGTCACTGCCAACATGGCTATCAACTTGGGGCAAGACGGCCCTCATCACCGCTCTTCTCTTGATCATGAGTACTCTGCTAGTCCTAGCTGTTCTCTTCTTTGGCCTGGGTATCTCCGGCCTCCCTCATAACCTAAAACCATTACCACCACGCGGCCCCATCAAGAATGTCGTCGTCTTGGTTCAAGAAAACCTCTCCTTCGACACCTACGCCGGCGGTCTAACCTACAACCCCAAAATTGACGGCCTCGTCAACCGGACATACTGCAACCCATCCAACATTGACGACCACAAATCCCACACCGTCTGTGCCAAACCCACCGCCAAAAACGTCGCCCCAGACGACCCGGACCATTCCATCGCCGGAGGCTCAATGCAAGTCTACAGCACCTACCATCCAAACCACACCAGCCACGCCGCCATGAACGGCTTCGTGACCGAACAAATCCGCTCCTACGGCATCGACCGCGATCTCTCCCGCGCCGCCGAAGTCATCAACTACTACACCCCCGACCACGTGCCCGTCCTCAACGCCATGGCCGAAAACTTCGTCCTCTTCGACTCGTGGTTCGCCGCCGTCCCGGGCCCCACAAACCCGAACCGCGCCTACCTCACCTCCGGAACCAGCCACGGACACGGAATGAACGACATCGACTTCCTAACCTCCTCTCTCCCCCAGGTCTCCATCTTCGAACAACTCTCCGCCGCCAACATCTCCTGGATCAATTACTCCAACGCCACTGGCTTCCTCCCAGACGCTCTCTTCTACAAATGGACCGCCCAATCCGGCAAAGGCGAAACGAACGTCAAACCCATCGACCAATTCTACCAAGACGCTAAAACAGGCTCCCTCCCCCAATTCACATGGATCAACCCCGAATGCTGCTCCTATATGTCCTTCCATCCCCCTTCCCCTATCAATATGGGCGAGGGCTTCATCAAAAGTATCTACGAAGCCATCCGCTCCTCGCCCCAGTGGAATGAAACCCTCTTCATTCTCACCTTTGACGAGCACGGTGGTTTCGCGGATCATGTATCCCCCCCGGATAACGTTCCACCGGGTGATCATCACACGCACAAGGAGTGGGCTCTAGATGGAAGTCAAATCGAGTTTAAATTCGATCGGTTGGGAATTCGTGTCCCGACGCTGTTGATCTCGCCTTGGGTCGGAAAGGGTGTGGTCCAGAATCGTCCGACCGATCAACCTAATGATTTTACTCATACTTCTATTCTAAAGTATGTGGCTGAGTTGTGGCATCTGCCCGTGTTGACTCCGAGAGTCGCCTGGTCGCCGAGTTTCGGAAAGTTGGTTGGCGGTGTGTATCGGGGTGATACTCCTGAGAAGCTACCTGAGCCGGCGGATTTTTAGATGTTAGATGATGGGATGGGATGGGATGAAGGTGATGTGATGAAAGTGATGACTCAAATGGCGTATATTAAATTGTGATCATGATCTCTAGGCGTATATATGATTTTATTTTTATGGACTAACTTTACACATCCACTAGAAATTATCTGATTATCGAGCTAAGTAGTAGTATCTATAACCAAGGTATCACGAACGACGAAAAACAGAAGGGTATCTCAAAATCAGCCCCTTCAACACTTTGCTACCAACCGCACCAACACCAACTGTACTCAACCATTCCCCTTAAAACCCAAACTTCTTCCTCCTCGACTTCGTCGACATCGACCGCGAAATAGCCGAGTTCCTCGTATTCACCCGGTCAATATCATACGGATTCGCCTCATACTGCCGATCACCATGTTCATCGCTCGACTCCGACACAGTATTCGCCGTCTTCGCACGCTCGAGATCCAACTCCCTGTCGACACGCGTTTCGTCAAGTCCATCCGCAACAGCCTCGGCCTCTTCATCAACCACCTCCTGGCTCTTCTCCGGATTCAACGACTTATCGGCCAGTTTCTTCATGAATGCGTCCGATTCGCCGGCATATTTGCACTTTCGTCGGATTGCTGCACCGTACTTGTAAAAGATGAATGGGAAGGGGAGACAAGCGATCGACAGGAAGGCCGGGATGCAGGATGCCCAGTGGATACCTAGGTTCTGGTACATGTAGGTAGTGAAGAGAGGGAAGCCGGCACCGAAACAGCTTCGAATGATGGAGTTGGCAGCGAGCACGGAAGCAGCGTAAATAGTGTATGCGTCGATGAGATAGGACATGATGTTGAGGAAGACGAGGACCATTCCAAAGCCGAATGGGGCGGAGGCGATGATGCTCACGATCCAATGGACGTTGAGACCGTTGGTCCAGGCGAACCAGAAGAGTCCAATCGGAATAGTGATGCTGCCGATCATGGACGGGGGGAGACGGGCTTCCGGGGGTGCAAATCCGCGGTGTTTTTCGTGCACCCGTTTATACCGTTTGTTGTCCCACATGTTGTATCCGACTGCGGACATCATCCCGACCATCACGCCGAGGAAAGGTAGACTACCAACACCTTCGCTCCAGCCCCGGAGTTCTTGGTAGACGATTGGAAAGGCGTCGAAGAGCATGTAGAGGGTTCCGTAGACGATGGCCATGTAGATAGAGAGGAGGAGGACGATGGGCTCAGCGAAGAGGAGGATCCAGGGGCGGAGGAGAGCGGCGCCGAAAGCGCTGCTGATTGAGACACGGCCGCGCTCGACGTCCAGTTTGCTGATGTAGGTCTTGCCGGTGAGTTTGGTGAGACGGTCGGCGCGCTTGCGGAGGAGGACTGGGGCGTAGGTTTCGGGAACGATGAGAAATTGGACGATCCAGATAAGACCGGTGAAGGTTGCTAAGAACCCTTCGACCCATTTCCAACCTGCGTTTTCACCTAGGAATCCCCCGATGATGGGGCCGAGGGTCGGTCCGAGGAAAGGACTTCCTGCGAAGACACTCATTGCTAAGCCGCGCTCCTCGGCGGGGAAGACGTCGGCGATGAGGCCGCCTGCGTTGGTTAGGGGACTGGATCCGAAGGAGCCAGCAAGGAATCTGAGGATGATTAATGTCCAGGGGTTTTTGGAGCCTGTTGCGCCGGCGCTGAATACGGATAGGCCCATGTAGGAGACGAAGAAGACTAGTTGACGACCAACGAGTTCACTGAGGGGTGCCCAGAAGAGTGGGCCGATGGCGAATCCTAGAACGAACAAGGACACTCCCAGCGTGGCTACCTCAGTGCTGATGTTAAAGTGCTCGATCACCTGGTCGATACTGCCGGCGTAGGCAGATGAGGCCATGGAGACGCCAAAGGTGGCGAACGCGGCGATGATGGTGTATACCCATTTCATCTTTTGTTTGAAGAGCATGGGGTTGCGTGGGTCATTGGGAATCCATTCTACCACGAACGGATCTGATTCCGTCCCCGAACCGGCATAAGGATAGTCGATGATCTCCTGAGTGACGACACTTTGATCGACGATCAGACGCCAGTGAGGGATCTTGGCCATGATGGGATGGAAAGGAGTGTTGTTGCATGGTGGACTGCGACAAGCGAGGGCAGTGGGGTGACATGGTTATATAAAGGATTGGGTTATTGGCGACTGGTATGGCGTGTTTGAGGAATTTTATTAGGGTGTGGTACCCAACGGGCACTACGACATGACCAGGCTATGCAGGATGGCCCTGGTGCAGTTGATGCAAGCATCCCAGGGAAAAGTGGGTGTCGTCCGATTCGACTGGCCGAATCCCGTTGCTTGTGTGGACTCCACCGCCATCCACCGACTCTCCATGGGCCCACCGAGTGGAGGCTTCGGTTGTGAGTTCGGCAACCCGATGGCTGGACGGACCGAGGCTGGGCCCGGCGCTGGTATCGTTCTCGTGTTTTGATCCGTCACAATACCTGACGAACGCATCATGAAACAATCTCGAGATCTGCCTCGGTTTCTGTAGGTGACTCGAGAAGAAGAACCACCTACTGTATATGATTGACGATGTGGCGATGAAGCCTTTAAGCGAGCACGCGCTAGTTTGCCGATCCCAGATTCCATGTCGGCGTGATTGTGCGGTCGATCGGCTGCATAAGGGGATGCATTGAGAAATCAATACGTACTCCGTACCAGAGCACAAACTCGAGCACCAACTCGGCTGAAGACGGGACGGCTGTACCTGGCGATCCATCTGTGGATTTGCATAATAAGCTTCGTGGGAATCGCGCCCTTTGACATGTGGCAACGGTTGTAGTAGTGTTGCACAGCCGGCTCGGTCGGCACTGACCTTACTATGCACATAACCTGTGTTAGCCTTCCAGCTGTCTAGCATAAGATAGGGGAAGCAATAGCCACTCACCTGAATGGCCTGGAGATTAATTCCGTTCCTTGTGGAGTTTTTCTCATCACTGGCAGCAGAGTGCTCTGCTACCAAAACACACAGCAACAACTTACGTGAGCTAATTCGATACTGACCCCTCACCAAAGAAAGGTATATTGACAACTTTTCTAGCTAGTTTCACGCGTTCCCTTGTTGCCTCCCCAAATATCCCATCACGCATATCATGTGTGCCACCAGATGACTCTCGACTCAGCACGATCTGCCCGACTAATAGACTCTTCAACCTACCAGTGCCACTTCATACCCAGCCGCTGGAAGTACGTGAAAAGGGCACCACGATGCACATAACCGGCGTATGTAGATTGCCATCTGGCGGCGAAGGACTCGGCGATCGGTCCCAACTCTCCAAACCCCAGTACTTCCAGCACCCACGGTAGTAGAATCGCCAACACCCCCAAGGCAAGGAGGGTGGTGTACACTGGGTGCTCCTCCGCAAATCCCACTGCCGCTTCTTTTGCCTTGTTCAAAGCATCGGTGGCAGGATGGGCCATTTCTGCCCCCGCATTGATGGCATCGTTGAGGCCGCGGAGAATAGCCTGCGCGATCGAGTCACTCCATCCATTGGCTTTGATTTTCTCATTCAGGTCTTTGTGGATGCTTTCGATGCTGTCTCTGGTGATGATGGTGGTGACAATGTCGGACGCGAGGTAGGCGGGGGAGGCCGCAATGGTTTGATGGGTGTCGGGAGAAGATCCCAGGATGCAGTCAAGAATGGACTGGAACATGGTCATGGTTGGTCAGAGTGAGAAGAGATGGAGAGTATGGTTTTTGGTGACGGGGGGTATTAGTAGAAGAGAGAGGTGGAGAGGTTTGGTTGTGGAAGGAAACCACTGGCAGGCGCCGGGATAGTATATAGAATGTCCGTCATGCAAACAACGCAGACAAGGCAGACACAGCAAACACAGACAACAGTAAGTCTTCCAGTGAAGACAGCCTTGACCACAGCCTTGCAGTTCGGCTTCCCGTCTGCATGCATGATAATTATTGTTGGTTGGCTGATCTGTTATCGCTAGGGTGACTACGTGTCGGCCAGGTCATCACCCATCATTAACCGCCGATCAGGTGCGTCGCGTCAACCAGTAGGAACAAGTTCGAAATCTTTGGGTTGGATTCTATCATCTTATTGTGGGATACTCGGCTGCCAACAACACGACCCCGCCTCTTGCCCGGTTCTCCTGGCCATGGCTAACGGCTCGGCTGCCCGAAATTCCAGGCCGTGTGTTTGTGGCCTCAGGATGCACGCGTCCACGTGAGCCCGCCTTTCTCCTCGTCCTTCCCCGCAACGCTCCCACATCAGGTCATGACAAGACTTCGGCGATAATCCACAAGGTCCTGTGCCTTATTCCTTTGCGTCTTGTTGTCGGGGTGTATCCCCGATGGTCCCGTCTTACTCACAACGTTATTTAGTATCGGCTATGTCGATAGCTTACCCATGGTTTGCAACAGTGCATCGTTTCTCCGCAAGTTGTCTCCAATTTTGGCAATTGGATCGGTGTCTGCTCGAGCTGAATATGACTGCTGACCATTCGTAATTGCCTTCTAGGGTAAGCCTTCCATAGAAATCTTCGATATCGAGCTACATATTTTGCTGATGACGAGCGAGGACACCGGGTCATCATCAGTTAGCATCGCTGCCAGTCCGGTGCCGACATCATCAGACGTTCAACTACTACTATATTGGGAAATCAGGAGTAAACAGTAGACGTTCAGGACCACCCAGCTATGCGCTGATCGACATCCGTTGCGTGGAAGACACATCTTCTCGTGGGACTGACGCTGCCTATTGCGCGTATGCTGGGGAAGCGTGGTCTCGGGGCCAATGACACGCGAGTGCAAAGGTGCTACATTCTGGAATGTGCGATATGATATCATGCCACCATTTACCAGGTGTCGCTAGCCTTATGAGCAGGAATAGGTCCAGAGCTCCCCTTCCGCAAAGTCAATATGCCGAGCACCCGTCAACATTCTCAAGTAGAACCACGGCCAAATTGAGCAAGTGTCGAGGAAGCAAAGACACTGAATATTCTGACTCCTTTAACGGATGATCCATGTCCTTGAATGGACGTGCTGCGTCACGTCACGCAAAGATGCCCCCACAACGTACAACCCCGGTGTGTACTACATGCTCGGGTCTTTTATTGCTCTCAACGGCGGCCAGGGACATTAGCGGACACACCTGTTGCTTGGTTGTATTTGAAAATCCTTCCTATTCATCGCATCGACCCACGCTAGCTTCTCCAGTCGAATCAGGGGGCGGACGAGTGGGTGGTGATCCGCATGTCCTAGTGATCATCTCCTCCAACACCACCAGAGGTATGCATCCCTTGATTGACCCACCACTATTTGGTCTTTAAAACCAACCCATGGACTGAGACATCCATCGTGAACGGTTGATAATTTCACAATGGGTGACTACAGTCTTGAAGAGCTCTCTGACTTGAGTGTGCTGGCGTCCGAACATGGGCTAGAACTGACCCCGGATGGGTGTCATTTGCGCTGGGCGCGAACCAACCGAAAGCATCCGCGGAACTGGCATCCAGTACGCAAGGCCTACGATATTATTGTCATCTCGCTGTTGGAGTTTTTTACGTAAGGTGTCTTGGAATTTTCTCGACGTCGGCTGACCTCAATTCTCCAGGACATGTCTCAGTACCTCAGGAGTGAGTAGGACATCCCAAATGCATGTTCCGTGTCTCACATTTGACAGGCCACGACAGCCACCGCTGCTCAGAATGAGTTCGGGACGGGAAAGACCCTGACGTTGTTTCTCTACGTGTCAACGTGCGATACCCACTCTGCTTCCGCAACAAGCCGCTAATTTACTGCAGATATCTCTTGGGGCAAGGCCTCGGGGGGATCGTGTTCCCCCCATACTCGGAATCCTTCGGACGGAAGAAGCTCTACATCTTCAGCGCATCACTATACAGCGTGTTCTGTCTCGTCATCGCAGCGGTCCCCTCACTCGGTGCCCTGGTAGTCGGTCGTTTCATCACGGGCTTCCTTTCCGCCATCCCTACGGTAGTGATTACCGGAAGCATCGAAGACATGTTCAACACGCATGACCGGATTCTGGTCATGTTGATATATGTTTCTATGGCATGTATGGGTGTTAGTGCTGGGCCCATTATAAGCTCATATATTGCTGTTCGATTTGGCTGGTGAGCATTTCTCGTCCACTTAAGCTTCGAGTACTAACATAAAATAGGAGATGGGTCTTTTATGTCGGGGCGATTGTGTCTGCATTTCTTGCAGGGCTGCTCTTATGCATCAAAGAATCCAGACCATCCCTTCTCCTTGTCCGGGAAGTAGAAACCTTGCGCAAGCTGACCGGCAATGATTCTCTTAAAGCCCAGAACCCCGATTATATGCCGGACCTGCGCACCTTTATTCACCTCGGGCTCTTGCGACCACTCCGACTCTTTGTGACCGAACCTATTGTATTCATCGTTACTATGATATTTGGGGTGTGTGTTGCGTTGGTATACCTCTTCACGGAAGCCCTTCCGCCCGTTTACGAGGCCTTTGGCTTTAGCACGGATGAGGCGTCTCTTCCATTCCTGGCCCTCGGTCTCGGCGTTATTCCAAATGCCTTGACCCGCATCTTAGACTATCGCATCATCCAGAAACGGCAAAAGGAATGCGGCGTTCTCAAACCAGAACACAAGCTCACCGGGATCTTCATCGGAGCCCCGGTCCTCGCGATTTCGCTCTGGTGGTTTGCGTGGACGATTCCTCCCGAGGTGACCAACGTCCACTGGTTTGCTTCCGTTGCCGCCCTCTTCTTCACCGGATATGCGCTCAACGAAATGGAGATTGTGGTAACGGCGTACCTGGCGGATAGTTATCTCAGCTATGCGGCTAGTGGATTTGCCGCCCTCTCCATCATCCGATCGCTTCTATCGGCCGCATTCCCTCTGTTTGGAAGCAAGATGTTCGACGCACTGGGTGCCAACGTGGCAGTTTCCATCCTTGCAGTGCTGGCAACGATATTTTGCATCGTTCCACCACTCCTCAGTCGGTTTGGAGAGCGCATGAGGATGCGCAGTGCATTCGCCAAGTACAGCCTGCAAGTGTATGCGGAGAACGGCGTCGACCAGGACTTTCAGTAGTGTTGATCATAGAGATACAGGGGGTCAGCGCATACGACGAATTATAAATGCTTACGCGAGATTACGGCTTATACACTTGATTCAGATAAGAACGATACAACACAAAATAAATGGGGTTGGCATTACAGACACGAACTTTTGACTGACATGAAGATTCATGATTATGACAATGACCAATAACGGAGCCATTGGGTAGGTACGAATAGTTAGAGTATATTTGTGATTCTGAAGCATGTTGCAATTTAGCCACTGGCCCATTACGTCCTCCGAATCGATGAGAATTTGTTTGTTCATTCTTCGTCCACCGGACGGCAGCAGCTCCAGCAGCCCTAACAGACACCTCATTAGACTAACAGAACAACCTCATCACTCATCACCTACCTCGACATTAATCGATCTCTGTCCATTGTCAGCAATAGCCCAACGCAACCAAACAAAAACACAGGCAATAAATCCGTACATACCTCTCCATACGGACACGGCTGCTCCATATCAAAACACTCCTCCAAACACACCGTCTGAGCCATTCCCACCGCAGCCAAGACCATCCCCACCACTACCACACCCAGACCCAGTCGAGCCATCCCGTAGTATCTATCAACTGATCTGACCAAAAATCACCAAACAAATAGATAAGATATCTCGTGCCTCGTCGCACAATTCGAGAGATTCTGGAATTTCAACGAAGTAACGGATGGTCACTTGATTCATTTCACTTGATCCACTTAATAGTAGTAGATTGGAATTATATCGCTCAATAGCTAACATGTGATGAGGGGGTTAACCCTCAGACCCCTCTCTTCATTCCCACTCCCTTGCTGACTGGATAGGGTAGTACAATAGGTAATGTGGCTGGGTGGATCATTGGTTCTGGGTCATCGGAAGATGGTTCCGGGTGAGGTCATGGTTGGTCATTGGATTTACTTTTTCCCCTTTGGATGGTTCGGTTGGTTTGGGTGGTGAGGGGGTACTAATGGGGTTAGGGTGAAGGTTCCTACCTACTAGTACTCCATGGGGTTTGGATGACTATTTTCAGTCCGATGTAATGTCGATAGATGGGGATGGCGGTGGGACGGTGGGACGGTTCAGTGGATTGTCTGGTTAGAATTTAGATATTATGTGTATTTTATGGTTTGTTCGTGTAAGTATTTTGGTGGTTGGGCTGGATGGTTTTGACATGGCTGGTAGGAAGGAATGTGGGAGGCGGGGAGATATTTGTCTGCCCGCCGCGAGAACGTAGTGGTAGTATTGGTGTTAGTAGTTTTAATGAGAATCTCGGTGAAAGTATTTGTACTGGAATTAATTACAACCTGCATTCAACATGGTCTATAGCTCCTCGTTCAAATCGACATCTACAGCTATACTGTACAAATGGTAAATATCAATGCGCGCCAAACTCCGCTATACATTACGAGGCAAAACACCTCAGGTCTACCTCTATCCAGTGCATCTCTAATGCACTCCTTCGACACACAATCTACCCCATGATGCTGTCCCAGATCCTCCTCGCCCATCCGTCCTTGGGGTTGCTCGACTCCCACGTGGTGTACTGCGGGCGTCCAGTGTCCAGGTCCGCCTCGATGGGGCGCACAAAGCCCGTGCGGTACCAGGCCTTGTGGCCGACGTACAAAATCACAAACAGGATGGGGCAGATGTATGCGACCCAGAAGTCCGACACATTGAAGGTGGGGATCCACGCCGTGAAACCCTGGGTGAAGATGATGAGGATGTTGAAGAACAGCCCGTACCAGGCCAACCAGGGCTGCCAGATCGACTTGTAGGGAAGGGTCTCGCGGGAAGCGCCGCGGGCTTTCATAGCCTTCATAAAGGCGATGTGACTCGCGTTGATGCAGGTCCAGCAGATGAATCCGGCCACACTGGAAATGTTAACCAGCCAGTTGAAGACGGTGCTGCCCGAGTCCGACACGTTCATGAATCCCAGCAATCCAAAGAGCGCGGTGAACGCCACACTGACGTAGGGGACACCACGGCGGGTGACCAAGCCGAAGATCGGGGGCGCAAACCCCTCCTGGGCCAGACCCAGCAGGACACGGCTACCGCTGTAGACGTTGGAGTTTGCAGCAGATAGGACGACAGTGAGAAGCACAGCATTAATCAAGCTGGGGAGGACCTTCACACCAGCCAGATTGGCAGCGATGACCATGGGAGAGGCGGACGCGTTCTCAGCTCCGCTGGCGAGTTCGGGGTTGGTGTAAGGGACCAGCAAGCCGATAAAGAAGATGGTCAGGACGAAGAAAATGAGGATGCGGATGAAGGTCTTGCGGATTGCAGAGGGAACGGTCTTCTGGGGGTTCTCAGTTTCACCCGCCGCGACTCCGACCAGCTCGGTACCCTGATAAGAGAAACCGGCCTGGATGAGCACTGCCCAGAAGCCGACGAACTTGCCGATAGCTTCGTTGGAGGTGACGAGGTAGGGGGCAAAGGCACCAGGATCATGCCAGTACTTGAAGCCGAGGTATCCCTGCTTGCCAACACCGGCGTCGATGCAGATGGCGAAGATCATGAAACCCAAGACGGTCAAGACCTTAGTGATGGAGAACCAGAACTCCAGCTCGCCGTAAAAGCCGACGGGGAGGAAGTTGATGGCCGTGATAATCACCCAGAAGATCCCGATGAAGATGGCAATGGACAGCTGATCGTTCCAGTACTGGACGATCATGCCGGTGGCAGTCAATTCCACCGCGTAGGTGGAAGCCCAGTTGAACCAGTATATCCATCCCATGGCGAAACCCAAGCTTGGATCGACGAGACGCGCGGCGTACGAGGTGAAGGCACCGGTGATGGGGATGTAAGTGGCCATTTCTCCCAGCGAGCACATGACCGAGTATACAATTGAACCGACGAAGGCGTAGGCGATGAGGGCGCCTGCCGGGCCGGCTTCTGCGAGGGCCGTTCCACTGCTGATGAAGAGACCTGTGCCGATAGTACCACCTACGGGGGTCAGTGATGAGGCTCACATTTGGGGAAATGAGCTTCCCAACTCACCAATGGCGATCATCTGGAGATGACGATTCTTCAAATTGCGCTTCAGCTTGGTCTCGTCCTCCTCATTATCACTCTCGACGTCCTTGGTCAGGCCATTCCGTCTGCGCTCGCGCAGGCCCGACTGGATGCTGTTCTGATCCGAGGAAGCATTGGAACCGTCCTGTTCGGTGACGGCATTCCCAAAGGTCGCCTTCCCGGGGGAAGTGACCTCCTTGTCAGCCATGGCTGGATGTGATGGGCGGCTGGGAGGGCAGGATGGCGTGGGAGACGAGGGAGGAGCGTGACGGTAGCGCGAGGCCAGCGGAGAAGAGAGCCTCAGCGCAGAGCAGGCGTCGAGTGGTCAACGTCAACGACGATTTGAGTTTTGGCCGTGGACAGTCAGTCAAGAGTAAGAGGAACAAGGCCATGTGGCCGGCAGCCTGGCTGCGAATTTTTCTCTCGTAGCATTTTCGCCAAATTGCCGGGCCATTGAAGACTGAAGTGGTGCTGCCGGCGTCTCATACGTCAGAACCCGCGGCAAAACCCACTTGACCGGCCCATTCATTACCTAATGGCCTATCACGGTTGCATGCGGTCTTCTAGAGCCCTTCTACCTTTTCTACCGCGTCGGGGTTGAAGTTCGCCCCTCTTAAGTAGGTCCGCGGTTATCGCCGGGCGCAGACACTGGGGGCATTCCACCCAGCATTCCTGGACTGGACTGGATGCATTCACTACCATATGATAATCATAATAAATTGGTTTGGCTTCTGGCAGGTATTGGTTTAGAGGGGGAGATCCTCAAACACAAGGGGATAAACTAGAAATGATAAGATGTTGGCGTGGCAGAAGAGAGAGAAAAAGAGGGGAAAAGTTTGCATCACCATCGACACTAATCTCCTTCGGGAGTGGCAACCGCCGTTGGTGTTCCGCATCACGTGGTCTCGGGGGGATCAGGCGGGTCGCGTGACTCGGGCGCGATGCCTGAGGGATTATTATTATTGACAGTCCGTCGCACCTCGTACACCCTCGTCACTTGGATCCCACTCTTGCCAGTCATGTCTCGACCCGCCTCCTCGTTCATCCCCTGGTCTATCCCTCCCTGAATCTCATACCCAAACTGAGTTCGGCTATCCTTCAAGATAAGCTCGCCACCAGATCGTCTCCGGCTAGCCTGCCCCTCCGTTGACTTGTTAAACACGTTCAGCCTGTGGCTGGCGGCGGCTCCACCTTTCCCTGTCGACGGATCCATCGACCATTCCCCATGCGAGGCAGACCTGCCGAACAGCGGCTTGATACAGGGCACATTGACGGCGATGACGGCAATGAACTGTCGCGGGTCAGAATGGGTCACAAAGGAGACTAGAGGAACGGACGGTCTCGCGTACCCCCCACACGTTGCTTGCATTCACGCTGTCAATCATCCAGAGAGAGAGAAAGCACCGTAGCAGGGCGGCGATCATCACAAATATACCTCCGCAGAGCAGCAGGCCGGCCATTAGTTTGCTGGTGCAGATGAGTGAGCTTCGAGGTTCACACTGGGGTCGGGTGGTGGACATACCGTCGCATTGGGAGTCGCACTCGGACCAATAAAGGAATCGGGATTAACAGCAGGATGGCATCCGTCCTACATCTGCCCGTTAGCTGACTTTGTCCGAATCCCTGTTGGCTTGGAGACACACGAGATATTGGTGGCCGCAACGACAATGTAGTTCACCGTGGCATGGGTGCACCTCACTAGCAGCGGTTAGCAGGAGGTGACACTTGAGGGCTGACAGCTTACAGCCCGGATTGGGATAGATCTGCCATAATCGGTCGAGCGGGATGCAGTGCAGAAGGATGGTCATCATCGCGGCGATGTAAGCACAAAAGCAGAAGCCCGCGGCGTACTTGACGAACTTTTGCCTGGGGAGACCAATGCTACCCTTTGTTAGACAAATCCTCGAATCAATCCTCAAAGTCCGGCAGGTCAATATACGTCAGACGGTCAAAGAAGCACAACATGCAAGCCTTCAGCACCCAGAGGAGGGTCACATAGAGCATCCAGCCGACCAGAAGGAACTGGGTTCCAAGCATCCGCTCGTGCGTCTCTTTCACACTGATCGAGGCTCTCTCCTCGTCGGTAAGGCCGGTATTAGTTCCAAGGTGGACTGCGGAGCAGTCAGTCATCGTATCCAGAGCATGCGGCGACAGCGCTCACCAATGAGCTTGAACATCGTCACCTCTGACTTGAAATTGTCAGTGCCTGCGTCTTAAGCGGGTTCGATATACCAACAATCCAGAGAAAAAGCGCAATGATGCTCATGAAGTCGTCCGCTTGCCATTTTCTGATGCCCACCACCTTGGCTCGAGAGTAGAGTCGAAGCAGAATCACTAAGACCCCGAGGCATAGTTCGATCCAATTTTCGATAATGAAGGGTAATCTGGCCCTCGCTGTGACGTATTTTTCGATGCGGATCATGGTGAACAAAGCTGTGTGAAAGGTTGAAGATGTTGGATAAAAGCACCAGAGCTCAGTCCTTTTGTGGCACTTGTCAGTCAGTGGCAGGCATTTTCATGTATTCAATGGGCGATCATTAACCAGGGTTGCACTTCCTGTAATCCCAGACTGTAGTCCGATGTTAAGTTCCGCGAACATTGTTGGGTGAGAAGTGAAGTATAGGGCTTGATGCTGAGACACGGCTGGAGATGTAGCGAGTCAGGCTTAGGCATAGTATCGATCAAACTTTCACTAGCCACGGGACTATCCAGTTCTAATTTTAAATCAGTCCATCAGGACCAGATAACATCAATACTTAAAGACTTCTCGACGAGATATATTTTCCTCAGTTCGGGTGTGCATTACATCTGGGTTCAGTCATCTTGGGCTTCTAGACTGAGTTATCCAACAAGTTCTTGATCGTGAGCGTATTGTATTCCCTCACAAGTCCTTGATATCAAGGAATCCAAAATTCTCTCTAAATCAACCAATTATGTGTGTGTGTGTGTGTGTGTGTGTGTGTGTGTGAAAAGGGTAGGCATTTCACTCATTCCATCACGCCAAGTCCAGACCCAACTTACATAACCGCTGCACCCCCCGAAACTCCGCGCTACTTGCCATTCCCATCTAACTTATATTTTGTAAGCATGTCGCTATCCAAACTCCGGTTCTGTTTATCAAGTATCCTTGGTTCAGCCCGACTAGCTCCCTTGAAGCCTGCAAATCGGCGCCCAGTTCTCAAAGAACCAGATTTGTATGAACCCGGGGGCTTCCATCGCGTTTCCCTGGGCGACAGCCTCGGCTCTGGGAAATACACCGTGCTCAGGAAACTCGGCTATGGACAGTATTCTACCGTTTGGCTGGCTAAAGATTCCCAGTCAGTGAATTGTGTTTCGATATCTTACTTATGATACAAATTTTGCTGATGATGTCAATAGACAGCAGCGATATGTCGCCCTCAAATTGCTGAGGGCCGATTGTTATGGTGGCCCGCATGATATTTTCGAACGGGAGATCCTGTCCAAGGTCTCCCAGATTTCTACGACTAGCACCAATGAAGGCTGTCACCATGTGTCTCCCCTTCTCGATCAGTTTAGACATACGGGTCCTAATGGTAACCACGTGTGCCTTGTTTTTGATGTATTGGGGCACCACATGCACTTCCCGACCGCCAACTTTGAAGATGGGAGACTGCCTGTACAGTCAGTCAGAACCATCGCTCGTCAGCTTCTGCTGGGGCTTGACTTCCTTCACAGGGAGTGTGGGGTTGTTCACACTGGTATGAGCACATGGCTAAAATATCACATGCTGCAGCACTGACATGTCCGTTGGAGGCATGCCTGAAACCGACCAACATACTGCTGGAACTAGGCCAGCCGGATAGTATCATCAATCAGTATCTGTCGGAAGTTCCTCCGCGGATAGGCTATGAAGGCGACGCGCCCGTGCCTCTTCGAGAAGTGATAACGACTCCTCTGTTATCCGAAATGAAGGAACCCCGCATCCAAATAATTGACTTTGGTGTAGGCAAGTACAGATCCCTCCGCTTTCATTTGCATCAGCACTCACATCTCTCTAGCTTCTTGGAGGAATAAACACCTATCCGAGTTGATTCAATCACCAGCGCTGAGAGTCCCCGAAGTAACTATTGGCGCCCCTTGGGACACGCAGGTTGATATATGGAGTCTTGGCTGTCTTGTATGTATTTCCATTTATCCAGACAACTTGCATCCCGCAGTGACCCTGACTCGGTACTTGTGGGCAGCTTGTGGAGTTTGTCCAGGGGTTTGTCCTTTTCTCTAGCACGGCGTCAAAGAACGGGACATGGACAGCCGAGGATGATCAGCTGGCCAGAATGATGGAGATTCTTGGGCCATTTCCATCCCAGTTGCTTGAACGGGGAGCCCGGACAGCAGACTTCTTTGATGAAAAAGGTAACTTGCGAGATCCTACTTCTATTTATCGTTCTCTGACGTGACTTGGATATAGGGAACCTTTACCGAATCCCAGACCTGAAGTCCACGAGCCTCGAGCGACTCATCAACGGCACTACCAAGCCTTTCATAAAACCAGCGGATATGTCGGATGCTGAAGTGCCCGTCTTCATCGATTTCATTCGAGGGATGCTTCAAATCGATCCGCAGCTTCGGAAATCGGCGGCAGATCTGCTGGGACACGGATGGTTAAAGTTGTAGAACGGTCCGAGAAACTGTTCTAGAAACAGTCGGTGAGCGGCATTGTGGTCATGTGCGGGGTAGGCATGGGATAGAACCGGATGGGACACTGCATTGCTACATCGGTGAATTTGGCTGCATGGAAAGAGGCGCAGGGGAGGGTGAGACCTGCATGCTGCAATTAGGTTCGGCCTCCCGGATGATCGACCCTCAATTGTTGGCCACCCGATTATTGTCAACCACAGGATCGATCCCATCCATGCTGGAAATTGAGGCTTCGGCAGTCGTTTTCAATTGCAATTCATTTCATCGTGGGGTTGCTGGACATTTTCGTCTTTTACACTCTTACAGCTTTGCGCTGACCCTGCTTTCTCTCCCTTTATTCCGGCTTCATTCTAATTCGGACTGGGTCGCCTTATTCTCAATAATCGGACCCATCCACAGTGTGACACCTCATAGCCACCCTCCAGAGTCCAGGGACTCGCCACTGGATGATCCTGTGGGGCAATGATCCCAGAATAGCTCCTCCCAGCCGATGCTGACTGACGGCCCCGCAGACGTCAAGCCATAAATATCAACGTCCGATCCTTCACTCCCTTGGTCAATTTACTTCGACTATCCCCATACAATACATTTAAACCCACACATCTCAAGATGAAGCTTCTATCCCTCACCGCTCTTTCGTCTTTACTGGCCGCGACCGTATCAGCCGCCCCCTTCCCCTCAGCATATACCCTCGTGGCCGACGGCGGCTGGACCGTGGTAACCGATGGCAGTATGCACCATCCTTAGTCGAATCTCCAATTTATATCAAACGTACTAATTATTGCCAGCGAATGCATACATCGGAACGGGCGACATTGCAAACTACCCCATTCTCATCCGTAAGCCCGGTCGCATCCTCGCAACAGCACAGAAACTAACACTTAGCAGTGAAAGGAGGCAACGACAACGGCATGATTACCGGGACTGAGCAGCACAAATCTTCCGCTGGCGTGCAGCATCTCTATGTCAAGCAGGATGGCAATGCTCCGGTTACCTTGACAGGGCCTAATGCCGGAGCCCCTGCGGGTGCCGTGCTTACCGGGTTCGGAGTCAATGACCAGAATTACCTGACTGTGGACGGACAGAGCTCATTCGGGGTTGATCCCAACGAGGGTCAAATCAAGAAGATCTATTATCTTGATGGATCGGATGATCAGTACCAGGAGATTTCTCTCTGGGTGAAGGAATGCAAGGGGTGTTAGGGGTGCTACTGTTGTATATTATGAAGGTTGTAGTTTTATTTGTTGTTCATGAGAGAATGGATATAATGGGCTTGTTTCTACAGGTCAGTGGTACTGACGTTGCTACGAGAACTTCATGCGAATTTCCTTCCGTAGTTTATCACATTTATCTAGTACACTATTGACAATCTTCAAACACAATATAGAAACAAAAAGTGTCAATATAACCCCATTATCCTTTCTGTATACAACAACCCCCCAGCGTTAGCACGACTCTCAATACCAGTCGAAGGGAGTATACAGACCCCGTCAATCCTCTCACAGCGTCCCCACCAACCCATCAAAGCCCTGTCCTGCTCTGAGCTGTATAACCACTGTGCAATCCCCCAAGTCCTCCAAGATCACATTGGCGATGATATTCATGTATAATCATCCTTACCCTTTTTAAACGCCTAACGAAACACCGACAACTTACGCATTTTCCACCCCAATTCATCAGTAAGTGTGACGTGGTGCATACTCTAGGGTTCCGTCCCTTTCAGCGAAAGCACCGTAGTAACTCCAGGCAGATAGTCGGGCAGTTTCGAGCAAATTGTGTCCGCTGGGTGTAGCTCACTCTTTTCCTATTTTTGAGGGTATAATAATTGATGGGTTGCTATTTCTGTCATGATAATAAATCCACTTCTGAGGGTAGCTCACCAAGGTTATTCGAATGTAGGGCTAGGTTCGTGGAATTGTCTTCCAATTATCCTGCTGGAGGAATTTTCCTTTTGCAAGTAGTATAAGTGCTTAGTGCAGATGCATCATGCAACCACTATATTCATGATGCAATGAGGCCCGTTTGCGTAACGTCAACCGAGCACATATATCCAAGATGATGTGCCAAATTCCATTGACAACTCATCTCATCGGTCGTTTGGGGTCTTTCACGTTCTTTTCCTTTGTCTCTTATGTTGAGTTTCTATTATGGATGTCGCAACAAGAGAGTATCAATAAGATACACCAGACGGATTGGACTGCCTTGCGTTCATCGTCAATGGAAGTATGATCAACAGATGAAGTACTGTATTATCGTCAGGTTCTTCGGGATTATATCATCTTTCCCCGAGGTGAGATAGGAAACGATCAAAACGGGTCGCTCTATGCTCCAACCGATGTATCGTGTATGTTATTTTATCCAAGGTAATGGGTATGATTAATTGATCCTACCGACTCACCTCTGCATACTCAGCCAAAAATCCCCTGTTTGTATCCTCTGAGATGGAAACCATATTCTATAGTAAATACGGTCATTTGCAGATCTTCTTTCTTCTTTTACTCTTGCTCATCTTCCTATGGGTTAGAGATTAATTATCTGATCCTGGCATTTTATTCGATTTGATACTCACCATAATTAAAATCTTAACTAGGTGGGTGGTTTTGTGCGAAGTGCGAGACTATTTTGCGATGTTTCGTTGGTTCTTGGTGTTGAATTCGTGGTTGTCCGGACTATTGGGAGGTTATGCCCTGTCTTTATATTAGTGGTAGGATGGAAACGACTCCGGAGGGGATCACTGATGAGATGAGGACATAGGTAGGTATGTAGGTAGGTAAGGAGAAGATAGAAGGATCGAAAGTGGAGATGAAGGGAGGAAAGAGGGAGGATGGGGTGGTTGGGACGTTGGGTACATCACTTAATGGCATTTTTTCTTCACTGTATTCTTCATTCGGTGAATAATTGGGCTGTTAGTAATGAGTGCCATTGGGCTTATCACTCTTGGAATTAAGTTTAAGGGAATTGATTCAACTCATTCAATTCGTAAATAACAAAGCAAACACAAAAGGCTAATACACATAAACAAATTCATCGTTCTTCCCATCCGTCAAATCCATCAACCCGCTGGCGCCGGTATGCGACTCCCCCGTCGCCTCGAGGGTATTTTCAATCTCCACTTGACGATTACTCTGCATCGACACGTCCACTACCTTGGCTGGCTTGCCGTTGCGCACACGTCGCTTCTCCTGCATCTTATTCAGTATCCAGAGATCCAACCACTGCAGTAAAAACACGGCAATCAATGCCACGAAGATCCCTACGCACGCGCGCAGTCCAGGTAAGTAAGTAGGAGCATCCTTCTCGTTAAATAGAAGCGGTCCGATGATGTTTCCGGCTGAAACAGCCGCATTGTACAGAGACATATTGGCCGATTTCTTCGTCGTCCCGGCCGTATTGGCCACCACCCAACTAATGATTAGTGGGTTACCTCCGAAGATGAACGCAATGAGGTAGTATCCTGCCATGAGGGCACCGGTGGAGGAGCTATCGCGTGGGACGGCATAAAGGATAGCCAGACCCGCTACCACGGGGAGCATCAGCACAGCCAGGACAATGCCCTTGATACGGGCTTTCTGCGCGAGGTAGCTGGAGAGGAGGATGACGATGACTTGGACGGCGCCAAAGGGCATGTTCAGGAGGGTAGTGGTGTAGGTGTCGAAACCCAGGCCACTGAGGATTAATGGACCGAAGACGTTGGACACGGATGCGCCGATGTTGAGGAGTAGGGCCATGCTGGCCCATAGGTAGGTCTTGGGCTCGAGAGCAGCCTCGTATACCTGGTCCATTTTGAATTCGCGACTCCCTGCTCCGGTTTGGTTGGCTCGGAGACGTTCCATGGCTTGGAGCTTTTCTTCTTCGGTGAGGAATCGCGCGGATGGGATGTCGTTGTCGAGTTTCCAGTAGACGAATGGACTGGAGACGATGGTGATGAGTCCGACGACGAGGAAGATGCTGCGACGTATTAGTGAGCTGTTGGAATCCGGTTCGAGAGCAGTGATTCTTACATTTGCCACTCTTTCAGCACCCCTGATTTGATATGTCCCAGGCCGAACGATAGTGCCGCAGCGATGATGGTCGCTACTCCGTTCGTGCCATACCAGGCTGCCACGCGGATCGGTTGCTCGGCACGTCGATACCACTGGCTCGTCAGGAGACTGAAGAGTGGGATACACCCCGCTTCAAACAAGCCGAGAAAGAACCGAGTGGCCATCAGTCCCCCGAAATTGCTGCATGCGGCCATGCATGTCTGCGCAATGCCCCATCCGAGCACCAAGGTGGGCATCAGGATCTTTGGTGGTACCGTCACGATCAGCCAGGAGGAGAACGGCTGCCATGCGAGTTGTGCGATTGGGGCAATGGAGCCGACCAGCGAGTACTGGTTTCCTGTGAGATGAGTGTCCTCTTCCAACCCATAAGTTGCACCATAGCCGAGCACGGACTTGTCAAGAATCTGCAGAAAATACACCCAAATCAAGATGACGAGTATGGTTTTGTCGGTTTTGCGGGCGATGCGCTTGCTGTCTTCTTCCGTCACGGGAACTCGAATGTGATGGATGTCATTGATATCGGTGGGCTTGACAAAGTCAGCACCTTCATCGTGAACAACATCAGGCTTGTAAGAGTCCATGGTGTCAAGCTGTCTGGCACTGTTTTCGGCACAGATCCAGGTCGGGATGGGATGTCGGTGGGAGGGGGTCGGGAATATAAGAGCCACGACCAGCAGCCGCAGCACCCCCACGTCCCGTCAGTTGTCAAACGCCGACGGTCCAAGCTTGGAGCTGGACCGGATGGGCATCCATGGGCTGATGCGATGAGGAGCCCTAAGACCATAGCGGTGTACCCACTTGTCCCCGGGTTTTCATCCCCCGCATTTGCCCCCCGCAAAGACACCCCCACTGAGGCACCCCCACGTTTGATGGGGCCCGCATTATCATATGCTCCCCAGCCGAGGCAACCCCAGGTGCCCTTAAGCATGGTGCCGGCCCGTCAATAAAAGGCGTCATCGGCATGGGGGACGCCGATGACTGGCTGCAGCTGGCCGGGGTCTGCAGCTGAAAGTGAGGCATCGCGTCGGCCGGACCGTGAATGGTCGGGATGCTTCCGACGGATCTCCGTTTCGGTCGTAGTGGCATATGTCGTGACATCATCCCGCTGCGTACCAAACATGCCTGAACTCTCCGTTTATTAGGTGGCTTGGAGATAACGGTCGGGTTATTAATTTGCGCGTTGTGCAGTTGTGCTCGTAATCCGCTGGGTTGACGGGCCCCTGATAATATTAAACGGAAAGAAAGGGAAAGCAAACACAACAATTGATACCTTCTCCCTCCCCATTTTCTCTGCTCAAGACTAATCGAGGTATCCGTCAATAGGGGCTGCGAAATCTCTATTGCATATGACTCGTGGGGGGCTCGAGTAGAGAAATATCGAATAGAGATAAGACTTGACTTTTCTAATGCATCATGTCTGATATGCAGTAGCCCGTCAGTCCGCCCGTCTTTTGACACAGATGCTACTGCGCGCCCACGGTACAGGTCTCAGAAGGTCGTCCAGATCCGGGATGTCCCAGTTAATAGCCGGAAGCAAGTCAGGATCGCCCATGTCAGTTGCATCCGGGTGGCCGAGGTGACCCCTTCCGAGAGAACATGACCCGAATCAGGGTGGCCCAACGCGGCCTTTCTTTGAATTTGGCTACCCCCACCTTAACATCAATGGAGTGCAGTGTTGCAGAATCAGTTCTGGCAGATGTATTCAGCCTCGGGGGGCTTCCACGTAGAATTTGGAAGCCGGCGTACGCCCATCCTCCTCGTCAGCAAAGCTGCACTCGGTGGCGTGATCGAGACATCGAGAGCATTTTGGATGAGCGCCATTGAGCTTTAAAACTGCTGTGAGAGGAAGATTTTCAGAGAAGCTGCTCTCAAAAGAATGATCGCTATTTGTATGAGGTTAAAGTCGTCCCGACTCCACATCCAGTCATTTAGTTCTTACCTTGGTTCGGCGGCGATGGCATTGCTCGCAAGCGCGCGTGATATTCTTACACGCCCGGCGGGGGCCCGAGTGAAACGGCTGGTTTGCTGCTTTTCTGGATGAGATGAGTGGAAGATATCCGTCTGTCAGGGGAGAGAAGTGAAGCAAGTTCCAAATGGCACAAGATGGCGGGGAGGCCATTGCCCCGCAACTCCTTAGTGGGTGGGCTGGTACCCTCCGCACTTTTAGATAATTGATTGGAAGAATTCAAATTTTGTTAAATCAGTATGAAATCTAGGAATGTTCTGTGAATGTATACATGACCAGTATTCTCATGTTGATTCGAGAAATCTTTCTTACTGGGTCTATGACTTTTCTACGGTGCAAGTACTACCACAATTCTCTAGAGTAATTTACCATGACGGCACATCAAGTACATACACAGAACATGATTGGATCCATTTTGTGCCCATAATATCAGCTCAAATCAAACCACATCATTAGTCTTCTCCCGTTGAAGTAACTCCCACTCATCCCTCACAATACGAGGCAATTCATCCTCGAGACTCAAACTCGACGGTTGCCAACCAAGCAACTTCCTCGCCCTAATCGCACAACACCGAACATTCAGTCCCCAACTAGCAGCCTCAAATCCTGCCAAAGCTTTCGCATCCTCGAAACTAAGCGGCGCCATCTCGACACGAGACAAGTACCCCTCTGCCACTGCTACATTGGCAATCGATCGTGCCACATCACTCCAGCGATGCTCCCCGTTCTCCGCAACGAAGTAAGCATCCGATCCCCACAACCCCTCTGTTCTGTCCAGTGCAGCCTGGAAAAACCGTATATACAAATCGGTTAGATCGTGGATGTGGACATTGCACCCGAATGACTGGCCCGGGCTGATATATGGGGCCTTTCCGCGCCTCAGGGCGGTTCGCGCCAGCTCGTACACTTGTCGGCTGCGCTGGGAACAGGGACCGCGACCGATACCTTACTCCCAGGCCGGGTAGCTTAGCATCAAAACCGTGGATCTGAGGGACGAGGTTCACTCACCATATACCGTAGTTGGGGAGATGATCGCAGCGCGAAGAACGTCGGGATGAGCCCTCGCGGCATCAAGGACAATCTTGTCCACGTTTCGATGGAATGCATGGTCCGGGATGTTTAGAATCCGCTGAATACCATACCAATCATCAAAAACGTCATCACGTGCCATTCCGTATGTCTGCGCGTCAGTGTCCAAGTAACTGAAGATCCCGGCGCCACTGGTATGGATCCAATAAGCTGGTTTCTGGGGATTATGGCCCTGGAGAATCCCCGTGACGATGGCGTTAGCGGCCACAACGTTGTCGGATGCGTCGGCGCAGTCTTGCGTGGGTTGAGACAGTCAGCCACAGGGGTATTAAGGAGCGAGAAGCAGCTCACGGATGATAATATCGGCATCGGCACTTTCCTGTTGAAGGAGAGTGGGGTTGCTCAGGTCGCCGAATAGCAATTGTACACCGGGGTATTGAGCTTGGATCCTCTTCCCTTTATCTGCGGTACGGACCAGCACTCTGAAGACTATGTCCGGGTACTGAAGGTGCAGCTGCGATAAGACATCCCCGCCAATATAGCCGGTGACACCGGTACTGCCTGCGGGGTTAGAATCGAATGAACGATGGCTATGGCAGGGAGGGAACCAGCGTACATGAACACTTTTGTCATGTTGTGGTGTGAAATTATCTGTTGCAAATGCTATGGTAAAGGTGGGAGGCCTGAAAGTCTGTGTGGGTTTGATTTGTTTTATTCTAAGGCTTAGTTATCTAGGCTGTAAATTATGTCACACAGCGGGGGCGGAATTTATATTCCGCTTGATTTGAAATCCTTTCTTTTATGTATCCAGTTACATGGATATCTTGTATTTCTGGTAAGGTGGGGAACAGATCTCTGGATTCTCGATGACAAATCCAATAAATCAAGAGGCACATGGTAAGATCGCACCTTGTATACCTGCGACCAGCCCTTGTTGAAATGCTTGGGCATTGATCTCGCGGGGGATCGTGGTCACGACCTGGTCCGGGTACCAGCCGCGTATTTATCAAATGCTCGTTAGACAGGCCTCCCTGGACTGTACATTTCTATGACTGACCTTGTCCAGAACATTCAAATCGGCCATGGCTGTCCGGGTAGTTGTAGAAAGTTAAATAGGACGTTTTCAGAGGAAGAGAGTGGTGAGCTTCATGAATATGACTCTCCTGGGTCTGGATGAACAGAAGCATGCAACAAGTTCTTTTTTTTAAAGTCGCATGATCCCCACCGAAGTTGAGTTCCTCAGAACCAGCCGCGGACCCACCATGAAATCCAACAAACAGTATATGGAAATTAAACCCCAGGAGGTATGTAGTCTCCGGTGTCGTGGCCGGAACCTTGGCCCATATATACTGTGCAGATATACAAACCTTTTCAATTAACACTATATGATCCCTTCCAAAGAGAGAAATACTACATACGACCACAGGGTGTGGAGAACAGGGCTTCCCGTCCGCTCAGCCGTACTTAAGCCACACGCCGGGAGGTTAGTAGTTGGGTGGGTGACCACCAGCGAATCCCTTCTGTTGTATGTTTTTATGCCTTTTTAGATCCTGTTTCATTGTTCTTTTTTCCTGATTCCTTGATAGTGAGTGAGTGCCCTTTTTGTTCGACTCATTTATCTTTCTTCTAAAGGCACATACAAAGTAGGGACAAGCAAAAAGGCTGGAAAGCAAACGTAGGTTGTAATGGCGAAAGGATGAGAAAGAGCGGTAGAACAAAGAAGGCGGTGAGGAAGCATTGAAGAGAAAGGCATAGTGAAAGACAGAGTTGCTAATTACTGTATGTATATATACTGAAAGAAACCTGCTGGTTTGATCAAGTCAAGTCAAGGAGAGAAGTTGGTATCTGTCAAGAGGAAATACACTTCTAGCCAACACGACAAGGTGCATAGATGGGATAGGGTCTATCTACTGTTGGAAACTATTTACCTTGGAATTGTTCCACTAACCAGAGAGGTATCTCTTTTGGTCTAGTTGGGAAAATCTGTCATCTACTTCATCTGCGATCTCCGTGCTAATTCAGGCAAGGCCCATTTGACCATCCACTCTGACTGCAAAACCTCGTAGACTGTTGGCAGTTCTTCAGGCCAGAATGCCATCATTCGACGCATCAAATCAATAATGGCGGTGACTTCCTCTGTGTTAAACTCACATGAGCTCTTCCGTCGATACTCCTGTACGCATTCGTCGAAAGCGAGTTCAATTCCAGACCAGACATAACGGCCCTCTTTAGGGCGCCCCTCGTTGTCAAAAAATTGGCTTCGCTCCGGCCATTGCATCCACCAACTTGAGGGCAAGGGACCCAGCACATCAATTTGTTGTGATATTAGTTCATCAGCAGAAGCAAATTCAGTGCTGAAAATCGGCTGCATGCCAAGAATCTCCCAGATTGCCGTGGCCAAGCTCCAGATGTCTGCTGAATATGAGAGGGGCGCCTCTGGTTCAAATCGGGCTTCTGGAGGTCGCATTGCTAAAGGTGTGTGGCAGTCTTTACCACAACGAGGCTCCAGGTCAGGGGCAAATGCCTCACCAAAGTTACTCGGAAGTACCTGCGTGTCAGACAGTGAAAACTCCTCGGCATACTTTCCAAGATAAAGTGGAAGTACTGTCTTTGGTGGGATATTTGGTGGCAGTTGCTTTCCATCACGTTGTGTGATGGTGACTGTCTCAGGCTTGCCATACTCTTCGTATAGCTGGTCAACCGAAAGGTGATCAAAGTCCGATGGTAGTTTAACTAGGATATTGCGCAGATGGATATCTGATTAGAAGATTATTAGAGACTCCATGAAACTAGGCAGGAACTAGGCCATCAATGAACTGATTCATCACCATCACTCACCTCCATGAACATTCCCCGTGAATGAATATACGCAATAGCCAGTGTGAGGCTACCCGATAGCGCCCGCGCAACTTCGATCGGGAAAAGACGACTAAAAGACGCTTCCCGAAGATCGCATTGCGCGGGTATCATGGTATAGCAACGATGTGTTCCATTAGGCCCCCTGAGTTCAAACCTATCTAATGGGGTGGGGATAGACTCATGTCCTGGGGTTGCGAGAGCTCGGAGAATATTGGTTTCGTGCAGAGGCGTATCTGCTATGCTAACTTTAACGGTAACGTAGCGGTGCCGACAAGTATCCAGGGCGAGCCAAACAGTTGAATACCCTCCAAAGCCCAGCTTGTCAACAATGCGGTATCGCCCACGAAGCACATCATCGATCATGATAGGATGATAACCCCCTGGACTATATTTTTCTAGTAATTCTGCGCCATCAATCCAGTTGTATTCAAAACGACGGACCTGCACATGTTCTTCGTCGTGAGATACTTTGGTTGAATAAAAGGCAGTCGGTCGCGTGATATACGCATCAGGCTTCCAGGGACGGGAAATGGGCAGTGGACGGGATAATGAAGTACACGACTGGGCGACCTTTGATGATGTAAGAAGAGGTATCTTTTGAATGACTGTCTTGGAGCAGCGCATCATGATCGAAAGAGGTGGTGGGTGATGTCAAGGGGAAACTTGAAGGTCGGCCGAGTTCGGGAAGGGTCCCAACGCGATCGACACGTCCAGTTGCCGCTCTGCAAGCTTATCACATTGTGACCAAGTAAAGAATATGGAGTCATCCATAGTCCATGGAAATATCAATACAAGCGATAAGAGAATTAGCTGGAAATATAGGTCTGCTACCATTAAAAAATAGTACCGAGTCTAGACTCATCATGTGATCATATTGGACGACGGTGTCCAACACATCCATACACCAAAATATCATTGATAAAGCTTTTATTGATTGATATTTATGCTATTCATACCGTAACTCTCATGTCCTAATCGTGCCTCATAAACTTCCCATCATCATCGCCTCCACTGTTCCAACCTCTTCATCTCAAGAAAGAGAACACACTCAGTAGTGGCACTGACCATGCACATCCCGAGCAATCGAAGATCCATTGATAGTCAACTATCCACATATTAGAACCCACATCAAGACAAAAACAGAGAGGAAAAGAGAAAACTCACAGTCCAAGCGGCATGCTTCTTGCACCAGATAGCAGTCAAATCCTCGGGACAATCGGTACGGTTTCCAGGACCGAATCCAGTGGGGAAAGCAGTTTGGCCTGCATCCACGAGTTCATGTTAGCCATCACAAGCATTCTTCCCACCTAATATTAAATAGAAATGGGAGGGGAGAAACATACATTCACCAGCAACCAGCTCACCCAAATCCCAAGAACCACCACCATCACCATCGAAAGCACTGGTCACTTGAGCGACGACATCATCGCCCGCCTCGGAGATGTAGTCGTGGTTTTCGCAGCAGAGAGGGATACCGTCACTGTAGTCGAGGACTCGGTTGACGGGGTCGGCGTCGGCGGCCACGGTGGGTTGGGCCGTCACGGCGGAGGCGATGAAGAGGAGGGTGGGGAGGAGGAACTTCATCTTTCTGGTGTTCTGTTTGTCCGGAGGGTGCTTGTTCGGATGGTTGGTAGTTGCTGATGAGGGAGGTGGAATGGGGGATGAAGGAGGTATTTATGTTTTTTGGATGGAGGGAGCTTGGTCTTATTCTCTATCCAGAATATGCAGTATGAGTTAGGTAGCGGAAGGTAGAATAGTAGGGAGCTTAAGCTGCCTGTCCCTCACTTCACCTACGGGTTTGTGATTTGATGGTGGTGAGATTTCAGACAGCCGGGTGGCAGGCCCTTGCATGGCTCAACGAGTTGGTTCTGAGGTTGGCGGAGATACAGAGTACGGAGTCAAATAGTAGGTGCCTAATAGACAAGGGATGAGTTGGCAGTTGTCACAGAAGATACATTGAGTTCCCAAACTCAATTGCGGCCGGCAGGGTTGAAACAAGGGCTGGCAAGACATTCCATCCAACCTTGCGGTGCCGAGCTGAGACATCCGGCGGTGAGGTGAGGCACCAACAATCTGCAACAATTCGACAACCGGATGAGGAGGACTGGTGTCTTGCTATTTGCATCTCCAACAGTTTTGATTGGCGTAGTTGAGTTTGGAAAATGTTCCGGTGGTTGATCAAGTCAGATGTAGTCAGTCCTTGACCCCATTCCTCAGGGTATACAAAGACATCATGCGAGGGCAGAAGCTAGAGCAAGGTCCCTTGTAGATGGCGGCGGCGGATCATGGATCTACATGCAGGTGCAGCAAGATATCGTACGGCAATCAAGGCAACCTACTTATACCGAGGTAAGTTGTTGAGATGATACCGGTTTGGCATTAGAATATTAGTCCCAGCTATGTCGATCGTGGCTCGGCGCAGCAACCCTAATTAAACTTTGTGGCCCTCCACCACCACGGGCACCACTTCCACCGTCTCAGCATCCCCGCGATCGGGATCAAACTCGTCCCAGTAATCCTTTGGCTCTTTCCATTCTCTTGTCTTCTCCATTCCTGTGGGAGGCCAGATGAAACATCCTAGATAATACACCCCAAAAGCAATCAACACTCCCACAGGATACGCGACGAAGTAGAATCGTTGAATCCCCAACGGCGCCTTGACTCCCATCTGGTGCAGAAAGCCGTAGAAATTGGGCGCAATGGCTACAATGTAGGCACCAAATCCGCGGAGATTAAACCCGTAGAAGAAATGGTACATGCCGTCGGACCGGGAGGTGTACAATTCAGGGATGTTGAGCCATCCGCGCCGGATCAAATAGTAGTCGCAGATCAGGATGCCGGCGATGGCGGAGAGAAAGATTTGATACGAGGAGAGGAAGGTAATAAACACGGATGCTGTGGCGAGGAGATACCATGGGCAGATGGCGTAGGAGAGGACTGACACATCAGTAACGGATCACTGTATGGCTACATGCATGAACTCACTGGCACAGATGAAGAAGCCTCGCTTGACAGTGATGTAGCGGGGCAGCAGCGCGGCAATGTCATTTCCGGCACTGTTCGGATTAGTAACTCCTTTTCTAAAGTAGAGAGCAACATACGGGATCGAGTTTTCGAAGATGGCGGAGAAGACGGTCGAGTACACAAATGCGAGCGAAATGAATGCACAGGCAGCTCGATTGCCAGGAGTATACCTCTCCCCCTCCATCAGCTTGTCGAGGAAAGTCAGGGGATTCCAGATCAGCTGTTAATATTAGTATCGAGTTAATACGATATATATTACGACGTACCTCTCCAAATATACTTGTGCTACAAGCTGCGATAATATTCCCGATGACGGCCACCATTAACCCTGAGAGCGGGAAGCTGATGATCTGTCCGAGTATCGCGTCGCTGGGCTTTCGGGTGTACCGTTGAAGGTCAGCGGCATTGGAGATGAAGGTTCCACAGCTCGCCAGTCCCAGGAACAGGAACTTGCAAATCAACCAACTCTTGGCTTCACCCTGTACCTCCGAGGGGGCGCGGAGACCTGGTGGGTTCCCGCCCGCCAGGGAGACCACCCAGCCCAGCATGGCGAACGCGCCGCCATAGTAGACCACCACTTTGATGTAGATGAGCTTTTTCATCTTGGGGACAGGGACGACAAGAAATGCGCAATTGATGAGCCTGAATTGTCAGTATTCATCATTGAGAAGGGGATGGTGTGGGTGTACCAATAAACCAGAAAACAGATCATCTGCGCCGTATTCAAGGAAGACTTGGAACCCATCCGATCCGGGATTCGCGCAATGGAGGGAAAGATGGCATGCAGGAAAACGCTGTTCCCGTCAGTCACCACCTTGCAGAAAGTTGTAACACTCACTATAGACACTGTGCCCCCTGAGTAATGTTGACTCCGTTCCAGACGATACTCATGGCAGCCCGGTTGAAGGTGGGCCAGAAAGCACCCCACGGCCCAAAGCTGGAGCGACACAATACGGGGAAAGGAATGCGATACATGGCTCCCGCTCGGCCGTTGAGGGCCATCAAGCACCCCGCCAGAAACTGACCGGCGAACGAGCAGGCGATGGCCTCCCACATTGTCAACCCCATGGCCACACCGGTGCTGGAGGCATACAGATTGCTGACGTTGGCCGTGGCGGAGAACCAGAAGAAGATGTAGGTGAGGCGCGTCCACGTGCGCTGTCGCGAGGGCGTTGGCCGGATGGAATCATTGTCGAGGGCTCCCACGGGGCGAAGGGCGCCATCCTGGTTGACGCTCTTGACGAGCAACCGCTCATGGATGCTTTCCCAGGCCATTTTGGATGCTTTCGACGAAGCGCTGGATGGTCCGAGAGCGACGGGGCCGCGACGGCCTTTAATCCTTGCGGAATACTCCGTACTCTCACCATATTTTCACCATCCTCTCCCTTCTCAAAGGCAGAAAGATAGGTTATCTCTTGGCTGGCACTCCTTCTCCCCTTGGCAAGGCTGGCTATCAGATAAGTCCACCTCGACGGGGACCAATCATGCCTGCGGATTGGGGTCGCGGTGCTTATCGAGCGGAAGGTGCTACAGCCACGCCAGGGTCTGTTATGACCACACTTTCACCTTAATCTAAATCTATGGTATTCTGTAGTATTCTGATAATGGTTGATTTCTCTTTGTAAGACCTTACTGGAAGCCATACTTGTAGTCTTACTTGAGACAGTGCTCAGTATCCTTTATGAAGCAGTAATCAAGGTCGTATTTGATCTTGTCTTGAAAGGTCCTGTATGTAATAGCTTATATTTATTTAAGAGGCTTCTATATAGAATAGACTGCTTTATTATGGAAATCAAGTAGGTAGAGTGTGGTTATAGCGGCGCCGGGGTGGCTGTAACGCCGCCTTATCGAGCATCCCCCACCTTTTCCACCCCATCGGCGGGGATCGCCGTGGAGTCTCGTGGAGACTCACACATGTCATCTCCAAATAAACCACCGACCAACCCACCCACTTGGACCTTGCATTGACTTCCTGATGACTGTCATGGCTAACTCTCAGTACACTCACGTCGAGCTGTTGACGTTACACGGCCCCGAATACCGCCGGGTTTCGACCGCCCCACCACGGCCCCCCCGCGACGACGAAATCCCCGTCCTCGATCTCGCCGGCATCGACGGCGATGCAGACGCCCGCGCCGCACTCGCAGCCAGCATTCGAGCAGCTGCCCAGAACACAGGCTTCTTCTACATCAAGGATCACGGCATTTCACAAGATCTGATCGAAAATGCCCTCACCCAAGCCAAAGCCTTCTTTCACCAGCCCGAGGAGGAGAAGCAAAAGGTGTCCAACTTCAAGCTGCAGCACATGGATGGCTACCACGCGGTGGGAACCACCCAGGTCAACAAAACCGAAACCAAAGGTCAGTCACCACAAACCAGGGATCCATGGCATATTAACTCCAGGAACAGATCGCAAAGAAACCTTCTCGCTCCGCTACAACGCCCGAAACGATCCAACCGTGGATTCGTCCAAGTCCTCCGCTCGTGCCTGGGACGACTCGCAGCTGTGGGCCGGCACCGCTCACCTCCCCAACTTTCGTGAAACCACCATCGCCTTCTGGCAAGCCCGGTTAGCGTTGGCCAGGAAGATGGTCCGCATCTTCGCCCTGGCCCTCGACCTTCCCGAGACTTACTTCGACGACGTCGTCACTCACCCCGGGTCCGATGGCCTTTACGTTCACTATCCCGCAACACCGGATGCAGATCGAGAAAAGACAGATGTTGACGTTGGAATCGGCTCACATACGGATATCCAGTGCTTCACGCTGCTCTGGCAAGATATGTCAGGAGGTCTTCAGGTCTTGTCATCGTCAGATGAGTGGCTGGATGCGCGTCCCATCCCGGGCACCCTGGTCGTCAACATCGGCGATTTCCTACAGCGGCTGTCAAACAACCGGTTCAGATCGACGGTGCACAGGGTATATAATCGGCAGGGTACGTCACGATACTCCATGCCGTTCTTCTTGGGGTTCAACCCGGAATCGGTCTGCAAGGTCGTGCCGTCGTGTGTGGATGAAGAGCACCCGGCTCTGTATGAGCCCATCTCCTGTGGACAAGTAGGTATTTCTTCAAACGTATCCGAGGATGATTGCTGACTGACATAGTGGCATCGCGATCGACTCGCTCTTGCGCAGGGGAAGAAGGCTGCAGCAGCGTGACCAGCCATATTTGTCGCAACGGGGTAAAAAGAAGCAGAACTATCGACATTTGTATTTGGGGACAGCTTACGGAAACAAAAGTAATATGTACTTTGAGTTAACCTGGGCATAGTATGGCTATAGCTAGTCACTCATGAGAGGAATGTGTACAAGCAGCGCTTCACCTTAAAACAAACTACCATTGCACCTCCTAACCATGCCGACATCACTTCCCTCCCTCAAAGATAATTTTCTGGGATCGCATATGGTTGAAATCATCATACCTAGGACAATCAGCATAATCACAACACCAAGGGATCTACTCACGCCTGAATAGCCTCAGACAACGGCCGCACATCCGTCACCATGAAACTGCACCTCGTCAGCAAACCCCATTCCACCCCATTCCATCTGCATCACTCACTCGAGAATATCTTGCTTCTTCACCAACATCTTCAACGCATCCTCGAAAATACCTAACCCCATTAGCACCATTTCCTTCCTCCCACAAAGAGAAACACTCACTCCGAACCGGACACCTCCCCATCTGCACCTGCAAATTCTTCCCATACGCCTGATTCCCCGTCCAAGGAATCTCCCCATTATGCACACCCACACTCGAGATCCGTCCCCAGGGCCTCAACATCTCAAACGCCATCCCCAACGCACTACTATGACCCACCACCTCAATCGCCACATCCGCGCCCCTCCCCTCCGTCAACTCCCTCACTCTCTCCCTCAACTCCTCTCCCTGCGTCTGAAAATTCCACGACTCGGCCCCCAACCTCCCCGCCAACTCCAACCTCTCCACCACACTATCCACCGCAATGACCTTCTTCGCACGATACTCCAACGCACTAATCAACGCACAAATCCCCACCGGCCCACACCCAAACACCACCACCACACTCTCCCGTATCTCATCCTCCTCCATACCCTTGAACGCATTCCTCGCTGCGAAATACCCCGTCGGGAAAATATCCGCCATGAGCACTAGTTTCTTCTCATCGATGCCCTCGGGCGCCTTGACAAGAGTTGAATCCGCCAACGGCACGCGCACGTAATCTGCCTGTCCGCCATCGAGGACCGCCGAACCGTAGAGTTGACATTTGGCGCATCGCGAGGAACACCCCCGTGTGCAGTAGAAACAGGTCCCGCAGCTGACGGTAAAGGGAGAGACGACTAGATCGCCTTTCTGGAAGTGTTGGACGTCGGGGCCCGTGGCGACGATCTCGCCGGTGAATTCATGGCCCATTATGAAGCCTGTCGGGGAGGGTTGGTGGCCGCGGAAGACATGGAGCTCACTGGATGACGTGTGCGATGTATTAGTATTCCGATCCATCTGATCATTTCAAGAAAAGGGGAAGAGGGGATACGAACCTCCCACATAATGCCGTGTACCGAACTTTAATGAGCACATCCGTAGAATCCTGAATTTGAGGAATGGGACGCTCCTCGAGCGCGACTTCAAGGGGACCCTTGAAGATGACGGCTTGCATGGTGGGTTATGTAAGTGGTGATGAGAAGTAATTGACTAGATGGTGGGGTTCCAATGTTGTGAGGAGTAATAGAAGTTATAGGGTGGTGTCACTCACTCCCCTCCCCGCTTTTCGCTTTTCGGAGGTCCCGTGGACCTCGGCTGGCAGGGATGTCACTTTGCAGATCAGTGATGTTGCTGCTGCTTGAACCCCGCGGAATTTCTTCGGGTATACTTCTTTCTTTATTAACGCTGCAGATGAAGCTTGGTCCGAAACTTAGGTTCTGTTGTCCGCGATAACCCGATCGATATGCTTCATTTCAAGGTTAAGGAACAGGACGTACTATAGGAGGGAGGGTCGGGGTAATGCTAAGCCCTGAGGCTCTAATTTCAAAACTTTTCATCATCCAAACCCCAGAAACCTCCCATTAAGTCTAATATATGCGCCAGACGACTTCTGTATGGAGTTTGCCGAAATAAATTCAGGCAAAACCTAAAAATGCTGTCTATCCACAAGCGCTCTACAACTACGAGAAATGGTCACACCCTTACTTGGCTTGCTCGTCGACGAGACGTCAACCTATGCGCTTGTGAGAACGCTACTTCTGGCCATAATATCGAAAGAGGATGACTTACCTACCGGACATTTTACGAGTCTTTGACTGCTAGTTTTCGGTGCTTCTTTGGAGTGGTAATAAGGTTGAGACATGGCGGTGGGTCTATCGAGGTGGCAGTGTGTATCATTTATATCAAATATTGAGAGACGAGTCAGGTTTTGAGCTACAAATGCTCAAAAGCGATTTAGTCTCATGAACAGGACGTGTCTATCACGTCATCAACATCATCTAGGTCAACATGGACCACGTGGACACCTTTTCGACAAGCATTGGGCTTTCTCTTGCTTTGGGGAGCGATGGCAGTGTGAAACCACGATGAATTATTCGGCCTCCTACAGCAGCACTTCCGGTACTTATACGTAGTTGACTGCACGAGTCAACGTGCGTAAAGCGTGTGTCGAGCAGACAACCGGAAGCGAGATGGTCCCATCTCAGGATCGCCACCAAGGCATCGACAGTGTACTAGAACTCACAGGGAATGCAAATGGGGAATCAATTATCATCTACCACTACTCAGAAGGTTTATACCATTTTTGTTTGGACTTGGCCGACCAGATCTTCGTCTCGAAGGCTTGCCCGGGTTCGGCTACAAACGGTGATGTGAACCCGTTTATCGTACCGGCATAGCTGGGGCCGACCCGATGGCTGCCCGCCGAAGATGGTGGATCCGACCCCGCTGATTCGGTTGTAGTTCTGACTCGAGCCAGATCAAAACTTGCACTCCGGTCGCGTAGGCTCGGAGCAGACCCTTTGGATGAGGTGGGCCTGGACTGACTCATGCCAGGCACCAAACAACGAGGATGAAGCTGCCTGTCCTGTATTACTGACGACGATTCACTGTTGGCTACAGTGTCTGTCACTGAACTAGCGTCTGCATTGGAATGTGTGTCCGCAATCGATCCGTTGTCTGCAATCGACCCGGTGTCGGTGACGGAGCGACTCTCGGGTATTGACCGAGTGTCTGGGATGGAGGGTGTGTAGTTGGAGGGAGTTCCATTGGAAGAAGTGCCATTGGAGGTGCCATTGGAGGTGCCATTGGAGGTGCCATTGGAGGTGCCATTGGAGGTGCCATTGGATGGGGTATCCATATAGGATCGACTGTCGGCACTAGATCGGCTCCCCATGTTTGATCGGACGTCTGACATGGATCCGCTGTCGGTAGTTGCTCCAGAATCCGTGGGTGGCACCGCGTCCGTATTTGGGGCATCATTGGTGAACTCCTGGCCTTCGCGGATATAGCATCTCGAAATCAGGTCGTTTTGAATGGTGAGGATTTTGTTTAGCGACCGTATCAGAGCGAACTTGAACGGGACCGACATTTCAGGATGAATGGATATCGTTTCGTACGCAAGCTCCTTGACATACCCCAGGCAGGTGTTCATGTGCATGTACTCGATCTTCAACGGGTGCATCAGGATTTTGCCTGTATGCATCTTCCTACATCCAACCATTTAGTTCATCTGCAGTACTCGCAAATCAAGTACTTCACTGGAAGGTCAGTTACGCGAACTTACCCTACCTTATCCAGATACTCCCAATACTCTTTCTGGCTGGGGTCGGAGAACAGCCGGGTCAGGTACCACTTCCAAAAGATCTTCCTCCGCTGCACATGCGGGCCGTCCAAGGTGAACAGGTCTTCAACATGGGCCTCCGATTCAGTACTTCGAGTACGCAGGGCGCGGGCTGTGATGTCAAAGTCGAGCATTTTCGCATACAGACGATGCGTGAGGTCGGGAAGGGCGGCTTTTAGAAATTTGGTGCCTTTATTGAAGACGATAAGATCATCTGCAGGAGTTAGCATCTGACCCAGGTCACATTCATCCCAGCCTACCATCTGTGAAGTCGAGAAATGCACGTAAAAATTCCATCCGTTTGCCAAAATCCGTGTATAGTTCCCTCCGCGTCACCCGCCTGATGTCATCCTGTACAGGAGACAGTGGATCCATTGTGTATCAGACTAGACGTGAACGTTGAGCTATTGAACGGGAAAGTTGCGTTGCGGACTTCGATGCGTATGGTGGGCGTTAGTAGGTGGGCTGGTTTGTCGCCACGCTCTAGATCAGATGGTGATGGGGAGCAAATGTGTTGGGACTGCTCTGCCCGGAGGCCTTATATTAAGCTGACCCAGTGACCCCTGGAAGGATTTTGGGCCAGCACGCGACTCCCATTGCTCTAAACCGATGGGGAATCCGACTGCGGCTGACGTGCGGCGCGATTGGTGTAGCTGCTGGAGATTTCCAAACCGTGCCGTCATACAGCTTTAAGCCTTTGACGGCGCGGTCCACTACCTTACCCGCCAGCGTGGAACTCCGCGGCACAATTCGCTGCGAACTGAGTAGGAACCTGAAGGCTGACACACCACAGCTGTTTCCGAAGCGATCCACGAGGCACAAATGGTGGGTTGGCAATGGAGCCGATAAATTCCAGTATATTAAATCAACGAATTGCGCCCCCACCTGGCGATTTCAGGACAGTGGCCCAGACTCCAATGTTCAGCTACGCCAACCCGATCCCTGGAAAGAAAGGACACGATAGGGACCGTTTCCCAAAAGTGGGGCCGCTAACGATCCCATCGCGTAGGATTCAATATGTCGGACGGAGTCGGATATCCCGTCCGAGTCATGATTTGCTATCGCCTCCGTTTGGGATCGGGTCCGGTCTGTGCTGGTCCCCTCGATGGAACGAACTGTCAGTCAGCCCTTGGCATTCAGGATTGGCTCCCCTGAAGGGTAAAGATGGTTGCAAGCCTTGCATTCAGCTGACGCGCAACATCGTGTCTGGCATGCGCATCGGACGGGGTCCGTCCGGACGAGGGGATGTTGCTGCAGGATGCTGATCGTTATCGTCTGGCGCAGCGCCAGATATGCTGGAAAATGGTCGAGTTCGTTCGATGCAGGGATGGGCCGAGATGGGGAGTGGGATAGAGAATAGTAGGAAGATAGGATCATGCCATATCTGCGGTTCTGGCTTCAGGTACTTCTTTCGGGTTCCCACTTGCCATCCGTCGTGATCCCACTAGACCGCTTGAGGTAAGTCTCGGGGGAAGCGGGCGGCCGAGAAGGGCACATGACTAATCAGTGGGTAATCGCCCGCCGCGCGTGCTCGGCTATCGGCCAATCTTGAAGCTCCGGTGCCATAGCGACAGTTTACTCCTCCACCGCCTGACTAGTTAACCGTCTTGGCAAGAGGCCGATATATTTTCCGTTCCGATCGCTTCGTTGCTGGCTAGGACTCATCCTACTCCTAGACCTCTGGTTGCCCCAGATTGACCGCAGTGACCCACCTTGTCGCTGATGCCTATCTTTATCGCCCCATATCTTGCCCTCACTCACATGAAATAGATAGTTCGGTCTCTTCAAACCAAATCAATGTTTCACTGTGTTTATCGAGCCTCTACTGCCTTGTACAGAACTAGAAGGATTCCCTCAGCTCGGTATTTCCATCGAGTTACCGCAGACTTCTCTAACTATGACTTGAAAGGAAATTTGATTACTGAGAAGGTTCCTGTTATTGTTGGTAACCCAGGAGAAACTTACGTTTTGATTGATCCAGAAGTTGGCAGTGCTCTCCGTGCGGCTGCAAGTCAACTTCAGGTCTCTGCACCTGCTGCAAGTATTCAAGAGAGATATAAACTTACATTCTTTCATGACTCACGACATTTTGGGTTTGGTAAGTGGCTATCACAATTATCTATAATGTTGGTACTAATGACTTTATCCAACACTAGAATCGTCCAGTTATCCCCGCCTCTATGTCCCCCGATACATCCCAGGCCGACCAGAGTCCAGTGTAAGCCCTGCTACGTTGTTTCTGGATGGAAAGATGCATGAGATTGTTCTTGATGGTACTGCAGATGGTAACATTTATTCATCGTTTGGCTATGGTTTGTCGGTTTTTAACATTGATATAGCTCACTTTGCTCACAACGCAAGCGCTACTGCACGAAATCTAGAGCATGTATTGGATCAGTTGAAGGATATGTGAACAATCATTGGCTGCGGACGTATCCAACGAATAAGTAGTAGATAGTTATTGGCGTTATTTACTAGTGGAGGTTGGACTGCGCTATCATAGGTTCGCCACGCCCGATGCAGTCCAATTTCCAGGCGGGGCTCTCCAGGTAAGACATTCATTTCACGAGGCCCGGTGCCAACAATGGCTCCCCGAGCTCGGCCGCTATCCGCTCGCGGCTACCCGGCTTCCCTGCTTCCCTGGTCTCGCACCAACACTATCTAGTTGGCTTTTCCTGTTCCCTGGTCCTCTCTAATCTTCAATTCCGTCAATCGATTCAGTGCCAGCACTCAGCCAGGATACCATGTGGTTGGCCATCTTCCTCGTTGAAGGAGGTGGCACGTGACAGGGAGAAGCCTCGGCTCGATGCACAGAATGCGGGGATGACGCGGCTGCCACTGCGACCGCCCCTGCGACCGCCGATCACGATCGCCATCCACTGCCACTCACCGACAGCTACTCCTTATCTCTGACCTCCCACCACATCAGTCATCAACACACTCAACACACCTATATCAGCACACCATGTCGCACCTCTCTTCCAACCCAATTCCATTCGCAGAGCCACCCTATCTATGTGGCCTCCCATCACCATACTACTCAACTGGCCATCGTCGATTCCAACAAGCGTGTCGCGCGTTCCTCTGGGAGCACCTACTCAGTCATGCAACGGATTACGAAAAGGCAGGCGAGGTCCCCAAACACGTCTTCGAAACCTTCTGCAAACACAACATGTTGATCCCGAACATGGGCGCCCCGTTGCCGGTCGACTGGCTGAAGCGCTTGGGGATCCACGACATTCTGGGCGTCAAGGTGGAGGAGTGGGATTATCTATACTCTGGGATCTACTTTGATGAGGTAATTTATTCAAGACCTTGGCAATGCATGGCTGATAGTTACAGCTGTCACGGTCCGGTTTGGCTGGGCCTGGAGCGTCCCTCAATGCCGGCTTTACCTTTGCTATTCCTCCCGTCCTCAAATACGGCAGTCCTGAACTGAAGGAACGCTTCCTCCCCGCCCTTCTGACCGGTCACAAGCGCTGCTGTATCGCCATCACGGAGCCCGAAGCAGGAAGCGATGTCTCCAACATCACAACGACGGCCACAAAGACGGCCGACGGGCAATACTACCTGGTCAATGGCGCCAAAAAGTGGATCACCAACGGGATCTGGTCGGACTACGCGACCATGGCCGTCCGGACCGGCGGCCCGGGCGCATCCGGTCTATCAGTCATGCTGGTCCCATTGAAAGGCCACCCCGGGGTCAACATGCGCCGGCTGAAGGTCACCGGCCAGCTCACCGGCGGAACAACCTATATCGAGCTGGACGATGTGAAGGTGCCCGTGGGTAATTTGATCGGTCGCGAAGGCGACGGGATGCAAATGATCATGACCAACTTCAACCACGAGCGGCTCTCCATCGCAGTCGGAGTCACGCGACAAGCCCGCGTGGCCCTTTCGAGTGCCTTCCAATATTGTCTTAAGCGGGAGGCCTTTGGCAAGACGCTGATGGACCAACCGGTTGTGCGACATCGACTGGCCAAGGCTGGTGCTGAACTGGAGACGCTGTGGGCATTTCTGGAACAGCTGCTCTACCAAGTGTGTCATTTGCCCAAGGAAGAGGCAGATAAGAAGCTGGGTGGGATCACTGCACTCGCCAAGGCCAAGGCGGGGATGGTACTGAACGAATGTGCGCAGTGCGCGGTTCTGTTGTTTGGCGGAGCTGGGTTCACACGCAGCGGACAGGGTGAGCTGGTCGAAGCGATTCTCCGAGAAGTGCCTGGTGCTCGGATTCCTGGGGGAAGTGAGGATGTTCTGCTGGATCTCGCAGTGCGACAGTTGGTGAAACTTTATCAGAAGGGGGAGAAGCAGCTGAGGTCGAAGATTTAGACGGACATCAGGCTGGGATTTCTCACCTTTGGTTTTGGTTACAGTGTATATTACGGTTAGACAAATTCGACACTGATTTCGACAACCTGGTGTTTCATCCATTCGCAAGATCGGGGTGAAGTCTGGAAGCAAGGGCTTATCAGTCCCGCTGCAGCTCCTTATCGGATCGTCCAGCCACGGCCCCGATCAGGTGCTCGACAGGTCACACCAGCCCCGCTTTTCGACTCGACACTCCACTGCTTCTACGCACGCCAGGTAGGTTTGTCCAGTTTGCGCGCGGCATTCAGACTAACTGGCCGGCAGTTGATATCAGCAAGCAGAGCTACTGATAGCGCCGTCGCTGTGACTACCAATCGCAGCCATGTTCATCCTGGCTCGTCACGAAGCCCAACTTATCATCGGCCGATGCGACGCGTCTTATCAGCAGCCAAGAATGGGAGCAACTTAAATGACGGCCCCTTGCCAAAGATGGTTTCTGTAGAAAACAGCAGCCACCATGGGCCTCAAGCAGCGGCTTCGAGTCAAACACGGAGACCTCGTCTCCAGCGTGGACTCTAATGCAGACCTTGATCCGATTCCGCGGAACTCGCCCCGACGGACCTGGGGATGGGTCAGTTTGACCGGGTTCTGGATTTCGGAGGCGTTTTCAATCAGCATGTATCAGGGTATGTTCCTCTTTGCTACGATGAGTGCCTGCTAAGTGAGCAGTCACGTCCACCTCGGTGTCGAAAGGCTTGAATGCTGGTCTGGCGATTGCAGCAGTGGTCATAGGCCATATCCTCGTATATATCCCAGTCGCGCTGGATGGGTCAGTTTCTTCCCGGACAGACCTCTCGAATCACCTAACCAAACCAGATACGTCGGCTCAATCTACGGCATCAACTTTCCTATCCTGACCCGTGCCAGCTACGGCATGCGAGGCAGCTACTTTGCCGTCCTCAGTAAGCTCTTCCCAATTCCTTCCAGCCCAGCTAACACTCGCAGTCCGTGGCCTAGTCGCCATTATCTGGTTCGGGACCCAAACCTACCAAACAGGGGAATGCATCTCCTCCATGATAAGCGCCATTTGGCCCTCCTTCCAGCACCTGCCAAACCATCTTCCTGCTTCAGGCCCCATAACCTCCTCTGAACTCCTCTGCTTTTTCCTCGCCATCATTGTCCAACTCCCGCTTCTCTACCTCAATATACCCCAACTACGGTACCTGTTCCTCGTAAAAATGGCCATCATGCCCATCTTCGGTCTCGCTCTGTTTATCTGGGCTGTCGCAACCGCCCACGGCTTTGGGCCTGTTTTCTCCAAACCCAGCCATATCACCGACGGCACACCAGTTGCCGTAGTGTTCCTACAATGCGTAACCAGCGCCATCGGCCCCAAGGCCACTCTTGCCCTCAACATGCCCGACTTCACGCGCTACGCACACACTCCGCGACAAATCTTTTGGACACAGGCCCTGGGACTGATCATACTCGTCTCCCTCTGCGGCGTCCTAGGAGCAACCGTCACCTCCGCCAGCGAAATCATCTACGGCGTGCAGACCTGGAATCCTCTGCAAGTGGCCTCCCTCTGGGACAACCGTGCCGCGCAGTTCTTCGCCGCGTTCTGCTGGTCGCTCGCCGCCATCGGAACAAACCTCTCTGCAAACAGCGTGTCCTTCTCCAACGACCTCTCCCTCTGGTTCCCACGCTACATCAACGCCAGAAGAGGAGCCTACGTTTGCGCGATGCTAAGTATCCTCAGCTGTCCCTGGTACATTCAATCCGAGTGAGTCCCCTCTCGCCCCATCTTATCGCCCAAACCACCAACTCTAATCCACAAAACAGCGCAGCATCCTTCTCCTCCTTCCTCGGTGGCTACTCCCTCTTCCTCGGCTCCCTGGCCGGTATCATAATAGTCGACTACTGGATTATCCGGGGCCAAAACCTCCGCGTCCGCTCCCTCTACGACCCCTCTCCACACGGCACGCACTACTTCACCCGAGGATTCAACCTCCGCGCCTTCGTGGCGTTCATTTGCGGGATCGCACCGAATCTACCCGGTTTAGCGCATGCGTGTGGTCAGAGCGGCGTGCCAAAGGGAGCGGTGTATCTGTACTCGATGAGTTGGGTGGTGAGTTTTGTGATCTCGGGGGGGTGTATTGGGGACTGTGTCGGGGGTGGTCGGTCAAGGTAGATGGTGATGAAGTGGTGGAGGGGGTGGAAGTTGGTCTTGAGGAGGAAAAGAAGGGGGAGATGGTAGGTGTAAAGGAGGTTAGTGTTTAAACTTCAAATACCTTACTACTATCCCAATCATGAGCCAAACCCCACATCAATCAACCTCCACAATCCAACCGAATCCAATCCAATCCATCAAAGATACTCCTGCCCCCTCGCCAACCTCCCCACCCTCGAACTAGCATACGCGCCCTTCTTCGCCGTCCTTGCCCCCATCCTCACCAACCCCACAAGCTGATGCACCCCGGCCACCACCCCATCAACAACCTGAACATCCTTCCCAACAGCCTTCTCCACGCAGCCCTTAAGCCCACTCATCCCCGCACACCCAAGAATAACCGTATCTGCACCCTGCTCCGCGACCAACGTCTTCGCAGCCCCACACACCGCGCCTACAACATCCAAACCCTTACCCTTACCCTTCCCATCCAACTCCAAGACACCCAATCCACACGCCTCCACGCCCGCACAGAACCCATCCAACCCAGCGTGTCTAATCGCATCAGCATGAATAATCTTCGAGCGCGTCGATGTAACCACCACCCCGAAGCGATTCCCTATACTCCGCGCCGCGAAGAGACTCGCTTCCATGATCCCCATTACTGGGGCGGGGAGTTCCTCGCGCAGAGCACGGATGAGAGGGTGGTCGCTGTAGCAGGCGACTAGGAAGGCGTCGTATTGGTCTGCGAGGGGGAGGAGAGCGCTGAGGGAGGCCGCCGCGGAGAGGACGCCGTCGAGGATGCCTTCGATGGCTGTTGGGGCGGGGACTGGGGCTGTGAAGCCGTGGAGGGAGACGTCGGGTGGGAGGGTTGGCGTGACGAGGTTGATGCAGTTGGTTGTCATGGAGGGGGTAGAGTTGGGGTTTATGAGGAGGATGCGGAGGGTTCGTTTGGATGGGGATGGGATGGGGGTGTTGGTTGAGGGTGATGTTTGGAGAAGAGGCGGTTCAATCACGCCGGTCTGGGAGGTGATTCGGCCGTAGTGCTCGATGCGACGATGACGGGCAAAGTCAAAGGTGCGGGTTTTTCCGGCACGACAGAGAGTGAGGTCGCAGTCTGCGACGATGATTTCGTCGTCGGTGGACTTGGTCTCTGCGATGATGCGTCCCTCGGGGTCGATGATGGTCGAGCCGCCGATGAGGGGGTATTTGCCGTCGTCGAGGCCGCAGCGGGCGGCGCTGATGGAGAAGCAGACGTTGGTGTAGGAGTGGCATTGCATGACTAGTTTGTGGTGGAAGAGGGAGAGTTCCTCGGCTTCCTTGGGGTCCATGTCGGCTGACTGGCCCCAGAATTGTGGCGCGTAGCCGTTCGTGTTGAATCCACATGCGACGATTTCAACGCCTTGGAGACCGTACTCGCGCCAGGATTCGGCCCAGCGGCGGTCGTTGCAGATCATCATGCCCAAGATCGGGTCTGGAGTGTCGTCTTTGTCTGGGGGGAGAAGAAGGCCAGGGGCACGAAAGGCCTGGAAGCCGAGGTTTCCCGGTCGGAAGTATCGTTTTTCGAGCTGATTGACGGCCGTAGGGTCGGCGAGGGGCTCGACGTCGCCGGGGAGATGGATCTTGCGGTATTTGGATAGAATGGAGCCCGTTGCGGCATGGTAGTACACGCAGCTGTTGAAGTGCTCGCCGCCATCGGTGGCTTCTGCGAATCCGACGATGATGTCCACGGCAAGATCGCGAGCTGTGTCGAAGAGTGCTTTGGTTCGTGACGCGGTGGTGATGTCGCCGTGTTCGAACCAGCTTTCCAATTCGGCTTGGTCGAGGATCAGGTAGCGTGGGAAGAAGGTGGTGAATGCGATTTCCGGGAAGAGGACCAGCTTCGCGCCTTGAGCAGCAGCATCTTTGAGCAAGATGATCATTCGGTCTAGTGTATTCTCTCGTGCGTCCCATTTGTTGGTCGTGCCCAGTTGGGCGGCGGCGAGGCGGACAGTGCGAGCCATGGTGATAGATGAGGTGGTATTGTTGGAGGATAGGATGCTCCCTCTTTCTTACTGGCTGGCATTAATATAGTGATGGCTTTGACCTCTGGCATTCGGATATATTTCCGCCTCTGCTGATACCAGCCCGATGAGGAAGGTCGGGGGAGGTCCTATCAACTATCAAATCTTATCGCGTCGGCCGGTCCGCCGTCGTCGCGAGGGGATGATAACGATAGCCTTATTATCGGCGATTGCCTGGGGGTATGATACAGAGTGAACAACAAAGCTCCAATTGTCAGGATGAAGGCCACACCAGGAATTGACTTGATTATCATAAACGCTACGGTGGTAGGTGTTTTCGCTTCGGTTGATCGACCCTCGCTCACGGCGTAGGCTACGGCCTCCGATGTAGTCCCAAACCAGGATATCGCCATCTCCGACGGGAAAATCGTCCTCCTGGGGCAGAACCTCCCGGCACTCTTCCCCGGTGCTGACACGATCGATGCAGAAGGCGCATACGTGACCCCCGGTGGTGTCGATAGCCATGTACATTTGCAGCAGGACAACTCCCCAACCGGGGACACCTGGGAGTCAGGGACTCGATCGGCCATTGCGGGAGGTACGACGACAGTGTTGGCATTTGCAAGTCAGAAGCGGACGGATGAGAGTCTATTTCCGGTCGTCGAAGAGTATCATCGAAGGGCCAACGGCCAGGCGTACTGCGACTACGGCTTCCATCTGATCTTGACCAATCCAACCCCAACAGTCCTCGACGAGGAGCTGCCTGTCCTAGTGCACGAGGGTGGCATCAGCTCTGTCAAGCTGTACATGACCTACCAGCCAATGCGCCTGGGAGATCGAGAGATCCTCGATGTCATGGAGACCACGCGACAGCTGGGAATGACGACCATGGTGCACGCAGAGAACCATGAGATGATCCAATGGATGACCGAGAAACTCGAGGCGCGTCGCCGGACCGAGCCATATGGCCACGCGCTCGCACGTCCCAACATTGCGGAAGACGAAGCAACGTACCGTGTCATCTCTCTGTCCGAACTGGCCGATGTTCCCATCCTGATAGTCCACATGTCCTCGAAGCTGGCTGCAGCCCATGTGCGGGCGGCCCAGACTCGGTTGCTGCCAGTCCATGCGGAAACGTGTCCCCATTATCTGTTCTTCACAAGTGAGAAGCTAAAGGGAGAGAATTTTGAAGGGGCCAAATGCGTGTGCTCGCCGGCGCTGCGGGAGGATCCGATGGATCTGGAGGCGATGTGGGCGGGTCTTGCGAACTCGACCTTCACGACGGTCTCGAGTGATCACGCACCATCCAAGTGAGGATTCTCTCGGTGCTCCTGAGCCTTGCTGACGATGGTAGATTCGATCACCCTCTGGGGAAGAAGAAAGGCACAGCCAGCTTCACTCAGATCCCTAATGGACTGCCGGGGCTAGAGACACGACTGCCGACGATGTTCTGCGGAGGTGTGCTTACCGGGCGCATCTCCATCCAGAAGTTTGTCGAATTAACCAGCTCGAACCCGGCCAAGCTATATGGACTGGGCAGCACCAAGGGGACGATACAGCCCGGGTTCGATGCCGATCTCACAATCTGGTATCCCACGCCAGAACAAGCTGCCTCCCGCGGCAGTACATCGACAATGTCACCGTTCCAGCTTTCGAACAGCATGCTGCATCATGACATCGACTACACGCCGTTTGAGGGAATGGAATTCACCAACTGGCCTCGCTATACCCTTCTTCACGGCCAGACAGTGTGGAACCGGGACGCAGGAGGCGTGGTTGGCAGCAAAGGCGATGGTACATTCCTGAAGAGAGGGTCGAGTTCCCTGAGCAGGCCGCGAAACGTGTTTGTCAATGAATTCAACCCGTACCTGTAGTTAGTCCTTAAGACACGAAAAGAAGCATATCCTCATGATAATGAATTGTTGATTGATGCCGGCATGCGAGTGTCCGACCCAGAGAAGTTGTATGATGGTAAGACCATATCATACACCAAGAAGTAGCACAAAAAGGGTCAAGTAACCCTGAGCAGAGGGCAGAGCCCCAACATGTAGCGTAATAGCCATGAAGACGTATTGACAGTATGAAAGCAATTCACAGAACGATCGATCCAGGTATAATCCATGCTGAGCACCTTTGTACATAGGAAATTGGGAGACATCATTAAAGCATCAACAACCACAACAACAGCATTCGGCAGCTTCGACGCAGCACTCGCACCATTCCTCGCATATGAAGCAGCAGCACATTGTGAGCAGACAGGTGGTCAGGCATCCGCGGTCTTTGGACGGTTCTGGTTGTGGGGGTGCATATTGCATTTGTTGGGGCGGTGGGTACTGGCCACCTGGAGGAGGGTAACTAGAAAGACAGCGTTAGTTGCTGAGGATGAATCAATGGGGTTCAGCATATGAGCACGTACTAGCCCTGGGGAGGCGGTTGTTGTTGGTAGGACATGGCTCTGGTTCTGGAGTTTGGATGGAAAGGATGGGGTCACACGAAATCTCAGAGGAACCGGGGGCGGGACCAGCACCAGAGTTATATAGGCCGGACGAGAAATCCGCTCAGGGCGCCGGGCAGGCAGAAAGATTGAGGAACAACTCGACACCCGCCCGATTCAGCCCTGCGGACGGACTTGGGCGGCGCTGGCCGGGCTTGGCCCTGCGCATTTCGCTGGGGGCGATCCACCGTCAGGATCGCGATTGGGCCTGCGGTTAGATGAAGGTGAATCACTCGCCGGGAGGTGCTGGGAGATGCCCGTGCCGAGCACTTAGACCCCTGGAGCTATGCATCATTGGCAACTGGTGATTGTTGGCACTAAGAATAGATGGACACGGTAACACCGCGCAGCTGGAGTCCAGTAGGCGCTTCCTGCTGTGTGGACGGTTGCTGAAGCAGCTCGCGCCGCCAAGAGCACATGCCCCGTCGGGCGGGAAAGTGGATGGCTTCCTTGACAGCCTTTCATGGCGCCAAGAGTCCCGGCAGGGATGGAGGACACCCTCAGCTCTGAATCGGGTCATTCGACCAGCGCGCCAAGCCATGGAAGCGCCCCTTAAGGCGGGCGGATCCCCACCCAGGTTCCCCAGCATCCAATCACCCCGGACGAACTGCCAGCAGGGTCCTGAACGCTGTTGCCTATCATCGGGGAGGCGTCGGGGGCTGGTGCCATTCACTGCATGGTTATTGCATGGATGCACCTTGACGAGGCTGGGAAATGATTGTTGTTGATTGCCGTGGAGCAGTTGACTGTGCCTTCACCCAGCGCTGTTCATTTCTTCTAGGATCTACGTCTCCGTGCTTATTGGAAGGACGCGATCGAGGAAATTAGGAATAGCCTGCCCCATAGCTGTAATAAACAACGCTGAAGTAGCATTCCCCTGCTGGGATGCAGGCTGAATAAATGGCTTTTGGAATATGTAGGCAATATTTCTGGGCCCACGACAACACCCCTTGATGGTCTAGTTGGTTATGGCGTCCGGCTGTAATGGTTCATTGTCACCGGAAAATCCCTGGTTCGATTCCGGGTCGAGGGACGTATTTTTGTCCCTGTTCTATAGAAATTAATGGGTGGATATACTGTTTCTTTCTTTTTGTCAAGATCAACAGAGTGGTGCAAGGGTCAGAGAAAGACATATACACAGGATTGGTGGAAATCAAACAGACAAAGAAAGGAAGAACGGCCATGCTACTCAGTGCACTGCCTCTTTTATGAGCATAATGAAAGGATAACACCGATTCTGACAGGCATTGTGTTGGACCCAGCTGCTGAGACCCACTGCCAGCTAATTAGGCTGATGCGACAGGCGGGTGCGCTAGTACAAGTGAGACCAGACCAAAACAAAAAAGTACAAAAAATGGACTCGCCGGGAATCGAACCCGGGACCTCTCCAATGCGAATGGAGCGTCATACCCCTAAACCACAAGCCCAACTTGTTGAAGGGTAGCTCAAGCTTTTGCCTTATAACACCTACAATCCACACATCTTGTTATGGCAATGCTTTTTCTGTGCGTCTGCTACACCCAATTATATTTGGCTCAAAAATATGAACAAGCAGGCTTATAGTATCCACTGATTTCATAGTATGCTGGCTAGCTCCTAGCAAACACTATTAGTGATGGTGATGGGTGCATATATGGCTCACTCAATCCGGATGCTCCTGGTATATATATTTGTTGGCTTGGGGCTATGGCAGACGTCTGGAGACAACACTTCGTTAAGGGACGGATGCTGAGGTACCCATTAAAGATAAACCGCGTGCCAAGGAGGATAGGCTAGCTGTTTCTACGGATGTTCTGCCCAAGGCCTGAGGCCTTAGAATGATGTTTGAGATTGTAGGCACTACAGCCACACTGGCCAGGCTACAACCACACTTTCCGTCTACTTCGCCTACTATGTTGGAAAAGACGAATCGTCACCCTCAAATATATGTGTCTAAAGCGTGCTGTTTATATTTAATGGGATGCTTTGACGGGTGGGGTTCTCCTTCGTTGGTTTAGTGTCTCCGTATGAAGAGTGCAAGTCGATACCGACGGGTGTTTTTTTTCCGTTTCCACATTAACGAGAAGGATTTCTAAGAGGGCTAGCACCGTCTGGCCGGAAGACTCAATTTGCCTTGAAATTAGCCACCTCAAACAGGCGGTTGAAGACGGAAATGAATATGTTCCGTCGGTAACTTGAAGCGAGGGCATTGACCAATTTGATCGCAAGGCCCCTTGAGATGCTTCGCCGTCCATTTGTCGGGGCGCTGAAACAGAGCCGAAAAAGACAGCATGTTTGGTGTGCCGGGACACTGGATGGTCCAAGGGTGAACAAATGAGAAGGATAGATGGAAATGACTTCAATGGGCGGGCCCACGTGGCAGGCACATCTGACCGCTTCGCAGCACTTTTCATCAAGACTTAGCTCTTAAATTATTCTTTATTTACCTTGCAGTCCACAAGCTAGATCCCACATGCCACTAATTTCTTCGCAAACCTCAACTCATTCATCCCAAAATCAAACACTGCCACGACGTTCTTCAGGAATGACACCCCCAGAATATTCAGCACAATACCCTCGAGCGCCACGGTCTCCGATGCCACCAAAGTGGAAGCACAGGTCCCATCCCCGAAATTATAGATGAGATCGCCTCTGTTGTGATAGAAGGTCTGGTTCCCAATGGCGACCCCAAATAAAGGTGCCTGCGCATCACAATCCACCACATACACGCCCAGGTCCTCACTATAGACCGCAGGCGGGGAGAAGAGCGCATTCACCGGTTCCACGATCGCCGCCGGAAGGTAGGAAAACTCATTCCCCGTGTCCACAAAAGCCTGGAACGCAGTATCATTGGCTTGAGCATGACTCCCATTCTCATATCCATACCGAGCACCGGCCACGGTGAAGGCCCAGTACGACCGGACCCGCTTGCCCGAGGTGAACCACAGCGGAATATTGTCCATGACCTCCACCGGGACGGCACTGAACGCCTCACTATGCGGGACGGGCGGCAGCTCACCTAGACCCAGGTAGCCCCCAAATTCCGGACTACCGTTCTGAAGTGGGGTGTGAGCCAGCGCGACGCTAAACCACGGCTCCACCAAGCCCTGCAAATACATCGTGTTGAACACGGGGTTGTAGACAGCCCGATTTTGGAAAAATGTGGTGTTCGGGGTGTAATTTCCGGGATGAGCGGATGTCAAGGATGGATACCCCAGTCCTAACAGCCCGCTGTTGACGCCATCACCCATGGGGTTCGAGGAATCGGCAATTCCCAGGATGGCGCGGACGTTGATGTCCCCGATGGTGATGTTCTCATAGGCCATGACGCCGCTGGCAATGCCGTCGCCATATTGCACGCCGAAGGTCTCGTTGGGGATTTGTTGATAGGTGGGGGAGATGGCGTAGGTGGCTGAGCCGTAGAGACAGTCGGCTTGAGGGATAACCTGATTGGTGGTGGAGTTGATGCAAGTGAAGTTGTCTCTCATGACGTAGGTATCGCTGCTACCGGTGTCGACGAGGAGTTTGAAGGTCTGGTTGGTGGAAATTGTCACGTCAATGTCGAAAACGGTGCCATATTGAGTGGCAAGGAGAGGAGAGGTGTGTGTGAAGCTTTTGCGAGTACTGGAATGGGCATTGCGACGGTTTAGGGGAACCGTGAGTGCAGAAGTAAGAGCAAGGAGCTGAAGAATGGGAGAGAGATGGAAAAGCTTCATTGTGAATGCAATTTCTGGAGTGTTGAAGAGTTGACTGATTGATAGTCCATGTGTTGGTCGACTTTATATTCCTGGACTGAGGCTGCAATCGGCTGGGGCCGAATTGAGCCGCGAGGCTATGCTCCCTCGTATATTCTAGTTTCGCACTGCCGTCATCTCACAGGATTCCAGGAATGAAATTCAGTGGTAGTGTCATGTTGGGTAGGGCTGGGGGCCCCGGATGCCAAGACCTCGTATATTCTCAGTTTTGCCCACGGCCAGGGGACGGCCAATCCCGTTCCACGTACGGGGGTTAATCGGGCGCCACATCAGCTGGAACCAGAAAACGTCTGCCTACATGGGCGTCGTATAGATAGTTCTTTAAATACAGTTATCGATATCTATTTAGGGTGGTATCTAAGAATCTAGGTACCAGGTGCTGCTGGACGATCGTGAATGGAGTGGGGTGGTTCCTGCTAGTTCGGGTTAGCGCCAGCGCCCGCGTCCAACTGCCAGAATGTCCGGCCAGGTTTCAACGGTCAGCCTTCGGTCCCCCGGCATGATTTGCAAACGACACCTGGCATCGACCATGAAGACCACCCGGAAGAGCACCCCGAAGGTCCGCACCGGCTGCATCACCTGCAAGTGAGTACGCGGCCACGGTGCATGGCTCGCTAATTCGGATCTGACCAGCTTCGTAGAACCCGCCGTATCAAATGCGACGAAGCCAAACCGAGCTGTCTCCGATGTACCCGATCGAACCGCACTTGCGGGGGTTACCCTTCAATCCCCCCTTCATCCCCTTCATCCCCTTCTTCACCCCCTGCCGAAGCCACCACCGTCGAGAAAATCACCGCGTATAATATCCCCTTCAAGATCCCCGGCAGTCGGGTGGACCGCCAACTACTCCACTTCTACTGTATCCAGGCAGCATCGGGTCTCTCCAGCTACTCCGATCCAAACCTCTGGAACCGACTCATTCTGCAGAGATGTCACCATCAGCCGGTGATTCGCAACGCCCTCGTCACGTTAAGCGCGCTGTATCAGGATCACCTGACCAATACCCACGCGGAGGCGGGGAGCGCCCGTCCCTCGCTTCAGAGCCTGCGACTCATCGCCAGATCCCATCGACAGCTCCGGGCCCATCTCTCCTCGCCGGATGCATCCACAGAAGTGGCGTTGATTTGCAGCATAATCTTCTATGCCTTTGAGGCTCTAATAGGCAATGCTATACAGGCCATCAAACATCTGGATCAAGGGTTGATCCTGCTGCAAAGATGCCGGGCCACGGCTCCCGTAATCCCGGCCACGGATGACATTCTCCCACACCTGACCTTGTTGTTCTCCAGTCTGGACGTCCAGGCCAGCACATACAACGATGGTCGTCTTCCTGTATTGAAGTTGCTCTCTCCATCAGAAACATGCGGTCTAGTCCCGGTCGTTCCAGACCTCTTCTGCTCCCTGACGGATGCAGAAACGGCACTCATCAAGCTACAAAACTGGATGTTCCACCATCTGGTGTCTGCCCTCCCCTATAAGCATGAAGCACCAAAAGGGATCCGTGCTGATATTCTGCACGAACGACATACATTATACGACCAATTGACAATGTACCTAGATGTTATCAGCACTTCTTTAACAAGCCACACCCATCCGAGAATCTCTAATCGGTTGCTTCTCCTTCGTCTGCAAGCTCGAATGTTCCACACGATACTGGAGGAGAACATTCCAATCATGAGTTCCAAAGACAGTAACCCCTTGCAGCAATCACTGGAGGACTTGTCCACCCTTCTTACAATGTCATCTTCGATTCAACCTGTTGTGGAAGGGGCCATTTCAGATAAAAGGTCATTTACACTGAGTACGCACCTCATCGCGGCACTCTATTATGTCTGCATGAAAAGCGACAATCCCAACACGGTGGACCTGGCCCTAACATTGCTCCGACATGAAAAGCTGCCCAGCCGGGATGGGCTCTGGGACGCGAAGACAGTGGAAGCGGTAGTGCACGGAATAAGACATGCCAGCAAGACGAACGAAAAACTTCCAAGCGAAGGGGGTGCGACAGGCACAACCAGGGAGGATCGGTTAGAATACGCCGGTGCAGAGTTTGTAGACGCAGCGGGGGAAGGGGGATTGTATGAGATGCTGAATGTGTTGCGAAAAGATGTCGCCTATCTACCTAAGCAGTGAACGCTAAGCCTCGCCCGTGACAGCCCTCTTGGTTAAGATGGCCGAGTGCTCATTCAGCCGTTCCCATGCGTGCGCATCGTGGCAGGCCTGTCGACTCAGCCGGACAGCGCGTCGAGTGCGTGATCGCATTTCCGCCTCATATTCATCCAACGCCTCTTTGGCACCTTTGGCACCCGTGTACATTTGTCGCAAGGCCTGGAAGAGGTGGAAGGCGTCTAACAGTCCATGATTGGCGGCTTCTCCCCGACCTACATGAGTCAGAATGATAGCCCTATACCTAACCGGAGAACTTACACATCGTCATGGCGTGGGCTGCATCTCCGGCCAGAGTGACACGACCGTCACGGTTGTCCCAGTCCAAACACTCCCAATCCGCCAGTTGGATTTCCAAAACCGGCGTGGCTGGGGGAATGCCTTCGACGACCGACCGCAGAAACGGCACAAATCCGACGGACCGTCGCTTCATATTTTCCAACCGCTCCGCATCGGTGGCTGCTACTTCATCGGCCTCGCTGTTCACCGGCCACGACATGCAGATCTGAGCCCGAAAATGTTCATGAGGCCTTCCCTGCGTGCCATTACCCTGGGGCGTCTCGAGCAAGGAAAACCAGAAGAACACGCCCGTGCTGGGGTGGCAGCCCTGAAATAGCAGCGGATCCATTGATCGCAAGGGTTGGATTTCCTGCGGAGACAGATCCACTGCTACTCCTGTGAATCGGATAGGAAGGACCGAGTTGCTACATGCATCGGGTCGCAGGACTCGTCGCACCAGAGATCGACTGCCTTCGACCCCGATGACGAATCTTCCGGACACTCGAGTGCCATCTGCAAGGACCAGACACGGAGGAGCGGACGCACTGGTCACTTCCACATCAACCGCTTGAGCATTCTACTGGACATGCTGTTCAATACCCCGAAGCAACGCGGCGCGCATCTTCTCCCGGTTGACCCGCCAGCGGGCGCTGGGGGGAATCTTGAACTTGGGCTCGCCTGTCGCAAGGTCAATGAAGAGGAAGTTCCCGTTATCATGCTGGGCGACTTGGGGGTCGACCTGCACGGCTTGAATAGTGTGTAAGGTGTCATCGGGCAAGATCTGCTGGATATACTCCAGGGCCCAGTGCAGGGTGATGGCCCATCCTTGCCCGCGAGCATCGGGCGATGTATCACGTTCGTAAATGCGGAAGGGGATGTTGACCTAGACGGTTCTCAGCATGGATGGTAGGCTGCCAACAGCACATCTTGTTACCTTCTGAAGAGCCTGACCGAGAGTGAGTCCGACGATGCCGGCTCCTACAATCAGAACGGGATCCATGGGGACGATAAAATGGCTGATGGGTCTTATCTGCTCCCTGCCTGCGTCGCTTAATATATCTGGGTTGATCGGCTATCAGTGGCTGACGCTAGCGTCGTCGGACCGTCGCATAGATAAGCTGTAGCAGATGTGGGGATGCATTGCCAAGGCCTGAGATGCGACGGCTCTCCAGTCCTCATTTTCTGATGGACTATTATTTAAGTCTCTCAGAACAAATCCAACTCGATGCCACCAAGCCCACGAAAACAAAGTGTCATCATGTCTCACGAAGCCCTCAACCCTATCCACCCGGCCGTCCTGCCACATCTCGACCCGGTCTTTATCGAACTCTACAATCAACACGTGGCCAACACCCCAAGCGGGCCAATTGACCTCAGCGTCCTTCGATCCAAATATTCCCAGCTCTACTCCTATGGCACCGGTCCCGCCCCGGAACCCGCCCGAGTATACGACACGACCATCCCCGGCCACAATGGCGACCTCATTCCCTGCCGAGTATACGAGCCCGCCTGCCCAGGACCATGGCCGGTCCACATCGACTTCCACGGCGGTGGTCCGTCCCCATCTCCCCTACACCCACCCCATCACATCAACAAAGCTAACCACCACCAGGATGGGGCCTCGGAGACCTCAACACCGAATCCCACATCTGCAAACACATCGCCGTGAAAGCCAACGTAGCCGTCATCGACATCGCCTACCGCCTTGTCCCCGAACACCCTTTCCCCATCGGCGTCCAAGATTCCTTCGCCGCCCTGCAATACCTCGCCACCAAAAGCCACACCCAATTCCCTAACCTCGACACCACGCGCATCTCCCTAGGCGGCGTATCCGCGGGGGCCAACATCGCCCTTATCATCGCCCACCTAGCCCGCGACCACCACCTGCCCCCCCTCCGCCTCGTAGCCGTCGGCACGCCCGTCATCGACGATATCTCGCATTACAGCATGGCGCACGACTCGCCCTTCCCATCCATGCAGACCATGGAATACGCACCGACCCTGAACTGGGCGCGGTTAAAATGGTTCGATCAGCTAAAATGGAGTAGTCTGAGCGCGGACGAGACCATCCGTCAGAAACAACTAACCGAGGTAAAATGGTACGCTAATGCATTGAATGCACCTGATTTCACCCGGTTACCGCGGACGGTTATCTACACGGCGGGATGTGACCCCCTGTGTGATGAGGGAGAGGCATACGCGCGGAAATTGATTGAGGGCGGGTGTGAGGTTACGGTGAGGAGGTTCGAGGGCGTGCCTCATCCGTTTATGCATATGGATAAAGGTGTGTTCTCTCTTCTCTAGCTTCTATTCACATTTCTTGTTGTTGGTGGGGGCATACTAATGAAATGTAGATCTCTGGCAGGCAAGACAGTTTATCGATTTGATTGCTGGACATATCAAGGTGGCGTTGCATGGGTAGAATAAATATCTAGTTTAGTTCATTTGATTCAATCGATCTATTTGGACTATAAACAAAAATTATCCTGTACGCTGTGATTAACTTCGCCCCTGCAAGATATAACCGATGACCTTGACATTTCACCTTGGTAGATAGAAGAAACATTAGAAAGAAGACAAAAGAGGAAGATACAGAGGAAGGAAACGGGGAAAGAAAAATAAGAAGTCCAACGCTTTTCATTAGACTCAGCGAAATGGATCGATCCCAATAGTAGTATCTAGGGAATCGCTAATGTGATTATGCTCGGATTGGGGCAAAACGTGTCTTCTGATCCTGTTTTTCATTGCATTGCATGTATTACAGAGGGAGAGCGGGATATTGTCGTGGTTTGATGTTCTGACAACAACAGGGGAAACTAGTACACATAACGGAAATCACTCCCCTGGTTCTCACTCCCACTCCCCAGCCGTTCCTCTAAGCTCCTACCATCTACCCGCGCATTCCGATAACCATACACCACCCGCAGCATAGTCGAAACAACAATCGCCCCAGCATTAACGGCCACGATGGTGATTTTAGCAGGGAGATACCTGATCCGGATTCAGCCGATGAGCTCAAAAAGTGCAGTGAGGGATGATTATACATACCCCGGAGCATCACGAGCCTGGAAAGTCTGCGGCCCGATGATATTGGCGATGCTGAAACCGGCAGAGACGAGGGTGCTTCCGGCTACCTAGTTGGGCATTAACTTTTGTTTTTGTTGTCGGGCTGTTGTAATAATATTTTGGTGTGGGTTGTGGGTTGTAGTGTCTTACCTTCATAGAATAACTCTTGTAGTTTGCATCAGTCCATGCGAAGATTAGAGCTAATGGGGCGACGGTCTATTTATGTTAGTGACTAGATATCTTCATCTTGGTTGTTTATTATCTTTGCAGACCGGAGGGGGGAGGGGGGGGGGGTTACCGTATTCACGAGATATATCCCCACCAAACAACCTGCCTGGTTATTTTCCGGTAGAAAAGACATCAGACAGGCACCAAGCAAGGTAGGGATCAAGAGGAGATCAATAGCCAGCCAGCGCGAGTATCCCCGGGCGATAGCAAAGGTGGATCCCATGGTGACCACAATACTGACCACTCCTGAGGGCATGTTAAGTAGGGCACTTTGGAGTCGTATCCAAAGTCCTTGATTAGGATGGATGAGAAGGTGGTGATGACGCCGCTGGGGATGGTGATGAGGATGGTTAGGAGGACTAAGAATGTGGTTTGGATGTCTGTCAATGCTTCTAAGAGTGATGTTGGGCGGAAGGTGGTCTTCTCGTCTGTGCTCACGCCGGGCTGGTTTGTTGGAGTCGCTGTGTGATCCGGTTCTTGTCGTGGGAGGTTAGGAATGTAGCTGTAGTTGGGGTGGTGGGTAGGAGGAACAAGACTAGGAGGGCGGCGAGGATGTTGGCTGCTCCGATGACCACGAACATGATCCGCCAGCCGTGGAAGGGCAATGTGGAGGGGGCATGTTGTGCGGCAAAGGAGATCAACCCGCCGATGATCTGTCCGGTGCCTAGGCCACTGTACCAGAGGCCGTATCGAGGGGTGGGCTCGGTTCGGGTGTACCACATGCTCGTGTACATGGTTAGGGCTGGAGCTGTATTGAGAGGATGAGTGAGCACCGGATAGGAGGAGGAGATGGGATGATTACGCACTAATCACCGCCTCGAGCACCCCGAGAATCACTCGCAGGGACATCATGCCTGCGAAATTCTGGGCCACAGCAGAGCAGCAGAGGATCACTCCCCAGCAGAAGATATTGAATCCGAGGACCTTGGTGATAGGGTATCGTTGTAGCAAGAACCCTGCTTGCGGTCAGCACCAGGGCATGGCTAAAGAATGGAGGAACCGGACCCTGGGAGATTTCAGCCACGGCATAAGCAATGAAGAACCCTGTGGCGAGCCAGGAGAAGTCATTGCCTTTCATCCCGAGATCGTCTTGCATTCCCATTACGTTGGCATATTGATGCTGTTAGTTGGGGTGTTTAAATGGCCATCTGGATGGGAGAGGTACATTTAAAGCCACCTTGTCCAGAAACTGTAGAAAGTATGTCAAAAACATGGTTGGTAGAATGCGCCAGTCAATCCGACGCAACAGTGCCGAATCATCGTACAATTCGCCAAGGCCATATTCGACGGCGGCCAGCTTTTCCTCTTTGGTATCGGTTATGGTGTATGTGCAGCAGCAGTGGCATTAGCAACAGACTGTCGAGAGCGGTGGAGTGGCATGATGAGGGTTTAAAGAGGGCTGGATGTTGGCTGTCACTGGCTGTCACTGGCTGGGGACCATCCGTGCGATAAGCCGCTGCAGCCGTCGCATAGATACGAGCCCGTCGGCTGCACACGATAAGGGATCGGGAATTGTCCGACCCCATAGGAAGAGATCCAGATACATATAAGGAGACATAACTTCAGAGGTAAACGACAAGCCATAGAAAACATATCATTGATCTTTCAATCCCCAGAATGCCCTCACGCACTGACTCCCCCCTCAACATTGCCATCATCGGCGCCGGCCTAGGCGGCCTCAGCGCCGCCGTGGCTTTACGTCGCCGAGGCCATCGAGTCACCGTCTACGAGCGATATGATTTTGCCGGCGAGGTGGGCGCCTCCCTGAGCGCAGCATCCAATGGATCCCGGCTCCTAGAGCAATGGGGTGTTGATGTTAAAGCTGCGAAGCCGGTCAGCCTTGCCCTCTCCTACCTCCTGCGATCGCTTGCCCGGCTCACTGATGAAACCCAGGTAATCTTGAAGAAGCTCATCATGCACGACTGGACGACCGGGACAGTCCGGAACGAATGTGGCTTGGGGGACTACAAGGCCAAGTTCGGAACGGTCAGTCCCGGATCCTCACCACCGCACCGTCTGCAACTGACGTGAAAACCGCCAGGAGTACAGCAACTTTCATCGGATTGACATCCATCAACAATTACTCAAGTCGGCCTTCCACGAGCCGGGTGACGGCACCCCCTGCATTTTGAGAGTGAACCACAAGGCCGTGTCACTCGACGCGGAGGCCGGGCGCATCGACTTCGAGAATGGAGAGACGGCCTCGGCCGATCTCATCGTGGCCGCGGATGGCATTCGCGCAATCTCCCTGTTCCCGCCTCGGGGTGAGATAGAGAAATAACACTTCGCAGTCCGAGAGCCGCCTCCAGATGGAAATCACCCCGGAATTTGCCATGTCGACCTCCTGCTGCTATCGGTGTATCATCAGCGCCGAGAAGCTCCGCCGCCTCGGACTCGACGACTACATCGACAACGAGGCCATCGAGTACTGGGGAGGGTTCGGGATCAACAAAATCGTCATGTCGCCTTGCAGTAACGGGGAGGTCGTGAGCTGTTACTGCTTCTACCCTGCCGAGCACAACAATCTGCGGGACGATGGCTGGAACATCTCGGCTACCCCGGAGCAGCTGGTGGCCACGTTCCCGGGCCTGGATGAACGCATGAAGCGGTTGATGTTACATGCCGAAGATATCAAGATGTGGCGCTGTATTACTACCCTTGTACATTCATTCTGTCTTTGCTTGTTGGTGTTTGTTTGTTGCGCGGTGGCTGATCCAGACAGTATATCGTCACCAACCATATCCCTACTGGGTCAAAGGGAAAGTATGCTTGTTGGGTGACGCCGCTCACCCCATGATGCCCGACCAGTCTCAGGGCTCGTGTATGGCCTTCGAGGATGCCGGCGCCTTAGGGCTGATCTTCCACCGCACCTTCATCGAGGAGTATAGCGTGGCCGAGGGGCTACGGCTGTACGAGCGGCTGCGCAAGCCACGGGCCACGCAACTCCAAGCGGCCAGTTTTCGGGCGCGGGAGGACCTCAATGAGCGTATCGGGTGGAGCTCATCGACGGACCGGCCGGGGAAATTGACCATCGAGGAGGTTTGTGGGTACAATATGCAGATGCATCTCGAGGAGTTGAAGGGCCAGTAGTGGGAGACCAAGTGTATATAGACAACGGGTGGAGACTATGAATAAGACGGCCTGTCAATGCATCCGAGGCATTAGATGAATACCATCCCCGGAAACAAATCAAAGCGAATTCTCGCCCAATTCCCGTCTCCCCTTTCATCAGCCCAGACGGTTTCCAGCAGCTGTCGCGCATGTGGGATATGGCCGAAGCCCAATGTGTTTTCCATGACCATCAGTCGTTCCTTGATGACCATCCGCCGCTCCAGATCCCTACTGCTCGCGCCGGAAATCACCATCGGAAACAGAAGACTGCCCTCCACGGGGCTGCCGTAGGGAATGGCCAACACTGCCGTCACGATCCGCGAGAGGGCAGTCTCCACATCCGCGTGGTGCGGATCGTATCCGTCGACGATCTGATGCAGTCGCAATCGGATCGCCCACTCAAAGGCCGTCGTGGCCCAATCCACATCACTGCTCGTCGCGACCGTGCTGGACGCCTCATACTCCAGCCGCCAGACATCCAGCTGTGCGTGCACATGGGCGGCGGCCGTCCGAAACCCAATCTCCGAAAGGTCATCAATGCGTCGGCTCCGATGGGCCGCTAGGAGATTGACCCGACCGAGGTACTCCAGCAGTGCTGCTGGGATTCCGGAGATCGTGTTTTCCGAAGTGTGTGAAGCGGTGGGAAGGTATGTCGGGAGGGAGGAACCTGATGTGAGGTCGGTTAATCGCTCGCCCGCCCGCAACAACGGGGGCTTGCACCGGGAGATGGTGGACATGGAGTCGATGTAGTGAAAGAGCTGGAGACAGAACGTTCCTTCTGGGGTGGATGCGAGGCGGGGCTGGTCGACGGCGCGGAGAAGGCTCCCGGCCGCTTTGAGATGCCATCTCCAAATGCGAGACGTGCCTTCAAACAGTTCCGTGAGACAGAGGAGCAGAATGGTGGTACAGGCCTCGAGGAAGGATTGCGGATTCGGTCGACTCGGCTGACTGAGCAGGTTGCTGACTTGAGTTAAGGCTGTCATGGTCAGCAGATTTCGATCACACACATCAGTTACTGTTCATCTATGTACCTCTTCCTTGACGCGTCAGGGCCTGACCCCAGATTTGGGGATAGACCCGCCGCCAATGGCAGCCACTCAGACCCAAAATGACGCTGGTTAGAGTCTCCGATGTGGCGGCCATTGGAAGTAGAGTTGCCAGGAATGGGTTGCTAGCGGCCTCCGTAGTGGAGCGCGACAGGGCGCGCGCTACGATATGTATATAGTGGTTGAATAGACTGCGATCGTCGTCATTGTGAAGGTGGGGGCTGAACCCGGTGTCCAGTGGTTGTATGGGTCTGAGGATCATCTCCACATCGAACCAGGAGGGCGAGAAGGGAGATCCTGGATCACCGTCGACGGATGATGAGATCGGATCCAATCCTGGAACGAGATCCAATGCGGAAGACAGGATCAGATCATGAGCAGGTTCAGAAGACGGAGATCCAGGCGACGGACTCCAGTGACATGGCAAGTTCAACCGACGGCAGTCGCTACATCGAGGTCGGTTCTCATCACACTTCTTCTTCCTGTTCTTGCAGGAGACACATCCGCCTCGCGACCGGGAGGCCCTGGGCCGGCGAGAAGCTAGCGACCGAGCCTCCGAAGCCGGTCTGCCGGATTGTTGAGGCTCACAGAAGTGGCCCAGACCTGGCTGGTCAGCATTTGGGCATCCACGGGGGCCAGGACTGGTAGCATACGGGCGCAACGAGAGCAAGGCGAGGCGCCGTCACAGCGTTGATTCTATCGGAAGTTAGCCCAGAGATCAGTCTCAACTGGGGGGACTCGAAGCTCACAATGGCGGCACACCGAGCGCAGACGCGACCAACGGCAGCTATGACCCCGAATTAATTTACCCATTGGAGGAGAGAACAGAAGCAATGAAGTGACGGAGGGGGCCGGGGGGAAGTCCGTCGGTCGGTGGAGGGAATCATTCCTTATCGGCGGGGGTTGATAAGCGGCCGAGGCCAAGATGATTGGGGGTTGATAAGGGGGAGGATTTATCAGTCCGGTGGAATTTGAAGAACCATAGAAATCCAGTACTAGTAAATTCCCCACAACACTGGCTGGCCCTTTATATTGCCGTCGCAATTCATCTTGCCCTTGGCGCCGATCAGCCCGTCCCTCGCAAACCGAGCAATGGCGTCGTTGATGATATCAATGACATCCTGCCCACCGACCTTGAAGTTGACATTGCCGTCCGTCTTGGTAGCCTCGACGCCGAAATGACAGCTGGCATGGCTGGCAATTCGGCGCTGGTGATGGCCAATTACCTGGGTGGTCCAGCCGGAGCCGCCATCGCCCTCGATGTTGGTGATGAGCTGGCGGCAGTCCTCCACCTTGGGCGACGCGTGGCTGGTCTGGTCCACAAAGGTCGAGTCGCCGCATTTGTCTTGGCCCGGCGGGATATTGCAGGGCCAGTTCGGGCTCGAGTCCTTCTTGGCCGTCTTCCAGGATTGCAAGGCGCGCGCCGGGCTGCAGACGGGCATGCGCATGAAGCCCGGGGTCGTCACGTCGACGTCCATCAGGCCGGCCAGGGTGCTCGGGTTGGCCGGGTCTGCCACCCTGGCGCCATTCTGTCGGCCATTCCCCATCCAGGTGCGGACGGAGCCCTTGACCAGCTCCGTCGTCGTGATGCCCCCGTAATTTTCCCCGCCGGAGATGTACTCGATTCCCTTGGGCGCCGAGAACTTGCTATCTCGGCAGACTCGTTGACAGGGGCCCGAATCGTACTGCTTGCAGGTGCATGTCTTCGCATCGCCGTCTGGATACGCCAGATAGTACTGCCAGTTGTCCACACATACGCCCGTGGCGTTCATCATTTCCTTGTCAAGGTAATTACTGAGATCCTTGTCTTCATTGCAAGCGTGACCGGCATCGAGGATAAAGGTATACAATCCCGATTGGCGCCACAGGGCTGGGAGGGCAAAACCAATGATACACTTGTTGATGTTGGTGAACAGCTCATACCGGGCATCTCCGGTCGCGGGAAGCGGGCCGTTGCCATTACTGTCCTCGATGAGCTTTCCATCAGACATGGCCCCATAAAGAGCGTCAATCGCCTCGTTGGACCCCCTTGAAGAGCTCTTCAAGGGCAAGGGAGGTGACATTCGACAAGCCATAGACGACCTGCCCCAGATAGGCCGAGAACTTATCCTGTTTCTCCGGCGTCCATGTAGCCTGGTCTCCTCCCAGCAATGCGTCCCTGGTGATGGTGGTGCTTTGTGCGATGAGGGCCATGGCGGCATCCTTGGCATTGTCCAGGGCGCTGCCGGTTTTCCCAGCAAACCAATCTCGTTGCTTGAACATGGTGTTGAAGAACGGACCGGCAGTTCCCAGGACCCCCAGCGTGATCATGTCGACCAGAATCGGGAGCCAGGTGTCGTCTTCCTTCGGCGGAAGGGGCGCAAACTTGTTCTCCATATCATTGAGCGTCGTGCTGACAATGCTGAGAGCCCAGAACAAGTTGTCATAGTACTGCGCGTACATATTATGGATCTCCGCCAGCGAGTTCCAAATGAACTGGGCTGCGGGGCCCGACGCGTCCCCGTCTGCCCCAGTTTCGCACTGAATAGTGTTGCAGCTCTCAGTGACTATGTCACCACAGTCCTGCTCACCCGCAAGCTGGGTGGTACTGCCGACTGACTGGATGAATCTCAGACCGCGCAGACGATCGGTGTTCTTCCAGATCCGGATAACGTCGTCCCGGGCGGCATCGGTGCCCATCAACTGCCATCGTTCCGACGGCGTGTAGTAGAGGAAATCCGCCACCACGGGGTCGGTGCAGTCAAAGTGCGTCCAGTTCCCGTTGCGGGTGTAGTCGGCCTTGGGGTCCTTTCCGGCGCGAGCCAGTTGGATAAAGCTGGCCCAGCTGGTCGCCGGCTTGGGGACCCTAGGGGACCCTGAGGCGCTGCTCGGACTGGCCGAATGCCAGAAGCCCGGGGTTGCGGTGGCTGCCGGTGGCCATGCAAAGAGCCCCAAGGCTGCGGCCGGGCTGAGCCTTCTCAAGGCCACCATGGAGACCGAAAATAGCAAAGAGAAGAGTGGACCGATTTTGAAGGGGGTAAAGAGCGTGGTGGCCGCGCAGATGAATCGGGGGAGATGGAATGCCCCCCGGAGGTGATATTATGCTGCATAGATATGGTATCCTTGCCCAGAAGAGGAAGGTATGTGCCTGTTCCAAGCATTTTCTTGTACTATGGTAGTTGGTGAGTCTTTGTTGTCTCGCCTCTCAAATTGGGAAAGTCCGATTGAACCCGGCAAGCACGGAGTCCTCCATGGCAGCAGGCAACCATGATAATGTACATAAGGCTATGCAGGGAAGGCCTTAGTGCAAGGGTATCTCTTTATCAAAGCGGTAGGGCTGGTTCTAGGAGCCATGGCCAAGCACAAGACAACAAAAACAAGGCATAAGCGAAAGTATGGATCCAACTACAGGAGCATGGCCCCAGTCACTCCGAAGGCAGCCAAGAAGCAAGACATACCCCATGCCTCTAATTTCTGGGCGCCATTTTCCCTTTTAGGACAGTCATCGGGCGGGTTCAGCCCATCGCAGAGCCGTGTGTGGTGAACGGAAGCCATACTTGCCGCGCTATCCGCGTCGATCGCAATGCGACAGGGGTCCGGAGTAGAGTACGTGTGACTAGCCGTCGAGTTTGTCGTAACGACGCAAGTGTCGCGGCCTGCGGTGTTCATATTCCAGAACGTATTCATGGTGATGTCAGTGACATTGATTGCAATCGCGTTGCAATCTCCGGGACAGGTGGCGTTGGCGGTCGCCGCGACAAGATCTACATCTTTGAGGGGGGCATCCTCGATGGAGAAGAACTGCCATCCAGAGTAGTGGTGGTTGAAAATCCCGTTGCGTCCATAGTAAATGGACGGCCTACTCAGATACTCCTCGTCGCAGCTTTGCCAGCGGAGCTGCCAGGCCACGGACAGGGGCCCCGTGGTGTTGAGTTTCCGACGTAGTGGTAGGCGAGGTAAGGGTCTGCGCTTCCGGACCAGTTCGTCCAGCGGAAATCGTGAGCGAAGATACTCTGGTTGTTTACGTCATTGTTCCAGCGGATGTCGTAGGAGATACGGAGGTTGAGGAGTTCGGCGCTTTGCGTGTTCTGCACCACAAAGACGATGGGGAACCAGTCTGCTGGTGCATATGATTCGTTGTGAGGAAAGATCAAGTCCACTTCGACGGTGTCCGCAGTGGTGACGGTGACCATGACTCCGAGTAATCCGAGCCACCGAGCCTGGGGGAAGTGCATAGTGGAGAGAACTAAGTGCAAGGCCGATGTCGGAAATAGGAAGAATAGGGCTTTCCTCCACTCCAGGGCAAATGAGAATATTTGTAAGGAGCAAGATAGGGGCAAGGAACCTCTCAATCCCTGTTGCCAAGGCCGCCATACCAAAACAAAGAACGGAGCGGAGCGGGGACTGCCAAGACTTGGCGCGGTGCAGCGTTACATTCAGGCAAACTGTGGCCCTTCGAGAGAGCCATCTGAAGCAGGATATAATCCCAGTAGGATGCTGATCATTCATTCACTTCTCTCAGAGTCTATCTTGCACTGGTGTGGGGGATTATTTAGCTGCCATTCGGGTTAGAAGTCCTTTCAGAAGTAGAACGAATGAAATTTATATATGTGTAACACTAGGTCCTGGCCTGCAGACGGCCGAAAGCCGCCCACAGTCCAAGGCATTGCAAAGCGCCTTGATAAGTATCACACGACTCGTTTCAAAGGGCTTCATCAAGCATCTATAAACGTACTTAGTACTAGTAGGTAGATCCAGGCCATAACTCGAAGAGCCAATAAGAAGACAGAATCTATGACCCATAAGAAGCCTTAGAGCTGGAGGCATCCCGCAGCAGGACCTGACACAGGATTGCTCAGCGAGCGCGCTTTGCAAAGAATCACTTAGCAAAGGTGAACGGGAGTAATAGACGAGTGTAGTATTATTGGAATTATGGGAAGACAGGCTCAACAAGTGGCCGAGGCCGCCGATTGGGTATCGGGTGGCTACGATATGGGCCTTGATAAGACCACTATGCTCCCCTCTATACTAGGATTAGTCGGGAAGTACAGTCTTGCTGTCTGCGACACTACCTAACAAAAGCATATAGTCGGTCGCGTTTATTGAACGAACTTTCTGGACTCATCACCCTGGGTGATACACAACCATCTAGGAAGTCAAGATATCGGCCGGCTATTCGAAACAAACCATCTCTTATGCAGCAGGGAGCGCGAATAACACCACATATCGGATTCTTTTTCTGGAACGCAGATTCCGAGCAGGATATGTGGATTACTAGCACCCACCCATCCGGTTCTATTCTTAAAGAAGATGTAGATTGGGAGATGACTGGCACGGGTCAACTATAGTCCGTCAACTATGTGGGGCACCTGACCAAAGGGGAAATTAGTGCGAAGGTCCATCACGTGTACCTGAACTATAATCAGATTTGATTCACTCAATCCACCCGAATCTTTTAGATGCTTAGTGTATTGAAGCAGATTTCTGACCAATAAGGTCGCGTCCCCCAGTGTCCCCGAAAAATCAAGCTGCGCCTCGAGCCTGGCACTAAGCAACTGCGCTGTTGTGCTCAGCCTTGTTGCTTACCTAGAAGGAGGGGCAAAGATGAGGTGTCAAGACAACCCCAATACCGCAAGCGAAAGGCTTGATCGTCTTTTCTGCCCATGGCCTCATTCAACCCTTACCATACAGACAACCGACCATGGCATCAAGCGGACGTAATGAGGTGCGACTACCGGACTATGAGCCGCTGGGAAATGAGGTCGACGAGCCTGAACTAGAGCCGTCGTCCCCAAGGGCGGCCTCACATCGAAGAACCGTGAGCAATAGGGGAGACGAAACCCACGAAGCACTGGAGTCACAGGAGAAACAGACACTCAGTTCGCCGGATTGGTTTGCTTGGGAGTTGGCTGGAGTCGTGGTTTCCGCTGCCATCCTCGCTGCAATGATCTGTCTACTCGCCGTCTACGACCAACAGCCCCAGCCCGGCTGGCACTATTCCTCGTTGAACTCGATCGTTGCGTGGCTCAGCACTCTCTCCAAGGGGAGCCTCTTGTTCGCCGTGGGTGAGATGATTGGACAGCTGAAGTGGGTGTGGTTCGCACAGCAGAAGCGACCGCTGATAGACTTGCGCTCCTTGGACTCTGCCAGTCGCGGTCCTTGGGGAAGTCTGGGGCTCCTTTGGACCCTGCGTGCCCGACACTTTGCAATTCTGGGTGCTCTCGCATTCATTCTCGCCTTGGGGTTCGATCCATTTTCTCAGAATATGATCCATACCTATCCCAACATGGTCACAGACCCTCTGGGAACAGCATTACTGGCCAATGTCTCCGTATACAATACTTCGGGGCCCCAGATGTACGACGGTGGTAAGCCAACCTTGAAATGCACTGCATGCTATGCCGCATGTGAAACTAATGGAAGGGGAAGATTCGTTCACATTTGTCGATCCCGTGCTCAAAGCTAATGTGTACAATTCACTCTTCAACAACGACCAAACCCGGACTTGGGCCATCCCACAGTATTCCTGCCCCTCGAGCAACTGTACATGGGATCCAATAGCCTCGCTTGAGATCCGCTCCCTTTGCGCTAACATAACAAGCTACCTGACGACCTCATGCTCTAGCATCCCCAGCAATGCCTCCCTAGGTGATACAAATTGTACTATAGCCCTCCCGAAAAGCAATGTGTCGGCATGGTACATGCCTGGTGTACCCCAACTCACTCCATTTATTGTTGAGGGAGTAGGTTTTGCGGAAGCCTTGGTGTATACCAACGCCAGCATATATGCCATCCAATACATCGCCCCACGAGCCAATATTTCCCTAATTGAGCAAGGGAGCCTGGATAACCAGTCCCACTGGGAGGCCACCGAATGTTCCATTGAGCCGATAGTGCGAAGCTTCCGTGCGTCGGTTTCCCAGAACACCTATAGTGATGAGACCCTTGCTGTATGGAACAATGCAACGTTGCAAGCAACTGCTCTCTCCCCGAGTCTTCCTATCGGAGTCTATCTTACCCCGTCATCATGGGGCACCGATCTTGGCGTGCAGCAGTCCGGGAATGGCTCCACGTCCTTCGTGCTGGGTGCGGTGGCTGACACCTCCATTACTGCTTTTCTGGAAGCCCTCTTCTCGGGACAAGCCGTCCGCAGCACGACACAGCTGGAGTTTATTCCAGATGTAGAGGCACATTTCGGAGCTTTAGACCTCTATGCTGGATCAGATGTACTCCAAGCGCTGGGGATGGGAAATATCACAGGCTGCAGTGACAACCTCGCCGACCGGCTGACCTGTGCCATGGAGAACGTTGCCGTGGCAATCACAAAGACCATACGCGATTCGGCATACGTAGCGGACCCCGCGACGGCGGCCATGGCATCCGGACAAAGCATGATCAGCGTAACGTATATCACCGTACATTGGCGGTGGGTGGTTCTCCCTCTGGTGGTCTGGATCTTGGGGGCGGTGTTGGTAATTGGGACTCTTTGGAAAACGCGTCGAGCACGGGTACCTGCTTGGAGAAATGATGTTATGCCTCTCTTATCCCTTTCTCAGGCCGAGGGTTGGCGGGAGTCGGATGCGTCGTTGGAGGGGGCAGCTGGACGGGTGAGTAGTCCTATGATGGCAAGACTGTATGAGGAAAATGGCCGAGTCTTTCTTGGTCGCTAGATTCACGGCATTCCACGAGAGGAAAATTAGGCTGGACTATCGCAATGAAGGATTTAATCCTTATAAACGTTGAGATCCGTCAATCAATCGAAGAGAATGTAGTTAGTAATCTCAGCTAGAACGATATTACATCTAGGATCTGGGAAGCTGACAAAAAGCAGCTTCTCGACCTAGGAACAACTTCCAGATGACAAACAAAAATAACAAAAAACCATAACATACAACAGAAGGGATTCGCTGGTGGTCACCCACCCAACTACTAACCTCCCGGCGTGTGGCTTAAGTACGGCTGAGCGGACGGGAAGCCCTGTTCTCCACACCCTGTGGTCGTATGTACTATTTCTCCCTTTGGAAGGGATAATATAGTGCTTTAGCTGATAAAATAGAGATGAAGGATAGCGACCGGCGATAAATCTTGAGTATCGCTTTGCATGGTAAGGCTTCATCTACATATCAGAATATGTAAATCTCCTTGTGCTTCTGCTAAATTATCTAGTGCTTGTCTATTCTGTTAATTCTGAGATATTTACAGAAAAGAAGATAGCCGATCGACCAGTCATCACAAACATGCTGATGCGCGACCGTGGTTGGTCGGTGGTTGATGGTTGATGGTTGAGGAATGCAACCTAACCTGTATCCCTTGCGTGGCGGGACTTGCAAAGGAAGATGTTGCTGTTTCAGTTCGCGGCAGTTAACTGGACATGGGGACAGGGAAGAAATCGTCCGGGTATTAAGAACCATGGAATGGGTTCGGATGGCCACATCTCACTTGGGCTCATCGCATTCCATGATCTTATCCGGAAGTCAGCGACAGGCGCGAAGACAAGCGATTGTAACCATGTTTTGCTATTTCAAGCACCATTGTCAATTTCCAAACCTTTCACCGGATATTTTCCGCATGGTACAAGGAGCTTGGCCGGAATTGTCACAAGTCAGAGACAATGGCAGTCGTTCAAGCTCCGGTGGATTCCTTTGTTGTCTCTTTCTTTGTTCCTTTCAACCGCCTCATCTTTTTCCCTCGCTCGCTTGGTGCATATATAAGCCAATTCCTTCCTTACTTGATTGTATCATCTATACTGGCCTCTTTATGTTTTCCGCTGTGTGTGAGTCAGACACATCAAATACATTGTGACTACTTCGAGATACTTTGTGATACACTGTCGAAATGCTCCTCGACAGGCTCTCCGAATCCGAAATATATGCCATCAGGGGGTCGCAGGAAAGAATTTGGGATCTAGCGACCGAAGCTGCAACGACTATTAGACAACAATTGGAGGCGAACTTGGAGCTGTCCCCGGTGGATAAGTATTGGGCTAACCAGCAGCTCGCCCGATTCAATGACTTCATGGATCAACTGACAGAGACCGGCTTCTTCTGCAGGGTGACCGACCAAGAAATCATCGGCCAAAAACTTTTTGTCTCATGGTACTTACATTCCGTGGCTTATGAATCAGCATGTTCATACAGTAAGTTGAGCCCTGGAAAACCGACACAAGCATGTCCAAGTACTGATGTTATAATAGGGACCTTGCGCTGGTGTAATACAGTTGGACATGTTATTGATAGGAAGAAGCTAGACAAGTATTTGTAGCAGTCAATGGAAGAAATAGAATACTGAAATGAAGATCTCTTCCATATAGTGAGTTTTATTCGTCGCCGCCTGCAGGGTAGAAGACGTTCAACACATCCCCATGAGTTCGTCGCAGAAAAGTCTGACGCCATGGATATCTCCCCGCCAGAGATGGATGCGGCCATGGAAGGAACTCCCCCCTTCGCCCCGGTGCTCAAGAGGAGTCTTTCCTGGCTGGAAGACTCTTCCGCGGGGGTACCTCCTCCCAACGCCGTCAAGAGGGTTCTTACCGATGCCATTAAATGGGGTTTGAAAGTGATTGGGTCTGGATTGAGCATATAGATAAATAGTGTAGTGTATGCTATAAGAACAGTTCTATGACACTCTTGAAAACCCCATGAAGGAAAAGCCTTCGGGTTCTATTTTTAGACCTTCTGGGACCAACAGGCACCTCTCAACGCCGGCGTCAATCGGAAAATGCCCTCTACTTGACAGTTCGGCCCTAATTTCTTCCCGGGTTGTATATCATACCGTTGTAGGCACTTTCCATCTGACTCTTTTCCAATGCCATTCCGTCACTTTTCATTCTGAGCCCTGTGGAAATCCCTCCAACTCGGCCACTCGCTATATCTGCCCGCCGCAACTGCTCCACAGTGTCCAGCCATCCATCCGTCTCAAGGAATCCCACCCATAATGGAACTTGTGTTTGACGATGTCAATATCCGGGATTACCGCGATGTACATCTCAAGGATGCTTTGGCCCACGTCCTGAACATTGGACGCACTCTGGCGCAATGCTCAAAGATGGGATCCGTGTTAATGGATAGCTGGGCGCAAACCCAGCTCGTCAGGCTGGATGTCCTATTCAGGTGTCTTGACACTACCCAGTTTCACTTCTGGGTGGAAGATGGGTTTCAGGCGGATGTAAGTCATGTAGAGCATCTATTGGAATGTATCGCGGAATTTGCACAAGATTGCCTCGACGCTGGTAGGTTGGGGTCTCATCCTTGTACTCGGCACCTCGGTACTGACGGTGGTGTAGCTCGAACGGAGGCACAAGGGGAGAGAGAGCAGATTGTCAATGAGTGGGATTGGGAATTCGAGGGGGAGGATGTCAGTCTGGTACAGAGGAAAGTTCCCCGTCTTGAGACCCAGATGGTAAAACTTGAGCAGGCGATCATAGCGCTTGCCTTGAAGGTTCATTGCATGCGTACCCGCTGGCGCTGGTAGATTGGGGTCGTGGATGCTTCTTGGTGGGAATGGGATTTTTGGGTTGGGTTTTGATTAGCAGGAACTTGTGGGAATTGACTTCTTTCATGTTGAATGTGTGCGAGCACGACAGTTGAGGCGATATTGGTTGATTTTTGCTGCAGCTTGACTTTGGTTTTGGACTACTTCTAGCAGCCCGTGATCTTTCTTTCCATCTGGAAATGATTGTATCTCGAGATGAATTGTGATCATTGAACACCAACTATTAGTACATGTAACCGTGTCCCCACCATTTGCTGGGGAGATGTCCGCATTTCTGAACTGGCACTCCCCGCGTCTTTCCATGCCGTCTCTCGGTTCCTACAGAATCCTGTGTACCCTCTGTCGTGGGAATTCTTGGGTTTCCGTTTTGCGCGTTCTATTATCTCTGGATGTTTCTTTCAGATGCTCCACTGGAAGAAAAGCTCCGTTCTAGCATATCTGTCATCATCTTCGTTTATAAATCATCGACAATCTGATCAGTCCATCCCTGAATCTAATTCCATTCCTCACTGATCACATCACCTCTCTATCCCAACTGCGACAATTATCTGACACCATACCCAACCATTCAGACTGGTTTGAATCAGCTGCCCTGTCCCTGAACTCAATTACATCTACCCAAACACCCTCGCTGGACATTTGGACATGATGTCTTTCTGGACGTGGTCGGATGTCAGGGACCTCTGCTTAACACTGGGCCTTTATTTGGCCTTGGTCAGATGGTTCCATATGAGCTGGATTAACGCTTTCTTGTCTGCGGGCTTCGTTGTTCGTGTTCTCGGCCCTCCTCTTCTTGGAGTGATCTTGCTCTTTGGTAGTGCTTTGGCTGCTGCCGTGTTTTTCTATGCCATCAAAAGGTGGGATCGAAACTCCCTCCATTGAAAATCATACTCGACTTCTCCGTGTGTGGTGCAGCCACCTCCATGGCGCAGTGTGACATGCGGTTTACGGTGCAAAACAGAGGCCCCTCCCAGCTCGTAAAACGACAACCCGACCCAGGCACACATGAAGGACATTCTAGAGCACTGTTATGCAATTCGAGATGCTTCACTGATTTCCAGTCTACTTGTCCTTCTTCCTACCAGCATGGCCCTGTCCGGATGTTCCTGGGATCAGCATAACGGAACATAGTACCGAGCTGACCCATGGATGTAACCCACCCTTGTGTTACTGATCCCTGACTGGATCGTCCCGAGCCCGCCGGTGGATCCAATGGTGCAACCCGCTCACAAGCAGCCAATCGGCCAAGCTGTTAAACCTCGTCCCATGGTTCGAGCATACATACTAGGCTGATTCCGGAATCCAGTACTTGCTATCTAGTACCTACCTAGGTAGGTGCCAGCCCGGGCCTCATGGATGGCATGCCAATATCTCCACCCGGGCAAGACTGTTGGACCCGATATTGCCCTCCACAAAAGCACAACAGAGGAATGGATTGCTTGGGTTATCGAAAACCTGGGCATGCTTCTGATGCACTGGGCTAGATGTGCGCGGTGCCCTGTCCTCTCGATCCCATTGCCCATTCGACATGGCCATGATCACGCCGCGCTCACAGTCTGGCAGAGGTGCCTGAGAAGACTGGTCCTCCGCGATAGCACACTCTGCCTCCCTTCTCGCTCGGTCTAGACTGCCTTGGCAGTCCAGTTGTTCTGCCCAGTGCGGGTTCCTGTGGCCGATCCTGTTCGAGGGCCCAGATGGCATTGGCTGGGGAGTTTGCCTGGACTTGGCAGCTCGTCTGGTGCCAGCCAGACGTCGGCGGTTTCGAAGGAGTCTCCTGTCCATCCGTGATAGGTCGGGACGCTTGGCACAGGAGAGCATCTGGCCTTGCGTGCCCCAAAAACCGTTTCTCATTGGCGCTCTATCAATAGCCAGCCTGGAGGACTTCGCCTGCTCTCTCCCTTTCAATCTTTCCACCTACAACTTCTTTGCACTTCCACCTGCCTTTGTCAAAATTGTCAACTTACTGTTGGACCAGTTGTTTGGCCTCTATATTTATATATCTTCTAACCCTGAACTTTCTCATCTGACCATTTAGTCAACGCTGCAGTGATAATGGAAATGTTACCTTCAGGGACAGACATGGCCTCTCATTTTGAAACCCGCCCTCCATCGTCCAATCTGGTTCCGCTCATGGAAGAAGAAGACAGACGTGTTCGAGACCTGTTGCACGCATGCATCCTCGTACCACTTATATATCAACTCAATAGCACCTGGGCATTTGAAAACTTGCAAACATTCATGAGGATAATGATGACCCTGGGACAATCTCCCATCTGCGACCGGAATGTCACTCACGAACCCTACCTTTCCTACCAGCGACTTATCCTAGACCATATGATCGCGTTACGACACATACTACAGAGATTGTTAATTCTGGTCCAAGATCACCAAAATGGGATCCGGAGTTCCCCAGTCAGCGCCGGAGATATCACGTCACTGACACCTACATACACTCAAGTCATGGTATCATTCGATACCTCTCTGCGAACCCTTGCCCACTTCCAGAAACCGGTATCACTATTCTATCCGTGGCTGGGGCCTGACGAGATAGACCGAGCCGATGCATATGCTAGAGACCTCCTCAATACCGTTCCCGAATCCGTGTATGAGCTTCCTCAGCCAGGCATAACTGAACTACCAACTCGTTGAACCGGGACTGGGGACTTTGTACACAGAGGGAGTGATAATAGAGGATAATATACCCGGGTGGCCCACTGATCCGTCTGTCACACCATAGAAATCATCGCCAAGCATATTAGAGCAACGAAGATCGGATCGCCGATGACCCGTGGCCCCATCTATAAAGAGACATCATATAGGGTTTCATCAACCGGATCGGGGTTAAAATATCCACGTGCGCCGAGCCGAATCTTGGTTACCCAGTGACACGTCTGCATGACCTGTTCTTCTTACGGTCTTTTATGATGTTGGAATTAACGATATCCTGTGATTTACGATTTTCTGTGACTTTATAATCGTTTATATATACGACCTGATGTTGTTATATACCGTGACTATCTTGACTTGCGTCCATAACATGGTGTTTGGCCTTACTGCTCTGCAGTCATTGCGCTTAAAGTTTTTGTCACGTTTAGACGTGCTTGAATTTGCTTTTAACACTCCTTGGCTGTTGGATTTTGATTATCTGGCATATTGTCTAGCTCGATGGACGAGTTATCATTAAAACCCTTTTTGGATGTGTTAGTCTACGGGGATGATGTATTTCGACTGACAATCTATGTTGATTTTCGTAGATTTATTCTGGGTGATATTGTAGGGTTGCCGACCGGAGGAAAGATTCCCGCTTTTGAAGTATCGAGGAAGGAAGGGTGAGAATACTTGATGGTTTTGTTTTGGGTATGTACGAGGTAGGCAATGGGGTTATAACATGGTCTATTGTATATTGTAGCTATGCTGTAATTATTTAGCGGGGTCTTGAGTAGGTCTGTCTTGTTGGATAGGTCGCAAGATCGGACGGATGTCAGGAAGAGCTGACAGTCATGCAGAAACGTGCAAAAGCACAATCGTTTGATCATTCCCCCATTTTACGATTGAGCCATTCTCTCCTGCTCCCTGCGAAGCCGTCTTTGTCGCCATTCGATCCCCTTGCCCATCACCACCCACATAGTCGGCGACACGGCCACTGAAATTAGCCCCAACGTTGTGTATGCCCAACCTTGTCCCATCGCTTCACTCATGGGTGTAATGGCCGCCGAAGCTGCAGCTCCCAGCTCACACCGGAATAAATTGCTGGCTGCGGTTGCCGCTGCCGACCGTCCAGGCCACAAGTCGACCATCATCGCGTTCAGAACTTGCGACGTGCCGTTGAGACTCCAGCCCGAGATGAAGAGCAGGATAACAGGCACCGCTAGATTGACCTTGTGCCCAAGAACCCAACCGTAGGCGATCATCGACGCCAGACACGTGTAGAACATCGGTAAACCAATTTCCAGCCTCACTCGTTCGATGTTGAAGTTGGTCAGGTCCTGTCGCACATTGCGGATGACAGGCATGCCAACTCGGGTTGCATGTCGACGATAGTTCCAGTCCATCAGACGGCCGGTCGTGAACGCCGATGCGATTCCTCCAGCCCCAATGGGGATGTACATCAACCCGGTCTGGATGTTGTTGAGGTGGTAGACGTTATGGAAGGAAGTGGTGGCCCCCGTCATCACGGCATAGAAACAGGCAAACGTCACGCCTGTCGCGAGAAGAATGAACGCGGTTTCTAGGTCGACAACCACCCTCAGCGTGGGCATAGGAGACGGAATCCGAAAAGCGTAGTTCTTGCGCACTTCAGCCACTTTGTCTTCCTCCACGACCTTGCCTTTCGCCTTCCGATTTCGGTGTCGGATCACGTCGCTCACGGACTGATTGAATAAAGGCGGGGGAACCGAGCCATCTGCAACGACCTTGCGGCAGGTCTCCGGAAGGAAGAGCAACAGGGGAATGAAGAAAGCGCCCGAGTATATGAGGAGAAACCAGAACAGCCAGTGCCAGTTCAGATACTGACTGAGCAAGCCGCCGATGATCGGGGACAAAGAAGGGCCCAGCATGCTCCCGAGGGAGGCGTATGCTATGTAGGTCCCTCGTTCCGCCGACGTGACCAGGTCGCCCACCAGCCCGTTCGCCAACGCCACAGTGCCACTGCTTCCCGCACTCTGAAGACATCGTAAGCCAAGCAAAGCACCGTAGTTATTTTGTAGTCCGAGGCCAAGGTTCGCGGCGATGTAGATGGTGAAGCAGATGATGTACGCCGGTCGTCTCCCAGCGGTGTCTGAGAATCCTGCGATCAAAGTCGGCGCCACGCCTTGCATGATCTGTGTGTAAAGACCCAACTGTCAGTGACTGATCCCCGAGCGCTTCACGAACTTACCAAATAGGTTGTGACCGTCAGATCAATTTTGGAAGTAGAGACGTTGAGTGCCCCCGCTATTGTATCCAGTGCGGGGAAGTAGATACTCGAGGACAACGGAGAAAAGAAACTCGCCAGTGAGCCCGTGGCCACCATCGCTCTTTTCTGGTTGACAGTAAAGACGGAGAATAGCTCCAGCCTGGGTGCTTCATCCTGTGTTGCCTCTTTCTCCAGGTCGGGATCGTTTGCATCTGGGCGTTGTTCAGCCATCGAGGGGGGTTGTTGGTCGTTCATACCAGGATTTGATCCCCGAAATTTTCTTTAGAATCTAGATATAGCTCTGTATTTCATCAAGTTGAGAGAGGTGAGTATGAGAAAGCCAAAACCAGAGTTGTTGTGGTACACTACATCATGGGGCAACTTCCAAAGCCGGTAACGGCCACCCAGGCCCGGGACCGGCTTGGACCGCGGCTGTGCAACCTGGGTCCAGATTCCAGCGAGCAGGTTCATTAACAAGCAACTTCCCCTCACCAGCACTCATTCTTTCCTCACAAGCCACCATTCAAAGCTACTACTCCTCACATTGCTCCTTGACTTCCACCATGACTGCCGAAAAGCCAGCTCTTGTCCTCTTAGACGTGCAAAACGGCGTCGTCGATCGCCTCGAAAACACCGAGCCTTACCTCCAAGCCGTTGCATCGGTGACACAGGCTGTGCGAAATGTCCAGGTGGACATTATCCACGTGGTCACTGGTTTCCGTGCAGGTTACCCTGAGTGTCACCCCCGAAACTCCTCCATGAGCAAGGTCAAGGCCTGGGGGGCCTTCCGAAACAATCACCAGTCCGCCCAGGTTCATCCGGCTGTGTCATCATCTGAGGAAGAGCCTATTGTTACCAAGCATCGAGTCTCGGCTTTCACCAGCACTGACCTCGACCTCATCCTTCGATCCATGGGCATTACGGAGGTGGTCATTGCAGGCCTTATAACCAGCGGTGCAGTGCTGTCGACGGTTCGCTCAGCCGCGGATCTGGACTACAATGTGACTGTTGTGGAGGATTTGTGCATGGATCGTGACCCCGAGCTTCATCAGGTGCTGATGAATAAGGTCTTTTCACGCCAGGGTCGCGTCATTAGCTCTGAGGTGTGGTTGAAAGAGATTGGGCAGTGATTTTGAGATCTATACTACCTGTGGATAAGCAGAACAAGACGGATGAGGTCATTTACTTGCATGTATGCAAAGCATATTGTCATTATTTTGTATTTTCTGCATCTAACTGATGTAACTCAACGATCTGTCCGGCAGATGTTTTAAATACCCTGTTTGGGTTCAATTAGTTACATGAAAAACCGATCTTCACTTTTCATCCCCCGCTCCTCTTCAACTATGTTGTAAGGGAACATTGATCTGGCGTTAAATGTGCCGAGAAAATAGTGACGACCATGTCACAGACCATCGAGATCCCTCAAGTGAGATAACCGCCGAAAACCAGCTAGTTGCACAGGATGTAGTTGGCACCCACCACCGGGCCGAGTCCGATTTTCTTTGACCACTTGTCAAGATTGTAGCGCATGCGCGGCCACTTTCCGAACTTTCTTCCCTTGGCAGGGGCGTGATGCTTCACCTCAAATCCGGGAGGCTGCTCGAAAAGAATGAATAGATAACGGTGAGGGGCGACACGCGGAGGAGGGTGAGGTCCCATGTAGTCAGCTACGAACGGCGCGGCGACTCTCAAAATGTAATTGCCGCTCTGGGTGCGAACGGGCAGCAGGCCGGGCTGGATCCAGTGGAGAATGGGACTCATGAAATTAAAGGAGGCAAAAGGAGCGTCGAGATCGAGACATACAGCCATATAGGTGCCACAGGCCTTGAGCCTCTGGAAGGAAAGCTGGGGTGGGCTCGCCGCATCTGGTTGGTTAGTCGAGGATATTGAGATGCAATTATCAGCTCTGGAGACACTTACCAGCCTTGGAGACGTACTGGCCGGGTTGGACGTGGCGGTTTCCGAAAGTAAGACCCAAAACCTTGTACTCGTCTCTTTCGATCAGCTTCATCGCCCTCTCGACATTCTTCAGAGACGGCATCTTGGGACGAATCCCTCGGAGGAGGTGTTTGAAGATCGTAGCAGTGAGTGGGAGTGAGGAGCAAGGTGTGATAAGTGAGGAGGGTTGAGTGAGGAGTGTAGAGAGAGATGAACAGAGTGAACGGTTGCTTGACTGGATTGCTTGAAGCCAGCATGAAGCTATAGACCCGGCGTTAAGAACAACCCTCGGAGATACCACTGCCGGATGGGGATTTTCCGAGCCGCATTCCATTCACGCTACTCTTCAGTGGAGATGGTCCTGAACTGGTCTAGATCGGTGTCTCTGCACAGAACATTGCAGGTTGTGGGCAGTTGCGTTCGATGGCATCCTAGTCCAGAGATATCAGTGTCATGTCTGGCCTCAATATATGGCATGGTGACGCGCAGTGATTCATGTTGGTAACCCACAGAAGCTGTGACACCGGAGAGGCATAGTTATGCTCACTCTCATACAAAATTGTGCAATACAAGTGTGAGCAACAAGAGAAGGAACTGGAAATCAACAAGTAAGGTGAGTTGACAAGGGAAGTGGCAGTTACTGCTAATAGGTCACTCTCATCTCACCCATGGAAACAAGAATGACTGAACCAGCGACCGCAGACTGCGTGAAGTCCAGTGGATGATGCTAATCGATGAATAATCCCCCAGATGCAACGATATGTGCCCCGTTGATCCACCTTGCCCTCTCCTCACATAAAAATGCCACGGCAAACGCAATCTCATCCGGTGCAGCCATCCGTGGCCCGACCGGCGTCTGGTCGATGATCGGTTGGAGGATCTTCATCTGCTCCTCCCCGGCCGCTGCGAAGCCCTCCGTCTTGGTCGGCCCCGGACTGACCGCATTGACGGTGCAGCCATACTTGAGGGGAAGCTCCTTGGCCCTATTCAGGTCAGCAACATGAACGTTCAGCAGATAGCATCAGGACCTACCAGCACTTGGTGAAGGAATCCACCATTCCCTTAGTTCCGGCATAAATGGTTTGGTTTGGAGGAGGTCCTCGTCCAGATATGCTGATGATATTTACGATCCTCCCGGTGCCCTTGGTGAGATGCTTCAAGGTCGCCTGGGTCAACAAGAACGTTCCGCGGCCATTGATATTCACCAATCTGTCCCAGTCGTCGAGCGTCTGCTCCTCAAGTGGCTTGTTCACCGCCAGTGCAACACAGTTGACCAGGATATCGACTCTGCCCCATTTTGACACTGCAGCGTCGACCAGGGCTTGTGGAGCTGACACCGTGCCCATATCCGCCTCGACGAAAATGGAGGGAGATGGAAGGGAAGTCACCAGGGCAACTGCTTCGGCTTCCAGTCCAGAGAAAGGATAGTTGACCACCGTGCTGGCTCCGCGCCCAGAGAGCTCCCGCACAATGGCGGCGCCAATGCCTGACGAGGAGCCGCTGACGATGGCGACCTTATTCTGTAGGGTTTGCTCCACCATCTTGGGCAAGAGGTGGTCCTTGACAAGGCCAAGTCGATTAAATGGTGACATCAGGAGCAGGTTCGACATTTGTCCCCGGACCACCTTGTCCTGGTCCCTTATAAAGGTGCCAGCGAATGCGCTGATCTGGTGTCCCGCAGCCGGGGAAACAAGCCCGGCCCCTCCAGTTTTGCCCCCGACCGCGTCACCACCACTCACTCACCACTCACCATTCACCTCTCCCCAGCTCCTCTCCGACGCCCTCCACAACCCGACACGGGCCAACCACCGCTTACCATCCTCACACTTTGCTGCATCTTCATCACATCGCTTGTGGGAACTCCTGCCGTCCCTGGTTGCCCCAAAATCTTGTCACCACTATTTGCTGCCATCCAAACGGATGCCTGGACGGTGGACCATCAACCGATCAGCAAGTGGGTCGAAACCTTCCCGAGCCCACTAACGTCGTGAGCTCCTAGCCAAGGGAGTCGCGCCATGGCAGGATATGATGCCAACATTTTAGAGCGCCTGCAGGTTTGACTTGACTGATCTCTCTGGACGATGTGATACTAACTTATCGATTTCAAAGTGTGTATAGGTACATAAAACTCTCCGAATCGTGTACAACAGCTCCCTTGCCTCGAGTCGATCATAACACTAAGGACTAGATAGTTCTATCGCAAGACCAAACCAAGAAATCCGCCTGCAGAGTATTTATTCGCTAGACAAACCAGCCAATGGAAAGCACACACTAAGCCAGCCACAGACGGTGATTGCTCACAGCTTCATGTCGTGTGCGTTGTCGAGCCCCCTCGTACCGGACTGGTCCCCCTTATCCAGATAGCCACAGATACGTCCCTGGGGATCCCACTTGCGGCGGATGTCCATCAGCCGTCGGGCATTGGGATCCGCCCAGAACCTCGTCTTCCGCACCTGAAAGTCCGCATCTCCTAGATAGGAGCCTACCCCGTGTCGTTCCACTTTCTTCATAATATTAGCCACCCACGACTGGCACCTGGCATCATCCTTCTCCTCCTCCCAAACAGTGTACAGCGCGAAGTAATGGTCCGACTGCATACTCAGCGCCATATCGGGAAGCTTTCGACGGCTGCAGGGGTACATTGCATACCAGAGCGCAAACGCCTTCTTGTCTGGGAGTGTCGTGAACGCTTCTTCTAGTACGGCGGGTACGTCGGCGTCATTGCGGATGTAGGCGTTCTCGGCGCAGTATCGGTGTCCTTCCGGGTTTGCCTTGGCTTGCTGCGCGTATTGACTTTCCAGACTGTCCACCTGGCAGAACCATTCCTGGATCGCCCCGGCCGGTCGACTCTCTTCTGCTGGACGCAAAGCTTTTTCAGCGTCATCTGAGGAGGACTTCATGGTGACAAATAGAATGAACAAGCAAAGTTCGTCGATCCCCTCTGGATAGCAAGCCACAACGGCGATCTCGGTGTCCTCATCAAAGCCGGGGGTGATGGATAGAATCCAATCAAAAGCCTGGCGGTAGAGACGGATGGGGTACACATATCCGGATGAGCGGAAGCCGTCCTTGGGATGAGGGATCAGCTCCAAGTGATACTGCGTTACCACGCCGGGGAAGCCAGGACCAGCTCCCCTGGCGGCCCAGTAGAGCTCCCGATTTTGGGTCGCATTGCAGTGGAGCAGCTCGCCCGTGGCTGTCACCACGTCGACCGCTTGGACTCTTTCGCAGGCCCAGCCCCAATTCTATATGCCTGTTAGCGCCCGAATTATAGGGGATATACGCAACCCGACCCGACAATTCCATCCCATCCCCCCTTGCAGTAGAAAGCCACCTAGACCCACGTCCGGGCAATGACCTCCAGGGAACATCAGGCCGTACTCTTTGATCAGATTACCGTTCAGTTCCTTTCCCGTCAGACTTGGGGTGGCTCTCGCGATTTGACTCTCGACATCCACCTCCAGGTGCTTGTAGTTTCCCAGGTCGATCAGGATGGAGTCGTCGCGTACACTCCAGGCCGCCCATGAATGACCCCCAGAGCGCACAGCGACACGACATTTCTTCTCTGCGGCTAGCTTCACGGCTGCAATGATGTCGTTCTGGCTCGTCGCTTTGACGACTGCCAACGGGAATCTTTGGGGACGTCGATGGTTGAAGACTCGGCCTACGCGCGCCTCTTCATAGGCAGCTGGTTCAGCGGAATCGCGCCAGATAATATGCATTTTGAGTGTTGAGTAATTCAAGATATTCGAGGGAAGATGGGCAAAACTGCTGCTCTCCGCGGGCGGCAAAGCATTTAAGGTTATGCCGCCGGGGATCCACGCCAGTGCGAAGGCTAAAGGCGCCCAGTTCCTGCATTATCGACGTCTCGGAACCACTGCGGGCCACATTCTACCCCGCACATCACATCGGGGATCGACGGGTTTCTGGCCTTTCACGGCTTCGGATGGGTGGAGGAAAATAAGCGGTTCAGTTGGTGATGCTGGATGGGATCGTGACTCTGACCTTGGACGGGTACAAACTGAGGACTCGGATACCCCATCGACGCTCGTCGGTCTCATTGTGCCTCGATGGCTCTTGGCTTGAAATATGGTGACGGCATATACCAAATGATCCTGAGAGTCCCCCATGATGTCGAAGCCCATAACGTCGCATCAAGAGGAGACCCTCAGGGATGCCCTCGGAAGCCTACGCCTGCGGCATCATGAGACCAACGAGGTTTTACTAATTCCCACCCCGTCAGGGAATCCGAATGACCCCTTGAATTGGTCAGTCATAAGCCCTGCATGTGTGGTGCCACTGACCCGGTGGTAGGCCCTCCGCCTTCCGGTACTACATCGCCATCGTCGTCTGCCTGGCCGTCTTCTTCTGCAACTTCCTGGCCGCCGGGCCAACTGTGGCCATCCACCAACAACAATTCACTTTCTCGGGCCTGTCAGCTCCAACTTTAACCCCCATCGCCAGGGTATCATATTTTAACAGTACGACGTCTTTGAGTCAGGGCATTGGCATGCTATTTTGGATGCCCTTGATTGTCAAGTATGGGCGGCATCATAATTGATGGACTCATTACGATCAGCCTCCACTGGCGTTACATCTACTATGTCGCATCTGCGCTAATCGGGGGCTTGACCCTGCTGGTCATCTTCACGTTTCCCGAAACGACATTTGACCGTCAGCCTGCGCTCCAGGAAGAAGCCCTGATGGACGATCTGAGCCCCCGACAATTGAACCCAATTCTTACGAGCCATCAAACCAACCATCCACCGTGATCCCACAAAGGTAGTCTTACCTCCGATCGCTCCGTCTTTTCAATGGCATTCACACCTCGGAATCTCTGTTCCGCATCTTCGTCCGACCTATAGTACTAATCATCTCTCCTTCTGTTCTTGGACCTCTCTAGTCTTTGCTGTCACGGTTGGACGCCTCGTCGCCATCTCCTCAGCTTTGCCACGGTATATTCCGAAGCCTACGGCTTCATGTCCTGGCAGTCCGGCTTGTACTTTATCTCTGGGCTGCTGAGTTCCTTTATGGGCATTGCCTTTGGGGGCCACCTCTCTGACTGAACAGCGGACTGGTTCACCCAACGGAATGGCGGCATTCGCCATCCAGACATGCGGTTGCCTTCTGTAATTATCGGCGATGTGTGCGCGCCTATTTCATTGATTCTATACGGCGTAGGAGTAAACAATCACCTACATGGATGGTTCCGACGGTGGCGTTGAATCTACTGAACTTCGCGATCGTGCAGGTGACAAACGTCACTATGGTGCATGTGATCGCTAGCTATCGGCCAACGATGGGTAAGGCGACCGTTTCCATCTTAGCTTTCAAAGGTGAAAGCCCACTTCATCCTTATATTCCTACTATACATATATTCCAAACTTACTAATGAGTTTGGATGCTGCAGCTGCATTCGGCTTCCTACTCTCGTTCTACACCAATCCCTGGATCGATATAGAAGGGTATATTGTCGCCTTTGGGGAGATGGCGTGCATTGCGGGGGCGATTATCGCCCTTGCGGTTGTGTTGTTCTTCTTGGGGAAAGTACTTCGGCATCGCACGTGGAAGTGGCACGTCATAGAAAAGTATAGTCATCAGGGGTCAGATCGAGAGATGGGCGAGTAGAAAGCATGGGGAAGATATAATAGCAGACCGATTCAGCTCTACTCATTTAGCTTGATGGGTACTTCTATGCATGATGCGACTGTGGTGGTCAAGAGCTAGAGGCGGCTCGGATGAAATTGAATCTACAATAGGGGGTCGCTACAGCCACATCGGCCATGCTAAAACCACAACCTTATCCTATTAGCAGAACCATGACTATCTAATCTCAGATTCAAGATCTAAATCTTCACATATGGCCCTTAGAAAGGGCTTTACCAAAAAGATAGTAAGAATAAGAGGTCTTATCAACGATCTCACACACTGTCTCAGAGATGACCCCACAAAGAATCCTACAAACAGCATGGGTAGCCTCATAGATAATGTCACAATGACCTCTCACGTTCTATCACTAGCAGTCATGTAAACGACGCGAAAAGCTTCACAAGTGGTCTCGAAGGGTTCAGGTATGCCCCAGGCAGAGATACTAGTATCGAAACCTCAGGCATAAATATGAGGCTCAAGCTCCAGATATTAATTTCAGCGTTCAGGTATTTGAACCCACAAGCAACACAGACTTTAGTAATAAGGCAGGTAATATAAAGCGTAGTAGGCATTCTACGTGTGAAAGGTGGCTGAAGAAAACACCTGAATTGATCTTGATTAGGTACAGGAGTCGAAAGTTGGTGTTGGGGGATATTCTGGCAGTGAGGAGTTTGATGATGTCAGGTAGTATACTATATGTTGGATTGGCTACTAAGGCGATTCAACCGTGTAGAATGAGATGGATGATGATCTAGCTAGGGGCCTCGTAGGCCATCTATATGGACTAACTAGCGGTGTAGGGAGGAGGGTCACGTGACCCTACGTTGCCTACCGGCATGGGAGCCCATCGGGGATCCCAACACTATATTACCCAGACTGGTACCTTACTTTTACCCTTTTTATAAAAGTTTTAGAATTGTTTATGATCGTTTACTATGTATCTAAGGGAATGGTGAAAGGACCAACAACAAGAGATAGAAGTTAAATTGAATTCAAAACATTGTACTCGAAACTTCTCCGATGGAACGACAAAATATCATCACGGACAGGAGTTGTTAGAGCCAAATTTTCATAACCCGAAAGATCAAACAACAGTGACAGCTGTTTTCAGGAATGCCTTTAGGCGTCCATTTCCTGCAGGGTGAAGGTGTTTGAGTGCCTATCTTTGTAGCGTGCAAGACCCTTACCAGACATTGTAGAATGGTTTGGAAGCCCTGGGAGGGACTGTAGGACCTACCAAAACTTTGCACCACGAGAAGGCTAGATAAGTGGCAATCCTTTACTGAATTGCAAAGTCACTGCTAACATTACCGAGGCGATGTCCTCCACATCATCTCTAACTCCAATATCCCACGGTCCATATTCATTCATCGTTAGAAATGACTTGGATTTGGATGCGTGATTTGGGTTAGTGAGCTGGTCAACATAGTTGGCACTGTATTCTGCGATGATGAGGTAGATCTCATGTCGGTTCTCCGAGAACAACAAGCGGCGAAAACTAAATCTCTAATTAGCTTAACTCTATGGCTTAATTTGCATGTAGGACACTGACACTTTATCTTTTGGAGTATCCTTAAGGATCTCATCGGGGCATTCGTGGATCCATGCTGCTATTTCAGCAGTTTCCTGCATCCTCACAGTGGGCAAGTCATCTCTCGCCATAGCTTTTACCTCGACAATGGCTTTTGTTTGCTTACCCTCGGTTAAGAATAGATGCCCGTCAGTGCGCGCCTCGTATAGCTTGGCTCCCTTACTTCGAACCTTGTACGCCTTGCGTTGTTGAGACCAATGAGCCTGGACTCCCTCGGACGACATGGTTACTAGACTCGCGAGCCCAAGCAAGTAGGTGTTTACCAAGTTTTCATCAGAGACTGGAGGAAAGTCATCGGAACCGTCCTCGTAGGTTGGATCCCTACGTAGGTCATCCTCCGGAGAATCTGGGTAGAAATCAGTTGATGGGGTTTCTTTCGGATCCGAAGTCGGATTTTCATCAAGACTGAAGTGCCCTAAGAGATTGGTGATCGCGATCTCCTTTGGGAGAGGAGTCGGTGTGTCTAGAACGGAGCCTTGTTTGGCCACCTGCTTTTCCTGAAACTTTGTGCGTTTCGAGATTGGAGTGAACCTCACATTATCCTCGTTGTCGGGGCGATCTTGTGCAGGAGCAGAACGAATCAGCTGCCCATAGTACCATATGAGCTTAAGATCGCCAAGGTCAGAAGTAACAGGCAGAATGTCAGCCTCAGAAAACACAAGGGGAACTGCGTGGAGGAACTTTTCCCAGTGGGCCAGGCCCTTCAGGGATTTCCGTGCCTTGGCTACACCCTGGATCCTCCAGTCAGACGGCTGGAACAAGGTGCGTTTGTTGCATTTCCAGAGAGCTCTGAGGGCAAGGTACTGGGGGGGCCCCGATTTTTGACGCGGAAGCATAATGCCTAAGCCCGTAAACTGAGATATCGGGGCATCCACGGGTCGAGGTGGCATTCTCCCATTGTTTTTCCGTTTCGATTCGGGTGGCCAGCGAGTCGGCAGGCATGGTAGCGTTCTTAGATGAGACTTTGATAAACAATGCTGGTAGACGAGGAAAGCAGGGTCAGGGCCTCTTGATATAGGGGACGAGACTTGACGCCATGGTCTGATTTTACAGGCCGCTCCCTACTGCAGGCAAGAATCTTCCCCAGTGATCGGAAAGTTCCTGTTGACTCCCGATTTCACTGATATCATTACGGGGAAGTCTCCCGTGTTAGATTCCGACTTCATTGATACCCTTACGGGGAAGTCTCCTTCCTCAGTGAAGCATTCATTCCTTAGGGAATAGCAGGGATCCCATCGCGGCAGCTGCCTGGGCAACGCCAGCGGGCTTTCCCTATATAAAGCGGCCCATCCTCTCTGTGTCACCTCTCACACAACCGGCATTTCCGCTGCGCAAGGCCATTACCACGTTCAGACGTCTCCACAATGGCTGCTCAAGGACAGATGCAAGACAAACGCCTGCAGGCCCGCGAGCGGGTGTTAAAGATCTCTGTTGTATACTCCAACCTGACACGCATCTTCAAAGAAACCCAACTCCTCGACCACACAACTCTGAACGACAATGATCTCGAGAACCTCAGAATCAAGCTATCCGAGCTTGACCTGACCGGAGACTGTCACGGGGCTTCCGAACTCTTTTACAAACCACGACCAACAGAGGACCTGCCCAAGACTGACTGGAAGGCTGTGAGATTTTCGGACTGGACGGAGGGAATCAGTGGTGAACCACGCCGGGTGGAACATACCCTCCAGAGTGCTTCGAATGAGCTCTGGTGGGGTAGAGAGCATCCCTGGGTTCAACGAAAGTAAGTGCTCGCCCGATGGTGGTGGTCAGGAGGGGAGATTTGAAAGGAATTAACAGCTCACTTGGCATTGTTCTCCAACTTGCAGGTGCTACCACGAGTATCCCAGTATTGCAACTGGCGAGCGCACACCCAGCGATCCATATCAGTGGCAGACCTGCTCCGACATTGAGATAGAATCCGGCGATCTGCCTCACTGCAGCTTTCGAGTGTTTCATTACGCCGAGCCGGAGGAACCTTTGCGTCGCAGTGAAGTCCTGCCTATTGTGGGGTATATGAGAGCTAGGTTGGGCCGAGGTGAATATTTTCGCCACTCTAAGTTTCCGGTAGGTGGCTATCATGCTATCATGCTTTCATGGATCCCTCGGCTAATGCAATATTTTTGTCCTCAGGTGCTGACTGTCTCCATCTTCCGATCCAAGGCGCGTATCTTGTAGGCGTACCACGATGGACTTCATCTGTACATCGCCAAATCCCAGTTTGTTGACTTCAAAGAAAACAAGCGCGAGAACTACGAATTGTTCGTCCGCTGGATTCTCGGGGTGCCTTGCGGTGATACCACGGCCACTCTGGCCATCGAGGGCCAGAAGTTGGGTGAAGCCAACAGCCGTCGCCTTGATGCCTTCCTGAAAAGGCGCTTCCCACCCGGCAGCAATGAATGAAGAGTAGTAGTTGGCTTGAGTGCTTGTTAGCTGATAGCTGCAATGTTTTGAATGTAGGCAATCAAATGATGCAGATCCATGCTACTGTGTAGCACACTTTGTAGTAGAGTCGTAGAGGAGTAGAGGACGAATGTACTCGTCATAAAATAAGAAAGTACTCGGCGGGTATGATTGAGCTCCTTCCTTTTCGGGGTTAATGAGCGGATCTGCTCACGTGCAGTCCGCACTAAACCCAAGATGGGCAACAATGTCTGACCCACTTGGGGGGAACATTGGACCAATGGAACGAGTGGACAGAGGGCAGGTGACTTCCGGGGGAAGGCGGGGAAGACGAGAGGGCCGGCGAGGATGGCCGGGCTTCTTTTATACACCGTTCTGGCCCGACAATTGCTTGCCTCTTTCAGCCAGCAGTCTGAGCTGCTTTGCCTTGCTTAAACTTGCGTCCTCGTGATCCTCCCTCCATCCCCGCCAGTTTGGGTCGTGACGACCGACGCCAATAATCCGTCCGTCCGCTGGCTGGAGCTTAATCTTAACCCACCGCCACCATGTCACCCTCGCAGCGATCCGGTATGTGCTTCCTTCTTTCTTCCATCCTGGATGGCCACCATGCAGATGTGCGTAGCCAGTATTTTAACTCGTGCCGCGCTATATACCTAGTTGCCTCGGCGGACATGCCCTTCATCATCTCCACCAGCACCAAGAAAGTCGATCCCCATACTCGCAAACTCATCCGCAGCCATGTCATGATTGGTAAGAACCGCGGCAAGTCCCGGTATCGCCAAGCAGAGGACTTGGACTTGGGATCCAAGCCGGTCGACACGAGCACAGACGATGTGGCGGCCTCAGCTGCTCCAGTGGCCACGCGAGCGGCGTCGGAGCTTCCCCGCAGGATTGGACACGACATGTCCTTGATTCAGCTGGCCGATGACATGACCAGCCCGGCCTCTCTAGCCACAATCCTGCACTGTACGTCCTAGATACATCCATCCATCCATCCATCCATCCTGACCCGACCAGCTGGATCGGACAACGCACTAATGGGATGGGAGACTGACTAGTCACCGAGCGAGCCAAGACGGAATTCTACCCTTTGGCCGTCTGTATCGTCTTCAATACCGCCAGTCGCACCTGGATGCTCGACATGCTCACCCTGGATGCCGCCTACCTCAACGCCATGGTCATCACCACTCACTCCTACTTTCGCCCCCGCCAGGGTTTCGACCTGTCTCTATCCCCTCATTTAGTCAAGACCATCCGCCTCCTGCGTGACCGACTCGCCGACGAGCAGCTTAAAGTGTCGAATGCGACCGTCATGATTGTCATTCTCCTGGTTTTGCATGCTCATATCATGGGGGACTTTGAAGCGGTCCGGCATCACACCGAGGGTCTGCGAAAGATGGTCCGTCTGCGCGGGGGATTGGGCGCGTTCATGTCGAATAACAAATTGGTCATCGATCTCATCCGGTGGGTCCAGTTGAATCCTTCCTCCCTCCTAGTAGCTACTAGTATGTGACTAACATCCAAGCAGGTGCGATGTGGGACTGGCTATCCACAGTGGAAACAAGCCCGCCTTTTTCGAGAACCGGGACCTCGACATCTTCGTGCCGTCCGCGCTCTGCTTCCAGACCCGCCGCAACGCCGATCCTGCGTTCGTACGGGAGCTCGACTCTGGACTCGCCAGGATCTGGCACATCATGCAGGGATTCTGTTCTCAAATCAACCTCACCGTCGAATCGAACGGCATGATCCCGGAAAAGGACTTCCTCAAAACCATGGCCTCCGTCATGTACCCCTTGCTGCATATGAGCTTTGACTGTGGGTCCCGCAACGAAGCCATCCGTCTAGCGCTATTAGGCTACGGATTCGATATCTTCCTCCAGTGGCGCGCCACTATTCCGTATACAAATCTAGCTTCTTCGTACCGGCGATGTCTCGGCGGCCTGGTGATGAGGGACGATGTCTCCCCGGAACTCTGGATCTGGTTGTTGACCGTTGGCGGGCTCTCGGTCTTTACGCCATCCGCGAGGAGCTACTTCCGGCAGTGGCTACTCTATCACCTGGGGGGCTGTAAAGTGCGCTCCTGGGCAGAGATGCGATCGATCCTGTCCTCCTTCATGTGGATCGGGCTGGTACATGACCGAGCAGGGAAGGATATATTTAACTCCGTGCTGTCGCACATGGTTCCAGGGAAGGAGACTCCCTCGGCGCTTTAATGAATTGGGAATAAATAGAAGTGTACATGATGTAATGTTATATAATATGTTCTATACTTTTATCGGAATACAATGTGGAACTATAGTGATAGATAGATTAGAATATATAAGTCATCCTCTCCGTGCCGTCCAATCATGTGATTCAGTGTTCGTGATTCCCCCTCACTTGTCCCTACTAGTAACACTCGTTTGACCCCGCATCCATTAACACACTCGAATAAAGCCCACATAAGTAGAGCCTCACCTCCTCTTCTCCCCTTTCCTTAGTAACCAGGATGAATCCCTCTCTCCCCTCTCTCTGTCTACTAAGTATCTTGGCATCAAGTACCCTTCCCCACCTTTCCCTGTGAGGCAACGAATCCTTAGTCAAGATTGAAAGGGGGGACGACCGAATCACAGTATTGAGTTAAGTTAAGTTTACGGTTGGCCTTGAACACGACGTATATCAAGAACCTATAGTGCTAGATAGCGAAGGGTTGACTCGACTGTGCTTTTCTCATGAACGGGAGCGAGTGCCTCTCCGTGTGGTGCCGCGTAATACGAAACAAGAACAGTCTTGGGTACGGGTTGCGGACAATGATGAGTTACACTCGTGATTGAAGACGTTGAGTGAAGAAATATCATATGTGATCTATTAAGCTGCAATGTTAAAGCAGGTGATATATACTATATCTTGAGAATAAAAAAAAAAAAAGGCACACGGCAGCGCGACTGAAAGGGTCAATCCCTTTTCACACGCAGGAGCCTCAGCAGGGGACCTGTAATAGCCGCCAACCCAGCAAATAGACGCTCCACTAGAATATCGGGAATGAAACGCACGAGAACCCCAACTAGAAGCGATAATACTCCTAGCACTATCGAGTAGGCCCATTGCACACCGTCGAGCTGGGTAATCGAAAATGCGCGACCTCCAACAAACATGATCACCAACTGCCCCCCAACCATAATGACGCTGACTCCGATGAAGAGCCAGTTTCTGTGCACGCCTTCAAGGACGTTGACGTTGTTTCCGAGTACGCGGGTGCTGAGGCCAGGATTAGAGCCAGCGGATACGCAAATAAGAGAGAGGGAACTCACTTGTACAAGTTGAATATCTGCATCCACACATACGTGTTGAATACGGCGGTTTGCAGCTGAGAGTGCTCATGGGAGGTGCTGTATGAGAAGATGCTGTTGCCGGCAAAGTGAAGCACCAATGTCACGACAAGCTGGTAGATTGACTGGCCGATGATCATCTTCCACATCGGCACCGTGATCAGAGGAGCCGATCTTTTGTCTGGCATCCGATCCAATACCTTGTGCGACGGTGGATCAGTAGCGAGCGCCAGTGCTGCCAATGTGTCCTGGAACAGGTTGACCCACATCAGCTGCACGGCCGTCAGCACCGATGTTTCGCTGGAGCTGGCCACAGACGTGACAAACGCTAGTCCGACCGAGGTAAAGGTAATCGTTATTTGGAACTAATGAAGACTGTTAGAATGTTTGCAGGGACTGGAAGCGGACTACAGCAAGCAGTCTTACCTGTAAGAACTTTTGAACCGCATCGCTGACTGCTCTCCCCCACATGATTGCCTTTACAATCGAACTGAAGTTATCGTCCATCAGCACAATGGCGGAAGCCTCGCGCGCAATCTCTGTCCCCGAAATTCCCATGGAAAAGCCAACATCGGCTGCGGTAAGTGCGGGGGCGTCATTCGTCCCATCTCCTGTGACAGCAACTGTTGCCCCGATTTCCTTCAACCTTCGGACGAGCGTGCGCTTATCTTCGGGCCGGGATCGGGCCAGAACTTTGAGTCGGGGCGCAATCTCAAGTTGCTGCTCCTCGGTCAGGTTTCTGAATTCCCGTCCTTCGATGACAATGTCCTCGGTGCTGGAGATGATGCCGCACTCCTGAGCGATAGATCGGGCCGTCAAGAGATTGTCGCCTGTGACCATTCGTACCGTCACGCCTGCCCGGTGGCAAGTCTCTACGGCATCATGGGCCCCTTGTCGCAGAGGATCCCGGATACCGGCAATGCCAAGGAAGGTCATGCCCCGCAGGATATCATCAATGTCAAGTGTGTCTGATTGAATCTCCCCTGCCTGGTTTGGGGGCCATGTCTCAAAGTCTCGGAAGAGCAAGGCGATTGTCCGCAGCGATTGCAAGGCGTAAACATCTACCTTCTGCCGCAGGAGTTGCTTTGCATTCTCGTCCAGGGCGACAATGGAGAACCCTCCTGTTGGGTCTATGATGGAACTCGTACAGATACCCAACAATGACTCCGCCGCTCCTTTGACGTATGCTCGATAACCCTCCCCCAGGCGGACCACAGTAATCATATACTTGCGAGAAGCACTGAATGGGAAGAGTTCCACTACTTCATGATTTGATCTTTCCACATCCAACGGACCCATGGCCAAGTGGTCCCGTGCGAAGTCTAGCAGGGCGGCTTCGGTTTTGGATCCGACGAACGATCGGCTCCCATCTGTTTTCGATTCAAAGGCGGTGGTGTTGATGGCGATTGATTCCCGAAGGAGCGATTTAATGCCAGTGTTGAGATGAGATGTGAACTCAGCAGTAGTTGGCACAGCTCCAGCCACGCCGTCTATCTGGGGTTGTGGATTGTTAAATTCTGCCATTGTGCCAATCGTTCCTGCGGCCACCGTCATCCTATTCTGAGTCAGTGTCCCGGTCTTGTCCGAGCAGATGTCGGTGGCATTGCCCATAGTTTCACAGGCCCACAACTGACGGACCAAATTCTTATCCTTGAGCATCCTCGTGGTGGCAAATGCAAGAGACAGAGTCACGGTCAAAGGCAGGCCCTCGGGAACGGCGATCACTACGACGGTCAAGGCAATGATGAAAACATTCAAAAAGTTCTGACCCTTTTCGGTCCCAGACACCGTTGAATGGCGCAGACCAACCAAGAACTTGATAAACAAAATGACGAACATCACCAAGCCAGCAATTCCGCCAAATTTGGCTATGTACTTGGCTAACACATTGAGTCGCGACTGCAGTGGGGTGAATCCAGGGTCCTCCTCGAGACTTAAGAGGATTTTGCCGTAGCTTGAATGCGCCCCCGTTGCTAAGACCAAAAACGACCCGACGCCTTCGGCAACCTTTGAGCCAGATATGACGAACGGATCGAGATGCTTTGTATCCCGACAATCGGCAAACGCCTCGGCGACCTCATCTCCGGAGTGCTTGGGTAACAGGTCCGACTCGCCTGTTGCAGATGATTCGTCGCACCGAATATGATGACCCTGGATCAGGATGCCATCGGCAGGAATAACATCTCCTGGCTCCATGTGCACGATGTCCCCGACCACCAGGTCATGGATAGTGACTTCTTGCGACCGACCGGAGCGGATGACCCTCACGTCACGATCCTGCTTCTTCTTATTCAGCTTCTGGAACTGCCATTGCTTCTGAAAATCATTGCCTGCGCCGACCAGTACGATAACGATGATAGCGACGATGATGGCGACTCCTTCTACCCATTCGACTGGCGGATTCGAACTTATGTGCTTGGTCCCGAACGTCTGATAGAGACCTAGGGCCAGCGAGATGATAGCTGCACCGGTTAGGAGGAAGAGAACGTGATCGTTGTAGGCCATCCATATCAATTGCAGGATCGTGGGTGGTTTGGGAATGGGCAGGCGGTTATCTCCGAAGACGGTGCGTCGATCTGCGAACTGTTCGGTATCATGATGATGGTGATGGGATGATCTGTGGATGGGCGAGGCTGTCTCCGGGGAGTGATGGTCCTTGAGGCCCGACTCATCCACGCTTAATCCCGTATTCCGGTCGGTTCGCAGTCCCTTCTCTAACCCAGGCAGGCCACCAAGGGCGTAGAAGGTGTCGAGGCTTCGCGATTCGATGAGGCCGCTCAACTGCTCAGCCGAGAACTCAAACGCGCCGTGCCTACCCCTGACCAGAAGTTCGTGAGCGGCGACCGGCATTTCGTTCAGGCTCTTGAGGGACGTTAGTAAACGATCGGCTCTATGCTTGGTTCCGGTCCGAGGGTGGGCCACTAGCAAATGTGAGCCAAGGCCCTTGGACAGTTGGACTACCTGCCTCCTTCATAGCGCCGGCTGAGAGCTCATGCTACCGCGAGGGTTGGGATGGAATTAGACCGCGGATCTGGTCGTTACTGGTGTCATGGCGGACGAAGCTCACACCATGGGAGAGAATAAAGGTTACAGAATAGATACAGAATGTCCAAGCGCCAGGTGCACCGCCCCCCTGAGTGAGACGAGTGAGATGGGATGAGACAATGAAAGATCAGATGAGAGGACGGAGGAAGAGACGCGAGAGAGAGCGAGAGAATCGCCCGGTGGCCCGTCGGTGGGTGGCTTTGGTTGGGGCGATACCGGGCGGAGGCAGCCGCGTAACACCAGCCGGTAATCTTCGGCTTCCCCGCTCGGTCGTATTTTTGCCTAATTCACCCGGCAGGATCAGTTCCTGGCCTGATTCATCAAAGCCATCGGACGCCCGTCGTATCGTGATGTGGGTGGAACCCAGGGGATGCGGCTTTCGGAGTGGCGATTACTTGGGGGTGGGATTCCACATCATAACACCAGGGGTGAATATCTGACAGGTCTCCTGTTTACGCGTCACTGGATACTTATTTACCGCCAAGTGGTTGCCTAGTACTCCGAGGGTGCAACGATATCCGGGTGTACATAGAACGCAATTGCGATGATCAGGTACCTAGGAGCACGTTAGAAGGCAATAGAGAGAAACAGAAGAACAACTCACGTTCCGCATAATAAGACCCCCGCAAAGTAATTGGACCGCCCCTCCCGAATCAAGCAGTTCATCACCACAACAGCCAGTGAGAAACAAGCGGTCTCGAACGTGTTGAAGCGGAGGGACATCGGCTCACCAAGAGCCCAGCCGTAAAGGACCAGGAACGGCGTCACAAAAAGGGCAATTTGGAGGGTGCTTCCCACAATCACTCCAATCGCCAGATCCACTTTTCCCTCTTTCGCTGCCTTGACAGTGGTTGCAAATTCACCAGCGTTCCCAACAATAGGCACGACAATCAGACCCAGAAAGGCTCGGCTAACGCCGTAGGCCTCTACGAAGCCATCCACGCCATCAACCAGGTAGTCCGAGCAGACGGTGACCCCCAGTGTCGCAAGAACCAGGACAAGACTGGCGGCGATGGGTCCCAGTTGGCGCTCTTCTTGATCATCGTCTTCGGTTCCACTGAAGAGGTGAGCGTGGCTGCTTAGTTGGAAGTAAAGGTAGACAAAGTAGAAGATCAGTAGAAAAACGGCAGTAATGTGGGACAGGCGCAGAATGTACTCGCTTCCATTGGGTGAAGCATAGAGAGCGGTGGAGTACAGAGTGGATGGGATGATGAGAGCAGCCGAGGACACAATCATCAGGGACGACATGATCCCCGTCACATCGACGTTGAAAAGCACGGTCTCCTTGTTGTAGCCGCTAGCAAAGAAACAACAGCCCAAGACCTTGATAATAGTCAGATATTCTGGCTGGCAATGGGAGCAATGTACGCCATACCAGTAGAGTACCGGAGAGGATGGAGCCAACCATGGAGGATTGGACTATATGGATTTCTCCTTGAGTCACCGCTGTGATTCCAACCTGGGGGAATCTGATTAGCTTGGAAACTCAAAACCAGATCAAATACACTCACAATCATCTCGATGGCATTGCCGAAGGACGCATTGATCAGGCCTCCCACGGTCTGTCCGACGCTCTTGGCCAATTCTTCGGTCGCAAAGGACAGCAATGACGCCAGTGGAAAGATGGCCAGGAAGTTGAGGATGAACACGGCGGAGGGATTCCATTCCTGGGAACCGGACAGGATCCCCAGGAACACAAAGACCAGCAGCACATTTGTGTAGCTGGAGAAGAGAGTCACTTCAATAATATGCCACAGGTTGGCCAGGGGGGAGGGCCTCCCCATCTCCCGGGCACTTTCTACAAACGCCATCTTGAAGTTCATGAGCTCATGAGTAGAGAGGAATCAAGGGGGGAGGAAAGGTCGTGAGGAGGAGGAGCATAAGAGGTCAATAGGTCGTCGCGATCCCTTCTAGCCGGAATTCTTAAGGCGAGCGGGGGACGTTCTGCGGATTACCGTCAGGTACGGTTTCACCCACGTTGTATGTGACCGATACAATTGTTTACACGCAAAAGGCGTCAGGTGCAGGTGGGTGGGTGGGGCTAAGCCCAAGCACTCAATGCCATTGGGTCAGAATAGGGGTGCCTAGGCGCTAAGGTTCTCGGCCTTGACGGGGAGGTGGAGAGGCTGTCCAATGAAAACCTGCCACCCAGCCCTGTAAGGCTGAGGGGCCCGCCTGCCCAGGAGACGCTTGGTTCGGGCTCGGGGACAGCGGTACGGTACCCCCTTACCGCGGATACGGCCAGGTCCGGTAACTCTGCTAAGTGGTAAGTGGTAAGGTACATCAGCCGCGCCTCGGGAACCAGTGCGCCAGTCAGCTGAACGGCGAGCATCCGCGAGCTCGTGCTGCCCAAGAGAAGCAACCATTCTGGATATTTCACCCCTGGAGTAGATCTACCGCGTCCAGCATGCCCGCCATGAGACACCGCCACCATCACTCAATCACGATGGAGGACTCATCTGGGTTGTCGGCGGAGTCAAATCCCCCAACGCCATCGCCCACCGACCGTGGCTTCCTGCCGACCGGGCCCCTCCACGGCCGCGCCAATCCCTTCCACATGGCCATCGTGACGATTGGAAGCCACCCTTTCCTGAGGGCCCTGGCCGGTTTGGTGCTCTTGGGGTTCGTGTCTGGTATTCTGGGATGGCCTAGACAGGTGGTCTTTTGGTTGAACCTTGGCGCATTGATTCCCCTAATGGCCCTGATCACCATTGCCATTGCTGAGTTGTCGCATACCCTGGGCGCGTTTCTCCACGAGCTCCTGAAAGCGACCCTGGGGAACTCGGTGGAGTTGATGGTGGGCATTGTGTCAGCGCAAATGGGACAGGGCCGCATCTTTCACTCGGTAGTGGTTGGCAGCATCCTGTGTTATTCGCTTCTGGTGAGCCACAATCTTTGTTCATGTGCTTGGGTCTGTTGCATTGACCAATGATCTTCAGGTGCTGGGTAGTTGTTTCTTGATCTCCGGCTATGACAAGGAACATCTGACCTTCGACCGCACGTTGACAAGCATCATGTCATCCTTGATGATCATGGTATGCATCGCGTTGGTTCTCCCCGGGGTAATGGTCACATTTCCCTCGTTGGACACGATCTCCATCAATGCGATTGTGACGAGCCACGAGGTTCGACTTGTCTCGTACGGCATTGCCATCATCCTGCTCACGCTCCTTGCCGTCTTTCTACTCTTCCAGCTCAAGACGCATGCTGCATTATTCCATGTTGTCGAACGCACAGGCCGCGCAGAGCTGGACGATTCCAGTATTGAGGGCCGCATGCATGAACTCCATCCGGACCACCATTTGGGTGTCTTCACTCCCAGAGGCGCAGGTCTTGCTCTACTTGCCGGGGTGGCCTGTCTGACCGTATGTGTTATACATCTAGTGAATAGCGTTAATGTGTCGCTGGAGAGGGGGACAGGCACTAGTTTCCCCATCCTGGTCTGGGTACCACTGATGGGTAACGTGACCAAATATGCCACCATTGTGGTGATCTCGCGACAGGGCCATGTAGAGGCCGCGGTCCGGACCATTCTGAATAGCGTTCTTCGCCTCACTCTGCTGGTCACCCCGGCCTTGGTTCTCATGGGGTGGTCATTGGGCCAATCCGTCACTCTACAGATGGATAATTTCGAGGCCACCATGCTGTTTCTGGCAGCCATGGTTATGAGTCATGTCATTCATGAAGGGAGAGCCAACTATTTTGATGGGCTAATGCTGTGTGGAACGTCAGTATCCCCTCGTGTTGCCCAGTTCCTTCTTTGCTGTTGTTACCTGGATACTAACCAGCTCATAGATACGTTATCACGGGGGTGGCCTTCTATGTCTGTCCCAGTATCAGTACCACCAAGGACGTCGCGATCGTGAACACATGATCATTCAAATTCATGATCAAGATGGTATATGCATATAATTATATCCTAGTATATCCCAAAATGGTGCCCAAAACATAGGATGATCGAAAGCGTTATAACTACTCATTCTCTGTATGTAAACAAACATGGTTCATGGCTACGGCTTACCGAACGTAGAAAGCAAGCGTCAGGATAGCATACCTGGATAGGACAGTTAGCAGCTTGATCAACAAAAAGTCTGGGTAATGACGTACATGGCAACAAGCATGCTTCCGTGGATATAGGTATATTTGCCGTCCTGCAGGATACAGTTGACCAGCAAAACCGAGAAGAAGAGTACGACTGTATGGAAAGTCTCGAAATAAAGGGTCATTGGCTTGGCAATTACCCAGCCCAGCATGACGAGAAACGGGATGGCGAACAATCCAATTTGCAGGATACTGCTGACAATGACACTGATGGCGAAATTCACATCTCCCCCACCAGTACAGGCAGTGATGACGACTGCCCCTTCGCAGCTGTTGCTGATAATGGGTATGAGAATGGTGGCAATGAAAGTCTTCGAGATATTCAGTGAGGCAGCAGTTGCAGGGATGCTGTCTATGATATTCTTAGCACAGGCAATAATACCGAGCGAGGAAAGAGCCAGGGTGATGACGAGTCGATTCAAGCTGTGCTGTGGCTCTCGTGACGAGTGACTCTCATTATCCGGGCTGTCATCCTGCTGTTGAAAGAGATGGCTATGGGTGCCCAGCTGGAAGTACAAGTACCCTCCATACAGCAGTAAAAGGACGGCAGAGGTGCCGCGTGAAAACGCGATGATTTGTTCCCCCAGATCGAAGGGAAAGGTCGAGTAAAGAACGGAAGGCAGGATCAGCCCTACAGATGTGACAACCATCAAGGAGGCTAGAGCGCCCGTGACGGGTTTATTGAAGTGTAGGATGAAGGTGTTGTACGAGGCGGCGATGAGACAGCAACCGAGGATCAGGAGGAGATCGGAGAGAATGCTTCCGATCATGACGGACTGTGCAAAGTAGACTTCCCCGCGCGCGAGGGCCAGAATTCCGGTCTAGAGGAGATAAGCCCATTGGTTAGATCGGTCGCTCTTGCATCTTGCCAGCTCTGGGCACTCACCGACAGCTCCACGCAATTTCCAAAGGTGGCATTGATTAGTCCACCCATGAGCTCCCCCAGGTAGTCGGATAGCAGGTCGGAGCAGTCCGACACCACGGCCGAGAGGGGGATGATGGCAAGGAAGTTATAGAGAAAGACAAGAACGGGATTCCAATGGAGGACATCTGCCATCAGGCCCAGAGGCAGGAAGCATAGCAACGGATATGCGCCGGAGGTGGGAATGGCTGCTGCAATCTTCTGGATGACGGACGGATGGGCGTGGGCGGAGGAGGCAGCCGCCGAGCCAGACTGCGGCTGAGATGGCATGTCCGGATGGTGGTGGTGGTGGTTGTCTTGGGGGTCTTTCGGTAAGGGGTCGTTGTGCTCTGGCCGGGACATGGTGGGACGACGGCGAGAATGGAGGATGACAACTGACGTGACAACTGACAGGCGATGGATGGCGGCGGGAACTGGGAGACAGACGGACCTCTGCTGATGAAACCTGCCTTCTAATTTCAAACCGCGACGATCATCGCGCCAGTTAAACAGCAGCAAGCAACGGAAGCGCAGGACGGACGATGGAGGGGGAAGCAGAGAGAGATGATGAGTCGAGAGGAGCAAGCGAGAAGCCGAGAGAAGAATGAGGGAATGACAGACCAGACGGATATCATACGGTATTACCGTCCCGAACGGTATGGCGGCGTTTCGGAACGGTAATGCGGGCGGCTGCTATTTCTGGACGGAAAGGATGGTCTTGAATTCTGACGGCAGGGCTGAAATGCAAAGGCCGAGGAGGAAATTGGGGGGATTTCCTTTCCCCCCCGCCCACCCACTCCTCTCCTCAAGGACTTACGGACTCAAAGGAGCCGCTTGCGGACGAGTTTTCCTCCGGGTGCCGGCTGGTCACGCTGTCCTGTGACTCCTGTCCATGTCTCTCCATGTCCATGATTCCATCGCGTCCCAAGGGTGGGTCCTTCCACCTTTCAGTGCCAATCCCAGGTCTCCCCGAGCCAAAGGGACTCCTTTCCCCTCCCCCCTTCGAGTTTCCAATAATGCAGGTAAGATGAAGGGGAGCCTTGGGGCAGCTAAGCACCTGCATGTCGCCGGGCAGAAGGCGGCGATAACACGTTGGTGCCAGTTGCGGCCGGACTTTGACTGACGATGGGATCATCCAGCGGCCTAGCGGCTTGGCGGCAGCGAACGGGGCCTTCAGTCGTCGGTCGTCCGTCCTTCCCAGAATCCTCTGCCGAAGCGGTCGACCTGTCCCACCGTCGTGCTCCAGCATCACCGGCCCCCGTCGTCACCATCCTTCTTCCCATCGCTCGCTCGCTCGCTCGCTTGCTTCCCGTTGGCAGCAGCTCATGCGCCCCAGATCTTCCCCCTCCCCTTCCGTATCTTTCCTCTGCACCCAGGAATCGCAAAGTGTCGAGTCCGGCCTTCCACTTTCTTCCCGATCTTGCAGTCATTATCGCTCCCAGACCAGCTTATTAATTTCGTCCCTTGGGTCGTCTTAGGTTCCTCCTTTCCACCCCGGTTTGCCCTGCGCTCGAATCATTCACCAACACTCCGCAACCGCCATCCTATTAGAACAAGATCCTGGTGTCGCGAGAAGACCGCCCTGCTTCCCTCGATGGATATCTCGCCGTCCACCTCGTTCTTTAGTGCGTTCCGAAGTCTATCAAAACGTTATCGACGCCAGGGGATCACAGATGCAGCCACCAGGTTAGAGGCGGTGGTGGAACGGGCCAGCAACGAGGATTCGGGCGACCCTAGTGCTGCTTTGGTGCGTTTCGGGGGATTAGTCCTCACCTTTCTGGAACGGGGTCAGTGGAACGCCGCCGTAGATGTCGGGACCATCGTGGTTGACGCCCGACGAACCCTGCTGGGCCCCAACGACCCGCTCACTATGATAGCGATACACAACCTAGTCTCGGCGTACTATGGCCAGGGCCGTTGGACGGAAGCGATCGATTTGGGCCGCCAGGTGACTGAGGCTAGGCGGAGGGTGCTGGGGGAGGATCACCCGCAGACCATGGCCTCCATGTCCAACCTGGCCTCCGCGCACCGCAAGCAAGGACATTGGCGACAAGCCGAAACGCTGGAATTGTGTCTATTGGAGATCAAGACACGACGATTGGGCGAGGATCACCAGTCCACCCTAACCTCAATGGGAAACTTGGCGACCACGTACAGCCACATGGGAAGATACGATGAGGCAGAGAGGTTGGAGAAGAGGGTGATTGAACGTAGTGCGCGAGTACTGGGCGACCACCACGGGTCCACCTTGACATGGAAGTCCAATCTGGCGGCCACATATCGAGAGCAGGGTCGCTTAGGGGAGGCAGAGAAGCTCGAGTCCGAGGTGATGGACATCCGAATAGAAAGCCTCGGAATCCAGCATCCCCTGACGCTCACTTCCATGGCCAACCTGGCATCGATGTACCGCGACCTCGGTCGGTTGGACGACGCGGAACATCTCGAAACGCAGGTCGTCGAGACAAGCAAGATAGAGCTTGGCGATCAGCATCCCCAGACACTGATGTCCATGATTAACCTAGCATCCACGTACCGATGTCAAGATCGGCTAGAGGAGGCCGCCAGGCTAGGGGTACAAGCAGTGGCCGCGATGAAGTCGATCTGGGGGGACCAGAACCCCTTGACGCTTACCGCCATGGCCGATCTGGCCTTGACATACCAGGGGCAAGGACACACTGACAGGGCGGAGGCATTGACGGCGCAGGTGCTGCGATTGATGCAGAAGAACCTCGGGTCCCTCCACCCCCATACACTAACCACCATGGCGAATCTGGGAGCCATCTACCAGTCACAAGGGAGATGGGATGAGGCCGAGAAGCTCGCAGAACAAACAGTTCGCGGTCGGGAGAAGGTGCTAGGAAAAACACATCCCGACACGCAGGCGTCCATGGAAGACCTGGTGCGCGTCTGTCGAGTCTTAGCGGCGGATCGGACAACGGCGATGCGCGTCCGGAATGTACATCATTGAGGTGTAGCCGTGACTGGACAGGCCCTCGGGTGTAATGGCCGTTTCTGTTTCTCTTGAAAGTACATTTCTTCTTGTTAATGAGTCCATGATCATCGGTCGGCGTTTGTGTTTGGGACTGGATCCATGAACCAGACCGCCAACTGCTACATAGGGTATGGTTAGTGATTGCAGGGAGCACATAGGCACTATTCTACTGCACGTTGATGAAGGCGGCTTTTTGTTCGTGTTTGTTCTGGTATGGTGGACCGATGAAGGGTGAGACCATCCCCAGGAAAGGCCGTGAGAGGGCCAGACTCGCTTTTTGAGGGGACCTTTTTGGAGTGGAGTGTGGCTGAGCAGCAGCGCATCATCGCAGCACTGCCCCCTTGCCAAGAGACCCCCCTCCAACGACTGCCACCTTGTTTCTTCTTTGTTTTCCTCGCGGGAGATGCAACTCATGCCATCGAGCCTTATCTATCTACACTACTATTGACTACTACTACTACCTACCTTAATAAGGGTGGGCCTGCCTCTCTCCGATCGCCAATATCCCCGCTTATCTCCGCAATCATGCTCTATCAGTATCTCGGGCCTCCGACCGTCTCTTGATTCGTTCCATTCACATCAAGCTCCAACCCCCCAACGTTGTGACATCATATGCCAGCGAAGACGTGGATGGTTCGCTGTACCACCATTGGAATCCTGAATCGCACCAGCTAAATACACAATTGTGACCATGGTTCTGGACTTCCCAATCCCTCAAGTCTATGGCCGAGATCCAAGGAGGAGAATGTTCCTGATGGGCACGCATAGACCACAGACCCCTGCCCCGGGATGCTCGGGTTGACGTTGCCCTCGTTGATTTGCCAGTTCCCCGCTCGCAACCACCGACGGAATAAGGGACATCCAGCTTCCCCGCTCCCTCGGCACGAATGCATCGCTATTTAGTCCCCGGTGTCTACCAGGGAGGACGGCGGCTGGCCTTACTCTATCATCAGCCCGGCTGATTTCATCATCTCAACGTCACGACCACGAAAATGACCAAGCTGGCTGGGGCAAGCATCCCCTCTTTCACGGTCGATGGGAAAACCGCTATCATTACAGGTGCTGGATCGGGTCAGTTCCTCTTCCCCTCATCCCTCCTCGTCGACAGCAGTCTAATCCACACCAGGTATTAATCTTGCTTTCGCATCCCTTCTTCTATCACGCAACTGCAATGTGGTGATCGCCGATCTTACCCTCCGTGCGGAAGCCGAGCAACTCATTGCTAGGCATGGGGCCACCGATACGTCGCCTCGAGCCGTCTTCATCCGGACGGACGTCACTTCCTGGGTGGACCTGGACCGTATGTTCACCCAAACACTGTCCCTGTTTGAAGAGTTTCATATCCTCTGCCCCGGTGCTGGGGTCTACGAGCCAGTATGGTCGAATTTCTGGCATCCGCCGGGATCCCAGGCAAGCAAGGACGAAGCTGATGGGGACCGGTACGCCTTGTTGGATATAAACATCACCCATCCTATCCGGGCTACCCAACTAGCACTGTCACATTGGCTGCATCCGAAGGGCCCAGATGCGATCCCTGTCGCCCCGGATAATCCAAGGCGCGTCGTCCACATCTCCTCCGTCGCGGGTCAAATGCCTAACATAGTCTGTCCCATGTATGGGGCGTCGAAGTTTGCCGTAACGGGCTTTGTCCGATGCTTGGGTCCGCTTGAGCAGGCTATCGGCGTTCGTGTCAATGCGGTTGCCCCGGGCCTAATCCGAACGCCACTGTGGACCGATAATCCCGAAAAGTTGATGCTCGTAGACCAAGAAAAGGACGGATGGGCCACTCCCGAAGAGGTGGCATTTGCCATGTTCAGGTGTCTGGTGGAGGACGATCTGCAAGGAGGCACTGTCTTAGAAGTCGTGCGAAATTCAACACGAAGGGTTGAGGCTCTCAATGACCCTGGTCCGGAGAGAGCTCTCGGAGATGGTTCACTGGCAAGTAAGAACGCTAAAGGGGCCGAGCAAATCCTGAAGTCCCTACAGCAAAAGGACATCTGGGGACTATGATCGCCGCGTGTGTGGCTTTGTATGCCCCGGCTTCTAGCTCTATCGTGGTCTGTCATATTAGGAGAGGAACTCCTCAAGGTGTGACATCGAAGTGCAATGGGGTGGTACCGTCGTCTACTACAGAAAGAGGTAGCCAACCTGTTTTCCAAAATTCGCCCGCGGTCTACATTGGGCTACAGCATGGTATCAACGCGCACTACCTTACCTAGACTGTCTAATTGGAGCCCCATTCATTATCTGAACCTATTTCCACGTCTGGAAAACCCCTTGGCTGCACAAAGTCCCTAGCGCTTAGTGCCTTCACCTCAAGATGTTGTCAGACTACACCGTCAGGGTATTTTCTGCGGGAACCTGCACACAATGCAATGCAAGCTCACTGTAACGGTAACTTCAGAGTCACTACATGAATCTTTCCAGGCAAAGTGTGCAAAGTCGGGTGACGAAGACGCTATCCTTCCCGTGTTGCACCAACTTGTCTGTGTGACTAGTCGGACATCAATCTCCATCAGACATTGCTTGCCCGTTGGTCTTGAAAGGGAACTGGCCATGTACATCTAATGAATTATAGCTGGCATGCCTCCGCATGGGTGAGCGATTCTTAGGGGTGTTCGAAGTCTGGGGAATGGAATCAGCCCTCCTGCTGATCGGTGGTGATCAGCCCCTTGCGCACCTCTCGGCTAGATGCTTGCTTTGAGTGATACAGTACATCCGTGGAGACTGCCTTTGTGGGACTGACCCCTTTTCCTTGACTTGGAACCCTCACCCCCTAACTCTGCTCAGGCAGCTGGAAGTTAAAGCCTCTTGTTCTCTGCATCGCCTCGGCGCTCATATGATGGGTCTCTTGACATTCATCACGAAGGCACTTCCCCTTCCTGTGCGACATGTAGGTGTTACCCTTTGGCCCATCGTGGATGCACAAAAGTTACGGGACGTTAAAAATTACCTCCGGATGATCTCGTTGACTCTATCTAGAAAACACCTCAACCTACCTGGTTATATTGAGAGTCCTTCGACGTCCGAGTGGGGAGTATTACAGTATCACCAGCACTATTGTCTTCGGAGTGTTGTTCGGTAGACGAAAACATATATGATGGTGGCCAAGATTCCGACCACCAGTCCAATCATGGGATTCCACTGTTGTAGGCCGGAGCCACCATGCGTGTTATCTTGGGATTTGCCCTGGCTTCGCTCTACTTGTCGGCCACCATCAAGGCTCACTCCGTCTATCTCCCCCTTGTCGACTTAGGGTACGCCATCCACCGAGCAACAGGATACAATGTGGGTCCTCCCATCAACCGCCAGCAATGATTGCCCCTGGCTAATGTTCTAGGCCGCCGGAGACTACTACAACTTCAGCAACATTCGCTACGCATCACCTCCTACTGGAGACAATCGCTTCCGTATCCCCCTACCACCATCAACAGACCGCGCTGTAGTTCAGGACGGCATGGGAGGTAGAATCTGCCCACAGGCATCTCCGATCTGGCAGACGGCCATCGCCCGGGACTTTGTCGACGATTATCTGAAAGGGATCCCGTTCAACAAATCGACAGACGTCCTCGACTACCCTTATCACCCCGAGCCACGAGACCCACGGGAAACGGAAGACTGCCTCTTTCTCGACATCCTAGTCCCCGCACGGATAATGCTCAGAGCATCTGATCCCGTCCGCGGCCCCCGAGTGCCTGTCATTGTCTGGTTCCATGGCGGTGGATTCACCACCGGAGACAAGAGCCAGTTCCCGGGTGCCAGTGGACTAATTCAGCGAAGTATGGGATTCGGGGACGGAGTCGTCTTCGTCTCCATCAACTACCGCGTAAGGGTTCCCCTTTGATGCCACACTCGTATGCTAACATGCCATAGCTGGGAGCGTTCGGCTGGCTCAGCGGCCCCGGACTCCGCGAATCCGGCAACGCCAATGCAGGGCTCGTGGATCAACGCATGGCCCTCCGCTGGGTGCAAGAGTACATTCATTTCTTCGGCGGCGACGCCAACCGAGTAACCGTGATGGGCGAATCAGCCGGTGCAGGATCTATCATGCATCACATCACCGCTTTCCGACATGAGGAAGCGCTATTCCAGCGCGCCATCTTGCAAAGTCCAGCCTTTATCCCCGTTCCTGATTTTGAGCAGCAGGATCTGGCTTTCCACCAGTTCCTGGATATACTCAATGTCAGCTCATTGGATCAAACACGGAAACTGCCATCGCAGACACTCGTTGCCGCAAATGCATATCAAGTAGCGAGATATTCAGTTTACGGATCGAATCTCTATGGTCCGACCGTGGACGGGACTGTCATCTCCGCCCTGCCTGGCGAACTGATCCTCCAGACAGAATACGAGTGGTACATGAAGATCATGCTCGGTCGGAACGCGAATGAAGGGCTACGAACAACAACACCCGATGCTATACATGAAGACGTATATCGTCGATATCTCCGGCAGACGTTCCCGCAGATCCAACCCGGCACCATTGATTATCTTCTGCAACAACTGTATCCGCCTGTCTTCAATGGGAGTCGGGGATATCACGACGCGGTGGGACGCGCATCGTCCATTATGGCCGATTACGGATACCAGTGTAATAATTACTACCTGAACCAGGTGTACAAAGGGGAGACTTACGCATATCTCTTTGATGTGTCTCCCGGCCTGCATGAGGATGACGTGCAATATACCTTCTACGACGGGGATTCATCGAAACAAGTCAACGCCACGGTCGCATACGTCCTGCAGGACTACATCACAAGCTTCGCGATGGGGGGCGCGCCGCGTTCGAAGATTGGGCCTGAGTTCACGCCTTATGGACCCAACAGGACGATGATGGATCTGGGAGGGACTGGAATTAAGCAGATCCGGGATCCAACGGACCGGGGGAGGTGTGACTGGTGGCAGCTGGGATTTTACTATTGAGTGTTTACTTGTTATCATGACAGGTCATGGATTGTCCTTGCCAATCTGACGATCAAAGCGATCATTCAGTAAGGTTTTGATTTATTGAAATTCGATCTCCATTACATGCTTCTACGATACAAGTATTGCGGGCTATGTTGCCTTTCCTAGAACCTGTTGGGATACAGTCTTCGTTCCGTCTATTCTCCAGATGCCAGCGGTATATCGTTTTGGCCTACTGTTGTGAACGTGACAGAACCTTGTCCCAGAAAAGTAGATACCTTGCAGAGGTTGCATACAACCCACGATGAATAGCAATGGAACGGTAGCTCATCTAGGCCTCAGGCATACATCAGGTAAGGGTTTCCTCAGGCATCATGTGGAAGGCCTTAGGCTCTCTTTCTGCCTGAAGTTTACTTATTGCCGGAGGCAGAATGTAGGCCTAAGGCATATTTAAAACCTCAGGCAGAGAGAGGGCTTTGATGCCTGCGGGCAGATCTATTTACTGTCAGAATCTTCCAACTAGACCAAAAGAGATACCTCTTGGCTAGTGGAATAATTCCGAGGTGGATAGGTCTCAGATTTCACTACAGAAAGGTAATTTACCATGGGCAATATGTATATGGTAGATTAGTGAACCAAATCCATCTCAGAAAGATTATCAATTAGGCTAAGATAGAAGCTATGGTAGTAACACACTCCCGCTGTACAGCAGCAGGATTCGTCTTGTCTGTTCCAGAAGAGATATCCCCGAGACGACTAATCCAACGAGAAGCCGTTTACAGGTTACCCTGACCGGCGTTGGAGGCGGGGCTGGTGCTAGCGGCATCAGCAGTGGCGAGGGTGTCGCCGTTGAAGGCCTCGAGAGCGGTGGTGGAGGTGCCGGAGAGGTCACCCTCGTTGACGTTGGCAACGCAGGAGCGGCCAATGTAGGACTCGCAGGTGGAGGAAGCGCTGGAGGAGGAGAAGAGGGCACCCTTGAAGGTGTCGGTCTCGAGGACAGTGTCGACGTTGGAGAAGTAGTTACCCTCAGCGAGGACGTAGCCACCGGAGCCGATCTCGAAAGCGTGGCCCGAGTTGTTCTCCCAGTAGTTGTTGACGATGTGGAGGTAGGTGTTGTCCTGGACCTTGGGGGCACGGCCGGAGGTCTTGTACAGGTAGTTGCCCTTGAAGGTGACCTTGTCGGAAGAGCCGTCGAGGTAGACGTTCCAGTAGTGGTGGCCGTCGCAGGTAGCAGAGTAGTCAGATTCGCCGTCGATGTAGTTGTTGGTGATGGAGACACGGTTGTCAGCCTCGGTACCGAGGACGTAGTGCTGACGACCAATGCGGGCAGTCTGGGAGTTTGTCAGTCAGGGAGATCATGATTCTGGGGGGGTGGGTATGGGGAATCATACAGTGACGTGGTCGATCCAGACCAAGTCAGCGTCATCGAGGGTGATGGCATCACCACCCCAGACGTACTTGGCGTTGATGTCAGTGACAGCAATGTTCCTGTGGAGCATGTCAGCCTCGGTCCAGCGGTTCTAGGGGAATCGGAGCCACATACTGGATGATGATGTTGGAAACACCGCTGACCATGCGGAGACCCTTGCCCTTGATGACACCGGAGGTGCCCTCTCCGATCAGGGACTTGTTGGAGTTGACGGTGATACCGAGGGTACCAGCGTTGTCGCTGTCTCGGGTTAGCCCTTGGATCCGCGATGAAGTTGCTCGCGTCGGAAAACTCACTAGGTGACCGAGCTGGTGGGAGCATCGGGCTCGTAGTTGGTGCACCAGTCGTCCTGGTTGATGGCCAGCTGGCAGTTGGAGGCAGTACCCCAGGGAGCGCAACCGGTGGTGGTGGTGGTGCCCTCGGAGTCAGTGAAGTCGAAACTAGCATTCGATCCTAGTCAGCCGGATTCTCCTCTCTGGGATATCCCATCACTCCAGCGGAGTACTCACGTCTTGGTCAAGACAATGACACGGGCCTCGTCATCACCGAGGTAAGAGACCAGCTCATCGGTGGTGGAAGGGTAGACGGCCGTGGCAGAACCACCGCCAGTGGCAGACGAGGCGAAACCCTCGGGGGTGCCCGACACTCCGACAGCAGCGGCGCGGGCAGCGAGAGCGGCAACAGCCGTGAGAGCAGCAGCGTACTTCATCCTGGAAGTTGGCAAATGGTATGATATGACAAAGAGTGACAAGAGTGAGGAAACAAATGAAAGAACGAGAGAAAGAATGACAAAGACTGTGTGTGTTGAGCAAGAGAGGAAACGATCGGAGACGGTCGACGGCTCGTCTCTTATATAGATGACGGGCTGGCCTCGGATGCCATGGCCGTTGGAGGTTTGGAACACTACTTCCGACATTCTCCTTCTCCTGAGTTCGGAGAAGAGGTCCACGGCGACTCCAGTGCAATCTCGAACAATATCGGCCGTGATGACGGTGGGTGGAGCTGTGGGAGCGGTGGACAGGGAAGGAGAATAAACATCTGGGTCCGGGCGATGGTGATGCCACCGCCGATCATGGCGCTGCCCGGGTTTGCTCTGGGTGCTTTGGGAAGGCGATCGTCAGCGTTGAGGGGGTCCTTTGAAACACCCCCACTGGGGACATCCAGTGAGCTGTCCGAGCGGCACGGAGTCTCACCCAGAGAAGAAGTGGACCCGCGGGTGCTTAATTTGATATGGTTTCGAGTAGATGGCGGAGTGGCCATCGGTTTCATGCCCGGCTCGATGGTAGCGCGTGGTTAATGGTTTCCCATGGCTTGCGCGCTACCTAGCGTCTAGGAAGGAACCGGGGATGATAGAAAGCGTGGGCACTGGCAGCTCCGGGTTGATTCGATCGTGCCAGCATGACGCGGCTCCTCGAGCCCGCCGTTGAACTAGCCGGCCGTTCTGTTTAGCCTCGTGTTTCCAAGTCCCAACCTGATACAGGGCCTGTCGGAGGGCGCGTCGGGACCCTTTGGCCCGGACGTGGCGGAACCCGTGCAGGGTGGAAGCCGAAGGTGTTCGGCGTTGGAACCGGCTGGCATGGCGGTGCTAAACTCTGTCGAGCCATGGACAGGATGATCGCGATATCGATGATGATCATCATCTTTCAATGTTCCCCCTTCTCCCCTTGGAGTGGGAGTGGGAGGGATCCCCACCGTTGGTCGGGATTGCAAAGTGGAAGCCCTAACCCCACCCACTAACACGCGGCATCGGGGCTAGTGTTGGGCTAAGCGCCACGATGATTGGTTCGCCGGGCGGGACACCGCTTGCCAAGGCTGCCAAGACGGCAGATCATTGCTTTTCCAGAATCTCCCCAAGCCTTCTTTGTCTCTCCCACTCGTCCACTTGCCGTTTTCCACGCTGCCTTCATGATCCTGGCCTTTTCGGCCTCCTCGGAATCTCATCGGGGCTCGTCCGAGACCTGTTATTTCTTGATTGACATTGATTGATTGATTGATGGATTGATTACTTCGTATTATTTGATTGAATGCTGATGAATCGCTCTCTTACGCGGGAAAACGGTTGGTTTCCCGGCGACTTTCCGGACCCGAGCACTGTCAGTCGGTCACCGTACACATCAAATTTACCTCCTTAATCTCCAGTTTCTGAGTATGCTTATCACTAGTTCGGCTTAACTCCCGCCTTTGCAGTTAATTAATGCCTCCTCCACTATTGACACTTCCGCTTCGTGGACGTCGTGTCGTCGTTGTCCGCCACAAGACCGCGGCCCTTGCGTGATTAATTCAACCCCAACGGATTTTTGCGGCCAGATCACTCCGTAATGTCGACTCTCTTCGCTCCATCCGATGGCCTGTACGGACTAAATGATACTCAACCATTATTATTTCTCTCATTCAGGGGCTCATCGGTCTGCTATGGAAACCATCTTGTCCCAATGGTGTTAGATTGCCCGACGTCATGCGTCTGTGGCCCTAGAGTCATGCTACGCTGAGATCTGATTCATGCGACCTTCCTAGTAGATATCACAGATTCTCAACACACAATCATGCCACAAGGGTGGCCAAGATAGCCTCAAGGGCAGATTTCTCTCCATGTACGGGGTATGCGGTGGAATGGAAAGTATAAGATGATGCCAGTCCAAGACGAGGTTCGACAAACAAACCATTTCTATACCTTCGATATTACCGGCCTTTAAACCTGCCTCCTTTCACCTATTCTAGATTGTAATAGATGCCAGGTCATTCACGGTCTGTGTAGAGTGTCGGCGCTGATAATATAAAGCTACAGCCGTTATCATTTACTAGACAAGCGGATACATTGGGATGGGTTATGCCATGTCATCTTCCTGCAGCTCTTGTCCTCTTCGATGAACGACTCGATTTTGTCGACCGTCTCGAACGCCAGATCGTTCTTTATGTATATGCAGAAGCTTGTTGAAGCTTGAGCTGAACATGGAAATCTGAAACGTAGAGTACACAATGGTCCTGTGGTAGTTACTGTGTATGTTGGTGGTTTTATAGAAGGTCAGAATATCTCACAAAATGGTGTGTGAGCCTTGCCAGACATAAATTACCCAACCAGAATCCTAGACCCCCCCAGATAAAGTTGCATCTATACGAGTAGGGTATGAACAATAGCACTCATATAATATCTGTTTTGTTTTGAAATAGTACTTGCAGTTGTGAGGTAAGTTGGTGCTCGGTGAACCCGGAAGAATGGGACGCATTCAGCGGAAATATATATTGATATCATCGGTTCGAAAGCGTCTCGATATCGAAGGCAACAAACCACCCACAACAATAATCCTGGAAGCATACAACTAGTAGTAATCCTTTCTTCACAACTACTACTCATTATTGGCAGATTACAGCTGAGGCAGCGGATAGATGGTGGTGCTCTTGTAGAAGGTGACACCAGTCAGGTGATCACCCGTCATTGCTGGTGTTGGTGTTGGTGTTGTTGTGCCTCGTCCATCCCCATCTTCATGGGATCAATCAAGGCACGCGCCTGCTCAGAACCCATACTTTCCCCAATCATTGATCTCACTGATCACCTTCGGTACTTCTAGCTATAATGTGATATACTTCTGATTGAGGATTGTCTGGTCACCTTCCAGAACCGACACCGATGATCAGTCAGGATGAGCGCTGATCGCGTCTCAGTGCGGGAGATCTTCCCGTGTACACTGGTAATCATGGTTGGGTTTCCCGTCCCCAAGTCTGGTGTTAAGGAAGGGAACGCCCTCTTCAGGTTGGAGCATCCTTAATTAGGTGTTGTGGGGGAAGTCTCTGATCCTGCGCCAAACCTCACCACCGTGAGGTCCTTCCAGGCTGCGACGCTTCACGGCACAACCCTTCGTAAAGAATAATCGACACCAATGACTTGATGATATGCTGGAAGAAATGATTGAGGCCTCTGAGGCTTGACCTAACAATCAAATCACTCTTTATAGATGGTATATCCTCATGGTTAACCTACAATTCATGGCTAGGTATTTGAAGGGACAAGCGCGATCGTCGGACATGGAGCGAGTTAAAAAAAGTACTGATGTCAAGCAGCTGGTTCTAGCAGCTCGTGTTCTTTCAGGTGTCGATGCGATAGCCTCCTATCTTAGCCTACAACTTATCCTCCGTCCATTTCGTGCCTACGACTCGCATCGTTCCCTCGCCTCGAACCGTGAGATTCCAACTCGTTGCTCGACCCAGAGCCACTACACTTGCGCCCTCTTTGATGTTGCGGATACCTTGATCATGAAGGAGGTGGAGGAACACTGTCATCGAACCTGATTGTATGGGTGGGAGATAATCACGATCCGGTGCACCCGGCGACCAGCGCCTCATTTTCCTCATCCTGGATGGAAGGATGATCAATTTATCGGTCGCGTCTGATGGCATTGTGGGCCTTGATCGGTCGGAAGCGAGATACTGGTGCAGCAATCGCATCCGCCTCTCTCGTCATCTGTTGCGTATGATGTGCGCCAGAGCATCCTTCCCCGCACGATAGGGAGAGCTATGCCTCAGAATGAGGACTTTCCCAAGGCTGTGAGCAATGTACTGCGTGTATACTGCGTTGCAAGGGCATCTGTAATGGCTATGAATAGTGGATGCTTCTCAAATGCTGTCTGTTACACCCGGATGTTTCTACACTCATGTCCCGGTGTCATCCCTCGTGTAGGATCCTTCGCATTTGGTCGTTAATACTCCCTGGAAGGAAGTCTGCTAAAAAGGTGGCTCTCATTCAGCTAGAAATATCGGACCGAAGCCATTGGAGAGACTGTTGTTCACCGTGTGATTTGAAAGTCCAACATCATACGATGGGAGTTGGTGGAGAGGCACGTGAGAGGCTAAGCTGGTTAAGGACCACACGGCGCGTGCGCCATCGGAACTGGAACAAGTGCGACTCCGGGAAGGCAAAACTCCCAACAGAGTCAACACGCCTTTCATTTCCTCTCATCTAACATTGATCCATCAACGGATGGTCCTATCGATTCCAGCATCCATGCTGTCATAGCTAACCCCAGGTCCATTGGGTCTGGCCCCGACGAAAAGTCCACATCCCACCCGGCCGGCCGTGTTGTGCCAGCTGCCCCAACCATATGCCCGGGGGTAAAGCCACCACCGTTTCATCTTCACTTCCCCGCCGACATCGTCGTGGCTTGACCCGCAGTGCTGCTGCGTGTGAACGCTGCAGGCGTCGTAAGCAAAAGGTCCAACTTTCTCGGCCCGGGGAAATTTCGGATCACTGACCACGACCATAGTGTGATGCGAGGACTCCAACATGTGGTGCCTGCAAGGCTGCTGGCGCATCCTGTGTCCCCTCCGAACGCCTAGTGGTACGGCAGGCCCATCCAGAATGCCAGTGCGGCCTTTTACGAGACCAACTACAAACTCTGCGACATCAGTACGAGACTCTGTTACAGCAGTTTGAACAATTGCAGGGACAGACCAGTGGCAAGAGTCCCCGGAGCAACTCCAATGCCCCAGATGCATCAGGACCATCGCCTTCGGGAATCATTTCCGTCTCCAGAAGCCATGTCTCACCAATGCACGAGGAATGGCGGAAGCAGAACCTAATTTTCAATTGCGATATCCCTTACACTGGTCGCATCCTTCTGCCAACCTTTTCGCATAGATCAAGGGTTCGGGATACGAATGGAAGCGCACTCAGCAGTGCATGGAAACTCTGGGGAGATGACCCGGGACTCGTGGATGCTCCATTGCGCTTAACTACTATTCCCCCGGAGTCTGATTCGGAGGCCTACTTGAAATTGGTCGGAACATTCTTTGATCGTAGATGGCCCTATCTACCTGTTCTGCATCGGCCTACATTCCTTCGCGAGCATCTATCACCTTTTTTGAGTAGGAGAGTGTCAAGCGGCATATCAAGATTTTTAGTTAATATGGTCTGCGCCATTGCTACCGCTGAGAAGCCATTGCACCAGGAAGAAAGCCACTACTCTCATCGGGCTTTTTTTAACCAAGCAACGCAAGACATGCACCTGGTCATAGGGACGGGTGACTTTGAATGCGTACAGTGTCTCTTGCTTCTCTGCATGTACGGCTACAACGAACCGCAATCCGTCAACCTATGGTACACCTCAGGTCTTGCCCTTCAATTGGCTATCGGAATCGACTTACATCGAAAGGAGAGCCTCGCGGGCCGAGATAATTTGTCTGCAGAGATGGTTAAGCGCGTCTTTTGGTCTGCGTATGTGACGAATTGCATCATGGCAATCAACATGGGCCGGCCCCTCGGTATCCAGGAGTCTGATATCACCATGTCTTTACCACTACAGTTGACTGATGATGAATTGGACAATTCCCCTGCGGTGCTAGACCACACCAGTATAGTACCCCAAGTGACGGACACTTCGACCTTCATTCATATCATCCGGTTGCGCAAGATCAACGCGGTTATCTACAGCTCCTTTCATTCCATCGGCCAAACACGACCTGGTGCTGAGGAACTGGAGAGCAGGCGAAAGCAGTATTTCTCCGACCTGAACCACTGGGTCTCTACTGCACCGCGGTACATGCAGACAACTTCCACTTTTCAATCCCCTCATTGGTTTCAGATCGCTTTCCATCACGCGGTATTGACCCTCTATCGCCCATCTCGGGGAGCACCCATGCCATCATCCGAAGACCTGCGCATCTGCACCGAGTCCGCTATCGGACTGATAAGTTCTTACAGCGCTCTATACGCCATGAATCAAATCAAATACACCTTCGTGGCTATCCATGCGCTTTTCATGGCAGCTATAACCATGCTCTATGCCTTACGGGCCTCCCCGCAATTACGTCACGACTTAACCAAATCGATCGTACAGACGAATATCCTCACTTTTCTAACCCTGTTCCGTGGCATATCGAATGGCCGCATGGTCGGAGAGAAGTGCTCCGAGATTGTTGAGCGACTGGGAGACTGTATCCTGAGTCTGTTTGATGACGCCACCGGTGCGGGTGTCGATGTGGATACTGAGTTCCAGTCGTGGTTTGGTCTTCAGAGCCACGCGTTTACTAAATCGGCGCATGGCGATTCCGTAAAGGGAATGGAGAACAAATCACCCGATTACCCGGATGCCAGAGTTGACCTTCCGTGGGCCGATCTGTTCCTCGAAGGCATAGACATAGGCTCGACTGACGTGTGGAGCTTCCTGACATGAGCACTGTTCCATAAGCGGCACGAGCTTGATCGGCATGCGACGCACTGCTTGAGATGGTCCCGCAGGGCTTGTAGTTGCCATTGTCAGTAGCCAGTAATTGCAGTCTTTTCTACCCCGTCTAAAAATGGGACTCAATCTGCTATGAGTGATAGAAGGGCTGGCCTCGCTGGCTCTCTAAAGTTCTGGTCCGAGGCCGAGGATAATCTTCGCGGTGAACCAGCCAAGCAAAACCAAGTAAGGTTGCCAACATTACACGTTTGAGGGCGTGTCGTGATATCATAGACATGAGAACATCACCGGAAATGGAGTTGCCTTCGACACAGTCTACCCTGGGCCTAAAGTCGCTATGCCGACTGGCCTCTCGGCGACGGCTGATCGCACTGCGCTGTGAAGCCTATCCTAAGTCTGCCCCCATGGCTTCTATCGACCTACCAAGACAGAGGCCTTCTACAACTATGATCCATGCATAGCGACTCTCGTCCCATCGCACCGTCGCTCGCCTCCTACATTCCACTCACCAGTATTCTTCCACCGAACGTCGGACAAGGCATACTGGACATAAGCGCAGCCGTGCCTCGAACAATGGTGTTGTAAGTTCCATCATCGAACTAGGTATGAAAGTCCTCCTCGGCGTAGGCCGACGGTCGCGTCAACGGGATAGATCGGGTCGGGGATATTTAGCTTCTTGTTTAATCGCCTGGGCACTGGATACACTGATATCGCTAAAGAACAACCTTGTACGCAATTCAAGTTAGGGTGAGCAAATAGTCAAGTATGACGGTGTAGACAGCTCTCATCCACGCTCACCTAGCGGAATCAAGTACCACTCGACTGTATCACTGGCATCTCATTGGTACCCGTCCTGGAGAGGTCTCACTTCCACGATGGGAGAGGGCGTTGGTTGTTGGAACAAGCTGGAGGGTGTCGATCGGGAGAGAGCGTATCACTGGAGCTATCTAAAGGGTGGAGAATGACAGCGATCGGCGGTCCACTGGTTCGTGTGTGGCTCTCCGGGAAGCTAGTCCCAAAGTCCTCTGCCGATTCAGGTTGCGACCTAGGTAGGCAGTTTGAGTTGGATTTGGCTTGAGACAGTGGGGAGAGGACCGTGGTCATTGGAAGAGAGAAGGGGGAAGGGAGACTGGGAGAGAGCAGGCACGGGAAAAGAAGTCCGACTCCTGCTCCGACTCCGACCGGGTCGCACCGAGGCCGCAGCTCTAGTGTGGGCTCTAGTGCAGCCTCCCGTGCAGATGCAGAACTCCTGGGATTGGTGGCCTCTGGAGAAGCCCGGTTGGATGACTCGGATGCAGGGAAGAGAAGCAAGACCCGAGGATAGTGAGGATCGAGAACTAGAAGAGAGACGAATGGAGTTGAGGTGAAGAGGCAGAGGCAGAGGCAGAAGAAGAGGAAGAGGAAGAGGAAGAGAGTTGACAAGCGAGAAGCGGGAAAGGGAAGCGCGGGGCGGCCCTCATGTGACCCAATCCAAGAGGAGCTAGTCCGGGGCAGGTAGTCAGCACTAGTCGGTAGTCACACACTCTCTCCCCCCGGCTGCTTTCTTTTCCTTCACCTCCTCAACGTCATTCAAGCCTGTCACGACCGATCACAGCCGAGCTGATGAATCGAAAGCCGCCTCCCCGACGTCATGCCTGTGTCCGCTGTGTCCGCCTGAAGGTCCGATGCGTGCCTGTGGGGAGCACCGGCACGTGCGTGCGCTGCACCCGGCTGGGCCAGTCGTGCACCCTCCCCGATGCTCCCCAAGCCAATAAACCCAGGTAGGTGTTGCTGCTCTATCTATACCCCCAGATATCATCTCCCCATACCCACATTCCATGGCTCAAGCTTATCCCCCCCACTCCCCACAGGAAGACCCGCATTGATGCTCTGCAGGAGCAAATCGATCAGCTGGCCGCGCAATTGGGCCAGAAAGTATGCAGGCCCGTCCTGGCTCATGCACACCCCAGTCATGCTAACCTCATCCAGCCAGGCCACATTTCCCACGAAAGTGCGCTCTCCAGCGCAACCCCATCCACTCACCCGCCGGATTCGCCACCACCTGTCCACCACCGACGGGAAAGCTCCCGACCCGGCGACGAGGCATCGGGGGAACCCGTCCTGGGCGGGTTGGTCGGTTTCCGCGAGGCTGATGAACTCCTGGACAAGTTTCGCACCCAAAAGATGGCCCAGTTTCCATTTGTCATGGTTGCCGCGGACATGGACATCGAGAGTCTTCGCCAACGGTCGCCATTCTTGCTACTGTGCATCGTCACCGTTTGCATGGAACACAAGCCTCTCCTGCAACACAAATTGGAGGCCCTCGTCAGAGAGACAGCGGCCACTCGTCTCATTGTAAAGAGCGAACGGAATATCGATCTCCTACTTGGCCTACTTGTGCATTGTGCATGGTTCCACTACCACTGGCGGACTACACATATCCACAAGTACATGTTGCTCGAGATGGCTCACATGGTGGTGGTCGATCTGGGGATTGACAAAGACGAGAACATCCGGATGCAGCCGATCCCCCAGGAAGGCGCAGACACTCAACGGCATCATCAGAACCCCACTGAGCAGCGGGCTCTACTCGGCTGCTACCATCTGTGCTGCACGTGAGTTTCCTTTGGTTTGATCCAATGCCAGCTTTCTTGCGGGTCCGATCTCCGTCGCCAACACTAACATCGTGCCTTCAGATCAACATTATTCCGCCGACAGGTGACCATGAGGCACACCAGATGGATTCAGCAGTGCGTGGAGGACCTGGCCCGCAAGCCGGAATATCCTAGCGATGTCATTCTTGGGGACTATATCATTTCCAGCAATTTCCTGCGACACACCCAGTGTGTTTTCGATGAGGATGTGTGCCTCTGCTCCTACCACCCTCGGGATGCGTCTTGGGAGCAGATTGTGGAATCCATCGAACGACAAGAACGGCAAACTGACGAACAGCTATCCCGTCTCAGCCAGAGCGATAATTGTGAGTTGATGACACTTCTAGCTACTGTGTCCGCCATCTTGGAGAAGTCTAACGCTGCCACTACAAGGGGCCCTCCGTCTCGAACTCGCCGCACTCACGACCTTGACCCTGGGTCAGGCGGTCCAACGCCGCAGGGATATCTTTCGTCTCCGGGAGGTCAACCGGCTGCAATATCTCACTGCATCGGCGCACCGAGTCCTTGCTACCTACGTGGAGATCCCAGCTTCCGTGGCTGTGCATCTGCCAGCTTCATCGTATTATACCATTTGGTACGTAATGCTGGTCCTTGCCAAGGTGAGCTTGCTGTTCGGGAACTACAACCACCCCACTCCAGATATCGACAGCCGGCGGGTTCACGAGGCCGTGCTTGCAACCATGCGAAAGATCGATACCCTCTCTCTCGGGGATGACATCTGGTCGAACTGTCGAGTGATCAGCATGGTGGCATGGCTGGAGAAGAACAAGAAAGAGGCGCAGCGTCAGTGCAGTATCAGCCATGTGGTGCAGCATACGGATGATGGTTACGGCCCCGCGCGCCCTTCCGTCTCCTGGCAGGGCCCTCCTGCTCCGATGATATTCGAAGCCCAACCTCACTGGGCACCGGCCCACCTGCCCGTCCAGCCTGGGCCTGCCGTATACCTTGAAGGCCTTATGCACAATGATTGGGACACTGGCATCTGGCGGCAGACGTTGGAAGCATTTACCATGTTTGGACCCCCGACCCCACAAAGCCAGATGGGGGTGCCGTCGCCGGTGGTCATCTGATGCCCCACGGTTTCACATTTAACCCGAGCGCGTGGATGTTCAAATTCTAGGGACTACGAGCTCCCCCAGTTTGAACGTATGCATATGAATCAAGATTCTGTGGGCTGGGCCCGCGATCCACTAACCGCTCTTCCGTCCTGGCGGAAAGGTCGTGGAGGGTGTTCTGCTGGGAAATATGATCATCTAGGCGACATGTAATCATGGTACCTAAAGTTTCACGCCAGGGCTATAACTGTAAGGGTATGTCAGGGTTCGGTCCGAACAGGCTCCTTGACCATGAGCATGCAAAATGGGTGACACTACCATGATATTTTAAAAAAAAGAGACAGTAACACGTCGTGCCACAGCGCTTGGGTGGATGCCACGGCAACCGCATACATGACATGTTCGGCAGACTCGGCACACTTCGAGGGCTAATATCAACCAGTGCTGATTCCAAATGCGGAAAGAACAAGTTCGGAGGAGCAGAAAATAAGACGTGATCTATGAATGCCGCTGCAATAGCATGCAATGAGGGCTCCTGTTAGGTATCACAGTGTCTGCTCCTATGTTTATAGAGCCAAAGCCTGCGTGCCAGGAAGGCCACCAGGGTGCCTGATGCTCCGTCCTGACCTAGTCGAGTAGGATAGCATCTCACCGCTTATACGAGCGGAATCAGGGAGTCTATATACCCTGCCACAACAGGGCGCGGGCTCTTTCAAAGGAAGAGGTCGAGGAAGACGATCACCCTAGATCCGGTTGAATGCCAATTTGTTTTCGTGTAGAACATGACCGACTGAGAAATGCAGTCGGGTTCAATGTTTCGACTGCGATATGTGAGCGGACATTTATCAATGCATCTGTCACCCTCCAGCAGGCGTGCCAGAGCACGCCTACTCACCTGATCACGATGAATGGGATCCCTATAAAAACGGTGGTGCGGAGAAAATCAAACCCACTTCCAGCCGGATACAAAGGCACAGTGTACCCTGCTAGAGAGCTTGGCTATAAGCAACTTTCCCTAGTTCTCTGAATGAGGCCAGCTGCTTAAGAAGTACTCTGTACGCATCGCGACTTACCCTCGAGCAGAAACAATAAACCGCGATCGGAATGCCCAGCCACATAGTTGAGATGGCTCTCGCGTAAGACACCAATCAAGGTATTAGGGTTTATTCATGTGCATGGCAAGGTGTGGTGATTCGAAGTCCGCACTGGTCGTAAAAGGCTTGATCAGAACTCGGTATGTTTGCCAGAGCAGGGAAAGGCATGACAGCTACTGACGGCTATGGAGACCATCCAGCTTAATCGAGGTATGGAAAGCAATACCTTGATGCCCGTTGTGGTTGCTTGGCTGGAATGCCAGCCACATACCAGAGGAGAAACAAGACCCCCAACCAAATCAACATGCCGCTGTGTGTTAACCGCTTAGAATCAATCTTCTATGTACAGGCTGTCCGAGACTTCCATCAAGGACCATCAGACATGCCTGGTAAACCGGCATGGACCATCTGGGAGAAAAAATGGGTGCTCAGCCGGGCGATCCCTGATAAGAATAGAATCAGGTACATAAGATAATCCCTTTTCTTTTGGCCGGGCCCTTCTTGGTGGGCTTTCAATCGATTTGCCTTGGCCTTTGGTCGGATCCTTTCGCTCTCCTGTCCTAGTCCTCACCAGCTTCGACCATGCGATTTTCCACCCTTTCGCTCTGGACGGCCGTGGGCCTGGTCTCTGCCAGCGCCGTTCCTCAACCTTCACGCGCCCCAACCACGGTCGATGACCAACTTTTCTCGGGCGGATGTACGCCTGAGACGATGACCATTCGAAAGGAGTGGCGGAACATGACCAAGGTGGAACAAAAAGGATATCTGAAGGGAGTGCAGTGCTTGATGGATCTTCCCGCGCAGACGGGGCTGGAGGCCACGACGAACCGCTTCAGCGATCTCCAGGCTTTGCACCGGGCCCTTACCGACACTCCGCTGGGCGACATTATCCATACCGTGGTGAGCACAGCCTCAGATTTGACCCTGCGAGGCCTGGGACTGACCGCTTAGGGCCAATTCCTGCCCTGGCACCGATACTTCCTACATGTTTACGAGACCTTACTAAAGGAGGAGTGTGGATACACCGGGCCCATGGCGTAGGTGCCTCGCTCCCGATTTGCTCCGGGACACGACCAGGCTGACCGGACACGCAGATGGTGGAATGAGGAGTATGATACCGACGCTGGCAATCTATTTCGGTCGGAGATGTGGGATGCCGATAGCTTTGGGGGCAACGGCACGGAGCCCGACGGATGCGTCACGGACGGTGCGTTCGCCTACTATACCGAGCATATTGGTCCCCAGGAGGAGAACACGGTCTTTTGCATGAACCGAAGCTGGGGGAACCCCGAGGCGATTCAGAACACCACCGGCGCTGCGGTCGCAAACTGCAACTCCTACGATACCTATACTCCCTTCTGGTTTTGCATTGCGTCCACGCCTCATCGAGGCGGTCACTGGGCGGTTGGCGGAGTTGTGAGTGACGGTGTCCTTCCTTCCTATGGTCCTGGTAAACTGACGCACAGGATACTAGATGGGGGACGTGAAAACGTCTCCAGGTGACCCCCTGTTTTACTTGCACCACGGCTACATCGACCGTCTGTGGTACCGGTGGCAGATGGTCGACCCGGCCAACCGGCTGTGGGACATCAGTGGGAACGCCCTCAATGAGTCGGTCAACGTCGAACCCCCGACGGGGTGGCCGCAAACGACCCTCAATTATACCCTTACCACCTTGAACGTCATGCCGGATACCCATGTGGCCGAGGTGATGAACCCGGTCGGGGGATACCTGTGCTATGACTATGAAGGTTGAGCGATATGCTGCGATGAATACAGTTGATTGATGTATAGATTGTTGGTCAGATGGAACACTATAGTATAGGGTATAGGAGTCATCAGTCGACGCTTTGTACGCGTAGATGTCCTATATAGAAAGTTTGGGGGTATGGCTGCTGTGCACATGACATGAAGAGTCTGGCTCTTCTGACCATTCCAAGCGGCAGTAGAGAAGAGAGTGTATGTAGCCCGGGGATTATTTATCAGTCATGGGGGGATTTCTTTTTTTTTTTTTTTTCTTCCCTACTTATTTCATTTTACTTTACTTTTTTGGGTCATATTTTAATCCTCTAGGATCACTCGTTCTCAACTTATAGCACATGGGATGTCTGACTACATCTAAATACTATGTTTCCGCGTCACTATTGAATAGCTTCAAAGATAAACACTAATTTCATCGGACCGCTGTTTAATGGTCATTGTTCGGGGGATAGAGGAAACCTGGAATGTCTTATGTGACGCATCACAATAAAAGGCCGACCTGGGGATGTTGTATGGGCAGTGGGGGATAATCTTGGTTTGACCGGGAAGATCGGATACTTGTATTTTTAGCCTAAATCCATTGGGAGCTAAAAATGCTATTGTTTCATAGAATGAGCATTGTGAAGCTAGATGATTGTTACAAAGATGAGAGAGCCTGTGGAGCAGTGGGTTAGGATGCGGCGGGCCCTTCGTAAAAATATATATCGGTCGGATTCGCTGGCCCTGTTCTGGGCTTGATTCCCAACATCAACAGATAACCTCTGACGGCGACGCCCGAACCAATTCGACTCAAATAATAAATAACAGTTAATAGAAGAATGGAACGTTCAAGTTTTCATCTAAAAAAAAGATACAAAAAAGGAAGAAGGAATAAAGAAGGCCAAAAACATACAACAGAAGGGATTCGCTGGTGGTCACCCACCCAACTACTAACCTCCCGGCGTGTGGCTTAAGTACGGCTGAGCGGACGGGAAGCCCTGTTTTCCACACCCTGTGGTCGTATGTGGCATTCTTCTATTTGGTTTGAGTGATATAGTTGCAGTCTATCATGGTCCGTACTAGTGGAACTCAAGGACGATGGCCATGTTGGCAGCGTTGCCCGGAGCAGACGCCTGATTGGCTGGCGCGTGTAACCCGGGATAACCCTCATGCTGGGATAAGCCAGGCTGCCACTTGCCCATGTTAAATAGGACTCCAGGGAACCCTTCATGCCCTCCGTTCCAGCTGTACCAACCGACTCTTCTCTCCCATCTTGGCACCTACCATGCCGTCTCTAGCCCACGCCGTCCGGATTGCCGGATTACTTCTATCGCTGGCATCCGCTACGGTTGCAGGACCGGTTTCAACACCCAGCATCAAGTGGGGAAACTGTAGCTCCGTCAGCACTTCCTTGCCCTTGCTCGACTGCGGAGAGCTCCAAGTGCCTATTGACTGGGCGAACCCTCAAGGCGACCAGGTTACCCTGGGCATGGCTCGCTACAGGGCCTCCGATCCCACCTCCAAACTGGGGAGCCTGATCTTCAATCCTGGGGGTCCAGGAACCCCGGCTTCGGAGGTGGTGGAACTGGCTCCCTACGTGTTTGGCAATGCTCTTCTCGAGCACTTCGACATTATTGGATTGGATCCTCGTGGGGTCGGCCTCAGCTCTCCCATTCGATGCGATCCATCCATTTACAATCAGCGCGTGTCGAATTTCCCCACCACCGAGGTCGAGTTTCAAACAATGCAGCAGAAATACCGCACCCTGGGCCAGAGTTGTGGGAATCTGACGGGCCCTCTGATGGCTCACTTGGATTCTGCCAGTGTGGCCCGCGATGTGGAGGCCGTACGGATGGCCCTGGGTGAGGCCAAGCTCAACTACCTGGGCCTGTCGTATGGAACCCTACTGGGCGCCCAGTATGCTCAACTATTCCCTCAGAATATCCGGGCGATGGCACTGGATGGCAACATGGATCACAACGAAGCCTGCACGTACAGCCTTGTGGTTCCATCCTCGGCATACGAGACCGAACTGGTTCGATTCGGCTCGTGGTGTGCTTGGAATAGTTCCTGTGCCCTACATGGTACGGATGTGCTTCAACTCTTCGACAATCTCACCGCACAAGCGGACCATCACCCCATTCCGGCCCCCGGATGCAATATTTCCGGGGCATGTCGCTCGGACGTGACCGGGGAAGAGCTACGGGATAATCTAAGGGACTGGCTCAGCTTCAAGGACCCCCCGGCCCAACTCGGCCTCACGGGGTGGGCTGACCTGAGTGTGGCGCTGGCCCAGGCCAGTGCTGGCAACGCGACTCTCCTGTCCACCCAATTGGCGCTCGACTCATCGTCTTCGCTCTTCCCAGAACTGGCCATCTACTGCCTCGACTGGTCTCAGGACAGTCGGTCTCTCGCCGATGTTCGGAACAAGCAAGAGATGACTGCGACGCTGATGCCGCATACGAGAGGGGCGGTCGAGGCGAACATGCCGCAGGTGCAATGTCTTGGGTGGCCTTTTCCCGTGCAGAATCCGGAGCACAATGCCCGCATCAACAATACGTCGCCGATCCTGCTGGTCAACGCCCAATATGACCCGTTGACATCGTTGACATGGGCCGTGGGACTGCAGGACCAGATCCGGGAGAGTGTCCTGCTCACACGCGCGGGGGATGGCCATACCTCGTATGTCCTACAGGGAGAGACGTCTCGCGCGATCGATGCGTATCTGGTCAATCTGACTCTTCCGGCAGCGAACACGGTGCTGCCTAGCTGAATAGCCCTGATTAAAACCGCCAGCTGTCAATCCTGCGGATTTCCTGGCAAGACGAGTTATAGCCCACTACTGGACCGGTTAGATAAAAATAGTTCGGATATCCCATCCACCCAAATCATGGCCAGTTGTTGATTGCCTCCATATGATGACCGGATCCACCTGATCTGTAGAGCGACCATCTATCTCATCGTGTTCATATAGTTTGCTTGCAGCCGCAATAGACTAGTTAAATCCAAAGCCACCTGCTTGGTCGACAATGGCAAATGCAGTCGCAGCCCTAAAAGACATTATTTGCGATAGGACTGCATTGGGAACGAGTAATTTCCGCTCTTAGCCAACAGTCGTGACGCCGTGATTCCCCCCACTGAGAATACCTCCAGCATGCCATTAAAATGAAGGAGATCTCCGGATCTTGCCATTAATGGGGCAGAACACGAGGCACTGGCGTCACGCCATTCAATCGAGGCTGGTTGTTTTTTCCCACCCCGGCAGTGAAGGGAGATGGAAACAATGGGCCCCCCGAAAGTTTGCCAAGCTCAAGGTCCGATCGAATGGCAAAGACCAATTGTCTGGCCCCAGCCTAGCTAGCTAGCTCGAAGGACCACGGGGAACAAAAGTCCCGGCAGGGATTTGCTGCAGAAGGCCCCGGGAAGGCATCCAATGAGGGAGGCGATGTGGTGGGATGGACTGGACGAGGGTGGAGTGATGAGCAAAGATGCGGGGAAGACAAGCTGGGGAGAGCAAGACAGCAAAAGAGAAAAAAGTGGTGATGCCATCGGAATGCATGACGCCACCAGAACCAGCGGTCTCAATGGCCGTCAATGAGGCCCACCCCCACAATTTGGCCCCGTGAAAGTCCAGCGTCGCGATGAATCCGTGGATCAGCCCACCCATCAACCAACCACGTCGCACCACCCGGCCGTCATATGATCCCCTCATGCCCTGCATCCAGCAGCGATCGCCCGTCTTCAACTCCCAGCGGGGGGTCTCTCGTACGCCAATAAATAGCGCCATGGGCTTTCCTCTCCGATCGCTTCTTTCTCAGACTCAGCTTTTGCATTATCGATCTTGACCTTGACCTTGACCTTGACCTTGAACCGCTCCCCATTTCTATATCCCCCCCATCCCACCTCAACCGGCACCATGGATGACCAATGGGTTTCCTTTCATATCCGGGACCACCTGGACGACGGCGAGATCTCCGTCCGACACACCGTCATCGAAGGGTACGTGTCCTATCATGAACTGCTGGATCAACATTCAATGCTAACTGGTATTGGATCATAGCGGCGAATTCCACAACCCCAACGACCGTAGAAAATCCCTCACCGAAGAAGAGATCGACGAGATCGTGATCCCCTCGTACGGCATCGGCGAGATCTGTGCTCGTGGCCGGCGTGGCAGTGAGGGCCGTCTGGACCTGTTCCACGGCGAGTCCAAGATCTGTGAGGTGCACTGGGACAATCGCGAGGGAAATCGCGTCAACTTGGTCGAGATGCTGGACAGCAGTGACAAATACCGCATCGAACATGGGGGATGGAGCCCAGAGGCTGGACCTCTGGGCCACGTCTACATTGACATTTTGGCACAGAAGAAGAAATAGGGTGCCTTGCTCGATCCGGATGCAGCAGTGCTGCAGGCCAGGAGTTAGCGTTGGTTTTGTTTTAGTTGCAGGTTGACTGATATTCTCCGAAACCGATATAGGAACTGCATGATCTATAATCTTTTTTTTTTTTTTTTTTTTCAATGAACACGAGTTTATAACTGTGCTTGTTTCTTTTTCTTTCGCTTGAAAGTGGGTGGGGGACCCTTACCTGGTCGACGTGTAGAGGAGATGCCCATTGGGGACCCAGTTGATAGCAATGGGGTTAAATATGTCTTGACCATCCATTTCCTGGCCGATAAGTGGTTTGAAGCATTTCTTTCCTCCTCGTTTTGTGGAACAGGTGCTGTTCGATTGGCTGTGCAAGTGCCATTCTTATCCGGTAGCGTGGCTGCTGCTTGGCATCAGCAGAATGACTCAACCCTCAAACCCTCAATTATTCCCCCTTCGAGACTAATTCTCATGCATTCTCCATCCCCGTCATCTGAACTATCGACTACAGCCGAATCAACTCCATGCTTCCAAATCCCGACCGAGTCCAAGTGGACCAGAGCGGCAGTCCCGCAACAACAGCCACCAGCCATGCACTCGCATTGCCGGAAATTGTCCACGAGATTTTCCTCTGGATCATGAGCGACCATGCCAGCACCTGGAAATTCTTAAAAGACGGGGTAACGGAAGAACCCAACGATGACACGGACTGGAGTGACTGGGAAGAGTCTCATCGGTCGTATGGCCGACACGGGGTCCTGGTGCAATGTGCCCAAGTCAATCGTCTCTGGTTCCGCGAGGCCGTGCCCTTCATCTGGCCCGATCTCGCGGATTATGAGTATTATCGCTCGCTCCCGGAATTCTTCGTGGATGTGCCTGATCTGGCGCGTCGACAGTTCTACGCGAGCTTTGTGGAACAGGCGGATCTTCGTCCCGTGGAGGTCGGAGAAAGTCCCCAGGCTGTGGACCAGGCGCTTTCAGGTGTGACATTCCCTAAGATCCAGTCTCTTCGTTTGCGTCTTCCGGGTTGTTATGAACCATATCATCTACCCCGGGTTTGTTGCCCGAAGATGGTGACTTTGGAGATTGATCCGAGGTTCGAGTATATGCCAGACACGTATTGTGTCTTGCGAGAAGAGTGGGATGAGATGTTGAGACAGATACCGGTATGATACCTATTATGATAAAAGAGACTCTGGAGACTGGCAGCTAACGAGATATTGTGCAGATGATCTTCCCCAATCTGGAGACGGTCAGGATCATCGATCGTGCTCGAGTCCATCCCGGAGCACTCGAGCAATTTGCCGCGCGTCTTCCTCTTCTGAAAGTTTTTGAGCACAGTAAAGTCATTGAAAGTGCCGAGCCATATTGACAGGATGGTGCTTGAAAGACAGCCACTGTGGGATTGAGTCGTTACCTTTCTGTAGTGTATTAATGTGCTAATTGAGATATTGGGCCCTTGATGAACGCTTCCCAATGGTGGTATCACATGATCAAAGGGTCGGTAGCTCAGGGGTAGAGCGTGGGACTGCAGATCTTAAGGTCACGCGTTCAAATCGCGTTCGACCCTTTGCTTTTCTTTTTCTTGTTTTTTTTCTGCCGACCGGAGGACTCCAACAACTACAACAACAGAAAGAAAAAAAAAAAAAAAAAGAAAAAAACATGTCAATATGATAGGGATTCCCTGTAAAATGCCACACACCCGCGAAAATTTATCCGTGTCAATCAATCCAATGAGGTGGAGGGAGCCCACATTGGTCCAATGAATATACTGGCCTGAGGACAAACCCTGTTCTGGCCTAAGTAGAAAGCACTTCCACAGCCGTTACCGGTCCGGTCCCGGCCCGCTATGGACTCCCCAGAATCCGCAGGCAACAATGCAAATCCACAGGCAACCACGCGCGACAGCAGATACCACTTCACTCCTCGTTGAAACCTCTTCTCTTCTTGCACATCCTCACGCTATCAAACCATCAAAATGGCAAACGACACCTATTTATCCTCCATGTTGCAGACATATTCCGTCCGCACCGCCGTCAATACATCCGCCTACTTCATTCCGAGAATCCAGCCACACATGAAAATCCTCGACATTGGTTGTGGACCCGGTTCCATCACGTTGGATCTGGCGGCACTTGTTCCACAGGGAAGTGTTATCGGGATTGATTGCAGCGAGACTGCTATTAACTCGGCCAACGACCTCACCCGAAAACGAGGAACGGAGAATGCGAGCTTTCAGGTGGCGAGTGTTTTGGATCTTCCCTTTGAGGATGGGACTTTCGATATTGTTTGTGCGCATCAAGTGCTGATTCATCTTCCGAATGAATCGGGTAGAACGGGCGCGGTTGAGGGTCTGAAGGAAATGAGACGCGTTTGCAAACCAGGAGGCTTAGTTTGTGCTCGGGAATGCGATTGGAGAAGTGCGGTGATTCATCCCTCGATCCCGGGGGTACTTGACAGCATGAAGTTGGTGGAGCAGTTGACGGCCTTGAAGGGAACCTCGCCGTATGGTGGATTGGCTCGGTCGTGGGCTGAGGGGGCAGGGTTCCACGCATCCGATGTTGAGGCATCTGCCGCCGCCGTGTACTATTCCCGGCCCGAGGAGGTGAACTGGTGGGGCGAGACGATGGCGCAACGTCTGGAGCAAGGTTCTTCGCTGGACGTGGGCATCAAGGAAGGGTTTATCACTGAGAGCCAGAGAGAACAGCTGCCTGTGGCATGGAGAGAATGGGCTCAACAAAGTGATGCCCTGTTCTCTATGACTGATATTCAAGTCATCTGCAAGAAATAGGCTGACAGCGAGATGTCTTACTGGACCTGGCTTCAAGTGATTGCATATGTAGTATATGCTCCTTGGTCAGATTAATAAGCCTCATGTGAATAGAATGTGATAGAGGATAATTGAATGCACAGAGTAGGGTTGCATAACCTATTCTTATCCGGCACATCAAATCTGCCAAAAGTGGCGGTCTACACCCGCCTTAAGGTTCCATTGAAAGAGGGGTGGGAATACACCGAATGTCGTGCGTCTTAATGCGCCTGTTAGAACGACTGGATGGGGTGATACAGGATGGCACCAGTGAGGTCATGTACGAATCCTGTGCAACGGCCAAGGCAAGCGAGATGATAAGCCGGGCGAAGGGCACCGGTAGAAGCTTAGCCTGGATTTCCTGTGCGACAAGAGCAGTGACTGGGTCCAGCCTGATTGAGTATTTCCCCGGACCTCCGTTGACCCTCTGCTAGCACTGGTCCGCCGGGGGGGGGGGGGGGGGGGGGCTCGTAAGACCTTATCCCTTAGCACGTGTCGGTCCAGGCTGGGGCTTGGGCCTCGAGCGGTGGCCATCCAGGAGCTGCCGTGGCGCTGCTAGTCCACGGGGATGGGCGGTGCTCTCCTCCCAGGCCCCCTTCTCGACGGGTCCAACTCAACGCAAAAGCTGTTCCGCTGCCAGTCACTATTGTCGGGAGCTGTTCATTATATGGAAAATATTGGGGCTTCAAAGAGCCAAGGATGCCTCCGACACTCTCGCGGAGGCGCTGGGGATGGTACCGTGCTTGGGCAGGGGTGGCGGTGGTTGGGCTGGAGAGCAGTTGGTGGCGTTGGCTAGTAGATTCACGGTGCGTGAGCAGTGGAAGGTCGCATCCTGGAGAAAACTAATCACTCCAGACCCCAGACTCCAGATTGTCCAGATTGCCCAGATTGTCTCCGACTCCAGACTGCAGGCGGTCCGCGCTAGTCCGCAAACCGCATCCCCGCCCGATCTCACCCGCATTTTCGCCCGCATTTTCGCCCATTATTGATTGTCGCCTGCCGCGGTTCGACCAGAGGCAGCCTCAGGCCCCCTAGTCCCCAGCGTGAGATTCCCAGTATTCCTCTCTTCACCAGCCAGTACGTGCATTACAGAGAAATAGAAGCTGGTGAATAGTATCTAGATGATTTCTCTTCGGCCCCTGCTAACGGCCAGGGAAGATGAAAAATCTGGGGACCAGTCACGCGACGTGACATGAGCCACGAAGCTTTTTGCTAGGTCTGGCGAGGGTCCAATCACGGTACCCCCCGAGGCTGGCCAGGATTCACGTCCGGGCAGGGCCGTGCATCCAAGATTCCACCAACCACCACCCCAGCTGGGGATATTGAAGTAAGGCAGACGACAAGATCAGTGGCCGAGGAGAGTCGTCAAACAAGCACCGGATGACACCTCTTGTCCCGGGGCCCCGCATCCCCAGGTGAGAGGGGAGATCCACCCCCCCCTCCCAAGATGGACAAACCCCAGTGGAGGAGGAGGAGGAGGAGGAGGAGGAGGAAGAACAGCCATGCACCGCTCATCCGACACGTGGTCCTCCAGTGATGCCCTGCTGGATTCACCAATCTCTCCCTCCAGTCACCAGCGGCCACTCAAGCGCCCCCATTCACCGGTCATCCAGTCACCCGAGTCCCAAACCCCTCGGTCTTGAGAGCCCCAGGCCAATGGGGTATTTTCGAAGCACCTCGAGGTGTCATTGGTGCAGCACAAGGCCAGCCTCGGGTAATTTCTTGTCCTGCACTACCCTGTGGTACCGTGACGTTCTCAAGGCGTCGGGAAAACAGGAAGACCAGGGGCAAAAGTCCCAACGGCGCGAGGTAGCGCCCCTGGACCGGAAGGAGCCCCAGCCCTAGAAAGATTATAAGACCCTGTCTTTCCCCCCTTCTTCCCTCTTTCCCCTTCCCCCTCCCCCCTCGCTTTGCTTTGCTTTTGTTTCCACTCACGTCAAACTCGTGGTCATGGCGGACAATCCCAAAATGTCGGTGGATACCACTCAGCACAAGGAGGAGTTTCACGGCGATGAAAAGGCCGACATCCAACACTCCGAGGTCTTGGCCAACCCCGATCTCTTGCACGAGGCCTTTGATGGCGAGAACCGTGAACATGAGTTGGGTGTATGGGAAGCGGCCAAGAAGCACCCCTGGGCTTGCTTGTGGGCATTCATCATGTGTTTTACCATTGTAAGTCGATCGTCCTGGAACTTCGTCCCCGACGTGCAAGGGCAGCAGCTGATCCCTGGTAGGTCATGGAATCGTTCGACATGTTCCTCAACACCAACTTTGTTGCCTTGAAAGCGTTCCAAGCACGTTACGGGGTCCAAGTCTCAGCTACGGAATATGTCATCCCCACTAGATGGCAAAGTGCGCTCTTCCAATCCGGCCAGTGCGGTGCCTTTATCGGGGTTTTCATGGCCGGACCCATCACCAGCCGCCTGGGCTACCGCTGGACCACCATCCTGGCTCTGATAATGATGAACGGCGCGATTTTCATTTCCTTCTTTGTAAGTCACCCGGCGCCGTCTTGTGGCTCAGTGGATTGTCTGACTGGATCGATGTAGGCCGAGTCCCTCACAGTGCTGGTGATCGGACAAGCATTTGAAGGTGTTCCCTGGGGATTCTTCATCGCCAACTCCCCCGCCTATGCCAGTGAAATCGTGCCCCTGCCCCTACGAGGTGCCTGCACCGCCACTCTGCAGATGAGCTGGTCAATTGGTTCCATCATTGTCGCCGCCGCCAGCTATGGCTACAACGGGCGAGCCGACCAGTGGGCCTGGCGAGCCCCTCTGGCCTTGCAGTGGATCTTCCCAGTGAGCCCCCCTTCCAGATGGTGTGGCTACGAATGCTGACGCATCCAGACCCCCCTCTTGATCTTCGTCTTTCTCGCCCCTGAATCTCCGTGGTGGCTGATTCGCCGCGGTCGCAAGGAGGAGGCCATTCGCTCCATCCAGCGCCTCGGCACCAAAGACACTGAAGAAGCCCACCAGACCCTGGCCATGATGGAGCGAACCATTGAGATCGAACAGGAGATGGGTGGTGCGCCGACTCTCCTCGACCTGTTGAAGGGAACTGATTTGAGGCGAACCATCATCACCTGCCTGGTCTACGCGTCCCAGAATTTCGCGGGTAACCTGATTGCCAACCAGGCCACCTACTTTTTCGAGCGTGAGTAGCCCCTGTGTGAAATATGAAGCATAGCCAACTAACCCCCCATGTAGAGGCCGGCATTTCCACCGGAAAGGCGTTCGAGCTCAATCTGATTAACTCATGTCTGCAATTCGTGGCCAACGGATGCTCGTGGTTTTTGAGCGCATGGTTCGGCCGTCGAACCATCTACCTCTGGGGCACGGCCACCAACGTCACCCTCCTCTTTATTCTCGGCATCTGCGCCTCTGTCACCCAGACCCACGCCACCAACTATGCCCAGGCCTGCTTGGGAGTCATTATCTCCTTCGTCTTCGCCGGGACACAGGGGCCGATCTCCTACACCATCATTTCCGAGACCTCCTCCGTGCGTCTTCGCGCGTTGAGCACCGCCGTCGGTCGTGCCGCCTACTACGTTGCGGAGATTCCGATGATCTATCTGTCGTCGAGGATGCTCAACACCACCGGGTGGAACCTGGCCGGCAAGTGCGGTTATGTCTGGGGAGGTACCGCCACCTTCTGCTGGGTGATGGCGTACTTCTTCTTGCCCGAGCTCAAGAACCGCTCGTACCGTGAAACGGACATCCTGTTCAATCGCAAGATTTCTGCTCGGAAGTTCAAGTCGACCGTCATTGGGGTGGAAGAAAACGAGTAAGGCAGGGAACGTACACGAAGGAGCGAAGCCTGTGTATCCGCTGAGGGTTGTGTTCTATCACCAGGCATTAACAATAATCTTCCGTTGCTTATATTCTAGTATCATATATGCCGTAATAGTCCATAGGTCAGCCCTGCTGATTAGGGACCGTCCAGGTATTGTCAAAGCCACCTTTTCTTGAGATTTGGCATCTGTTCTGGGTGAAGTAATTAACATGCAGGTAAGCTGGCGTCACTTCGGATGGACCTATATAGTAAACTGCCTTCCTCTTACCATTGACTACAGGATGGCTGCAGAGGATATGGATTAGAGGTCCCTTCCTCAGACAATGCTGAAGAAGCTGTTGATCCGAACGTATCTATATGATCTTGAAAGCCGTCCGTTGCATTATCAGCCACACGGCAAAAGGATCTCAGTCTAAAAGATGATCGGAATTGATATTGATTGGGTTATATTATATACTGGTAGTTAGATTTGTGATATACTTACTGGACTGGGCTGACAATAATCTTGTACTTTGTCTGATCAGATCAAGAATACCTATATCAGTCCCTGGTTAACGTATATCTACACCAAAGTTAGCAATATTTTCAGACGGTGACCATTAAACTGTCGTAGGAAGTACATAATCTCAAAGCAATGAAAAATCTGAGCACACACAAATTAGAATAAAGGTCCGACATACTTATCCTCCATCCAGGAATTAGTACTTCCTGGGACAATACCCCCCCACAGATCTACGACGAGCCTCTACAGTCATGGCTGTCCCATTTTCAGTCAAGCTCTGACATCCTGCTACTTTCGATCTCACCTGGATAACCAAAATGATGAGACTATAGTTGCCATGACCGGTCTCCATAATCCACGGTAGGGTCTGGGGCTGACTCTTCCGCCTCATCCTCCGGAATCGTCCAATCCTGAGGCACCACCCACAGCCCGTGTACGTCTCCGGCCTTCAGACCGGTAGTATCCGATTCTCCTCGACTTGCCTTCGGGATAGGGCACACTGGCTGCCACGTGGACGGTTCCTCCAGCGTCTGCCAGTGTTCCCATGCCGCCGAGCCGGCCGCCAGATTGAATGCCTCCTCCAGAGTATTCAGGTAGTGCTCGGCGCCGTGAAGATCCCAGCCCTCGTTTAGCTCATATGTAGCCTTGAGAGAGCGCACCTGATCCAGCATGATGTCGTTCCACGCTTCCGAAGTGGTCAAGGCCTGCTCCTCATGGCTGTCCTCGGGCCCATGGGAGAGGTGTCTGTCCACTGCCTGCGCCAGGAGGTCGTGATGTACTGTCAGGGCGAGGCTATGCTGGCCCTGGCGGTTGTGAAACCTGGCGCGCAGGTTCTCGCAGCGGATGATGAGCGGGTGCAACTCATCCCACTCATCGTACACGTCGTGCAGGTTGTAGAGCATGTCGTCGATGAGGTCGTGGGCTTCACTGCACTGGCCGCGCGCGAACTTGACCTCACATAAACGCAGCCCGATGGAGACGGTAGTGTTCAGGTGCCAGTTGTCGAGCAGGATGCGCGCATTCCAGAGGGATTGGAAGATTTGCTGCAGGGGGGTAGGATTAGTGCATCCGTTAAGCCAAACAGGGCGAGGAAAGAAATACGTACCTCGAGGCAGTCGATGTCGTTCTTGTCGCTGAGGAATTGTATCACAATGTTGACTTCCCCCAACGAGAGCCCGGTAACGTCAATCCAGTCTCTGCGGCCGTGGTAGACGAGTCCGATGATGAGCTCTTCCGTGAGCTCTTGGAGATCCCCTGGAATCGTAATCGGGGAGGCCGATTCGTCTGAGCGGATTGCCTGGACGAGTCTGAAGCCCAGCCGGGTGATCTCCTTGGTCTGGGAGCCCCAAACATCGCGCGTCAAGTATTCGTGGGCCCATTTGGCGAGTGTGAAACAGCCTGCAAAGTATTGTGTGCGCTTCAGCTCGATACAAGCGTTGACCAGGGAGGTGACAAGAGAAATGGTGGGTTGGCGCTTGTGGAGTTCGTGGAGACAGTCATTGAAGAATGCCCAGACGACTCCAGACTGTGACAGATCTTGCTGGGTGTGCAATTGGAACATCGCCCATGCCTCTTGAAGCAGTGCACCCGCCTCGTATTTACGCCCCCGCTCTTGGAGAAGGAAAATGAGTCGAGAACTGACAGTGAGGCCAGTCTGCAGAGAGCTTTTCACGCGCTTGATATTGGCCCACACCTCATAGAGGGCGCTCTCGGTCAGAACTTCCTGGATGATCTCCGCGAGCACGGGGGCTTGGGGTCGACCCATCAAGAGGGCTTCTAGGGTATTGACCAGGATGAATGATCGACGATCCACCAGCAAGAGTCTGGCTTCGCCGATGCGTGGGACTGGGACTTCGGTCCGGTACATCAGGAATGCGCGCTCGGCACGCAAGTCGTGCAGGAGTTGCAATCCAGTGTTGACGTCGCCGAACTGTTGATAGAGTTTGGAAAAAGTCCAGGCCCAGTCGTAGAGACGTTCCTCATTGAGTTCCTCGATCATGATCTGGACGATAAACTCTTCCATTTGGGCCCATGCGCGGCCGGTGCGACTGCTCTCTTGGCCGTAAAAGTCCATCAACCGGTGGAAACAAGCGACAGTGTGGTCATCGGAGCATCCTCTGCTGCGCAGAGCTGTTTGCCATGCACGACGCAGCATCTCCTCAGCCCTACCGGCCAGGCTGGCATGCTGGGCGTAAAGGCGCGACAACCGCTCGGTGGCCTCAGTTACAAAGGGCGGAATCTGATGCTGGTCCTCCGACATCTCCATGTCACTCTGGCAAATCCCTTCGTAGAGATCCACGGCCTCGCGGTATTGCTGATCCCCTTCGAGGAGCAGGGCCAGTTCGTAGTCGACTTGGGTGAGCCAGATGCTATCGCGCGACACGAGCGTGCGCAGCTCTCGCGTGATCTGGATGGCCTCTGCATGCTGATTGTGCAACAGCAACAAGCTCGAGTACTTCTGCAGAACCCCGAACATTTGATCATCGGTGATATCGCCGGCGCCGCGGTGCAGCATCATGGCCCCCCACAGTCGCTCATACCAGGTGCGCATCTCGCTGGGTCGGTCCTTCGCTTCGTACAATTGGATCAAAACCAGCACGGCGTTGAAGCATGTTGACTGGCACAGGCCCTCACCGTGCCCGAAGCTTTCAACAATGTTCAACAAAATGTCTTCGGACACGTTTTGGATGTCGGTCATCTGGTACAGATCCACCAGCTTTTCGGCAATTTGGCTGTATTGGTCATGGTGGGCACCATAGGGCTCGGGGAATTGGGTGTGAAGCGACTGCAAAACATCGATCGCCTCAGACATGTGTCCGGCATCTCGTAGAACCTCGGAGTACAGGTCTGCGGCTTCGAAGACATACATATCACCTACTCGATCCGAGTCGCGGAATGAGGTGAAGACGAAGCGTAGCACGCCGGCTGCCTCATCCTTGGAGCTCTGACTGACAACCAGTCTGGCGTACACCAGACCCATTCTCAAGCCACTCTCCGTTAGCACCTCAGGAATGGTGGGATCGTAATCTTCCCATTGGCATAGCTCGGGCCAGACGCGCTCGAGCACCTTGTAGCAGATGGGAGCTGCACCGTGCCAGTCACGCCGTTCTTTATAGTGATCAACTAGCTCGGCGACCACATCAATGCAGTGCTCGTTGACAATATCCATGAGGAGGAGGGCCTCAACAAGCTCGACAAGGAATTCCGTTCCATCGCCACGGTGGGGATGGTGTCGATAGCACTTCGACAAGAGGATGCTGATTCGGACAGCCTCAACGTAAGTATTGATGCTCAGACCATCGGGGTAGATAGATCTTAACTCCACGAGGACAGGGATGACCGGTTCATAAATGCCAGCCTGGATGTAGTAGTCGCTCAACGCCAGGAGCTCCCGGCGAGTGGTCTCGTCCATTGGAAATGTGTCTTCTTCGAGGGCCGCCCAGAGCTTGATGGCAATCTCACTGGCTTCGAGGTAATTAAAAGAGGTGATCAAGAGTTTTCCCAGTCGCAAAGTCACTTGGATAAATGCCAGACGGGCATCCGGACTCGTCCTATCAACGGTGGCGCGATAGAGCGTCTGCCATGCGCTGCGTAGTTCGGTTTCGGCCTGGAGTTGCTGTCCCTGGCTATCATACGACTCGACGAGGTGGAAGAGAATCCGAAGGTGACGATGGTCCCAGACCTCAATCTCATCGCGCATTTCAATGAGGAGCTCTTCACATAGATTGCCTACCTCGTGATGGCAATTGAGAGTGAACAGAACCTCGGCGAAACGATTTGCGTAGTCTAAGGTCCGGATATCAGACCTACCAAATGTTACAGTCGCCCTTTCATACAGCTGACGCTGCAATCCCGCCATCTGTTCTCGCTTGTTCCTGTGCTGGTAGATTTGGAGGAGTATCTCCACCTGCGATAGTGCACGCTCACTCAATTGGGTGCCCATTTCTTGTTCGAGGTCCCAGAGGAATCTGGTTGCAATCAGTACCATATCAGAGGGCGTCAGAAGGGGCAAAGCTCACTCGTATAGTTCTTCGCAGAGCATGTCCACGCCCACCTGTAACCCGGACGTCGTTTCAGAAATGCAAAGATTGCTGTACTCCATGGCCAGTTCCCGGCAGAGAGGTTTATCCTGGTCCGGTAACCTGGACGCTAGACACCACGCTTCACCGAGGTAAGTCACGGCTTTTGCTCGACGTCCAGATGCGTTGGACAACATTGACAAAGTGATCAGCGTCTGCACAACCGAGACACTGCGCCCACCATGAACTGCCTTACGGAAATCGAGAGCCTGAAGATGCTTGTGCTCCAGAGCATCGCTGGTGTGTAACTTCCAGTAATGGTGCTCCAGCTGTGCCAGCAGGGGGGAGTCGAGATACACCTTCCGGAATTCAGAAATGCTATCTGGTTGACTCTCTTCATAGTGTTTGATATAATGAAGGATTGAGTATTCGAGAAGGGGATCCTTTGCAACACGAGCCAAGATCTGGTTGCCCAAGGAACCTGATTCTTCTAGCGTCAACCTGCTCGGGCCAGCATCGGGCAAGCGATGTTGGATATATTCCAAGCAGCGCCAGAGGACGACTCGGTGAGCCGCCCCAGGGCTCAATGAAATGGTTGATTCGTGACCCAGCCGGACCAAGCGTTCCTTGATCAGGGGATGAACAAATTGAACGAAACCTTGCCGAATATCGATCAAAGATGCGCAAGATTTCCGGAAGAACTGAGTGGCATTGGAGCCCAGGGACCCAACGGCAAAGTGTGGGTCAATCATGATTTCGATCTCCCTCAGTGTCATGGCACGCTCAGCCACCAGCAGCCATGACAGCAGATGCTTCACTTGTGGGTCATCGAATTTGACCTGCAGGATCATGAAATCAATGAAGTCTGGGAGCGCGGTTGGGATCGACTGCAGAACGAGAGTGGATTCCCGGTAGCTTTCCTGCAGCTCGATCAGGGCCACCAGCAGATGGGCCCTAAGCAGCGAGTCCACCGGGCGTTGAAGAGCTCGCTCCCCCACGAACCGGGCTGCCCTCTCGTTTCTCTTCAAAAAGCCAATTTGCTGGACCCGTGTCCTCACCAAGAAGCGAGTATCCTCTTCGAGCACCCGGGAATCGATCTCGAAATGGAGGCTGTCGGCTCCGTAGTTCCCATCGAAGAGCGGCCGAGAGAGGAAGATGCAGCGATGCCGCAGAGACTGCTTGACCACCTCATGAAGCCACACGCACACTTGGGTCTTGTCTCCCTTAATCTTGTCCAGTCCGTCGATGACCAGCAGCAGTTCCTCGCCAGAATACTTGGCACTCAACGAAGCTGCCTGCTGCTGTAAGATGGACCACAGGCGGCGCTCATCTTCATCGCCCTCATTGCCGTACACATCACGGAAGGATTGCAGGAAAGCAGCATCCCCGATTGTCTGTTCGAATAATTGAAGGAGGAGACTTTTGACAAGGTCGGTTGAAGTCCGACAGCCTTCGAGGGATGGATCTATAGACAGGTCAGGGGGGGGAATGGACAGACGAGAGTCAGAAAGTTGGGCTTGCCATACCAACGCTGAAGTAGAGGACCTTTGCTCTGCGCGAATAACGACTTTTTGACCGATCCAAGATTGACCTGACACAGGCACTTTTGCCCGTCCCCGCCTCCCCGATGATGAACAGCATGGACTTGTGGCTTTGCCAGAACCTGGTGGTTAGGTCGGACAACCACTTGAGGGGCAACTCGGTGTCTGCATCAGTCGTAGCAGAGAAGGCGTGGAATTTGATCGGCCGATCAGTCGTCGCCCCGTTCGACAGCCATTTTCGAATGGTCTCTATCCCGGTTTTGTGGGCTGCAGTCCGATCCTTAGCCCCATCCGTATCCCTAAGGGCTTCCAGAGGAAGAACACTTACAGTCCATCGAAGAGCGCTCGATAGCAACTCGCCAGACTTGGACAGAGAACCGTTCCTCCAGTTCCACGAGTTGCTTGAGGTGTGTTCTGAACCGTAGCCTGAATGCGATACTCGCCGAGGACACTGGCTCGTCTGTTATCATGAGGAATTAGGAATTAGCCCTATCGATGTTACCGCCACGGTGAAGCACGACATACTCTGGACCGCTTGCAAAATGTCCCAGTTGAAGTTGATCACCTCGACCAGAGCGAGGATGGCGATATGAGAGGTTTCTGCGGTGGGGACCCCCAAGTGCTGAGTGAAATGGTACAGGATCACCGCCATCTGATCCAGGACGGTGAATGCCTGCTCCAAAACCACCGAGTTGGCCCACTTGGACCGCTTGGAGACCGAGATGAGCTATTGAGATCCATCCCATTAGCGTCTTTCCGCTGCAGGGCTATCCACGCGAAGCACTTACCTGGATGAGATGCAAGAAAGAGGCCATCACCAGATTGGAGCAGTCGGCCACTGCAGGATCCGCCGGTCGAAGGGCCGACATGAAAGCATCGATATCCTCCGCCAGTCCGTCGGCGCGATGCAGAATCCAATCCGTCCGACTGGCCCGGTGCGGCATGAGCTTGAGTCGCAAATCGTCCATCCTCCGCTGAACCTCTCTCAGCGTCGTCACTTTGGTGGGCAGCCCCGTCGGCAATGCGGTCGCAAAGCGAGGCTTCATCCCCAGGACATATCTCGCCAGATTGAATCTCCCTCCACCTCCATGGGGAGGAGTTCCAGTCCACTCCGGCGGACTTGCAAGCCCACCTGGACTACCATGACTACCATGACCCCCATGACGGGGGATTATTCTTGCGGGGGGCGTTGCGGGCCGCGCTCCTCGTCTCGGTCGGAAAGGCCTGGCCTGACCAGTCGAGGGCGACTCCAGGTTGTAGAAAGCCCTATCCCCACCACTGCTCAGACGCCCAGCGGGGAAAGCATCAGGGCGTGGCTTCCAGCTTGGAGACCGCCGCGGTGGGGCGGTATCGCTCTCTTTGACACGTTCGGGCTCGTATCCTGGAGCATCTGAAAAGTTCAGATTGTCGATTGGAGAGTTGATGCCCTTTGAACGATCCCTTGCGGGGGAGAAGGGAGGAGAGACGGTCTTTCTGCCAATAGACCCATGTCCATGCCTAGGGTTACTCTCAAAATAGCCCACCCTGCTCAGGACCTCCGCCTTTCGAGAATCGAGGACCGTCTCATGGAACTCATATTGCGAAGAGTACGTCACGAGTGACGAGCCACTTGCAGCCAGCTGCTCGCGTTCGTCCTTGTATTGTATGGGGCTGATGGAGCGGATTACCTCGGGGGTGGAGGGCTCATCGATGATGGCGGAACTACTTTCATCCTCCGAAGTGGTCCGTTCATGATAGGGGCTCATTGACCGCCCATTGCCCGGGGAAGAATCCGGGAGGTAGCTATCTGAATGCAAGTGATGATCGTTTGGGGCGGAGTGGCTGTCATGCATGGCATCATGGCCTGCCTGGTATACGAGAAGGTGGGCCGAGGAACCCGCGTCGGGGTGCTCTACGCCGGCTGGCGTGGTAGACACATCCCGGGGATGGTCGTCTCGCGGTACATCTATTAAACAAGGAGCTTAGCTCCTCTTTCGCGATTCATCGGGGTTGAGATAGGGTTCAGCCAACCGTTCGAAGCCATCGACATCTTGAGAAGCTTCTGCAAGTAGTGAAGTTGGATATTTTGATGTTCTTGATGTGCTTGATGGATGAATGGAAACTATAGAAAGATGGAATTCAAGGAGTGAAACACCTGAAGCTGCTTTCGAAACCAGCGGAACTGTTCGTATTTATGTCTCCTATCGCAATTAATTGGCGGTGTACCAAGCATCATGTATGCTGCTTTGAGGATGCACATCTGACATGTCCATGGCCGTCAGCCAGCCGTCCGAGTCAGGAAAGCCATCCCCAGTATACCGAGAAAAGAAGATTGACAAGCTTGTACGGCTTATTCGGTGCGCCAATTGCGCCTTCAGGCTGAGCATGCTGCGGCATCAAACTGCGCCTTTAGGCATTGTACAAGTCATATGCACAATGTTGGGTTTGAGGGACCCCGTGACTGCAGCATGAAACGTCAGGTCCATTACAATGCCCGCTTGGGTGTACATCATGTAGTGTGATTGCCCCGCAGTTGAGTTTCTCGATATCTTTTCCGTCTTTCCATCATGGGACGGCAGGCTGTCGCTTTGTTCAACTGGTGGGGAGTGATTCTGGGACTTCGATGTCGGTGAGTCCATTTATTCACCTACCCATCCAACAATGTAGGGAAACGCCTCTTCGAACTTTGATTCATGTCGAGAACTCCAGCTAGTATGCAGGTAAGTGATGGGAACCTGTGAACTAGTGACTATTAAGATTTGGAGATGAATTTCCAACTTTAACACTGGTGGACATTCGATCGAGTGCTTGAGTAAAACACCGCCACACCGCCACTCCGCATACTTTATGCATTGCTACTGATCAATATGATATTTACTATCGACCGGCGAATCAGCGGCCAGATCCTTCCAAATAACCCTTGCCTGTGCGTCTAGACTGCAGATTCATAACAAACCCACCTCGAATGCATCAACACCGAGATGGCCACGCCTCTGCGGGGGCGTCAAGGCCATTGAATGGGGGGCTGTGCTTTCGACGCTGGGCTGAACATTATGCTCATGGCTCAGCGCCTCAAGAATGCGAGACTTGAGTCAGCCATTCATGTTGTATCTCCGCAGCTTACAAAGGTGTAGTAGTATGCAGTGGCCCCGTGACTCTCTGCCACTTTATCTTTGCTCACTGCGGCTGTGACCCTTCTGCCATGCATTCTTCTTTTCTAATACTAGATCGCAGAGGTATCCTTGATATAGTACTCGGGATGTGGGGAACTTGACACGAACGGGAACCCGGATCTAACCCTGTATTCTTCTTTCAATATTACCCACCTTCTTTTCACCACTCGAGGTTATATCCAATCACTTAGGATGACTGCGTATCCTCAAGTATATATATATCTTGGCGTAGTTGCGGAGGCGATCGGGGTTTTTCCATCACTTCAGGGCACCGAAGACATAAACAGACTGGGTCTTGCAATTAAATCGAATGGAAACTCCTCAAGAATCGAAAAGCCGAGCTTAACATCCATTGTGGTACTGTTCAGCCACTATCTTGGCTACAACTTGAACCCGCAGCGGGTGCGGGCCATATTTTGACCCCAACCAATCATGGCCCATATACCAGGCTTGCATCCGGGCTGAGCCCACCGCTTACCCAGCCAGAAATAGCAGGGTTGTTTTATCACCATAGTATTCGGTGTAATAAAGGTAAATCTACTGTGGTATGTTGTCGACTTACATCCTAGAGCACTTTTGCAGGTCTATGTGGCAATAACTTTGATTGAACATGCAACAATTGGCCTGCTGGCCCAATGGTAAGGCGCTTGACTACGGATCAAGAGATTGCAGGTTCGAATCCTGCGTAGGTCATTCTTTTTGCATCTTCCATCCATTCAATGGAAGAACAATTGCTGCACAAATTGAAGGGTTCAGGACTGTTGATGTCCCTTTCAATGTGATCCCTGACACTGGCGGGATATCTTCACACGTGGAAGTGTCCATGATTCCAGTCTGTTTTTCGTTTTACCTTCGGTCCCCCAATAATATCGAGCCTTCTTAATCTGCTCTCCCAATTCTTTCACCCAGCCTCGATTCTGATTGTTGCCTCGATTTACGTAGACTTAGGGAGAGTCGAGATACCAACCACGTCATCTCCCTCAATCCTCTATTTCCACTTATACAAGGCTCTCAACATCTAGACAGACAGTCAGATACGTGGACAATTAAGATTACAGTCTTGGATTTAGCTTATCATGTTAGTGTTCCAGCTTCCGTTCCCGCTCTCCTACCTAGCTGATATCCTTGTTCTCCGGTCTCCGAGATACCCAGAACAGGTACTTCGCCTTCAGCAGAGCTTGGCGACGTTTAGCCTCTGTTTCAATCCAGTGCGCAGACCATGCAGGATCTACTTAGAGCGAAGAGGCCATCGTCTTCCAGCATGTCTATATTCAGGTCCCGTAAAAAGGTCACCGACCAGACCTGAAATCTACTGAGGAGTCCCTCATGGGTTTGGGGCCGGTCAAGTGCTTTACCGGAGCTAAGGTGACTTCGCGTGACTGGTTATTCCAGCAAGTATTGTTCAAACGTTTGATTCCGATTGGCGGAAGTCTATCCTAGCTCAAGAGTGTTTTCTCCCATGATTTCCAAAAAGTAATCTATCTTGTTGCAATGGGATTGACTGACAAAAAGAAAACCATTATTGCTGGCCTCCACCAGGTAGATAAAACCAATCAGTACTAGTCATTATCGCGAGGCTCTCCCAGAAGTACTTAGATTATACCCAGGTTGCTATTGATTACAGAGTTAACCAGGGAGCCTCACATACGTAGATTTGCCGTGTCAAAGCGGTCCTCCTAACAACATCGAAAAAACAACCGTCGGACTTGGGACCCACTGTGGTACGTAATCCAGCGGATATGATGCCTGAAGTGCCACCAAGGCCCGGGGCCGAAGTGGCACCGAAGAGCTTGAGTTAGTCTAAATCGAGCAAGTTATTGGCTCGGTCGTTGCCAATTTGTAGATAGGGAGATAAGTACATAAAGCTGATTCAATCAGTGCAGCTGTATTTGGATCCTATTATATGCGGGCTGATGGCACTCACAGAGATGAGGCTGAGCAGCCAGTTCTGGTCCACAGTTGGAGGCCATGAGGGTTTTAACTTGATCTGTCCTGTAGAGTATGATCGATCCACCTCATAGCGTGGTAGCCATATACATCGGCCCATTGTCAGCTATCTTTTTCGACCAAAGCCTGGGAAAGGGTGTATCAGTGTCGTGTAAACAATTGAGGAAGTTATAAGACTACAAAAGCACCAAATGCAGGCAGGAGATATATTCCAGATTTGCATATAGGGATCCAAAATCAGCTACATCATAGCTATATTTGGAACCTGTTCCAATACAATTTTCTAATGTCTCTTGTTTTTTTTGAAGCATGAGAACCATTTTGTCATTTTCTAGACTAGAGGACCATGCAGCCTAGAACTAGCAAAGCTAAGAATTTTGCATTGGACGCCATTGGATTTAAGGGTATCTGTTCTCAAGTGACTATCTCATTCGGATCGAAGCGATGGTGGATCAAGGCAAATGACCAGTTTCAAAGGATACAATATTGAGTTGTTAATCACTTCTGGTAGGATCTAATCCCTCTTTCATAGAACATGTTCGATAACTATAGACTTCCTCTCTTCAAGGATACCTCATAGCGCCTGATTATGGCATTTCCTCTCACATAGATAGATATTTTAATAGAAGATTTGAATGACGAACGTGGAAGAATAAAAAAATACACTTCTATAGATCATATAGAGAGCCACAAAACCCAGTCTCTGTGACCACATACGTGAATAATTTCGTTCAGGATCGAGCTGGGCATTCAAGAGAGATATCATGATAGTTAAGAGACTTGATTCAATAGAAATTGATTAATCCCTCCAGACAAATCTTTCTCGGGTTGGAATTCACCATTCTAAATTAAATGATTATTTACAGTCAGTTCAGCCCTCCTGCAGCAAACAGTATCCTACTCATCAAGGCACTAATCATGTACCCCTTCTCGTGACTGTCAAGAAAAGTAACCAAAATGCCGTTCGCGATCTGCAAGAGAATAGAAGGTCAGAAACCGCAATACTCTATGATAGGGTGATAATATGCTACACTCACCTGCACAGAACCGCTGCCATAGTGTTGAAGGACTTCACTAGCTGGCCGCCATAATCTTGTAGGACTTCACTGGCTGGCCAGAATCATAGAGGCAAACGCCGGTCTTAGGAATATACACGGTACCCTTGCAGTCCTCTTCATAGAATATATGAGGTACAACGTTTTTCTTGGCGTAGGTGACTTTGATAGAATGAAGATCCTTGGTAGTGTCGAAGTTCTCACAGGCCTGGGTACCGGTGGTGGCCTCATCGTAGATCTCGCTGCCCTCACAATACACTCCTGTCCAGGCTCGAATTTCCCAGGCTGTGGCTAGTGAGGCCGCGAAGAGAAGAATACTGGAAAGCTTTAGGGCGTACATAGTGGAAGTCAATGGTTGCCTTTTCCAAGCTGGGGGTCTAGACAATTGAAGTAGGATGGTTGAGAGGATTGGAAGAAGTGATAGTTGCGAGGAATGCGTCCTTGGCCCTTTTTATACCTGTGATCTATCTCCAGGCCTCTCTTTCCCCATCATTCTTGCCCTGTTTTATTTACTTCACTCGGAGGGGTTTCGTCTCCCCGAAGGACTGATAATGGCTACTTGAGTATAGATCTGGTTAGTAGCCAAGGCCTAGTTTTGAGTTCCAGGTTGCGGGATAGCCGAAACAGCCAATAGGGAACTATCAAGTCAGAGTGGATCCAACTGTAAAATGTCAGACTCTCATCTGGCAAAGATAGATGACTGAATGGCACTAGCAGCCTACCTTGTTTGGCTTAAGCTGCAGCTCCTTACCACCAGCCTTGATTTCCGTTGCGCTAAGTGCTTCTTTTCCCCCCTATACGGTTCTCGGATATCACCGAGGGCTGGATGTCTTACTGGCTTTCCGAACTTGGATCCAATTCTGTTTACTTGACCAAGAGCCTCGCTTGGATGAACTCCTCCCACAGTAGGCATTGTGATAACTCCCTTTGAGATTACTGGGACACCGCATAAAACAGTGGGCTCACTCTCAACCCTCGCACGATACACTTAATCCTAGTAACCTCGTACTGGGAATACTCCCAGCTCAATTCGTTGCGAAGCACCCACCAATCTAGCCTTTTGTCTCAATGGACTCCACCGAGGCAGAATCTGTATCCCTATCTCTAGAGCCATGAGCCTTGTCAAAAACCAGAATCGACTAGTTTGATGCGACTGTGAGTAGTTTTGTTAAGCGGCTGCTGGTTGTTACTATAGACACGTTATTTAGAGTGAAGCAGGGATGCTGAATCCTAAGCATGGATCCTAGATCTACTTGATAAAAGTAGAGCTCGTGTTCTGCTTTGGTTATTGCCGGACACACTAGCCTCGGCGGCCGGCCGAGATTGCGTAAGGTAGTGGAGACTACTCCGTAATATAATCAGACAATGAACCGGCGTGACATGTAACTGGTGGGGATACACCGATGGGTTCACAAATCAGTGTGGCAGTGTCAGACGGATGTCAAAAAACAGCTGTCAGGTTTAGTATTATTATTATCTGTAACAGCAGCTCCACCAAGTATCACATGACACTTATATCATCCTGTTTATTCTGTTTAATTTACTATTACTAGTATTATTTTTCTTTAGCAGATATCTCTAATACTTTTTTTTCCTGTTTTTTTTTTTTCATACTTAAAGTTCTAGAGTAATTAATATAAATATAATTTTTAATATTATTGTTTTATTTTTTTTACTGCTATATACAGTCAGCTTTCATTAAATTATTAATATTTTTTATTATTAGGGCTTTAGGGTTTTAGGGTTTTAGGGTTTTTAGGGTTTATTTAGGGTTTATTAGGGTTTATTAGGGTTTATTAGGGTTTATTAGGGTTTATTAGGGTTTATTAGGGTTTATTAGGGTTTATTAGGGTTTATTAGGGTTTATTAG